CTTTCGACTCTTTGAGAAATCAGGAAGCCTCCTATCAATATACACTAATGGGTAAAGCAAAAGTACATCGCTTAGATCTCCCACCTCAGAAGACCAGATCCAAGGCATTGCGAAAACTCAATATTAGTTAGAACCTACTGGAGCTAGAATCACGGTATCTAAGACAGAGGCACACCTTGAATACGTACCAACGATTTTTAAAATCGTCGTTAGTTCCATATATCCTAACCAAGTTCCGAAGGATATCACGAAAGTTTAAACCTGGAATTATTCAACTAAAGCGTGTTTTGGAAAAAGACTCTGGCCATGTCTTTTTAGACCTCATTCGCTTGACTCTGAGGAATAATGAGAACGTGCAGAATTCAATGCTGAATATCTGCAGAGGAATAGCACTATTTAAGAATCAGATCACTACAGGCAGCCAGTTCAATATTTAGAGACTCATAGATCCTCTTTCACTGGCATACTCTACACATGCAAGGGAGTTGAAAGGCCAAAAAGAGATAGGGTTTTTGACTCTTTTGTCTCTTATCACAGATTACTATACCTCTCCCAAAGATTAGGCTACCTTGCTCTTCTACTAAAAAAACTCTTTTCCCTGGCCTATACAGGCGGGACCTCTGGATTCATCTTCTCCCTCGATTGATTTTTCAATACTCCGCGTTGTGAATTAGTAAAAATCCATTTGTGATTATTTATAAAGACTGTGTCCATTGCACTGCCGTTGCAATGCCGTCGCAATGCCGTTCTGATTCCAGTTTGGTTTAATTTATTTCCTTACTGCGTATAACAATAGGCGTAGATTCCAAGTGTTTAGCATATATTATGATCCAAAAGTCAAGAACTATCCTTTTTCCCTTCGCCTATAACTTTTTCTGCGTAGAGAATCTGCTATGGGTAAGCTCCATCAAATCGCTTAACTCGCCATCTTTCCGATCGCTGTGAGATCTGGCAAAAGACAGTATGCATGAAGATAATAGGAGCTAGAATGATGAAATACCCCATCCAAATTCAACCTTATTTAAATCCTGCTCACTTTGTTGAGATTTTGAAAGACCTTGGTCTCTGTCCTAGCATCAGATGATTGATACTATATAGGGACAAAATATTAAGAGGGCGCTTTGGCAGCCGCGCAAGGACTAAGATTTATTGTTGTATCTCTTTCAATGGATGTGTGGTACATACAGTAAGTCCCACCCGTGCACCCATACGATGGGTTTCATGGTACTTCTCCAGAAAGACAGCCATCAAAAGCAGGTTTGTACAGTATACATTTACTATAGCATGGGCGCCCAGCAGTTTCAAATCTTGTTTACTTTTCACTAATCTAGCTAGTCCAAAGCTCTAGCTCTTACTTCTTGATTATAGCCCCAGGCGCTGGTTCTATTTGAGGCATTCCGATGTAAATTTCGATTATATATTCTTCTGAGAGAAAGTTTATTGAAAGATTTCGTTACCTGAGGAGTGCTTCAGGTTATAGGCAACTAATAATACAGTAGGAGATTCTTCAAAGCGGGACCTTCAATTTAAACAAGAGGCTATAGTAGAGCTAGATGAACCGGAATAGCCCTGGATGAGATAATTTGCACGGCCCTGCTATGAGGGATGTTTGTGTATTGCCCTCTACTTATGAGGTGTGTACTTCACCACTCTCTTTATAACTCTTTTTACCACTCTTCACTCCATCAACCTAGTCTTAATTGTCTATCAAAGTGAGGCAAATTCAAGAGTATATTATCTAAGAATTCACAAGACACTAAATACTCTCTCTCGCCTTAAACTGTGGAGATAGATGATTTAAGACCCGTATTAAATTCTTAGATATTGATGGTCCCCTAAAACCGGTGAGGTGTTTACGTATCCTGTTAAGTATATTTAATTTCTCTGATTATCAAGGCTCCCCTCTAATTTGCCATGTCTCTTGGAATTAACATTTTAACAAAGAAAATATACAGAGCTTAAAAGACTTTTATCAGAAAAGGGTCCATGCATTACTGCCCAACATAATATCGCATTCTTCCCAGGACAACTCTCATCCCCTCCTTCCCGAAGGCCTAGCCAACAGACTTTAGGCAACAATATTTCATGACAATGAATGGCTGCAGAAAGCTTCCGAGCTTGGTATAAGCCCTATATTGATTGCGCCCGACCTAGACATGATCGGAGGCGTTAGTCCAACCCCTCGACGGTATCATGTCCTCCTGGTAACCAACGACCGGCTGGGCAATCTTAAGTTACCAGAAGAGCTGCTTTTTAGATCCCTGCGAACAGGATATACATACGATCAGACAAAGTCAACAATCACCCTGCCGAAAATAGTGTTCAGAACTACCGGTGGCCAGAAAATTCCAGTTTCAGACTTGGTTATTCATATTAGCCAAGCAATACATCCTTTGAATAGCATCACACTTCGGAAGAAAGAAATTCGACGACTTTTTGACCCCATGGTTTTACGGACTCAATTCTGCTTTGCATCCGAGAAGAGAGTTCGCACCGTGTATGCCTCGGATATATACGGGATTGGAGGAAAGGTCTCGGAGCTAGGGGCTCTCGTTCCGATCTGCGTGTTGCACCTGCTCTGCCACGGCAAAAGGTGGCCGGTCATTCTGCGAACATCCAAATACCCTGATCTCACGCCGCTCCGCATTGAGGGGATAGAGCACTCCATTGTCGGGTAGAAACGTCCATGAGGGATAAGATACAGAAACCGTCTTGTGCCTATCTTAAAGCCATCTCTCTGGATAGGTCTTCACAGAAAGGCTCTGGCCGGTCTTACTTGGCATTGAGATACCCTCATTAATGCGGGTGGTAGTGGTCACCTTGTCAACGGCAAATAGGCTTTCTACGCTATAGGACTATATTGGCGGGAAAGCAATAGAGCGGGTAGGTAGCTATATACTATCGTATTTACCATTGGAATTAAGTCTATTAGTATATTATAATTTTACTCTGAATTTTCCGTTCTAAAGATATATCGCTTAGAAACTGAAAATTATTCCATCATATATATAGGCCTAGTTTCTCAACGATGATTTTCAAGTAAATTCGGCTGAGACTAGCTTACGATGTTCCCAGGGTACACAGGATAGAACCTCTTTCTTCTATGATATATCCTTATGCATAGGATGAGCTGTACCTAAATTATAAGCGGATCAGCCATATCTTCCCTCATTGGCGCTGACTACAATCGCTGATACAATCTGCTCACAGCTTTACTTGTATTTTTCACATATCCTTCTACTAATGGCAGTCCCCCGGGAAAAACTGGTTAAATATTTTATTATTAGAACTCTAGACTGCAGTTTCTAAAGAATGTAAAGAAGATTAATACGCGTATATCTAGTTTCTCTAATAAGGACTCGGAGCGACTTTCTTAAGTTCCTGTTCAAATGAGAGAACACTAATTCCAAAATGTAAGTATATGATAACTCTATCTATAAATAAGAGGCTGCCCTGTTCTGTACTCTCAGATAACAAGGGGTTATAATATGAACCGACTAATAGTCTATTATACTGGTCTCGGTTCGTGTGGCGTCAGACTTCAGAGGTACCGTGGAATTACTTATAGGAGTAATAGTGAGTGGCGCTGGGACGATATTCTCCGCGGGAGTAGGGGTGGAACGCAAGGGCAGCGGAGTCTCCGTGGATATGCTGGTTAGGGGTATTGCTACTAGGGCCTTTTGAGTGGACCAGCCATCCTCGAGGGCAGTGTAGATGCTCCTAACGTAGAAGTCTTCCCCGATTATGTAGTTGGCTATATTCCCTGCTGTATTTTGGAAGATTAGTAGACCGCTCTAATCGGCGATGATATATGCCTGTTCGTGATCGGTGTCTTGGGTGGGACCGTAGGCCGTCACATTGATTGTGCCTTGGCGGAGCTAATTACCATTGTTCTTTACACTAAGATCTAAGTTTGTTAATCAAGAACAGTATATATCGTATGGGAAATTGATGAATTAATACTTACAAGAGCACAAGGTGCTGTTAAGAGGGCTAATAGGCTTTAAGGAGCCTATGCAGCCACAGATATAGTTTGAATAGATATAACATAGGCTATTAATATCTATAATCTTAAACATACTGGCAAGGGCTACTAAGCTAAACATATAGATAATCAACAGGAGATATATAATACCGTTTTGGTCAAGGGGTTATAAGTAGAGGAAAACAAGGTAGATTTATCCGACTTATATATCCTATTGGAATAGCCTTATACTATCGGAAATGAGGCTTGTAGTAAATCATATAGTATCCTTGCTGTTGGTAGACTTATAGAAAAAACCTATAGATATAGAGAGGTGTTACCGCACCACGAAGAGGACAGCGAGTCAGCTCCTTTTTAAGCCATCCTTATTTTATACCCTACTAGACTTACTATATCTTAAGTAATCTACGGCGTTTACAAATAACGGCTTATCTCTTTTAACGTTAAATATAGTAGGAAATATAGATACGACTCAACAATATTTCCTAAAAGACTCTACTACAGTATTTTCTCTCTTATCCGTATATTACCTATCTTGTTTTATTTTTCTATGATTTTCTATTCTTGTCTACGAGCTATATACGACTTCTAATAAGCCTACAAGAACAAGAGCTTTTGCCTATTTGGATCCTATAATCCATTCTCAGTGATGGAATTCACTCTCCTCTATCCTTAGGTGGCAGGGGGAGTGCTTTTAGTACTTCTCACTATCCAAGTGGGCCCTTTTCTCTGGAGTCTGAAACCTATTATTTCCCTTATTAGTGTAAAGTACCTCCTATACCCGATATTATCCTGTTATGGACAACCATATATATAGAGCCCTACCGATGTACTGATATACCTGGCATACCTTACTATTAATATTCTATTCATCATGTTCGGTAGGCTTTTAGCCATATCAGCTGGTCGCCGTGCCGGTACCCTTTCCCTGATGAATATAGGCCTGCTCTATCTGAGCCCAAGCCTTAGTCTTTTTGTATACATCCTGGGCCTATCTATCAAACTTTCAACGCGCATGCACCTTTTGGCTGGCTGGATGATAGGTATGCTTCTTGCTGTCCATGTGGCAGCGACGCTGCTTTCTCGGCCGTAGGGGTGGAGTATCCGGGAAGAGCCCCATCTCCACGGTCTGATTGTTCGTCTCCGCGCTCTATATCCACTGCCTATACTGAAATTCAATAGGGGGCGATCGCCTTGGCTGTGATCCTGGCATTGACGCCTTCCGTGATCCGTCGACGATTCTACGAACCGTTTGTCCGATTTCATCAGGCACTGGCCATCCTATACGTGTATTACACGTGGCGATATCTTCCGTCCGAGTATTTGCTGCCCCGGCTGTATCTGTATATTCCGCTCGTTGTCGGTTCGGTCTCGCTATACACGCATCTCATCCGGTTGGTGTACGCAAATGGCATCTCCCCCCCGCGGCTGTCTAATGCTGTGGTCACATGCAACCCTTCCGCCTGGGACACGCCACGGTCTCACGCGGGAACGCCACTGACCATCCGCATCACTTTGCCAAAACCGTTGAAAGTGGATGCGGGCCAGTACGTCAGCCTGTGGCTCCCCACTGCAAGCCTCCTCTCATGGTCGCAGACACACCCATTCATGGTGACGTCGTGGTCTCCGGAGCGACAGGAGGTGCTAGAGCTACTGGTTTAATCCCGGGAGGGTCTCACATCGACCCTGCGGGCTTACGTAGCTTTGGGTAGACGGGTCTCACTACCGGCGCTGATCGATGGGCCTTATGGAATGTCCCGGACGGTGGACGGATTCCAGTCCGTCTTGGTGATAGCCACAAATTTCGGTATCGCTGGCATCATTTCGTACATGACAAAGCTGGTCTACGGGTTCAATACCTGCAAATTGCAGGTCCGTCGACTACGCCGACTCTGCTTGGTGTGGGAGGTACAAGACCTTGGTAAACTCTTACCTTGCTAGATCCGCCGGATTTGGGTCTGAGGCTGACTGTGTTAGATATTGCAATCGCCGCATAACCGTTCCTGAATAGTCTATTGAATAATGACATCCAGGACGATGGCTATATAAGAATCCTCTTTTCTTACCTATATTGTTGGATCTACTAATTGTTTACAGATCATTGATATCTCCTTCTACATACCACCGGGGCAGAATCCAGAGTAATTCGGTCATCACCGCCGAGTAACGGTCCTCAGTAGCAGACCTAACTATAACAAAATCATCGCAGCCGAAGCCACGGGTTAATGTATCAGAAGGATGGAAGGGATTTATAAGAAGCGTGGCAAGATACTGGTGATTGGTAAGTTATCCATCTTGTAGAAGGAGTACTTACTTACTTTTTAGCGTCGGTTTCGCCTGACGTCCGAAACACCATGCGACAGGTAGTTAGGGTGTATCTCGACCGACAAGTCCAGCTATACGAGATAGAGTATTAACCGAACTAGGAGAGCGATTAGAATTTAAACCGGCGGATCGGTAGCTTGGTTAGAGGAAAAGGGGATGGAAATATCACAAGATGCTTTCATCTAGCGATTAAACTATTAAATAAGGTAAAAGTGTAACAGCGAGCTCTCATCTTATCCACTACACCTAGATTAAATCACTCCAAATATGATTAAATCAACTACAATGACTCTATTATCCGCGCTGTACCTCCATTTTTCCATTACATTGCTCCGCCTATGGCTTACTATATTCAGGATGTGTAACATCTTGCGATTAAGAAGGCTGCCTACTGTGACCTATACTACTAATTTAGATAAATTAAGACCATTGATGAACCACACCTTAAAGATAGCGATTGTATTTTCAATTGGCGCTCACTTTTCGGGAGAGAAGAACACCCTAGCAGAGAGTAGGATGGCCCGAGCAAGCAGGACTAGCTCCCCGACCAATCGATGCTGCTTATAAACAAGCGGATGCTAAGAAGGGTGAGCGCGTCAAGGCCATGAAGGTAAAAGATCTGGCATACCTACCTATTTCAGCGTTGCAAAAGAGTCCGAGGTCCAAATGGCGCTCAGGAAGCCAAACGCATCCGAGTCCAACAGCTAGCGATGCACATCGTCAATGCCCACCACCCTGTCCTCCTTGACGTACTTTTGCATCAGCTCCATGGTAACGCAGGCGAGGGCTTGGGTGTATGTTCGCCGAACCCAATCCGCAGGGCTTTCGACGCACGATTCGAGTGCTCCTATTTCAGGTTAGGCGGACCCGGGTACAACACATCCGCATCACTTACCAATCTTGACAATCCCATCTAGCCCGAGCAGAATGTGCTGGCACGACAGAGACCGATGCTCCAATGCCGACTGGGCAAGGTAGTCTATGCCATTCAGAACCTATCATTGTCAGTCGATCCCGGTCACCGAGGCACGAAGGACAACCTGCCTGCCATACCATAGAGGCCAGTTCAGTCTCAGTCGGGTAGAGGAATCGGCAACCCACAAGGTGCTCCAGGGTAAGCGGAAGGTCATCGACGAGAGGATACAAGCTCCCGTTATTAACAAAACACTCCCGTGCCGTGAGGACATTGGGATGATTCAGCTTACGATATAGCTGCAGCATCTTGTCGGCGTTGTCCTCGCCGTACTCCCGGATGGCCACCACCTGCGACGGGCCGGCACGCCGAGCAGCGATGAGCACATCCCCTGCCAGCTTGTACCGGAGTGTTCGGCGGTAGGTGTTCCAGGGCGATTCATGCCTTACGAGAAACGTGCCGGACAACTCTTTCCCGTCCCTCTCTTGGAGTAGAACCAGCTTCTTGGGGCCCCCGGTAACCACTTTCTTAGTGGCATTGTCTGGCATAGACACCTTTCGCTTCTTGGTGGCGCCAGATGAGCGGTTTGCCGTGACCCGTAGAGCCGGTGTGTCGCCCGTATCCTGTCGATGTGGCTCCGCGGCCTGTCCGACTTTTGGCTTATAAGGCCTGAAATCGATCTCGGTGCAGCGCTTATTCTGCGTAGACATGCCGACTTTGACTGGGAGAACGAGATTGAGATAGTGTGGTATGTCCGTGCTGCCTGGTGCTGGAATGAAATATGTGGAGTATTTGCGCCATCAATCTCGAAGATCTTAACACTCTTGGTTGGAAGATCTTACCACTCTTGGTTGGTCATCGATTCTGGGCCCTGTTGAAGTCTAGGATGTGTGTCCACGCCCGTGAATCCTTAGCAGACAGTACATACATCTATCCCAGATTAAGAAGATATCTGAGATGTGCGCTGAGGTCCACTGACCTCCGTCATGGCCAATTTTACAACCACAGATGATGAACAGCAATTAGCGGCAGAGCGACATCGCAAATTCTGGGGCACTGCCAAAATCGCCATCCGCCAAATCATTCCCCATCCTTCTATTTCGCAGCGGTTGGACCAGCGGAATGTCAAGCGGCTTTGTGAGATTTTTGAAAAAGAGGGCTGTCGGAGACTTGCCGCCTACAATCACCTTACTGCGGTTGTGTCAAAACACCATCTGGACGACGCGCTACGGGCTGCACAGGCGGGTCTTGCAGATACTACCGATGACCCCCACCCCTACCCTTAGCTGTATTTCGTTCATGGGCAGGTCTAATACCTCCACGGGCAGCATCGGCTAAGGGCTGCAAGGGTACACCTACCATCCTACGATCAGTGGTGGATAGTGGACGTGTATCTGGATGGTAGGTACCTGGAGTGGCTTAATCTGCGATCAAAGAACTAATAGCTTCCAGACATAAGTCCCGACCTCTATAACTGGCTTGTCGATGAGTACTCCAATGAACGGTTGTAGAGTAACGGTGAGATCTACCGAAGAATCCGGTAGTACCAGCGCGAGGCGAATGCCTATTTTGAGGCCCGGTAGGTGGCGCGACTGTCGGAAAACAAAGCCAGGCGGCTTCGGGCGCTCGAATCACGTCCGCATATCCGGACCGCCTTTGACTATCTGCTGGCCCTGCCGGCACTGTTGGTGCACGGGATGCAGATTGGGTCGCTTCCAGAGGTCCTGGCCTTAAACTGTGACGAGGTGAGGATGACGCGGGGATTTGTAATGGTAGATGCTAACCTGGTTTAGGAGATCTGTCATGCTCTAACCGAGCTGTATCGGTACTGGTCCTTACTTGTGGGGGATGACCCTGCTAAGATGCTCCGAATCGATGTCCATATGGTGAGTACGCTTTAGCTTCTTACCCCTAGCGTGTCCTCCACGGATAGGGCTCACATAAAGGGTCTTGTGCGGAGCGGGGCGGTCTTTGCCAATTTCTCGACGGCTGAGAGGGCATCCATTTGGAAAGAGATGAAGAGGCTGAGTGTGATCATTCTATCCCTAACGTCATTTTTCAAAGATGTCCGATTCCTGAAGTCCTGTGCCAACGGTGTGAAAATGCTTGTCACGCCTTCTGAGGATTCCACGACTATAAGGAAAGCGCTGCAGGCTGCCTTTCTGTATAACGACGCGGAAAACACGACTTACTCTGTGTAAACCTCCGAGATAACATTCCGGCGCTATTGGAACCCGTAAAGTGATGCCGCAGAGCTTTCGTATCGACAGCTGTGGCTGTATGCCATACATTATTATGCAGAACTCTCCAAGTCATCCCTCAAAAAAGATACCGCAGGAAAGTTTGGCCACAATAATGAAGACCCACAGGTGCTTCATGGGATAGCTGCTCTAGCAAAGCGGCTTGGATTCCAAACGCCCCAGATCGAGGAGCTCCTCCAACAATCACCAGATCGCCTCATCGCGCGAAACGCACTCCTATATGCTCGGCCGCACGACCGCTTTCAGTTTTATGACAGAGAGCTCGATCGTCTTGTGGAGCGGATTACTAAGTGCTTCTTGTTGGCGGTCCCACGTCGCTGTTAACCCGCCGTGTATCCGAGTGGGAGGGAGGTCAAGAAGATAGCAAGGTGCGGGTATCCGGCTGCCCAGGCTCAGGTACGGGATTAACCTTTTCTTTTTCGTAGATCACCTTAACGACATCGAGGTGCTTAATACAACAAAAGTAACCTCTCTTTTCGTGCGATGGAATTTCTACAAAACGTTCTTCGGTAAAGTATCCGTGCCCGGGAAGGATGATCGGACGACGAGATCCGACAGTATCGGCGTGCTTCCTTCTCCCCTTCTTGTTCTAAGCTTAGCTAGTAAGAGTAGCGACGAGGATGGCGGGTCTATACACTATATAGCCTTAGAGCTCGCCCAATTAAGATATAACCACTCAAAAGACACACCCCGGAACAAAGCTAAGCGGAAGAGGCTTTAAAAAAAAACACCCGCCATAATCTGATCCTTAATCCTCTCACCTAGAATCTGTTGTCATAGTTCTATTAACAACAAATTCGCCTCTTTAGCTTGAAATAGAGATAGAGGATCTTGATATCATTCTACCAGTGGGGAATAGACCGGAAGTCGCAGACCAGGGAACTTATGTGGCTGGTGTAATCGGTAGTGTAGTTAGTCATGATACTTATAGAGGAGCAAATTCCTCTCACTTTTTGGAATTGGAAATCAGCAATATGGCCCATAGTTCTTAATAACACTAGTTCAAGCCAAAGACCACAGAGGCATTGGAAGTATCAGAGGGGAGCGGTAATAAATCAACAACAGAGTAAGGACTAGTAGATAACGATAAGGAAGTAACCCTAGCCAGGAGCCAGTCTCCAGCCGATTAGGTTATAGAAGAATATATAAGTATTATAGGATCGTAAACGACAGAAGAGTGGAGTAAATCCGGGGGCGAGATTAAGAAAACTTTATACGCATTAGAGGGTCGTCGATCACGGAGCGGGACAAAAAGAAGTTCTCGTTTGAGCAAGAAGCAAACAGACGTTAGAGAAAAAGACAGATAGAAGCCATACAATCGCTTACATCGGAGACTACAAGCTCGGGGATCTCCCATACCTCCTCACCGGGAATTATTAGAGCAAGCAATTAAAACTCTTCTCCAAGCGGCAGACTGGCCATCCAGAGAGTCAATGATCCAAGATGGTCATGGCTCAGGAACTTAAAGACACCCAGAAGATGGGCAAAGCAAACACTCTCATCGTACAGCGGAATCCTAGATGGCCGAGTAGGCAGAGATAGCGAATGGCAACCCGTATGAGTCTACTTACACTAGTGCACTAATACAGACTAAGAGCCACTCCCGGAGCCCCGACCGAGAGGAATTCCCAGCGCTAGACCCAACCAATTTCTCTCAAGAGATAGACGTTCATTCCCAGGTCAATCTCTTAGTTACCCCACACCGCTAGGACCAGAGACAATATCTAGGACTACAAAAGGTAGCCTCCCAACTCGCAGCGCCCTTTCGAGCCTAGGAGACAGAGATAGATCCGCGAGAAAATAACACGGAGAATATCAGTGATTAGGAAAAGATCACCACCAGAACACTAGCTTCTGCTGGATATACCAAATACGTGATTTTATTTCTTGCCCCTAATAACAGGGGCGAATGGAGTCATCTTGTGCACAAAGTGATAGTCAATCTGTCTGATCTATCCCCGGTCGCCTAAGTTACGGCGAAAGATGCCCGGGAACAACAGATAGTGTTCTACGACTGTGATTTGCATCAGCTCTATCCCGCCCAATGCGTTGATGCTGTAATAGAGGATGGGACTTATACAGTGTTTATGACCTTCGGTTACGAATTGGCTATCAATGAGGATATAATAGCCTCGGTTGGACGAGCGCTCCAGTACCGCAACAGCCACCGTGGTCGGCCGATCCAGTAATCAGTTGTGGAGAGATTAAGCTTATAATTTTCAGACTATGATTATTTTTACCTATAGACTTACAGCTATCGTTGCCGTCAGCTAGTATATATCTTTTTCTATAGTGGCCTTACTACCCCAGACATGTTGATCGCCTAGAGGTCGGCTGGTTCGTCTTATACAATTTACAGTGAGCCATGATTTTACCAGGTTTGGCTACTGTGGTGCTCCCAGGATCTACTTTGTTGTCTCCACCTGATCCGTTGAAGCCTGTATATTTTGTTGGTTTGTTTATTAAATATTCTATAAATAAAGTTCTCCTCCAGCTGCTGAACAAAAAGTCGCAAAGTTATATCTCTCTTTAATCACTTTCGATTTCAAGACTAACTAAAATTCATACCGCCAGCAATCAACTTGATATTCATGCAGGGTATCTTGTTCCAGTCACTCAGCATCTACTCGGTTCCATCTACAAACCATAATACATCAATGACAGGAACATCTCCGCTTTCTTTTCTACGGCACACCCCATCAAAGCGGTATATACTATGGAATTCATCTTTTGTAGCCAAGATGCTAATCTGACAAGGGACCATCTCCGTGATTACAATACAAGTCCTTTTCCGTTTATCTCCTCTCAGAATGAGCAGCTCGTGTAGAAATGGGATCAGGTCAAGCTCTGTGGGCGAATGCTCAACGTGGTACTACCCTCTATCTGGTTTCCACCAGGCTATCCACGAAACGTTCCGGATTTACATAAGGAGTTTATTAAGTTCACTAAGGGTCAGGTCATTGTGCAACATGCGGTGTATCTAGAGAGGTTGGAAGTAAACGGCTACCATATTAGAATATACGTAGGAGCTTAGGCTACGAGCTCTATCATCATCCTCCTGGGCTTACATGGTCCCTGTCGACACTCCAAGCTTAAGAGATTCTCTCGACATATAGGAGCGTATATTACAAACCTGCTTCTAGGACTCACCTTGCAGAGCTCATTGCCATTTTACTACTGCTGGGCGACTGAATTTTGGGTTTCGGATTCCGTTATTGTGAATTGCAGGCCGGGAGAACCTTCTCTCTTGTCCTGCAAAGCCTCACAGCCCCATACACGAGATGGCTCGATGATGCTGTGCGTCGGTCTCCCTATGACGTCTTTCGGGCCACTATTTAATACACTGGTGTCGATCTTGAATGTTGCGGCGACTCGATTAGAGGCTCAAGCTGGATTTATCTGGATTGACACTGCGGTGGATCCGAGCAACTTTACCATCGAGTGGGAAACCGAGCCGGTCCAAGATGGGCTGTTGAAAATGCTTGACCAGATTCAAAGATGTTCCTGGCTGGTTAAGGCGAAGCTGACGGTCAAGCTCGACAGATCCAGCGAGGCAGCCCCGGTAATTCTTACTGAGCTCTACGAGATTTCTCAGATACGGGTCACATCTACCCACAAACCAGTGACCCACTCATGATCTGATCATTAAAAGAAAATCCAGATGTATAGTCCGGCTATGATTTCCAGTCAGGTGGAGCTCCGCCACGAATAGTATCTTTGATGGTTGTGTAGTAAAACATAGCAATATTTTATGCTTTAGCGAATCCAATTGAATAAGCCTGAGACGCTTGTGGCATGTTCCCCCCCAGAGTGTAAGCACTTAGAGAGATCGTTGGGCAAATATATCCAACTGACGTCCACCGTGCCCATTGACTTATAATATTTCTCCTGCCGAAACCAAAGAAATGGATGGAAGGCACTGCTACTATTGCAATAGAAAGCTCTCTAGATTAAAGCTTCTAGGACCCATGATATAGCTGTATGGATAAATCAAAATCACTGGCCAGACGGATATTTAAGGCACGACATGTCCTGGATCCTTTTCTATAGCTCTCACGATACATAATGGGGCCTTGTCTGGCCCATTTTCACCAACCCTAACCTTCATACTGGGATACCCTATTTGCGGATCAAGATACCGGTCAGAGCGGCACTGTACTATAAAAGCGGATCATCCTCTCTGCACCCTTGTACAACTGATAATCGCCGCATTCAGCTCTGCACTGGACCACTGGATTACGGCGATCAACGAAATCTGATCTAGCTGCGTCGGATTCTCCAGCCCGACTCATGGCATCAATACAAATGGCGAATAATGTGCTCGCCGCAATGATCATGATTGCCATTGCCTCTACCATCTTTGCCATTTTGGGGATCTACATCGCAATTTGTCGAACAACTTTAGGGAAGGATGACGGTCACTGTCTTCTGTGGGGAATTGGGCAATGCATCTACGGTCTCATTGCCATCGTCACCGGCGGCTATGTAGCCGACCACGTGCAAGGCTTTCAATCCTTGATTGCAACAGTTATAGAACTTGACGATCTGCCGTACTACGAAATTACCTACTACGGGAGTGCTGGACAGGCTGCTTACGGAGCTCTGGTGATCATCCTGTTCATTGCTCTTTTAGCGATTGTCTTATATGGCAAATCGCGCACGGCACCCATCGGACCTGCAAGTTGATGTAGCTTCTGACCGTGATGATTAACGTATCAAGCCATCTTCAAAGTAATTTCTCTTGATAAATCAAAACCTGCATGGAGAGTCTATCCAGAGAGTCAGTGGGTTTAATTATACCACGCTAGTGGACATCAACAACACCAACACTCATCAACACTCATCAACACTCATCAACACTCATCAACACTCATCAACACTCATCAACACTCATCAACACTCATCAACACTCATCAACACTCCTCAACACTCCTCAAAATACAATACGATGCTATTTTTACAAGAACCCTTTTGCTGTTTAAACATTTATCAATGGCGTTTGTTCACCGTTGATTCAGCGACTTCAATATCTCACACTGTGTTTTCCACACTAGGGAAGCAACACGCCACTCCCGCCCGGTGATGACTTGGACTTTATTATCTTGTTTGACTATACAGTAGACGACAAGTTCGGCTTCCACAAGATTTACACTCTTTCTCTCCTTCTTGGCGCCACAGTGGGGCACTAGTCTAGATCAAGCATTGGTTGAAATTTACCTTGTCTTGGCACTGTCACAGATACAACATTCCCCCAACAAATGTAAATTACATGGTTCGCCATAACAATTGATACGTTTTTGGGAAACAAATACATTACTTTCCAAGTGGTACTAGCATGCCTCTGCACTAAACGTAGTGCCAAACTGGCCAAAGGTCTGTTAGATTTGTATTACAAAATAACGAAAAGGAGCCTCAGCACAAGGGCAAGTAATCTAATGACTGCGGAAACCTATGATCAAAACAGTCCCCGTAGAGTAACCAAGAGCCAGTCTGTCATGTCGTATAGCTGCGTAGTAAAATATGCGATATTCAGCAGGGAGCCATATCAGATTGTGGTTTCCAAAGGCGACCCAGTCATCTGGCACGGAAACGTGAGGCTGGTTTGGAATTTGGCTGACGATGGACGTGACCGAGTCAGGGTGCCCCTGGAAAGTCTGTAGCTCCTTGCCCGTGTGAGCATCCCATAGCTTGATTGTACAATCTCTGCAGACAGAGGCAACTATTTGGCCATCTGGAGAGAATGCCACAGTTTCGACCCAACTGGAATGCCCCTTAAGTGTCTGTAGCTCCTTGCCCGTGTGAGTATCCCAGAGCTTGGTTGTTTTATCATCTGAGCCAGAGGCTACCATTTGGCTGTCTGGTGAGAAGGCCACAGACCAGACTATACTGAAATGTCCCTTGAGGGTTTGTAGCTCCTTACCTGTGTGAGCATCCCAGAGCTTGATTGTACAATCATCTGAGCCAGAGGCAAGTATTTGGCCATCCGGGGAGAAGGTCACAGACCGAACCGAAGAGAAATGCCCCTGAAGGGTTTGTAATAGCTTACATATCTGAGCATCCCAGAGCTTGATTGTGTGATCGTCCGAGCTAGAGGCTACCGTTTGGCCATCTGGAGAGAATGCCACAGACTTAACCCGACCAGAATGCCCCTTAAGTGTCTGTAGCTCCTTGCCCGTCTGAGTACCCCAGAGCTTGATCATATGATCAGCTGAGCCAGAGGCTACCGTTTGGCCGTCTGGGGAGAACGCTACAGACTGGACTGAACTGGAATGACCCTTGAGGGTTTGTAGCGGCTTACCCGTCTGAGTATCCCAGAGCTTGATTGTACAATCATTTGAGCCAGAGGCTACTGTTTGGCCGTCTGGGGAGAAGGCCATAGATGGGATATAACTAGAATGCCCCTTAGAGGTCTGTAGCTTCTTATCCATCTGAGCATCCCAGAGCTTGATTGTACAATCATTAGAGCCAGAGGCCACCATTTGACCATCCGGGGAGAAGGCTATAGACCAGACCGAATCAGAATGCCCCTGAAAGGTTTGTAATAGCTGACCCATCTGAGCATCCCAGAGCTTGATTGTACAATCATCTGAGCCAGAGGCAACTATTTGGCCATCTGGGGAGAAGGCTACAGAGTTAACAGAATTACAATATCCCTCAAGTGTCTGTAGGGTCTGTGATTCTTTACCTGTCTGGACATCCCAAATCTGAATTCTATCATCTGCTGAGCCAGAGGCCACCATATGGCCATCTGGAGAGAATGTTACAGAGTTCACAGAATCATAATACCCATCAAGGGTCTGTAGATCCTTACCCATCTGAGCATCCCAGAGCTTGATTGTACAATCATCTGAGCCAGAGGCAAGTATTTGGCCATCCGGGGAGAAGGTCACAGACCGAACCGAAGAGAAATGCCCCTGAAGGGTTTGTAATAGCTTACATATCTGAGCATCCCAGATCTTGATTGTGTGATCGTCCGAGCCAGAGGCTACTGTTTGGCCGTCTGGGGAGAAAGCCACAGACTTAACCCGACCAGAATGCCCCTTAAGTGTCTGTAGCTCCTTGCCCGTGTGAGCATCCCAGAGCTTGATCGTGTGATCGTCCGAGCTAGAGGCTACTGTTTGGCCATCCGGGGAGAAGGCCACAGACCAGATGGAACCGCTATGCCCCCTAAGGGTCTGTAGCTCCTTACCCGTCCGAGCGTCCCAGAGCTTGATCGTGTGATTATACGAGCCAGAGGCCACCGTTTGGCCGTCCGGAGAGAAGGCCACAGACCGGACGCGATCAGAATCCCCTTCAAGGGTCTGTAGATTTGAGTTCCAGTATTCCATCGCCACTGGTAGTGTTTCTATCTGTTTGGGCTTTTCGCGAACAAAGATCTTCCGTATGACGCTTTGTACAGGTGCAAAAGCCAGTCCAGAATAGTAGAGCTGCAGTGGAGCAATGCCAGCTATGTATGAATTTTGAAGAGTGAACCTTTTTACATCCTGCAGAAATTCATGTACTTGAGAATGAAACTTATGCTAAGTATATCAGTAAAGGGCTTCCTTCCGGTCACTAATAAGGGACTTACATCAACCAGACCCAGTAAATCATCCAATAGCCTGATACCCTCAGATATCATTCCCATCAGGCTCAAAGCTTCGAGCCAGTGAAGGAAGTGATCAAGGAGGAAGGATAGAACTTGGTATTCATCATCCAGCTTGACTCTGCTCTTCTTCAAATGATGCACCCAGTAAATACATGCATATTGCGCCTCGGGTGGTAGGCACCGGTCAATCGTTTGTTGATCGATATCAGCACGAGAAGTCCCCGGCGCTCCTAGTCCACAGATATCCTGTTTTAGATAGCCACCGTGGGAAAGCAGCGTGAGACATCTGTCTGCGAGCATCTTGTGGGTGGACCTCTCATCAACATAGAATTCGTGGACATCCTCTGGGTCAGGATGGACGATAAAGTCTCGAAACGATTCATGGAAGATTCTCAGCGGATGTCCTGGATCACTTGGAATGTCTAGGACAGAGTGAAGTAGCTGTAATCTGTTATTGACGCATTCAGTAGAAATTCCAAGCAGACACGCTAGTGATGCAGCGCTAAGAGGATTTACAAGGGTAACTATCGACCCTACAATCTCCTTGAACTCTGTGACTGTACTCCTACGTGCAGAACCCTTGAGTCCATCGACCATTTGGCTTAATATAGGCAGGTATATTGCATCAAAGGCCCCACTAGCCTTCTGTTGGAGTATCTTCTGAAGCCGATCGTTTGGCTCACCGGCCTGTCGATGATCTTCGATAAAGCGGCAGGTAGTAGCCGCAAAGATGAACAGTGGAATAGACCTTTTTAAAAGTCTATTGAAATCGGCTGAGCCTGGCCATCCAGCCGGGAGCCCGAACCTGGACCGCATCTCATCTAATCGAAACCTCAAAAAAGTTGTGATGTCTCGCTCAATCATGGGCTGTGGGATCTCGTGAACAGGAAACTCTATGAACCGGTCTTGGACCCCCTGAAACCCAAGACGAATTGGAGGCTCAAATCTACTGGTGACGAAGAATTTCAACGGGACTACTTCTGAGCGATCGGTCTGCAACAGCAACTTGATAATCGTTGTGATATCCTCATCACCCTCGCATTCATCAAGCGCGTCAATCACGACCGTCATAGTCTTAGAGAAATCATACAGAATGGCCTTGATTGGCTGTACAATCAGTTTCCTAAACTGCTCTCCCAGTGCCATTGTGGCGATATGAGGGTTATCTTCGATAGCGTTTCGCATGTGCTCAGCGACTGCAGGCAGTCCTCGGACGAGTTGGGCAGCGATAGTTGTGAACAAATAATCAGCACTTTTACGATCAATTTCAGTCTTCTTGAAGAAGAAGCTGGCTGCGAGACGACCCTGCTCGGCAAGTTCACCGGCCACGGTACGAGCGATCGTGGACTTGCCGGTGCCAGCCTTTCCTTGAAGCCAATATATATGCTCGCGAGCTATGGGACCATCCGTCCATTGGTTAATCGTGTCGAGCAGCTCATGGCGCGTGTTTCCGAGGCAAGTCGCCACATGTTCGTTTGCATGGGAGTTGAATGCGGCACCTTCTACAGTGCGTAACTTGTCGACGACGTACTGCTGGTTGCCGTTTAGGGTGGGTGTAGTCGTCCTTGCTCTGTTAGCTGGCCCCTTTAATCACAAAGTAAAACGACATACGGTCTAAGTCTTCGCAGCTGTTCCCAGAGACTTTGATAAAGTAGATCGTCCCGTCTCTTGCACTTGTTCAATCCAGAGTGGTCTGTATCGATAAAAACGGCTTGAGCAGCATGACCACCTCGGGCCGAGTCTATGGGGACAATCTAGGAATGTTAGAAACCTTCCACGGAGGGACAGCAGCACTTACTAAGCCGACCGATAGCCATCCTAGCATACGTGTGGGCTTCCCTTCGCAGAAAGCTACAATCTCGGTCTTCTGCCGTCGAACTTCTTTGTCCTTCATACATTGAACAAAACGTACGTCCAAGTCAGAGAGCTGTGTCCGATTACCCGCTAGGGAAAGGAGGAGCCCGGTGTTCGACCCGAGAAAGCCGGTCACGCGGGCTGCAACGGTCCCCAGAATGGAGATAGGTGACCCCTGGTGAGGGGTCCCGAGGAAAATGATGCCACAAGTGCTGTCAACGATGTCTCTCGCGGTCTCTTCAGGCTTGCACAAGGCCTACAAAAGGGGTTAGTTATATATAAGAAGAAGATGGTATTGCCGCATACCTCTTTTATAACGATGCCCCCGAAGCTATGGCCGAGAAAGACGATCGGTACGCTCTGTGGCCCACGTTAGCTTTGTCTTTGTTCGGTTTTGTAGTTCGGTTTTGTAGTTCTTACTCTATACTTTAACCGATGCTTCACCAACTCATCTAGCAGTCGATTACCGATCTGCTGCGCTGACGTGATCGGGGCATCGATCAACCAGTCCGAGTTGTGCGCAAACGCCAGGATTCGTGCGGTCGGAAAATCATTTTTCAATAGATCCCTTAGCAGGTGGATGCGGTTCCTATGGCCCGAACTGGTCGACACCGATGGGGTGCCTGTCCAGGTGTACTCCGGATGTGCCCCAAGGCCATGGACGGCGACAATTCTGGTACCATTAGCGTATGCAGCATGGTAGACATGGTATCTCTTACTCAAAAGTGACGTCCTCAGCCTGCTCAGGCTCGTATACCGTATAAAGACCATCCGGGCGGTCCGTCTTTCCCCGGCGACGAATCTTGCCAAAAACCGGGTACAGAAGGACGGCCGGGAGCACGACCAAGGCGGCCCACAGTACAAACTCATTCATGGCCTACGTCTGGCGCATTGATCTTGGCTCAATGGCGGGGTCGGAAATGACGGGGTCGGAAATGACGGGGTCGGACTCGTTACGCGGAGTAGCCACTGCGAGGTACCACACAGTGATGCCACTCGGTCAAAATGTCTGTTAAGCACGATCACAGATGCGGCACCATTTCGAATAATTCTGACTGATAGTAGATACGAGGGACCATTTGAGTATACCCCTCAGCCCTCGGCTGAGCCACCGGCCCGACCCACTAGTCTCATCACCAGTAAGCGAGCACGTGACGTTACAAAGAACCAGACGCAGCAGCCCCTTGGAGGACACGTCACGTTGACCTAGGTACTCAAGGGCAGCTGCATACTGGTAGTTACCGCACCAGACAAGTGACCACTCGACGGGACGCAAAACATCGATGCAGCAAGATGTCGGGTGACGTGCAGATCGGCATCCAGGCAGAAAAGCAACAGGACCACGTCCGTTTGTTCTATCGCCTTGCCAATACAGACAGTAGGAGTTGAGAGATTTTGTGCAGACGTGCCCGACTTCGCGATCGCTCAGGAGAAAAAACTAATACCCACTGAGGTATCCTGGGCGGACTTGACAAGCCTGGTCAAGCAGGTCCTCGCTACGGATCATCTATACCAAAAAATCGATACGCGATTCATCTACGGTGAGCTCCGTCTCAGTCGGCTGAACAAGATATACAGATTCACCCGATCATCGTTCCTGCATGGTTACATGTCGCAGTGGAATCGATACGGCGACTTCTTTCAAGACAATCTTGCCTGGCTGGCCGCTGCTACGGTCTATATCGCCCTCGTTCTGACAGCCATGCAAGTTGGCTTGGCGACTGACGCCCTCGCTGAAAATAAGGCCTTTCAGTCAGCGTCATATGAATTTGCAGCCCTCTCCATTCTTGGCCCCCTCATCGCCATTAGCCTTATCATATTTACGTTCTGCTACATGTTTATCAACAACTGGATCAGTACATTGGCGTACCAAAAGAAAATATTTAATGCTATCCAACCAGCGCAGCGAGTATAAAGGAGCCCAGCACCTCCAGAAAGACACCTGGCAGGTTTGTGACGAGAATGGCGCCGTCGTGCCGGGAGATGATCGCCACCTACCTTCGTACCATTACTTTTTTGTGGAAGGTAGGATTTCTATTCTACTTCTCATGTGACCTACTTCTCTCGTAGTATAGCTCCGAGGCTGGAAGCCATAATTCGTTGCATCCCTATTGTAAGCGACTGGTCGCCAGTGGAGACTTGGGGATGATCTACGGATGGAACTTCGGGGATTTTAAACGTGGAGCACCGAATATATACTCCAAATAAACCTCGACCACATTTGGCTCCCATCATTATTCTACGCACTTTAGTAAACCATGAAACCGATCTTGCTTAGCTTCGAAAATGAAGGTTCTGCAGTGCAACGTTAATGGATGCTTTTAACTTTTTATAAGTTTGCGCTAAGTTAAGAACCTCGCACCTGTCAGGTGTTCCAGCGAAACTTGTAATTTACATCTGTTGGGGGAATGCTGTATCTGTGACAGTGCCAAGACAAGGTAAATTTCAACCAATGCTTGATCTAGACTAGTGCCCCACTGTGGCGCCAAGAAAGAGAGAAAGAGTGTAAATCTTGTGGAAACCAAACTTGTCATCTACTGTACTGCCTTGAATCTTCATCTTTGTTGATGGCCTGGGCTCTAAAGTAGGAATAAGGGAATTCAAAACATACGTAGATACATGCATGTAACGTCCACTGTACTTAAACCGAGTCACTTGGTCCCAAGTGTCTTCTACCAAATCGCCTTTTTTCTCATTTTTGACGTTTCCCTCATATCCCAAACATCACATCCCACTTACAGCACCACCATGACTGTGACCGGCGCATTCGAAGTCAAAGTAATTCCTACCAAGGAGGAATATCCTCGCTTAGTGGAGGTGCTATGGGCAGCTAATATGCACCCATACAAGTAAAAGCCAGACCTCTTCCCCAATTTGACATTCAGCGCCTGACTTTTTTTTAAATAATAGTCCCGTCTTTACCGCCGTGCATCCGATAAGCGGACCCACGGCCGAGGATCGCGCCCGGGACAAAGCACTTGATACCGAAGTCCGGTGGAGCGCAAGTGAAAGGAACCCATTCTCGCGTCTCATCTACGTGATCGACAAAGAAACGGGTCGAATAGCCGGTGGATGCGAATGGCCGATCTACCATGAGAATCCATTCCCGACCGGACCGCAACCTGTGGTACCTGGTACCCTGAAAGCACGGAGCGAGCCGAGTACGCAGAGCGAATGCTCAATCAGGCACTCTTCCCACGACAATGCTGGTTTCAGCGACCACATGCAGGGGTGAATGCGATGGGCGTGCATCCAGATTATCGGCGTCAGGGGGTAGGGCACTTATTGATGGAGTGGGGATATGCGATTATTGATCCGTTGGGGTATGAGAGCTTCATTGAGGGTAGTCCGATTGGAAGGTGGCTTTATAAGGAGTGTGGGTACCGGAGAGTTATGGGGCTTTATGTCGATCTTATTAAGCCTAACCCGAGTGATGAGTGGTCACGGTTGATTCACGAGTGTAAACCGCCAGGAATTCTGCTACTTTGAAGGCCTTCGCGAGAGGAGTGGACGGAGAAGGTGCCTATTGGTCCGTGGGCTGTTACCGAGGAGACTTTCACGTAGGGGCGGGTCTCAGCTAAGGTGCCATCGTGATATATCGGGATGTTGTGAATCATGTTACGTCCCGGAGTCACTTTAGTTCTCTCATACTTACTCAACATAGGTACAGGTATATCTCCCGTCAAATTCTGTAAACATTTGGGCGAGGGCAGAAATCCCGCATGGTTCCAAACTAGGCTTCACATATCAAACCGAAGACGTTTCTCAACAAGAACATGGCTGGATTTAGGGAAGCATGCGAGGCATTGGATCATCTTACATTGTGTGCGGAATTTACTTTGCCTATTTGGTGACCGCTGCCGCTCCTAGGACTCCCTCTCTAGCTCGTCTACCTACAGTCCTACCTCAATGGCACGTTATTTTGGTGGTCTCGTTTTGTGACGTAGCAAAGAATACTAGGAGGTTGAACAAATACTTACTACGATGCTGGTTCTAGAAAGTCTGGGCTTCGAAACTCGACAACACCAAATTACTGAAATCCAGACCATCAACCTCTAGGCCTGCAAGAAAATCGTCTTTTGATGTTTAGAAGTGGAAGCGAGGTTTAGAGGCAGGACAGCCCTCAATATGATTCGCCATCGCGATGGGCCAAGCTCAATACTTTGGTATTCATAGATTTGATTTTATATCACGGTTATCAAATCTATTCACTATTGCTAAGGACCTCGGGACACTTAGTTATCTAGTCAGATTATATAATAATAATAAATAAGTTAGCACATGGTATATGCATTCAAAAGATAAGTAGACACAACCTTAGTCTTCTGCCTCCCTTACTCCGCTTCCTCTGCGCATCAACTTACGAAGAAGGTTTCGTTCGAGCTAGACGTTCCTTCTGTAAAGACCGTGCGCACTGTTGGTCCTGGCTCTGAGACTGGATGGGAAGTGTCGTGGGTGAAATCAAAGTACTACTCAAAGCCATGTTTCCTTCCAATTTCCCTGAACAACGCCACCGCCATAGTTTCAGCTTTCCAATAAGGGAAGCAATGATGAATCTAATGTTTACCACCGACAAACCTGGATCAATCCAGTTCCTCCCACATTGGCCCAAACTGTATGCTGTATGCCGCGAGTAGGCGATCTCGATTATGACTTAAAGGTCGGTGAGCTAGAATTTCGTTCCTCTCCGAGACTGATCCAGGAGCAAAGAATTGAGTTTGAACATAGGGTTGTCTCGGCGTAGAGGAGGCCCCCAGAAGATAGGGTCGCCTCTTTCTCATCACAATAGAGTTCTTCCTGAACAAAATTCCAGCATTTGAAAAAGTACCCTGTTCGGTATCATTGAGATGTAAAGCGCTTGCTCTGGATTTCCTGTTGATCTTTCGCTTTATCTCAACCAGTGGGTAGTCTGGATCAGAGCTGATATACTGTCTATCAACACCGTTCTTCCCAGAGACTAGTTTCTCATAGAGCTCTCTAACTGGCTGGATAAGCGTCTGTGATGATATTTCGATGGACTGTCGAAATGGTGGGTCTCCCTTTTGTATCAGATCCAAAAGATTAACCGCATCAGGCTGGCGGTTATGTAATACATAAGACCATGCTAGAGCCCTTCCAAATGGAATAAGTGGCTCTTCTTGACTCCTTTGTCTGAAAAATTTCCATCCAGTTTCAAAGATATCTCGTACAACGTCTCTTTGCACAATATCTCGTCGGATAACCCCTCTGAGTTGGACCAGAATTTCGAAAATTCTGCACTCTGCCTTCACAGAAATATATTTGGCGAAAGTTGACTTAATCAGTAGACTTTGCTTCATTTGGAAAACAGAGAATGTACGGCGGGAGACAAGTATTATGGAGAAAAGGTCTTCGAGATCTTGCAAATTGCCAAAAAATTTCCAAGATTAATTCAGTAGGCAGACAAAGCAGAGGAGGAATACATAGTGTTCATTTTGCGGATGTCATCAGAATGATTCATCGGAACTGCAGTGTCCTAAGAGGTCTGTGAGACCTAAGCAGAGTTGATCAATTTCTGGTTGCTGTCTCTCTGCAGTGGTGGAAAGTAGGTATACGGGCGACTGTCGACGCATTTATTGCTGGATTCCATAGAGGCCAAGGTTCCTAGTGTGACCGTGGACGACCGGTCGTGCTTAGGTTGTGACAGAACACGGGTGCAAAACTAGCCCAATTGGGTTAGTTCAACCCACTATCGAATGGAGAACTCTGATTGGCCGAGCCAGAATGGATCACATGACCTATCAGGTGATCTTCAGGCAGAATTTATGTGTGTAATTATCAGAATAGAGAATCAGACCTGTTGATACGTCCTATTCCGACCGCCTACTGCATTAGACCTTGTAGTCTGTCAGGTTGGTCTGGGAGGTGTTATGTAAGCGTATCAGGTGAAGGGCTTAAAAGTGCGGAGTTCCCAGGACCGATGGAGCTTGTTGCGGCATACCAACAGTTAAAAAGAACACAGTTTGGGCCACTTGAGTGCCCCATTCTCTAGATATATTTGGGCTGTAAACGGATGATGTACAGCTGTGATAATAGGGTCCTCGTAGGGTCCTTGTGTAGGTTGCCAGAGAAGGATAATTTTCGGGGAGGTGTTCCCTAAGCGTATCACACCCGGTAGTTACTCAATGGCCCCACTCCCGCAGGAATACTGGGAATGGTACTCCCAGGATCAAAACGCTCCTAGGACCTACGTTGGTCATTCTATTTGTGTAAACTGTAAATAAGAATTATAGATCCAAGATTAAGTACACCTTCCAGATCATTTGGCAACTATCGTGAATTCTTGCACTGATACCTACGGCAAATATCATGAACTTCCAGCCGAGCTGCTTGACCAGGTCTTCTTACACAGTATATGTTTCTTACGTAGGAAGCGCGCGCTCGCGATGATCCCTATGGGTAAACGTAGCATAACCTGCCGCATAGAGGGCATCTTCGAGCATCAATATCGGGTGTTTATGTCATAAGATCGTCGGTATGTATAGGATGTATCTTCGAACTTCCGCCACAAATTTTCGACGAAGAATGTTCCCAGGAGCTGCAGCTACCTGTAAATTGAATATAATTTGGTATTCATTGGCAAGATGTATATATCTGTGCCCGCTCAATGATCAGCTAATGTCAAGACTGAGATAACTGGTGTACCCGACTATTCCCTAGAAAGACTATTCCCTAGAAACACAGCCCAAGGAAGGTCTAGTTAATGCACCACTCCATTTCTCCGACAGGACTCAACAAGATCTTAATTATTCACTGCAGTGGGACGGCTTTGAAATCCCTGGTTGTTGGCTCTCTGGCCAGGCGATTGTCTAGAAGGGTTTGCCATCTTACTTTTGAGCCTTTGCGCTAGAGCTCTGATAATGCTGGAATTAATGGCTGCCCACAAGACCCAGACAGGAGTGCTGCATCAATCTGACAAATTAGGTGTCTTACATGAAAGAGAAACAACCCGGTGCCTTCGTTCGCAACATCCGCTTCGATTCCACTACTACTAATTCCGTCTCTCTGCGGCTTGGACAACACCTTTCCAAAACGAATCATCTGATCCTTTCAACGCATTCACCTCCATGCGGTAGTGAACAGTGACCACAACCCCCTGTGCATCACTCGTAATGAGCCTGAGCTTCCAGTCCCAGTCCTGGCGATCTCTGGAGACATAACTTAAGTCGAGGTCGCGAACGCGTGGCGCCTTATAAAATGAGTATTGTATCTTTGGATTTCCCTCTCGGAAGTGAAAGATCTTTTTCGCGCTCGGGACTCGCACAGGACCATCAAGACTGTTGATCAGGAGGTCTTGAACATTGAGCGTAACGCCGGAACTGAATATGATCTCCGTGTTTGCAGTGATAGTATGCTCTTGGAGATACTCCTTGAACAGTTTCCACAAGCGCACGTATGATGAGCCTTTCTTAGCGGCACAAACGTGAAGGATCAGGTAGGTACCACGTGAATGGTTGTCAAGACCAGAGCCAACCAAAACCGGCTTAGCCTGGTATTCCTGGACCATCTTTTCAAGCCATTTTTCGCATTTGAAAAGAGAAGACCAGAGTGAAATACTGGGCTTGTCTGACTCCCATGGCTGACGGTTTGAAACGTATAAGATACTTGGCCAAGACAATATGGAAGTGAAAGACATCACACGATCAAGAAGCTCCCTGGGTAAAGTCTTGAGATGGAAAGTTGTATCTCTTCTTTTTTGTCTTTTTGGCCTTGGTTCAGTCCCAGAAAACAGAATGCGCTGCCTTTTCATGAGGAATATTTCCGATGGAAGTATTGGTGGTGGGTTTCTTACTGAACAGAGGAAGAGAGATTGAATCCATCAGTATCAGCCCCGGTCCCTCTGATTCTTTTTATATTCACTTCTCGTAATTACGCCTGGCTGTGAATCCTTCTATCCTAGATAGCAAAAGTGAGCGTATGAACGTTTAAGCTGTTTATTGCAGAAAGTTGGTGATCCATGCGTCTATACTTAAGAGCCGGAAATTGTGTAAAAGTGACCCAGGATGTAACTTTAGATATTCAGGGGAGGGACAACGAATGGACTGTAAGTTGAATACGGTCAGCACGAGAAGGGACCCCAGAATGAGCACTAAAAGCCTTCTGTGTACTCGCCGGCCCCCCTCTCGCCACCAAATTGTTGCGGAACATGAACCATCCAAGAAATTAACCACCGACGCGAGCACACAGACACCAAACCAACCAACGCCAATGGCGCAAGAACATTCCCTCCCGCCAGACCAATACCCACAATCGAAGGTCTTCACCTCCATTCTCACAATAAACCGTCCCCGTTCCAGCTACAGTCAATAGCAAAAACAGCTTCCACCTTTCTGATCGTTTTTCTTTCCCCTGCCCCACTGCCAAGGCCTTAGCATAGATCTTCTATGCAAGGCCCACGGTAAATTTGAGGGCCGTTGAATAACACATGATGTATGAAACTGTTTCTTGGCTCATAAGATTGGATCCACTTCTAAATATTGGGCCGTGAAACGTTGATACCCATGGTATTAGATCGTACGTACTTTACGGAGGCCCTCTTTTCTTGCGATTCAGTAAATAAAGGATTCGCGCTAAGGCCTTCGCAGTGGGACCCAAGGAAAGAAAAGCGATTAGAAGCGTGGAAGCTGTTTTCGCGATCGACTGTAAAGAATAAAGCAAGCCAACGGTCAATACTTGCTATCGGTATTATTCACGATTAAGCTATAGCGGTGCTATGGAGGCACCCTAACAACAGGAGCGGCAATGGGCCACGATAGGCCGTGACAAGTCTCTAAGATCCTGTCAGGAAGTGGATCATCCTATCCGTGCAAACTCATATGTAAAGTTGTCGTACAGTATATATATTGTATATCGCTCCGGCGAGTCGGATCCTAGATAAGGTGATGTATAAATATTGCGGCTGCCTGTTAGGCTGATCTTCATTTCTAACTGCTTACTGCTATTGTTATAAAACCTACCTTGTAGATCGTTGTTGATGAAACTACTGCCGGAAGCCAGACTTTGGTAAACACTACGATAGGCTTGGTTGGCTTTTGTTAGACGGTGAGGTGGAAACGCTCCTGTCAAGGGTGTATGAACTAAACTCTATGACAGCATCGGAGATAAAGCTAACTACTTTTCTAGATAAGCAAAAATGCTAATGTACAGTAATATTCAAAATTGGCTTCTATCATTTACACAGACACGTTTAATCTAGTAGGTAGGTCAATCTAAACTGATGCATTTGTAGCTGTAGAAATTGCGGTTGAGCCCTATATCTTATCTTAAAACAGGATGACTAGATCTAGAATTGGACTAGCGGCAAGGCCCAAGATAGTTTCTTTGTGAAAAACATGGAAGCCGATTTCGAGTATTGCTGTACATCGACTAACGGAGGAGGGAATTTGGGCAGGATCATTGTGAGCGGGAGACCAGTAGGAGAGTTTTCTGGAATCATTGATCTTCTGTCTATATTCAGGCCTATCACAAGTTTAGATAAGTTACTGTACAATGGAAGCTTTGAATATGCGGGAAAGGGTCGCTCTGATAATATAAGTTACTACCATTCACGGAATCACTCTTGAAAGCTGACAAAAATAGTCTTAAGTAGAGCCTGGAACCAATGATTCAATATATAAGTGATTATATCTCTAGTGCTCTCCCTTTGATAAAATTCCACCGCGGACTTATTGATATTTGGTGAGTATTGATGTTTGGTGAGTGTTGATAGTATGTGCCGATAGCCTGTGGAGTCATAATCTTGGATCAACGTTAGAGCGCGCAGCCGACCGGGAAAGATCGTTCATGCATACTCGTATCACCGCTACTATTAATCCTATTCTTAATTTACCTTCCGCGAGTTAGAAATGCGATAAATAAACTTACGAGACATGGTACCTTCTAGGAATAATACTGGCTTGCGTTAATTCTACTAGCTTAAAAGCTTATGAATAGTCAAAAATCTCTCCGTCCTTAGCAGTGATATTATATCAAACTAACACCTCTTATCCAAATATACAACAAAGCAAAAGCCTATTCTACCGATTACCCCAAGAGGTATTCGATATAATAGCAAAAAGGAGCCCTCCAAACGCCACCAAAGAAGCTACCAATCAGGGTACTAAGCGGGAGTGCGCCGACAATATCCTATGGAGGGCCATTTTTGCTATAGACGAATGGCTCAATCTCGCCGAGGGACTCTTGCAAGAGTCACCATATGTTAAAGCACCGGGTCCTATCCTTATCGGCAAGAATTTATCAAGCATCGGTAATCTAGACGTTAAAGACCTAAAACATTATCACATCCTATTAGCACCAAACGATTAGACAGATAATCTGAGCTATAACCTGGATATCTTTTTCAATTCACTAAGAGGGGACTATCGTTATCTTGAAAAGGGATATAAGATTATTCTTCCCCGGACTATTCTGGTGTTAGGTCCAGGGCATGATCTGCGTGTTCCAGGAATTACTCTTTACATCAAAAATCTTATGGTCTCCACAGAAACCATTGAGCTTCCCAAGAAAGAGCTAAAACGGCTCTTCGACAAAAGAGCCATCAGGACTTAATATACTTCAAGTTCGCTGAAAAAGATCTAGACGATTGAGTCGTCGGATATCTGCGGAGTGAAGCAGAGACTTTCCATGCCAGGTGACCTTAGTCTAATCTGTGGCTTGATTTTCAAGACCAGTATAGATCCCTGGTAACTGCTTCTGCGTACCCTAGAGGCAGATAAGTGGGAACTACATCCAATACATCAAAAAGAAGGCCCATTATCATATATAACCAGGTAGACTATAATCTGTAAGAGAAGGCTTTAATAGGCAAAGACTAGAGGTGATAGGAGGAATTCAAATTAGAACTTGGTAATGCCAAATGATAATATACAAAGGATAGAATGGATAGCTGCTTGAGCTTTGGCCGGAGAACAAGAAATATGAAACTCTGTAGGAGAAGGTTACCACCTTTTCTTTCTTGGACTAATGATTTAACACGTGCTTTGATCTTGTGATACTATCTTTGTATGTAAAGCGGACTAAAGCATTCGCATAGGCTATATAACTAGCCACCGCAAACTAGCAGGATCACTCAACTCGATCCAGCACCTTCAATATCACAACCCTCTTATAATTGGTTCCGATTGTACGAGTTTATACGTATCCATATTCGTTCTATAGGAAATAATAGGAGACAAACCAGAATATTTGGATTCTCAATTTCTCTAATTTGATGTCGAGTTGGATTTATATGGACCTAAATATAAACATAGTTCACACATATGTAGTTTATAGCTACTATATCGCTTTAGATATAAGATAAGACAAGTTTATCTAATTTATTTTATGTAGCTAGTCCACCATCGTGAAGCTTTTCTCTCGTAAGCATGCCAAGAAACTAATAATACGAAAAGAAAAATCTTGGTATATTATACCTCCAAACTCTGATCGACGGTTCTCATTAGTGGCGGACAAATGTTTTCTGAGTTTAACATTGATCTAGCTTGCTGACGCTTGGCCCCTTCCATAGTCGCTCTCGTCGATTCGAATCAATCGTCAAATGCGCTAAGGAATGTAGCTTTAAATAGGCATACAAGACCGCCGCTAGGGTCCCGATTATTGAATGGTAGCGCATAGGTGTATGTAACCTTGGTAGATTTGGCCAGGGGAAATATAGGTACTTTATAGGGCTTACCTGAAATGTATAGCATACCTCTTTTTATTTGTTCTCTGAGCCCTCTTCTTAGGAGTTTCACCTATTATGACCTGTTTCTAAGCTTTACGTAGCCGTCACTAGCTAATATATCTATTTTTTAAAAGAGAAGGGAGTAAACAAACCACCTATGATCTATTGGGATACTCCAAATATAGTTAAAGCCAATAAGATTAATTTACAGTATACATATTGTACTAGGGAAGGATGGCCTTCCTACTATACGTGACCTCAGTGCCTCCGGGATATATTTATGTACGTTAGATGCCTATAGCGATGTAAGGTATTAGTAAAGAATACATACTCTGACACCTCTCTGATCAGACCCTAGAGGTCAGACCCTACACTTAGTATATGGATTGGTAGTGGTTGTTGTTTAGCATACGTATGTCTATATTATCTCGACCCGTGTATTCTGATTATACATCACTATGTTCCTCTCTTCAATACATAGCATATAGTAATATTCGAAATCAGCTTCCATCTTTTTCATACAGAAACTATCTCGGGCCTTGCCACTAGTCCAATTCTAGATCTAGTCATGCTGCTTTGAGATGTGATGTGGGGCTTAACTACAATTTCAACAGCTTCAATTGGATCAGTTTATATTGACCCACCTACTAGATTAAACATGTCTATGCAAATGATAGAAGCCAATTTCGAATATTGCTGTACAGAAAACCAGGACAGGGTCAGCCGGAGGGATGGTATCTCGAGCTCGGGTTCACCCTATTTACACAGGACAGAATGTAGGTTTTAATTACGGCCCCCAGCCTGGGTCTCTTCCTCGTTGATATAGGCTATAGATTTTTAGGTGTTGAGAGAGAGCTCGGTCCATTCCGTCGGTAGGTCTGCCATGACTTTGGGATAGTTCCCGCCCAGTGCTCGAAGCGATCTTTGGCTAATACGCGACGCCTTTGGTATCTCAGAAGCTTATTCAATTACAACGCTCCCGAACATAGCGCAACGACTTACACTTTCAAGCCATAGGGCCAAGGCCAGCTAGCCTGCTTTAGGAATTCTGCGGGTCTTTTTAACTAATATATCACCAGTTTAAGAATATTAATACAGTATTCCAGACCCATTCTATATTCTAGCTAGCTTATCCCAGTGTTCTAGCTAGAAAAACAGACTAAGTCAATAGGGGATTCAACCATATTGCTATGGGCGAGAATGGGAATCCTAAGCTCAAATTCCCTTATTGGTCTTAAGTACCAAGTCTCTCCTTAGATTATAGAAGCCCATTCTGAGTTTGGATTTGCATTGAATATATTATAGTAGAGTAGGCACAAGCGCATTTGATGCTGGCTACTATGTGTCAGGAATATCTCTTGTTCAAATTGTAGATTACTCAAAAACTCAAACATATATTCTATATCTTAGCATCTGATTGTGCACATTCATACGAATATTCCTTGACATCCCTCCATCTAGGAGTATCAGACTATACTACCTTGTTACAATTATTAGACCCACTACCATGAAAACGATAGACTGCATTGAGAATCTCTTGGCCGTTTCAATCCGGCAAATCAGTTTGAATATATCTAAATTTATATCTGAATTCAGCCACGACGCTGCCCGGCTAATCGTTCAGACCGGCGAGGCTCTCCGCGGGTGTGGTGCGGTGGGATTACCAGTCTAGCCGACCGACGGGTACCTTGTCTCACGGCTTGATCCATCAATCTACGAGATGATTGTCTCGTCACCACCGGTTCGGATTGTTGTCCGTCAATCAGACTCGAAATATCGGGATATACGGGGCCGAGTGTGTTTTCATCAACTGAAGCTGTGAATGATCCTTCGGATGCACCAGATGCCAGAGGCACCCTTGGTGAACAGACCAGCGCATCCAATGTCCCTCTTCTTCGGCTGGTAAACGTTAGGACACCAACCAGTCTTCCATTTTGGAACTTTCACTTACCACACACAGCAAGATTGATCGAGCCCCAAGTTCCTGTTTTCCAGCCACTCCTTCACGCAGCCTAAGTGGGCTAAGCTTGTACATTCGTTACACCGTAATACCACACACTCATCCGCCTGATCGCCATCTTCAGCCAAGCAAAACATGCAGTAAATTTCAGAAACCTCATCACTCAGACTAACACTTGCGATTTGCAGTTGCCGGACGCTGGCACGGATATCGCCAGCCCGGATATCGCCAGCACATGGGGGAATAGCTGGTTGAGTAGGTGGTACGTCCCGTGGAACATAATCTGCTCGGACCATGGTGGTTGAGACATACGGTTCGGTAGTCTGTGATTCCTCGGTGACTATCGATGTCTCGATGGATGAGACTTCCACAGCTTCGTTTTCGGCTGAGTGTAGAGGCCCGTCTCCGTCCAGGAGGGATGTATCGGGAGCAGGTTCTGATCCAATACTATGCAAAGACGATACCGGTAATAAAGGCTGAGGATCAGCAGGGGATAGAGCCCATATAGCATAATTACGCATAGCCGTATCATACCACTGCTTCCCTAGAGACTCTGCTTGTCGCGCTTGGTGCCATCGTATACACAGGAAGCTCTTGGCAATACTGCAAAGCAAAGGTTGTAGATCCGAAGAATCAAACAGATAAAAAGAGAGACGCTTCAGATCATCCCGGCCTGTCTTCAGCTCTTTCATCCGTATGGTGTTTTTGCAAGGCGTCCCGTGGATTGTTATCCCACAGCAGAACGAACCATCACCGCGAGGGCCGGCTCCCATTTCACAAAGGGTCAGGGGGGTCCCAGCAGGGCAGGGTGGTCATGTTGAAAGAGTAGTTGAGTTAAGCCACCAGAAAATGTCTGGACTGTGTATTTGAGGTGTGTCAAATCAATGTTGCGACTACGGTGACTACTGAATTTATATTACGATTTTGTGAGGCTTTCACCAAGAAGCAAGGGTCTCGCGATAGCCAGCTCCCAGGAATTCGGATGCTCCTCCTTGTTTTGAACAGTAGGTCCTTGAGTATCATGACCGAGGTCCTGCTGGGTGATAGACAATACTGTTATACCAAATGACTATTATCTGCACCAGTGGCTTGGTAGATGAAAGGCATGTATTAGGCCTGAATGCTAGCAGCCTTCATTCCGTGGATGATTCGAAGTGTACTCTGTAGACGTATCCCACAAGAAGGAAGTGCACCGGGGCTTCTGCCAAAGTCGATATTCACATTCAGTGATTGATTCAGAAATGATGCTACGCTGGAATGCAGAAATCAAATTTGATGTTGCTCCATTAGACAATATCTCGTGATGCACAGCTTCCGCTAGGAGTGATCCTAGGAGCCGTGGTGTCCTGTGATATCAATTTTTATTCGCCAGTATTTGTTCCGCGTCATACTTGCTTGATTGGGCAATGGTTCCAGTGGTAATTGGGCTGTATCTTGATTGAACGGACCAACATCATCTAATAAGGGAGAGCCTGAGTCACTTTATACATTCCATCGGGAATTGATCAACAGTAGTTGTTTCAGCGATGCTGGAACATCCATAATACACGTCGCATGGACAATATGTTGAGACTCTTAGTGAAGCGACAGGCATTACCGCAGAAATTGACCAATAGAGGAATTTGTTGGTTTCCATCTATCTGAGTGTGCCAAGATGATCCGCTGTTTGTGGTTATATTTTGCGGTTGACGAGTGGATATAAAGCTCTAAGGGACTGATATCCTGTGCCACACGTCTGTCCTGGATGTGAGTCCATGACCGCCCACAACAGTTGAGGAAAGCGTGAAAAAGATTCTTCCACGTCATTCAATCTTTACACTTCGTCTGGCTTAAAGCTTAGGCTACCTGGGACCATTTGATTAGTTGATAGTAGCGAAATTCACCAGGGAGGTCCAATCATATCCTCATTAGGTAAACACAAGTATCAAGAGCAGAGAACCCCTCACCAGTGACCAGGGAAGGTCCATTTCTAATAATGTATGTGTATGCACGACTTGCCCAGAGAGAGCGCTTTAGCCCTCATTGTGAGAACGCGATCGAGTACCCTGGGAAATCAAGATTCCGGCAAAGACACAGGTTTGTGCAATATTCGCAGGCCGTATAGGAGGAAGATTAGTGAGGTTGTGGCCAACAAGACCGGCCTGCACAAAATAATGTTCGTTTATAAGGCTCACCAGAGGGGGGACGTGGGGATCAAGGTAACCCAGAGTAAATTCAGGCCGAAAAACATTCTTGGCGGCTGGCACGGAAAGGTTTACGGGGGCTTCACTTTGGCATCTGCCGCCTTTGCTGAGAATTGACAAGCTGGCCACTCAGTCCTGTGGACTTTACAGGCGGATACGGATACTGTACGTATCTAGAAGGGACTTTCCTTTTGACTTCGCTCTACTTGGATAATACGGGTAAGCTCCCTGTCATGTAAGATCTCTGGTCTGAACTTCAAATATTTTCAACATAATGGTATTGATACAGTGTAGTGCCTTTCTAGATAGCAAATCATTATAAGGTGCCAAGTCGCTGTATAAACTAACCTCCACCAAGATAGTTCTAACCTTGGATAAGGGCTTGATGCGGAAGCATCAGCTTCCAACGCTACTTAATACTCAATCTACCCCTATTTAACTAGCAGGCTCTATATATATCAAGCCGGTGAAAGAGTCTGACAATGTAACATTTCTTTTTATACAGCTCAAACATATGGTGTGATACCCTCTCTATCTGCCATGCCAACCTCAGTCCGTGGGTCTTGGTATAGCATCATTATAAGCGGAATGTTGCTTGTGTTCACTGTATGCCAGAGCGCTGAACATCCCATCCGGTCTCGCTGGTCTAGCAAAACGTTAGGCATGGACACGATATCATGCAGAATCTGACTCCTGGCCCTGTTTCCGTCGAAAGTCTTGGCTGCAAGTAGCAGAGGGCTATCCCCCGCGGCGGTGAGATAGTTGATGTCAACCCTCGGATGTTCCAGTAAGATTCGGACGGCTATCGGATCATCGTAAATGACCGCTAGATGTAGTGGTGCTTGGCCTTGGCTGTCTCTGGTGTTTAGATCAATCTGGTAATAATCCAAGAGCAGACGAAGAGTGTTATATCTTTGATATTCAAGCGCTATAGCCACTGGGCTCTTTGTTGAGCAAGATGTATCATAAAGATTGATCTGAGGATGGTGAAGAAGCTTTTCCACAAACATAATATTGTCAGAAGCAATCGCGATCGACAGGCCAATGTGAAGAGTCTCGTTCTGAGCAGTTAGGTCGTAGGTCCCATCTCGCAGTAATATATCAACTGATAATGGGATTTGTTGCTGGGTCCCACGCACGAGCGGGGTCGAAAGACTTGCTTTCATCTGGTTTACACCAGCTTCATGCCAGCTTGACTGAAGTGATGGTCCGCACCAAGCACACATTGTGGTGTTTAGCATAGAGCGATAATTGGCGTGAGAGATATGGACAGTATATAGTATCGGTACTCGAATGTAGATCATGTACATATATCAGAATAGGCACATACGATAAGTCTGGAATATCTGTCTAGGCTTCTGAAGAAAGGCTGGATCAGATGGATTTGTGGGCTATTAGCAAGTTTAAATACTACCAGTAAGGAAGCCAGAAAATCGATGACCTTGCTATTCGGATAGAAGAGACTGCTCCCGGGAGCGAGATTAGATTTTGGATCCTGGGAGCAGTACTCTTGCAAGCTATCTGTAAGGATCGGGTTCATCAACATGGATTCTGCAGCATGATTATTTTTTTTCTTCATCATCGGGGTAGGTGTTATAGTGACAAGGGTTCTTGCAATTCGAGAGACCGTCGATACGTAGAGAAACTGTAAAGCTTGTGTGTGAACACAGTACACCACACCGTTTCTGGAATCAGAATGAGGCCTGGTCGGAATATACATCGTTAAAATGAGTAAAGAAAGGAATCCTCACCATACTCCAAAGGGCTCAAGACATGCGATATAATTGCGTTTTCTTTCAAAAGAAAGATTGGCTGGGTCTGATATTTGGAATGCTGCTGACACGCTCTGTTCCTGGGAGCTGAGTCTTGGTGTAGGACTTTAGAATGGAGACCGACAGGCGATTTACACCAAGGCTTTTGATATGAGATTCCCAATTCGAGGTTCGTCCATGATTATGGCCCGGACAGCCCATTAATTAGCGCCGGATCACAGATCCTAGGAGCTACTATGCATCTTCTACAGAATACTCGGGACCCAAGAACCTCACTATACCCAGTGTTTTCAGAGCTTTCAACTCGTGTGCATATTCAAAACAGCTCTTCAACAACGCCAATCGATTGTGCATCGATTCCATCACGATGGTTGAGTAAATATTTCCAAGCAAGTCTCTCCGGCCCTAATAAGTTAACCGGGGCCTGCAGTGGATCCCAGGAGTCGATTACTTACCAATATTCTATTCGCGTGACTCAATATAGCCAAGGATCCACTTTTCAGTTGTATATCTGACCTTACATCCCACCTCCGACTCGCTCTTCTTTTCCTTCTCTAGTTAAACAGAGCGTTATTTCTACAGTTCCTGACCCTAAAAATTCATTTCAATCATCACTCCAATGGATTTCGATTTCTCACCATTCATCTAGATTGGGGTCAATGGAACAATTCCACATGCAGCAACAAGAGAAGATACAGAATTCACCACGACAATTTTCTCCCTCGATCATGCTGCAGCGCTACGTCGTGCTAAGAAGCAAAAGGCATTGTTGAGGACCTGCTTCAAGACGAAATATATTCCCAGCTTCATGATACCCTAAGAGAACTCATTTTGCTCTTCGAGCTCGCTAAACTGAACAAGTGGGACCATCTAGGCAAGAACATCATAAAGGATATCATAGCCCTGATTGGTAACTGCTCTATGGTCTGTCTTAAATTGCGACGTCTATCCGCTGAAGACCAAACAATTCTGGATGAAAAAACATGCTCTGATCAACCGAGTCAAGATGCTTTCTTTGTATCCGTGGAACAGCCAAATGAACAGCTTGATATTTTCCACCAGGCCTTGAAGTTTGTTCAAAAAGCAGCGACGATATACAATTTCCCCGCTTCCTCCACAGAACCAGTTAATATTAATATCAATCTAGTGACCCCTCTGATGAATGCGAAATATCTGCGCTGCATACATCAACCCAGAGGGCGATTCGATCGTTGGCCGACAAAACCGCCAAACAGCTGGAAAGGAATGGACAGATTAACTTGGCTGTGTTTCACTTTATCCAAGTCTTGAACTCACTTGCTGTGGAACATGACCAGCATCCGTTCCACCGAGCTAGAATTGTGAACACACGTTTCACAGGGCCTAACTATGGTATGCAAGCCGTAGTAGTTGATGGACCGACTTCATTTACCTTCCGTCGCCAGAATACTTAGCAAGCCCTTTCTCTACAATATGAAGCGTTGTGGTCAATCGGAAGGTCGGCAATACTCGGGTTGTGCTTGCGAGGCGAACGGGCTTGGTAGCAAAGGATGCTTGGGTGAACTGGCCATTGTAACTAGTTATCTGAATTATCTTTAGTCACAGGCAAAGTAATAATCAGATTCAGCTATATGTATACTCAAGCACTACAATCGTTTCCAAACTTGAATCCTGGTGATTTAAAGTAACCAACATCCTTACAATATTAGAAAAAGATTTTTCATAGCTAAGAGTCCTTAAATAGAATACATTATAATTGTTTAAATACTCCATACTCCATCACAGAGTACATCAGCCAAGCGTAAGTAACCCATTATATCCCCATCCACACGCTTCCTTGCAATCAATAATCGATTAGGCCATCTAGGCATATACAGGAGTTACAGGTATATAGGCAGCATCAAAGACGAAAATAAGATCACATAGTACAGCCCAACTAAGAATAAGAAAGGATTGACACAGTCTTATGGCAATTGAAATACCTAAAATTCAGGGATAGTGTGTATAGTATTGAGTGAAAGATGGTGGCGTGGTCGCGAAGCTAAGTAATATTCCATGGAGGAAACAGGAATGCACAACCGCCAAGGGAATGGCAAGTGGCCACTTAGTCTCTAAAATTATGAGACAAGCTATCTATAACAGCGCGGACTGAGGTGGACGACATATGTAAAATTTCCTTGGAAAGATTTCTGCTAAAAGAAAATGTAATCCTGCAGGTGAATAGATACAGTATACTTGTGGGATGTGATATATTTGATAATTTCTGGCCCCCCCCCCTCTTCTCGTATGTAATCGCAGTCTATGATTGATCACATAATAGGTTAGCTATGATTCATTCAGGCGAGAGTAGAAACATAGTAAGGGACGGACCTAATTGACCTATAGATAATTATTAGCAGATATATACTAGATTATTGCTGGGAATGTTCAATTAAATTGTATGTAGATATGTAGCGTTCAGGAAAAAAAACACCAAAACGCACTGAAAAATATGCTCGACTAAAGCGTCAAATTCCACTAAGATCATCAGAATCGAAAAGTATCTAGAGATCGCAGAAGCATCAGGGGTCCACTTGTTTGTCCATGTCAGTTTCTTATGCTTCAACAACATGACCATATTTTGCGAACACTGGCATAGTTTATAATCAGATTCACCGAAGTCTCAAGTCAATCGATTGAACAACACTTTAGACCCAGTGGATCGTGTGAGCTTAGCTGAGCATAGACTATTAAGACAGGCGCACTGCGTCGGAATTGAGGAATAACTATTGCACATCCATATTGTTTAGCTAACTGTTACTAGAGTAGAAGACTGAAGTACTATAATCAACACTTTCAGTTGGCAACGAGTCAATACTCTCGGGTACAAATATTGGCACTTCTTAAATATTTATTTAGATCTACAAGGCTGATACCAAGATGGTACAGTAAGAATTGAGTCATGAATAACTCACGGCTTTAAATTCGTACTTTCCAACTTCAACGTCACAATCGCAAATTGTCCCTTAATCAGGAGGATTCTCCGATCAATTTTCTTTCAGGCCACCAAACTTGTCCCCTTCCAAATGTCGATAGCCAGGCTCTACAACTAAATGGCTCGAGTCAACAAGGCCCTGCCAGACGGTACAACTTGTATTCTTGTACACGATATTTCATGCACTTTTCTCAAATGAATAATTTGCCCAAACCAACCCACTAACCAATTTTTGATGCGAGCTAAAATGAATGAGAAAGTAATCAGCATCCGTGATGTGATACCTGCCCCTTTTAGCCTCCTCATCTAGTGATAGAGACCACTCGAACGTATGTTCGTATAAATGGCGTAAATGATACAATTGGCTTTCATAGCTCTGGAATAAAAGCTCCAGCGCGTCGTTCTTAGCTCCTACACGAATTTCCAAGACAAAATTTTTAAGGCTATTCCAGTACCGCCCCGCAAAACTCTCAAGAGGAAGGTCTCGTGTGCCTGAGCGCCGCTGTGTTGCAATGAGTGCCGCTTGTTGCTCATACTGGCTAATGAGCTTGGCACTTGTCTTTTTCGTGAACGCAACAAAGTCAATGGGCTCCACAAAGTCAAACAGCACCTGCGCGATACTCTGCGATATTGTGTCCGGAAGATCAGTGAGTGAAATTGAGTTGGCGAGGACAACAATAGCAGACTGCGTCTCTGGGAATAACGCAATGTTGCTATAATACCCTGCTGTTGAACCCTGGTGGTATAGACAAAGCATCGATGGCGATCCTCGTCCAAGTTCAGGAAGCTGTTCTGCTTCGCCGATTATGTCGAAATTCTCGCCCATTATGCCGAGCGCTCCTGGGAGTTGTGTGCGTATCCACCCCATTGCGTACGCACGTTCCCGAAAAGAGGGCCCCAACACGGGGATATGGCTGGAGAATAGGTTTTGGAGCTTATCTGAAGTATGGACATTTTTATAAGCTTCAAGCAGAGCCGTTGAATAATTGAGCATATCATCCACTGTAGAGTAAGCTCCCGCGGCAGCCTCAAAGAGAGAATTTTCGAAGATCATCGCACTCGGTAGATGCACTGGTGTCGCATTTGAGTCGGTTGCATACGGTTCGGCTACATTATTGCTGTGAAGAGAGGAAAACTGTGTTGTGGTATTTCCCATGGCAAATGCATTATACACATGCTTTTGCAGATAGGAACCCAAAGACTCGCCCGAGAGCTTTTCGATAATGAGACCGGCAATCGAATACCCCCAACTATTGTAGACCCATTCACTTCGAAAAGGAACCACTCGGTCATTTTGATTGAATGTGGGTAATAGTTGATCTGCGGGTAAAAGGGCCTTTCCGTCACCCTGGAAGGTAAGGGAGATATCACCAGCCAGACCAGTACGGTGGGCCAACAAATCAACGACAGTTGTCAATTTTGCAACACATGGGTCTTTGTGCGCAAAATCCTGAAGTACATCCTTCACAGGTGTGTCCCATGAAAGAAGACCTTCATGAACCATATTTGCAATTCCAATAGCAGTGAGCGATTTTGTGAGGGATCCTAGACCATACAGTGTCTGCGAGTCGGGCACAATTTCAGCCGCAACGTCACGATATCCCAGGTTGTCCTTATGAATGATTTGGCCATGATGAACCACGCCGATCGATGTCCCTGCTGTTCCTGAGATTTGTCGGATGTGGTCTAAAGTCGGTTTCAAATTTTGAAGACGAGATATCACAGAAGAGGACTCATTGCCGTGAGGAATGATGACGCTTTGGGCGACCAAAAGCGAGGACAGAATTTTCCACATGCTTGGAGTTTTGATTACGAGCGTTTCGATTTTCAAGTCACCTTCGTTCAGCAGACCTTTATGAAGGTCAGCTGACCAGAGAAAAAATACGAGTTAGCGGGCACTTATAGGGGTTAAGTCTTGTCAAAGGGGAGAAGGTTGGTGTATTCGCTCATTTGTCATATGGTAATTTATCGGGCCTTGAATTATGCTGTAGCTTAAGTAATCAATAGGAGAAACTCACAGGCGTGGCAAATAAGAAAATCTACGTATAGTCGGTTCTAGATACTGTACAAGACGTACTGCGACAGGAAGCAGGTGAGCTGCACTTTTAAGAAAATCTTCGCCTAATCGGGATGTTACGGACCCACTTCGAAAGGTTTTCTTTGTTATGGTACTGTATTACATATTCTCCACACCTTCTCTATTATCTTTTCTTGCACTATCTCCTTAGTCCTTTGTTGCTTTAATTCCATTTAAGATCTTTTTATTATTATTGTTAAGCGCGTTATAAGTGCTAAAGAATAAAGAATATTATAGTCTTTCTCATAGATAACATCCCTAAGACTCTTTTTAAATATTAAAAATATTTTTATATTTCCAAGTTCTATTTAGAATTATACATGTAAAGAATAAAGCGAGCCAACGGTCAATACAGTGGATTTCGAAAACAGATTACCCCCCCAGAAACACACACTTTCTTTCCCAGCGCTCCACTAGGACTGCGTTAAGCCAATTCTGGCTAGGTGGATCCCTTTTCCTAAGGCATGACCCCATATCATTGGCTATGGGAGAATCTAGAACCAGGGCGATCTGGACTAGGCGCCAAACTGGGTCTCCGGGAGAGTAAAATATATATCTGGGGGGTAATCTGTTTTCGAAATCCACTGTACTTGCTGTCCGTCTCATTTAAAATTAAGCTATAGCGGTGCTAGGGAGGCAATTTAACAACAGGAGCGGCAATGGGCCATGATAGGCCGTGACAAGTCTCTAAGATCGTTGTTGATGAAACTACTGCTGGAAGCCAGGCTTTGGTAAACACTATCGGCTTGGTTGGCTTTTGTTGGACGGTGAGGTGGAAACGGTCCTTGCAAGGGTGCATGACCTAAACTCTATGACAGCATCGGAGATAAAGCCAACCGCTTTTCCAGATAAGCAAAAATGCTAATGTATGTAACCTTTCATCTTGACAACATGGATGTCCTTTGGAGCAAAGATCTGTAAAACTTCAACAAACATTGTTGAAGCATGCCAATATGTTGAAACAGGGTAATGTCACTTTAAGATATTTATGGCTGTCTTGATATACCTGACGTGAAAGTCTACACATGGCGTTCTTCCACCGCTGAATCAACGTCCTTTATACAACAAGAAAGGCCACGCCATTGCACCCAGCGGTCAAACGATGGTCGCGTGTGAAATACCAAGCGACAACGCTTAGGACAAATAACCCTGTGCTTGTTCATCAAAGACACCAAAAAACTATTCCAAACTAGAATTCTTGCTGTCATATGCAATATTAATACAGCATTCTATTGATTATTTCTCCATTCAAGCCACTGCTATCAACTCCTTTCGAAATTTATCTAACTGGGGGTCGATATCACTTGTCACTTATTGACATCGCTCGTTTGACATCATTTAAATGAAATATGCAGCGGATTCTGAATTCAGTGCAAGCTGGAGATGGACCCACAATGGCAGTTACACCATCGCCTAACGAGACATGCGAGCAGGAGGATATCGGACCGCAACGAAATACTCTCTTGACCGACAATGCTAGTCCAGCATCGGTGGAAGGTACCGAATTCAGTTTTCCTGCCGTAGAGACATTTCCACTCAGCGGATATCCAACATCGGACGAAAGACGCAATCTAGATGGTCCCTGTTCTTGGAACATGAGCAGTTCGCTTCCCAGGGACTGCGAACAAGGTAGACTAGGCGTCTTACCCTGCCCAGACTGGAGTGCACAACACTGCCATCCACCACTAGGGCCGGTCGTGCCCCATCTGCCTCCAGAGTGTTTCGGCCATATGCCTCACGTATTTGGAGCCTACTCCAGCTCGGGCCTTCACTGTTGCAGCATCCTTCAAGGATGCAATGCTCAAGCCCAATGCGGATGCAGTGTGTGGGTTTATGAATCCCCGTCGGTTACTCAAAGCTCGCTTGATAACGACTGCACCATGTCTGGTGCTTCGAGGAATACGCACGAGCTGACTCATGATGGGATTCCCCACAAACCGTTTGCTTGCACTTTTACAGGCTGTCGTAGCCGCTTCAAACGCCGGAAAGCCCTCGAGCGACACTCTATGGTTCATCTCGGAGTAAAGCCCTATGCCTGCTGGGTACCTTATTGCTATCGAAAGTTTCAGCGACGTGACAATCTGAACGCCCACTACTTGACACACGGAAAACGTGGGGGGCCGGAATTTTTACGTGGCCACTCTGGATCCAGCGAGTCCTGTGTTCGACACTGGCTATCGTGGTCGAATCACCCCAGAGGGGTGGCCATTGGATATTCGGTGGCCATATCCTGTTCCGAATTGACTACGCACTTTCAACCCAAATATGCAGCGGGAAATTCATTTCGACTGGTTGGAGATTTCCCATTCAGTGACGAATCGGTCACCCAACAAAAATGTGGCCAAGAGGGACGTTAGAGCATTTACTTTGTTTTTCCCAACTTATTACATGTACCAAGGGATATATTGTTTGCACCATCAGCTAGTAAGAGGGCTTGGTCATCTTGTTCATATTTCGTATTCGCTCCGATATTCGATTTTGTCTCTTTAGATCCAATTAAATTATTTGCTGTCGTCGAAACGCTAATCTAATCATCCAAACATATCTTGTTGGTTTTCTGAGCCCATATTTGTTGACTTGCCAGGCCATGAAGGTAATTGTGAGATAATCTGATTTACACTAGCCTTCATGTATCAAGAATGAGATACATGTTGATAGACCACTTCAATCTTGGAGTTGATACTGTAAGACTGTTCATTGCATGCTACCGTCGATCTACGCAACTGAAAGCGCCCTGGTTGTTGGGAAATAATGTCATTGATGTGGCTCCTTGAATTGAGAATATGTGCAAGCATGTTGAATGTAGACCACCGTCTATCTGTTGATGACTCATGTTGCTTCACCACTCGGTGATCGTTATTGATAACGTAGAGTCACCGATGCCATGCTCAGTTGATGGTCGTGCCCAGTTTTGCGAACCTTGGCAGCGGATGTCACCGATTGGTGAAGTCCATGTGGGTCCAACTCGCGCCTAATAATGAGTTCTTCCGTCTGTGCGCCAATCTATGGGTATGGGTACCTATGGCTTTCAGTGGGCGCAACGGAGTAGGAATTTGGACTATACACTCGGAACGTGGACGTCCCTTTCTGCTCTCTACTCGACCACATCTACTTGGCCCCTCCTATGGTTGCATTCCTGAGCATTTCCAAGTGCACCGGATAGCGTAGTGTTGATACAGTACGTCCCGAAACTGGTGCAACCGCCTACACTCTTTCAGGGATTATTTGGCCCCACTGCCAAGAAACAATAGACCATGTTAGGACCTAATTTGGAATAACAATATTCCCGTACCAGTCTCGATACCGTGATTTACTTTTATTAAAATACGGTGTCTCGTCTCGTAACTATATTGGCCATTCAAGGAACTAGAATTTTCCATGGAAATGGAAACAAGCCAAACAAGCCAAACACTAGAGCTTGGGAGTCCCTCGAGAATCCGGTGGCCTGTCACTTCCCTTCCGGTCCTATGTCCAAGTCGGCCTGGGGGGCTTACTTGGCACCCGACCTGCAAATAGTGACTTGATTACTTGCTTACTGTCTTTAATAGAACCGGAGGCATTCCTCCTATAATCAATGACAGTAATTTTCTTATATCGAGAGGCACATCACTCAACTTGTTTACAGTACGTCCCGAAACTGGTATCACTACCTACACTCTTCGATTATTTCTCTGGCCTGGGTTGCCAAAAAAACGCTAGATCATGTGACAACAGCTTCTTCGGAAGATTGATGTTTCTGTATCGTCAGATATGCAGCTCGCTCCTATGTTGTATTACAAGATTTGTGTTTAACGACATTACTGAGGGTCCACGGTATTGAAATAATCAAATCAACTAGCCATGACAATGCACATAGAAATTATAGGTCATTCGACGAGAATCCTTTCCAGCCTCTTTGCTGCAGAGCAGTCTTATGGCATAGCCTTGTTATCTCCGTTTTTCCTGAATCAACCTGGCTGTCCCGAAAAGACACATCCACTACCGCTCCATCATCGCAAGATGTAACTGCCAAGTATTCTAACATACCTGGAAACATTTCCAGTATACTCCGCTCTGTCAAAGTCCTAAAGTAAAAGGCAATGTGTTAAATGCGCGAAATGAAGTATGGGTATTTTGTCATTCACGAGTCAGTCTTACATTCGCTCCAGTATGACCTGCTTGTCGGCATTTCTTTTTTCCTGCTTAGTATCAAAATACTGCCACCTGCGAATCTCATCTTCTGGAGTTTTACGGTCCCATTCCAAGCGAATCATGGTTTCAATAAAGTGCCCGAGGCTTAAAAATGCATCAGGCACGTCCTCGCAATCAAATCTGAATGAGCCTCCGTCTTCATGAAACTTTGTGATGAATACATCACCATACCAAAAGTATTCCTCAAATGGGACAGAGTCGATCCGCAAAAGGTTCATCAGGTACTTGTTTGGCGGAAGATCATCTTTTCGGCACCAGTAGAAAAGATAATCCCCATTAAGTTCGGCTAGGTCTTGGTCCTTGATCGATATCCATCGGTGGGCGCGGTCGAAATTGGATTTCCCCCAGTAAGTGCTGAAGTCAGGAATGCAAAAGGTCACAGGCTCTGTGCCTGGGTAGTCGGTAGGACAGCGGTAAAAATCAATCATTTGATAATGAGCAGGCTCTCCAGTGGCCGGAAACCGAATACATTGCCTAGAGCACGCAAATTCTTTCAAGCAACCAAACTCGCTTTCCGTACCACCTGGCGTTGTCCAGGACTCTGCTTCTCTCATTCTTGTAAGTGCGCTTTGCTTCAGTGCTCCTCCGGCAACTGTCACATTCGCCGAGGATTCTGCTTGTCTCGGTCGTTGAGTGCGAAGGACACCCTTGAGCTGCTGCTGCATTAAGGCCTGGATATCTTGGAGAGCAACAGAGAGGTTGAAATGAACGCCAGGATGAGGAACTGGATCGCTGCAAAGTGCAATATGCCAAAATGGGTAGACCGTGCCATGGGAACCGCGTGTTTGGTAGTATCCTCGAGTATCCGTCCTCTTATCCTTGTAGTGAGTAAGGAGCTGGTAGCATAGCCAACATGACATTTTACTACACCCGATATATGGGAAAGGATCTGTGCTGGTGGAAAAGGAACATTCGAATTTTAGAAGAATCTGAACCTCAGCATGGCAGATAGTCAATAAATCGGTCGGGCGACCCCGCAGCTTGTCAAGATGGCGTTTTTGCGGCCGTGGAACTTGTTCCATTTTCACCAGCTCTTGAACTTGTTGAATCAAATGGCTCTTCTTCAGCCATCTGGCATCGGGTGGAGGGAGACAAGAGATGGTTATAGTTTTGAAGGATTTTTGAAGCTCGATGGCAGTCTCCTTAAATGTCTCATATGCAGATCTCAGGCGCCCTAGAAAGCATACAGAGCGTTGAATCCTTCCAACATGAGACGTCAGTTCATCAGGTGCAGCCACAGGACGTAGCTGGTAGGCAATAGATATCATGCGCTTCAAAACCTCCGAGGGTATGCTATCAACCTTGTATTGTGCAGACAATCCATGCAGCTCTTTTGCTAAAACAATTCCATCCGGTTTCGTATTGAAGGCAGCAGCGAGGTCATCTTTAGATGAACCTTTGATATGAGATACGTAGATATGCAGACGTTGCTTGTAGTAGCTGATGAGTTTCGTCCACATCTCATCTTTGTCGATGGCTGGTCGCTTCATGGTGGATGCGATGATCCTCATCCATTTCGTCAGACTGTTTGCCAATTCTTCGTCTATCTTCGTTCTCTTGCTGTCTTCCTCTGAGTCGCTTCCAATACCATTTTTCGCAACATAAACAATCGGGTCGCCGTGATCGAAGACTAGACCTGATGCCGTTACATGGATGGCTCCGTTGATTGTCGCTTTAGACCGCCGTCGTTCATGGCGTGGGATGGATTTCTCCTGGGAAAATGTTTCGGCAATATGATCAAGGAATTTCGCTAGCACCTGGTCTTTTGATGTAGAGCCTGAGAGCTGGTGCATTATTGTTGAATCATTTTCAGTTTCGAAATCCCATTCATCATGATCTGGAACCTTGTTAATAGTAGTATATTCCGCGATTTCCTGTGGTCCTTGAGATACAGAAAGAAGAGAGGCCAGAGAGAGGAAGGTTGTGTTATCAAACCCGAATATGGCTGACATCTTGCAGGATATGTTAAATATGATGGTAGTAGAAAACCGTTCAGCTCGATCTCTGGAGAAACACTATCGGTCTCCCAACTCCACTAGATGGAGACAGGGAAGAGGTTGGCGCACGCTAGCTCTGAAGTGGAAATTAAGGTATCAAACGTATCAAATGTGTAAGTGAATACACCCCGCTAACTATTCTGTATACGATACAATACAAGCCCCACCGACAAGGATACTCTGGAAAAACTCGCTATGGACTAGCGCATTTTCGCAGTAAGAACCCGAAAAAGGTGGTGTCACCAGTTTCGGAACATGCTATATAATTAACTTACACTGAATAGTCTATACATTTTGTTGAGAATTAAAAGTTTGGCGGGTAAGAACTAGTTATTTGTTGTATTGGCGAACGCAATTTTGGGAATAACAGTATGAACTACACGGCACGGTATACAGTATTTATCATCTCACGTACCTCTCGTGTTCGTCGATGTTTGAGACCCCGCTAACCTCAATATTGATAGGGCTACTGTAACTTCTCTAAGACGAATATTAAAGATAGTCAGCGTAAGAATGCCTCACGAGAAACCCTTTGCTGTGAAGCCATTTTTCGAGCCATCTATGGTTAGACCACTGATGATTGATTGTCAAAAGCGTTTCCCGAGAAAAGCTGCTTCGGGCAAGGGGCATAGAGGTGCCGCGTAAATTTTATTTACAAGCTAATACAGACTTGAAATTATCATGTAATTTATTTACGACGAAATATACGGGCAACTTGGAATAGCTCCCAATGTAGACTAAGGTTTCTTGGCAGTGGGGCTAAATAATTACTTAAAGAGTGAGGGCTGTTGCACCAGTTTCGGGACGTACTGTAAGCTCCCAAAGCGACGGATATATATTTATCGAATGATCGAGGGTTGTAGTGGCATAAAATATTCAACAGACAGAATTGACGAGATTTACTCTCTAGAGTTGGTGAACTAAGTACCCAGTGCCGATGCTGGAAGATTGATTTTAGACATATTGCTACGTTTATCCACGTTATCTATTGGCTGACAACTTTTGTGCAGTCGCGATGGTGTTTGTTCTAAGTTGAATGAAAAGTGCGTCTGGTTAGTATCTCAACGTTAGAGGTTGACAACGAGGGCTGTACAAGTGAGAGATTGACAGTCCTGGAACTCATAAAAATCCAGCCTCCGAGTATGAGGGTCCACTGAGTTTACTCTCTAACAAGATCACATTATGAGTGATATCACCAATATTTGTTGAGCCTGAACAGCCTTGTGAGTCAAAGTTGACATGAGTTGTGAGTGATTAGAAGAAGTCAAGTCCACTGGGGGCTCGAAGGACATCATTTAAATCGCTGTTCGCCATGAGATCTGATATAAAAGAGCAAATATCGATTGGAAACCAGAACATCCATCGAACATATTCACATAAAATCGGTGAGACATGGAGAGTCCAAGGGAAATGTCGAAAAGCGACGGGAAAGAAGGTCATGGCCCGGGAAAGACACCGAGTCAAGAAGACACCATCGAGCTTCAACCTGCCCCACAACCATTCGATCATATGGTATGTCGGTCAATTTTCCGACCCGGATATTCACGACTAACAATCATAGGCTGATTTGGCATCGAAGGAATCTCTCGCGAATGAGCCTTTGCGACCCGCCCTTGAAGCACTAGCGGGGCTCGATCGTAAGGACCCAAAGCTCGCTTTCCAAGCGGCTCGTATTCTGGGCATATATCGACGCCTGTGGGAATCTTGTGTGTCGAAGCATGTTGACTGCAAAGAGCAAGCTCGCGCAAATCAGTCTTTGGAAAAAGCGAGACTGCATCTAACAATTGAGAGAGAAAAGCTCCAGCGTCACCACGATGAGCAGCTATCTTATCTTCAGTTCTTTGATCATGCTCTGCACTCATCTCGATCGAGACTGACCGGCATCATCAGTGATTGGAAACAAGGCTCCATTGAGGGGGGCGAAGCCGGAGTGATAGGGCTTAGTGTTGGGGTATAGACAATCAATGTGAAAGCTCAATAGTGTATACGAGGTTTTCTGATGTTTTCTTTGATTCTCTTTTTCTTTTTACATGTATACTGTATGTATACAAAACGCAAAAGAAATCTCTTATTTGTTGCGGATGAAAGAAAGTTTTTTTGCGGGGTCTCAAGGATTCTATCCTCTATTATCACCGTACATAATTTAAAAAAGAAATCAAGTCGTGATGAGGGCACTATAGCCACCCAAGAAAGGGACAAGGCTTCACTCTAGATTCGTCAGTAGGTGTCGGATAGATAAAGAAACAGTCCTTAATACATTATGTACAGCCAAAACGAAATAAAAAGAAGGATGAATTTCTAACGGCTCCACGAGGGGTTACGAAGTAATTGAAAACGACAGTCCACGCCAAAAATAAGTTTTGGGAGTTGATTTTAGAATTTGTTAGATACACACTGTAAATCTGCCTAGATACCGCCCCTAGCTAAAGAAATATAATTAAGAGCTTCTTGGCAGCGGTACATTGAGAAATCTTTTCATTCAAACAACTGAACTCATCAACACTGGTGACTAACTGGGATGGAAAGAGAAACTTCGCAGGCTTCTGTTTAGTACAGAAGAATTCGAAATTGGCTTCCATGCCAAACATGCACAAGTTGTTTCTGGAACCCTATGGTGAAACGTACTATGCCGATTATAGTTAGTTCAAATACAAGTTTTATAACCAGTCACTCTTGGCGTAATGTACGAAACAAACCGAAAATACATCGTTTCTTTCTTCACAGCAAAGGCATAGCTTCTGGAACCTTCCAATCCAAAAATCAATTTGGATGCTTCCAGTATGTTACAGTATGATGTATTAAAGTAATATTTTTTGGAGCATGAATCTGATTCGAAAATATGAAAAGAAATAGAATGGAAATTATCTCTCATTTCATTCAACCAGGCCATCCAAGTATGTCTTCTAACCCTTGGTCAGTACATATACAAAGCCAAGGGCTAGGGTAAGCAATGAAAGTAGAATTTGCCGCTGGGAGACACCGCCAATGTAAGACGCTCTGGTTGTAGCTTCGGTCTTTTCCTCCAATGATGTTATAATTTGCGATTCAGCAGACTCGAAGGGCGAAGTTTCATCTGAGCTCTGCCACTCTTTCCAAGTGGACATTGATGATAAGGTGTATGGATGATTAGGGCCTAATATTTGGCTGCTAGATTCAGCATACTTGGCCATCATTTCCAATGCAGTTTCATTTTCGCTCAGAGATCTTAGTGTGAATGCTAGGTTGACCATGCTGGTCAAAGTGTCGGGATGCTCTGGCCCAAGCATCTCCTTGCGAGTCTCCATCACCTGCACCTCGAGGTCCTCGGCTTCCTTCCATCGCCCCTGATTCCAGTAGGTCGATGCTAGGTTGGCCATGCTGGTCAGAGTAGAGGGATGCTCTAACCCAAGTATCTCCTTGCTAGTCTCCATCACCTGCAGCTGGAGGTCTTCGGCTTCCTTCCATCGCCCCTGATTCTGGTAGGTTAATGCTAGGTTGGCTATGCTAGTTAGAGTAGAGGGATGCTCTGGCCTAAGCACCTCCTTGCGAGTCTCCATCACCTGCAGCTGGAGATCTTCGGCTTCCTTCCATCGCCCCTGATTCCGGTAGGTTAATGCTAGGTTGGCTATGCTGGTCAGAGTGTTGGGATGCTCTGGCCCAAGCATCTCCTTGCGAGTCTCCATCACCTGCAGCTGGAGGTCTTCGGCTTCCTTCCATCGCCCCTGATTCCGGTAGGTTGATGCCAGGTTGGCCATGATGGTTAGAGTGTCGGGATGCTCTGGCCCAAGCACCTTTTTGCAAGTCTCCATCACCTGCACCTCGAGGTCCCCGGCTTCCTTCCATCGCCCCTGATTCTGGTAGGTCGATGCTAGGTTGGCCGTGCTGGTCAGAGTGTCGGGATGCTCTAGCCCAAGTATCTCCTTGCAAGTCTCCATCACCTGCAGCTGGAGGTCTTCGGCTTCCTTCCATCGTCCCTGATTCCAGTAGGTCGATGCTAGGTTGCCCATGCTGGTCAAAGTGTCGGGATGCTCTAGCCCAAGTATCTCCTTGCTAATCTCCATCACCTGCACCTCGAGGTCTTCGGCTTCCTTCCATCGTCCCTGATTCCGGTAGATTGATGCTAGGTTGGCCATGCTGGTCAGAGTAAAGAGATGCTCTAGCCCAAGTATCTCCTTGCTAGTCTCCATCACCTGCAGCTGGAGGTCCTCGGCTTCCTTCCATCGCCCCTGATTCTGGTAGGTCGATGCTAGGTCGCCCATGCTGGTCAGAGCAGAGGGATGCTCTGGCCCAAGCACCTCCTTGCGAGTCTCCATCACCTGCAGCTGGAGATCTTCGGCTTCCTTCCATCGTCCCTGATTCCGGTAGGTTGATGCTAGGTTGGCCATGCTGGTCAGAGTGTCGGGATGCTCTGGCCCAAGCATCTCCTTGCGAGTCTCCATCACCTGCAGCTGGAGGTCTTCGGCTTTCTTCCATTCCCCTCCCAGACTATACGCTAAACTAAGCGTATTAGAAGCTCTCAGTGTTTTCTCGTTCCTCCCCCCAAATAGGTCGTTCCTTGTTTTCATTGCTTCCTTCCCCATCTTTCTACTATCAACAAAGTTCCCCCCTCGTCCACGCAAATGATGCTGCTTTGTGAAGCAGTGATGCCCACTTTTCCATTGATGCTTTTGCAACTGGCTGCTGTATCATAGCACACTGGACATGGGGAAATAGCAATTGACACTCCTTCCAATTCTCAAACCTTCCTTCGGGGTAATGTCTATCTAGCCTTCGGATAAAAACTTCCTTCCAGTGCTCTAAACGGTCTTGAGCTTGAAGCCATTTCTGCATTCCTAGTTGGACCAATCGATGCATCTCAAAATTCGCTGGATCTGAGGTGACGGAAATCAACGAATAGTCTCTGAGTAATAATATATCGTTCTCCAACTTGTCGATGTCGCTGTATGCGTTTATTTCATCTTCTGTGTCACTTGCATCACTTCTACCGCTCTCTTTATTCTTTTCTTTTGTAGCTTGGTCTTCCTGTAGGAGAATGTTGGGGATCCCTTGTCTATCAAAGAAGCTCATCAGAGATAAGAGACCTGCTGCTGATGGCCTTCTTTCCTGAATATCCTCAAATGATATCTGCCATGTTACAAGGATAGCATTCTTGGCTTCTCGGTCCCTGCGAAGTTGGCCCCCTTCATAATCAAGAAGATTGATTTTTTGGTTATCGCTTTTCTGAAACCTTTCCAAATATTGTGCGACTGAGTCTCGTGGTGCTCTTTGCTTGATAAAGGCCGCCGCCTGCACAATCGCAAGCGGCATAAACTCTAGAGCTGTAGCTAACTGAATGATTGAGGAGAGGTCAGATTGCGTGCCGACCTTTTTTTCGAAGAGCGAGATTGCGTGGGGTTCGTTCATTGGTTCAACCGGAATGATGTCATAGTCTTCCACGGTTCTCAAAGCCACTTGTCTACTCCGACTTGTTATCACAACGCAGCCCGTTGAGTTCTGACAGAAATAAGACCAGATCGGTCGTTCAGATACAAAACTGTGATCATTCACCAGGCTAGACTGTGTTGAAGACATGGTATGGAGAAACTCGTCGTCATCGAGATTATCGAGGACAAGGACCCACTTTCCAGTCTTGGCATCATTTAGCCAATAGTGGACCAGCTTGAAAATATTTGCCTTCGGATCCTGGCGACCTGGTATCCTGGCTCGGTCGGCAATCTCCCGGCAACTCTGCTCGAAGCGAGTTGCATTGCTCGCGTGAAACCACAAAACCCATGTGTTGGGCGATTGATCTCGAACTCGATGGCAATATTCGATTGCAAGTTGCGATTTCCTTATATAAGAATTAGGGACATGTCCGCACAGTATAAGTCTAATAAACTCACCCTACACCACCTAGGCCGACAAGTGCTATCCGAGCACCTTGCGTGGAGGCTTTTTCTTGTATTTGATCGAGAAGAGATCCACGATCAATAAAATCTGGGTCGCGACGGAACGGGACGGTCGAGAGAGGAGGTGGTGGAGTTTCCGGTCGCTCTAGACCTAGAAGGGGGATTAGTCCTGGCTGGGTAGTGCCCATGTCTTAGACTTACTTGGGGGAAGATGGATCGATCCATTATTAATTCCCACTTGAGTACCAAAGTTATCACCGTCAAACGAGATGGAATTCATGGTGTATTCGGAATGCACTTGATGGTGTGTCTCTAGACAGAGTAAATGTCCAAACTCTGAGGATAAAATACCATTCACCCTCAGCCTCGCTATCATGTGACCTTGGCGCTTACATTGATAAGGTGGTCAGTTCTATCTTTAGGACAGAGCCTTGATGGCTTACTTACTGCACCTCTTCGATCGCAGGAGATAGAACATATACAGACTTAACCTAAAGGGTGGAACTATGGGGGCATGTGGGTCTTTGACCAGTCTTTTCGCGCCATAGAAGACAGCAGAGTTATATAGAAGCAGGATCCCCTGGCCAGGATCCATGGCACAAAGGAGTCCTGAATGCCCCCCAGAGTCATGGCTTGCAACAGACAGTCCCTTTGTAAATTTTGTACGTACTGTAAGCCCCTCGCAGCTGTGCCAGGGTCTCGATATTTTCCACGCCTCGTAGATTCTCCATCGTCCAACAACTTTCGCCTACAACGCTCGTTACTGACCATCGAAACCCGCGTGGCTCCGAGTCGACCGCTGACCCATGATCCTGATTATTTCTCTGCTTATCCTGTGAGCCATAAAATCATACTAATTCCTCTCTGACTTGATCCTTTCCTAGGCTAATAATTAATAATGCGACCAGGTTCAATAGGCTCTGCCCCTTTGAAATGCCCGGTTTCGATTTCCATGAGTATGATAGCTGCCAAATTAGATTCCTTCGGTCAGGTGATAAGACCCCTTTATATGCCCCAACTCCTGGTTATTTCGGGCATAGGGCTGCTTCTATCGGTTGTCTTTCACCAGACCTGGAGCAATCGGTGAATGAACGCCCATCCCCGTTTCCCCAGACCCAACCCGATTATGAAGAGTTTCAACAAATAGTAGAATTGGAAGAGGGGCAGCAGGTGAACAGCCATCGGATTGTATCCAATACCTAATTGAGTGGAGAGTCACGCTCAATGGTCGGGTCGTAGTCAAGGACACTGAGCAAAACCTGGTGCAAATACCAAGCTTCCATTGGCCGCAAATCCAGGCTAGAGCAGATAGAATTCTCAGGGGCAAAATTACTCGCGATCGGCGAGTGAGACCAGACGATATGACTGTTGTGGCCTTTGTCAACGACCGATCCCAACGCGATCTGACCAAACGGTTTGACAGTACGGATATGGATTGGACTGCCATTGAAAAGCAACTCCTTATGTGGACTACTCTTTATCATCTTGGCAAAGAGCTCCGGCTTAAGATTTCCCTGAACTACACCAAAGACAGTTCTCTACCTTTAAAGCATGATAAACGAGGGAAAACATCTATAATAAAGCGGATACTAGCAGATCGAGACGTACTGATAGATGCCAAGGATACTTCTGGCCAGACCTTGGTATAGCGAGATATATATCAAAAGATATAATGCCCTAGCCCACCATATTACCATAAAGGTTAGTATTACTGGTAAGATCCTAAAGGGAAAAAACACTTTAAGTTACGGACACACCAATTAAGGAGCCTAGTAAAATATATGGAGCAGGGCAGGGTCCTTAAAACGTATGATGATATCCCCGATAGCCTCCGTGAGCAGCTCTATGCTAAGGAGAACAAGCGGACCAGCAGGCAAAAAAGTCATCATGCTCCATCTAGGCCGCTGTGTCCTCCTATTAATATCACTGTTCTCCCGAATTAAGGGTCCTAACCCCTGCTTACTGATGTGATTGACGCTGCCACTTGCCCCTCTAAAATTACAACTCCTGATCTGCTTGAAATACCTGGTCTCCACGATATGGCTATGGAGGAGTATAGTGACTGGCAGCAATCTCGGGTGAGTAGAGAAATTCTTAAGGGCAATATCCGCAAGGCGCGAGACTTGGCGCTTGCAAATGGCCTGGATCTCCAGCAGATCCACGGTGATCAGGATCCAGATTTCTTCATTAAACAGGGCATTAGTGTGGGTATAGCGCGCCGCTTCGTTTCTAAGATTGCCCAGTGGGCCAAACTAGACATCAATAGTCATAAGTGACTAAGAGTAGATATAAAGTATTATTAGTTACATATACATAATAACGCGTAAATCAACATATTATACCGATAATCAGCCTTGATCTTCCTCTATACATACTACACATATATATTCAAAGATCATAAAAAAAGTAGTGCTAAGTACATAAACAACTATTCAAATCACATATCAACAATATTAACGCCGGCATACCAGAAGTGGCCAATTACACTTCCTTTCCTTATGCCAACGCAGTCCACACACCACTTTAGAAAGTTATCAAATCCCTATTCAGGATGGTCTTCAAAGATTACCCAATTTTTCCGGATAAATGCTTTGAGCTCAGCGAAAAATTCCTCAATAGGATTCAAGTCTGGTGAATAGGGGGGGGCAAATACAATAATTTAACTCCCGCATCGGAGCACATCTTTTCTATCCGGTCTGAGTGGTGAAAAGAGGCGTTGTCCATCACCAGGACAGATTTAGGCTCTGGCCATCTCCCATAATGGTGCAGAAGCTCCTCAACGAAATCCTCGAAGACTGACCCATCAGTCGAGCCCTGGAACACTCACGATAAAATAATACCATCTTAAGAGTATGCTGGGAGGATTTGGTACCGCTGATCGCGATGGAACTTGGACAGTTGCACTGGTGTAATGCCACGGGGTGACCAACCAGTTCTCCGGAAGCCGATCCGTTTATCACAACCCGACTCATCGATATATACAAGATGGTACGAGTGGAACTCGGATAGGTTGCGTAAGTACCAATCCCGTAAATCGGGATTCCTTTCCTTCGCTTTCTGTCGAGCAGCCTTCTTTGACCACTTTTTGGAGATCAGTGCCCTCCTAATGCTGGAGGCTGTCACGTACGTGCCGAACTCGTCCCACAAAAAGAGGGCCATCTCATCCAGGTAAAGACCAGGCTTTTCCAATAGATGATCGCAGAGAGCTTCCAACATAAGCGGGGTGATGCTACGTGGTCTTCCTGCTCGAATGGCGGGTGCTCTGGTGTCGCCAAAGTGCCGTAGGTTACTGCGGATGGTGGTGATGGAACGCGGACTACATCCTGCGGCATCGGCGATCTGGGCAGTGGTCAGTGATTTGCTCAAAATCATATCACGAATGAATTCGCGAGTCGAGGAAGGGAGATTTGGGGCCATTCCGTGCCGTTGGCGTTTGTCTCGTAGTTGGAGCTGCAGTGGTGAGGGTTGACATTCGCACAAGGGGAAAGTAACATATTCAATGACGTATGATTCCACACCCTGGTGTATTGGTCTTGTCATGTATATTACATTTCATTTCTTGGCGTACAAGGGGGATCTACAATCTAGCTGAATTTAGCCTAGTTTGTTTCACCACAGCCTTAGCGTTAGGGTCTGGGAGAGTTTCTCTGTGTGAAAGATGGAAGCCAATTTCGAATTCGTCTGTATTCAGAAATATTCCGTTCACTTCAAATTTGTATGTCTCGTCCAGGATGTCCATTTGAATCATGAACCATCGCTGGATCTTGTTCAAGCCCATAGATAGGAAAGGGCTGTGGGTCGCTGGCATGCAAGGCCGAGATGACACCATTCTGAAGGGCGCGTACGGCTTGTCTTCGATCGTGCAGTACCAAGCCTTGCTCCTCAAAACACTGCAACAAGATATCACACTCGCCTACCAAGCAATCGTTAAACTCTTGAAGTCGGCGATGTTCTTCTTCGAGCCGAATCATCTCTGCAGATTTGATGACATAGAACTCCCACATATCCAGGTAGGAATCGAGCAATTTGACACCGCAATTAGCTCGGTTGGGGTCGTAGTGCAAAAGCTCGCGGATCTGCGACTCTAAGAGGCCCAGAGGAGCCTTTAAGATCTGCAAATAGTCAGCTTACTTCATCTCGCTTCTTGGGAAGAATTCTTACCTCGGGATCAGTCACGGTGGAGTTGGCGCTGTGCTTTGAATCCGCCATGGTGTCGTCTTTGTGAGAGTTTTGAGCCGGGAGGCATTGTCTCCTAGCTGGGTGTTCCTCCGACGGCATTGATTAGAATGGTTTACGTGGCCAAGTGGGGAATACTGAGAGCCTTAGGTATTTATAGACATCGTGATGGGTCCAGAGCCCGTCTGATTTTGCTCGTTGCTCACTGCTGACTCACAGTCCTGGATGAATGAATCGCAAACTCCCGAGCATATTCTCGAGTCACAAAGTTGAGAGGCAGATAGGAGATTCTTCCGCGTGTTGAAACAGGTCCTATAGAGTGAACCCTAGACCGTGCAGCCTTTAATAGTAAACAAACACCAGTCTATTGATGAAAAGTGGAGGAACCAAGCAGAAACAACGTCATAGTTATATCGTATAGGCTTATTGAGCTTGAACGGAGCAGCTGGTTGGACAGATTCTACCCTGTTCCGAGGTCCGATGGCGTATCTGGCTGGTGGCAATATTCCGAATTTTTATGAGTCTATAGTCAAGGTTTAACTCACCTTTAGCACAAAATCGCTGAATTAGTTGTTATTAATCTGAATCTGAGAGACTGAAACTATACTGGTATAGTACTGGATCGCGCGTTGCACTGCACAAGAATGGAGAGCAAAAGATACAGAAGAAGATTCTTCAAAGCGGGGCATTGAATCCAAATATGAGGCTAATGTAGAGCTAGATGAAGCGGAATAACCCTAAGTAAGATAATTCGTATGGTTACGCCGTGAGGAACTCTTGTGTATTGCCCTCTAGTTTCGAGATGCGTACTTCACCACTCTCTTCACCACTCCTTCACTGGATCAGATGGATTTGTGGGCCATTAGAAAGTTTAAATACTACCAGTAAGGAAGCCAGAAAATCGATATCCTTGCTGTTTGGATAGAAGAGAATGTTCCTGGGAGCAGTACTCTTGCTGTCTGCAAGGATCGGGTTCATCAACATAGATTCTGGAGCAGGAGTATTGTTTCTTCATCATCAGGGTAGGTGTAATGGTGAGAAGGGTTCTTGCAATACGAGAGACCGTAGATACGTAGAGAAACTGTAAAGCTTGTGTGTAAGCACAGTACACCCTGGATCGAAATCAGTTTCACCACTTACACACAGACATTCTATCTCGAACCCTACTTCGAAACTCACCATACCTAATGCGGTTACTCTACCCCTGACCCCGTATCTTGGCGGTATTTTGATACAGGGTAAATAACAACATAAAAATAGATGGTGTATTGAACTTGTATAGCTTCAGCAGCTTCTAGAATATCGATCTTGCAAACAAACAAACAAAGGGGAGGGGGGAATCTGTCTGGTTAAGCTACAGTCCCTGGCAAGGTACGTTTACTGAATTCGGCCGTGACCATTTGCGAGACCATCTGTGGTTTACTCCAGTCCATCTCTTTTTAATTATTTCAAGCTTCGATAGAAGAATTGGTGTCATGTTATGAATGGAAATCTGAAAATTAGCGGATGCAAGGATACTGTAAGCGGGCAGCGATGGGAGACCGCAGGGGACTAGCAGGGAGCGAACCCATTTGCTCACCCTGCTCACCCCTCTCCAGAGAGCAGGCGAAAAGATTTTGGGCCGAAGGTCTGGGGCATGGCGGGTATTAGGAACCACACGTGACTGTTGAATTGCGCAGTTCCTGGGAACTAGGTGGCCTATCTTTGAAACCCAGGTCCTCAAAAAAAGGTGGCAGCAAAAATTGAGGTATCCTATACCAGCTCATTCACAGTCATAACCAAAGGGCTACGTGATGTGTAGTTTGAACCCACGGACAATGACATGCTCTTTAGATGTAATTCTAATGCGTCTTTTTACAGCATTTCGATCCGTTCACGAAAAATTATTAATTAATCTAGCCCTACATGGATCTACAGCACTCTCATCCCTACTCTTAGCGCTATAATCACCTGATTGATCATGACGTGAGTGTTTGCCTGTTTACCCCTCTTTAAGCTAAGAGTTAAATAATATCGCTTTAAACGAGATTTGCAAAACATAGACTTATCGATCATGGCATCCATAATATCAGTCTCATTCGGTGGTGTTAATCATAGGTTCCAGATAGGGAATAACCATGGCTCTATTCACGCGGAATTCTATCCTCCTGGTAAGGCATAGGAACCGGAAACGACAACTTCCATCGACTAACCATCCTTTCCCAAACTAGAGCGACCAGAAACCCCGCCTAGCCCTTTATCAACTGTCTAATTTCCGCGTGATCCAGATTTTGTCCATCGCGATACACTAATTAATCAGATCCATCACAAACGCTCAGTCCCTGGGTTAAGAATAGCGCTGGTTGGCCTTGGTGGCGTTGGGTAAGTGTATAGTTACCTATCTATGATCTGTTACTTACAACTCGAAGGAAATCATAGCTTGCAATCGAATATTGTTATTAGATACGATCCGAATCCCCATTAACCTGGGTTTTCTGGGTCTATATAAGTAATAAAGCCCGCTTCAAGCAAAGTTTTCGGGACATCGTAGATCAAATCAAACTCCCGGGGGTCGAGACCCTAGAGTCAATATTTTTCAGCTTGTCCAGGGTTGGCTCCGGGATGAGAGAAAAGGAAAATGGATTTATATCCTTGATAATGTTGATGACGAATTTCTTTACTTATCTCCAGTGGCGGGAAAGGACAACCTATCGAAAAGCTCCACGAATTCCTTGACTAAACCACTATTAGAATACATTCCTAGAAGCCCGAATAGATATACCATTATCACGAGTTAAAGCAAGGATATTTCATTAAAAATGGTTAATTACAAGGATATTCTTAAAGTGAAGCCGATGGAAAGGGACAAGTCGCTAGAACTCCTCCAAAAGAAACTTGAATAGTCAGGAAATAGCCAATTATATATACAACTAGTATATACCTTAGAGTTTATACCGTTGGTGATTGTACAGGCGGCTAGCTATATTCGATATCAGTCACCTTACTATTTGGTAGCATAATACTTAGACAACCTCTAAAAGAGTGATCGTGGGGTAATAAAGCTTCTAAGAAACAAGGTTAGTCACCTTTACCGGGATTGGGAAGCGAGCAACTCAATTCTGGTGACGTGGTAAATATCGTTCGATTTTATACGCCGAACAAAGCCGTCTGCAATAGAGTTACTTTCTCTGATGAGCTTTTTTGATCGGCAAGGAATACCCGAGAATGTTATCCAGCCTTAACCTAAGGTTAACGAGGAATTATGTTCAGAATCCCTGGATGACTTTTATGACGGGGAATCATCGGAAACGGATATATGCACCGATTTTGAAGACGATATCACTACGCTACGGGATTATTCATTTATATATATCAGGGAGGACAGCAATTTGTTTACGATGCATTGACTGGTGCAACTTGCTACATACGTATGGTTGAAGTCACATGGGTAAATGGAGCAATGGAGGGAGAAGTTCTGACTTACTATAGAGGCAGAGCTACTTAAGTTATTGGTGTTCCCACATATACTAGCTCGGAGAGATAATATCAAGCTATGTTACTCTAATACCTGCCAATGGATTTTGGTATTGGATGAGTACTAGTCGTGGAGGAACCAACCCTGTGGACTACTATGGATTAAGGGTAAGCCGGGTGTGGGCAAATCGACCTTAATGGTTTTTCTGCACGACAGACTTGAAGAATTACAGGACAGCAGCCAGGGTATTATTCGACTCAGCTTTTTCTTTACCGCCCGGGGCACGGAGATGCAACGTACACCGCTAGGAATGCTTAGATCATTATTAATCCAGATTTTCGACCGTGATGTAACTATACGTCCTTAGATGTGCGAGATATATGAATAACGATGTAGGCTATTTGGGTACGGTAAACACAAGTGGGAATGGCCACAAGTGGTACTAGAAGAGTTACTAGAAAAGGCTATTCTGGCATCAGCCAAACAACAGCATGTGGCTGTTTTTGTGGATGCTCTGGATGAGGCCGGGGCGCAATCCGCTCATCAGCTAGCAGCATATTTCTATCGGCTTATTGGTCGTGCTGAAAAACTGAACCTAGCCCTTCAAGTCTGTATCTCATGTCGACACTATCCTATCATGGATAGTCTCCGGGCTATAGCGATACATGTCGAAGACCATAATCGAGAAGACATCGCTACATATATTAATAATATGCTTATTGATATAGAGGTTGGAGATAGTCCTAGTCAAGAAGGAAGAGAGATGCTAGCGAAGGCACTGAGCCAAAATACTCATGGGGTGTTCCAATGGGCAAATCACATGATACCTCTTTTTAAGCAGAAATTTCTCGAAGGGGAGTTATTTGACGATATTTGTGATTGGTTACACGAGGTTCTAGTTGGCTTGGAAGATGTCTATATGTATACTCTGAATAACGTGATTACAGCTAGGAACTGGGATTAGTCATTCCTGCTCTTTTAATGGATATGCTTCGCCGAGCGACCCCTAACTGTGACCGAAATGCGGTACGCATTGGCGGCTCAGAATACCTAAATGATGCCTTCTTAAAGGAGATGGGAGAAGATTCACGGCTTTATCGGAAACAATGGATATATGATGCGAAGAATTAAGGCTCTTACTGATGGACTAGCTGAGGTAGTCTTAGGTGGGGATTATAAGGAGACTGTATAGCTAGTATACTAGTCAGTTAGTGATTTCTTACGTTCAAAAGGACTAGACTCTATGTTTCATTATACTAGCGCCAATACAGCATCCATTCGGAGGGACAGCATTTTTTTTTCAGTGCCAGGCAATCCTCTACCGATCGTGCCTGTTATATCTTATTACCGAATGTTCAAATAGATAGATGAGTGATTTTAAGAGACTGAAAGACAATTTTGTCCAGGATCGCCCGTTTCTTAATTATGCGACTATTAATCTCTTTATCTATGCGGAAAAAGCTACTAGCTCTCGAGCTGACTTGCTACAAGATGAGAAAGACATCCTACAACAAATAATCATCCCGTGGGTTCAGATTTACCAGGATCTCGATAGGTTTAGCATCGTATGTCTACCTGCTGGCATAATACTCTTACATATAGCCGCTGCTGCTAACTTGGTTGATATCATAGAATCTGTGTTGTCAGATGGCGAGGATATTGAGAGTGTAGACCAAATTGGAAATACAGCTTTCTATTTCGTAGCGCGAGCAGGATATCTAACAGCTGGCCAAATACTCCAAGAGAGAGGAGCAGATCGAGAGGCGAAAAATAAAAATAAAGTAACACCTTTAATAGAAGCGGCTAGGTTTGGACATGTGGGCTTTGTCGAATGGCTCATCCTTGAGGGCGTGAATGTTGAGATAGGAGGTGGAGATGCGCTACAAGCAGCTTCGTTGAAAGGTCATAATGTAGTTGTGGAAATATTGCTCGAGGCGGGAGCGGATGTCAATGCCAAGGGGGGGTCAATATGGCAATGCCCTTCAGGCCGCTGCATATAACGGAAGTGCTGAGACAGTGAAGATACTGTTTGCCGCTCAGGCGGACATCAATGCCGAGGGCGGTTATTATGGTACTGCCTTATAGGCTACTGCATATAATGGAGGCGCTGAGACAGTAAAAATACTGCTGGATGCTCAGGCTGATATCAATACTAAGGGGGGGTCAATATGGCAATGCCCTTCAGGCCGCTGCATATAACGGAAGTGCTGAGACAGTGAAGATACTGCTTGCCGCTCAGGCAGACATCAATGCCGAGGGCGGTTATTATGGTACTACCTTACAGGCTGCTGCATATAATGGAGGCGCTGAGATAGTAAAGATACTGTTGGATGCTCTGGCCGATGTCAATGCCCAGGGGGGTATATAGGAATCACGTCTCTTGGCGGCTATTCGTACCGGGCCATGATGATGCAGTTCAAATTCTTCTTCACACTGGCGCAGATATGCTGGTTGATGAACTCGATCAGACTCCTCTTTACATTACGGCTTAAAGAGATATAGTGATGGAAAGACGCTAAGCAGCTCAACCTACAGGTGATGGAGACAAGAAATATGATACTCGGTCAAGATCATCCTAATAATCTGACTAGTATGGCCAACCTGGCATCGACATACCGGATGTAGGGCCGATTGAAAGAGATGGAGCAGATCTTCATACAGTTGATGGAGACCCGCAAGACGAAGCTCGGTGACAATCATCCCTCTACGCTAGAGAGCATGGCAAATCTTGCATTCACCTTCTTCAAGTTACAATGCCGAAGCTATCAAATTACTACGGATCTGTTCAGCCAAGCAGGAACAAATACTAGGGCTGAATCACCCAAGCACTTTAATCATATCTAAAACTTTGCTGAAATGGGAAACGGAGGCACTGGATGTCTTGTCTAAAACAAATGCTTTACTGTAATATAACATGTGAAGAGAGTTAGTTCTATATTGTTTACCAATTCCTAAGATCGATTCACCAGCATGCCCTTATTGCATTGCAGACAAGGGAAAGTGCTACACTTCAGAGCCATGGCTGATATTGTTGCCAGGCGTTATGGTAATGAGGTCGCACGAGCGAGCTGAGGGACGACGTCATGGCTGTATTAATGGTAATAGTATTTCATGTATTTTATCAGATCCAGTCTTCCATAATACTCTCTTTCGATACGATTCAGCCCCTTGAAACTAGAATAAGCCATATCTAGATTAGCGTGTTGCAGAATGGGGTTTGAGAAAGAATCTCTGTATTCAAGTGGTGAAACTGATTTCGATCCTCCCTGTACACCACACCGTTTCTGGAATCAGAATTAAGCCTGGTCGCAATATACATCATGAAAATGAGTAAAGAAAGGAATCCTCACCCTACTCCAAAGGGGCTCAAGACATGCGATATAATTGCGTTTTCTCTCAAAAGAAAGATTGGCTGGGCCTGATGTTTGGAATTCTACAGACACGCTCTGTTGCTAGGAGCAGAGTCTTCGTGTAGGACTTTAGATAGAAGACCGACAGGCGATTTACACACACACACACACACAATTCATTAACGCCCGGCGGCTCAGCCGAAAGGGCAACTATCACTGATCTAATGTACATGTCCACAAATATATGCCGTGTCTCCTTAGAGCCCATACATGAAACAGTCACAGCGGATATCATCTCACTCATTCACGTTGTAGGAATCCTTGTGGGTTAGTATTTTCGGGGCAGACTGGCTTGAAGGCGCTTCTTCAAGTGTTCAACATCCTATTTTCGGCAATTGAAGCGCGTCTACCGTCCTTGGCACAAGGTAATTGGTGGAGGTTAGTTGAGGAAAAGGGGTTGTTCGTATTGGTAGGCCTGTTTATACGACGTCAAGTCGGCCCGTGGCGATTGCAAACCGAATTGAGGCTCGCACCGCTTCCAAGTTCGGCGTCCAGTTCTGGTCATCGGATGGCGATTTGCCGCCCAGGAAGTAGGAGATGTTGCCTCGATGAGTGTCCGTACAGTGAAGCAGTCTTGTCCGGTGCGCCGTCCACCTCCGGCACCGAAAGAGGAAGTGCTCCACCGTCTCTCTTGCTTGTCCACATGCATACTGGTCCGTCTCTGCTACGTTGATCTGGGAGAGGTATCCATTGAGTCTGGCCATGCCAGTCCGAAGTTGCGCCAGCACGCTTACTTCTTTCCACGATAAGCGATCGTACAGCTGTCGTGTGTGTTTTCCTGGAAGCGCTATGTCTACCCGTTTGACGTGTTTTCCGACGTTCTCTGGCAAGCTTTTGCCTGTGTTCACCTGGGAACGTGCGAGATTCAGGGTAGTTGACTTCATCCTCGGCACTCGTACTTGTATTAGAGCGTCCTCGTGAGTCGCGATCCTGGCCTGTCCCTTAGCCCGGCCCAATAATTCGTTTTTCTCACTAGTAGGGACCCAAGTGATATCAATCCGGTTGCCATTCCTCTGCATTCTTCTCATCGACTTGTACATTTGACCCACAAAGTCCTGGCCCGACTGCTGTCGAGGGTTCCTGACCGTGAGAGTCGCCGCTTTGTTACTCGCGAGCAGCGTGATCCTGTAATTCTTCAGTGCCACTTGCATGTTCAATGCGTGTGCCATTGCGGCAAGCTCCGCAGAGAATGGGTTTTGCTCTGATCTTGCACCCAGTGTGATAGAAAGGGTCTTTAGTTTCAATTTTCGGTACCGAGGTGGCTGCTTCTCGATCGCGACCCCAAATCCAACCAGCCCGTTCCGTGCCGAACCGCTGATTGCGATCCGCATAGACCCGCCCGGTTTATCCAGTGTCTGCGGGACTGCCTTGACGTCTGTGCGCACGCGTGCCTCCCATGGTGCTAATGTGAACGCGTTGATGGTTTCCAGTGTTTCCATGTCGATATTCTTCAGCGCGTCAGCTACTTGGTAGAGCGGCGAGCGGTGGTATCTTCTGAATTTTCTGATCCGATCTGTGCTTCTGCGGAGGGGATTGGTTTCTGGCAGGGTGTGGATGTCTGTCCACATTTTCACGGCTCGTTTCCAGAATCGACGGTGTGCGGTAGCTAGGTGGGCCTCCGCCTCTGCGACACTGGTTGCGACCGTGAGAAAGGTCCCCACAATAGCTTGCGCTCCTACTCTTTGGACCCGATTGATGGGCCCCATGGCCTTATCCTTGCACGCGTGCATCCAGACGTTGGACGCGTAGTCCACCACCGGGGCTACTGTCGATGTGAACAGCTGCCGCGCTGTTGCGGGAGACAGGCCTCGAAGGCGCCGGAGCTCCATCACTGCCTCCAGGCCTTTGGACGCTGCCCTCGCGATATGCTCCTTGTACTTAAGTCTTGTGTCCATTAAGACACCCAGGATCTTGACGTGATCTCTAGGTATAACCGTCTGTCCCTTGATGGTAAACGGCTCATGGTTCACTTTACGCATCTTGGGGGCAAAATGTATGATAGCTGTCTTGTCAGCCTCAAAGGTCGCTCCGCTTCTCCTTTCCCAGTCAAGTGCTTGGTTAATAATTGCCTCGATTCCTTCCCGATTACTTTGCGTAGTTGGTCCGGTCACCCATGCGGTATAGTCATCCACAAAGGCGACTGCCCCTCCTTGGCTGTCGATCTGTCTTTGCACGAGGTCTGCGTTGAAGAAGAGGAATAGGATCGGTGACAGGGGCGATCCCTGCGGTAGTCCAGCCTGTGGCAGGCTTTGGGCCTCAGATGATTGTCCGTTGATCTGGATGTTTGCCGTTCGGTCTGAGCAGAACGCTTCGATCCATCGGAGCAGGACCTCTGGTATACCTCGGGCTTCCATCCTCTGGAGTAGTCGTTCTTTGCACACTCCGTTATAGGCTCCTTTCACATCGAAGCTGATCAGACTCAATATTCGACGGCCTCGCCAGGCCGTGTATATTTGCTCTTGTAAGAGTACGAGTGCTTGCTCCGCGGACCGTTGCTTTCGAGCTCCGAAATGGCTGGTCGGGAGTAACCCGTGTGTCTCCACCGCGTGCGAGATCCTCTCTGCAATCACCGATTCCAGCACCTTACCCAGTGTCGCCAACAGCGAGATCGGCCTCCACGCTTTGGCAATAGTGTAATCTTCTTTGCTTGGCTTTTTAAGCGGTATGATCTTCGCATGTCTCCACTGCCTTGGCAACTTGCCCTCCCCCAGCGAGGCTTGGAATAGATCGAGGACCCTGTACTTGACTGTGGACCACGTCATCTTCCAAACGATCGCCGGTAGGCCGTCTTCACCGGGTGCCTTCCACGACTTAGCCACCGACAGTTGTCGCTCTATCTCCTCCATCGTGATGGCTGGCATTTCTACGGGCGCTCTCTGTGCTCTGACGCCTTCCTCATCGATACTGTCTGGCAAAGGCGGGAAGAACTTGGCGAGCAATTCCTCCGTTTGCTCCTTGTGGTCGTTGGTGGTGGTTCCATCTGCTCTTAGGAGCTGCGGAATCTTCCCGAACGCTGCGTCGTCTCCCGACTTCAGGTACTTGGCGGCTTTCCAGATGTTGTCGTTATCTGCAAGGAATTCGTTCCAGTGCTTCTTCTTTTGCTGTCGAATGGCATCGTGGTATTGTTTTGCCGCATCCTGGGCCATCGCTTCGAGCCGAGGTACTTTTCGCCCCGCCCGCCGCTCGGAGCGAGCGTGGTTTCTCCAGTATGTGTATATGTGACGGAGTTGAGTCAGGTCTGCTGTCCACCATCGCTTCGCGTGTGGTGATGGTTTCGCCCTTGGCGTTAAAGCATGCACCGCTTCCGAAACCGCCGACATGAGTCGATCCGTTTTCTGCTGTACCGTGCCCTCTGACGGAAGGGTGGCCAGAGCGTTCTGAATCCTGGCATTGATGTCCTTCCATGGTGCATTCTTCAGCAGAAGTCGTTCTGGAGGCTTTGGGCCCGACCACGGGGCGTCGAATACGGACTCAATCGCGCAGTGATCCGAGCCGTGGTCGGTCCCGAGTATTGCGCATTTAGTCATGCAGTCATTCAAGTTTTCTGAAGCTAGGACGAGATCGATGGTAGACTCGCAGTCTCCACTCTGTCCTCCGCCGTGCCATGTTCTGGTGCCTCGTTTTAGCAGGCTGCTGAGTGCAAATTCATTCATGAGGTCGATAATTGGATCCGCCTCCCCTTGTCTCTCCAGCGACACGCCGTCTCCACCCCAGAGTTGATCGTGTCGGTTAAAGTCCCCCACAATCAGAATCTCCACCACCGCACCTGCATTCCTTCGTACCTTCGTGAGCGCATCGCGTAGACGAGTGCATACGTCGTCCAACGCTGAGGTGTTGCCACCTTCCACGTAGACCGATGCCATGAATATCAGCCGCTCGGGGAGCCTGACCATCGCTGCTGTGATGTCTGGGGACTCCACCGGGACCTGCTCCACTTCGATTTCTTTGTTGACCCAGAGCATACTCCGAATCGCCCATCTCCCTTCCCTCCAGGTGGAGGGTACCATCTTTGTCCATTTGTGATGTCCCATCGGGGTAGTCAAGAGCCGGCCTTGAATCCTCCTCGCTTGAGGTTCCTGAATTGCTAGCGCCACCGCGTTTTGAGTGTCTTCGTCGTTCATTAAGCTCTCGTGTACTGCACCCTGCTTCCTCACATTCAGTTGAATCACTCGAACAGTTTTATTCATAACGCGATGGATAGAGCTTCCGGCAGTTCTTGCTGTATGATTCATGAGGACCTCCGCACGGGACACACTTCGGAACCGTTTGATTGCAGTCACTGTGACGATGGCCCTCCATTGCGCATTTTGCGCATTTCTGGGCGCCCTTACACTGGAACGCCTTATGACCAATCTCCTGACAATTGTAGCATTGCACCGGTCGTGGTCGATATTCAAATACGCTGGTTGTCCCGGATTCTCCCCCAACGTGGAAGTATCCGTCGGCCAGGAGCCTCCGCGCGTCAGTCCCTTTGGTTAAGTACACGACCATCGATCCATAGGGTTTTGCGGCTTCCTTGCTGCTAAGCCACGTTATTTTGGCGACGGTGGTGTCATTCTCCTCGCTTAGGGCCGCCGCCGCTCCTGTCAGGACGTCATAGTTCTCATCCAGTACCGCAGTTCTCTTGACGCTGTCGACCTTGATCGGGTAGAACTCGTCCCGAAGCACCCGGGCTCCCGCCCCAATCTTTGCTTCTGCCACCTTCCTGACTAGCTGGTGCTCGGCTTCATTGCGACACGCGATTCTGATCCGGTTGGTATTTCGTGGGCTCACTGTCACCGCGCGACAGCGCCAGTGAGTGTGATCATCCATCGTCCGGATCTCTGTCTCGATTGTGGCCCTGATTAAGCCCGCGGATACCTTCTCACTCTCGCTCTCGGGCATCTTTGAGGTATCTATCGTGCAGTACAGCGTGTCGGTGTAGGTGGTTGGTGTCGTGTTCAACGTTGAGAGGGTTCGTATATTGCTTGGGTAGCTGCTCGGAGGGGTGCGCGCGACATCTGCATAGGAAGGGGAGCTTGTGGGGGTGGGAACGCTGATTTCCTCGCGTAAAGACTGAATCTCGCGCAGGATTTCATCGTGGTTGTTCGGACAGCATGTCTCGGAGTGGCATTGAGGTGTCGGGCTTCTATCTGTCAGGGTCTGTAGCTCGTATCGGACCTCGGCGAGGGCGGCACCAAACTCTTCTCTGGTTTTCTGTAGTTCTTCCTTGTGTAGTTCCTCTCGGAGTCTGATCTCTCTCCTAAGTTTGGCGATCTCTGTCACCAAATTGCTGATATCGAGCTCGTCGCCCTCGGTCGCGGCGTCGTCTGACGTTGCCACGTCACGCTGGGCGTCTGGCTCAATTCTCTTCTTTTGTTGGGGCCGTGTCTTCCTCTGCTCGTTGTCGATCTCTTGTTCTCCAGCATACTTCTTCGGTGGTCTGGTGGTGCGTTTCGGTCTCGACAGTCGCGGTGGCGAGTCTTCGCGTTCATCGCGATCGGGCGGTTCAGGGGTTCGCATAACGGCCCGTCCCGTCATGCCTCACAATCGATACGGGAAGTCGGGAACGTCGCCACGTGGCACCCCGATCATCAAATCCCGAGAGAGATCTTGGACAAGGTACAGTATAATGGTGTACGCTCTCTCTATCAATACAGGGTTGCTCTAGATGGTGTACAGAGAAGTACTACTACTGTACAGTCGATCGTCGTCTTCCTAGAGGAGTACCTATACCTTATTACCGTCATAATAATATATAGGGCCGCTCGAAATCAGCTTCACCTCTTGTTCTCCTTCTTCTTTTGCTTGAACTCTATTCTGAAACATGCTATTCCCTATCCGATTTAGTCTGCCTTGGGATCTTGAAATGCCTTGTAACATTTCAATACTCGGTTGGTGGAGCTGTAACTTTCCTGAAACTTCAATACGACTGTTTACAGTCTGTCCCAAGATTGTCCCTATCATGAGCGGTTCTTTCCAATTGAGCCAAAGGTGCCGTGGCGTACTTTCGCGTCTACTATGGGAGGTGAGAATTTCCAAGTAGTTCCTCTTCTCGAAACAAATGCGACCTATCAAGTTGAGGCGGTCTAGTTCATCTGCATATAGATGGATCACCTGAGAGCGGGGTAGACTGGAACACCTGGAGATCCAACCCCTAACTTGACAGCCATCTCAAAACCACCGGACAACACTGATGACGACCAACATTTCCCACAACGGTATTAATGGTGGATTTCAACCAGGAGTGATAAATGGCAATATTGGGAGTGTGACAATCGGTAAGTAAATTGGTTATCTCCAAGAGAATATAACTCAACTGGGAAACGCCCTAGGTCAAACGGCCTCATTAGATCAAGAATGTCTCAGGGCTCTACGAACGACCGATCCTCGCCACGACAAAGAGCGTATCAAGGATAGCAAGGGTGGTCTACTCGAAGATTGCTATCGATGGATTCTTGAGAATCAGGCATTCAAACAATGGCAAAACAGCCAAAGCAATCGTCTCCTCTGTATCAGGGGTGATCCTGGTAAGGGCAAGACGATGCTTCTATGTGGGATCATCGAAGAGTTACAACAGCTATCTGGAGATAATGCGACCGTCTCGTTCTTCTTCTGTCAAGCCACCGATATACGAATTAATAGCGCCACGTCTGTTCTACGCGGGTTGATTTATTTGCTTATCGAGAAGAACCCGTCGCTACTGTCACATGTGCGGTCTCAGTACGGAAAGGCTGGAAAGGCCCTCTTTGAAGACGTTAACGCATGGAGTGCTTTGACTACAATCTTTATAAGTATCCTCGAAGACTCATCCTTAAAAACTACCTATGTTATCATTGATGCACTGGACGAGTGTACGAGCGGTCTCGATTTGCTTCTCAAGTTGATTGTCCAGAAGTCCGCAGCCTATCCGCAGGTTAAATGGATCATATCTAGCCGAAACTATCCCATTATTATCAAGCGCCTCAATTCTGCTACTCAGATAGCTCCAATCTCATTGGAACTAAATGAGGCATCTGTGTCTAAGGCTGTAGAATTATTTATTAATCAAAAGGTGAATGACATCGCAGGTACAGGAGAATATGATCCAAAAACGCGCGAAACAGTCAGGGATTATTTGCTGTTAAACTCGCGGGGTACTTTTCTATGGGTAGCCCTGGTCTGCAAAGAGCTCGAGGAAACAGAATGGTGGCATGCCGAAGAAATTGTTCGAACGTTCCCTCCTGGACTCAGTACACTCTACCGCCGAATGCTTAATCAGATTTATGAGACACGGGATGCAAATATTTGCAAGGAGATTCTAAGTATCATATCATTAGTGTACCGGCCCATCACTTTGAGCGAGCTAGACACGATCATTGAAAGGCGAATAAATGACTCGATCAATCCTGTCATCCTTCGTCGGATTATCGGCTTCTGTGGATCGTTCCTAACATTACGAGACGAGAACGTCACTTTTGTTCATCAGTCGGCAAAGGACTTCCTCACTATAGAGGCATCCACTGAGATATTCCTCGAGGGCCTAGATGACAAGCACCACGCGATCTTCTCCCAATGTCTAAATGCTCTTTTCAAGACACTTCAACGAGACATCCTTGGCCTCAAATTTCCAGGAATATCCACAAAAGATATCAGCATGCCTAGTCCAAATCCACTAGCACCCGCTGAGTACGCATGTGTCTACTGGGTGGACCATCTCCACGATTGTAAGAATAACATAACCTATAGACTGAGTTTGAAGAATAGGGAGAAACTGGACAAATTTATGCAGGAGAAGTTTCTCCACTGGCTCGAGGCTCTGAGCATACTAGGAGTCCTTTCAGATGGCATACACGCTATGAGAAGGCTGGAAAGTTTGATTCAGGTAGGTTCCCAAAGTTGTATCAACATGGAGCGACCTTCTAATATAAGGTTCTCGTCTGATAGGAGGAGAGTGAGTCAGATGGCCTCTTGGAGCGAGCTCAAGACGCCAGTAGATTCGTTCAATATCATAGAGCAGGAATCGAGAGCAGTCCGCTACAAGTTTATTGCTCACCTCTCATCTTTAGCCCGTCAAAGAGCCTGACTAGAATAGCTTTCCAAGAAGAAAGACCTAATTGGGTTTTGAACTATCCTAGAGTGGAAGAAGACTGGAGTGCTTGCCTTCAAACCCTCGAGGGGCATAGTGAATCGGTCCAGTCAATTACCTGGTCGCCAGATGGAAGCCGACTTGCATCAGGGTCAAGTGATAATACCGTCTGTATCTGGGATCCAGCCACCGGCCAGAGCGTGTCCACTCTCAACAGGCATAGTCATTCGGTCTGGGCGATTGCCTGGTCGCCAGATGGAAGCCGACTTGCATCAGGGTCAAGTGATAATACCGTCCGCATCTGGGATCCAGCCAGCGGCCAGAGTATGTCCACTCTCAAGGGGCATAGTGCTTGGGTCCGGTCAATTGCCTGGTCGCCAGATGGAAGCCGACTTGCATCAGGGTCTTGGGATAAGACAGTCCGGATCTGGGATCCAGCCACCGGCCAGAGCGTTTCCACTCTCAAGGGGCATGGTGATTGGGTCTCCTCGATTGCCTGGTCACTAGATGGAAGCCGACTTGCATCAGGGTCTTGGGATAAGACAGTCCGGATCTGGGATCCAGCCACCGGCCAGAGCGTTTCTACTCTCGAGGGGCATAGTGGTTGGGTCTCCTCGATTGCCTGGTCGCCAGATGGAAGCCAACTTGCATCAGGGTCAGGTGATAACACAGTCCGGATCTGGGATCCAGCCACCGGTCAGAGCATGTCAATCATTCCTAACATCCGTACCAAGTTCCTCAAATTTGATACCGCAGACTTGAATCGGCTACACACCACCACTGGTACATTTGACACAAGCTCAGTCGCTCCTGTGACCTCTATACATGATAGTCCCACCCGATCACTCCAGCAATGCAGATACGGACTGAATGATGATCGTTCCTGGGTAACCTATAATGGGCTCAATCTCTTATGGCTACCCTCGGAATATCGCCCTCGTGACGTCTCATTTTTCGCTATGCATGCAACCACCGTAGCTTTCGTCCTTTCTTCGAATCGTGCCATCTTTCTCGCACTTTCAAATCAATGTCCTGTACCCACACTTTGATTAATAGTTATATTAAAGTATATTATTTTGATTTCCCGTCATGTTTTGAATTTCAATATCTTTGCCTACTGTCGCGCGGCGCTTTTCCATGCTCTTCTGGCAATCCTTCTGTATGAGGTGGAAGATATAGTTTGTCTCCCATTATGATCACCGATCACTGATTAACGCACTTTTCAGATCACCAAGAAAATCACCAACTTCCCAGGAACCACTGTGAGTCAAAGTCACGTGCATTTGCTAATGCCCCAGTATCCCTCAAGACCTTCAATCAAATTTACTGGGGACGCGCTCTCTCGCACGCGGTATGCCCTGAAACGATCAATGAAGCGGTGTCAGATAGAGGCCTTACTGCCTGAGCTTACGTAACACTACACTGTATTTTTTCCTCTTAGATTTAGCAGAATTCAACCAGATTAACCTGGCCGATGCAGCAAAGTTTTAAAGTACTGTAACCATAATAGGTTCTTCGCGGGTCTTGCTCAGATGTACTCGTTGAAAAAGAGTTTAGCTTCGTCCTTCTGGATATGTATGCTGTTTGTATCTGTTGGCTGTTCATGTAGGGTATGGTAGTCTGTGTGGCAAATCTAAGTTAGATACACAGTTAAATCTACAACAAGATTATAACTAAAGATATTGAGGCTGGTGCTTGTTGATGTTTGGTGATATCTGGTGATGGAATTATGTGCTGCTGGTGAATATGATGTGTTGGGGTGCTTGGTGATTATCATTAATAGGGCATGTTGATAGGGCGTGTTGATGGCCTGTTCAAAAATCAAGGGAGTCACAACCTCGGATCACCGTCAGAACACGCAGCCGATCAGCAACGCACGTTTACCGTTGTAAGAAACACTTAGATCACCGCTACCTCTGATCCCATCCCTATGTTGCCCCCGCTCTTTATCAAAAAGATGAATTAACCTGCAAGTCAGGGTGCCTCCTGGGAGCAATGCTGAAAATTGATGCGGCATCCGCCCAAGTCAACGCGGACCCACATGGCGCTTCGGTGTTCAGCCGAAAACTCGTCCCTCTGCACTATATGATTGCCTATCTACAATTGATAATATTTTAAATAATTACATACACAATATGAATAAACTCATTCGTCCTTCTTCTATTCTAAGTTACTGCACAACTTTTGTGTTCACTAGGCATTAGGTGATCGTCAAAGTAGTCGGGCTAAAAAGCTTTAAGTTAAGACTTTAGTGATGCTTGGTGATAGCCCTTCAAAGATAGATGGAGGGGGAGTGACAAACTTGAAGAACCATGCCCTGAGTTAGAACGTGCAGCCGATCGGTAACGCCCGCTTACCGCTGCAATAAAAATAGACACTCAGATCACCGCGGCTGTTGAATCTGTTTCTATCCTCCTATCCCGCCCCTTGAAAAATGAAGCCAAAGCGAGCCCTACTTCACTTGTTACGTCAGTATAGCTCCTGGGAGCCTCGTTGAAATTGATGCCAGGTACTGTATACGCCAAAGCCCACACAGACCCAAATGGCGCATCCGAGTTCACCTGAATCGAAAACACGCTTTCATTATTCCTTTGCGCTGTTTCTTGTAGTGTATAGTTTCTATTACCTAATAAGGTCCAGTGTATCTGGGCATTTAGGGCTTGGGGAACAATGAAAGAGTGTTGGGGGGATGACCGATTTCCGGAAATACTGTACAAAAACTTACAGTTTTTGGCATGGGTCGAGAGTAATATTAGTAATACTAAGTGGGGCCGGTTGCCTTAGACAGAGCTAACGAAGTATCTCGGTTCCAGACCGCCTACTGCTACGAAAAGTATCATAATTTTTTTGAGAATCTGCCGCGATATTTTCTGCCACATATTTTCTGCCACATATTTTCTGCCGTATACTTTCTGCCGCATTTTTTTGCTGCATATTTTCTTCCGCATATTTTCTGCCACAATATTTTCTTCCACATATTTTCTGCCGTAAATTTTCTGCCGTAAATTTTCTGCCATATATTTTCTGCCGTATATTTTCTGCCGTATATTTTCTGCCACAAGATTTTCTTCCACATATTTTCTGCCGTATATTTTCTGCCATATATTTTCTGCACCATATTTTCTGCCGCGATATTTTCTGCACCATATTTTCTGCCCCGGTATTTTCTGCACCATATTTTCTGCCGCCTATTTTCCATTTTCTGCTGTATATTTCTGACCTCAGGATTGAGGAAAGTAGCAGGGTTATGATAACTGGGACAAAATGGAAGGAACAACAAATTTTATTGGCAGTAAGGCCCCGCTATTGAAGCAAAAAGCATCCAGAGAAGGGAATGGAAGTAGAGGATATAGGGGCATTGTGATGTCATACCCTGTTCAGACCTCTCCAAACTGTGAACTTATGGATCGAAGGTCCAACCTATAACCCAGTACACATGTACAGGCCTAGTCTTGTTCAAACATATCGATCTTCATGTAAAAGGATTGATAAGGGTAATCCCCGGGAGCGATATAGAACTACGCGACCGGCTCTACCCTTCTCCGTAGAAGGGTCGCGCATGCCTCGAGAGTGAGTCGTCAGAGACTCTTTTCCCCTAAGTGGTAGTCTCTGTATCAAAGTGAACACCCACGTATCAGTTGCCACTACTATCTTCCCTCATTCGTCTAGTCACCAGGTAGCACCCTAATCTGGCTAGTTCATGAATCATCACGATCATCTGATATAGAGACAAGAGTTAAACTATAACCTCCAGGGTCCGAATTCATGAAATACACTTTTCGGGTCCGATGTGCCTCTTATGTGAACACCGTATTTGTTTTATACAGCAATCACTTGATCCGAATGTTTTCTTCCCTATCTGAAGAGTAATTCTAAGCCTTAGCTAGCCCAAACGTCATTCTGAACTAACATTTGAGTTGTGTTACCGAGTGTGTCTCTTGTGATCTGCCGATTTTATATATTAGACTCGGTTGAAGCTTCAGAAGCAGCCTAGAAGATGAGATACATTTCACCATGCAATTCTTTGCATTAGTCTTCTTTTCTGGCAATGTAGAATAATTAGAGCGCGAAAAGAGCCTGTGAAAGTCCGGCTCATCCTGGGACCTGGGATTAGACCTGTGCAAAAGGTGGCCCATGGTCCAGGGTCATGGCCCATGGGTAGCCCATGATAACATAAAGTTATGTACATAAAATTTCAAACATTAATTTTTCTTATTAATTTTATTACTAAAAGAATCAGAAGATTTAACTTAGTTGATTTGATAGGGGTCTGAAAATATATATATGTTGGGTGTGGAAAGGATGGTGGTGTGATGCTCTGGTTGAAATATATATTTTCAATGGACATCAACTTTAGTGATCTACAAATAAAACCACTAGATTAGGAAATATTCTAGAAGGTTCTAGAATAATTCACCCTCCTAAATAGGCTTAAATAGGCCCACTTTTTCATAATTATCCTAATTTGGCAAAGACCCACTTTTATTTTGCCCATGGGTAAAACCCATGGGCTTTGCATAGGTCTACCTGGGATACTGGCGTATGCATTTGCCTGATTGACTTAATGTCATCACATGATCTATCGAGTCGAACTATTGTCTTGATGTTTAGAAATCTGATAAAGGGCCTACTGTTCATCACTTGATGTAAACAAGTGCGTCAATGATATTTATTATTGAGAAATCAATAGAAACAAGAAGGGAAGAAGCAGGATAAATATTTAGATTGACCTCATCCTCCTAACAGGTTTTATTGGCAAGGTGTTTGTAATAAACACCTGATCGCACAATTCGGTCATCCATCCTGTAGCATGAAATTTAGAAATTATTTATTGTTTTTTCTCGATCTTTGTATTCCAGTGCACTTGTAGAGACCCTTGCTTTCTCCCAGGGAATATCTGACTGAATCTCCTAGTCACTTCTGACCAGGAAAGAGCTTGTTCCTTCCGAAGCTTGATGAGAAGTTTATCCTCTTCCGCAGAGTAATTTAGTCCTTTCCTTGAGGATGCTGAATGCTCGACCACATTTATATCTGGGAACAATTCCGTGGATGGTAGAGTTGAAGTTCCTTCGTCTTCCGGGATCAATCCTGATGCCGAAGCGCAGTTCGCGATCGATGCAGTGTAGCTGCATTGAGATATAGCACCCTGAAATAGCCAGGACAAGAACTCGAGTTTCGCTTCGACCGGGAGTGAAGAGAATTGATCCTGCAGACGAGAAGATGGTATTGGAACAGGGCTATCTGCCCGGGGATTCCCGCCAATTCGATTCCTGTGACGATTGTCCACAACAACGGAAAGATTATTTCTTCCAGGCTGCGGTCGCCCTGGTTTCATCACCTTCTGCGGATTTAGACGCACGGACTGGCTATGAGTAGATGCATCCGACGAACGAGAAGGGGACATAACTTCAGAAATGTCTTCGTCTGCGGATGTCTGCACACTGTCTCGGGAATGAAAGTCGTCCAAGATTTGCGGATCAATTACTGTACCAGGACACTCGCCACTTAGAACAGGACTTCCAGTGTTTCCAGCATGAGAGTGCTGGCTGGTAGTGCAAGGGAGCCCTGAAACGCCCGATTGGTCTGACTCAACGCCAAGTGATTGCTCAGAGACTTCACCCAGATTATCACAGACCATTACATGGTCAATTTCTGGAAGGTTTAATGAAACCTGCGGTGCGGGAGTGTCCCGAAAGTCCAACGCCTGATCCTCCACAGTAAGTTGGGGCTGCGTGTTTATCTCATGTTGTAGGCCGTTATTCATGCAAACCTCCACTAGCGGTCGTGGAGGCAAAGGGTGTCGTTTATGGTTATAAGAATGAATATTGGGGTTTGTTGAGACTGGGTCGCGAGAACCGGAGGGAGACGAGGTAGTGGTGATCGAGACTGGGCTTGGATAACGACAAGTATCCAGAGAATCCTGCAGAGCCTGTGCTTTTTCCTGAGAAGGCTTCCAAAGCTGGAAGGACTCTAAACGGAAGCTACCGTTCGACATGTTATGTAAATAGGGCGGCTCAGTTAGGTTCACGGGATAAGGGGATTAGTTTTATTTGTACAAATGTAGCAGACAGGATCGGGACTTTGGGCAGGGCAGTGAGTAAAGCAGTGAATAGGGCAGATTGCGATGATGAAGGGGGAGATTTCAGGGAAGTTGGATTGCAGTTTTCCCATCTTAATAGGATTGTAGTCCCTTTTATAGACTGCGGAAATCGATCTCCTTTGCCACATAGAACACGAAGATCAACTCCCGCAGCCCAGGTGACTGTATGAGTTACGAAGATACGCAATTTCCGCACCTGGATTCTCCGCTTCTCGCTAATAGTTCGCGAGCAATCATGCACCAGCTCTGCCTCGTTTCCGAAGTGATGGTGGGGTCCTACTGTGGCAAAAGCAGATATCTAACACGCGATAGGGCACAACGCTAGGGCAGCCCAGCGTGCGGTATTTTCGCTATTGGTTTGCACCACTGTTGCATGCTGTTGAGGTTTATTGATTGGGCGTAGATCAGTCGGAGAGGCCGATAACGACGACAACTGTGAAGCCTCTAGGAGTAGATCCGCAATGCCAAGGTCTGTTCATTGTAACGTCCGATAGAGCATCAGATGTGGCGAATGAAGTGGAGCATTGAGCATTGAGGAGGAGCAACCGACGGGAACAAGCAAGCCTCGCCAACAAAAAGAATCGCGTAATGTGTTGTAGCAGGGTCAATGACGCCTTTTGCAGGTAAGTGAATGTAAAAAACAGCATTTTCAAGCAACCAGACGGGGCAACTAGATGATTTCAAGCTGACAATTGTAGTGGAAGACTGAACTAGCTGAGCGATTTTAGTCCTAGGCAACCGGAGACAGCGGTATTTCCGCGAGATGAAAGGGGCATTGCATTGCGGCGAGAGCCAATGCGCAGGCGAGAGCGGGGCTGAAAAGAAAGGGGCCAGGAGGGTAGGCAGGGTGTCTAAGAGGAAGAAGTGCGTCGACAGTTCAAAGGGATGGGCGAGCGGCGTTTTATAGATGGATGGCAGATGACGGGGGGCGGTAAAAGCGGCCAGCGTGGGCGCTAAGCCTGAAGCGGGTCAGGGGTGGGTTGCAGTACCCGAACGGGCAGGGATATGGCGAAATCAAGCAGGCGGTAGATAGCGGCATATGAATGGTTCAATCAGGGCCATTTCTGGCGCCCCGCTAACCGTCACAACAATTACTTATTAAATTTTAATTTATTACTAAGATAAAACTTTAGTAAATATTTATAATTATATCTATCATTTAGATTATTAATAAAATATAAACCCTTACTTATAACATCTAAAAGATCCTCATTATGATTATTAACTTTTAAAAGATAATTTAATAATTTATTTATAATTATATTATTATTAACTTTAAGAATAGTACAAAGACCACTATTATTACTAATTACCTTAGTTTATAGTATCTATAGATAATAACAACCTATATAAAGTATCTTACTTATTAGATTACTAAGTTTTAAGAGTATAATTTGAATATTCAGTATCAGAAAGGATCAGATATAATAGTTCCTGATATAATAAATCGGTGGCTAGATTTTCTAGAAACCGGTCCTGTAAACATATCAAAGTCTAGACCGATATAGGATATCACTCTTACTGTTACTTAGGCTATTGATAAACCAATAGTTATGAAAGTCCTAGAACAATAGTAGCTAGCGGCTACCAAGGCCTATCTGGATTACCAGGAGCTACTAGATAATAAGGTTCTGACTAGAGTAGTTTTAAAGTTTGCTCTAAACTTATATTTAAAGATATCTATCTCCTAATATATATAATTGTATTAGAGTATTGCTAGCTAGTGTTTATCTATATAGATAGTGTTAAAGTACTATATATTAAGCTAAATATATATAGAGATATAGTAAGATATCTATATAAGGATTATGGTTATTTAGGTTACCTAGGATTAAATAGAGTTATTTATTTATAAGGATAGTAGCCTAATATAAAGAAGGAATTAGAGCTAGTTATAAAGAGTTATCTGAATTGCTAGGTCTTACAAGGCCTAAAGAAAGGCCTTAAATAGGAGGTAGTATAATATCTTATTATCCTATGTATTAAGCTATTTATATATTAGGGGATTAATCTTATTAGTTATCTACCGAAAACCCTAAATAGTAATTATTAGATTATTATAGCTATTAATTATACCACTAGATAGATATTAGTATAAGCTATACTAGATACTACCAAAGAGATACTTAGATAATTTATATTTAATTAGATATTTATAAATTATAATATACTAAAAGAAATTATCTCTAACTATAGTAAGAACCTTCTTAGTAGTATAATATAATACTATATTAACCTATTAAGAAGCTAGTACTATATAACCATTCCTTACTACCCCTATACTAATAGGAAAGTAGAGAATTTTAATAGCCTATTAGGAAAGATGTTCATAAAATATCTAATAAATAAACTAATAAAAGTATAGGATCTATATCTTTAGTAAGTATTATTTATTACTTAGATCTATAAATATACTATCATAGGGTTTAGTCCCTTCTTTTTACTATATAGTAAATACCTAAGAATCCCTAGTAATTTATCCTCTATCTAACTATTTATAGATCAGATAGATAGCCTGAAAGGGTTAAGTAATATATAAGTTGTCAGCAATTCAGGCTGATTCTCTGCCTGAATTCCTGGGACCAAAAGTGGCTCTTTCGGTCTAAAGATTGTGCTGACTAATTCATCCCGCGATCAACCATTTTGTTGCGGAATGAATGGCTATTGTTTTGATCTGATCCATCAGATCAAAGATCATCTTCTCTCGTCCGAGAAGATTCGCAACCCGAACCCCGTTGTTGAGACCAATGGTTACAAGATGAGATGAAAGACTTGATCATTTCGGATTCTGTGGATCTTTCATCCCATGTTCTGAGACCTTTGGTCTTATGTTTATCTGTTTAGTCTAATGTTCTATAAAACCTGATCTTACCCCTTAGTTAGTGGAGCATCGAATTCAATCTTTTTGGGATCAGTAGTATCTTTGTTTGATTCTTTCCTTCCATTCCATCCTAAGTTTGGATCCAGCTTGGTCGTATGTCATTCCATCTGATCCGTGTTGTCTGATCTTTTGGTCTTATCTTTACCCTTTCCTCCCAAGTCCCCTGTAACTTGGTATCCCCTGTTCAGCTGACATCCTCTGCGTGACGTCATCACCTTTGGTCTGTCCCCGACACGCTGAAATAAGTAAAAGCTAATAAGCTTTTACTAAATTAAGTAATTAGGATAAATTATATCTATAACTCTAAGATCACTAAGATAAGCTTCTAGAAAGATAGCTAGGTATTGATTTAAAATAAAAGCAGGAAGAAATTTAAGAGTAAATGGTTTGGACTATACTAGGTACTGGAATCCTATATCCTTAGAACTGTGATAGGCTCTATAAAGACTGAAGCAGAACAATATAGGCCGACATGTAGTTTACATTTATGCTTAAGGAAGAGGAAGCTATAGTACATGATAGGGCATATATATCTTTCCGCGGATCACGTGTAGGGCTATAAGCGGAGACATCTGTGGTTAACTGTCGTCGAACGTGACCGTACGTGATCGTGGCTTTGGGCTTTGTCAAGGATTAACAAGCCCTCGTTGGGTTTAACCTGTTATATTACCCCCCTCCTTTAGCTGCAAGCTCCCTTAACATCCTTATAGACATGATGTGTATCCTCTTGTCCGCGGTCTGCTTGCCTTATTTATATGTGTCCAGTGCTATATATCCTTTAACATTTATAGCTGGCTCCTATGACGTCTTAGCGTAACCTATCTATTTCACCAGATACTCTAGTCTTATTCCTTGTCCGATCTTCTTGATATATTATCCTAGGATGGCTTTAACTTTATATTCTGTCTATCTATTAATATCAATCGGAGGTAGCTGTGTATCGTCGACCACCTAAGAAGGTAAGGGGTTGGCTGTGTAGTATTATAAAAGGTTAATATAGAATACTAGGTATATACTAGCAGGGACCTTAAGCTTTATATTATAAGGGTTTAGGATATTAGTAACTTTATAATATATATAGATCTAATCAAGCTTCTTTGAGATCCTTTCTGATTATATGTTATATAGGTTTAACTATATAAGATCTCCTTTCTTATATATAGGAGCTACTTATCTTATATAATTGGTGTGGCTTTCTTGTTGTTCCTATATAACTATAATCATAGCTTATACCTAAGTTATAGCTTCTTCTATTTATATAATAAAGTTCTTACTAGCTTTGGTAGGGCCTATAATCTTTTATATATTATTGTTTTCTTTGATTATAATAATATTAATATGGTATCTATAAGTAAAGAAGAAGGATAAAAGGCCTATTAAGGTAGTATCTTAATTATTAATTATTATAGCTATAACTAGTAGTATTTATTTCTAATTATCTTATATATATATAATAAACACTTATAAGGCTTATTTAACTTCTTAATTAGCCCTTTCTATAGAGCTATCTGTCTATAGGTAGAATATTATTAATAGTTATCATATAATAGAGAGTCCTTTATATACTTCCTCCTAGAAACTACTTATAAACTATAATCCTTAGTTACTACTTATAAACTATAATCCTTAGTTACTAACAATAGCTCTTAGTAACTTATGATATATATAGAAGTATATTAGGAAGGCTTTAGTAATATCTATAGTAGTTATAGAGACCATCCTAATAAGAATTACTCCCTTTATAAGCCTATCTATAATTATTAGTAAGTTTATACTATTATCTTCTTTCGCTAGCGGTAGTCTAATGATAAAGTCTATTGATATCTCTGACTAGATCTAATTAGATATAGATAGTAGTTATAATAGTCTATACTTTATATCCCTCTAGATTATTATATATCTATATACTATATAGTTCCTTATAAACTGTTATATATCTTATATTAAGTTAGACCAAAAGAATATTCTTAATAAAATCATATATATTATATCTTATCCAGGTAACCAGTAAGATAAGAATTATAGGTCTTCTGGATTAGTCCTATATATAGTGGTTCGCTCTTAGGTATCTAGATATATTTCCAAAAGTATAATAGTCCTTATTTATCTAGCTTGTATTCTATAAGTTTCAGCGTGTCGGGGACAGACCAGAGGTGTCAGCAATTCAGGCAGATTGTGTGCCTGGATTCCTGGGATGAAAAGTGGCCCTTTTTGGTCCAAAGGTTATGCTGACTAATTCATCCCGCGATCAAACATTTCCGTTGCGAAATGAATGATATGGTTTTGATCTGATCTATCAGATCAAAGATGATCTTCTCTCGTCCGAGAAGATCCGCAACCCGAGCCCCGTTGTTAGGATCAATGGTTGCAAGATGAGATGAAAGGACTCGATTATTTCGGATTCCGTAGCCCTTTCGTCCCATATCCTGAGACCTTTGGTCTCATGTTTGTTTAGTCTAAAGTTCTATAAAACCTGATCTTACCCCTTAGCTAGTTTAGCATCGAATTCAATCGTTTTTGGATCAGTTGTATCTTTGTTTGATTCTTTCCTTCCATTCCATCCTAAGTTCGGATCCAGCTTGGTCGTATGTCATTCCATCTGATCCGTGTTGTCTGATCTTTTGGTCTTATCTTTACCCTTTCCTCCGAAGGGTTCCCTGTAGCTTGGTGCCCCTGTTCAGCTGACATCCTCTGCGTGACGTCATCACCTTTGGTCCTGTCTTCCCCACGCTGAAATTTAGGTTACCTAGGACTAAACAGAGTCATTTATCCATAAGGATAGTGGCCTAATATAAAGAAAGAATTAGAGTTGGTTATAAAGAGTTGTCTGAATTACTAGGTCTTATAAGGCCTAAAGAAAGGCCTTAAACAGGAGGTAGTGTAATATCTTATTACCCTAGGTATCAGGCTGTTTGTATATTAGGGGATTGATCTTATTAGTCGCCTACCGAAAACCCTGAATAGTAATTGTTAGATCATCATAGCTATCAATTATACCACCGGATAGATGCTAGCACAAGCTATGCCAGACACTACCAAAGAGACACTTAGACAATTCATATATAATCAGATATTCGTGAATTACAGTACACCAGAAGAAATCATCTCTGACCGCAGTAAGAACCTTCTTGGCGGTATAGTGCGATACTATATTAACCTATTAAGGAGCCGGCACTATACGACCACTCCTTACCACCCTATACTAATGGGAAGTTGGAGAATTTTAATAGCCTGTTGGGAAAGATGCTTACGAAGTATCTGATGAATAAACCGACGAAAGTGTGGGATCTGTATCTTTAGCAAGTGTTGTTCGCTGCTTAGATCTATAAATATACCATCATAGGGTCTAGTCCCTTCTTCTTACTATATGGTAAACACCCAAGAATCCCTAGTGATTTATCCCCTGTCTAACCGTTTGAGGATCAGACAGACAGCCTTAAAGGGTTAAGTAATATATAAGCGAAAGCTAATAAGCTTTTGCTGAATCAAGCGATCAGGACAAATCATATCTGTGACTAAGGTCACTAAGACAAGCTTCCAGAAAGATAGCTAGATGTTGATTTGAAATGAAAGTGGAAAGAAATTTAAGAGCAAATGGTTCAGACCATACCAGGTACTGGAACCCCATACCCTTGGAACCTATGCCCTTACGGAGCCCTCTGGATGAGTGCTCTGAACCCTTGTGAATGGATCAAGATTACTGGAAGCGAATATAGATAATCTAAAGAAGTTATGGATGTCCTAGGCTACACGGTCCGCGATAAGACATACCGGTCTGAAGATTTCAAGACCTAAAGAGGTCCGAAAGATCCTAGAGGAAGATGATACCCCCTCCTACTCTGAGCTATCCACATTCACTTAAGAAGAATAGGAATAGTTCCATTATGATGGTGTACGATAGGAGCTAGTGGGGGAGGATACAATTGCTAGACATGTGATTGATCGCGCACGCAAGAAGAATCCGGAATCGGAACCACTGAGATGTGGTCGCCCGAGAGTTCAAAACCTCTCGGAAGATGACTCAGGTCATATATTATTGGACGAGTCTGATATTACCGATTCAGAGGAATCAGATATAGGCGACTTAGATAAGCAAAAGGAGGAAGATATTCCTTGGAACATGGTGTAGCCGTAGAAGAAAGACGGTATATATAGAAGGGTCGCTATTGACCATAAGTGTATGTTGATGAAGGGCCTATTGGCTGTTATAATACCTATATCTATGAGAAAGGGATCTACGCTATAGGCTACGATTACTGGACTACAGAGGAAGTGGAAACTTTGTGTGTTCGGACCTGAAGGCCACTTGTTTGTGTATTTATGTTATTTTTTACGCCGGCCCTGGAAAAGTTTTCCTCCGCCTGCGGGCCTAAAGATACGGAAGTGTTCGAATCAGGAGGATCTCTGATTCAAGATGTGATGGATTTTCACATATTTACCATGTCCTGCGCGACATGATGGATTCCTGTACCTTGCAGAGTATGATGATATATGCCCGTGTCGATTCTGACACGATAAGGTTGCTGCCCTGTAGCACCGCCTGAAGACCGAGGTATACAACTGAACTCAATTGAACGAGGACAGACATGTCACCGCGCCGAAAGACATGCTACTGAACAGACATACCACCTGTGAAAGTGAAGAAAAGATATGCTACGACGTGATGAGACCTGCCCTATAGTATTGACCTGGATCCACGTTTGCTGAATGTGAAGGGTCACTTGGAGCCGTGACTATTGCCAAGCGCTGTCTCCCTGATGTGACCGTGATCAGCCCTTACTGACCATACCTGGCTGATGAAGTTCTGGTGATTACCTGAAGGTCCAGACCTAAGCAGAAGACATGCTTCCTGGACGGGACGATCACATGAGTCCCTGACTGGACAAGAACTTGATGGGTTGTGATGAAACAACCGAAATTCTTCCCCTGAGACTGATTATGTGTTGATCTGTACGAGAACAGATGATGGCGGCCGTTTTGAAGCTTTCGCCTGGGACATTACTATCGATGTGTGTCAGAACTTGTGGAGATGGAGAGAATTATTTTTTTTTCTCCTCGAGACATGAACAAGACGGAAGTCCTACATCTTCGTCCGTTCACATGATGTCATAGGCTTTCGCCTACATAGACGACCTTACGGTCGCGTCCGGGCCCCATCGCCCGCGATTACATTCGTTTTGCGGAATTCGAGGCGAATTCCAAGATGGTAGGGGAGGATGTGATATTCGCCCCAAAATTACCATGTATCTTTCCTTGCTTACATCATGTTACTGTTATGATCGCACATCACCTGATGTCATTATGTTTGATTGTATATAAACTACTGTTATTCTATACTTAATCAAACATGCACTTTTACCTCCTAAGATCTCATTTTTATTAAATAATAATAAAGTTTATTTATTTATAAGAATATTGCAATTTAGATTATTATAGTTTTTAGAACTTATTACATAAGAATAATATTTAAAGATTATTTAATAAGATATAAATTGTCAAGGAAGACAAAGGAAACACTATATTGAGGATCATGCAGATCTATTGCCGTATTGTCTACGGGATTCGGCACCAAGTCCGGCCACACATAGAGGAGGATTCCTGTAGGGCCCGACTTACACTCCTCAAGTGTTAGTCGCTGTATCTAAGTGAACCACCCCCTCGTACTCTCCCCTTAGTATATCTCGCCTAGCCCACAGGTGTCACCCTAATCTGACAAGTTCATTACAATAGGAATATCATATATGTAGCTTTTAATCTTGCCTTTGACTCTATTAAGGTTCTGTTATCTCCTTCTACCCTGATGTGGACATAGTGTACTTAGATGGTATATGATATATCCCTACTTAGAAAATGTGTACTTTTTGACTACAAGCAGTGCTTTCAAAAACTTTGGAACGTGAAAATATTGATGCAAAATTTGATACTATAGAAGACTAGTATGAAGTTAATAGACACTGAAAGTATTACTAACAGTTCACCTACTCAGAGTCTCAGACTACCCACTGGTGCCTATTTCAGAGCATTGGCAAGGTGAAGAAGAAGTAGCTTATGGTAGATAATATCTAGGTCCTCATACTAGTAGCAAATTGACAGTGCTAGAAGTTACCTTAAAATATGAATCTATGTACTTCTATGGAGTAGTATTCGTTAGCTCAGTAATAACCAGATAGTAATATTGATATATATAAACCAAATTGTGTTATAGAATTACATGGTTAATTCAAGTTCAATTCCAATCTAAATAGATACTTATAGCGGAGTCTCAAACATACAACGTGGCCTTTTTTGTATGTTGGGGAAAGTTGATTTGGTCCGAGCGGGTATTGGATAAAGTGTTGGAACTGTGACTCCGAGGGAGCTTTCCCCTTCTACTCACTCTCCAAACCCTACACTCAAAATTATGGTACTTGATTCATATCCCTTTCCACTATCCCCATGGGAGTATTTATACTAATATCCTTGTCTATCTAGGCACAAACACCTCAACAACGTCGCGCAAACGAGCGCTTCGCCAAAAGTGAGGCCGCTAAGCGGGGGAAAGCTCCTGTCGCCAGCAAGCCGAAGCAAAGCGCAAAGACACCAATCTCCGCGAGCTGGGTCGGTACGAATCTAAATATCCCCCCCCCCCTTCCGTTCGATTTCAACCCAGAATACAGAATAACTAAGCTCTTCTAGTAATCTTGGCCTTTGTGGTCTGCGGTGGACTGATCTTGGAGCTCCTGAGAGTTGTTCCGGAGATCTGGTCAACCGTGGCCTCAATGATCTCCCGTGCCACTGGTTATTAAGGAATTACAATACCCATCTACAAATCATTTAAGATACCCCCTCGAGAACTTGAGAACTTGAGAACTCGAAATTGGCGTTTTCATTTTACATCGCCTGGTGCATGGTTCTGGATCACAACCATCACTCATCCCAACCGACAGAGAGCTCAGCTATTCAGAATCAACTATGACAGGGGCAACCCGGCGAATGAAGCCTTCTTATATTGTATTATCATCCACGAAATTCTTCTTGACTTCTAATTGATGTGAGGCAAGGAACGAACGAGGTCTCCGTTTATTTCAATACGTCTATTTTCGACTCCGGATCCCTCTTCTTCTTCTTCTTCTTTTCCACATTTTCTCCAGATTGAGTAGCATCGGGGGCCTTTTTAGCTTTCTTCTTCTTCTTCACAAGAGTCCCCTCGACAGGAATTCCCTCGGGTTGAATTCGCTCGGAGGCCCGTTGCATACGTAGACGCACCTGTTCCATACTTTGCATGGCTTTGGTCATTTCCGCATCCCCTCCATCCCTAGTTAAGATAGAATTCGATTCACCCTCTGTCGACTCTAACAAAAAATCCCCAAGTCCACTAGAATCCACCTGTAGAAGTGATCGTTTGAAGCCTGGTGTTCCAGCAGATCCAGATAAAGACGGTCCTTCAGGCCCAAGTGTTTCATCTGCTGCAACCTCCATGCGTGCAGTAGCCTGTGTGCGGTGGTGGCTCTGAATATTGACACTTGTTCTTTCGAAAGACTCGCCTCCCAGCTTTAAATCGACAATAGGGATTGAATCAATGTCCAATGAATCGCCACTGGAGGAACGAACATCACGATGTGGTGTAGATACCCCCGAGTAGGCATCCATAGAGGCGATATAGAACGGGTCATCCCGATAACGCTCTCTCCGATCCACTTTCCTCTTATCTGAGGCATTGGGGGGATCGGCTGCACCACCATAGCTGTTTTGATAGGAATCCGGTTGCAATCCAGCTGGTGCTAGCAGTGTGTGTGCAGGGGGTAACTTGTGGGAAGGCGGGACGAGATCTGCATCGTAGTAGAACTGCTGAATAGCATGATGTTTGGTTGTATCGACCAGGTAGCTGTCCATTTCCTGGAAGAGACCTGGAAGATTATCATGAAAAGGTTCATCTAAGCGGAGCTCTGCAGGCAGCACGACCCTTTTCTGAGCACTAACTGCGACTGGATTGAGGTCCAACCCGGTGAATAAATTTGGAATGACAGAAGCCAACAGGAACGGCACTCCTTCGGATTCGGATTTCAGGGATTCAGCGCCTAAGCGAAGAATTTCCAAAAATTCGATGGCTCGTTCTTGTACATCCAAGTCCGGGTGGGCGGCTAGGGTATCCAGGAAAGATACCACCCGCATCAAGAGAAAAGACATCTCGTTCCTCCATGTCTCCTGAGTTCTGTGAGACCGATTCACGCGAATGAGGACCTTAGGGATAGCCTGCAAAAACAGCTGAAGTGTGCTTGGAGGAAGGGAGACCGTGGACGGGTCGATCAGAGACTGGAGAGTTCGACTTGGGGACTGTAGATATTCTGCAAATTCTCCCGAGACCCATGCTACAGGACCCAAAACATCAACCCCAGCATTCGACGATGCAGGGAAGAGCGTTGACTTATTGTCAATGAGTAAAAGTGACTCCGCTGCTCGGGTAGCCTCTGGGCGTACCCCCTTCACACGCACAGCAACATTCCGGATTTCTGACCCGATACGGAATGCGACAGTAGTCTTCGGTCCATTCGGACCTTCTCCAATAGCTGATTCGGACCAATTCTCATCTGTATCTGATGGCGGGAGAAGCTTGACCAGCTGAATTAGAATGTGAACATACCACTCAAAATCAACGAGTTCAGAATAATTGTTCTGAGCACACATATCTAGAATACGGTGGATGACCTCGGATCGATAGTCGTTGGGCATGTTGAGAGCATCAGTGGCATGTTCCGAGCTTTTCAAGTTCTCGTATTCCTCTCCGTTGTCTGACGGTGTTGCTTCGAGATCCGGAATATCTCGCGACGAGGCCAATTGAAGTTGATTGATGAGACGGTTCACAACCATCTGGAGAGTATCACTGGTTACCATTCCAGCTGCTAGTTCTAGAGCCTGAAGCCGAATGGAAACATCTGGATCATCTAGACAATCCATAATGACATCCTGTTGCATAGAAACTAGAAAAGCATGTGTTGTAACAATGCGGTTTAATGCAAGGAGAGCCACATATTTCACTATGATTATCCAAGGATGTTAGTGAGTCTATGTATATCAGACACTGCAATAGAAGCTCACAGTTAGGATCGGAGTCCATGACAATCATTCCTCGTAGCTTCCCAACACAAAGAGCCGCCACTTCATCCCTCTCTTGTGAATTTTCCTCGCTATCCAAGATGCCACCTTGGATAATGCCATTTATGCATTCATAAAGTAGTGACATTGCTGTTGTAGTTTGAATAATGGTTGTCAATGGACGAAGGAGCTTGCGAGTCAGCCGCGGCTCTAGTGGAGTTAATGTTGCAAACTGTTCTGGTTAGTTTGAAGGAATTTGTGAGCTGGGTTTAGAAAAACCAACCAACTTGATGATTTTTATAGCCATCCAATTATTACCACTGTCCACCAGCAACTCGAAGAATCTTGGGGCCATGGGCAGAAAATCATGGGGTCGCCTCCATCCAAGTTCACAGACGACATTGATCGCCGCTGTAGTAACACTGCTATCTTCCTGTTCATCCATGAGATGATCCTTAATCTTTGGCCATGCCAACTTCAATGCCTCGGGGTATACTAGAGCCAGTCGGTAGAGGCACACGATGGTTTTCTTCCGCACGACCGCGCTTGAGTGAGAGAGTCGAGAGAGTATATCCGGCAGCAGAGACATAGCAAGCGAATGTGTGACTATATGTGGCAGGGTAGCCAATGGGAGAGACAAGGAGGGGATATTGGGGGACACAATGTCCTAGCGCCGCGAATTAGAATGAGAACAGAGAAACCCGAAGAGAATTTATAAGGGGGAACATGAGGGATCTTGGAGTACAAACCTTCTTCAGCATATTTGTTGCTAGCATGAGAACCTCAGTATCCGGTCGGAAGCTTTGAACAGCACCGAGGTATCCTACGCGCTTCTGGAGGTACTTTGCGGATGACATGACCTCCAGGACGTGGAAGGATGCCCAAGACATATCATACCCAAACATCTCGAGATAAATGAGTTTCAAAAGTGCCGTTGCCTTCTTGTCTATCTGGAATCAGTATGCGTCCTATCACATCACCGTGGAGAGCTCGAATCATAAGCCTACCGGTATCCTGCGACTTGATCTCTGCCTTGCATTCACGCAAACAGCTCTGGACGTACTCATCTTCACCACCTTTATGATTTCGAAGACCTTTAATCAGGTCATAGAGCGACTTTTCGAACCTGGTAGATATGAATTAGCGCTATGATTTTATCAGTTTTGTTGCGCGTTCACTGACATTGCATTCAACTTCTCGCTCTTGAAGCGAGGATAAATCAGCTCAATCCAGGAGAAATTGAAATTAAGACAGATCGGGGTTCAACCAGCATGGCCCTTCCATTGGACCCGAGTGGGTTGAAGAATCAAGATCCGCAGGAGAGTTGTTGATATATGTACGTAGCTCTGAATAAACGTGGGGGTGGGAGTCGATAAGCATCACGGGACCGTGTATCTCCGAACCCCAAATGCGCCCATCCCCATTGCTCCAAACTTCCCCATAGCTTCTTTGCTTATCTCCTTGACGTGGGTAACTTCCCAGTTTATTTCTTTCCCTTGTTACCTGTTACTTCACAGCTTGACTTCTGTCTCATATTTCATTGAATATGGGCGCTCCTATTAATGCCCGGGGGATCAATGGATCCGATTTGATCGCTACTCTCCACCTCGCCCAGCTGGCCCCCGGAATCCTTGGCCAAGGTTCTACAAAAGCTACAAAGGATACTGCGGAGGAGTATGGTCAGATTGAACAGCTCTTCCTGGCCTGTTTAAGGACTGGCGATGATCAATCCGCCCAAGTTTGTCTCGATCGGTTAAGCCACCGATTTGGTCCCGCCAACGAGAAGGTGATGGGACTCCGTGGCTTATACCAAGAGGCAACCGCCAAAGATATTTCTGCATTGGAAAAGTGCTTGAAGGAATATGAAAAGATCTTGGGAAAAACCCCTGTGAATGTGGTCAGTTTGCTATAGCTCCTAGTCCCGTATTGCTCTCTTAACAATAGTGGAATGCTGATCATTCAAACTCCAGCCTATTCTCAAGCGTCGAGTCGCTCTGTTGCGCTCCCTCCATCGATCATCGGATGCGGTCGCCGCCCTTATCCAACTTCTTGATGCCGTTCCAACTGATGCTGAAGCCTGGTGTGAACTTGCAGATCTTTACCAAAGCCAGGGACTCAGCGCCCAGGCTATCTTCAGTCTTGAAGAGGCTCTTCTCATTGCCCCCAATGCATGGAATGTAGGTCTACGCCGTTTCTTCGCCGTCTATCTTCACTTATATCGCCTATTCGGCCTGGACTGACCTTGAATTTCAAAGATCCATGCTCGACTGGGTGAAGTTTTCTACGTGAGTGCCTCAGCTCCCGAGGAGATTCGCCTTGCAAGCAAGTCGGTCCAACATTTTTGTCGAAGCATTGAGCTCTGTGATGATTACCTGCGCGGCTTCTATGGATTGGCTTTGGTACGTATGAGGTGTGTTTTTTTTTGAAATTGATTGTTGGCTAATTGAAGTCTAGGCCTCCTCTCGATTGTTGGATATGGGTTACGAAGCCCTATCGGATCGTGCGATGCTCTCAAAACAGACGGTGAGTCGTCTCCATGATTTCGCTCTGAAGCGATTGCGGGAGATGGTTGAGACTCGATCTGTTGATGATCAACACTGGGCCTCCAGTCGCAGCGAGCTTATTGCTGCGAAGGCTTTATTGAATCGGTTTGAGCAAAAGTCATAATCGTGATGAATGTTGTCCTATGGTCTTAATATACCCCTCCTTTTTTTTCTATCTCTCTAATCTCTTTTTCAAATGTTTGCTTTGCTTTGTTATGTAGTTGCGAGAGATGAACTCAATTGACTTCCAAGTTTCTATATAGAATAATTCTATGTAATTAAATATGTACAATTTACTATTACTCCATTAATCTTGAGTGTTAGCTCGAGTATTCCTTCTGAATATTAGTATGTCTTAAAATCCTGAATCTAGTAGATCTGGATGATTCTAGATTGGGGTTGTATATATGCTGTGGTCCCTCAAAAGATCAAGGTTTAGTGCCGTGCAGGTGCATACAGTGTGCACATGTGGCGCACAGAAGCATCAGATGGAATCTTGCAATTGAGATAAATCTGAATTGTTCGTTTTATTACGAATTATATAAATTACATTTAAACATTTGAATGTTCTGGTTCCTTAGGTTAGTAGTATTTAGTGGTAGCGTGAGGTAAATAGTACATATATACAACTTTTGAACCTGGGGGACTACAAACTAGTATACTAGGTATAGTTATCTACATTTATCATCTTCTACTCCCTAGATGTCTCTAAATGATGTCCCCTGTTGATCTCGATCCATCTTTATTTTATGATTTATTTTGTTTCTGGAGCATTCGATATAATATCAGGCCGATGATTGGGCATTTCGGGCAGCTTGCAGGGACCTAAATGACTCTTTCCTACCAAAAACCCCCAAATTGATGCCTGTTACACCCAGAGACATGCCCAATCTCCCATCTGCGCCCAATCAGTATTAACATCAGGCAGTGAATCCCATTACTTATTGGATCGAATTTTGAAGGGATTGGAGAGAATTGGTGAATATCTAGGTCATAAATTTTATTTAATTTTATTTGTCTTTTTTTTTTAAAATTATTTTTTTAATTCTTATAAATTATTTTTGGTATATCTATTGTGGGCCATATATTGATTTCTCGTTCTCTTTCTTCTCTTGATTCCTTTTCTTTCTCCCCCCCTTGAATCTCTCTCAGTAAAACCTAGGTATATCCCGACTACTTATATATACCATTATTATTATTATTATTTTTTTTTCACTGCAAGGGATTCCCATTCCTACTAAGAGAGTGAAAATCAAGTGACTTTCGATTTTTCTTTTTCCCCCTCGCTTCAATCCCCGAGTGGTTCTTTTTTTTTTTTTGTTTACTCGCCGACTCCCACACACTACTCTTTCTCTCCCCTCCCCCTCTTTTTTCTTCGATCTTGAAGTTCTTCAATACTTTAATTTTTTTTTCTTTCCCCCTCTCTTGACCCCTCCTCGGAGGCTCTAGTCTCTATGACGTATGTTTTGATTTCCCTATAATTTTCTTCTCTTTTCCCCCTCCCCTTTGATCTCTTTGACATATTTACTATTTACCCCCCTTCCCCCTCCTTGAGGCTCTTACAATCCTCCCTTGACAAACATATCAAGAGAGAAAGAGAGAGAGAGGACCCCCCCCCAAACCGCCCCAAAAAAAACCACCAGAAATATCAGAAACAATCAACTGACCTAAATTTTATTCTAGGGGGGGTCAGCATCACGATTGACCCAGCTGATCTGACTGAGTCAGACTTCTCTTCTTCGGACGAGGACTCGGTTGTGGATGTCAAGCCTCCTTCAGAAGGGAGTCATGGGTATCTGGACTACGATGGGTGGGCGGAACTGTCATATCCGGATGAATTGAACCCGGCTGATTCAGCCTCGAGACCAAGGACCTCGAACCGTAACCGCTCCCTCCACGGTTCTCGCTCGGCCTCGCGCCCTCGTCAACCAACGCGCCGACAAATGCCCGCCGAGCGCGACTTTGGTTCGCGCCCCCGGCGTTCCTCTCCACGTCATCATTCCCACTCCCCCGATCTACAGGATAGTGGCGGTGACTCCGATGACTATCAACAACATTACCCTCCACAACGTGCTCATCAAGATTCCCGGCGATATGCACAACAGGGCCAGGGCTATCCACCGAGCATCTCTTCGGGCCCTTCTTATAACCAATACGGTCAACCCCAACCCCAACCCCAAGGCCACGCGGGGTATCATCCTCACCAAAATGGCCCTGCGTCGGATCAGCTCGTTCGACTAAATCAGGGAAACCCTAATGGTCAGTACGGCGCTGGACCTTACCCGGGATATGGCCCGCCAAATGGTCACTCCATTCATCCCTTCTACGCCGAACAAGCCCACCGGGGTCTCCACCAACCGCACCCTCAATCCCGCATGGATCATCACCCACTAGCTCCTATGGGGGGACCCCACACTATGCCGCCTTACGGTGCTCCTCCATATCATCCTGAGATGATGCCGTACAACCCCAATGGCTATTACAACTATGCTGACCCATATGCAATGTATCCCGGCATGCCGCCATACGGTGCTCCCCCCATACTTTCCTTTCCCAGTCCCACCTCAACCAGAGCCCAAGGCCGCCTCTCCCGCACCAGCACCCGCCCCCACACCGGCACCTGCGCCTCCACCTGCCGAGGAGGCTCCGAAGGAACCCCCGCCTGCAGATACCGCCAAGGACGAGGCGATCGCACGATTGGAGAAATTGATCATGGACGAACGTCTGGAGCGAGAAACCAAGGAAGCGAACCGTTTGGCCGCGATTGCTGCCGAGGCGGCAGAGAAGGCCGAGCGGGATAGACAATCAGCACATGATCGCGCGATTGCTGAAGCTGCAGCATCAGAAGCGGCGGCGATAGCTCGAAAGGATGCGGAGGCTAGAGCAGCAGAAGAAGCGGCTAAGGCGAAGGAGGAGGCAATTGCGGCTGCGAATGCAGCTGCAGCTGCAGCCACAGAGAATGCTGAGAAAGCAGCCGAGGTAGCAACAGCCAAGGCGTTGGAAGCTGTACACGCTGCTGCTGCCAAGGCTAAAGAGGATGAGGCTGCCAAGGCTAAGGAGGAGGCTGATAAGGCCAAAGCAGAGGCTGACAAGGCCGCGGCGGAGGAAGCAGCCAGGAAAGCAGAGGAAGAAGCCAAGAACAGACCTCCTGTTATTGAGAAGAAGAAGCCCATCAAGTTCAAGGATGCTGTGGGGAGGAAGTTTAGCTTCCCCTTTGAGCTATGTGAGACTTGGCCGGTAAGAATACCTTCCTCGCTCTTTTTCTTTTCTTTTTGAACTTAAAACTAACCTTAAATTTCTTTCAGAGAATGCAAGAGTTGATTAAGCAAGCCTTTGTCCACATCGATGTCATTGGCCCCCATGTAATCGAGGGTCACTATGATCTGGTAGGACCGAATGGTGATATCATTCTTCCTCAGGTCTGGGAAACAGTTGTTGAGCCCGATTGGACTATCACCATGCATATGTGGCCAATTCCTGAGAAGCCCAAGGAGCCTGATCCTCCCCCTGCTGCTGAACCACCGCCACCTCCTCCTAAGCCTGCGGAGGTGAAGAAGATAGGTATGATTATATTCTCCCAGAACTACTCACAGAACTCCCAACTATTCAGGAACATGTAACTAATTGATACATCTTTAGTCCCTAAGAGGCCTCCCCCAGCTTTTACTCACTGGATGGTGGGTCGGCGTTTACCACCACGGGCCAAGAAGGCTCCTCCCAAGAAAGAGGAACCGGCAGCTTAGTTGAAGATGCTTTCAGGTTCACCTACTGAAGGAGATGGTTTTCTTCGAATCTCCGCTCTTTTCTTCGCACATCTACTCAAATTTCCACCGGGCATGGATTTCACACTCCCATAGCCCAAAATACTCTCTCCCTCTCCCCCTCTCCTGGCACCTTCCCAGAGAAGAATTCTCAAGGACAGCGCGCAGAGTATTTGATTGCTCATGTGAACATCCCTCTACTCTTTTGTTCAAAATCTGATCATTCCAGGTGCCATCGGTTTTTTTCCCCCCTTCCTCTTTTCTCCTCGGAGAATTGAAGGGATCTACATGGGAGTCTTTTGGAGAAGAGAGATATCCATGGCATGGCTCGCATTCTTAACACATCTGTGTTTCTCGCGTCTCTGCCAACCTCGTCTTGTCACTTTAGCCACGGGACAAAGATATCTAAACTTAAATGAGACATCTGGGAATATATCTGGTAATCAACCACATATATTCTCAGTTTACCCAATCCAGGGAGTGTCTTTTGGTACCATGTGCCATTTCTAGTGTAACTTTGTTTTTTTTTCTCTCTCTTCCCCCTCCCCCCTGCTCTTCCTTCTTCCTTTGTTTCTTCTTACAGGTCATGGAGAAGGCGGATTATTTATTTTGGGGAAATACAAAGTTGATGATGATGATGATGATGATTATGATGTTTTTACCTTATGGGTCCACGGGCCCTATGGCGAATGGTCTCCAAAATCGCGTTTTATCTGGAATTTACGTTTTAGTTAGCGGTTTTGATTTGTTTCTTGATTTGCTTTCTAATATTGAAAAATGAAAATTTGATCTATATTCTATTTGACCTATATCTCTCCCTATGGATTAGACACCCAAATGTGGGCGTATCTGCCTAGAGCCCAACGAAAGGGGGGCTGAAATGTACATGCACCTCCATGCTGTCAATCTGCTGCCTGGAGCGGAATTTGGACACGTAAGAACCATGTGAGTCATAGCTGACAGTACATTACTTTGCCTGGGTGTGTAAGTGCCCAGGTAAATCCTGGAGTGGACCCGGGTTAAGTATGATATCAACGAGTAAGAGAGGATCAAATACATGCGGTGTGAGAGCTGACGAGTCTAGGCCCATTTGAAATGCACGGCAAGACGATCGACTACTCTTTTAGCCTGACGAAGTGCGTTGATTTGAGACCTATGCACCACACCATTTTCATACTAGATCGCACCCAATTACATTCCTACATAGGAAGAGCGGGAAACGTCATCTCGTTAAAAAAACGTTCACTATTGCTTGATGTACACCAGAGAGAGTTCAATAATAACACGAGGGCTAAGACCAGCTAACCCCACCAAAGATGCATCTTTTTATTGCGGGAGGAGTGGTTTCCATTCGATTGGCCCATCCGTAGAATCACCGAGAAGATCCTGAGTTACACTTTGTTGGTTTGGGCTGCTCTTCATAGAACCACGACCTTGATCATCAAGACCTAAGGGACGTGGGGCTGAATGAGAACTAAGAGAGGTCGGTTTTCGAGGGATGTCAGGGGGCGCTTTTCCAGAAGATGTCATACGCAGTGCCGGCGTGGCGTCCTGCTCATTCAAGCCTGTACCCCGTCGTGGAGGTGGCGGCGGCTTTCTGTCAATAGTACCTTGCCTCATCATTCTCGAGGTTGGGACCCATTCAGGCTCAGAGTCAGTGGAAAAAGGATTGGGTTTGCGGAGAACATTTGCAACTAGTCCTTCCTGAGGTGGTTGCAGGGTTGTTCTACCGGGTGCACCTGTAATTTAGTTAGTCACTGCCTTTTCCAGAGTTGAAAGGTTATTGGGTCAAAATACCATTATCTAGCCACCACCTGTTCCGTTCAGAGCTTGCTGGTGGTAGCCCAGGTGCAATAGATCCTTGCGGCATGGGTTCTTCTTCATCCTCCAGATCTAAAAGATTTATGGAATCCGAGAGAGAACCACGCTGTTTCTCTGAATAGAGCAGTCGTCTCAGCTTGTCTTTGAGATCTTGATCGACATGTTCAATTATGCCATCGAAGGAGGCCCACACAGGCTGGTGATCCGAGACCAAGAGTTTGGCCGAGTTGTAGTGGGTTTGACGAAGGTTTGGCCCTTTCCATAGAATTCGATCACACCATGCAGGAATGCGAGCTTTCTCACTATTGAATTTGTCAGAGACGCGCCTGAGTATAAATGTATCCGGAGCACTTACGATGTATCATAGGTTTCCGTCCCGATATCATACTTGTAGGTGGGAGCAAAGTTGATGGTTCCCTCGGAAAAGTACTGGAAGGCTCTTCCAGCAGTCATTTGGAGATTCAACTATCAATGTTGTCAGAACAGATACCAAGAACTAAGTAGTAGGAGTAAGGTTACCTGATCGTTCTCGTAGAGTCTCTGGAATTCCTGCTGCAAGACAAGATCTCTCACGATTTGATTTCCCAACCCAATACGGTAGTTGAAGTCTCCCAGCCAGATGATCACATCATGATCTGCAATAGATCGATTCTTTTGGAACCGCAAGCCCTGATCAATGGTCTCATAATCACGATTGCGCTCATCGTAGTTGGCAAATCCGGCTGCTAGATGTGCGGTCACCAAGCAGATGCTGGTATTGGAAAAGTCAAATCGAATCGCGCAGCCACCTTTGTTCCCGGCAATACCAGAAAGTCCGGTCTATTTTGTTGTTAGTGTTAATAGTGGAATTGAGAAATGGAAATAATAGAAAAGCCAGGTGGAGACTTGCCTTTTTGACCGCTCCTTCAACGTTCTTGATCTCCTTCAGTGCCTTGGACTTCACGAATATCATCAATGCAGCACCCACAAGCTGGCCAGTTCTCAACAAGACATATTTTCCAGTGCCATTCAGCTTTGTGTGTGTGTTTAAACATTCCTGTACGGCTTTCTCCCATACTTTCCGGGTGCTTGGATCAGTCGACATGATTTGTTGAGGACTCAGATCAACAATTTCCTGGAATGCAACGACGAACATCACAGGATCTTCAAGTGATTCAGTTGCATCGGGGAAAAGCCAAGGAGTAAGATCAGTGCCCGGGCCTTCATCCCGGCCGTTCACATTGAATGTGCCTGCCCAAACACGAATTTTCTTGGCAGAGGAGTACTCTGGCGCCCGGCGATTGAGTTCCTCGGTGACTAAATCATTCATAGGATCATAAAGATGAACCGGCAGTTGATTTGCTAACCGACCCAGCAAAAGATCAATCGTTCTCTGTCGGGCCTTGTCAGTGAAATTGTTGACATATAGTCGAGTCGCGCTTTTCCGCGCGTCAGCAAGCGCTCCGGCAAGCGACATTTTCCCATGCCTGGTAAACGAGGATTTCAAAGCTCCGGTGCCTGCATAGATCTTCGAGAGTGCATCACCATTATCTGCCCAAAGGGTAGAATGGCGCATTTGCAAATCTGTCCCGAGTCTTGCACTCTGGTGATCCAGGAAAGATTCCAATGCCATCGAACTGATAATGGTTTGGACAAGGTTCGTGCGGTCAAGACAGTCAAGACAATTTGTTCGGAAAACACCATCCTGTTGTAGAATAACTGAGGAAGCACTAAGTGCATCTTCCCTTTCATCGAGCGATGCATTGGGGCGAGCAGTATCCTCGGACAAGAAGTAAGCAAATCCATCCAGTGAACCGGCTAACTCATACTTGATCTGATTGCTTGCCTCATAACCAGCCGGACCGCGAGTCTCAGCAAGGAAGTCATATTCTGTCAGGCGCAAAAGACTATGATGTGCAGCTTTTCCAGGGTCCTCTTTCTTTCTCAAGGAACTTCCGGCAATGTGTTGCCGGTACCTAGCCGATAGCTCTGCCTCACCAGATCTGAGCTCGCTGAGGAGGTTTACCACATGTACAGCTCCATACTCCAACTCAAGTGCCTCAAAGTGTTGATTGAATGCATGTCGCGTTGCTTCGCTGGACCGAGTGATTTCGATTTTCTGCTGGCCTGGAATTAAACCCGGGGTTTGTTCCCAGAAAATTGGTACTGATCCCCGAACTTGGACGTAGGAGAATGCAATGCCAGGGGAAACCCAGAGAATCAACTCCGATTCAACGAAGTTGGCCACATGGCCATCATCGTCAATTCCTCGAGAATTGAACCTCGTTCCAGCACGACGAGAGGACTGTCGTGAGACAATCGTCAAAAGAGACGGGAAGTTTGTCCGTATTTGCGGCAGTACGGGAATATTTGCAGGGATTTTCAGCGTGCTGGCGAACCCTCGGATGACACATGTTAATAGCTGAGACGCATCTAGCTTGGCCTTATCTGCAGGGGGTAGATGACTGCGGAACAGAAGCAGAGGATTAATCATGTATGAGTTCCACAGCATATCCTGATCCAAAGAATCAATGTCAAATGCTGCTGATTTATCGGAGCTGAATTCAAAGTTAGCCTGATACTTGTAATTTTTATACATTGACTGAGCATACCGGTCTTGTAAACGGTCTGTGAGGTTGAAGTCAAGACTGTAGTAGAAACTTCCATCCCCGAGAAGCTTTTTCAGGGCGAGGAATGGATGGTCAGTGACTGCATCGCGACCATCCTGGTCCATTCTATCCTCTGAGGCAAACTGAGCCCCAGATTCATATTCTAGACCGTATTCATATTCGGCATGATTAAGACAGTCTGTAAATGGTTAGACAAAAGAACAAGCAGATACTCCAGATTCCGCTCACAGAAGTCTACCGAATCTATCCTGGAAACACTCTCGCCAGGTCTCACAGTAGCCGCCTGTGATGATGTGGTAACCACACATACAAACAGATCTTCGTTCAGCGTGACCAGCCCCAATGTACCATGGCCGGCGCCCAAAGGCCGATATGCCTTCAAGTCCGCCGAAACAACATCTAGGAACTCCACACGACAGCGTGCGGTAGATGAAGACTTAGCATTAGTTGCATTGTAATGAAAGATCAAAACATGATCTGACGTCACCAGCGCAATGGTTCGCTGAGGCTGATCGCGACAAAGAACCCGAAGATTGTACATAGTCTGGGAGTGAAAGGTAAATCCAAACGCCTGGTTTGATCATGAAAATAGGCTAAGTAATGAATAAGCGTAGAGGTGATGTATAGTTTAGATTTTGAAATGCCCCAATGCAGTGGTGGGGGAGGAGAGAAAGTACTTCTTTATCGGCGATGTTGAGAGAGCGGATGTGTTGGAGACCCAATTGGGAATCAAATGAGCAAGTCCAACAACGACTTATTTGCAAGAAAAGTGATGATTGGTTCTCTTCCCAGGGATCTATGATTCAAATAAAATGACCAAAAAGAAAAAAAGAAAGAAAGAATAAACAAAGAAGCCCAATGCAATATCAAGGCTCACGAGACATCAAGTTGATTACATGTTGTTGGTTCCTCGCGGGGGAAATCTTATCGCCCCGCTGACTCAGCATCCCTATCTTTGGATCCCGATTCAACTTTTTTTTTAATTTTTTTTGTTTCTCCAGCGACCATCTTCAAAAAAAAGTGTTTAGAAATTTGTTATACCCATAGGCCGCCATGGGTTTAGCCGCTCCCAAAAAGTATGCGGATTTATCTGCTCGGTCACTTTACGCTCCCTCGGCTAATGCATTCGCAGGAACACGAAGATCTCTCATGATCCCAATAACACCAAATGGGCCCGATCCACGTCGGGCTTTGGCCACAAAATCATGAGTGCCCAGGGCTGGACCCCAGGCGGTCGATTGGGAGCTCGGGATGCTGCGCATGCTGATCTATTGACTGCTGCCAGTCATTCTCATATCAAAGTCACGATTAAGGATGATAATCTGGGATTGGGCGCACGTTTAGCCCGAGAGAGCGAACCGACCGGACAAGATGCATTTAAGGGATTACTAGGTCGATTGAATGGAAAGTCAGAGGCGGAGTTACAAAAGGATGAGCGCAAATCGGTTGACGTGAAGTTGGCGCGATATGTTGCGCTGAAGTTTCCCGAGGTTCGCTTCGTTCGCGGTGGACTCCTTGCTCAAGAAAAACTCGAAGCGTTACCTGCGAAGCCCCAAGAAAAGAAGGAAAAGTCCAAATCTGCTGGAAACGATCAACAAGGCAAGGACGATGATGATTCCTTCAGCAATTCATCAACCTCGGCTCGGAAGTCCTCGAAGTCCAAATCCAAGTCAAAGTCCAAGTCCAAGTCGAAATCCAAGTCCAAGGCAAAGAAGTCTCACTCGCGCTCAGATGATGATAGCGATGAGGATTCTTCTTCAGAGTCTGAGTCTAAGAAGAAGTCCAAGAAGCGGAAGGCTGAGTCTGATGAATCCTCTCAACCAGTAGTGGCTCCCACTACTACCACAGTTATACGAGAGCACCGTCCATTAGGTCGTCAAGTCTTCCGAGGCCGTCATATTGCCCAGAAGAAACGAGCGCTCATGGATGATAAGTCCCTCAATGAGGTAGGTTATAGTTCTCTTCCACCGTATATCTTCATCACTAACACTTATTTGAAATAGATCTTCATGGTGAAAGCGGTGAATGTGAAAGCATAATTTACTTTCTTGAATTTCCCTTCTTCAAAAGTTGGAGAATGTCTGCATTATTTAGATACACATAAGGACCGGCGTTTTCGGGTGTTCTTTGGATGTCATTTAGCTCCAAAATGGAATTGACTTTATTCATGACTATAACTGCACTTGTGGAAATTTCAGCTCTAAATGGAAGAACATGTATATTTTGCCACCTGGTCCTAACTTTGGAAGTACATATGTACCTACATAGTGTAAATTCTGGTTCTACAGCCACTGGATTAGTCACATTTTCATCTTTCACGTGGAAATTCAAATGCATTACATAATCTAACCCATAACGTCATCCGTCCTGCCCAGGTGCTCCTGCTTGTACTTGAATCGCGGGGAGCTTTTTGAGGTTACCTTCTTCACCACCTGGGCATCCTGATTCGGATTTCACACAATGAATGGGGAGGTCCAGTCTGGTCGCAGATCTTGTTCTGGGAGAAATGAGAATCCAGGAAGGCGCCGGTACGCCATTAAAGTCTATCAGGAACATTTGAATGAATCAAACTGACAATCTTATCAGCATTCATTGGGCCCCATGGAATATCGGGCTGGAACGACGTCTACAGACATTTTTAGTCTTATGTCACACACTCACAATCGCCATCTTTGTGACTAGCTTTTTCTTCACTTGCGCAATCCCTTTATTTTGGCCACTTCTCCTTCCGTACCTGGTCTATATCTCCTTATTCTCTACAGCACCGACATCCGGCGAACTGAAAGGTCGAAGTAACTTCTTACGGTCACTTCCCATCTGGTCGATCTATGCATCTTATTTCCCTGCTCAACTCCATCGAGAAGAGCCACTACCACCAACCAAGAAATACATCTTCGGATATCATCCTCATGGCATCATTTCACATGGTGCTTTTGCTGCATTCGGAACCGAAGCTCTGGGATTCTCGAGACTGTTCCCTGGAATCACCAATACCCTATTGACCTTGGACTCGAACTTCCGCATTCCCTTCTATCGAGAATATGCACTTGCAATGGGTCTGGCTAGCGTCTCACGCGAATCATGTGAGAATCTCCTGACTAAGGGTGGAGCGGATAACGAGGGAATGGGACGAGCAATCACTATTGTCATCGGCGGAGCTCGGGAGTCTCTGAATGCGCAACCCCACAGTTTACGGCTTGTGTTGAAAAGACGAAAGGGCTTTATCAAATTAGCCATTCGTACCGGTGCGGACCTAGTTCCCGTGCTAGCCTTTGGCGAGAATGATCTGTACGAGCAGGTCCATTCAGACCAACACCCACTCATTCATAAGCTTCAAATGCTGATCAAGCGAACTATGGGATTTACGATCCCCTTGTTCCATGCACGTGGAGTGTTCAACTACGATGTTGGACTCATGCCATACCGCCGTCCATTGAATATCGTGGTTGGACGACCAATTCCGGTGATGCAGCAGCAAAACCGCGACAAGATCGATGACACATACATCGATGAACTTCATTCAAAATATGTTGAGGAACTACAGCGATTATGGGACCGGTGGAAGGATGTGTATGCTAAGAATAGAATGGGCGAACTGGAAATTACTGCGTGAGACGACTACGAATTCTTCATTCCGAGTCGGGGATGATCTATGTTCATATGGTGCGTGTTTTCTTTCCCACTCTTCCTGATCTTCTCCATTTCCAGGAGATAATTACAATACCACATTCAGCGTTCTATTTCTTAAATAACTCTAGGTAGCATCAATATCATACTGTATGTATTATCATCTGATGTGGTAGACTTATAAGACGGATAATTCCATTTCTAGAAACAAAGTAGCCAACTAAAACTAAAATTCACATGAAAAGTATACAGATAAAAGGGGTATCAGATCAACAGGAAGTGTCAGCAAAAAGTACAAGAATAAGGCAAAAGCGCCTAACATATTAACTTGGAGGGGAACTCGAGTTCACCGTAGAAGCAGACGCATTGGGATTCAACGCAGGAACCTCCGCCGAGAAGGATACACGACGAGCATCACTATCAGTCCGTTTGATACTACCCAGCGAACTTTTCTGATGATGATGATGATGGTGGTGATGATGACCACTGGCATTTTCAACTCGGCCTTGGATCATTTCATCCAGCATTCTGGATACTTCATCCATATTTCTTCTTCGGTCTTCGTCCTTTTCACTACCCTTTCCTGGTAAAGGAGGGGCCATTGGACTGAGGGGTTTCTCAAATACATGAGTATGGTTTGTTCCGAGTGGACTAGTAGCACCAGATGCTGTCGAGTCTTCTTTGCTCTTCAACTCTGGTGAATCACTCGTTACGGCGGCTAGGTCTCGGTGTCGTGCAGCGGAACGAAGGGCAGCAAGCATTCTATCTTTATCATCCAGTTGAATGCGTAGCTCATTAATCTCCATATCCTTCTCGCGAAGCATCGCCATCATGTCCGGCTGTGGGTGTTCTGAGATGGTCGAGCTGGTTGACTTGACTCCCACCGACATCCGAGAATGGCTTGACCGGCGCGCTTGGAGTAGTCGACGCTCAAGGGTTGAGATATAGCGATTTTTGTCACCTAGGTCGGCCTGTAACGCAGTGACCTGTCGCTGGAGGCTTGCTCTGCCATCACCAAATTCACCCATATCGTCTTCGTCTTCATTTCCGAACGGCCCACCCGAAAAATGCACGGAGGGATCGTTGCTATTGACCGATATGAAAGATATAGGTCTCATGGAGTGACCAGCACCCAGAGTTGATTGACTAGCGGATGACCGCAGCGAGCGAGTTCCATCTGTGGCAGACATTCTCGATAGACGACCAAATGCAGAGGAAAAACTATTGTGATTATTAACACCGGTGGATTTGGAGCTCAAGATCAAGCGATTGAGGTGTTCAATTCGTTCCTTGAGTGCAGTGCGGGCCAGCTGCATTTCCAAGACCTGCTCTTCATGACGAGCCTGTGCCTCCTTTTCAAACTGTTGCTCATCCCACTTGAGTTCTTTCTCTGCTTGAGCCTTCGCTTGACTATCAAGCTGGCCACGGAGAGCTTGAATCTCCATGCGGTAACGCTCCAATAGAACCCGGCTACCAGCGTCACCTCCACCAGCACCATAGGCTTCTTCGGCCTTCTTTGCGTGGCTAACAATGTTATTCTTCGCTCGTGCAGCGAACTTCAACGTATTCAGCGTTTCTCCGGAGTGTGCATTCACACCCGAGACCAGTTGAATCGTACAAAGGATACTGACGAGGGAATTTCCTGACAAAGCGCCCTGCAACAATCGGGTCAATTTGCTATCTCTGTACGGCAAATGCCGACCTTCTTTGTCCATTGGATTTCCCTGTTTATCCTTGGAATCAGAGAGCTTGGAAATGATGTTTCCTAATGTGAGAAGAGACTTGTTGATATGAGCTCCCTCAGTTCGACGCTCCTTGTCGTCAGCCGCTCGCTCGGAACCAGCCAGATCGATCAGACTCAAAGTCGAGACACGGACTCCTCCAGGCGCAATGCCAGAGCGCTTGTCTTGGGAATTTCCGCCTGCGGGCACTCGCTCTCGACTCTCGACGACAATTTGCACAACCGCATGACTTCGCGAACTACGCGCATTGAACTGCGTACTGCTGGTCCGTCGGGCGTGATCACCTCGTGCGATTACACGGAGCAGCTGCGTCGGACTTTGCACAATTTCCTCCTTGAGCGGGGTCGCATAGACTCCTCGTTTGCTATCTTCGCGCAATTTAATCTCCTCCTGAGGCGCAGCCGTACCATTGGCAGCCGCAGTTGAGGCGGAAAGCAGGTCATGAATCCTTTCGTTATAGATCTCCAAATAGCTAACGCGAAGGAGAAATTCTCGATGGGGGGTCTCTCGGATGAACGAGAAGATATCTGTAATGGCGAGCGGGATTACACCGGGAGATGTGGCTGTGCCTTGCATGGAGAAGGTTTTACCAGTTCCTGTCATACCATAAGCGAACACGGTTCCATGATAACCTTCCATGACTCGTCGAACCAGTCGCTTGGCAGCCGAGTCATACACCTTGGCGTTATTTTCATGAGCCGTGAATACATTATCTGCGTTACATATTTAGTCATCGTATGTAAAAGAAACATGGAAACTTTGGGGACCTAATTTAGACTCACCATAATAGTAATCACCTCCATCTTTTCCTCGATGTGAGATCAAACTCTGCCGTCCATCCACTCCCCATTCGCCATGGTTTCTTGCAGTCTCCCCCTGGTTTGGATCCGGCCGAACACGCACACTGACAAGAACATTGCCCTTGGTTTCCTTTGGTTTGGCTGATTTACCTCCCGGATCATCCGCATCCTCGAATGTTGTTGCACTTGTGGAACATGAACCCTGAGCAGACGAACTTCTGCTATGCGAAGGCGAGCCCTCTTGGTCGCGTGCATCCGCCAGTATTGACTTTCCATCTGCACTCCCGTTCAATAGCGATGGGGTTTTTGAACTTCGATAGCTGCTTGTGGTTCCGGTACTCAAGCGTGAGCCACGCTTGGGTTTGGTACTTGTTGTTGTTGTTGTTGTTGTTGTTGTTGTTGTTGTTGTTGGAGTGGCCGTGATACCGGATACAGACGATGCAGTCGAAGGACGACTTCCCGCTTTAGGCGGCTGTGGAAACGAGGCGATGCTGATTGTTCGGCGCAAGGTTTTTTCTGGGCTTCCCGGTATGCGTCCATTAGATGCGGACCGAATGGTAGTGAGATTGGATGTGGAGTTGGAAGTGGCCAAGGGCGATCGTGCCAGCGATGGCTTGGGACTTGATGGAGTGCGCAATTTTGAAAGCTGTTGGTATGGCGACGCGGCTCGGGGTGTTTCTGCTGGGGCAGGTGTGCTTTTTCTTGGTTTTGAATTAGGGAGAGGGGGTAATGCCCCGGTCGGGGGGTTGGTTTGCCGCGACGGCTGAGGCAGGGTGGTCATTGAAGCCATATCTCTTCACCCCCTTAGATTTGAAGGGGTCCGTGAGCGCACTAGGATTCAAGAGCCATACGGGAGTTGACGGGGATATAGTGGTAGAGATAGACCGGTTTGAGATTGGAAGACGGTGAATCCTAGACGGTCTGTCGCGTTTTTGACACTGGAGCCCACACTAATTAGCCGGGAGTTTCACCGTAAGAAAGAATTGTATGAAACAAGGAATGTATATATGTAAGTGCACATAGCATATATAGATCCAATATATTTCACATATATTGGAGGAGAACCTGATTCCATGTGTGGGAAAGAGGGGGGGGGGGGGGGGGATTAACGGGACGGCTTACGGGTCCAAACAAACATACGTTCTGAGATTGCGATGACAACTGACGCGTGGGGATTTGAAAACGACGTACAGCAGTCCAAAAGAAGTATTGCGAAACAAACTGAAAGGACCGGGAATTGATATCGATGGGGTGAAAAAAAGATAACTTGAAGAAGTAAGAAGGAGGAAGAGAAATTAAGTGGCTTGGAGTTTACTTAGTTCTCCCCCGCAAAAAAAAAAAGAAAGGACAAAAAAGGGCATTGTTACAGAGAGAATATTTCAACCTACATATAATATTCATGAATACTGTACACCTAGATACTTTCAAAGTGCAAATGTCATGAGAATCAGGTTTTTTGCTACCATTCTCCTTCAAGGGAATCACTCAAGTGCTGTCTAACTAACTCCTTTCACCCTAGTTATCTTCTAGGGCTATATAACTTTCCCTTTACCCCTGGATGATGTGATGGTATACTCCAAACTTCCCAAGCCTTTAGAAGTATCTATGTCACACCAGTGCAGGATCAGATCATCACAAGTGACAAGTGACAAGTGAAGTCTAAAGGGGTCGAGAACGAGGGGATAATCCCAGGGCTTAGACGCACGGAGGCAAGTAATATAAAGTACGGAGCACGGGAAACAGCTTATCTTGAGAATCAACAGGCATTGGAGGTCAAAGATCCAAAAAAAGGGGGCATCCGGAGTACATTACTGGATTCATAAGAACTCGAGAAGAGCTTTAAAATAGCGCCCCTCTTCTCAAGCTTAAACCAATGACTGATCATCAAGTGGAGAGAAAGTGGAAAGTAGCGGATCAAAAGAGAAGCCCCCAAAAAAAAGAGAACAAAAAATAGGGGTTAACAAATGAAGCTCATGGGTTGATTCTAGATGAAAGTAATTTCAGTATGACCAATTAGTGTATAGAGTGGAGATATGGTGGTTCGTTTCATGCCGTTTCATGAACCCTTCCAGCTTTGTCCGTGCCTAACGTCCGATGATCCCTATATAAAGAGGATCTTCAAGACCCACCGATCCCGGCCCCGAGCATTCATGTCTCAGTACGGAGTTGGGAGTAAGGAGTTGAGGTTGGAATGTGCGCATATTGGACAACATGACAGGTCTCGAGAATGTTCATGGAATAGTTTGTATAGTTTTGTAGATCTCACTGCTAATAAAGTGTAGGTAGACAGATGCCAGTGTCTATGAGTCCAAATGTCCTATATATCAATTAGTCATATGAAAGTACGTATACGGAGTAGAATATCAAACAATCATCCTCAACGATGTTGTAGATCTGGCAACAGAGAGATAAGGTGAGGCGATAATAACAAGGTTGGGCATACAACATGAATCATGATTGCTGCACTTGCATAATGCAAAGTGCCAAATAATGCAACTTGAAAGTACGACACGGAATACTCCGTCAAGTAAGGGAGTAACAAAAAAAAAAAAAGACGAGAATATATTAATTCAAGGTATCACACAATTATCATTATTTCATAGCCCCGAAATCTAATTGCCGAGCCGCATTCTTGAAAGGCCCATCATCATCACCGCCACGTCGACTCAAATCATCTCCCATCTTTTTGGTCCCCATCTTACGGGGTAGATCTTCATTCCGAGTTGGCTGGGGATCCATCGTCCACCAATTATGACAGAGGGCTTGATACGCTGTAGTTCGTTTCCGGGGATCAAGAGCACACATCGACATCAACAGATCAGCACCCACCGGACCCGCGGTAGGGAACTGGCGAAGGAAGAAATCCCGACCCTGTAAGGGTACCTGGTGTGCTGGATCAGTAGGGATGTAATTGGGTAATTGTGTAACCCCCGGCCAGTTTTCTTCCGCTGGGGTACCAAACGCGTCATTGATTTTGGAAATCTGATCAAGATCGGTGTTGCCAGCTACAAATGGTACTCGGAGAAGTAACTCCGCAAACACCATGCCCATGGACCACACATCCACAGCTCCGGAATACTGTCGGGCTCCGTAAAGCAACTCTGGTGGGCGATACCAGCGAGTGATCACTTGGTGGGTCATGTTGAGATATGGATCTGCGAAGGATCGGGCCAGACCAAAATCTGCCAGTTTGACCTCTCCATCCGAGGCAATCAACAAGTTGTTGGGCTTAATATCTCGGTGCAGCACGAAGTTCTCATGGCAAAACCATACTCCTCGAATGAGCATTCCCATCCAAGCCTTAATATCCGCTGCACCATATTGAATATCGCCGTCCTTGATCAGCATCTCCAAGTCACCGCGAGGAAGAAACTCCAACACCAGGTTCAAGTTCTGATCCTTGGAAGAGAACACATCATGCAGGGCAATGACATTGGGATGTGATAATTCTTGAAGATATTTTACTTCTCGAATCGCGTCCATAGTCAATCCATCTTTGTATTCCGCATTGACCTTGATCTTTTTGATAGCAACGAAGGATGATGGGTCCTCGCGTAGATGTCCCAGGTATACCACAGCATATGTACCTTCACCAAGCTTTTTATCTAAGATACTGTCAGTATACCCGTAGTTCAGCTTTTAGAAGATCCCGAGAATCAAGCTACCTTTCACGTATCTTTGTCGGACGTCAGCATTGAGCTGCTCCGTAAGTTCTTGACCGGAGTTCAATATGGGTGTCGAGGACGTCGCCTGAGTTGCTGCACCAAGACCATTCTGAGCTGCAGCTGCCCTTAGCCTCAAAGAATTTGGTGAAGCCACTGTCATCGAGGGCGACCGAGAGGTAAATGGTGAGCCCGCCATGATGGAGGCGGGGAATGCGGAGGATTTATGTGGTGGGTATTTCGAAGACAAAGGATAACAGGGAGTGTTAAAAATGATCTAAACAGCAATGAAGCTGTTTTAGTAAAAAAAAAAAATCAAGTATTCATCTTCAATCTTGAAAGTCAAATGCAATCCAAGACAAATGAAAGATTAGAGGTGAATTGAAACCTTGCAAGGACTCATTCACTGTAGAATACCCTCGGAGTATCGTTGATCCCGTGACCGCCCGAAATTTCTCTGGGACAACATCAGAAGAGTTGCAATCCGCGGGTTAATTAGTCCACTTCCCCTTGGCCATCTAACCTACCAGGCCTCAATCTAAATCCTTTTCTTTGTTATTCCAGAAGAATAATACCTCAATTCCAGAACGGCCAGGTTTGAATCCTGGACCCCTGGACCAACAATCATGGCCATGCGCGCGCAACAGCTCCGCAACTTCCCATCGCGGCTTTTCCAAAGCGTCAGTCTCTCAAAGCAATGCACTCGACCATTGCACGGCAAGACTCCCCTCGCCGTTCCCTCGCCAACCCCATTCGTTCCCAATGTTCAGACCTTCCTCACATTGATCGGCCGGGAAATGTCGAAGCATGCCAGCAAGATCCCCACATGGGATTCACTTTTCACTCTGAGCTCCGACCAACTCCGAGAAGCGGGCGTTGAGCCCGCCCGCTCGCGAAGATACTTGATGCGGAAGCGCGAGAAGTTCCGTAGTGGATTGTACGGACCCGGCGGCGATCTGGAACAAGTGGTTGATGGAGTCGCTCAATTGCGAGTGGTGGAAATCCCATCAACACAGGAAGAAGGGTCGACATCTGCTACATCTTCTTCCGCTACTTTGACACCTGGTATGAAGAAGACCATTGTCAACATGCTGCCTGGTGTTACAGAATACACACACATCCCTTCTGCTCAGCTGAAGAAGTTCGCCCACATGAAGATCCACCGCGGGTCTAAGATCATGGGTCCTTTCCTTCAGCCCGTGAAGGGAAGCCATGGTACAGCTGCTACCATCTCAGTTCAAGAGGGTATGTGGGAGGATAAGCGAGGACAGAAGGTTGATGGTGGTGAACGACGCCGGGTGGAGGTTCGGGCCAAGAGACGGTTGGAGGAGAGGAGGAAAGCGTAAATGGGATAAGGGTGGAATGGCGTTTCTTGCATAGTATTTCTTGAGCCCTGACGGTCCCTAATGGCCCATGTGTTTCTATTATTTCCCTCTGTACTGTACTATACATCTATCCACATGATCTTTCAAGATCTCTTCATCTTTGTTCCCTTCAGGGTTGCTATGTATAAGCATGCTACGAAGCAAAGTGCGTGGGATTTTTTTTTAATAAGATGAATGGATATATTCTTCAAGCCATGCTATTATAAATAAATATGGTAACAATATCAACACAAACAAGGGTAACCTCTAGCCATGGGCAAGATGAATGGAATCAAAACAAAAAAAGGTAAAATAATGTACAATGGCAAGAGTCATTCAAGGACGTCAGGAGAAGGCGAAGCATGAGCAAGCTGAGCAGATTAAACATGACAGCTTTCTGCGGAGCCTCTACAACGTCAAAGAAGGGTCATTATGTGTAAAGATATAATCAGTGTCCAGTTTCAAGCGGCTTTCTCTCAATTGGAATGCTTTCCCTTTCTCGAGGTTGTAGTACACAAACTCATCTATTCTTTAGTTCCACGCTTCTCAAATTGCACGAAGGACTTGCCAAGGGGCTTGGAAAACAGTGACTAGAAATAAATCAGTATACTTGTACGAGTTTCAACAAAGTGGGGTTGAGTAAATCGCTTACCGAGTAATCAGTGTCAGGGATATCTTTGCGAGTAGGAGGGTTGGTGAATCGGAATTGGCGCACCAGCGCAGCCAAAATCGTTCCCAGCTGGACGTAAGCGAACTGCTCACCGATACAGCGGTGACGACCCGCTCCGAAAGGAAGGTAGGGGCTGTTAGTACCCTTGCTAACAAGACCATAACCGTAGTCGATCTGCTCCTCATCATCCTCGTCCTTGGCTGCAGCGGCATCCTCGTCCCAGCGGTGGGGGTTCCACTTCAAGGGTTCAGGGAAGTATTCTTCAGATCGGGCAGTGACACCAGGGGAGGACAGAACATTGTGGGTGGTGGGGATGACATAGGGAGTTCCCTCGACAGGCATGGGGTTCTTGACGGCACGGATGATGGAGTGAATAGGGGCGTGAATACGGAGAGTCTCCTTAATAACCTTGGAGTGGAGATCCAGCTTCTGAAGATTCTCGTAAGTGAGAGGAGGCAGATCCTCACCCAGAACGCGGATTTGTTCCTCGTACAGTTCATCCATGATTTCAGGGCAAGTAGCCATACGCAGAACAATCCAAGCAGCAGTAGAGGACGAAGAGTGTTGACCAGCCATTAAGAGAGCAATCATCATGTGAGCCACCTCGACATCAGGAATCGGGGTACCGTTCTTGTAAGTGCAAGACATGAGGTTCCAGACCATATCCTCCTCCTTCTCGCCACCAGACTCACGGCGCTCGCGGATAATGTCCATGTAGGTCTCGGCCATCTTCTTCTGAGCGGCATCACGCTTGCGGTTGTGAGGCAGAGGAGCCCAAGGCAGCATGAAGTTGATTGGCGCAAAACCCTTGTCCAGATCGTGGTACATCTCCGCAAAAGTCGAGTCGAAGCGAGCACGCACTTCCTTGCCTTGAAGCGAGCGGGAGGCAGTGTAGATGGTGATTTCGGAAATGATCTTACTAACATCAAACGTACCCTTGGAGGCCTGGAAAGCGGGGGAAGTCTTAACGAACTCATCGACTTCGGTGGTGATGAGGCGAACGTAAGACCGGAGGGCTTCAGAGGTAAGGCCGAATTTCACGAACTTCAAAACCAGTCAGTTCGGTTCCTTTGTTTTTTCAGTTCGGTTCCTTTGTTTTTCAATTGAAATTGAAACTTCTGCTCGCCTTACCTTCTTCTGTTCCATGAGCTTAGAGTTGGGGCAATCGTAGACAACATGGCGACCGAAGACCGGGGTGGTCAGTGGCGAATACACCTCCTCGGCGCAAACATCACGCAGCTTTCCATTCAGGATGAACTCGTTACCCTTAGTGCCCAGGTAGACAGTAGTCTTCTTTCCCAACAGAACGAAGGTGAAAATATCACCATACTAGGAGAAAATGTAAGTCAATGGCCATTTCATCGGATAGGAGTTGTTTCTTCTCCCCGATGGAGGCACTGAGGAACCCGGGAGTCACGAACCTTTGCGCGGCTAGCATGGAAGAACTTGTAAGGATCGATACCATAGCTAATGGTACTGCCGACAAAAGGAAACCAATGGAAGACGACGGGAGGCTCATGGGGGCTCTTGAAGAGCAACTGGCGCAAGACGTTGATGATCACGGAGAACGCGATAAAGGACAAGGCGCCCACCGAGACCAAGGTGTAGATGGATTGGGATGAGCAATGCTCACAGAAGGAGTCGATAAAACTAGAAAAGAGACCCATGATGCCGCAGTGAGACGAAAGAAAAGAAAAGAAAAGAAAGTCCACAAGTTGGACACGATAACGGGTAAAGGAACCTTGGAAGGGGGGGGTGAAGACAAAATAATAATCTCTGTTGTCATTCGATGAAGCGTAAAAGGAGACCCGCTTCTTGCCCCTGTGTCGACGCAGGACAGTCAGGAACCACACCTGGCATACTACATAGGTTAGTACACAGCAGATTCCCTTTTTTTTATTCTATATCTACTTCTTTTTATTTTGATATTATATTTCATAATTGGTTTATCCACCAATCCTAAGCTCTCCAATTCACTTCATATTTGAAAAAAAAGGGGGTAAATCATGCCATGCGGCAGTTTTCATCACGCCACGTCGGAGGCAACATCCGCTAGTACCTGACGATCGCACGATCTATGGTAGTATATAGAGTATAATGTAGTGGATGAAGTACGCCATGAAAATATATTATAGACTCGTGAATTTCAGTGGAATTGAAAAAAATATGAATTGTCCAGGACCCATTAGTCTCAACTATACATTAAGTATATCACCATTTTACCAAACCCACTCCCTGATCTTCCAGTACACCAACAGTACACCAACGAGGGACAATAAAAGATGCAGAATGAAAGAACACATAAGAATTTCATGCGGAACCAGGTTTATTTGGTTCGAGTTGGACGCTTTTCATCATATAAGGGGGCATCACCATGTTGCCCAAGGTTCACAAAGTCCCGAGAACCACTATTCTCACCGGGAGATTGCTCTTTATTCGCCTTGGCTGGTCGGTTATGAACTCGCTTGCCAGCATCGTTCTTGTGGACGAACTTAACAGGTTCACCACCACCTTCCACATGCTCACTGAACTGACCATCATTGACACTGCTGAGCAGGGTTCGTTCTCGTTCCATCTTGCGCTTGGAGAAATCCAATTTGCCTAGAGCACCCGTCAGACCATCAGTGCTATCTGTGACACTGGGATATTTCTGGGTCATCCAAGGGTGTTCGAGACACTCCTCCACTGTGATCCGCCGCTCAACATCCACAGTGAGCATTCGATCAATCAGATCCAGGGCTGGATCGCCCACGGAATCCCAGTAAGGTGAGGGGTAGTCAAATTTGCCCATCTTGATCTGCTGTGCCAATGTATATGGATAAGCCCGGGTATGCAACTCATCAGAGAAAGGTGGAAAGCCACAGAGGCAGATGTATAGAACCACTCCGAGAGACCAAACATCCACAGCCTTGGTATACCGTCGTCGACGGGTGTCCTGCAGGATTTCTGGAGCAACGTCTATCAAAAAAAAAAATCAGTTTCATCACTTTTAGTTTCACCATGTTAATCAACCTACAACTGGGTGTACCACACCTATTTAAAACACAAAGTTAGACTCAAGTAGCGTAGAGCAATATGATAAAAGGTTTCACTTACAAGCTTGTGGTGAAGGAATCCTCGCCGATGATCTTAGCGAGACCAAAATCACCCAACTTGACGGTCATTTTCTTGTCGGCAAGCAAAATATTCTCCGGCTTGATGTCTCGGTGTACAACTCCTCTCTCATGCTGGATTAAATCATCACGTTTAGTTTCATATTTGGTTCATCGCAAGCCTGGGGAGGGGGTATTTACCAAATATTTAAGCCCTTCTAAGAGCTGTCGGAACACATGACGGGTCTCAGACTCACTGAGCTTTTGCTTACTGACAATCAAATTGAACAGTTCACCTTCAGGTGCCAACTCCATCACCAAATAAGCCGCGTCTGGTTCATCAAAAGTGTCTTTCAAACAGAGCAAGTTGGGGTGGTTGATTCCCTTCAAGAGAGCAATTTCTTGCTGTAATGCAGTATCACCTTGAGACTTTTGCGAGTCACCCGGGCGTCTTTCAAACACCTTGGCTGCATATTGCTTACCTGTGGACCCCTCAACGCACAGATAGACCGCCGCGAAGTGGCCTTTGCCAAGCTGACGATGAAGCCGGTACTGCTGGCGGAAACCACTAATTTCTCGAGTCCGGGCGTAGCGAAAAACAAAGCGGGCCTCGTTGAGAATAGAAATCTCATCACCATCTTCCAGCTCTCGATTCTTGTTTCGTCCAACAAGGGCATCGTTCACAAAGGTGCCATTGCTGGAAAGGTCTTCTACCAAAGCAACGACATCGCCTTTCTTTTTCTCCTCAAATAAAAGGAAGTGCCTATTTGATATCGTAGGGCTATCGATCACCAAGTCTAAGTGGAAAACGTCAGTTGATGCCCTTCTTAAAAGCCAATGTTTTCCACCTACCACACTCAGGATGACGGCCGAATAGATATCCACCAGGTGCCTGTCCATTGCCGGGCTTGCAGGCCTTTGACTTGTCCTTGGCAGAATCGGCCCTATTTTCGCAACTATTACGCGTTTTCAAGACAAAAGTCTCATCCACTTTATCATCTAATGGGATCAGGTATCCCCAGACGCCCTCTTCGCTTTCATCTTCCACCTCATCGGCAAATGCTCGAGGTGGGTAGACAAACTGCGATAGAGCTTGTGTATCCCCTGGAGGCGACGATAACACCTGGGAGATTTCTGGCGGGGGAGACTGTTTGCGAGTTCGACTCGGGCTTTCTGGGGGAGTAACCGTTACTCCGTTGCGAATGTCCGTTGAATGAGCGTGAGTCATGGGGGTTGGTAGATATTCATGGTTGACTGGTGTTTCCACTGCTTGCTGCTGGCTTGATATCCGCTGAGATCGGCGTGGCTTTTTCAGGTCTTGTGAATCGGCATCCACGCTGAGCTAGAAGTGGAGAGCGACCAGGGTCAGTAAGGTACCATACTTAGAAAGAGGGAACCACGTACCCTGCCACGCTTGAGAGCACTTTTCTCTTTAGGCGCCATAGTTCTAGTTTTAACGCACACACCTCTCAACTGTATTCGCAGACCAATGAGCTGTGTTAGCTGAGTAGGCTTACTGTGACCGAAGCGCGGTTAGGAATGTAACTCGGCGTTTCCAGGGGATATTCTGATATTCCGTATTATTGTTTCGTGCTGATCGTATTGATAGATATGAGACGATGCAATGATAACTCAATATCTTGGAAGTGGGAGAGAAATGAAGCTTGAACGGAGGAGGAAGGAAGAAAGTTTTTTCTGTTTTGATCCCACAGCCAGGTACAATCGAGTCTTAATGGGGGAGGTTCTGGGGTTCTCCGCCCCGACATAGCCCACTTTGTTATATATGGAACTAACATCATACTGTAACACATCAGACTAAAATAGAAGGGATTGGACGGATTATAGATTGTGAATTAAAGAATAAAAATTATAAAAATTAAAGCTAACACTACTATGTAGTTATATATACAGAATACTTATGTTAATCTCCAATCTACAGGTACTTCTGGAATTGATTAAGGACTAAATTTTTTTTTTTAAAAAAAAAAAACAATGTGAAGTGTTTAGTTCAGAGATTTACACTCATACGCATAATAATATTTAATATAATATAACTTATACTAATAACTAGTCAGCTTATACCTTATACCCTTCTTTTATGCTTAACCCGTGGACGCGTATATCAACCTTTGGAATGTTAGGCGCGCCCGGGCGGTCAATCACGATAAGATGATCGGGTTCGGTCTTATCCGTCAATGATTTTTAATCGTGATTCTACAAACCCCCTTTGCGCCCTCTTTTTCTTTTAAATGCTCATTTGATCTGTACATCCAGTGGGCGGGTCGAGATCTTCCTGCGATGGTCTCGCCAAGTCTTTCTTGTAGAGCCTGCAGTTCCACCTGCAGCCTACAGACCCTTGTTCATAGCGGGTTTAGCTCAATCTCCGCTCATTCCACCCCATCTTTTCTTACATCCTTCCTTCGAAGACCTACATGGTCCTCAATTATTGCTCGAAATGCATTGAATCTTGAATCTCGCAAAGCTTTTCACTCCACCCCAACCCGGAATTCCAATTCTACTCCCTCTCGCATCTCCTATCGGGTTTCCGTGTCCTCATCCGGCAAAGGCCGCCGCTTCCACCCCCTCAAAAATGCATATGATTTCGATCCGAACCTGTCAGATGCGATAGGTGTATCCAAAGATAGGAACCCGGCGACTCGGCGACGAAGCCGTCCAGATAGTGGCGAGGATGCTTTTTTCGTGAGCCGTATCGGCACACACCGACAAGGCACACAAGCTACGGGAGACGCGGAGGCAGTCGCTTTTGCAGTCGCAGATGGTGTGGGTGGTTGGACCGAGTCCAGAGTGGACCCGGCTGACTTCTCGCATGGAATATGTGGCCATATGGCGAATGCAGCTTTGGCTTGGGACGAGTCTGCTGAAAAGCTGCGACCCAAGCAGCTCCTGCAGGCGGGGTATGATCAGGTAGCCGCTGATCCCAGCATAAAAGCTGGAGGAAGCACTGCATCTGTGGGTATTGCGCTACCGGATGGTCGCGTTGAGCTGGCAAACCTGGGTGATTCGGGTTCGGTCTTGCTCCGTCTCGCTGCCGTGCATCATTACTCTATCCCACAGACTCATGCCTTCAACACCCCATACCAGCTCAGCATTATCCCTCCACGCATGCGTGCCCAGGCCTCTGTATTCGGCGGTGCATACTTGGAAGACTTCCCCAGTGATGCGTCTGTCACCAACATTCAGATGCAGCATGGTGATGTGCTCATGCTTGCTACTGATGGTGTCTTCGACAACCTCAACAACCAAGATATTCTCAAGCTTGTTTCCAGTCGTATGATCCTGACTGGAGCTTGGACTGCTACTCCGGAGTATGGTATCGGGGTCTCAGACAGCCTTCGTGATCTCACCGTCCCGGGTGGACTAGCCTTCGCGTTTCCTCCCCCGCCAGGAGCGTCAAAGTCTCAAAGGGACATGAAGGAGCATGATAAGGAAGCTTCCAGTCTAGGAGCCAACCTGACTCTGCAATCTCTACTTGCAGCCTCCATTGCTGGCGAGGCCAAGATGGCCAGTGTTGATATGCGCCGGGATGGACCCTTCGCCAAAGAGGCTCAGCGTTATTACCCTGGTGACCACTACCGTGGTGGCAAGGTCGATGATATCTGTGCCCTTGTTGTCGTTGCCATAGACGAGAGCATCGTCTCAAGTGGTAGCTCTGAGTGATGACGTCCATTTCCTATGTTTTTTTGTCGTATGCTGAAGTCTTCGTGGGCTGGGAGGTAGAAATCACGCTTACATACTTCTTATCACTGCATTCGGGGGCGCTGCGGTTTTGTCATTTTGGGTGGCGGTGCCAGGTACATATACGTCTACTATATGTATGAACTGCTGGAACCGAACCATTCGTGCTTGATTCTGATACCTTTTATTAATTATTGATAGACTTCGCCGTGAGGCATTTGTAGATATCAGATCATTTGGATCTGTACATATTCAACCATGACCCATCTGGGCATTATCAACTTGAACATCTTCAACCTAAGTTGTCTGGGTCCCTTCTACATCTTCTATTCAATCTGTAAACACTCGTTTCATCTCATCGCTCCCCATATTCTCACCATAATCAAGCGCAGTTCCCCATGCACCCTTCAATCTCGGATTTGCCCCATGCCTCAATAACCACTTCACCCTTCCACCGCCCCAGCCATAACAGCATGATTAATAGCATAGACCGGAGTCATATGACAAGTCTCAATCCTCTGCTTGACATCTGCGCCAGCATTCACAAGATCATCCATTATGGGAATCATCCCGATATCAAATTCCTCACTAGGAGTGACTCTTCCAGTATGTGCATTGGAACCAGGCGGAAGAGCTCCGGCCGCAGAGTGTAACGGCGTCCCATTCGATACGCACGCACCCGCGTCTAGTAGCATCCGTACAGCTTCGATGCTTCCCTTCCTCGCAGCGAATTCTAGAGCAGCGCAGTAATTATCAAGACCAGCTTTCAGTGTTGGATCGGCAACTCTCCAGCCTACATTAGGATTTGCGCCATGGCATAGGAACCAGTCCAGAAGTGGGAGGTTCGTTACTATGGATAAACTTGGAAGGAGAAGGTCTTCTGCTTCCTCTACTTTATTAATATCCCAGCCATGCTGAATCAAGAGCTCGAAGAGAGGGATTTGAGAAGGGACTGGTGCGGAGAGAATATTCCTTGGTGTGGATCCTACGACTTGTGCACCATTCTCCAGGAGATATGCAGACGCATGGATGCGTCCGGCATTTAGTGTGATGAGTAGAGCCTTATAGAGTTTGATTGTAGAGAGATGATTCGATTTGATAACTGCTTGTATATCCGGAACTGATCCTGTTTGACAAGCTTTCTCGAGGGATATGATATATCCAGGCTTTTCGCCAGATAGCCAGTGCAAATTACTAGGCTCTTCAAGAGGCAGTTCGTACCATCGTGCACCCTTTAGTTCTCCTGGTCCCGGGGCTGTCCCCATCACACTGACAAGACTTGGCTGGCCCTGGGATCTGTCTTGTTGCTTGACTATCAATGTTTGCATTTGTTGCCCACGGGCTTTCATAATACGCTGTCACTGCCCGGGAAATATGGTATGATTATAGGGTAGTCGCTGCCACTGGGCTCTCATCATATTCTGTCTCTCTTCTGGTGACATTCTCTGCCAATGAGCTCCCATTAGTTGTTGTAGCTGCTCTGGTGAGATACTTTGATTATGGGATGGCTGGTGGGCTCCCATCATCTGATGTTGCTGTGTTGATGACATGGTGTGATCACAGGGTGACAACCTTGCAAATGATATTTATGTTTCAAGATCCATGAAATCAACGGCAAGAAGACTTGAGAGTGGAAGCCTAAGTCGAGGGGTCACATGACAGTTCAGATAGAAGGCTTGGACATATTGATACAACATACTAGTCACTGGCACATATACATTCATTTAGTAGTCTGAATAACAAATACTAGTAGAACCCGATGCTAATGTCCAGGAACTAAAATCCAAATGTTTACAAGTATGGTCCTTTAGCTAAATCCTACAAAAGAACTTGACCACTCAAGTGTTAGTGCTAAGATGAATCCTTTCTTTCTACACGGATTTAGTTAATATCTTGTAAATTCAAAAGAAAATAAGATCCTCATGTCTCCTGAGCAAAGTGAGCTGTAACTCCGATGCACAATGACCAGATCCGCTACAATGTACAGAGAATAGAAAAGGAAAATAATGAAAAAGAGACAGAGAAACAAATGGGGGATAAAAGAATTCCAACTAGAGAACATTTTTGGTCATTGACCGATATCGTAAAATGTAAAAGAAACACTGTAGCTGGACTATGCCAGCATCAATCCCGAGATCTGACTACTACATGGCGAGAATGGGTTATCAAGAGACAAGAAACTGTAGCAGCAGCGGGATAAAAAAACAAAGAGAAAAACATCCAGAAGAACAAATCAGAGACGTCACAAGCAGAAACGCCCAGACCCAACCTTGAAAACCCATGATAGAATAGAAAGAGAACAAGAAACAAACTTGCCATTGGCAATAGCAATAGCACATTTATTCCTTACTCGGATTTCTCTTCAGCGGGCTTCTCAGAATCAGCATCGGGCATGGGGGTATCATTAGTAGGCTTAATCTCCGAATCCTTTTCCTCCTCAGTCTCGACCTTAGGGGTCTCAGCTGACTCTTCCTTCTTGGAAGCACCGTTGGCAGCGGGCTTGTCGTCTTTGTCCTCCTTGTCGGTCGAAGCAGCGGGAGCATCGCTGTCCAAGACGCTCTTCCAGCTGGACAAGATAGCCATAGCACGCTGACGGAAATTGAACTCTTCATCACGGGGAATCGAGTTGAGCTTGATAATCATCTTCAGAACCTTGTTGATCTTGGTCGAGCGAATGATAGAAACCTCCAAATCGGCGTGCTTCTCCAACTTATCAAAGTAGGTGGCCATGACGTCCATCTCTTCCTCCTTGGGAGGCTGGTCGCGGGAAATGAAGCCCTTCTGAAGCTTGTGACGCAAGAACAAAACTGAGTAGCAAGTAAGCTCTAAGTGACATTTATAGGGGCCTATGCGTTGCAGGTTGACTTACTCTCTTTCTCCTTCTTTTTCTTCAACTCCTCAGGGTCGACCTGCTTTTCAGGCTCCTTGACCTCCGGGGTCTCCTCCTCATCGCTGGGCGCAGCTGCAGCCGCAGCCTTGCCCTTCTTTGGAGCAGCCTTCTTAGTCTTAGTGGCCGGGGTCTTCTTCTTTTCCTCAGCAGGAGCCTTCGGAGTGGTCAATTTAAGCTTGGTCGCGGTCTTAGGAGTCTTTGCAGGCTATAATAGATGGATTAGTTTCCGCGAATACCGAGATGTAACATGTTGCAGTGACTCACCTTCTCGGTCTCAGCGTCGGTCTCGACCTTCTTGCGCTTCTTGGTGGACTTGGGTGTCTTGGTTTCCTCGGCATCCTCCATTTCAACGTCGGTCTCAGCAACCTTGCTCTTTCGCTTGGTCTTCATAGCGGCCTTATCAGCCTTGGCCTTAGCCTTCTCTTCGACTTCGCGCTCAAGTTCCTGGCGCTCTTCCTCCAAAGCGGTTTCATGCTCTGCCAGGACCTTCTTAAAATGGGCGAGATCGTTACCCTCCGAAGCAACCTTGTAGGCGCCAATCAGCTGCTTGGTCTTGTTCTTCTCGGAGATGTTCTTGCAATCCTCCGGATCCAAGGGGGTCAGGTTGGTGTTAACAACCCAAGCACTAGGAAGTAAGTTAGCATAAATGTCAGTCAATGCGCAGAACAAATGCTAGATGAACAGAGCCGAAGTAACAGGAAACGGCCCGTAGACAGGAGAAGCTTACAATTCATTGGTCTCGAAAAACATGACAGGGAAGGTACGCTCATGGGCTCGTCGACCACCCTCAGCATAATCAGCGCGGTATGTACCATCCTGCTGCAGAGCAGTAACAGGGCGGGTGTCCAAAAGGGAGCTAGGTAGGATCTCCTCGTCGCAGATGATAGCGGGCCATGGCGCATAGCTGCGCAGACGTGCAAGGAACATGTCGCCAGGTTTCGCGTCAAGATGGGTGAGGCGGGTCTGTGACTTCTTGCGGTTCAACTTCTTATCGGCATAACCGGTGGAACGGCGACGGTCCTTGGAGGATTTCTTAGCCGAGGCAGGAGTTCCGTTGGGCTCATCAGCTTCAGTCTTAGCATCAGCTGAGTCTGGATGTTCCTCATCTTGGACCTTGGTCGCATCATCAGTGGTGTCAGGCTTCTCAGCCTGTGCTTCAACCTCGTTCTTGTCGACGGTCGTATTCGTGGTTTCTGGAGGAGGAACAGGTGAATCAGCGGACGTTGGTCGCACAAACACAGAGGTCGCAGGCAGGCGCTGCCCAATATAAACAGCTTCCACCAGGGGAATATGATTCATGTATAATAGGATATCAAATTTGAGCTTACCAGTAGGCTTCTCATCAGCAGTGGTGGGTTTGTCCAGCTCCATCTCAGCTGGCTTATCGGTTGCGGAGGTAGCCTCTGGCTGATCAACAGCCTCAGGCGCGGGGACAGGTTTCTCATCAGCCATAATGGCAGACAGTAATGGGTGGGGGTGAAAGATTGCAAAATAAGAAAAGGAGGGAGGTGTTGTTGTGAAAGAAGAATGGGTAAGAAGGTGTGAGGTTGGAAGATGTGGAGAAGGAAGAGTCGCGCAGGGGAGCGCGGGAAGAGACGCGTTAGGTCGGAGAAGGAGTGTGTCTCTGGGAACGGGAGGAAGCGCCCCAATGACGCCACAACTTAAGAACTTCCCACCAGACCAGACACGTTACAGTGAGATACCAGAGACTGGATGGTCTTCAGGATATCTCCTTATGAATATCCAAAGCACAACCAACCTGTTAAGATGTGGTGTGAGCTTCGGATGGGGAACACAATAGAAGAGGGTGGCCGGTAAAGGTTTCACAAGCTCTGAATCGAAAACAGATATTGGAACCTACCTAGGCCAGGCCTCTTTGATCTTCGCTCGCACTTTGATTGCACAATCAAATTGGTCTGGAAGAGCTAGGTGCCAGTTTGCAAGTTGACCATATCATATTATGTCCCACTCCACAATTGATCAGATTCGATCAGACTTGAGACAGATGCAATCAGAACCGACTGAACCAATGTTAATAATGGACTTCATTCAAATGAAATGTGCCCTTCATCTCAAGCAGAGTGTACTGCCCTTGAAGATAACCATACCGCGGCTGATGGACCCTTGACAATGTCCCTGTCATCAATTCGACCTGATTCTATAGGACTCCAACTTCCTCTCTTCAACCATAGCATTAGCTATACCATGATAAATGGCGTTATAGCATCAAGCCTGGTTATCGGAAACAAGCCAGGGGGCCAATGGGCTCAGGGGGCGCATGCCCATCATATTGAGGCAGTGGTGATACTGTCTGTAGCCATTGAGGCCTGCAAGTACGGTGTTTCCCAGGGATGGTCATGTCTAACCAGATAGACTGTTGAAGATGTCAATTCTGGCCTGTCTATTCGCCTGTTCCTGCAGAGATTGAGGCTCTGTGAATGTTTCAGCAGCTGTGCAGAGACCAATGCTTCCAAGGTTGCATGGTGACAAGTCTTGTTACCGGATATAACAAATGAACCAGAGCTTAAGTGGACTTGACGACAGTCAAGGACTTGGGCTTATTACGTTGAGACAGGAAGGATGCAGTGGGTAGTCATCCTACCTTGCAACCAAAGGGGTTTCAATCCATCTTGAATTGATGGATGACACGTGAGGTTCAATCATGGCACGTTACTGGGGATATACAGCCTATGTGAAATTGTTAACAAATGCGCAATGCGCAAAGAACAATGCCTGTATGGTGACAAACCTTGTTCTGTAAACGATTGAGCTGAGCTCGGAGCTTAAGTGACTGAATCGACCACACTCCCTGGTGTTGGTGATTCAATGAACGAGGTAGGAGAATCACCATGTCGAACAGGGCAGGAGAATTAAAGTGTCAAAGAAAATATACCAGCTGACTTGAGTTCTGTTAGCTACTTGAGCTGAATGAGACTCGATGATACCGGCGGTGATATAATTTGGCTGATGGAGATGAGTGTTCTGGAAGGGTTGGTGTGGGCGAGGGACCTCAGACTATCAGATGATTATTGTTATAGGCAAATTGATTAGTCGTCAATATATTTTGTCTCGCCGAGACAGTCGAATCTAGCGCTGCGGTGGATAGGCATTGCACTGACAACACCGCCCTCCTATACATGGATGCGTGGAGCGTTGATATTTCTCTCTTTAAATACTAGGTAAGCCAATATGTGTAAACTAGCATGACGCATTTTATGATCCATTTATTCTACCTATAGATCGCGGAATTATCATATGATCATGATATAATTGATGTTTCCTCTATCATTCTATAGATCGCGGCCTAGCAAGCACTTGAGAGGAATCTACTGACGAGAGTATACTTAAGAATAACATTTTCCCATTATATGCACAGCAAATTAGCCACTGAAGTCTCAATGAGACTAGGGTCATTAGGAACAGGGTATCACTGCATTAACATGAGCAAAGGCTGTACATCCAATTCTGGATCCACCTTATGCAAGTATGCGGTTTCCATCTTCAGCCTCACTGTCCGAGTCGCTCAAATTATCCACCTTCATCTCTGAAGGCTCAGGTTTGCATATTCGTACAAGCCAGAGAAAGTAATCCTCCAGCGGCAACAGGTTCAATAACACGCCATTCAACTGCCATCCAAGGACACATACCAGGGTGCCTGCAACAGCATCAAGAATAAAATGATTTGCAGTAGACACGATGGCAACCAGGATGATAAAAGGATATAAGAATCCAAGTAACAGACAAGCTAAAAGATGCCAAGACGGTAACCGAAGTCCAAAGTTGCGGATTAAACGGATGCGAACTGCTCGTCGGTGGCGGAAACGAAGAGGGATGGTCATGATCGTAAGTCCAATCATAAGAGAATATCCGAAATGTAAGGAGGGCATCGCCGCTAAGATCAATGTTAGATGACCAAACCATAGTATCAAAAATGCCCATACTGACCATATTGATTGCAAAAGCGATTCTCTGTCCAGACACTTCCTGCTCCATTGGAACCATGAACAGTGTCCACAAACCCATAACTACGACCCAAGTCTGCATCGGGCCCTTCTGCAGTCAGGTCACTGAGCAATCGTGGTGGCATGCATGGCCATAATGTAAAGACTACAAACGCCAACAGGTTGCACCCGGCTAAAGTTCGACGGCGGGCTTCGTAAAGAAGTGGACCTGCCGGCGATCCACTCACTGTACCTCGAGGCTTCCCAGCTTGAGGCTCATCGACCCGGTTCCGTGTGATGGTATAATAATAGAGCCAAACCAGAAAAGCAATTGTTCCAGGGATATGAATGAAGGAGTATGTCCAGTTGATCCATTTCATGGCTAGAGGGTGGGTAAGGAAATATCGCTGAATCTCAAGCTCCCAAAAGATACCCAGTCTCTGCTCGAGTTGGATTATTTGCAGGGCGTGGTGACGAGCCACATCGACGGTCCCCTCCTGGAGCTTTACAGCGGTGAATGCTCGACCAAGCTGGTAAGTCTGTTAAAAAAGTCAGTCTCTGATATGTTCACGTTTATATCGAGCTAGGTCCATTTTACCCAGTATACCAAAGCCCAATACCAACATTCTGCAAGAAATGGTAGCTTCCCAAGCAACCGACTCAATAAACGATCTTGAAAGATCTCAGTATTGGGAGACTTCACACGCCACGATAGACCCAGTATGCCAACCTGCCGTGTCTGCCATCGTTCATCGTCAAGTATAGATAACGGGGAATCTGCACGCGGGCTCAAGAGACCATCCTTGGGTGTTGGACTAGCGTATCCCGACTCTAGAGAATCCGGAGAACCCGAACGCACGTATTCGGAGGATCTTCGACGGTGATGCTGGATATGACTTCTCGAAATGAAAGCGTCTGTACGTCGGTTGATCCAAGTACCACCAAAGAGTAAGACGATCACCACGAGTGGTTCTAAAACGGCCCCAGCACCCATTGTGGGGTGTTCGTTCTCGGTCTCAATCTATGCGATTATCGACGGCTCTCTGGATTATATACGATAAGGCGAATTCCATGCATGCAAAAAGGAAAAAAAGACAGCAGGATATAATATAGACCCTTTTCTGGTCATAAGAATGAGCAAAGAGAGGGGGGAAAAGCACATGAGTAAACCTGGGCCAGATTCAAAGAACTCCAGGGGAGGCAGGCACCATGTCCCGAGATTATTTACTATTATTTGATATTATGTATTTTGTTTCATTGTTTACCACATAATAAATCCATTGCATAAAAAAAACAGAAGGAACGGGAGAACCGGAATCACCGGATGAACTAGTCCCAGTTGATGAGTTTACTTGGCTTTTATAGACCCATTATGAGTCTCGGAGACCTGGAATTCTGCATAATGTCAGCTCACAACTGTCGCGTGCTTCACATGCACTTCGTTTTCGTATACAGCGGAACGACTTGGGTTGAAAATATTTGCAGGGAGACGTGGCGGTGTGAAATTTGAGGATGGCCTTTGTTGATGACACTGGATAGTACTATGCAGTTGAAAACCTGGAATTTACCCCTCAGCCCTGTCCTAAAGGCTTGAACGCTTCGTAGATCAGGATCTTAATGAAAGAACGAGGGAGTACGGGCCAAACCTCGATCATTCGGCTCTGTACGAGCGCCGAAGTCCGGTCTTTGTCGGAGTATAGAACCTTGGAAAGATAAATCTTGGTAGGCTTGCAGGATCCATGGATCCATGGATCAACACAATTAGTTCTTCCATAATCCGAGATATGATGGATCCAATACTTCCCAAGGATGTGGACCTTGTATAGAGCGGAATCGGCCTTATCACCTGAAGAGGACCACGTACATGCATACTTGGCATTGAGCTAGCATGATTTAGGTAAATGACAAACAGTGCCGATTTACGGATACCGGGTACATGGTATTCCGTTCAAATGCACTGTCATTCCGAGTCATTCAAGTTCCAGACACCCATGACATGACCCCAGGACTCGATGTATAAGTGGATATTCCAATCGGAGATGTCAAGTACCCGAGAGATTCTCCTAGACATGAGGATTTCAAGTTTATATGTCAGAGCCTGAATCCTTTAGCCCCGAGGGTGTACTCTGTATGGCCAAGAAGTGTTCGAGTTCAAGTTATCATCACGCAGTAATATTTTGATGGGGATCTATTGTCATAGGTAGTCAAAATTGAAATTTTTGAAAATGGATATGTCACTCCAGGCTGTCTTGTACCCACAGGTGCAAGATATTATCATCAATTGATGATATTAATCTGAGGTCATGCTGATTCAGCTCTGGAGATGGGTCCATCCCGAGGTCGTGGTGAAGTCCACTAATAAGGTCTTGAGGTCACTTCAGATATCCCGAGTGAAGTATATTTGACGTCAAATCCATATACTAGTACCCTCAGAAATTCAACATTTCAACTATGGCGAGTCTTATCCAACAAGAGACAAACAAAGATGTTGAAGGTAACGTCATATATATCATGATCAACTTCTTAAATTCTGGTAGCACACTACTATTATCAAACCTTCAAATTTTAGTTCTCTAGTACCTAGGTAGTAATCATTTCCCTTTTTGCACCCATTCACACACATACTAGTCTCAGGCTACGAGTACCTAGACGATCCATTTTCGACCCCAGCATCATATTATACCATCTCCTTTAAAAACATCTGATATGCTTGGAAATACCTCCGTCTTCGCAAAATCTCTGAAAAATGCTCAAATCACAAAAGTAGCTAGCGGCCGATCCCAATGCCTGTCGACAAAGCGGGCTGCGCAGGGAGTGACTCTGCTACAAGATAAACAAAATGGGTATGGCTTCGCAAGATCCAACCCAAGACCGACCAAGCCAAGATCTAAGGGCGTCACCGAAATCCGAGGTCCCTACTATTCGGTATGAGAGATCGACCTCAAGTTGACTTCAGATACTCATTATGAAACAGGTAATGGGGAAGCGCTATCTAGCTGACGTACTCGAGACGTAACGCTTTCACTATCAGTTTTATTCTATTGAGGTCACACTAACAATGACATAGAATGGGCCACCATGTGGACGGGTTGAAATTTGCTGGAGGTCAGTCCTATCATCGTGGAGACACATAGTAACAATACTGAGACTTTTCAGGGTCTTTCTCGTTATTTGAGGAGAAACCACTTCGTGAATTGATTGATATGACCCATGAACATGGTGTCTATGTTTCAACGGTATGTACTGCATGATATGACCTGCAGTTGTCAACCGGTCTGACGAAATTGGATTGTGTTCTATCAGGGCGGCTGGGCGGAGCACCTTCTCACACATGCCGACGTTGATACTGTCTTTGACCGCTATCTCAAGAAATGCAAGGATCTGGGGTTAGTATATCCCAAGCGAATTACAGTCAACGGATAATTGACGGAAATAAAGATTCGATGTTATCGAGATATCTGCCGGCTTCCTCTCCATCCCCGGCGATGACTGGCTTCGTCTAGTTGACAAAGTCCATTCATACAAGCTTACGGCAAAACCAGAGCTAGGAATTCAGTTTGGAGCTGGCGGAGATACTCCTGGATTCAGTGTTGGGACATCCGATCCCGGAAAACTTGTGGAAATGGGTCGCAAGTTCCTTGATGCTGGAGTGGAGCGGTTGATGATTGAGTCTGAGGGCATTACCGAGAATGTCGATACATGGCGGACGGATGTGGTGTCTCAGATCATGAAGCAGCTACCTTCTGAGAAAGTGATGTTTGAGGCTGCAGACCCCAAGGTGTTCAACTGGTACATTCGCGAGTTTGGTATCGATACCAACTTGTTTGTCGACCATAGTCAGATTGTACAGCTGACATGTCTGCGGGCTGGGATCTGGGGAACAGCAGATACCTGGGGAAAAGTGGTATCATTCAGGTCACAATAAAATGCTCAAGATGAATGCGAGTTTTCAATGCGCATGAGTTTGGAACCACAATTAGTATTCAATATTATTTTTCAAAATGTCGATTGTCGGTGATCATGGTGATCACATTGAAAGGTTGAAAATGGCGCGCTTAGTAATAAAGACAAGCCCCGAGTCCGGGGAAAGTAATTGATCAACCCGCAACATCTCAATATCTTTTTACCTTCATTAAATCGTGCACAATGTCATGAACCCTTTGTTTCTCTCATCTTGAGCCTCGATAATTCAAAGACACACTATAATACCCCGCGCTTCGATGACCACCCGCCGTTGTCGGACGACCCACTAACCCGACCATCGGACAAGCCGCAACAAGCCGCCAAGGTGTGATCAGGATGCCTCGAGCAAGTACTGTACCAGGAGCTCGGCTCCGGTGTCGCCGGGCTTGCGACAGCTGTAAGCGGCGGAAACAGAAGTGTAACGGCGAACAACCGTGCACCATCTGTGTCCAGCGACACAAAGAATCAGAATGTCATTTTTCAGATCGCCCCGCGCGCCTTCTCAAACCCGAATCCAAAGACTCGACCATGTTACTGAGCGAACGTATATTGCCCACACCGCAGCGGGCAACAGCGATGGATCGTCTTTTGAACTCTCTGGAAGATCGAGACATGAACCTGGAGCAACAGACACGAGATGATAAGGAGGGGACGGCGCCAGTCCCCAAGGTGGCACGTCTTCTCCGTGACGGACAGGGCAAATTCATGTACATTGGAGACTCTGCAAGTCTGTCATTTTTGCAAAGTGTTCGGCGTGTTGTATCATCATCTATTGGACGCTGCGAGTTCACAGAAGATAATTCGCGACACTCGATGCTGGAAGCGTTTCAAAACAATCCAACCACCCATTCAGGTGCCCTTGTCCCGCCACCCAGCAATGAAGAAGCCCAGAGACTTGCACGACAGTATGTTCTGGCAACAAGTCCTTTATTGGATTTGGTTGACCTCGATGAATTCTACCCCCGGCTGGCCAATTGGGTAGAGAATCCCTCCGGCGACGAAGACACTGTCAGCTCCATCTTCTACCTTGTGCTTGCCATAGGTGCTCAAGTCTCAGATGTCAATCAGACGATTGCCGAACAGTATTTCAGCAGTGGCCGTCAATTGGCCTTTTCCGCATTTCAAGAAACGCCTAGTATCCATACTATCCAGTCATACATCCTGGTATCGATGTACATGCTCGGTGCATGTCGACGAAATGGCGCATTCATGAATCTGGGAATCGCGTTGAGAGCTGCTTATGCAGTTGGAATTCACAGAAAAGATGCAAATGCACTATTCTGTGGACGCGAGCGACGTGCTAGAGAACGGGTATGGAAGAGTCTTCGTATGGTGGATTTATTCCTCAGTGCCTCGCTAGGACGCCCACCTGCTACATCCGATTACGATTACGATATCCGTGAAGATGCATTTGCATCTGGAGACCAAGGCAGCTTGACCCCGGATAAGCAGTTATCTCTCGCAGTGACCTCACTGTGCCGAATCTTTGAACGAATTCTTACAGATGTCTATATGAAACAAGTCATTTCCATCAATGTTGCTGAATCGATCTCAAATCAGCACCGCGCCTGGGTTCGAACGTTACCTAAGTTTCTCAGGGATCAGACGGAACACATCGATAATAAATCCATGGAGGACAGTTTGGCTGCGGCTCATGTCTTTGGTTCTTATTATTGGTCAATCATTCTGCTTACACGACCATTCCTCGTCTACCGCGTGGCCCAATACGTGAAGAACAAGGCTGATCCATCCGCAAATGGTCAGAATGGCAGCTCTCGCATCTCACTCTTTGCTGATGCATGTGTCTATTCGGCGCTTCGTGGACTGGATGTCGTGGATGGCCTAGGTCGGTTCGCATCACTACCACATCGACTCCCATTTCTCATCAACTCAGTCTTCAACTGCGCTGTCGTTCTCGGAGCCGCATTCTTTGCAGACTACGATAATCTTTTACCTTTAGAAGAGGGTCTGAACAAAGCAGAGCGATTCCTCGAACTCTTCGTTCCGCATGACCCCCACGCCTGTCGCTTTTACCAGATCATAAAGTATCTCCGTCTTGCTGTCGCTGAGTATATCCAACGACGAAATCGTCAATGGATGGATCGACGCAGCAGACAAGTTGATCAACTCTTCGGCCAAGTCGGTGGTGGAAACCAATCCCAATCCCCCTCAAATTCATTTACACCAAACTCGGGCCATGACCTTCCTCCATTAAATCGACATGATGACCCTCACCAGTCGCCCATTGTCCCTTCTCCGATCTCACCTAGCAAACTTGCTGGTAGAACCCCTTCTTCTTTCGTCGCCCCACAACCACCACAGGGTCCTCCTATTGGTCCCCAGCAAGTTGGCGGGGACATCTGGGATTCACTATATAACGGCGCGGATGCATCGGCCCTTTCGTATGATGCTGCCATTTCCGCCCTTACCACCTCTGGTATCCCTGTAGGTTGTTCCCCCGGCGGAACTATTCCTACAGGACAACAACCTACTTCTGGTGGCCCATCTCCATTATCTGATGTGATGTTCCCTGATAATGGCTTGCTGTATATGGCTGAAGATCTTCCTGTATTCGGTATCTGGGATGAAACTTGATATTGTCGATTTATTCTCCCCTCTGCCCTTCTTGCCCTGTTAGACTTCCTATTTTGGTCAACATTGAGGCTTTCTTTTGTACAAACAATGACGAATGATGCTATGATCTTTAATACCATGTCTACTTTGATAAGACAACTTGCACTTCGAACTACTCTTTACATTGAGCTATTTGGCTTGGTTGGCCCTTTTCAATTTGAATTATATACCCCCCCAATGCGGCAATCTCAAATTTCAATTACAGCATCACTACTCAGGTTACTCAAGCTTCTCGTATGAATAAAAGTGTACTTTGCCTAACATCCTCTATGTACCAAACATATGTACATTGTCCAGTAGAAATTGTAGCTAATAAAGCCGTGAGGATGTAGCGAATACGACATTTCTGCACGAACAGCAAAGTTGTAGGAGATGAAATAGAAGAAAACTTATAAGCGTCGTCCGAGGAACAAAAGAAATGGGAAGTGGGATGAGAACGTTCAAACAGGATAAGCATTACCATCAATCGGTGAAATTATATGACGAGACAGGGGGAAGAAAGAGAGAAAGAAAGAGAAACGTGAGATATGAAAATGCTAGTGTTGGAGGACGCGAGGGGAGGGTGAAAATGGCAATAGGAATCAACGATAGCTCGCTAAGTGGAGGAGTTTTGCTAGGAAACTAAGCTTCATGGCATTTCGATGCGTGCTGTATTAGAACCGATCAGAGACAGAAGGCCATGAATATGTACGCTTTGTCAACGTGAAAAAGGTTGGTTCAAACTTGACAAGCTGGGGAGGGGGTGAATGTATTGAACTTCCGCTTCCAGGAAATATGGAAAACCCGGTAGATAGGAGGGAAAATCCCATGAACCGAGTTGACGGAAAGATGGCGTTCTACGTATGCACTCCAAAAAGAAGAGCATAGATACAATGCCAAAATTAGAAGCCGAATGGATTGTTAGGCGCTGTTTGAGTTAGTAATCTGGAATTTGATTTCAATTGAGCTGGAAAACACTTACTAGCTTGAGAAAGGTTGGCCCTGAGTCCAGTCGGCTGCAGTGCAAGTTTCTTAGGCGCATCTGGTTTCACGCCAAATCTGACAGATGGCGGAGGACCAGTCTTTTGGGGAGACAAGGGGGGTCGCCGTCGGCTGCTGTGGAATAGGAGGCACAGGAGGGGGAGGTTGGTTGTAATGCGGGTTGCCGTACCCATTGACTCCAGTAGGTTGAGGTTGCAATGCTGGAGGAAGCACAGAGTTGATACCAGTCTGCATGGGCTGCTGGGGTTGCGCATATCCATAGCCGGTAGGCTGAGGAGCCATTTGCTGGAAGCCTGTTTGATTTGGTACCATGGGCTGGCCATTGAGCTGCTGTTGCTGGATACCGAATTGGGACTGAGGAGTGAAGCCAGTCGGTTGGGGCATCATGACACCACCCTGGAATTGATTCTGTCCCACGAAGCCCGTCACTTGAGGCTGTAGCTGGGGCTGGAAGCGCTGCTGGTTCAACTCCGTCAGACTTTGACCAGGAGGAGCAACTGGAGGCCCGGCCAGAGGAACACCAGTCAGTTGAGGTTGCAATGGAGGAGGGCTAAATGAACTCTGCTGTTGCGAGAAGTTTTGAGGCGCGGACAGAGGGCGCGGCGGGGGAGGTGGCAGAAGCGAATTCTGGTTTACGCCCTGAGGAGGCTGTGGACGTTGTCTCGCTTGTTGTCCCATCTGAGCTATTTGGGTGAAAAACCCAGGTGTGGCGCCTGTCTGCTGAGGTGTCTGAACGGGAGGCGCCTGCACGGCAGTTTGCTGGGGCTGCAGAGCAGGGATACTTGGTACAGGCTGTACTGTTGCGGGTGGAGCTGGTGGGGTTATAGGCTGAGCTGCCGTAGGTTGCAAGGGAGCTTGAAGCAGGGATAGATCTGCCATGGCCCCCGTTATTTGCTTTTGAATGGGAGGCTGAGAGCTGGCTGGGGCTGCAGTCGGGGGTGGAGATGAAGCAGTCGGAGCGGGAGGAGTGACTTGCTTGGGTTGCTTAACCTCCCAAGCATCATCATCAAATCCACGAGTAACCGGTGGCTCTTCCTTCTCTGGTGCCGGAGCAACTGGGGGAGTCGGAGCTCGCTCTTCCTTCGGCTTTGAGCCGTCTGCTTGTTCAAAGGCTTTCGGGTCCACAACATCGCCGGCTTGAACAGAGGGCGCTGGTCTTCCCTTGCGGGTGTTGTTACGCAGTGTACCGCCTGGTCCAGCAAAAAGTCCACCTTGACCACCATCTTCGCCATTACCAATGACCTCCTCGCCCCCGAAGCTCACATTACGAGCCTTGGATTTAGTACCTGTGCGGCCAAGAGTGGCATCTAGATGACGCATGACTCGCAAAATATCACCTTCCTTCAATCCAAGAGATCGAAGAGTCTCTGGCGCAATATCAGACAACACAGACTCATCCATCGAATCTTTGATGAAGTTTTGGGCATATCGTTCACATTGGTGAGGTCCAACACCGGCCTTGAGGAAGAAGTCAAACCAATCGTACTCAGGACGTTGCACAGAAGCACCGGCGTTTCCAGTTCCCTTGGCGTCAGACGTAGCACGCTTGCGAATGCTTGAAAGAGGCTTGTCTTCATCTAGAGAAACATTCGCAGTCCTTTCCACGTACTCCAAGTCCTCGACCGACATCTTTGCAACGGGCACAGCAATCTTGATGCCATTGGTCTTGTGCAAATGAATCTTGCCGTCTTGCAATCCGATGAACTGCGCCTCGACAGTGAAAGCCTTGGTTCGATCCGTCCATTTTCGCACTTTGCTGGGATCGGGTTCTGAAAAATATAGAATTAGTTCGAACTCTGACCAAGGCAGACCATATCTGATTACTTACTTGATTTTGATTTACTGTCCCGTTTGTTTCGCTACAGTGAAATCAAATTGTCAGCTTGGGATTTTCACGATGTAGAACTTGTGCTGAACTAACCTCGCCCGACTCCATCGAGTCCGACCTGCTCTTACCAACAGCCGCTTTGGATAGCCTAGACTCTTCCCTCCGATTCTTCTCCACTGTTGACAGGCCTGGCTCATCACCCATTAAGTTCTTTGTCACGACGCCAGTGATCTCGACATAGCTACTGGGAACCACGCCTTCTTTTCCATTCTTGAGTACCTTCACCATCCACCATTCCTCAGATTTGGTATCATCGATAACAATGACTTCATCGTTCACGGCGACAGTCACCTCGTCGTCACCTTGAGCGATGAAATCATACAAAATGTGACCTTGCTTCTGGCCTCCGCCCTTTCCAGCAGCGATCACCTCTCGCAGACCTTCGGCTCGATAAGCACCCGCAATTTCGCCGAGTGCAGCAACGATTTCCTGGGCAGTATCTTTGGCTCCGGCATGGAAGTCAACGCTCTTACTGGGCCGGACAAGATCAACAAAGACATGCTTTCCTTCGATCGAATAGTGTGAGAGCTTTTCTGCGGTCCACTCTTGCTGACGGTCATCGCCTTCGGGAGAAATGAAAATGATTCCAGTGACCATATTGATACCCAGTGTAGTTGGCATCTTCTTCCGTTTTCCCATAACCTCCACCATCTCATTGATATTGTAAATGTGATAACCGGAAGGCGACCGCGGAGTCAGCTCACCAGCCCGGTTGTACGGAGGCGATTCTCTAACGCGGGTTGTATCGCGATTCACCGAGGGTATTGCGGCCTTGGGTCGCGGGGGAGCTGGGGACGGCTCGGGTGAGTATGAGTTCATTGGCGGGGTGATTTGTTCAGATGGGGGTCGTCGAGGCAAGGCAGGAGCCGGTTCCTCTTCTTCAGCGTACTCGTCGTGGGATGGTCTACTTGGGAGTTGCGGTGGTGGCGGCGATTCATCTCTGGCGGCCTCTGAATGTGCGCTGGCAGAACCATGCTGTGAGTGTATGATACTCGCGATTGCCGCGGCGGCAGGGTTCTGCACTCTGTCAATAGGAGAAGAAGGAGGCGATACCTCTTCATATTCTTCATGAGCAGGCGGACTCGGTCGTTGAGGGAGGGCTGGGGCCGGTTCATCATAGTCGATTTGGGGTGGCGGAGGGGGAACTGCAGCAGTAGTAGGAGCGCCACCTTTCAGAATTTCGATATAATTTGCCGGCGCAAATCCATAATCGTTATTCACTCCAACCAGTGTCCAGTCAGGATCTGATGTGTCATACACAAATATTTCTGCATCTTCCGAGAATGAGACCTCCTCATCTGTTTGCCGCGTGTAGTCGAATAGGGCCTTAGCATGGTGTAGGGGTTGCGCCTATTCATTGAAACAAGATAAGCATTAGGAACTGATTATTCCATCTATCGAAGCCAAGGCGCAATCAATCGCGTGGGCCATCCCCTGCGTGAAATAATCTCACATGCGATTCATATGAAGGCCCGGGGATATGCTTACCTTTTCCACGTAGTTATTTGGGACTAAACCCTCTGGCTCATCATCATCATCTGGCTCAGCCTTCTTCTTTGCTTTCCACCAGCTGTCTTCTTCGCTCTGCTCTAAGACGTAGAGTAGGTCTCCCTCTTGGATCTCAAGTTCCCCCTCTGCCTGAGGCTGGTAACCATACACAGCGGTATAGACACCGAGGAACCCCATGGTTGTGGAAGGGATATTGATTTCGACCAGCTAGAAGCTGAATGAGACAATCAAGTCAACCACCACGAGAGGGTGAAGAGAATGGGCGCCGAACTTGGAATTGTGAATCCCGAGTGTGGTGTTGTCGGGGAATCGGGGAGGTCGGGGCAATGATGCTGGGCCGTTACCGGATCAGCCTTAGCAAATGTTCCAGTGCGCGCGGATATCAAGAGTCAATTCGAGTAAAAAGAGAAGTGAGGAGTGTCACACAGCAAGAGAATGAACCCAAGGTAACGGGGGAGGTGGACGGAGATTAAGAGGTTGGATCAGGGAGGGAGAGAAAGGTGGGCCTAGACGATCGCTAGGAGTTCATGGTCACGTTCCTTACGTAGAGTGTGATGTCCACAGTTAAGCAACACTGCCCCTCATATTATTTATTATGCACTTTATATCTATAAAACCTTGGATTAAACCTTGGAATTGAAGAGTTCTTCGTATTTCACTTGACTTTTTTTAATATTTACCCTATATATTCATATTCAATCCCTCTATACTCCTTGTCCATTTCACTATAACTACAAATCGAAAGACCTTCCCCTTAATGTGACCCCCACTCGGGACCCGGCATATGGGGCTATCTGACGTCTTTGGGCATTAAAACTAACCGGCTGTTCCTGGCGTAGGTTTTGTATAGCTCTTTTTTTTGCCTAAAAGAAAAGTTTCAATGAATCAATATGGATGGTGATCAGGGTAGTCAGTGTTGATGTTGCTAATGTTATGGTTGCAAATACAAAACGCCAAATAGCTCCAGCTATACAAAAATGCGAACAGAAAAAACATCAATTATCTTTTCTTTACTGCCTTGCTCATAGTTCATCCTTGAAGGTTTCTTCACTACCCTCTGAATCATCAGACTGTGAGTCAGGGTTGGTGGGAGTTTTGGGCCTCTTGTCATGTGTAGATGCTTTTTGCTCAGTCGCGCCATCTTGATATGTAGCATCCTTGCTGTTGAAGTTTAGCTTGCCCTTCTCATTTCGATCCTGTTGTGGTACAGGGGGCGAGTCTGAATCAGTCTCTTCAGCATCATCAGAATCGATAATGCCTTTGATAGTGAATTCACCATCCCGTCCCACGACCTCGAGGATCCAATCACCATCCCCGGCAAGATCCTCAAGGCGTTTCTTCATCTCCTCGAGTCTTTCTGGGTCGAGATTGTAACTTTTCAGGCCTTGCTTCGACATTCGTTTCACCTCGCCATTCTCCCGCTTTGCAAGTACCTCGACAAAATCTTCGCCAGCCGAAGCCACGCGACCTTTCTCAATCTGTTTGCCTTCCATTCCCACAAGCTGACGACCACCAATTTGGATTCCACCAACAAACTGGGGTTCATCATGGGATCTTGCCTCATCGACTAATCGGTGAGCAAGATACCATTCTTTGATCTCCTCCCACTCGGCAACATCTTCAGGCATTAGGATCTCCCGGCATTCAATATTGTGGACTTCATCTTGCTGTGGGGGCATAAACGCAACGTCATCGCATAGTCGTGGGGTATAAATGACCATTAAATAGGAGCATGTCGTGAGTTCCTTGATCCAGCCAATCTGATCCGTTGACTGTGGGTGACAGTGAAACTGTACTTCAACTCGACGCTCGCGGCCCGTAAGGTCACACTTGGTGCCACCTTGTAAATGTTGTACAAGATACCGCGAGCCACCCTTAGTATGCAGTTCTGCCACTTCAGACCTGGGTGAGGAAGTTTTCACCGACTCTCCTTTCGCTGCATCTTTGCTGTCGGCTGGAAACTGCCCCAAAACAAAAGAGAGGGAGTTCGGGTCTTCTGCAGGTGGATAGTGGGGTGTTCCTCGACCAGCAGGCAGGGCATGAAACTGCTTAATCTGCTCTTGATAACAAAAAGAATATGACCACCACCCAGAGAAGTAGTACATGCATTTACCCTCTAACTCCCGTAGAAGCTCCAGGCCTCGGTCGGTCGCGCGTGCTAGTTCCTTTGCCTCATCTGCCTCTGATGGCTTTCCTCCAGTTGTGGAATTGGTTTCATCATTCTGTACTTGCGGGATCTGACAGATGAGTCGCCGGTCATCCAGTATCATCTCTTCGTATGCAAATCCCAGTTGCTTGGTTCCTTTGTTGTCCTGGGTCGCGTCATCTGTATGAGCTTTGCCCGTGTATATTTGTGTGTCTTTCTGATTGGCATTTAGCCGGACCTGATCTGAATTGTCTTGCGCGCGAAGTAATTCTTCTGCATGGGAGTCGAGGATGTACTCATCAGGGAACTTCACTTGGAACTATGAGGGTACGAGCAATTAGATTCATTCGAAGGTCTGATGCAATGGGTCTGGCTTAGTCTAGGATTTACCTGTGGGTAGGCCAGAAGATCATCGTGGATATTGAATGGCCGCTTGCCAGCCCAAGCTCCCGTTGCAGCACATGCCAGCATGAGCCACGGGGCTAGCTTTGATCTTGATTGTCGCATATTGAAATGGATCTCTGTGGTTGCACGGGTAGACGGCCTGAGATTGTTCACTCCTGCCGGACTGCCTCTGAGTTCTGCATCAGCAGATAGAGCCGAATTAATACAAATCCAGAATCAAGGCTTTGGAACGATGTGGCGATAGAAGATGGTAAGGTGCACTGCAGTTGGACGGGTCCGGGGATCTAGGCGGAGAGCGGGAGCTGCTCCGTGGCCTTATCTGATAGCACTGACTACAGTGTAGACGATGAGTAGGTAGATATACTTCTGTACTCTCACATGAACCTTGAGCTTGAAGATCCGACTTCTAACGTTTATTCAATCGGCTATATCTACAGCCTCAAGATCACTGATCATAAGCATATGAATATAACTTCCATGCATAGAAAGCCCATGTGGTGATTAGATGCCTAAATTCAGTGGTATCAACAGCTGATGTCATCAATTATGTAATTTATTTCTGTCAGATAATTCAGGCGTCAACACTATCCCCCATTCGTCCGTTTAGATCTAACCCAATCTAGTTAGCGGCTGCTGACGGGGGTCTTGGTAATGGCCATTGCGTGACTGGATTCGTTGCATTCAACCATTTCGTGGGGAATGACAAGTCGCTGACTGATGTCTTGCAAAGCACCCGTAAAGCCGCTTTCTCAAAGTATTTATGGATTGACTAACGCTGACTTTAGCATTGTGAATGCTACGATCAGCATTCTTTACTCCACTCGAAGCTTCGAAACTTGGGTTTCTTGTGCAGGCCAAAAATCTATAAAAGCCCACGATCACCTCCATGAGGTTCATTCTGCCTCTTCTAATTTGCATCACAGCAGCTTTTCTTGCATATCGTCCCTCAATTCTTGACTCTACTGTCACGTTATTGAATCAAAACATTCCTGAATTTGTATCACGCTTCTTTGCAAATACCAGCGACGACATAGTCAGCCCCGAGTCTCCAAGTACATCTATCGATTTGGAACTGGAATTTCCTATTACCATTGTTGCACCAGTCACCAACATGTCCACAGCTCGTGCGATCCGTCAAGTTTTCCTTGCCATTGAGCAAGCAGAGGGGGCTGGCGCGCGAGTTCGCCGTTCTATCGGTACAGCCAAGTTGCGCAACTTTAGCCCTTTCCTCATGCTCGATCACTTCACTATCGGCAAGGGCGCCGGCTTCCCTGATCACCCCCACCGTGGTCAAGAGACCATTACCTATCTGCTCTCTGGAGGTGTGGACCATGAAGACTTCGCCGGTAACAAGGGTACCATTGGACCCGGTGATCTGCAATTTATGACTGCAGGTCGCGGCATCATGCATGCCGAAATGCCCCACGAAAACCCCGACGGTAGCCCTAACGTCGGTATGCAGCTCTGGGTCGACCTACCTAAAAAGCTGAAGATGTGCGAGCCCCGCTACCGTGATTTACGCGCTACCGAGATCCCCATTGCAACGGCAGATGACGGCCGTGTCACGGTTAAGGTCATCTCTGGTCAGTCGCATGGCGTTGACTCTGTCCGTGATCTGGCTTACACCCCTATCTGGATCTTGGATGTTACCATACGTCCTGGTGGCCGTATCTCTCAGCCTCTACCACAGGGCTGGAACACATTTGCTTATACCTTGTCCGGAATAACGATCTTTGGCTCCAATGATTCCACTAAGGTGGTCAAGGAGTTCCACAATGTCGTGTTTGAGCAGGCTGGTGACCTTATTGAGGCATCTGTCCCAGATAATGCCGATTCGGAGGCCCGCTTCCTGATTGTTTCTGGTCAGCCGTTGGATCAGAAGGTTGTTCAGTATGGTCCGTTCGTATTGAGCAGTCAAGAGGAGGTTTACCAGGCTATGATGGATTATCAAACCGCATCAAATGGATTTGAGAAGTCTCGTGGGTGGCAAAGTGAGATTGGAAAGCGGATGGGAGCCTTTTAAAGACCTCGGGAGTGACTGTTTTAAAATGGCTGTATAATGTTTTCTGGACATAAACCTTGGCGCTTTGATATATGATTTAGATTTAAATGAATAATGATTACTTGGTTATGTTTTTTACCTCCAGGGCTGTGGACTAGGCGTGTTAGAGCTGAGATATCAACTTTAAGTGGAGAATGTCATCACTTTGTGTCCATTCAATGTTATTAATACTGTAGTACAAGAATAAGGTACGGATAATGGAGCCGGAATCTTAGGAATAAAAAAGGGATATCAGACTGGCATTTTATCCCTGCTCTTGAATCCGAATGAATTCCATGTTAAGTCGCTCGCTTCAAGATCAAATTACCTCCCCAGTGCAGCTCCCGTGTCTTTTTCAAATGAAGAATGAAAAAAAAACCTTCTAATGATGAAATGCTCGCTTCAAGATCGGACGAGCTCTTGCTGAGCAACCCCATCGCTTGTCAGCTTAGCACCTACAGTGCCGATAACAGCCACACCTCTGGGTATCTTGATATCACGAATCTTGAAACAGCCGAAAACGACTAGTTTCTTCAAAGCCGGACAGCATCGAAAAATGCTATGTGTAATGAAGTCATCGATAATTTCATTGAGAGAGACATCGAGGGAGATAAGGTGGGGGTATTGTTTGTCTGATGCGAACACTTCTTCAAATGCAGCGCGAGATATGTGGCGACATGAGCTAACATTCAAGGTGGTGATCTCGCTACCCGAATGAGCCATCAGAGCAACAAAGCCATCGGATGCAAGGCCAACGGGTTCTTCAGGGCCAGCATGGTTATCCATGTCAACATCTCGGAGGCTGTTGAAATCCACAAATCTCAAAGCTGGATTTGACCAGTCTCGGAAGAGTGCAGCCATGGCTTTATCGGTTATCACTGCGTTATGACTAATTCGCAATTTAAACAGCTTGCGACAATGATCGTGGATATGTTGAACCAGTCTGTCATCCGCACTCTCAAAGTCTTCCAGGGAAAGTGAACTGAGTTGAGATCCTAGTTCAGCGATTATTTGCAAAAGAGGCTCGGGGCTTGACTCTTGGGTGAGATGCAAGGATAGATACTCCAAGTGCTTCAATGTGGATATCGCCTCCAACGTTTTATCACCGATATGCCCGAGATTCTTCAACTTTAGGCGCTCAAGATTTGTGCAGTTTTTGCTCACGGCTTCAAAGGTTTCGTCATCAAAGCGAGCTTCAAGATTCCAAAGCTTCAGGCTCTTCAAGTGAGGCCCCAAACTTGCGAATACTTTCTGCCAACAAGGGCTAGTTACGAGGCTGGGTGCGTCCAGGTGTAGCTCCTGGATCTTCATCTCACGGGCGATCATGTAATCAAAAACTTCATCTTTCATCTGTGTCACAAAGCGAAGATCTAATCGAGTCAATGACTGCATAGTCGCGAGAATTTTATGGAAATCCTTGGTCTCTAACTCTGCGCGCATTGTTAGAAATCCGTTCTCAAAAGGGCTAGATTGACGAAAAATATAGTTAAATGAGAAGAGCACATACTAGCACAGTCAAAGATATCGAGTTCTCTGGCGTGAGGTTTTAAGAAAAGATCCAAAATCAATGGTGTGATGGCTCGGTTTCGGGATAGAATTTGGCTTAGACGACGCATCACTGGTGGAGGGAGGTCTCCAAATCCTTCCACGTCATCAATGTTGTCCGCGATTTTCTGAGAACGAGGTCAGTAAGTTGATGAAATTATATCACAGATATATATATTGGAAATCAAAACATATGCAGTATGGAACTTACTTTAATGCACATCTCCATCAAGCTTCGAGCACCAAGCTGAACCACTCCATCCAGGATTTTGCTTCGGTTCTGACGACGGTTGATTCCCGGGCCTCGTCTTTTGGGCGCATCTTTCTTGTCTTTGCCAGTATGTTTTTTGGAACAGTCAGGACAGAGAAGACCACCAAGCGGTCCTGCTTTACTGTAGGCTGTGACTGTAAACCGCTTTCCACACATCTCACAGTGTGCAAGCTGACCTGGAGCTGGCCGCTCTTTCTCTTTCAACATCTCATCGGCTAACTCATCATCATTCTCATCATCCGCAATTCGACGATTCTTCTTGCGACGGGAGAATTCCTTGCTATTCTTGAGCTTCTCGATGGCACGTTCTCGCTTTCGCTTCCGGGCCTCTTGTTCTGGAGACTCTGGTTCGGGTTCCGGTTCGGCTGCTTCCTCTTGGTAGTCTTCATCTCCATCCTCATCCTGTGCTTGTTCCTCTTCTTCTATTTCCTGTCGGGCAGCCTCATCAACCCGTCGCTCGTAGTCATCTCGAATTTGCGCAGCGGAGATATTTTGGGACTATGGAATAGTATAATATGTCAGTCATTCGTTTAAGAATTGAAAATGAAAATTGAGGGCGGTGAAGGTTGAATTACAGCAAGAAAATGGGTAAGAGCGGAAGTGCTGTCGATTCAATCAGGTTAGAATAATAGACCAAGGATATGAGGGATGAAGCCATACGGGCCACAAATGTTATTATTAGCACCGGCCGCACCGCGTCTGGGTCGTCTGCCTGTCCTATATCAAAGTGTTAGTATTGATGAATATGAGGTTTCACCATAGCCGGAACTTACATGGTGAATAAGCAGTCAATTCCGAGTGGCAAAAGGGGAAATTTGGTAATGTAAGTTGAAAGTTGTAGAGTCGCGTTGCACTTAGCGCGTGAGGCTTATCGGAGTACGATAAGTGTAGATCAGTGTGATGATCAATGATCACTACAAGAAATCGGGGAAAGCGAAAGAGCCTCCCAAAATTGCGCAAATAGAAGGTAAGAGGTAATGGGTATGGAGAGTTCCAAATTTCTAAAAGTTGGAAGTTTGGGAATGGCAAATAAGTTCCAGCGATCCGATGAAAAACTTTTCCTGGTTCAGGCACCTGCTCGATCGATCAACTCCAACTCCGATCTCACTTCTTCCCCCTTTCTCTCTCCACCACCGCACTCTTTTCTTTCCCCTTTCTTTCATTCTATTCTAAAATAAAATCATAGTTGTCACTATCAGATTCGCTACTACAGTTATTGATAACATCGTTGAAGATCCCTTCGGTCCCAGTGAGTACATATCAAACGCGGAGAACGTGGAGAACCCGGAGAACTGTTTAGCGTTTGCCTTGGTGATAATAACCCAAGTCAAACGTCCCCCACTTCATACTATATAATGAATCTCTCAATATTGGTATTTGGTTTGCGCCTTGAATTATACTAATTCTGTTGTGTCCAGGTACATCTGTGCCATTCGGTGTTCGCTCTGTCTTTCCCTTTACCAACTTTCTCCCAATCTCCCTTGAACAAGAACGATACTGCAACTCGCCCTGTCATTATGAAAACTCGCAGGAGCATTATCCCAGATTCTGAAGATGATGTGTCCATGAAGGATACGTCATCGCAGATTTCCTTGCAGGATCGTCTGGAGCCCCTGTCAGTGAGCGGGTCCTCTCATTCCAAACCACGCTCCACTGGTGTCATCAAAGATTCCGAAGATGAAGGCTCGGACACGCTCTGTCTGCCCAATTTATTGGCAGAAGGCCAATCAGGATCACCAAATCTTAAAGTGTTAATCAAAGTAAAGAGAAATGTCTCAGCCACAGACTCATCCAGCAGCTCTACAAGGTTGGCATCAGATGAGGTCACTGAGGTTGACACACGAGCCACCAGTGTAGGTATGACTGCGGTGACAGAGCCCAGCAGCCGCCCTACGCGAATCAATGCATCTGCCCGTGCTCAGCAACTTCGAGCCAGCAGGTTTTCCATGAGAAGTCGGGGAACCAAAAGAGTCGCAGATGACATTGACTCGTCCTCAGGGGCCATTGATAGTTCTGAGCTGGATGCAGCATTAGCCCGTGCACTTCAGGAGGAGGAATATGACCAACCTCCGCCTAAGAAACGAAAGATGGCACAGAGGCCCACCCGCTCAAATAAGAATCCCATCAAAGAGCCTTCACCATTCGAGATATCAGAGTCTGAGGTTTTGTCAGACTTGAGTGAGATGGACTTGGATACCCTTCTTGAAACGGATTATGAGTCTGCGGTTGCTGAAAGTGAGGCTATTGAGAGCGAACTGGGTGAAGGGCTTGATGAAGAGCTTGAGACGTCAAAGACAGGAAGACGAGCTCGGAATACGAATACAAGAAGACGAGCTCGAAATACAGCCCAGGTTTCAGACGATGAGCGTTCAGGTGATGACGGTCTTCCACCAACAGTGCAGCAGCGCAAAGAAAGGCGCCGTGTAAGTCTTCCAAATTTTGGAACCCTGCTTAATACATATTTTGCTAACATCCATATAGTTCAAAAACGACCGCAAGAAACTGGAAAGACACCATCCAATTATGGCATCCATGTGGGATGATTTGAAGGCCCAGGCCTTGATCGCTCCAAAGCAAGCTCAGCAACCTAAGAATATCACTCGCATCCTGAAACCATTCCAGCTTGAGGGCCTGAACTGGATGATAGAACAAGAAAAGACTTCGTTCCGAGGAGGTCTTCTGGGTGATGAGATGGGCATGGGAAAGACAATTCAGGCGGTTTCTTTGATCATGTCAGATTTCCCCCAGCCTAATCCGACTCTAGTGCTTGTTCCTCCCGTCGCTTTAATGCAATGGACATCCGAGATCAAGGACTACACCGATGGCAAATTGAAAGTCCTCGTTTACCACAATTCCGACTCGAAGGTCAAGAACCTCAAACCAGCGGATATCCAGAAATACGATGTGATTATGATATCCTACTCGAGTTTGGAATCGATCTACCGAAAGCAAGAGAAAGGCTGGTCCCGTGGCAGTGCAGTTGTTAAAGCGGACAGTGCAATTCATGCCGTTAATTACCACCGAGTCATTCTTGACGAAGCTCACAACATCAAGCAACGAACTACAAGCGTGGCCGGAGCTTGCTTCGCTCTGAAAGCCGAATACAAGTGGTGCCTTTCTGGCACGCCGGTACAAAACCGGATTGGCGAGTTCTTCTCCCTCCTTCGATTCCTAGAGATCCGCCCATTTGCCTGTTATTTTTGCAAGCAATGCAAGTGCCAACAGGTTCAGTGGATGGTGGATAAACGGGGTCGTTGTACTGAATGTCAGCATACGTAAGTACATCATAAACTTCAGCTGGTCAATTCCAATACTCATGATCTATAGGGCTTTCAACCATATCTCGATTTTTAACAAAGAAATCCTCAGACCAAGTGAGTTCTTGTCGACGCCTATTCTTTTTTAAGTCAAATCTAATAGTATGAAGTCATGGCTAGAAGTGGAACTGGAAGAGAAGAAGCCGAGCGTAAAGAAGGATTGGATAAACTTCGTCTCATCACTCGCCGCCTCATGCTTCGCCGAGAGAAGAAAGACCACTCGTCCTCCATGGAACTCCCACCCAAGCGGTAAGCAGAATTCAATTGCTCTGTTTCTTTTTCGGCGCACATAACTAATCAGTGATCGTATCTAGGGTTCTTCTGCACAATGAATTCTATGGCGAGGTTGAACGTGATTTCGCGCAGAGTATTATGACCAATTCGCAACGAGAGTTCGATACCTACGTCAGTCAAGGTGTCATGCTGAACAATTATGCCAATATCTTTGGCTTGATCATGCAAATGCGCCAGGTGGCAAATCATCCAGATCTTCTTCTTAAGAAGGGTTGCCAGCCCGGTCAGAACGTTCTGGTATGCCGAGTCTGTGATGAACCCGCCGAAGATGCAATTCGATCTCGCTGCCAGCACGAGTTCTGCCGCCAATGCGCCAAGGATTACATCGAGTCCTTCGAAGATCCTTCCCTCGTGGATTGCCCACGGTGTCATATTCCTCTTGCAATTGATTTAGAGCAACCGATGGTCGGGCAGACTGAGACGGTCAAGAAGAATTCCATCATCAATCGTATCGCCATGGAGAACTGGACCTCGTCGACGAAGATCGAAATGCTTATCTACGACCTTTTCAAGCAGAGAAAGAAGGGCCATGCTCCAAAGTCGATTATCTTCTCGCAGTTCACTTCAATGCTGCAATTGGTAGAGTGGCGTCTACGTCATGCCGGATTCAACACTGTGATGCTCGATGGTAGCATGACCCCCGCACAGCGCCAGAGATCCATTGAGCATTTTATGACAAAGGTTGATGTGGAGATCTTTCTGGTCTCTCTCAAGGCTGGTGGTGTAGCCCTTAACCTGACTGAGGCATCCCGGGTGTATATCATTGATCCGTAAGTGTTCACTGGTTCTGTCGATCTTTTTCTCTTTGCTAACCCTTGCAGATGGTGGAACCCGGCTGCAGAATGGCAAAGTGCCGATCGTTGTCATCGTATCGGCCAAAGGCGACCCTGCGTAATCACTCGACTCTGCATCGAAGACTCGGTCGAATCACGAATTGTTCAGCTGCAAGAGAAAAAAGCAAATCTCATTCGCGGCACGATTAACCAGGATCAAGGCCACGCTTTGGAGAGATTGACACCTCAGGATATGGAGTTCCTGTTCCGAGGAGGTTAAGAATATTCAACTTGCTTTTTTTCCCTCTTCTTTCTCTTTTTCTTCTTTTCAATGCCATTGTTGATCCCCCGACGTCACTAAACGTGGACACGCGGTAACCCCACACATGCCCCCGATGTGACCTCATGAACCTATCTCTCTCACTCTTAACATGCATTTGAATTTCCCCCAATACACGCCCTTCTTTTTCTTTTTTTTATTTCTCTTTCAAAAGTGGATTTGAATTTACTTTGCATAGCTAGAATAAAAACAGAAATTGAATGGTAATACAATTCTCATGTTTACTCAAGTGCTCCGGGGGGGGGGGGTCATTTAATATCTACTCGGTACATTTATCAACCTTGGAATAGATCTAAAAGATCGGCTCTTTTAATCTCCTAACTCTATATAAAAAACCAAGAAACCAGCCCTATGAGATCATGCTATAAATATGTACCATTATGGTGTACATTTATGCAGTTGCCTGGTAAGGCTGATTCTTGGCCAATCTCGGCATTTCCTCCCTTAAACTGGTGATACTAGTACTTTAGTGATCCCCACTTCCAACTTGCGACACTTGACTTCCTCTTTTATCCCCTGAAATTCATTCATTCTCAAGGTCGCATACCCTCGGAATATCTAACTTCTTCCACCTCAGGCTGTTCCTATTCATATTACCTATCCTTAGTGATTATTCTTTATTCCTTCGTTGACGGATGATGCCATCACCCCACTTGTGTTTTTCTTCCGTTTAAAATCACTCCACCATACCCACCATGGCTTCAGGACCGGTGGAAAAGTATGGCTCCAAGCTGGTCGAGAAGGCAGACAAGCTACAGTCTCGACTTACCACGAATGATGATCACTCGAAACCCGCTGGAGGGTTCGATGCGACTCCTATCCCCCATGCCCCACCAGGCTATACCGTCAAGTTTACCTTCCACCGCGGTGATGACCTCCCCGTCGCAGACTTCGGCAGTTTCTCCTCAGATCCCTACGTGCGCGCGCAGCTCCATGTTGATTTACCGAAGCGCCATAAGCAAGATCCCATCGTGGATTTTCGGACCCCAACCGTGCGCAAGAATATGAACCCGATATGGAACTGTGAATGGATTGTCGCAAACGTGCCAGCGTCGGGTTTTCAACTCAAGGCGCATGTTATGGACGAAGACCCGGCAGATCATGATGATAAGCTGGGAATCGCTTTCATTGACGTACCTGCGTTGTCCGAAGGATGGGCCGGATTCAAGGAACAGTCGTTCAAGATTAAGAAGCGCTTTGGGAGCAAGCGCGTGTATGTCTTCACCAACGTATCTTCATTTGCTACTCGTCGCCACAAGGAATCCTTCTTGATCATGAGTATCGAGTGTCTGGGCAAGACACCAGGTACTGAAGGTGGTCAGATGTATACGCTCGGTCCAAATCATTGGTTCAAGCACTTTTCACCTCTTATTGGAAGGTTGACCGGAACAAAGGATCAGGTTCAATCCTATGATGGGAGCGGCAAGCCAATCAGCCGATACAAGTAGGTTTATTCATTCCCTCTGACTTTCACAGATATGAAAGTACTGGGCTTACAATTGTATTTTTTCTATCTAGTTTCCAGGCCATCCAAATTCAACTCCGAGGTCCAGTTCCCGGAGACCTTTACCATCGCTATGTGGAATTTAAACCTTTCGTCGCTGGCATGTTCCAAGCCCAAAGCCTGCGTGGGCGAATCCTACACAAGGCGCTTCATCATCAGCACCAGCGCATCTATAATTTCGATCGCAGCACGCTTGATGGAACCTTCGCCGAACCGCGTCGAGAGTTTGCGCAGAAATTTTTGGAATTTACTAATTGGGGCCAAAATGGACGGATTTTCACCTACGTGATCACTCTGGACGGACAGTTCCGGTTTACGGAGACGGGCAAAGAATTTGGAATCGACATGCTGAGTAAACATACGATGCATAGCGATGTTTCGATATACATTGCTTACTCTGGAGAATTCTTTGTCCGCCGGCGCATTCATCGTTCCCGACGCCTTTCGCCATCGGGCCGTACTGGAACCACCGGAACTTCTGCGACCACTGAGACTACAGAGCGTGGAGAGTCGAGTAGCTTCCCAGTTGAAGAGGATGGTGAGGTGATCGAGGAGATCCAGCAGATTTCGACCGAACCATCTGATTATGAACTATTCATCGACAACGATAGTGGCACATATCGTCCCAATGCAGAGAAGCTGCCACTCTTGAAACAGTTCATCTCGTCGAATTTCCCGGGTCTGCATGTTACCACATTGGATTGTCAAGCCGATGAAGAGCGGATGAGCCAAATGAAGAGCGAGCAGCGGGAGGTAAAAAAGTCACAAGGTCATCTGGTTACGTACCTGCAGCAGAGCAGTGTGTCATCGCTCTCCATCTCTAGTTCCGATGAAAACGAACTTAATGAACGTGCCGGAGAGGGGCCTCGACGAGGGGATCTGTCTCGAAAGGTTCATGAAATGCGGGACGTGAAGGGTCAAATGATGAAATGGGTTGAGGCTGAGGGCCATCCTGATCGCCCCAAACACCGCTACACAAGTCGTGAACGAGCGGCGTCAACTGGGGAGATTCGCTCAAGTACCCCTCGACCCAAGCCAAATGCTGCTGCCTGAGATATACCCACTGCGCTCATTACCTCTTTTTTATTTGTTTTCTGCTTTTGTTATTTACTTTATTTCCCTCGGGCCGGAACCGAGCATCACAACGTTAACGAGTGGATTAAACGGACAAAATGCACGTACTGGGAACATGAACGATGTACATTAATTCGAGATTATTTTTCTAGTAATTTTAAGTGCATTATAATTTATCCTGTACTGCATAACATTTACTATATATCCTGAGTGCTACTAGTACATAGTATATAGCACTTGAGTATCACGTTCAATACTATCCAGATGTCTCATGTGCATGATCCTAGTATGTACCAGTGATATAGTATGTACATTTCCTCATCTTCAAAGCAGTCTGCCTTAGGTTCAATGTTGGAAATCTAGACTAGAGATCAAGAATAGACAAATCCATGTATAATAATATGATTGATGTCTACCTAAGATGAATATATTGACCACATCGCATTCTCTCTGATATGCCTCAGGGGCTGAAACCACCTGGACGGCCTTGAAATAACAGCTTTCGCCCCAGATGTCATCAAAGGGGCGATTCTTTCATAGAATTAATATTAGAAGATTTTATTTCTTTCATCTAATTCTTCTCATCAGAAATTCACTTCATATATATAAAAAAAAGGGGGTAGTAATAAAACATTCGAAGCGCCGACTCCACTGTTAATGTTGGATCTCCCATACATATCCACCCCTCCTTCAAATCGAACGCGATCAACCCGATCCTAAGCTTCGAACTCCACCTCCCCCCCCCTCCTCCGTTTTCTTCTCTCCCACCACCTTCTCTATACCCGTGTACCTTTTAACTGAATGACAAATTTCTCATTTAATTCGTTTGTTTCTTCCCACGGGCCATCTGACTGCAGCGCATTCTGCCGATGGCCGATTGGGTGATTGCCCAGATCCCTTCTCGCGCTGTGACTCCAATACTGTGCCTGCGCCATCATGGGCAATGTCTCCAGTCGCCTCGACGAGGCGGGAAATCTGTTCTTCAAGGACCAAAATAGATGTATGTGCAGCGATCAACTCGATCTCCTACATCTTGAGTTGTTGTGATGCTGATAAAATCTTTGTTTTAGTCTCGATCGCCTCCATCACCATAAGCAACTCTAGACGGCGCTTACTCACTCTCTCCCCTAACGCGTTCCCTGCGGTACGATACATAGCCAAACGAGATGCTGGGGATGAAGCTCCGATCGAATATATTCAGGTATATCTTCATACGCTCCCCACTAGAATAATCTTCGCCGCGCAAAAAGGCAGGCTAACTCTGGCGTCAAAACACAGGACCCGGATGTCCCCTCCACAGCCCCTGCTCCATCTTTCATGCTACGCTTATCTAACGAAGATGAACTGATTTTCAACTTCACTTTCATTCTCCGCCAAACACAAACGGGAAATGTTGCAGGCTCTACCGTGAATGGCGTGTCGACTTCGCTCCCGGAAGTGACTGATACTGTCCTGAATGGGTTAACCTTTGCTCACGCGTCAAATTCCAAGGAACTAGACAACCTCATCACACGAGAATTTCATGCGAACCCAAACCTACAGAATAACACAAACGTGCAGCTTATCGGCGACTACTCCACAGAGGGGACTCCATCGGTATCATTTGAATGGTCCTGGCGATGGAAGCCTCCGAAGGGAACAGAGGACAAGGGTGGTGGTTGGCGAAATAGCTGTAGTCTATTGGACTATGATCAAAGGACAAACCGCCTAAATACGCTTGCTCACTTTTCTTTCTGGGTACACAACTCTGTGCGCCTGTTGCCAAGCCCTCAGATGTCATCGCCTAACCTCGAACTACCGGTACCTCCTCGCAGTCGCGTCCCCTCCACCCAATCTGCTGTTTCTCATTTCAGCGATTCTGAAACCTCTCACCATGTTCTCTCCTCAACCACGCCACCAGAAACCGCGGATGGTCTACCTCCTGCTCCAACACAACCCCCACCTCCACCACCCGTGAAAGTCGACCTGCCCCATTCTCGTCCGGGAGATGATATGAATGTTGAAGATGGTCCACTGTTCAGAGCTACAATGAAGGCACTGGAACAGAAAACAGGCAACATGCGGACAAAGATCAAGAAGGTTCTCAAGAAAGCCGAAGCTGCTCAGCAGTTGCAGTCGACCTGCAATGAATCCATGGAGGCATTTTTAAGCTCGCTGAATGAAGCTTCTACTTCAAATGGCAATGCGATTCAGCCTGCGCTGGACCATTATTTTGAGAAGATTGCCCGCCAAATCCTGACGTACGAACAGCTGAACACGCTTCAGCTACAGAAACTCGTGATCGAGCCACTTATCAGGCTCTACCAGAACGACATCAAACAAGCTGAATCAAAAAAGAAAGATTTCGATGAAGAAAGCCGTGATTATTATGCCTACGTCAGCCGGTATCTTGGTCAGCGACAGGATTCACTCAAAGAGAAGAAGCGTGCCGAAAGTGACTCGAAATATCAGACCAAGCGCCGAAATTTCGAGCTCAAACGCTTTGATTATTCTTCTTTCATGCAAGATCTTCATGGGGGCCGCAAGGAACAGGAAGTGCTCTCGCATCTTACCAAGTACGCGGATTTCCAAGCCAAGAATTTCTTGGCTGCCGCGAAGAAGATTGAGGAGATGGTTCCTCAACTGGATGCACTTATCCATGAGGTAAACCAAGCCGATAAAGAGTTCCAATTCAAGCGCACCGAGCGCGAAGAAAAGCGCCGGGCCTTGGAAAAGAACAGTAATACATATCTCGAGCCTGATGTCATAAGTGGCGGAAGTGCCTCAAATTCCTCTATTGGAGTTTCTAATGGAACTGGCTCAACTGAGCCCGAATTGGGTCGAGCTGACAGCACGAGCTCTCAGCTTCGCGGGGTTATCAGTAATACATCATCCGTCTCGTCCCAGGCAAATGCTGGATCAGCCAACTCGACCGGTGGCGCTGGATCTGCACCCTCGAACAGCACAGGAGCTGCAAGTACCCCGAGCCAGAATCGCTTTAAAGGTATCCGGGATCTCGAAGAGCGAGATTCTGTCGGATCTGATCGCACTGCTGGTCAACAACGAAAAGAAGGTCTATTGTGGGCTCTCTCTCGGCCTGGATCTCATATTGATCCAAAGGGCATCAACAAGCAGGCTTGGCATAAGTCAGTAAACTACCTTGAGTACCTCCGATATACACAGATACTGACCTTATTTACCACTTTAGGTTCTGGATCGTTTTAGACCAAGGAAAGCTTTCGGAGTATAGTAACTGGAAACAAAAGCTGGACCTTCACATGGAGCCAATTGACCTCCGAATGGCCTCGGTCCGCGAAGCTCGAAATGCTGAACGCCGATTCTGCTTTGAGGTGATTACACCTCAGTTCAAACGAGTCTATCAGGCTACTTCTGAAGAGGACATGGCCAATTGGATTCGCTCCATCAATAATGCGCTGCAGAGTGCAGTGGAAGGTCGAGGAATTCCACAGGTACCCTCTGTCTCGTCCAAGAATGAGACGTCTACTGGTCGTGACATTGGATCTGTTTTAACCGGAAAAAGTTCTTCGGTATCTGGCCACCACTCATATTCGAACAGTTCAAATACTAGCGGAGTGGCTCGCCGTACAACAGTCGGTGCGCGACCAAGCTACGTTCGTAATGACAGCAATAATTTCGAAGAAAACCCGTCACGACTTCTTCAAACCGTGCGTGACGCAGATGAGGGGAACAATTGGTGTGCCGACTGTGGATCCTCTTCCAAAGTGGAATGGGTGTCGATCAATCTCGGGATTGTGTTGTGCATCGAATGCAGTGGTATCCACCGATCTTTGGGAACACATATCTCCAAGATTCGTTCATTAACCCTGGATGTGCACTCATTTTCGAATGATATCGTCGAAATACTGTTGCAAGTCGGCAACCGTGTCAGCAACATGATTTGGGAGGCGACACTGGACCCGTCACAGTCCCTCAAGCCAAGCGCATCCTCTACACGAGAACAGCGATTGAAGTTCATCACGGCGAAATATGTCGACCGTGCCTATGTTGAACAATTACCCTCTTCACGATCCCGATTTGCTACTCCTGATGAAACGCTTCTTGCTGCGATCAAGAAGAATGATATCCAGGGAGTCCTATATGGAATTGCCCTGCATGCCAACGTCAATGTTCCGGATCGCTCCCGCAACACCCACGCAGTATTCCTGGCTCTTGCTGCCGCCGATCCTGCTTCGCCTGGATCCACTCCCACTGGCATCTCCCCGCGGCCTAGCTCAAAATCGATAAAAGCGATCCCCTTTCCCGTTGCCGAACTGCTGGTTCAGAACGGCACGGAGATTCCCCCGCAACCCCCATCCATTCCTCTTTCTCCTGCGGCTCAGTTGTATCTTAGCCAGCGGACCGCACGGAACTCTGCATTCAGTACCGTCGGTTCTTCCGCGATGACTGGCAAGGCTATCGTCAACGATACTCTGGGATCCCTCCCCACTATTCGGGGTTCGAGCAGGGACGACCCTATCTCATCCGGGTCCCAGGCCTCCAATCAATCTGATTCTAAAGAGAAAGACAAGCTTTCCAAGCGAGGAAGCGCCGGCGCTAGATTCGCAGGGAAAGTGGCATCCCTCGGAATCGACCGATAACCTTCGGACATCCCAATAATTACTAATTATATCCATTCTAATGAGATCCGCATGAACATTCCCCCTGATGACTTCTTCTGTGTATGGTTTGGATTCTCCTATTACTTTGCTTGGGATCTTCGAGGGTCTTTGCCTCGGAACAAGCCAGAGTTCTTGATTTTTTTTTCTTCTCTTCTTCTCTTCTTCTTCTCCTTTGGTACCCGTGTCTTCCACTGCCATCATGAGTGCCATGCATGTTGACACCATTCTTTCGTTCTTTCCTCTATAGGACCTTTTTTCTTTCTTTCTTTTTTTCTTCATGTACCAAAACTGGTGCTTCTCTTCTTTGGCTTCACCTTATCCCCAATTAACGCCTGATGCCAATTCATGTGCCAATATCCTGGTGGCTTTTCTCTAAGTTGACGTTTCGATGGCTATACATAGTTGTCCCTTGTGGAACGAATCACAATTACTTGGCTTATTCATCACATAACTCTATATATTCGATATATAAGTAGAGAGAAATATAGTTTCTAGAGCAAACTGCAGTATAATCCAAGATTCTTGTAATGCCATAAGCCAGACCAGTCTAAATTAGGTATAGTACTAGACCCTAACCGACAACATCCAATCATATACACGAGGAGACTATTTTCCGGAAGCCTAACTATAGGAGCATATCATCACTTTGGGACTTTCAAATGTTTGCATGCATCATCAATCTGCGGTGTGCTGGGTAGCGGTCAGTATCTCGTTGCCTGACAGTGGCAATGTCCATTCAGTTTGACTCATCCTAACTCCAGAAGCTGACGATACCTATCTCTCTTGAGTTAGGTGTCGTGGGTCTGTGGCGTTTGGAAACGGCCGAGAGATGCATTAGAACGGACACCAGGGATTTGTGGAAACTTGAAAAGAGAAAAGTCGGAAATAACGGCTGAGGCGGGTTACTAGTTGAGTCAAAGAACTTGTAGTACAAACCCTATAGTACCCCCGAGGTCCGTACCTAGTAACCAGACCTTCGATGATCCTCTCCGACCCTTGCAGATCTCGCCGCAGTAAACAGCTCATTTCTACATTAGGGAATAAGCTAGTCCACCTGGCGTTCACAGCCCCAACTTTTGAACCCGGTGAAAGGATAGATCAGCCACTTAGCTCGTGCTAGACTTATTAAATTCGCCCCATGGTCCTACATAACACGTAGCTACTTACCCGTTTATAGGATTTAAGACTGCTGATCTCTCTCTCGGACTTGAGACCCATTGCCTTCTCCCCTCTTAACATTTTGAACTAACTACATTAACATCCGGCTAAACCTATCAGAACATGAGGGGGTTGATTGAGGCCCTTATTCTCGGAAAACTCGTTTCAGGGTGAAGTGGAGATCCACTCTGCAAGTGCTAGGGAATAGGATATGCGTATCACAGTTCCAGTCCCTCATCTATATCGCAAACATGGATCCAAAAATCAAACTGAAATAAAAACGGAGCCCTCTAGTCCGTCACAGTCAATTTGCTTCTGTTCTCTTACAGATACATAATTTCAAACCCTTCAAAGTTGGCTTTGAATTACGATCGAGGAGGGGGCGTGCATGGGAAAAACCGAATGTAGATATCCTACATCAGCGGCGTTCAATTAGACCCAATGGCGGGTCCTCGGATTCAGTTCGCTCGATGAATCATATTGGAGTATTTCCGATTGCGACAGATCAGAAATGAATCATGAACGGTGGTTGGACGTGACGATCAGGAACGTGGAGCAACAAGAGCGATGTTCATCAGCCATGACGTCATGGCGTACCCCATGTGGCGCCTGAGGCGCACGTACTTTTCTACCCGCATCCATAGTATGTTCGGACTCCGTTTCTCATGAAATGTGTTTTTTTTTCTTTTCTTGAAGGAATTGAATATCGTTTCAATGTGGCTTGATCGGCTGTGAAGGAGTGGAATCATTTAGCCTATCACTCAATTCTTCAAATTATGACCGTACGCGTACGGTGAGGGGGTTTCATCATATCTGGTCGTATGAGTCGCCTCTTTTGTGCTCGAATGCTCAGGTGTGTTGAAATGAGACATATAAATATGTTATTACATGGTAGCTGACCTTGTTTCTGGCATTTCGTTATTTCGAATAGCCTGGAACTACTCCATACATTTATGCATATTCAATGTTACCGAAGAGTCCCTGGATCGAGGATGTACCCCCTTCCCTGGTTAGGCACCACTTGGCGCATGTGGCGAGGTTTTTTGAGTCAATGGCTCATTGTTGATCGATTCAAGCATTTTCCATTCAGGGATGTCTCGTGTTTCTATATTCCATACCCCAAAAGTTTGCCCAGGTGGTGAACATAGAGTAGAAAGTCACCTGACAACTAGATATCCCGGTTTAGCCCTAATTTGGCCATGATCTATGAGAATTACTATCTACCTAGTGGTTTCAGCTTCAACATATGAAGTGAACATTGAACATATACAGACTCGGAGTAGAAATCTGTCCAATATATAAATACTGTGTACGGAGTATGCACCCACATTCTCCATACCTCGTACATGGATGCTGGTGGAGATCATTTCTTCCCTTGGAAGTGATCAACTGGTCATCCTCATCAGAACCGTACATCTCTTTTCATGTGATTGCCACAATCACTGGCATCACTATGACATTGCATTGTACAGAATTACATTTTAACAGCACATGATAATTAAAAATCGTAATGGCTATTCAATGTATAGTACATAATTGAGGGAAAAAAAAAAGACTGAACCTCAGCGTGGGGGATACTCCATGATGATGATTGGCTGGCATCTCGTACCGATCAATGTTAGTGGAGAGTTCAACAACTTCGACTTTCCACCTCTTCTTTTCCTTCTCTATCCACTCTCCCCATCTCCACTTCCCACTGGCATGAATAATTCTTCTTTTTGCTTTTTTTTTTTCCCTTTTTATATTTTTATATCCCTAATTCTCATTGGCTCTCCGGGAATATATTCATTTCCTCTTGTCCAACCCTTTCTTTCAATGGTTTTTCTCTCGTCTGTACTCTCCTAATCAGACACATACACAGTGGAGAAACCCACTTGACCCACTCCGAGTCAAATCCTCTCAAGACCCTCCACATACGGAGTAAACTGCCATCAACTCCCAACCCAGAGGTCAAGATATACACCATGCAGCGGGATTTCCGTTACCGACAGTATGGTCTGATCGACTTGGTGCCTTGGGTCACCCCCGGGAGCCCAAACGTTGCACCATGCACGAAGATCGGTTGAATGGGTGTTCAATGCCATAGTCCCATCCCAATTTACCGAATATGAGATCCATCTCGATTTTTTGAGCTTCGATTATAGGGCAGAAGAATCACTTTATCCCTGTCACAAGTTTCCGACGTGTCCGCAGCCACCCAAATCCGGGTATTCTCCCGAGCGCCACATTTCAAGGCATCGTTCCCACGGGATTTGAATGGATCCAGCCCTACTCCACTCCATTGGTGGGATCATGATCGAGCCTAGTGGGAGTGTACCCAGTCTCTACTCCATTCCAACCATGCCTTCCCCTTGCGGTCTCGGCACCGCCCGTCAAGAATGCATAGTCCGTTTCTTCTTTATTCATGATAGGCCAAGTATCCGCTGGGTCTGTGTGTACGCGGTCCATTGTAATTTTACAATGGAGGAATGGATGTCCCTTATCTTTTGGGAACCACTGAACACCTCCTCAAGAGAGGTCTCTTTTGCCGATCTGGTATCACATACATATGTATTATCGGGATTTTTTTTCCTTTTTCTTTTTTCACCTTTTCCAAAAATGGAAAAAGAAGAAGAAAAAAATTGTTCGGTTTCCTTATCCTCTTTGCTCTCGGAGTACTCTACACACCTCCAGGGCTCTCCACCTTGACCCCCCCTGCGCAACCCACATTAACCCACCCCTGACAGTGGCAAACTGGGTCTGCATCTTTGACACAGGTGATGCGGTCCCTTGGACCAGCAAATTTGTAAACCTGCCGATGATCCATCTACTCCAAATAGACTCAGAACTGTCAATCATTCGATTGGAACACTTATCCTAATCACCTCGTAAATACTTCCGTCCTGTCCGGTTCGCCACAGGTTCCGAGAAACATCTCCGATTAATTTGTCAACATTTGGCACAATTGGCTTAGCCCAAGGTCCTGGGAAGATCCGTGGGCCGGCTTAAGCCTCAACTCCTCCCAGGTGGCACGGTCTTTGATCCACGAGCCTCCCAAAGGATTGCAAAGTTGGCCCTTCCTGAAACTCCACTAGATGACAGGCATTTGTCACTGCAGGGGCATTTTTCGAGACGCGAAAACGATCGTCGTTTAGGCGATAGCGCGCCCCATTCTGAAAAATACTCCAGCCCAATCTTAACATCCGACTCGGTATCACTCGGTATGCTTAACGGAGGGGATCCGCCACAGAAAACACTTTCTCCAACGCACGCACGCACACAAATACACACACTAAAACACAGGAGACCCACTAAGGCCAGGTATACATCCCCTCAAAGTTACTCATCACCCATATGACCCTGCTCCGATCATTCCCAATCGGTTTCGATCCGCATTGGAGATCTGCTTTCTTGTAAGCCTATGAGCTTGCCATTTGGAAATCTCCTGATCAATTTGTCACCTTCAGCCACAGTGACACTTGGGTGTTGCAAGCTTCTTTCCTCTCCATCCGCCACAGTTTTGAATCCACGAGGATTCTAGAGGCGTAGAACGTTCGTCAGCAGAGGCGTCTAGCTCTGGGTCCTTTTCTTTACTTTTTTTTTTCTTATTACTTTTTTTTTATTTCTCGACCGTTTTCCTCTTTGTGTCTCTTGTCTTTCTAGCTCCCCACCAGAGGTATACACTGGGCTTGCAAGGCCCCGCCGGACCTGCACGGCCTTTGTCGAGTACTATTTTAGCTCAGAAGGTACGTTTGTCTGATTTCACACCTTCAAGCCACACTTGCACTTAGCCCCTCTCCTCTTCTTCTCTCTCCCTTTGCTACCGGCTGTCTTGCTTGGGTGTCTTTCCCTGTTTTTGCTTTGGAATCTGTGCCCTGGTCCGACTCCCCGATATCACCCATCATTGTTCGATCTTTGAATGATCTCTAATTTGTAAAACAGGCTTGATTGATCTGCAAGAATTTTATTTGGTTGGTTGGGGGAGCACTTGTTCTTATATCTTATTTTCGACTTTATAGTTCTCTTTCTTTATCTGATTGTTTTTCTTTTTTTCTTTTTCCTCGGCTAAAAACTCCTCAGGATCAGAATCTCAAGGTATGTTTCAAATGTTTCAAATGTTATCTTTTCAATGATCTTTTCCCCCTCTTTGTGCCCATCACTTTAATCTGCATCCCCCAATTTGGCGTGAAATATCTTCCTGTCACCCCTACAGCTTCGAACGAATCACATCCCTAGCGGAGTTGATTCCCCTTTTGGGCCCCATTTTATTCTCTATCCGAACGTCTAGCCCTATGCAAACTATTTCCCCCTTCTGCAACAATCGTATGCTCCAAGGTTCAGACTTGAAGATGCATTCTACACGCACTGGCACAGTATCCTCATGGTCTTCATGTCTCCCCGCCCCTCAGCTCATTCCTATATGAGAAAATGTGTACACCATGCCCCTTCTCACTTCCCCTTTTTGGATTCATCCTATCTTTTTTCGTGCTTCCATAACCTGTTTGACAATCACCTTTTGTCATTTTATGGGGTAGATTTCCTTTCCCTGATGTATGAGCCACAACTAAGTGGCTTTACTCTGGGGCCGGAGCGTTGTCTAGCCCTGCCTAAGCGCGGGCTATTAACGCAAGCTGCAATGTGTTTTTTCTCCCCCTTCGCAATCTTCAGACCCATTTCCTATTTCTCTAAAATTTTCTGATATCTGAGTCTTTCCTTCTTTTGCCCTTCTGTCCCTTCATTCTTGTCTCGGATCCCCCTTTCCTTCGCCGTTGACACCTGCCACAACGCCACTGACGTTATAAATTTTTTTTGTTGCCCAAGCCACTTATTTGTTTGTTTTTTTTTTACCTTCCGATCCAGCATTAACCATTATATGCATATTTAACAGGAGCTTCAACAGCGTGAAGATTTACCGGGGATTCATTTTACTCGGATCTTGCATATATTGATCATTACTGTGGTATACCGGCTTTGTGTGGGGAAACATAGACCCAAGAGGTCTCACATTCTGGCGATTTGGGGCATCTGACAGGTGAGCTGAATGCAACGTTGATATAAAGACGAAGGCTGCTAAATACCATGAATACAGGGATTCTCATACATCCAGGGAGTCTTCTCGTTTTTTTCATCCTCGTCAAGATACAACCGGGCTCCATGGGCGATGTTCCATCAAACAAGATCAGTTCATCCCGAGGGGCAGAAGGGAAAACCCTGGTATCAGAATCGAATGCATCGAATTCAACTGCAGGATTTGGTAAATAAATATATTCCTTTTCCAATATTGCCATAAATTCAGAAATTGATTTATGAAGAATTTCTTGACTGACCTTTTGTGTGTTACTAATTCAGGTAGTGTCGCCGGTCAACCTACGAGGCCAGGACAGGCCAGTCATTACCCAACCCATGATTATATGGGACATGGGCGATATGGTCCGTCGACGGCCATGAATATGAATCATATGGCTTACTCGCTACCGAATCCGCAATCGCAACCGTCGCCCTTCGAGCCACAGCTTGTCAGCCAATACCCCACTATTCCTACCCAAGGCCTGATGTACCCTATGCAATCAATGGGCCACTATCATGGACAGCCTCCTGGGGGTGTACCATATGGAATTCCTTATACGCCAGCCTATTCACCGTATGCTATTCCTAGTCCGCACCATCACCCAGGAAGCACACAGCATGGTGGTCCTTACCCTGGGCCATCATACATCGCCAATCCATCGATTCAAACCATGGGTAGTGGACAACCTCCCGTCTATGGGAATAGCTACTATGCTCATCCTTACACAACATCTTATGGTCATGCTACGCACCCCATTGCTGCCGCCGCTCAAGTTCAGACACGCACTCCACCGCACCAAGGTCACCGAGGGCCACCGTCACTCACAAATGTCAACTCACAGGAAGAAAAGCGAAATTCTCTAGTAGATTATGATGTTTCCAAAACCATTGTGGACGGTTCAAACCCCTCGAGGCTAGCAGACGCCCCAACAAACGCCGGTATGTTCTATCGGCTGAGCTTTTTTGGCCTCAAAGGATCCTGATCGCTGATTGCGTTGTTGTTGCTTCGCAGCCCTGGTACCTCTCAACCATCCGATATCGAGTCCCAATACACCCCGAGGACCGCCCCGGAAACCCAAACAGTCCGGCCATGCACTGTGGGTTGGAAACCTGCCCCCGGGGGCAAATGTGATCGATCTCAAGGATCACTTCTCGCAAGACGCGACCAATGATATTGAAAGCGTGTTTCTGATCTCCAAGAGTAACTGTGCATTTGTGAACTATAAATCTGCATCTGCCTGTGCTGTCGCTCTGGGAAGGTTTCATGATTCACGATTTCAGGGTGTTCGTCTAGTTTGTCGACTACGCAAAGGTTTTACAGTTCCCGGTTCCAGTTCTACGGCCCCGGCTCCACGACGCTTTGAAGAAAGTGTGGATTGTCCTATTGGGGAAGATTGTCAGATTGTTCCTGAGATCAAACCTGCTACATCAACTCTTGAAGGGGATTCTCGACCATTGGATCGGTATTTCGTTGTCAAGAGTCTTACAGTGGAGGATCTTGAGTTAAGCCGACAGAGTGGAATTTGGGCCACTCAAGCGCACAACGAAACCAATCTCAACCAGGCATTTGAGGTGAGCATCTATATATAGTATTACAACAAGATATCATTGAATGCATGTCTAACTTATACATACTTTGTCCCAGTCTACGGAGCATGTATATCTCATCTTCTCAGCCAATAAGTCCGGCGAATACTTTGGTTATGCTCGCATGCTATCGCCCATCAACGACGACGAAGAACTAGCATTGGAAATGCCACCCCGCCCAGAACCTCTCCCTGGAATCGCCGATGAACTCGAAGTGATTCCGACATCCGCAACCTCGACCGCGCCCAAAGGACGAATCATTGACGACACGGCCCGAGGTACGATTTTCTGGGAGGTCGAATCGACGGAAGATGAACATGAAGACGCTCGGAGTGAGAAGAGTGAGGTGTTAATAGAGGAGGCTGATCCAGAAAGCCAAACATTCGGCAAACCCTTCCGCATTCAATGGCAATCCACCGAACGAGTCCCCTTTCACCGCACTCGAGGTCTACGTAATCCGTGGAATGCCAACCGCGAAGTGAAGATTGCGCGAGATGGAACCGAAATTGAACCGGCAGTTGGCCGAAAATTGATTGCGCTGTTCCATCAGCCTTGAGGAAATCCCCATTGGGATCCCTAAGATCTCAATTTTTGAAAATCCTCTCCACACGCCTTGGATTTTTCAGTGATTTCTTTAGGGCGGACTTCACTTCAAGAGCAGACATATACATTGACGGGCAAGGTATACAGGAGAGTACACTCCCTCCTCCCCTGTCGATTATGGTCTTTTCTTATTATCCCTGCCCTTTCCCCACACTATATTTCCTTTGCCTTAGATTTATATCTATCGCTCTATGTCTATGTGCATTGTGAAATTGCCAGTGAGGAGGTTTTGGATTAAAAATATACATGGGAAACGAGCAATATGTATACGATGTACGTTCTTTTTTTCTTCTTCTCTCGATCGCTTTCAAGTTCTGAACCCCTTACATTCTTTTGGGCGATTCATGAATATTCCAACCTTCTCTTCTTAAACCCCAAAGACATGCGAATTTTCTTATATTTACTTTTCTTCAAGTTTATCATGGTCTGGTATTCATATCTGTTCATTGACTCTTCTCTTGTCCATTTTTTTAATTTCCTATTTGCTTTTACTTCAAGTTCCTTTGGGGTTTCAGTTATGTCAGTGTCGGTGTGTGTGTGTGTGTGTGTGTGTGTGTGTGTGTGGGCGTTCTGTAAGAGGTAGGACGGATTCGTGATGATGATGATGATGATTATGACGATGTAAAGGTTCAAGTCATGAAGATCGTAGATAACAGTAATTCACTGTATGTAATATATTGATGTCACTTCGAGTTTCAAATTAAGGATGAAATGTCGTACCCATGACTCCATTGGCATGTTGCATGTTACATATTTGCATTGCATGTTTGATCTGTTTGATCTGTTTGATTCAAATGATCAAATGCTTGGCATGTTTATTCTGTTTGCACTGGTTACTATTGGTCACTTTTTAGTATTATATAAGCTACTAAGTTCACATTGACCAATGATAAGCATTACGGGAAGGAGGGGAATGATGACATAATCTTGCCAAATGCGGACCACGGTCAATGGAGTATGAGCAGCCAATCAAATTCAAGTAATAGTTAAAGTGGGTATCGATCAACCAATAATTAACCCAATTAGGACATCATCAACATCATCACTTCTCCACTTCTCACTCAATTAATGCGACCAGATTGTCCCAGATTGTCCCAGAACAACCTGAAGTGGCGCTATACCCCAGATATTCCCTTAAGCCTTTAAGCTTAGCTGCAGAGCTTCCTGTGCTAATCTGGTCCCAGGTGAGAGATTCATCCTAAAAAAAGATATATTAAATAATAATTAAATAAAATAGACCAAAATTTAGGGAGGGGACTTAAGTGGTGCCACACAGTATTCTTTCCTTCCCCCCCTCTTTCTTAACTTGACCTTCCTTTCATCTTTCCATCTTCCCTTTGCCCCCCCTTCAACCGAGTTCCCCCCCCCCCTTAAATATTGTTTTATCACACACTAGCATCACCTTGGATTATAGTCCCTTTTTCCCCCTCTCTCTTTTCTGAATGTAACCCGCTCTTCACCATTTATCTCCACGCTGCTTGGACTTCATTTCCTCCTAGCAGTCTACACCCTCTTCCAATCCGGTCCACTTAGATGAGAAGGGCGGCAAGTCCGTCCAATCGTTGACCTTCTCATCCGTGAACGCTTCTTCGTATACTCTCCGTACCTCTTGTACTCCCGTACCTTGATCTCGTGATATACTCGAATCCATTGGATAACTACCTGTACCTTTGCCATCATGGCCAACGATCGCTCCACCTCACCTATCAACGTCCCCGCCTCCGAATCCCGCCCTCGACGAGGCTCTATTGCCTCAGGCTTGCCTTTCACTGATCTCTTTTCGAAGCAGAATAGTCAGTCGGCCAAAGAGGCCGCGAGTGCTCAGGCAAACCAACGACGACTGTCCATCACTACACTGGGACTATCCGGATCCCCAACCCAGACATCTGCCTTCGGAAGTCGCTCCTTCCGTCGAGGTAGTCTGTCCAGCTCGTGGGGATCCAACGCCCAAAATGAGGATGCAGTGGCGGAGGATGCTGAGGCAAACTCCCCCAACTCTCCCTTTGCTCGACGGACCTCGTTTGGAGCCCAGGCTCTCCGAGAGGCCAGAACTGGCAGCATAGGCAATGGTAGAGTACCCTCCTCCTTGCTCGCAGGGAGTAATCCTCCTGCTCGCTCTGCAAGTATCGCCACTTCTCCCCAGGATGAGAGATCTAACGCATCCCGCCGATTAGGCGAAGGCTTTAACTGGTCGGAAGCCCTCCGTACCAGAGCCGAACGTGCCCCGTCCATCGGTGGCCCCGTTTCCCCTGCCTCAGCGGCCCGTCACCCCCACCACCAGCGTGCGGCCTCTATTGCCTCTATGGAGCAACCTATTCGGGAAATCCCTAAGCAGCCTAAGCAGAAAAAGCCCGATTTCTTCCAGGAGAAGATTCTCCGAGGCGATTTTATGGACTAGGCTGTCACGAGTCTAGTAGTTCTTGTTTCTTTTACAGACGCATATTTTTACCCAATTTTTTTTTTCTTTGTGTATTCTGTTTAGGGAAACTTTTGAGCATATCTTTCCGTGCCTTTCAACTTGATACTGGTGATCAGTAAAGTTGATTGAAAACCGTTCATATTTTTTTTTCTTCTCATCTTCCTATATTCAGGAGACCAATATGTTTTCATACACATTTGAACCGCATCTAGTTTTTGGTTTGGGCGCAGGAAATGTTTTATCTTTGAACCTCATCCTGGTGCTGAGGATGTGACACCAAATTGACACCACAATTTATTAAAGAAGATTACAAGACTCCAACTCTATAATTTATATCGTGTATTCATATCTCGTTTGTACACCTAACTCCATATACAATCTCGGTATCACCATTTTAGTCAATCTTATCAGATCCTTGCATCCGAGCTTAATTTAAGCAGCTGACTCAGAAGGACCAGCCAGGCTAGGATCCTCCGCATGTACATGACCCGGCGTTTCACCCTGCTTCTTATTTGCATTTTCCTCCTCTTCCTGGCCATATTGTTCCGCAACCCGACGATCCATAAGCTGACTTGTGGTGAGTTGATGTTCTGGTGCCGGAGGAGTCCACTGACTACTCTTCCACGGCGGCACACGCATAACATACATCATGTCCATCTCTTCGAGAGTCTTATCCTTACCCTCAATAACGAAGAAATAAACCACCAAAACGGCAAAGAAAAGACACCCAGCAAAGACGTACCCATAGGCAAAGTCAATATCACTGGTAATGAAGGGCGTGAAGAACCCAATCAAGAAATTCCACAACCAATTCGACGCGGTTGCCAAGGCCATCGCCCTTGCACGGTATCGTGATGGATAAAGCTCTGCAACGATAGCCCAAACCATCGGACCCCATGTCATTGCGAATCCAGTGATGAACAAACAAGCAAAGACAACCATTGCTTTGCCGGCGCCGGGAGTATTCGCAGGTGTTTTAATATCAAGTGAGAAATGGCCCACTGATGCAAAGACCATGAAACAGACAAACATCCAGATCCCGCCTGCGATCAGCGACTTGCGGCGACCAAAGTGCTCGATCACGTAGAGACCACCGAATGTTGTACCGAAGTTTACGCCTCCGAGGATCATTTGTGTTACGTAGACGTTGCTGATTCCGGCTCCATTGAAGATGGTAGTTCCCTTTAATAATTAGTTTAGTTCATATTGGTACTGCAAGTTGAATAAAGAACTCACATAGTAGAAGAAGTAATTGGCACCGGTAAGTTGTTGCAATGCTTGAAGCACCATACCAAGAACAATTCGATATGGCATTCGTGGAGCCTGCATCATCTCAACCCAACCATACATCCCACCGCGAGATGCCTTCTCAGCTTCTAACTGTTCTTGGATTTCAAGGATCTCATGAATAATGACACGGTGGTTCTCGGGTACACCGTACAACTTTGCCATAGTTGTTTTCGCAGCTGCCACTTGTCCATTTCGATAGTTATATCGTGGGCTTTCTGGGAAGAGCAGCATTCCAAGACCTAAGAGAAGACCCCAGAGGAACGTGATTCCTAGTGGAATTCGCCAGGATGCAGTATTATCCATCGTCTCGGTGCCGAAGTTGATGCAGTAGGCGACGAATATACCCAGTGTGACGAATAATTGGTAGGAGCTATAGTATCACCGTGTTAGAAAGCCTTAAAACCACTGGCATTTCAAGTTGAGCTTACCAAACCATAGCACCACGAATATGCCTTGGTGCAATTTCACCCTGATACATGGGTACCAGTAATGATAAAGATCCAACACCAAATCCAGTAATGAACCGACCCATCATCATCTGATACCATTTCCCACTAGGAGAAGAGATCTGAATAATCAGACCAATATGTAGCATAATACACCATGCGAAGATTGACCATTTTCGACCAATCCGATCTGCAAGTGGACCAGCTATAAGGGCACCTATCAAGGTTCCAATAGACAACTGATCAAGGTCAGATCACAATATTCAAGATGAATCACAAGAGATGCAGATGTAGTACATACCAAAGAGACAATCAATCCCGATCGAACATTACTAAAATAAAAAGTCCCATCACTTCGTTCCTGTCCATAGCGCTGTTTATAATTCTTCATTTCCAGAAATCCCGAAATCTGTCCAGTGTCATAACCAAAGATAATTCCTCCAATTGATACGAAGGCACCAAGAGTCAATGATCGCCATGTTACCCAAGGAATCTTCGACTCATCGAAGGAACTACTTCGTCGTTTCTCTTGATCAACAGAGCCAGCGGATTCTGTTAATGGTGGGGATTGTCGTGCTTCCCCTTCGATTTCTGGATTCATGAATGGGAGCTTCATTGTAATGATGGAGTGTATGCACACTCACGAGTCTGAGAAAGGACACTAGAATCAATTGATGGGAAAGAGGCAAAGTTGTGGATTCTATCAGGTTTAATAGCTCTTATAAAATAGCGCAGTGTTCAGTGCCAGTGGCTCTTATGAGAGAAGTTGCCACTGCCGGTCCATCCTAGTGAACCCGTCATGGATAGATTTATAGAGGAATGAATTCAGGTTAATAGAGCTGTTAAACTTGAACTGAACTGAATTGATTAAATGAAAGATGATACTAGCACCGTATACTTCTCGATGAGCTTGTAGCTTATAGTTCGAGTCCATGTTGTACTAGATGTACACATATACCCAATCTTGTCTAGTTTATACGAGTAGAGCTAGCATTTGATTGAACCCCCGTTCGCCATCGCCATCGGGAGGCTGGTGCCACGAAGTCAATTCCATCATATCCATAAGACTCATTTTCTGGGGTACTGGTGGCGGGGTACGAAGTCGTGATGTCAATTCTCCATTCAACCAACTTAACCACTAAGATAAACATTTGAACCATTGAAGATAATGATATTGACCCCGGATGGAGAAAACCTTGTGACTAAATTGCTCAATTCTGGGGCGACTTTATGCACATGTAATGCATATGGCTACTGTGATAGTAGAGGCGAGGAATTGTCTGGAAGAAAGTCACGTTTTTTATTATTATGACATGTTCATATATTTGTTCCATGGTTGGATACTTTGAAATACTAAAATTCTTTCGGTCGCAAAAAAAAATACTATGTAGAAGATCAACTTGAAATATTGAATCAAAAACAATTGATAATGAAGTAAATGAATAAAGTAAAAAGGGATCAAAAGTAAAAAGGGATCAAAAGAAGATGAGACTCGATGAAAATGCCACCCTCCACTGACTATCAGACTATCTGACTATTAGTAGGGAATTCCGTTGGTCATCAGCTGGAACTGATCGTATCCCTTAGTAGATCGACTCATGTATGACTTGCGTGTCAAGTCACGCATGTACTCAGCCGCATCCCGTTCGCTCTTCTCCAACACAAAGCGGTCACGGAAGTTCTTAAGAGTCTCCGGTTTGAAGCATGGCAATCCACTGTCCAACATCAGGGATACAATGTGCGACAGCTTGTTGCAGTACGGGCGCGAAGCCAGGAAAGCCTTGACAACCAGTGACTCAAACCAGCGGTATGGCTGAGTAGCAGTGGGGTTGAATGAATGAGTCCCTGGCAGACTGATACCCGGGTTAGCGCTGGGATGATGAGCAGGATCATGGGTACCGCTGATCACGGCGACCATTTCAGAGGTCAACTTGAATGGTGCTCGCTCGAAACGGACACCACCAGGGGCAATGTCGAAGCAGAAACCAAAGTCGATATGGATGATATGACCAGCATCATCAATCATGATGTTACCGTTGTGTCGATCTTTGAACTGCAGCAGGTATGAAATGACAGAGTATGCAGCCATACTCTTGACGAAGTTGGTGCGAGCCTCCTGGAACCGGATGGAGTCTTCGCCTCCATACTTGGAGACAAAGTAGTCGTACAATCCATTGACAGCCTCACGTCCTAGCATATCACGAGAAATTGAATTGGGGAGCACATCAATGACACCGCAACCGGGTGCTGTGGAAGTAACTCGGTATGGGAAGACCCAGACATCAAGTCCAACACTGGAGAAGATGCTTCGGAAGGCCGCAATCATCTGCAGAGCGAGCATGTCCTGACGACAATCGTCACCGACCTTGAAGATAGCTGATTGCCAAACCTCATAGGTTTCTTGCTCGGCGTATGAGACCCGCTTGGCGACTTGGCGGGACTCAGTACCATGAGCACGAGCCGCTTTGCCATCCTGTCGTGGCCGAGTCTTCTGGATTCGGAAGGTGGCCATGTAAGGCGCCTTTGCATGACTCTGCAGGGGCTTACCAGACTTTCGATCGATGCCCACAACAACACCATCTGGGTTACTGGGCAGGTACACTCCAACCTCGACCTTGATTTTGCGCAGCTCTTCCTCAATCTTCTCCTTTTTCTCAGGTTTGCTCTTCTTGATATAAGGTCGAAGCTTGCCAGATATGTCTGTGATTTCACCGAAGAAGGAGAATTCGCGCTCGTAGAAGTTCCGCTCTTCTTCCGAAAAGCTCGAAATCAAAGACTCGATGAATCGGTCAAGCGTTGGCTTCAGGCCATCCGGCTGTAAAACAACGATTAGTTAAAGAATGGCCAGAACGGGGAGTCAGCTTATGCTCAAGTTTAACTTACAATTTGGGAATCTTCATCCTTGTAGGAGTTGGCCTTCATGTTCCAAATAACCTGGTGGGCAAACAGTTGGGATAACTTCGCGGTCTCCAGAATGTAGCGTTCAACATAGCCCAGAGCATCATATCGCAGAGCCTGCACCAGCTGAGGAACGAAGTAAAAGCGGACATCAATAGAATGACTCTCCAAAGCCCGCATGGCATATTGCAAGATGAAGGGGTGGTTGCCATAAGCAGGCAAAAAGTACGTTAATGCCTCTGTGGGGTTGACTGGTGCCCAGTATAACAGGTACTTTAAACAGAATTAGCCTGAAATTCCCCGAGGTGACACAGAACCACTTACTTTCAGTTGGAAGTTGACATCAGAAGGCAGAGATGAGTCAAACATGACCTCTAAAGCACTTGCCTCTGGGATAGCCTTCTCGGGGAAGTTGAGAATCAACCATCGAACATCGCTCTGCATCTTCGCTGATGGGAAGCGAGTAGCAAGCTGAATGGCTAGACCGGGGCTTTCAGCCCAAGCAAGTCGAAGGAACGAAGCAATTCCCTACAAAAACCAGATTAGTCGTGTTCATCAATTTGGGTAAGCTTGCGCAAGACCTACATCCGTGGTATGCTTGCCTCCAAGCGATGGCATATGGTGCTTTCGCTCGGGGTCCAGAGGGAACAGCCAAACCCGAAGACGAGACCTTTCATTATCGATGAGAAGTTGGGTCAGTTCTTGCTTGGGTTGAAGAGACTTGTATGCCCCAAAAGGCTGAGAAGCAATGTCGGCAACACTGCGCAGGGTAGAAAGGACATCATCAAGGATCTTGTCTTCGGCCTTGATCTGCAGTCGATTTCCGCCATATGACCATCTAAAACAATTAGTACCTAGCGAGCTAGATTATATGCGTGAAAAGTGACAAACCTGGGAGGGTGCTTGAACCAGCCCAGCGCAGCCGACAAGATCTGATCCTTCAGCTTCCACGATGCAGCCTTGTTGCGTGGGCTAAAATGCTTCAAGACATTCAGGCCAAAGAGAACTATGCGGAAGTGGATTTCTCGAGCCAGAGGGTGGCCTTGGGTCTTTGCAAGTCCCACCACCGTGCTGCTAATTAAGCGGCAGAACAATTGCTGGTCTTGCAAGTTACCCAGGCGGATAGCATTGAAATGACTCTCGAAAAATTGGAGCACGCGCAAATGGGGTGAGAGAGTGTTCTGTGAGTTCTCTTGCTTTCGGAGCATCGATGCCTTGTCTGTTGGCAGCAGCTCGATCTGAGTGTGCAATGGGTCAGTGTAGTCAAAAGATGTATCAAATAGACCCTTGCGTCTCTGGACACTTCTTTCCCAGGCCTCAACCACCTCTGCGAGGATGCGAGGCTCGATATTGGGGTTTTCATGAATGACCCCCAGCCATAAGGAGACTCCTAGCTTGATAATATCCTTGTTAAAGATCTGGAACGGCAGGGCTACCAGGTGATGAACCACAGACAAGCGAGGCTTGCTGCTGCTGCAAATCAGAGCCGCTGCTTGTCGAAGGACATCTCTGACTTCAAGAAGGGGGATATCTTCTCCATCCATACTACGGCCATAAAGGGCAGACAGAGCTTGATCAATCTCATCAGCTGACTCGTGTTCTGACGAGGCTTCGGTATTTGGTGTCTCGGTAAGTTGAAACTCGTTCTTAAGAACAGGGGACGAAGGTACTTCAGGTCGACGGTACTTCTGGCGGGTCGTATAGAGAGCCATGAAGTCGGATGCGATATTGACATCGCTCGCGTTGCATCCCTCGATGGATCCTAGACGCGGGTCGCTCTGTGGGATCAGAGAACCCATCTCGATAGCGAATGAACGACCTAGCGCAATATGCCCATAGCCACCGTCGTCATCATACTCAGACAAGTATGTCTGTAGCAGACCCTTGATATCTAGTGGTGCAATATTCAGGACCGCAGTCACCCAGCTCCGTGCTTTCACGAGGAACCGGTCTAGTGTCACCTTTCTCAGGGCATAGTTATCCGGTAAATCCACCCTTACAATACCCATGGGCGAGACAAGTGTGGGCTTCCAGTCAAATTCATCCAGTTCACCTTGGAGGCATGAATACCACATGACCGACAGAATTTCGAGCAAAGCGAAAAGAGAATGCTTCTCGCACAGGGCGGAAGGACATTGTCGGATGATCATGTCTGTGCACAGCGTGGCAATGTTTTGCACGCGTTCAATACGATGGCAACATGCCACGAGGTAGGCAGCCAGTTGTTTTGACAGGTAAGGCGCCGAGAAATCATCATATTCCTCAGACAAAGTGCGTGAAAGATAGGTGGTCACGGTCTTCTCAGCGACGGAATTCATGCAGACAACCATTTCGGGTGTGGACAGAGAAGGATCACGGAAGTATCTAAGAACCTTCGTGCAATCCCCAGATGATGCACGGAGATTTTCGACTAACAGCACGGCATTGAGGAAAACTGCTCGTGGGTAGTCCAATCGCTTGACGTCAACCTCACGGCCAGCCAGCTCCGCAATCAAAGTTCGCTTTTGCTCTAAAACTCGCTGGGGGCCGGAGCCTCTTCGGAGCACTGTATTGAGTTCGACATCGCTCTCAAGTGACTCCATACGATCCTCAGCTACGAGGGGCGGAGAATGGCTCGCAAGCAAGCGAAGCTCCTTGAAGTATTGCTGGAAAGTACTGGAGTTGAATGTGATGCCATGGATAGCGATGTTAAACCAAGTGTCGCGGAAAAGTGACAGAGTAGCATCGTCATAGTCAAGAATTGGGTCCGGAGTTTCTGGTGAGCATTTCACTGAAGACACCAGAAGAGCCAGAGGCTTCAACAAAGGGGTGATGTCGCTAGGAGCAAAAACGACCTCGTTATGGCGCTCACTCTCAAGGTCTGGAACATCACCCTTGTTGACAATACTTTCTAACAAATGAGTCAGATAGATTGAGTGGAGTGGAGAATTCTGCTCTAGGGTCACAGAGAGATATGCCATAGCACACTGGACAGCGTCAGAGATCATTGCCACTCCTCTGTAAGCCCCATCCCAGGAGATACGAGTATAGAATTTCAGCAGAAGCTGGAACTCTGCCTTGCCACTGCTCAGAGCGAGGACAGCAGTCTCCTGGATGATATAGGCATCCACTACAACATTGATCTTGCGAACCTTTTGCAACAGCATGGACTGTGCAAGAGCACTGATTTTGTCATCGTTGCAGCTAGTTGCGATGATGACAATAGCATGGACAACATTCCGGTAGACCAAAGTCTCCTCCTCCCCAACGGTAGGCACAGACGCCTGGCTAGCAGTATCGGGCTGCGCAAATGTGGTAATACCGACTCCACCATCCACAGGAAATTGATCTTGCCCCGAGGACGACTGATCAAGAGCAGAGCTCGGGCTGAGCGCATTTCCAAGAGTGTACAGGGTAGTGATCACAGCATCTTCAGACAGAATGCTGAGAACCTGAGCGAGGCATCGGGAAGCTACAGCAACCACAGAGCCCAAGGATGACCCGCCTTGGGTCAAGAACCTCAGCAGACACCTTTTTGCGATCGAGGCACCATTCGGGGACATTCTTGCTAGGATGGCCATGCATTTCAAGGCGGTCATCGCCAGCTGAGGATATGCCATTTGCTGGACATCGACCAGAGTGTCCTCTAGCCAAGATAGGAGCACATCATTATTAGCGGCATCCTCACCCAGCACGACACAGTTCAGAAATCCAATGAGAGCATCTCCTTTTACAGAGAAGGTTAGCTTCTGCTGAGATGGAGATCCAACTTGAAGGTAATCCGAACCATCCTCGAGCAGATGGATTTCCTCGCTGATGAGATCCGTGATACGTTCGATCAAGGTAATCTCAGACTCATCATAGCTCTTGGCAATCCCAACACCTGCCATGTAATCGTCCAAAAGTTGATCATCAGACAGGTTTTGCGATCCGATCAAGGATGCTGCACAGGATTTCACAAAGCGCATGAAGCCCTCCTGCAGCAGCATGGCACCCATGGGTCGTCCATGAGCTGCGTATCTTCTGGTATACTTTCTCCAGTCCTTCACGGTGTTCTCTGTACCAGTAGTATTGCGAATTGTGGAAGAAGCTGTCTCCACTGCAATCAAAAAGGACTCTGAGAGCATGGCTCGCAAATGTTCAATGATTTGGAGCTTCTCTCGGGCTGTCCAAAAAACAGGGTTCTTAGCAGAGGCTTCGAGGAAACCCACAAGTGATACTGCAATGGACAAAATTGCAATAGACTCATGGACTACACCCCGCCCGCCTGCTTCAGCTGTAGAGTAATGAAATGGCGTTACAGAGCTGATGGCCTCGGCACAATTATTCAAGTAGCCCGTGATTCCATTCACAGCTTCTTTCCGGAGGGTCTGGTACTTCATGCCCAGAGACAATAAAGCCAATGTCAGGCTGTGGGAGAGAGTTTCCCATGGTGAAGGCTTAATGCTCTGGAGGAAGGGCGACGGCCGAAATAGCTGGCTGGGCGACTCGGGCAGGTACTGGGATAATTGAGAGACAAGTCTTTTTGCGTGATCAAGCTCATTAACCGACAGGGCGGCTTTGCACAGAGCGAGTAAGACATCGAGTTCACGGATACCCTACCGAGGTCAGTTTACGTCACCCACGAGGGGTCTGCAGTCGGGGAACTTCGAGGTCTCACCATTGGGACCCGCGAGGTTGGGGCTTGATTCCTAAGTATTCCATTGAGTGCTCCATCTGTTGGAAGAGCTGGTCGAGACTGCTGAGCAAGGCGATCAAGATTGGTCCCATCTTGGGCAGGCGCCTTAACGGCCAAAGCCGCGAGCTTCTCGAAAGCCGAGCGTCGCACGCCGACCGAGACCCTTTAGGGAGAATTAGTACAGATTTGGGAAAAATTGACAAGTATACTTACCCATCCATTTTGAGTTTCAATAGAGATGCAACAATCTCCTAAAATAAAATGAATCTGTGGAGGTAAACAAAGAACCTTTTTAGGTTGAAATGGAAAGGAGACGGGGAATGCGACGGGTTCACGTGTCAACGCGGCACATAGTTCCGCCAACTGGTTGCCATAGTTAACACTGAGTTAAATGTAGTCCACAGAAATGCATAATCTTGGAAAAAACATTTGAATTGACTACCATGATATACATTTTAATAGAATAATAAGGGTTGATTCTGTTTAAAAAGTTGTCTAGGCATATAGATTCGCGCATTTATGGTATATTTCGAGTCCTAGTAATCCCAACTTATTCCCACTCCAGCCTCAATATTGTGTTTACTAGTATTTTGTTGAGTTGGGTAACCAATATGTATGGTGTATAGGTTCCTTCAATTACAGCATCCAAGAACCATTTAACAAGAAAACCCCACCATAATCCCAGACTCATGTTGTATAGACTCGCAATAGCAGTATAGTTCGTTGGCGGAGACAAAGACGGATAAATCTCTATCGTAGGCTTATCAGTTCTGCCACCCGCGAACTTCTACCTTCGACAACTTCTTGCTCCAAACCCCAAAAGACTCCGCTCCCCACGTCTTGTCAAGAAGCGCAAGCTTCTTAGTCGCCAATATGATGCACCCTGCTCGACAAGCCTATGTTGAGGAGGCAGAGGTAAGCCTGAGCTTCCCCTCAACTTCAGTCAATGAAGCTGTTCAAGCTGCTCTCTTTGGCCGCCATTGTCGCGCTTCCTTGCACTTATAAGAGCACCATTTAGTTGGAGTCTCCATGGCGCAAATTAATATATTGCAAGCTTGCCCGAGAACCAGACTAACCTGCATTTATGTAGGACATGGATATGGGAATTGACCTCGCCAATATTCGTAGGTCACCTCTCCCTCAGCGATTGTCCTGATACCCTACTGACCGCACATCCAGCCACCGATCAAGACTATGATATCCCATCCTCTGCAGCGGGCATCCCCGCCGAGCGCGCATCCGCCATCTATTCCCAATTCGAGCGCAAACGCAGAGCGGCCGCGATGGCAGTACCGACGGATGATACCAAAGTACGCGCACGATTACGAGAGCTCGGTGAGCCCATTACACTCTTCGGCGAAGGACCTGGCGACCGGAGAGATCGATTGCGAGAGCTTTTGACCGATATCTCGGAGCGCCAGGGAGGAGGCGAAGATATTGAAATGGAAGAGCCCGAGGAGGAGGTTGAGCAACAAGAAGAGTTCTACACAGAAGGGACAAACAGTTTACTCGAAGCCCGGAAGAACATTGCCCGGTTCTCTTTACCGAGAGCCAAGGCCCGTGTTGCGCGACTCAAGGAAGAATCAACAATTCCACTTCGAACCCATGTGAAACATCGCAAAGCGGTCAAAGAAAAGCTTCAAGGGTTTGATTTGTATGGATCACAAATTGCGGGCGATCGACCTGTGAGTATCTGTCGTTTCGCACCAGATGGACAGACAATTGCGGCCGGAAATTGGAGCGGAGGTATCAAACTACTTTCGGTTCCCAATTTGGAGGAAAAGGCGAAGTTCAAAGGACACACCGACAGAGTTGGTGGTCTTGCATGGTTCCCGGGTGCGACATTACCTCAGTCTAATGCCTCGTCGTCTACGGTGAACTTAATTTCTGGAGGTGGTGAAGGAGACATTAATCTATGGTCACTTGACCAAGAGAAGCCATTGGCAACTCTGGCTGGACACTCAGGCCGTGTGTGTCGAACAGAATTTCACCCATCAGGACGATACGCAGCATCGGCCTCCTTTGATACCACTTGGCGCTTATGGGACGTCGAAACAACAACAGAACTTCTTTTACAGGAGGGCCATTCTCGAGAGGTTTACACTGTAGCTTTCAACAACGATGGCTCTCTTCTCGCAAGTGGTGGACTGGATAGTATTGGCCGTATCTGGGATGTCCGGACAGGACGAACCGTCATGATTCTGGAGGGACACATCCGTGAGATCTACGGCATGGATTGGGGCGTTGATGGATACCGAGTGCTCTCAGGGTCCGGCGACGGATGGGTTAAATGCTGGGACCTGCGACAGGTCCGCAATACAGGCGGAATCGGTGCCCACAAGAGTGTGGTGTCCGATCTTCGATGGTACAAGGGGTCAGAGTCGGCCTCTTATCTGCCTTCTACAAATAATACAAATGGTCAGATGGATATTGACGGGGCCTCTCCGAAGCCGAGTGACAGTGAGACCATGACTACCTCCAGTGCGCAGGTCGAACCTAAGAAGTCTGGCACATTCTTTGTGTCCAGTGGATTCGACAAGAATGTGAATATCTTCAGTGCTGATGACTGGTCCTTGGTCAAGTCACTGAGTGGACATGCAGGAAACGTTCTCAGCACAGATATCAGTGATGATGCTAAGTGGATTGCTAGCTGTGGTCATGATCGTACTGTGAAGCTCTGGGGTATTGAATAAATGGAGGAAATGTATTGCTAGTGGTCCTCACACTGCTAGCACTCTCACAATACTACTAGCTCAGTGTCTGCATCTGGCATACCTGTGATATATAATGCAATCAAAAGTCATCAAACATACCTCTTCTATCTGGCAATGTAGGATCAAACACTCTATTCAAACAGGGAATATCACGTGTGCGGGGATGACGTAAGGCCTCTATATCGGCCACAAATATGTATGCGGACCCGAGTAAACTTTGGAATCCCCGCGACGGTTTGCGACGGTTTGCGCGTATAAGATTCCACAATGGCACAGGCAATCCGACCCTCAGTTCTCACAAAGAGCATGCGCTGTTCAGTAACAGCTCGATCCTTCACATCCTCAACTCGGTCCACCCTAAACTCCAAAGGCCCTAACAATGTGTGCGCATTCAACTCTCGGATGGAACCAACCCAAACTCCGAGAGGCACCCTGACAGCCCAGACCTTATCCACTGGGATTCCCTCAATAAACCGTCACTTCTCCTCAACGAAGAGCGCTTCCAAACCGAATACCGAGAACAAGGAGCCCGGTATTGCAGGCGCGCCTGATATCACAAACCACTACACGATCTTCCCTCGGACAATTCCTGCCGGCCCACCACCAGCCTCAAGTTTCAAGATCTCAACCGCTGATCTTCGTCGAGAGTTTCTGCAACATCAGAGCCTGGTTCATCCCGATAAATACGCTGCTGGTGACTTAAAGCAGCACGCTGAGGGGTTATCAGCACGGATCAACGAAGCGTATCGCACCCTGTTAGACCCTCTTCAACGGGCCCAATATCTTCTACGAGAGTGGCATGACATTGACGTTACTGCCGAAGATGCTGCGACGAATCATGCTCTCGATGCGGATACCTTGATGGAAGTTATGGAGGTACAGGAAACGATTGAAGAGGTCGGGGCTTCTCCGGAGGCAGAGGAAGAGATTAACTCGCTGATGAAGGAGAATGGTGAGCGTATCCAGGCGTGCGTTCAGCTTCTGGGAGATGCGATTGACAGCGGGGAGGTTGAGGCTGCGCGGAAGGAATGCATTCGGTTGCGGTTCTGGTACAGTGTTGGCGAGGGACTACGCGAATGGCAGCCAGGAAATACGGACATTCGGCTTGCGCATAGCAGTTGATATGCATGACCCGATGTTTTATCATGAATTGTACGATGTGAATTATATGTACTTATAGACCTCCACACATTGAAACTCTCTCTTCTGATCTGAGTTCCAAGATCTCCAAAAGAAAAGAAAAGAAAATTGAATGTGGATTTCATAATCCGCAGCTAATTCTATGACCAACTGCTGTAATATTCATGCCTTTCTTCATCCTCCTATCCTCTGGTTAAAGTACTAGTAGTAAACATCTGAGATGCGATCCACGACCTCGGGACCAAGTATCAACATTTCTCATATCGATATCCGGAGTGACAGCCGAAAAATCTTTGCACCCAATAAAACACGAAAGAATTGGAAGAAAGAAAGGAAAAGCAAAAAGGGCATCTCCTCCAAAACATAAGGAAAAAACGGGGGGGGGGGGAAGGGGAAAAAAAAGAATCGTCAGCTCCAGGATTCGAACCTAGGCTCCCGAAGGAAGTAGATACCAGATGATTCGCTAAAGATGAGTTAGTTGAGAGTTTTACTAGTGAAATATAGCGAAGTGGGGTACGAACAGTCTACCGCGTTAACCACTCCGCCAAACTGACTGGTATGACGCAATAATCCTTATTTGAAAATAAGGACAAGCACTCATTTGGCTTTCAATTTTTATATATCTTCACCTCATGTATCTTGCACGTCAATTGGCCAAATGCCTTCCTCTCCATAGTCGGCTCCTTATTCCAAAAATACTCTCTATTATACCACTTTTAGTGCTATCTTACCTCCTACCTACTTTACCTGCTAGGTGGGCATCTTACTGAAATAAAGTTTGAAGAACAGTCGTACTAGGCAGGGTAAATTTAGGCTACCATACAAGCTTCCCAGGTCCAGCACTTGAGTAGATATGCTCCAGGACTGTTAATATATTACTATATACAATGATTTATCTTGTGCCAGACCTATTGTATATTATGCAAAAAATGATGGCCCATACTGAACAGCCGCCCATCCTATACCCAATACTCCAACAATTGTGGCCCCCAATCTGAACATCGCAGTCCTAACAATTGGATCCATGAATCCTTTCACCATGGCCTCAAACTTCTCGGGCTCGTTACGGCCGGGATAATCCTCCTTGGGAATAGAAACATCGAGGAAAGGACAAATGGTTTCCCAGTCCAGCGTATCTTTGTCCAGATTAATGAGACACAGCCGGTCGGCTGGGATGGTTGCTTTGGCCATTTTCATGCTGTAAAGTTGATATTTAGTTTTTTAAATAATGATTCACGTAAAATTGAATCAAGAACTTACTAGTTTTCATAAAACTTGACAAGCTCCTTCTCATTGTCCTTGTCGCCTATTTGTGTACCTGCAGACAGGATACGGTAGACCAGGGTATTCATACCAAAGAAGTGGTACAAGGTAGACTCGAAGTGCTTCAGAATATTCAAGGGAAACTTGTTCGCTGCGCGAACTACTTGTCCCGCTGTATTGTTCACGGAGCGAGCCCACTTTCGGGGATCTCTCTCTGTGAGAATGAATTTCACGTCCGGATCTTGGGCATAGGCCTCAAGGAAATCTGTGCCCATGTAGCTGGGGATCTCAACAATACACTATTCACGAAAGGTGTAAGAATAGTTACTCGTAGTATCGATTGAATGCCAGGTTCCATTAGCAGATGTCAAGTCCACTTACATCATATTTCGCCATCCATTTGTCAAAATCATCTTTATCGAATCGTTTGATTCCGGAAAGTCGATTGTGCTGCGCGGTCATTCCTTCGTTGAATATCTTGAGATGGTCTAGACCGTTTATCATGGCGCATTCATAAATGTGATATGTGTTATAACCTAGAATCTGCATCGCCGTATACAGACCAAGGGTACCTGATCTGATACCCAGGGACAATTTAGCTACTAGTATATCAATTATTATGACATAAGGGATCTGCGAACTCACCGACTCGGACTGGCGACGACAACCTTGACCTTCCGGGTACCCTCGGTGGGCGATGGCAATAAATCAACTTCTCGAGGCATTTTGATGTCAATTGGTGATTCTTCGCTCAAGATGTGAAGAAATTAGATAGAGATGTGCCAGAGCAGAGGAAATCGGATGTATGAGGTTTAATCTGAATAGAGACATGGACAAGCATTCACGTTATTTATACTCCCAGGCAGCGTCATGATTTAAATTCTTGAGCCCAATTTCCAAATGTGCCACTAGTATGAAGTTATTTAGGGGTCAGACCAGTCCCCATGAGTACGTTCTCTCTGATCATTTCCCTGATACGTACAGAGCAGCGAAACTCTATTCATAATCTGTGGCGGCCTTCATTGCCGATGTGACCAATCTATATACGAGATGTGTCTGACCTATTCTGAGGCTATCAGCTAAGGCGTACAAATAAAGGGTTCAAGGCCCGCTTAAAGTAAGCTCTAATCGGGGTCCAAAACTTGAAGCTCTTTGCACCAATAGGACGCTGAATGATAGGGTCTTGGCGGGTCCGCCTACTCCGTATATACGAGGTGTCTTAAGCCCTGTGAGGCTGAGAAGATAATTGATAAATTAAATTAAGCCCACATAGCTTAGTTTAGTTTACGTATCTGTGGGACAACACACAGTCTTACAGGACCTTTCCGAATGCGAACTTGGAAGCAGCAAAGGGTAATTACTAGCAGGCCTGGAGGAGAAAAATTATCTTTATTTAGATTCCTACCCGGCAAGGAGACCAAATACGAATTTCAAGAAAAAAGCGAATATGATACTTTCGTCCGGATCCCAGTATAAAGGTGGAACTATTGGAGACTAGTTAGTAGTTACTGTGTCGACCGCCTCGATTGGACTGACAGTATCCGAATACCTAGGTAGTATCCGTGCGAAAAAGATATGAATTTATAAGCTAACCGTAAGGCGTCTAGTGTAAATTGATGAATCTAGTCTGAGCTGCACCAAATGCAGATTCAGGCTCATTTATCGTGGCCCAATGAAAACTTCTGATTTTGAAATTATTCTATGAATGCTAAGACCATTCAGGTACGACCTCACGACACTAGAAATGCTTCTGGTTACCTCCAGGTGCTTCACTTTTAGTTTATCGCATCTGCCCGAGAACGTCCACAGGGTTGGGCCATAAATATGACGAGGGTAATATGACAGCAGAACTACTATTACTAGTAGTAGTAAACTTCAAATTCACATGACGCGTGCTGTGTTGGGGGCGAACACTTAGCAACATTTTTCCATCAACAAAAAAGATATACTACTAGTAATCTCAGGTTGCAAGGTTAGATTGGTTTCAGTTCCATTAAGCTTAATCAAACAACATGACATAACTCTAGCTAGCCAATATGATCACAGGAGGTGATTTAGCGCGCATTAATCGATTCGCCATTATTCCCCATGATGGCGAATACTCAGTTATTGGAACAACTTCTCTCTTTAATCTATCTCTCTTTAATCTGGAGTGACGCTGGCTAATTTTTTGTATTAGATTATATTTTGAGACAAGAATAAGTAGGAAATGACTAGAGACAATAGGGTGTTGAGTAAAACTCATTATGTAACTGTTAAACGAAGCCTTTTTGAGGGGACCAATGAGGATAACGAGGGTTGTATGGAGCATGAAAGATAGCCAGGGATATTCAAAATATAGTCTTATCATCATACATGATAAATATAGAAGGAAAGACTAAGGAAAAAGAGAGGAAGAAGTCTGATGGAGTCTGATGGACGAAGGTGATCAAAGTGGATACAGGGTGTAGGTTGATAATGCAATAAATCATAATTCGTCATACCAAGTCAGTTTGGCGGAGTGGTTAACGCGGTAGACTGTTCGTACCCCACTTCACTACACTTCACTAGTAAAACTCTCAACTAACTCATCTTTAGCGAATCATCTGGTATCTACTTCCTTCGGGAGCCTAGGTTCGAATCCTGGAGCTGACGATTGTCTTTTTTTTTTCTTTTTCTTTTCGTTTTTTTGGGGGGGGCTTTTTATTTTTTTTTGAGGATATGTACACTTTCTTCGTCTTCGTGGTTTTTCTTTTGTCTTTTATCGGTTCTCGAAAAGTCTTGAGCTTTCGGTGTATCCTCTCCCCTGCGTCCTCCTGGATCGACTCCCGCCCTGTGAATCCAAGCTAATGACTACGATGTGTGCCTTGGTACCTACTAATATGGCTTTAGCAGTAGAAAAAGTTCAATGTTTCAAGAACCTGCCAGTGTAACCTGGAAGGTGATCAATTTCGTGGTGTACAAATCTAGCCTGACATGCTATCCTGCTCCAAAGCGCCCAGCTCAACAGATTCCTTGAATGATTTCAAGAGTCTAGCTGCGGCATAATGCCCTCGGTCCTCTGCAAGACCAACCGCTTCCCAAAAGTCATGTTCAGATTCAAATTCACCCACGACGAGTGCTCCTTCGTCTAAAAGCATTTGCAACATACCAATCCGACCATGTTCTGCGGCGCCCATCAAAGCCGTACGTCCATTTACCCACGCACCTTCTTGATTAATGTCTGCACCTAGATCAATCATCCGTCATGCAATTCCAATGAAGCCTTGAATGGCCGCAATCTGTAAAGCAGTTGCACCTCCGTTTTCAGCAGCTGGAGCATTGATATCGGCGCCGCGCTCTAGAAGAAGGTTGACAATCTCCATGTTTCCAAGCTCGACAGCATGCTGCAATGGTGTCCGCCTTGTTGAACCTTCTCCCAAGTAATTGACATTTGCTCCCTTCAAGAGTAGTAGGTCGCGGACGACCGATACTTGCTGTGTTTTTACAGCAGCTTGAAGGGGGGGTATATGCACGAGAATCTTCAACGTCTGACTCATCGAATGGGAGTGAATGATCACTGGTCACGGTGATATCGCAGTTCAAGTCTAATTCGAGCTGCATCAACTCAAATATATGGTCGTTCTTCTTCTTAAAGATTGCTATTATCAGAGCACGACCTACAGAGGCTGGACTCCAGTCCATCTGAGCTGAGGAGGCCCATTCAAGAAGATATTTGAAAATCCAGTCATCAGCTTTCCAAGCCGCTATCTCAAGAACTGACTCGAGATGAGAATGCTGTGTGCTGTCAATACCTTTTATATCCCATGAATGATGAGACATTCGAGGCGCTCCTTTCAGGTCGATATTTGCTTCTCGGAGTAACTCCAAACCAGTAATTGAGCCTTTCAACACCGCGGCTGAAGCTGCCGTCGGGGCACTTCCCGTGAACCCTGAGAGCAATGGCGGAAGAAGGTGATCGCGATTGTTTTTTATAGCTTCTGCGAGGGCATCATCCGTAGCTTTGGAACCGCGCGAAAGGAGGTTCAGTGCAAAGCCCAAGCTGTCAACCTGAAGGGCGGCCCACAGAGGTGTTCTCTCATGTGGATCTGTTATTTTTCCTTTCTTGTCAGCATTTCTCTCAAGTAGGAACCATGCTAAATCATCATCTTGATCGGAAATGGCAGCGGAAAGGAGTCCGGGACCAAAGTGATCCAGGAGTCTTGGAAGAGTTCCATTGATCTGCAAAAAGAGAGCAGTTTGTAAATTTCCAATTTTGTTAATCTCGAGTCCGGGAGGTCTTGCTCCAGAATTTAATAGTCTGGTTAATATCGTTTCATCTCCAACTTCAACAGCCGCTGCAAGAATAGTACTTGGCTTCATGTGAAAAAGTCATCCAGTCGAGCATTTGAGCCGATAAAAAGATCGAAAATATCCACGAACCTTCGCTGAACGGCAATCATAAGTGCCGAGGGGCAATGTTGAATTTTACATGGCACTCGGTCAACTTTGGCACCATGGTTAATTAACAATTGGCAAAGAGCAAGATTGTTATTCAGAACCGCAAGCTCAAGCAGCGTCTTTTGACCCTCATCAGCAGCTCGAATGTCAGCACCTGAGTTGAGCAAAAGTTCACAGATATCAATGAGACCATTTTTAGCCGCGAGAGCTAATGGAGACATATAGCGTCGTGAAAGCAGCGATGGATCTTCATGAGCGGAAAGAGGAAGCAAAAGTCCTACTATTTCAATATTTCCTTTTTCGACCGCAGAGCCTAGTAAGCTAGTTTCATATTCGGATCGCGAGGAGATGAAATGCAACCGCCCATTCAAATGAGCCCCCTTGGTAATGAATCTCTCAACGAGGGGCACATTGCTATACCTCACCGCGATTTCAACAGTCGTTGTATTGTCCCTTTGTTTCCTCACATCTTGATCAAGATAGATGTCTATGATATCTCCAAGGAGAGGGTTCTCCTTATAAAAATCCGAGTCTGAAAAAGCAATACGCTCAGCGCAAGCCATTGTCACTAGGGCACCGTGAGCCAGAAGTATCTGAATGGCAGGCTCATTCATTTCGAAGATGGCATAAAATAGAGCAGTTTTACCGTCATCGTTGACAGAAAAGTTCACGTCGGCGCCATGACTGATCAGAAGATCGATATCCCGAGGCCTTCCACCATTTGCTGAGATATAAAAAAGGTGTCATTCACATATCCTAGCATGTACTCAATCAGCCCATTTGGGTTCATCCCAGACTGAAGCATTTTTTGGACCATGTCGAAATTGCCCTGTCTTAGTGCAGAGGAAAACACTTTTTCCGTCATAGCCTGGGCAGTTGGTTCGCGACTTGAAATCAGAATCTTGAGATGCTTTAAATTATCCCAGCCAGTGTCTCTGAGGATTTGCAAGACTAGTTTGTCATCTCGTTCAATCCCATTAGAGAAATCCGCCGGAGTCCACGAAGTCAGATGATTTGAGATGAGGAAGAGCGTCACACTCATACTCTCCCAACTCTCTGCTCCTGAAGTACTCAGATCTGCTGACAGGGTCTCGTGTTGACCAGGCTCATTTTCTGGCATGAGGATACTCAGAGCGGCCGATGTACGGGAAGCACTGTACATATTTGGAGAGTATTGGAGTTTATTCCATGGTACGATAGTGCTTAAGTGTTGCATTAATCCGAAGTTAACGCGAGCGGCAACTGAATTGTGCGACGAGTTTAAAGTGAGAAAGGCAGGAGAAGACGGGGAGATATCTGAAAGTTCGACAGAGCCTTTAGCTTAAGCCCATGGAAAATCCATGTAAGATTCAACAATCACTTACCATTATTTTGTGAAAGTTCAAATAAACGTGTGAATCGTATCCATGGAAGAGAATCACTCCGAGTCCATAAAACATGTATACCAGGTGGTGCGGGTGTAGCCACAACATAGCCTTCCGGAGTACTTGGAGAAGGGCCTGGAAATTATTCATTTTCACATTCTCATGATGTCAAAAAGATGAAGCTTACCATATCGTGAATATTCAGTCAAGAAGCCCTTTCTGTACCTCGATTTGGCAATCTTTGCAGGATGAATCTGGATCCCATTGACGAAGACCTCGCTTTCCTTGTCTTCTCGCTCCCGTTTACCGACTTGCCAGGCAATCCATTGGTCGTCTCTGGGCTCAGAATGTTTTCTGAGTCCCCACTCTTGAACTTCCTGGAGTACTGTGTCCGGCTATATCGCTGTAAGTCGAGAACCCAAGACCGGATCTAAAACTTGAACTTACCTTTTGTTCCAACAGTATTTAGTTGTCATGAAACCCATCACTTCCTCACGTGTCTTGTTCTCGTGAATATATAACCTTTCAATCTCGGACTTGTAAACATCCCAGCTTGGAGTATACTCTGGAGTCATCGTGAATCGTGAGTTTGGCAAAAAAAAAGGTCTGATGGTTATGAGGAAAATTGGGCCAAATATTCCCCAGACTTGATGACGCCTTCCATAGAAAAATCTCCAAAGAAGATCAATCAGTTTTGAAATGGAAGATGCCGAGGTGTCTGACTCCTCACACATATGCACCTGGGCAACTGCGGGGCTTACTTGTCAATGTGCTACACAGTTAGGCGCCTAGCTATGAGCAATCTGTTATTGACTAGATTCCAAGTTCCCAAATCCAAAATGGATCACTTTTATTGGTTTATTCCCAGCTTTCCCTCCAAATAAAATGCCCTCATTGGCCTATTCTCAAGGTTCCCCATGATATTAAGATTCACAGCAACGATCTATGGGTAGAAGGTTTGCGTGGTCATGCATGTGCATAGCGGAGATACGCGAGCCCTGGAGATGACTTGAGAGATGTCAACTCCCAACTTGAAGTCCTCTCACACCCAGGACTTAATCAGTTAGTTCAAATTCCTTTTTTAGTTCCCTTAAATCGAAGACCCTGATTTGTTGACTGCCAAACTCCCTCCATTTTCTTATGATCAAGCCTTTCTCACAACCCCTAGATAGTACATCCAGATCTGAGATCAACAATACAATGGAGACCACCCTGGTATTCAATCCCGATTGACTTTAAACATTTAAATGACCTTGTTCTCCAAGCTCGACATACTACCTAGCCTAAGAATTCAAATTCTTCTAAACCCAGTCCCTTCCAAGGTTATCTCCCTAAAAACCTATCGGATATTGTTCCACAGCCGCTGAAAATCTACTATTTTCCTTGCTTTCCCTTTTAAACTGGCTAATCGTAGTGGGTCTAATATCAACCTTAATTGGGAAGATGATGAAACCAACTATTATCACTCTCTCCGACAAACGCTGTCAACACTATGTCGGCCAGCGTCAGCCATCCCCCTCCAAATCCCAGTCTGAATTATTTTCTTGAGACCAAAGCAGATTTTTTCTTGCATCATAATTGCAACTCGCCCACCGGTCACTCCTCAGGTCAAGCGGACCACAGGGAGAATACCTACAATAATGAAGTCTACCCTCTGGCTCCCAGAGCCCAGTCTCAGACTTATCTTCTAGCCCAAAATAAGAGGATCAGGAAGCTCCAGCAGTATGTATTCCTGAACCCCTTTGACACCTTCAAAATATGGTAATGATCTTATTATGTATGTTTATAGACCACATGATCGTCCACAAGCTCAACCTTTACTATGCGAATGGGATGGTTGTGATTATCCTGGATCATTCAAACAAGAATCCTCATTGATGCGTCATCTTAAAAATGTTCATTTCTCCCCTGGTGCTTATCCATGTCCCTTTCAAGACTGATATGGTCTTCAATCGTAAGGATAACCTTACACAGCACATGAGAAATATCCATGGCTAGAGGTACAGTGTATCTAGGTAGGAATAGAGTTGATAAGAATGATTTTGATAATAATTTGGATTCATCAGGAGCAGTTTAATCCAGTGATGGACACCTGGGTGATCATATTTATCGTTTTTGCTATTTGTTATAATGTGCATGCATATGTATTTGAGCGTGGAACAGGCCACCTTTTTTTACTACTGGCACGTGGATCTCTGTAGTGGTTAATTTCAGAACGTTTTTGAATCTGTCAATGCACATTTCTATATACAAATTCATACTAATCTCTATGATTCACTGACTTGAAAGGAACTATATCCAGATGTCCATTCTATGTCTCTGTTTATTGTCTAAGGATATTTTTAGTAGTAACAGGCTAGTCTAAATAAGGCTTAGTGTTGGATCAACTGATCACCCAATTATATGTCACATGTGGGTCGTCTATGCTTGTTGCCTGAGGCCAGAATCGCCAATCATCTGTTTGTATGAACATTTAAAAGCTGTCACCTACATTCCCGTCCCAATAACTTCACCTCTCGTCCGAGCCTCTACATAAAGGTCACGTGCATTTGAAACTGCCGGTATGACTCGGATTTATGCAGAAGATGATGCCATACCCCATGGCTGGCAAACTCGACAGCCAGGGCTCATTCTCTGGGCATTTGTATCAGTATTCCGGGTCCTGTTCTCCTCGTTTTTCTACGCAGCTTACTACATCCCCACCTCGTGTCGACAGAGCCCCCAATGGACATATTCCCAAGCGCTTCGAGTCCGACTATTGAAAATCCTCTTTGGTGTTGTCACCGAGCTCGGCTTCAGTCAATCGCTGAGTTTAGAAGCGGGTCCGATAAGCGATCAGTGGGTTATTCTGAGCCCCGCCCCGGACGGATCATATCTTGGTGGCTTTGCAAGAGGGCTTGTGGAGCCAGATAGGATTGGAGCGACATGGTATCCAGCACCAACACCTACGAGCGCCGAACTGAAAGACGACAGTCTGATCGTTTTATCCTTTCACTCCGGCTCATTCCTATGGCTAGATGGACGACCAGGGGACTCAGGCTTCGTTGCTAATATGGTCAACCAGAAACTCGGCGCTGGGACTCGTTCACTTTGGGTACAATATCGTCTGTCTGGAGGCAAGAACCCGGTTACTTACCCAGGACCCATGCAAGACGCAATAACCGCATACCACTACCTAGTGAAAGAGCTGGAGATTTCACCATCGCGAATCATACTGACAGGCGACTCTTCAGGCGCGACGATCGCAATGGCTTTGATACGCTATCTCGCTTCGAAAGAAATCATTAACACCGACTTTGCTGACCTCCCACCACCCAAAGCATGCCTACTATTCTCACCCTCCGTCGAGTACAGCTTCGAAGGTGACTCCCAAGCTGTTGAAGAACATCGGAACCAGAAAACAGATTATTGTGGTGGACCAATGGCTGCATGGGGTGCCCGAGCAGTAGCACCACCGGATGTCGTGCGATTAGATGACCCTTACCTCTCGCCAGGACTCCATCCCTTCGAAACGCCAGTGCCAATTTTTGCTCAAGCTGGCGGTGCTGAGGTACTTTGTGACACCGTGAAAGGGTTTGTGGATCGGATGCGCTCCATCTCTGGAAATCAAATTGAGTATTTGGAGGTTCCTAATCTCCCACACGACATCTATGCCATCGGCAGACCTCTCGGATGGACGAAGGAACAGGAAGAAATGATTGATTCAGCTGTGAAATTTGCTCTTAAGCTGTGAAGTGAATTTGAATTACTCGGTGGTTACATGGTATGGTTTAGCTGATATGAAAAAGTCGAGTCGGATATTCAAAGTGAAAATTGAAGCCATATGAAATTTTTAACACCGTGTTCTAAAATAAGAGAAGGAAAAGTCATTTCATTATAGGAAGCGTCAACACCTCACATCATAGCGCAACAACCAGGAACCCCCAGATCAGAGGTGTCTATATCCAAGTCAAATGGTACAAGACCACCATACAAACGATGGTTCTCGAAAAGCCTTCTTAACCACGCAGCACAGTTCATCCATCCTGTTGCTTTAAAATCCGTCTGATAGTCCATGAGAAGAGCCTCGATGCGAGCCATATCCTGCGGATGATCAGCGCAATCAGCCAAAGCAATAACCAAACAGAACTGAACATGTGTCGCTCCAAAAGGACGATCAGGATATGCCAGCTCGGCACCCTTAATAATATACTGACGGAAAAATTTCGATTCTTCCAGCAGTAGTATATCAGTGGGATCGCATGCTCGGAGAAGTGTATTCAATAAAAGGGCCAAAGCGGATATCACAGTAAAAGCAGCTCGGTACCGGGATTGATGAAATTGTGGCAGTGATCGTAGTAGTTTATGATTCAAAAATTCCCGCATTCTGTGATTGTCGTCTTGGAGTACTGTGTATGCGGAGTTCATTCCGGCGAGATGGCGATGCGGGTAATGGATATACTCCGGGAACATTGAGAGTGCCATGAGGTTTGTTTTTGGGCGTGGGATTGCACTATGTTGGGCAGGTGGAGGGTTTTGTTCCAGCAGGGCCAGAACTTGTTCCCAGAAAGATTTGGGCATTTGGATTTTAGGATCTTGTATGCCTCCCAGAATCTATGCATTGTGTTAGTGTATTAATGTGGGCATATGTGAGGGTGATATGCTTGGCTATTACGTACCACAGGTGGACATAAAGTGACAATGAGCTGTCTTGCAAACCCTTCTTGACATTGGCTTAGGTCTACAAATTTTAATAGATGCACAAGAGCCTCCGAATGACTCGTTCGCTGCTTCTCATGATTTCCAATCCAGCCCTGTTGTTATCTTTGTCAGTGAAATACACTCTTGATACATTCCGCGGGAGAAGATTACCTGGCAGATAGAAATGAGATAGATAGCAGAAAGCGTATTAGGAGAGTGAGCCTGAGCTGGATCACTCAAACATTCTCTAAGCACCTTAAGTGCCTTCACAAACCGCGCTAGGACAGGCCGAGGGATATCATCGTTTTTGAAATAGGGATACGAAGCCACCAGTGCTGTACCTGCAGCATCTAGAACAGGACTAGACCCAAATCTGCGGGGCAAATCCTTCAGGAAAGGCCCATAGCATGAGATGTCATAGCGCAAGTCCCGAATTTCAAGAGTGTTGATGAATGACAATGTGAGAGTATCATTGGGCACCTGGAAAATGTGGAGCGGAGACCCCTGTTGAGTGGGGACAACGGACTTGCTCTTCTGACTCGTTGCTGGTGTCATGTCCAAGGACTTAAACCTGTAGCGCTGTTGACCACTTCCTAGACAAACAACGCCTCGCTTGACACATCGCGTGCATGGTTGGAGCTCGTCACACTACTCTGGTTTTCAGCCAAGGCGCCCAGTGAGAAAGTATCAGATAAATACGAACCTTCTTTTTCGACTTCCGACATGCGTCACATCCTTTACTCTTGGGAACGCCTGGCATCTTCCGCAACTTTATACTGAATACAGTAATGCTGAAGAAGCGGGTTCCTTTGTGGCGTTTATGTCACAGGAGGGCCTCGTACCCACCAGGAAGAGGACAACGTGGATACCCGAGGCTGGATGCCTCAATCCTTTTTATTGTCGATTAAAATAGCTCAATTTAACAAGACAAGGCCGTATCGAATTCAAGGTAACAGTACAGAACGAGCGATGGAGTGATGTCGAAGCTCCAAGAGCGAGAGAATGAGGGGGCGGCCCCCTCAGTAGAGTAGCCAATTAAGGACAACAATCATTCCCAAATGCCCCACCAGGCGCAGCATTCTTCCTTTTCTGTCGTAGTTCAATAATTCAGGTGTATCAATGTATCATGTGTACATATGTACGGGTGCATATTTGGGTCCTGAGTTGTGGATATTTTTGGTGGTGGTGGATCAATGATAGGGGGGTTGTAAGTGTGAAGTATACGAATTACGGAGAAATTGAATAGTTTGCAATAATCTAATACTGTAGAGAAAGTTTTAACAAATGAAGTATGAATTGTAAATAATGGGCCAGCCTAGTTAAAATTGAAGCTGCTTGCATAAAATAAACTCAAGTGCTTGTCAAATTGAAATTAAAACCTCATAACAAGTAACGCCAGCGAAATCGTTAGTCGCCATTCAATTTGGAGGGTCACAGAACAAACTTGAAGTTTCCAAGATTAACGACTTCCTGGTCGATTCTCAGGGCTTGGATCTTTCCAATCTTCCACAGTCAGCTCATAAATAGCCTCCCCAAACTCCTCAAACTCCCCATCAACTCGATACTTATCTCCAATCCGGCTATCCTCCCACAGCCAATCCGTCACAGAGAGATTCATCCAATCCACGATAATCTGTTCAAAAAGCTCGCGACAGATTGGGAAGCGAGTTTAGCGCACGATGTTCCGCCTATTATCAACGAAGACAATGCGTGCACATCTGGTTTTAAAGGCCTCGCGATCAACTATAATAAGCAGGCTAGCAGCGCATGTCATGTGGAGGTCAGCTGCTGCCCTGTAAATCATTTGATGCGGATTCTTGCGCCATTCTTCGGGGTTTTATCTTTCCAAGCTTCGAGATTCTCTTTGAAATAACGAAGTGTATCCTGTAGATAACTTATCTCGGAATTACGCTGAGGGAATTTTGGCCGGATTGTTTCATCCTCACTGAAAGTAAGGTAAGTCAGTTCAGGTACGAGCTCAAAAATTCTTTCCCAGTGGTCGCCAAAGTTGAATAGTTCTGAGTCGTTCAGATATGTCCACTTGTTGTCCATGGAATCTGCGGAATCCTTATCCAACTGAAGCCATCCTGCTATCTGGCGATCATCGGCTCCTCTTGCAGCTTGATCTGGGTCATAGTGAGTGCGAAGGATCGGAGATACCTTCAAAGTATTCAACCTGATAGCCGCTTCGCGAATTACTTCCGATCGCCAGGGACGAAGGATGGCGTCAATATCCTATGGAAGGGGTTGGGGACAATCCTGCAGCATGCGAGAAGACTTAGGAACCACATCAGAATCCAAATATTCCCGAACAAGGCGTGAGCGCTGCTCATGAGAACTTTCAGAGGAATTGTGATTCCATTTTGTCTATTTCAGATATCAGTGAGGCTGACTTCATGTTCATGACAAAAATGTATCTTACAAGTAGATATTTTTCAGCGAACAGACTACCCGGGGGATAGTATTGGACGTCCTGGGCATGGGAGGACATGATGGAATCTTTGAAAATGTTGAGTTTGTAATAGGGCGAGAGCCTACGGTAGACTGATCTTGGATGAGGGGATCTCAGACTAGTGAGGTGAGGCCAACAGTGTGAGACCAGCAATATGAGGCAGCGTGAGGTTAGCAATGTGAGAGATGGAGGAGTGAGAAGTGGAGAATGAGAATATGTAGTAAGTCAGCACACAACATCTGAGGCTCAACATATGAAGGTCCCGTGACAACTTGAATACCAAGTACTATCACTCTAATAACTGTCCACGGGTGTATGAATATTGACTGTCTTTCATTCCCACTCAGAATGTAGTCCTTCAGAAGCCATCCATTGATGGGGCCATTCCACAAGGTTCGATCAATTAGACCCACGGTAGACAGGTAATATCAATATATGATCGCTAACACGGCATCATATCTTATTTCCTATTTAGAGTGAGATCACAAATGTGCACTTAGTACTGATAGTACTATAGAGTTGGGTAAAAAGTCAGTCCCTAGTTCACTATGTGGATAGTATTTACCGGTAAATATGAAGGAATTAAGCCAGATTATCTCCATTTTTAGGGTTGAAAAAACATAACCAGCAAGTAGAAAAACATTTGAAGTCATCTAAGCCGAGTCTAGCCACCAATCCCTTCCAAGTCGTCCGCAGTAAGTTGATAGATCTTCTGCGCAAATTCTCCATCCAGTCAATATTTCTCTCCCACCTCGCTGTCCTCCCACAGCCACTGCGTTAGAGTGATATCGAACCAGTCCAGCATGGTCTCCTCGAAGGACCCCAGGACAACCTCGAAGCGGGCTTCGCGCACAATATTCTGTCTGCTATCAACGTAGACAATACGGGCATGCCCTGTCTCAAAGGCTTCTCGGTCATTAATGATAACATAATTTGCAGTACACACATAGTGGAGATCAGAAAATGTCCTGTAAATCACTTTATGTGGATTTTCATGCCAATCTTCAGGGTTTAGGATTTTCTCTTGTCGTATAGCCTCTTTGCATGATGTTCGTGCATGACGGAGCAAACTGATTTCTGAATCAAGAGGAGTGAATTTGGGCCTGATACTTTTATCCTCACTAAAGCGAGGATCTGCAAGTTCTGGGAGTAGTTCAAACATCTTCTCCCAGTGGTCACCGTAGTTGAACAGCTCCGAGTCGTCTAGGCATGCCCCTTGAGTATGCTTCATCGGCGAAAAGCTCATCCATGCCAACCCACTTTGCTAGTTGCGCATCATCAGCTGCCCTGGCGGCCTTCTCCGAGATGTAGAATGTACGTAGAAGCAACGGTGAGCAGATATCAGAGTCCACTCGGGTAGCCAACTTGCGTAATTTTTTCAGATCGCCAAGGACGGAGGACAGTGTTGATATATCCTTCCGGATGTTGCGGAAGGGCTCGCATTCGAAATTAGTGTCCAGGAGGCATCCAGTCAGAATCTAGGTGTTCCTGAATAAGGCGTGAGCGTTGCTGTTCGATATTCTCGGCTGAATGGGAATTCCGTCTTCTCTAATTTGAAGTTAGTGATAATTCATTTGTATCCTGAGAATAAAAAGTCCATACCAGTATTTCGTATTCCGCAGGTAAATTTGAAGTGCCCCATGGACACGTGATAGTGCTATCTTCGCCTTGGTGGAACATGATTCAATTATTGGCACAGTCAAATATGTAGTGGATGATACTTGAGTAGATGGTGCACGAAGAGTAGAAGAAGTAGAAGGATGAAGAGGAGAACGAATGAAGAAGATGAAGGACTCAGATCAAGGATGAAGGGAGTTGGAACAGATTGCCATGGCCTTGAATCAGGGCTTTTTATCTATGTTGGTGTATGATCTTGACTAGTCATGAATGAATGCTCCCTTAAATTTGAGTAAAAGGCTCCCCAGGTAACATCTCTGCCCTGCTTGGCTAAGCGGCTTAGAGCGGTCGGCGACCCAGACGCCGGGGACAAAGGCACTGAAATTGAGGTGTGCCGGGCCCTTTTTCGGTGGCAGAGAAAATACTAGCGGGTGGGCGGGATCTAGCTACGGCTCGGGTATCATTATCTTCTTCAAATTTTTATTTTCTTACCCATTATATTTCTACTCTTTTTCTTTCTATTTCATCTTTCAGATTCTCAAAAGAAAAATAATTGAGGGAGATGGAAAGGATTATGTGATGGGGATGGATGTATCAAGTGAGGCTGTTGAGGCTATTCATGCATTCCTGATTTTGAAGGTCTTGGGTTCGATCCCTGACCTTGCTGGATTTCTTTTTATATTTTTCTTGTCAACTTTATTAACTTTCTTTCCCACCAAAGGTACTAGTACCTTCCATCATTCCAAGGTTCTGCCAGTGTTTATATATATAGCCTTGGAAGTTGTATAGAATTCTAATTTATGGTTATACTCAACCAATGAAATACCGAATTATGATACCCACCTGGGCACTTGGTGAACCAGTCACAGCGTAAAAATAACCAAGACATATATAGCAGGCGGTCAGTTGAGTCAGTTGAGCGGACTTTACTTGGCAGAATAATTAAGGTTCCAGCCCCACTCAACATTGCAAGTTGACCCAATTGAGAATGAGAATGAGAATGAACACTATGAGCCCCATTCGTCCTGCGCAGCGTTTTCCCTTTTTTCGGCTCTACACAGTAACAACTGGGCACTGCCGCCCTCTCGTGATCAAGGCATTCATACGTGAGATTTCTGGAATGCATCATACCAGGTTCCAGGCCAAGGTGCCAAGCCTACAGGTTGAAATTTCGTCACAAGGCTTTGGGCGTGGACTGAGCACTCTTGGCCTACAAGTTGCGAAGTTGGATGCCAGACAATCTTTGTCATTGACAAGCACCTGCTTGAAGTAAGTCTTATTACTTGACCGAGGTAAAAAGCGATTCGATATTGACCTTATCACAGAAGAAAAGACTATCCCCCGTTGAACTTAAGCTCTAAAAATACAAAATGCTTTGGCTCAAGTTGATCTTCACCAACAAAAGCAAAGAAGAAATCCGCGCCGAGGAACAATCCAGACGTCAAAGCAAATCACACATCAAACGAGTTTTAGCCCGAGAGCGAGAACTCAGACTTGCACAAGATGGCGGCGGAGTGAAAAGTGCACGTCTTTTCTTTGGATCTCCATTGGAGTCATATACCCATGCAAAGCACGGCAAGCGGACTAAGGAAAATTTTTCCAATGGGCTTATGAAGTCCATCTAATCACTTGACGGAACCTATATCTTGAATTGGATGCTGTATAGATATCCCATCGCATTTCTAGAGGAGCGATCATACAAACGTGCATTTGTCGCCATTCCTCCATCTCTATATACGCCGACAAGCCAATCGAACCCGATCCGGATCTTTCATCCGCACGAGTAACTGCATATCGACATCATGTGCAACCGCCAAAATCCTCGTTCGAAGCTGTTCATTCGTCTCACCAGGATTTGGAACAGCAGAGATACGATGATCTCGAAGTAGTCGCGCCATAACAGCTACAAACTCCACCTGCGAGAACTTGTTACCCGGACAATTCTGTGGACCCTCAGCCCAGGGGAAATATGTGCATCGTGCAGGTGTTATGAGGCTTTCATCTATGAGATCTCCATTTCCAGAGGGCTTAATCCAGCGTGATGGGTTCCATTTTTCGGGTTCATCCCAGTATTCGGGATAGGCGTGCGCAGCTGCAATATTGGCGAATACGTATGTCTTTGGTGGGAAGATTACAGTTTTCTCGCCAATTTGCAATGACTGTGGTTGATCGTCGACTTTCTTTTGAAGGACATTAACAGGGGCAAAGACACGGAGTGTTTCATGCTGAGTGTAATGTTAGCGGGAAAAAGTTGATTCAGGAACAAAGTCCAACATACAAGGATAGCTTGACAGCGTTTAAGCTTTGGGAAGAGCTCTGCGTAAGAGCCTTGCATCTCTTCCGGTGTGATTTGACGCAATTCTTCTGTAATCCAAGATTGGATATCTGGATACGCCGATAAAAGCATTATCGCAAAGGCCAGCGTATTAGCTGTAGTATCATGACCAGCGAAATTGATCACAAAGATATTGCCAAAGATCTCATCCACCGTCAATCCTTTCATAGGCGTATCCTGTCCTTTGATTTCCGCGCCTGTTTTCTGATTGAGATCCATAGCACGCACGAAGGATGTCATCATACTGCCTGATCCGGCTTTCCCTTCATTTAGAGCTTTGACTTCCTCGTTCAACATGCGCGTCATATGCTGTTGAAACCCTTTAGATGCTTTGGCAACCTTATGCCAGGAACTAGGTGCAAAGGGAAGGGAGAGCCACTTTCGTGGAATGACCATCAACATAATGCAATGATCCAGCACTATTTGCAGAGCATCACGATAGTTGGTTGGATCCTGAGAATCTTCCTCTTGGGGTTCATTGGCGCTTCGGAAGGGGTATGATTTTCGGAACCCAATAGCAGCGATGACATTCAAAGAGACTGTTCGTGTGTCCTTAGCGACACTTTTAATCTGGCCAGTTTTTGAAGAGGTCCAAGTCTTCACCATCTGCTCTGATTGCTTGATACTTTCATCCCACAAAAATGACATGGCATTCTCATTGAACGGAGTTGCCATCACTTTGCGGTGACGAGGCCAGTTCTCTGGGGAGGCAGTTGAGATACAAGGACCATAAACCTCAAGAATCTCTACATGAATGCACCGATAATGGTTAGCCCATGAAAATTATCACTTGAGGTTTCAACATACTGTATGCCTCAGTTGGTCGGAGAAAATCCGACCGTCTCTGAAAAATATCATTGATAGCCTTAGAATCAACAACGTAAACGTATATCCGACGCGGGGTAACCAAAGCCCAAGCAGGGCCATGACGAATATGCGTCTTAGCCTTATCGTAGGTTGCCCATCCCCTTCGAGAATAACGGAAGTTACCGAGCTCAAGGCCCAGCAGATCAAGTAAGCACCAGACATAGGACTGGGAGAACTGCCATAGCAGGTTACCGCCGTCTATGCACAATCGGATTCGAGGAATTCCCATGGTTGATGCGCGACGGTAGTTTATTTCCATGGCAACTAGACTCCATACTAGGTATGTGAGGGCCAGTATGGCCAGGACTTGGAGGACCATTTTGAACAGGTGCATATGTGAGGTCAGATGTACATGGAGGAAATGGATTTGGAGTGGGAGATTCGCGAGTCCTAGTGCGCGAGGGCGCTCATTTATACTAGTTTACGCCACTAGTACCTGTCACAGCCCTGGAGGATTGATAAGGAATCAGTTGAGAAATTTCCCAGGTGTTGAACTGCTTCATCAAATTTGCATTGTTAATATTCCCCCCGCGCTGTATACCCCTGCAAGTGCGATGCTAGTGCGCGCTTGCATTACGAGGCAGCCAATATTGATCTCGGAAGCACTTGGCCCCCACAAATCCACCTACGCATCCACCAATAAACTTGAATAAATATCCGCTCTATGATTTGTTTATAATTTTGTATGTTTAATTGGTTGAGGTGAATGATGTCGTCCACATTTGATGTTGAGCCTAGCATATACGGAGCACCGCACCTCGATCTATCATCTCATTTATGTATTTCATAAGATGTTTAGTCCTTGAGATACCGATCGCCTCTTTCTATCCCTATTTTGGATAAAATAGATGAGCAGCTGGAGTGCTGTTAAAAAAAGTCCTGCTACTACCAAAGCAATCATGATAATCAAACCCCTGGGATAGAAATCTGAGGATTCATCTTGACGGAAGATCTGGGTACCTGCCATAAGACCACTGGTAGCAGTCATAACAACTTTGAAGATGTTAGTATTATTAGTTGAACATGGGATTCAGTAAACCTACACATACTGATGAATGTTAGTGTCAAGAAGCAAGAGCTGGACTCAGTTCACTTACGCCACTCCAATACTTCGCTCCTCAGGACTCTGGCTATTCATCTGAATCCACGCATTATGAATCGGATGATAGCCCACTGCTAGTCCATTCACAGTTGTCCAAAGACCAAATTTACTCCATCGACCAACATGAGGCTGTATGGTCCTGAGACATATGAGGGCGATGAGATACGCTGAGATTGCAATCATAACTGTGATACCGCGTTTCTTCATCTTATCACTCAACCATGCGAAGAATAGCACAACTGGTAAAGTGAGTAGAAACCCGATTGCAGCCAAGGCATTTGCCTGTACGCGTGAGAGTCCCAACGACATGATGACGCTCGGAGAGTATGTTGTAAGTGGACACCAAGTTGAGAAAATGCAAGCCGTTGCCAGGAAGTGTGGCCATTTGTAAACGTTTGTAAGTGTTTTCCAAACCACGGTCAAAGGGATTCGACTTCGTGTCTGTTCATCCTTCTCTTCTTTCTCATCTACCCAAGTTGGCTGATACGCACTCCTTTCAGGTAGAAGAAACATCAACATAAGGGATAGGGTCACAGACCAAATCCCTTCCACTGTAATACCGTCAGTGATTACTGATACCAGCTCATCCATGAGATGGTACCTACCAAGAAATATCCACTGCCATCCAGAGATCCCACATCGACCATTCAATCGTAAAAGCCCCGCACCTAATAATGGGGAGATAGCTGTCCCACCAAACATCCCAAAGAAGAATATCGCAATGCGCTTCGTCAATTCCTCTTTGGTATACCATGTTGACAAAGTGAACATAGCACCTGGGATGTATCCAGCTTCAGCTAGACCAAGAAGAGCGCGTGTCAAGAGAAAGCCCGTTTTGTTCCGAATAAAGACCTGCATAGCTGCAATGATCCCAACTATTAAGACTTGACCACCGATCCACCATCTTGGACCAACCTAATTACTGATTAATATTTGATGAAATAAAGCACCGGTTTTGAAATTTAATCAATTCTTACTCTGTGTAAGACAATACTGGAGGTAATCTCAAGGACAATTACACCAGTATACATCAGTTGATTCCCCAGGTTAATGGTATTCTGATCGACTCCAATCGCAGATGCCAATCCTCCTGTTAAGGCACTGGAGATATTGGTTCGGTCTAACTGATATGTCGCAAATCCAAAGAGAAGTAATGGGAGGACTTGCCAATCCGCGCTTTAAACTGTTAGTTTTGATCGGATGATGGTGAATAGTTGACTTACACCTTTCGCACTCGGTTTGCATGTTCTGCGAGACAATCATCTCTTTTTTCGAGACTCGGAGTTTCCATACTTGATGAATTCTCCATTTTGTTCAAAAAATGTTGATTCAGTTGAATGACTTACCATAATTTCATCTTTATAAAGTTCCTCGGGGACCTTGGAGGCTGACGAGGAGAGCACCTTTGGGATGATAAGATTTTGCATCTTGACCATAACCTTGTAAATATTTGAAATGCCAATTAACTTGGACTAGCTTTAAAATGTCAGAATTCAATAAGAAATTCGAAAATTTGAGTGGTTGGATATCTTAGACTAGAGTGTTGAATGCTATGCTATAATAGTCAAAGTCACACTGCCGCTGTATATTTATCAGATGAATCTTCTTACTAGTGGCGTCAACTTCGACACCAGATAATGACGTTAATAGACGACTAAGAAAAAAAAGATTCTTTTTTTACAAGTCAGAACATTTGAGTTTGACTGTAGCGAACAGAAGAACCAAAAATATCATGTTGTGATAATTCGACTTACGAGTCCTGCCCAGGTGTATTCTGATGGCCGCCACACTTCACGAGCCACACCCGAACCCAGGCACCAGCAACGCGAATTATCATTGAATAATTTCACTTACCCACTCCACATCGATCTCACCCATGAATTCAACTTGAACCAGATGATAATCTCTGTCACGAATTACAAATTAAAAACCTGATCCATGGAGGGAGGGAGTCATACCTTTACAAGCGCCATGACACTAACGCGCAACGACCGTCGCATAATTCTGCACCTCGTCAGTATCCAACCCATGCACATAAGACTAAACTAACAAGACCAGGATTATGACTGTTTCTACGCCTCAGTATTCGAGGTAGAGCAACCAGCTCTAAAAACCCTCCCGCTGGCGGTACAACAGAAGCAAATCATCGTAACATGTAACTACGAGGCCCGACGACGTGGACTACACAAGCTACAGTTAATCAAAGAGGCGAAGCGAATTTGTCCTGACGTGGTGATTGTCCTCGGTGAGGACTTGACCAAATTCCGAGATGCGTCAAAAGATCTCTATCTCTTCATTCGTGGCTTCATATGGGGCGGACGAGTAGAGAGATTGGGATTTGATGAGCTTTCCTTGGATGTGACTGATATGATTGATTATAATATCAATTTATTGAACCTGAATGATCTGACGAGTTCATTCTTTCATTTGGATTCTAAGGATCCGACTCTTGGGTTTGAGTATGATGCGACTAAAATTGTTGGTTCTACATTCCCAGCGGAGACTAGCACATCTTCATCTCTACGTGATACATCATCACTGGAAATGAAGCTGCTGGTCGCTTCACATCTGCTGAAGCATCTTCGAGATAAGATGGAACATGAGAAAGGGTTTACCGCTACAGGAGGTGTATCGACCTCGAAGCTTCTGGCTAAACTAGTGGGAAGTGTCAACAAACCTAATCAACAGACGACCTTATTGCCACCATATTTAACGGAAGATGGCTTCGAAAGCAACGTGACTCAATTCTTGGATAGTCATGAGATTCGAAAAATCCCAGGAATCGGATCTCGACTAGCCCAGAAACTGCGAGCTCGGGTGACGAGACCGAACAACGAAGACGAAGATGAGGACGAGAAAATCACCGTCCGCGATGTACGTCTCTATCCCGGGATGGGGCCAGCACTCCTTGAGAAAACACTTGGAGGACCCGGAGCAGCGCGAGGCATTGGGATGCGCATCTGGAGTATTCTACACGGTGTAGACAATACAGACGTGCGAGAAGCCCGCGATTTACCTACACAGATTAGTATCGAAGATTCCTACGGTCGGGGACATTTAGATACAGTGGAGAGAGTGCGACGGGAACTGATAATTCTGAGTCGAAGTCTCATTCGACGTATGAGAACCGATCTCATAGATCAAAGCGAGGGTAGTCCTCGGTGGGTGGCTCACCCACGTACATTGAGACTATCGACGCGACCTCGCAATGCACCGGAAACAGACGGTGTGCGAACATACAACGCGAATCGAATTTCCCGATCGGCGCCACTGCCGACATTTATCTTCCATGATGAGAATGTGGATTCATTAGCAGAGCGATTGGTTCAAGAAAGTCTTTTGATAATGTTTCGGAAACTTCATCCGGAGAAATCTGGTTGGGACTTGAGTTTGATGAATGTGGCTGTGACAAACATGGTGGAGAGTGCGGGGGACCAGAAACAGAGTAGTGGACGGGATATTGGGAAGATGTTTCAACAACAGGAGACGATACGACGAGAGTGGAGAGTGTCAGATTTATCCGAGTTGAGTCAGAGTCAGAATGAGACCCAGAACGAGACTCCAGATGTCGATCAATTGGAGAAAGAAAATAAAGTGGAATGGGAGGATGGAGAGGAAGAAATGTACAGTGTAAGATGTGAAGAGTGTGGAGCAGGGATTCCTCATTTTGCAGTCTTGGCTCATAAATTGTATCACACGATAGACTAGGCATACACAATATATGAGTACACACTACATAGTACATACTACATAGTACAGAGACAGAGTTCATAGTGAGGCTGAGCGGTCTGTACCGTGGTTCTATTAATATATGAGAAGTACAAGAGAGGAAAAACACAACTGGAATCGAGGGATCAGATTCTATCTTGGCGCCAATCCTCAATCTGACTTGAAATTATAACTTATCTTTCTCTGTTATTCTTCCATTCTTTTCACATCTCTCTATTATTTTTTTTCCATTATTTCTCATTGTTATTCATTATTATTCTTTAATGGGGGCTAAGTGGACCCTGACCCTGCATTTCAAACCCTGAAACTTTATCCGGAGACCCTGAATCTCTCTCTGGCGCCATTTGTTCTCTTTCCCACTACCCAGCTGGACCATGAGGTCCAAGTTATCCTTACCCTTAATAGGGTTAATAACAACTCTCATATCCTCAGTTCAATGTAATTATACACTACTTCTCTCCTATGGACTCCAGTTGACATCCCTTAGCGCGCTCCCAAGCATCAGAAGCGATCCACCAAGTCACCTCAATCGATAATGCCGTAATACGGACCCCCTCACACTCGATAGACCACCTCTCACACTTCGACCTCACCTTCAACCTCCACCGCGGCAGCACGCGCATTAAACTGGAACTAGAACCAAATCATGATATCCTCGCCGACGATGCCTATATCCAGTACATCGATGCCGATGGCTCCCTCGTGGAAGGGGAACCGATCCACCGACATGAGCACAAGGTTTTCCGAGGGCGGGCACTAGTCGGTTCAGGGACAGGACGGTGGACACCATCAGGCTGGGCGAGAATAATGGTCCGAAGGGATGGAGAGGATCCGTTATTCGAGGGCGCGTTCAGTCTTGATCACGATAAGCACCATATCGAGCTACAGTCTACATATCTCGCTAAGAAGCGACCTATCGATGTCAGTATTGAACACAGGGACACCGAATACATGGTTGTGTATCGGGACTCCGACAGGACTCATATGCATCCGGAGCTTAAGAAACGGTCGTTACCTGTATCCACTGGGTGTGAGGCAAATAAACTGGACTACAATGCTGATTTGACAAATTCAATCTTTCCATTTGGGATCGGAGGACCCGATGAACAATGGGGTGTCACATCGTTGAATTCATTGTTCGGTCTGAGCAAGCGACAATCTGATGTGGGTGGCATATCAGGTAATACTGGTGGAGTGGACTTGGAATCGACCATCGGCGATACATCAGGGTGTCCGAAGACGAAGAAAGTGGCCCTCATTGGAGTCGCTACGGATTGCAAAATGACCGACTACTTCTCTGGCAACACAACCGCCACAGCCAAGGACGCAGCGAAGGACTATGTTATCAACGTTGTCAACACGGCGTCGAGCGTCTACGAGGACTCCTTCAATGTCTCAATTGGTCTACGCAACCTTACTGTCAATAAAGAGTCTTGCCCAACCACTGACAACGATGCAACTCCATGGAATGTCGACTGCAATAGCGGTAATATAACCTGGCGACTGAACGAGTTCTCAAAATGGCGCGCCGATAACAAAGACAACAACGCCTACTGGACTCTAATGACAGCCTGTTCAACAGGTTCTGAGGTTGGAATCTCCTGGATGGGTCAGCTATGCAACTCTGATTTAACGAGCTCTGGTTCGAGCTCCGTCAGCGGCGCCAATGTCGTAGTGGGTAATGCAGGAACGACCTGGCAGATTTTCGCCCATGAATCCGGACACACATTCGGCGCAGTTCACGACTGTGACTCACAAACCTGCTCCGAGGGACTGGAAGATTCATCCCAATGCTGTCCACTGACCTCATCAACCTGCAACGCCAATGCCCAGTATATCATGAATCCTTACGCAGCATCAACCATGACCAACTTCTCCGAGTGCACGATCGGGAATATCTGCTCAGCTATTGGCCGGAACAGTATCAAATCAACCTGTCTAACCGATAATCGTGGTGTCGTGACTATCACCGGAAGCCAATGCGGAAACGGCATTGTTGAAGCCGGCGAGGACTGCGATTGCGGTGGTACAGAAGGGTGCGGAGATAATGCCTGCTGCGATGCAACGACATGCAAGTTCAAGAATAACGCAGTGTGCGATGACTCGAATGATAACTGCTGTTCCAGCTGTCAATTTGCTTCTTCTGGAACAGTCTGTCGCGCGAGTGCCGGAGTATGCGATATCGCCGAGTACTGTACCGGGAATTCCAGCGCCTGTCCCAATGACCAGTTCGAGAAGGATGGCACATCCTGCGGCTCAAAAGGACAGGGTCTGGAGTGTGCGAGTGGTCAATGTACCAGTCGGGACTACCAATGTCGCTCTGTTCTCGGTAATATCCTCAATAGTAATGACTCCTGGGCATGCGATAATACGAATGCCCCATCCTGCATGATTGTTTGCGGTGCACCACAGATCGCACAAGAGTACGGCTCTACAACCTGCGTTGAGATGAACCAGAATTACCTCGACGGGACGCCCTGTGAGTCTGGTGGACGCTGCACCAACGGACAGTGCAAGGGTTCCTCAGTTGGTGGGTGGATCAAAGACCATAAGAACCTCGTTATTGGGATCTGTGTTGGAGTAGGATGCTTGATTCTAATCGCTTTGCTATACTGCATTATTGGCTGGTGTCGAGGCCTTCGTTCACGTCGAAAGTACATGAATGCGCCTCCGCCACGATACCCTGGTCCTCCTCCTGGACCTCCTGGTATGCGTGGACCGCCTCCCCCGAATCAGTGGTATGGACAGCCGCCTGGCTATCCAAATGTTCCACCACCTCGAGAACAATATGGCTAAGGATCTCGATCTCATTTTCTAAACATTATTTTATGCATGATTTATCTAACACTTATTATGCTTCACTTGGGATGAGCTGGGCTGAGCTAGATTGGTAGCTTGGACTCGGTGTTACCCTGACTATCCTTGAATTGGAATTGATATTAAATTGGGAGTTTACATATAATTCTTTTATTTATGTGCATATGAGTTTATGATTTAACTCCGTTTTGGTCTCATGGAGTCCTCTGGTGTTAATAAATTGCATTGGATCGAAACAAATATCGGAGCAATAGGCAAACAGTACGTTCGGACGTAACTGATTTTCAAAAAATCGAATGCTACCTAGCACTTACAATATTCATCGGAGATAATAGAATAGATTACTTCTTTCCATGCTTTCAAGAACCTCAATTAATACCTAGGTACCAGTACACCAAGAGAAACCCGAATCCATTCAATATAACTCGCAAGCTAAAACAAACCCACCCAACACCAAGAAAAGAACCCAATGCAATCACAAACACAAACAATCACCACTGGCATAGTGGGTATGATCACTGCCAACAAATTCCAACAAAAGCCTCTCTTGTAACACCACCAGCACCCTCAAGATCAAACTCCTCAATCATAGCCCTAAGCTCCTCCTCCTCTAGTCCAGTTTCTCCCAACTCCCTCGCAACACGTCTAAGATCCTCAAGATCAATGAAACCCTTCTGGCCCTCATCGAAGAGCTCAAAGGCTCTAAGGATCTCATCACGCGGATCACGTTCGAGGATTTTGAGGGCAGTAATAGCCTGGAACGAGGAAAGAGGCATAAGGAGATTCGAAGGGTGTTGAGGGTTTCCACCCTTGGATTGAGCAGTTTGGTTATTCTGTGCTTGTTGTTGTTGGACTTGGGGGCGGGGTACACCGTATGTTGTTAAGAGGGAGATGAGTTCTTGTTTCGTAAGCGTGAATCCTAGAGCGCGGAAAGCGACTCGGAGTTCGTGGTAGTCTAGGTGGCGATCGCGATCGAGGTCGAAGAGGGTGAACTGCATTGAGTTAGTGCTCGTTTTCTGTTTGTATCGCGCAGAGCAGCTAAGCTTACAGCTTCATTAATTTCTTCCCGCTGTTCCTCGGTCAAGCGATTCAAAGGATTAGAATCCTGCGCGGGTCCATGACTCTGTGTCGCAGGAGCATTCGCACCCTGCTGATTCTGTTTCGATGGCTCAACGGCTCCGAAATCAGCAGGGGCTGTAGCGCCTAGACCACGGTGCCTGGAAAAAGACGAAGCGCTGAACGGCATGGCGTTTGTGTTGACAGAACGCTCTGGGAGCTTGGTGCCCGCGTAAGAGCGGGATGCGAAAGGTTGGCTCGAGGCCATGATGTGTAATTGAATGCGATAGTGACTCGAATACGCGATACGTGGGGAATGTGGGATGGGTGGATTGGTTTGGTGTAGCTTGTTTAGAGGATGTTGATCCGCGGGTGTGGAGATAATGTGTTTTGGCGGTGGAGAGATTCTTGACGCGCACGCGGAATGGTGCTTATCCTCACACTGTGAAAACACAGGCACTTGAATTGAAAATTGCTAGGTTGTATATCAAGGGAAAAAATTGGATTATGGAGAATTAGAATTAATAATTATCATTAAGAGGGGGGATTTTTCCCCTAATGCCTAAAGCGAGAGACATAGCTAGAACCCCAACAACTTGAAACATCACAAAGCAATCATCTATTTGCATAGACCAAATCCCATCGCTGTAGCCTTGCTTCTCCACTTGAAACTGTACGAGCTGTAATTTCGTGGCGTCGCCATCTGATGGATATGTTCATCAGAGTCCCTTGGGGGTAATAATATAATTCAAAGCAATGCCGTAAACCAGTACTGTCCGGATGTACATCTGGACCAGAAACATCTCAACATCTCCAGTGCTTATATGCCTGTATCAAAGTCACAATCCGCATCAAGGTCACAGTCTGTTCCATCAATTGACCCCGCGAGCTCCCATGGTGTAGCATCAAGCATACCATCGACCACGTCCGGATCCACGGACGGAGAGCTGGACACCTCCACATCCGAAGTATAAGACCGTTTATTTCGTGGTAGAAGGCTCCGAGTCTCTCTGCGAATGCATTTGGCCCTACTGGCAAGACAGGGGTCACAGGGAGTCGAGGTGCTGCATTTTTTCTTACTTTTGTAACACCGTGTACAAGCACCACCATTGTCTCTCAACTGTCGAATGTCCTCTTTCTGCTTGTCCAGTTCGGATCTAGAGCGTGCCCTCTTTGCACAACGCTGAGGATTCGTAGGATCCTCCATAATAAAGCCATACTCGATGGGCGATGATGATCGTTTAGGACTTTTGGGACTAAATGAATGGTTTATAGTCATGGGTTCTATCCACTCTGTCGTGATCTTGGGTTGAGATCCTGCTGTACTTGTGCGGGGGACCGGCTCCTGCATGGGTGGCTCATTTGCGTTATAATACATGTACGATTCCTCATAATCAGGTATGGAGGAAGTGTGATGATGAAAAGAGGGAGTGACTGGAATGTGTGGCTGAGTGCTTTGGTCCATCAGGGTGTCTGGCGGAGGAGCATTGCCAGAGAAAGATTCAGTCTCATCTGGGTATTGATCATAACCATGCGAGAAGCTTGAGCTTGGCCGATCAAAGTTGTGCAATGATGTTGGCTGTGGCCGATCCATCGCTGATGGGCCCAAACCTAGATATCTAGGATCATTCTGTGGCTACTCAGTTAGTAAATATGTTATACTCTCTTTGGACGGGGCCGTGCATACCTGGTAAACTAGGCCCGGTAAGAAATGACCATGAGGAAACGGTGGACAGTATCTTGACAGGCCAGGGCGCTGATACTGAAAGTGAGTTGATGACCCATTCTCAGACACGATGGTATCTGAGTATTCGTTGAATTCAAGCGGCGTGCTGGGAGACATCACCCCGGATCTCCCAGACCTCGTCTTGGACGAGCAGTTGGTGATATCGTCCGGAGGCACGAGGTGGTGAAAGACCATGGGCCGAATGCGAATAAGATCTCCGTTAACAAAAGTGGATAGCTACCCAGTGCGGAGAAGTTGAGATTGAAGTGGCGTGGAGGATTTTTCTAGGTGCAAGAGTTAGAAGAACAATGGTACCTCGCCGGAGCTTGAAATAGCAGTAGTAACGGAACGCCGTGTCTTCGTTGGGGAAGGTACGCTTGGAGAGAACCTTGGAAAAAGAACCTGTTACATGGACGCCCGTACCTAAATAGGTTTAACTTGCAAGTTCCCATACAAAACAGATACTATTGCACTACCTGGGCAGGCATAGTCATCTATATATACTTTATTATTACCTAGGTAGTAGCTGGTTAGATCTGCAGAGTCATACCTTTAACTTCCAGATGAGTGCCTTGTTGCCTACCAACTTATGTCTATAAGTATCAATATAGATGCCTTCGTGCTTCAAGCTAATATTTTACCCCCAAGTGTACCCTTCTATATGAAAGGCTTAGAAATCTAGATAACAGTCAAGGTAAGGTTGAAAGAGAATTATCACTTTCTACAAGTGCAATAATTTTGTACATAGTTACTACTATTAGTACTCTGATAACTCAAGTGATATGAACCATGGATACAGTACATAGAAGAGACTGATGAACTACATCTGGAACGTATCAAAATTCAAGTTGGCAGTAAGAGTACTTTACATGGAAGAATTGCTTAAATATTCCTGCACCCTATAGGCTGAAAATCCACTACGCATTGACAACCGCCTTAGGTACGTACGGCTCCTCCAAGTATTGAATCTCCTCAGCAGTCAAACGAAGCTGTACACTCGCAACAGCCTCATCAATCCGCTTGATGCTACTCAGTCCAAGAATAGGATACTCACCAGCGTGGCTCAAGGACCAAGCCAGCGCAATTTGCGCCATGCTGACACCCTTCTTGCCCGCCAACTCCTCAACACGATTAACGATGGCCTTATCCGCCTCGGTTTCACGACCACGTACAATCGCCTTGAGTGTGGCATCTGTATTCTCCCGCACAGTGCTTGGGGAGTTCCAAGGACGTGCCAGAATTCCTCGAGCAGTGGGGGACCATGGGATAATTGAGACACCGGTATCACGGCAGTATGGAATCATCTCACGCTCTTCTTCGCGGTAGAGCAAGTTGTGGTAGTTCTGCATCGAGATAAACTTGTGCCAGCCGTTACGGGCAGCGATACCCTGCAATGTTTGGAATTCCCATGCCGCCATCTAGACTCATATTAGCAAGTCACGGATAGACTCGGAGTTGGAATAGAAGGGCGGTTGAACATACCGAGCTGGCGCCAATGTAGCGGACCTTGCCACTCTCAATAACATCATTCAGCGCCTTCATGATCTCCTCACGGGGTGTCTCCCGGTCAAGACGGTGGATCTGTAGCACGTCGATATAAGTACCCAGACGCTCGACGCTCGCATCGACCGCGTCAAAGATATGCTTGCGAGATAGACCCGCACGGTTGACATAAGAGCCGTCATTACGGGCTACCTCAGAGATCGCGGGGAAGTTGCCCTCATCGTCGACGCCGAAGAAGCACTTGGTCATGATCACCACGCGGTTGCGGGGGATATTGTACTTCTTCAACGCTTTCCCCACCACTGCCTCTGAGAGACCATGGGAGTATACATCGGCCTTCGAAAAGTGTTAGATGAGAGCCATTTGTATCTTCGAATTGATCGGATGTTACCGTATCCCAGGTGTTGATGCCCTGCTTGTAAGCGTGCTCGAGCAAGGGAGAGAGTCTTCCTCATCTAGTACCCAGTCTTGCCATTGACTAGTTCCATAGCCCATGGTACCCAGGATAATCTTGGACACCTTCAGACCCGAGTTTCCGAGGCTGTATAAAGTTGTGAGCGCTCATCTTTCTGCTCTTGACGCAGAGGCATGGGGTCGTACCGAACGTATTCCATTTGGCCAGACATTATGAAGATCTGATCAATGCTTTCTGGAAATTCTTTTGAGTATTGAAAGGGTGATAGTCGTCAGATTGATATACCTAGATGAGCTCCAATGTTACCATGTGTGACTCGAGGCAGTATAGTTGCAGATGACGTCAACTTCGGGGATTTGCCCAGGTGATAAATGCCGACAGGTAACCTACAAGTTTGCTGAAAATTGAATTTTCAGAAGATGAAGCCTGACTGAAACCCCCCCCTTAATGAGATTTGAAGGATCTGAAAGTGAAATTTGGACTGAGGGGCAGAGCGGTATTAATAATTCGGTGAGTCAGGCGCGCCGGCGTATTGAAAATATGCCGATATCCACAAGCGAACTTCATCTAGCCGATAGATAGCCGGTTTCCTCGTTCACTCAGGCTACACGCTTCCAAGGTTCGGGCAGATCGATCGGTTCAAGTAAATTTCTGTGGGATCCTGGGAAATCGGAATTTGTCAATTCAAATATTTCCAAGATTGGTATGAAGAATCAATATCACTTCAAACATTGAATGCATCATGACGTGTTCCACATGTATTTCCAATATTGTACTATAGTATAACACCATACCTAGCATTCAAGTTTAGATACCTGGGCTCGTCTCCATCTCTGGCCATCTGTCATGCATATTAGGTACTACCTAGGTAGGAGTTATACAGTGATATAATCGAGGGTGTTAGTATCAATGGCTAAAGTCGTTCAAGTTGACTCGGAGTAGGTGGTCACAGGTTCGGACTAAATCATAGTCAATCATGCTCTCACCATATTCATGAATATAGTTCCACATCCATGGATCTCTATCGATAAATTTTGAATCAATTGAAGCTCAAGCTTATATCAACATCTATATTGATACTTGGAATCCTTCAAATTCATACTAGACACGGGCGGGGCGCTTACGTAGGCAATGGTAGGGACGAGAATTCGTCGTTGATCATCACGATTCTTCTATGAATCAGACTTCAAGATGAAGACTTTGAAATTTGTGACCGGAAATCCTAACAAGATCATCGAAGTTAATGCAATTCTTCATGGATTAATACACGTCGAGCCGGTGGCGTTGGATATTCCAGAGATCCAGGAGTCTCTGGAGGAGATCGCCAAAGATAAATGCCGGCGCGCTGCTGAAATGGTCTGTGACAAAATTCCCCACACTCAAGTACTGTTGCTGATGAAGGTGTAGATCAGGGGTCCTGTTATTGTGGAGGACTCAGCATTGGAGTTCCATGCTATGAATGGACTCCCTGGTCCTTATATGTAAGTTGTTCTTATCATCTGGGCAGATTCATCAGGGGCGTCTGACTCATCCCAACTTTGATAGTAAATATTTTCTAGAGTCTCTTGGAAATGATGGGTTGAATAAGCTTCTATACGCCTATAGCGATAAATCTGCAGAAGCTGTATGCACATTTGCCTTTTCAGCTGGTCCTGAAATGGAGCCCTTGGTTTTTCAAGGAAGACTCGAGGTCTGTTGGAATAGAATGCGACACGTTGCAACGCCTCACTGACAATATTTCAGGGAAAAATTGTTCCTGCAAGAGGCCCTCCTATTTTTGGTACTTACTATCTTTGACTAAAAGAGAAGGTTGAAAATGAATCTAATGTGACGAACAGGTTGGGAACCAATCTTTGAGCATCAAGGCGAGACCCTCGCGGAAATGGCGCATGAGAAAAAAGTAGGTATACCTGATGACATTTGTTTAGGCTCGAGTACTAGTACTGACGCAATCTAGAACAAGTTGTCTCATAGATACCAGGCCTTATTCAAGTTTCAAGAATGGCTGGCACAGGCAGAGAACCGATCCCTTTTGTCCGAAGGTGATCCAATTTAGGATTGATATTGATGCACATGTTGTGCAGATGATTTCAAGATTCACTTGAATATACTCATATAGACTATAAAGTTACGGACTATCTTACTCCTTTTGTTTTTCCACATTTCACTCTCTTGCCCGGGGGCAATTGCCACTTTCAATGTTTCTATAAGGGAAATATTCCCCGCTCCTTCGCCCCACATCCCCCATACTTGAAACTGGATGGGAAGGAAGGATCAACCATTAGATGTCAGTGCTTGTGATTCTGACTATGGAGGACTGAATAACCATGCTTCCTAGGGTAATACTCCACGAGAACAGGCTGTGTCCCCACGGGGCAAAATATGCCCCTCCTTCAAATTCTTGGAGGGTTCGGGATATGCGTATACTTCCATCTGAATCATACAGACGCCCAGGCGTGATATTTATACCATCTCCCTTTCATCTTTTCAGATCCATTCAAGTTCTTCTCAACCTGATCGTTCTCAGGGATTTCCTTGCTTAGTTGTCTGGGGTATACCTGCCATATTCTTTTATTAGTGCCTCCTTGATTTCGGTTTGGCAACAAGTTATTACTTCAACAAAATGTTGTCAGTTCTTACAATCGCACCTTATGCGGGCGGACTGCTCATTTTTGCCTCTCTATTCTTCTTTGCATTTCCTTATGGTAAATACCTTCGTGATCCCAAAGGCAAGCCAAAACAGAGGTCTTATTTGTGAACCAGTTGTCTAACATTCATCTAGGACTGCGAAAATACCCCAACCTTCACCCTCTCTCTGGCATATCCGCAATTCCTTTCATGCTTCTGGCTTTAACGGGAGCTCGATCCATGGAATTATCGCGACTTCACAAAAAGCACCCTGTGATTCGGACCGGACCTAACACCCTCTCCTATGGCGACGTGAGAGCAATTAAGGACATCTATGGTCACAACACAAAGTGTACCAAAGATGACTCCTACAATGTAACGGCTGGATCTCACTTCAGCCTCGCCGACGTCGTGGACAAGTCAGATCATGCCAGAAAGCGCAAGGTTCTGTCTTCTGCCTATGCACTGAAGAATTTGGAGAGCTGGGAATTCAAAGTCACCGATAAGATCCAGCGAATGTTCAAGCACTTTGATCAAGTGTGCACACCAACTCCCAAAGAAGATGTTGCCTCTGGAAGAGTAGCACCTGATCGGACAGACTTGACTCTCAATCTGCGGGCCTGGAACAACTTCTTTACTCTTGATGCCATTGCGGACATTGGACTTTCTGAGAAGCTGGGATTCTTGGACCAAGGGAATGATCTCTGTATTGCAGAGAGAAAGGATGGCTCGACATATACTACTAGCTTGCGCGATGCTCTCTATCCAACTGCACGCAAGCAGTCATACATTCTTTGGAACTACGCTTGGTACCCCGCCCTCAACAAGCTGGTCAATGTTTTCCCATTCTTCAACAAGATGCAACAATCAGCAGATAACTGGGAGAACATTATGTGGCGACGAGGAAACGAACGACTCCGCCGCTACGAAGCAGGCGAGAAGCTCGATGACTTCTTCCAAGCTCTGATGGAAGATAAAAATGGCAACCCCAATAACCTTGAATTCGGCGAAGTGGTCGCTGAGTGCAACATCATGATGAATGCAGGCAGTGTGACTACTGCTGTCGCAATTACAAACGTCATGTACCAGCTTATTCAAAGCCCTCGTGTTCTCGCAAAGCTACGAGAGGAGTTGGATAACGTCCTCGACGAAGATGAATACGTCGCTGACTACGACAAAGTCAAGCATCTTCCATATCTCCGCGCTTGCTTGGATGAATCCTTACGACTTTTCTCTCCAACTCCGCATGGCCTTCCTCGTGAGACACCAGCAGAGGGTACAAATATCCTCGGAGAATGGGTCGCTGGTAATACCTCTGTCAGTATGTCTGCCTTAGTCGCTCATCGCGATGAGGGTATTTTCCCTAAGGCAGACCAGTATATTCCTGAGCGATGGCTTGGTGAAGAGGGTAAGGCTCTTCAACCTTACTTCATTGCCTTTTCGGCGGGTGCGCGATCTTGTATCGGTCGCAATATCTCTTATTTAGAGCAGACAAAAGCTGTGGCTTCTATGGTACACCGATATGATTTCGCCTTGTCGCATCCTGGATGGGAGCTCAAGAGGGAGGAGACTATGAATTGGATTTTGGGAGATATGCCGGTGAAGATCTGGAGGCGAACGGCGGTCTAGTGGCCTTGAAAAGATGATGCACTATTTGATTTATACCCTGGGTAAAGTAGATAGATTTATAGCTTTAAGTTTTTGTCGATGTCAGATTTGACTCAGTCATTTTCGTTGCCTGAAATAACTCAAGTGCTTTTCATCAAGAATTTAACTTGAATTGGATAGAAGTTCAACTTGAGGTAACCTTGGAAGATTCATTCCAACTTGAAAATGATAAGTCAAGTTCCAAGGTTCGTAGTATGTCCAGGTTGATGATACTAGGTGCTACTAGTATAGTCTCCGAGTCGTGAGGTCAGCTTTCAGATCAATAGCCCTGGAGGTATAAATAGTATATTATTGCTATTCATTTCGTCGGAAACTTCTTGAAGTGTATACCCTTTTAAGCCTTCTATGTATGCAACGTTAGCAACTAAAATTGACCAACTATTTAACTCCAAGTCGTATACATGTTGATTTAATCTTCAAATCTCGATCTGCATATACTGGGGATACCAAGATACGAGCCGTGCAACCCCGCAATCCCCAGGTGCCCCCATACTCTGCTGATTTTATCGGGGAAGTTACCCCGAGCATTATAAATTCAATTTGCATTGAATTGAATGTGCCCCTAACCTTATTCGATCTTGAATCGGCGAACAACCTAATTTTGGATATGACATCTTTTAATCAATGTTCGGGATCTGGTACATCCCTATAAATGTACACAATATGGATTCAAGTTGACGGTTTGGATCTTGTCTAGTTTAGGATAGATATCATTATACATTATACTATAATTGTAAGGCCAATGATGAAGGAAGCTTTCAAATTGGTCCTAATGTTAAGGTGGTCAGCCGTATCCTTTTGGCAACCTGAGGTGTCGATTTATATTATTACAACCTTAGAACTTCCAATTCAGTCGAATGAGGGTATTAATTCCTCACTAAAGAATCTCTAGAGTTCCCTTGACGATCATGTGGCCTTGATGTGATCATTGTGATCATCTCCTGGACATTCTTACTCTGTCCCAAACAGGCATTTTCCCCCGCCAGGATACATGTGGAGCGACCGCGGAATCCCCCCGCAATCTAATGTTGATCGGAAACTTTTTCTCAAAGCGTCAGCTATCATCCTGCTGATAATGGCAACCAGGCGTGGGGTATATCTCCGCCAGTGGCCAAAGACCATTTCTGGGCATGACTGCCCAGGTGGTAGGGACTATATGAACCCATAATGATCCCCGTCTTTATCTCAGTAGCATCTGAGATCAAATTCTCTTTGATGACCTATTTCCACTGGCCATCATGATTTCTCTCACAGAATTATCTCAACTGAACATTCCCCCAGAGGTCCTGGCGGAAGTTCAAAAATATGCAACTCCAACCGGCATCGCAGATTATGCCGCTTTGGCAATCATTGCCGGCGTCTCTGCCACATTTATGTCCCGCGGTATTCTCTGGGATAAGCCTGACCCATATTACTATCTCAACTTTGAACGACCTCAATTGAAAAATGGGGGACAATCTGGAGCGAATGCCAATAAAGAAACTCGAAACATCGCCCAGAAGCTCGAGGAATCAGGGAAGAACATTGTTGTCTTCTGGGGATCACAATCTGGTACTGCAGAGGGATTCGCCTATCGCCTTGCTAGAGAGATCTCTGTTCGATGGGGTCAAGAAACTATGACTGCGGACCTGTCAGATTATGATTCAGTCACTATCTCTGAGATCCCGAGTACCAAAATGGCCATTTTCATTGTCTCGACATATGGTGAAGGTGATCCCAGTGACAACACAGCTGAGTTCTGGAACTGGATTACCAAAGTTGGCGACGTTTCCTTGTCCAATCTTCAGTATACTGCCTTTGGACTGGGAAACACAAATTATAAATTCTACAACCGAGTTGTGGACGTGATTGTCGAAGGATTGGAGAAATTCGGAGCTAAGGCTCTGATGCCAGTTGGCAGGGCCAACGATGCTGAGGGTGCTACCGAGGAAGACTTTATGGCATGGAAGGACTCCTTATTTGCTGTTTTCAAAGAAAAACTGGGCTTCCAAGAGGTCGAAGCTAAATATGTACCTACCTTGAAGGTCGAGGAGGATGAATCTTTGGAGCCGATCGACCTGCACCATGGAGAACCGAACAGCCAGGTGGATTCTCCCAAGGGAGCAGCTCAGTCCTCGCCTGTTCGCACACTCAGCATCACAAACTCACGAGAACTATTCACCTCGTCCGATCAAAACTGTCTTCACATGGATGTGGATCTCAGCAATCAACCCGAGCTGACATATAAGACCGGTGACCATCTTGCCGTTTGGCCTACCAACCCGGACTCGGAAGTTGAGCGTCTCTTGGAAGTCCTGGGTATTTTCTCTCGCCGCGATATCCCACTCATCATTAGAGCCGTCGATCCTGCGACAAAGATCACAATTCCAACTCCGACAAATTCCATCGCTCTTTTCCGTTGGTACCTTGAGATCTGTGCCCCTGTCAACAGAGATAATGTCCGCGACCTTGCACAGTTTGCTCCTACACCCGAAGCAAAGACCTACCTGACACAGCTTGGTCAGGATCAAGATGCATATGCAAACTTTACTAATCGCAACAACCTCAACTTCGGTCGTCTTCTACAGATGGCATGCCCAGGTCAGACCTGGAACATCCCATTATCCTACCTCGTCGAAACTTTACCACACATCCGCCCTCGCTACTACTCTATCTCCTCCAGTAGCGTAGTCTCGCCTCGCAAGCCATCTATCACGGCTATAGTATCTACTACACCTCTTCCGGATAACCCGAACGAGCTAGTCCACGGCGTTACATCCAACTACCTCCTTGCTATCTCTCAAAATGCCCAATCCCAGCATCATCCGCACGGGATCACATACCACCTCAATGGACCAAGCGACGCACTAGAAGGTGGTAAAGTGTTCGCTCATATCCGTCGCAGCAAGTTCAAATTACCGATCACAAGCAAGACACCACTTATCATGGTAGCCGCAGGAACAGGACTAGCACCTTTCCGAGCCTTCCTATCCGAACGCTGTCAAGTACAGAAGATCGGAAAGGAGGTTGGCCAGATGATTCTATTCTTCGGATGTCGGAATCCTGAAGACGATTTCATTTACCGAGACGAGCTTGAGGAAATGCAAAAGACTCTCGGAGATAAGCTACATCTTGTTACTGCATTCTCTCGAAAAGAGGGAACACCACGTCAATATGTACAGGATCGGGTCTCTGAGCTTGGTGATGAGGTTGTTAGTCTTATTGATGAGGGCGCAAGCTTCTATATCTGTGGTAGAGCGGGTATGGCACGTGAGGTTGAGAAGGCTGTTGGTACTACAATGAGACGAATTAAGGGATGGTCTGAGGATGAGGTGAATAACTGGAGTAAGGTAGTGAAGAAGAAGAATAAGTGGCAAGAGGATGTTTGGGGATAGATGTTCAAGTCTACTATAATTATGATGTCTTTCATGTTTCTGTATTGTTTGTTGATTTGCACAATGTTGTTGTTAATCGGTATAGTCCGGATGATTGCAATTTCAATAGAGTTCACGTCAATCTAGACTATTCAAAACTAGCGCTAAATCCTTTTCATTTAATCGCGCCACCTCCTTTCTAGGTAATGGATTGCGTGGCCATTCTTTATGTGCTTTTTGATTGTCAGATTTTCGTAAATTGAATTCAAGCTTAAAATTTCTTCTTGTGGCGATAGACGGATAACGCCGTGGCGCTCGTAAAGATGAAGCTTAATGACGAACCAGGGTTAACCGTGTGGATCAATTTAAGCGGGAAATCCGAATTTCATTTTTAGTAACGTCGAGTACACCCATTTGGGGTATATTTCACGAATATAATATATTATTATACATGCCCAGGTGTACTATCAGTGACTATATCTCTAAATTGTCTGATATTTGAGTCTTTCAATTATTTGGATTAATTGAATATGCTATTTCAAGTTGGAAACTCCGCTATGTACACAATGAAACATCTTATTATCATATCGAACTTTGAATAGTTAAGCTTCTTACATGTAGCTTCATTTATCGGCGCACGGGTAGTCCGTGTAGTGAATAGCATTGTCCTCGAACGGTCCATAGAATCGACTTCGATCATATGGAGCTAGAGGCAAGCCACTCTTGAGTCTGTGCACCAGATCCGGATTGCTGATGAAGTATCGACCATACAGAAGACCATCATACTTTCCAGACTCAATCACACCCCAAGAGTTCTTATTGTCAAAGCCACCGGCCGAAAAGAATGGAGTCTCGCCAAAGATATCCCGAAATCGGTCAAGAGTAACATCCTTAAGACCCCAACTCTGCAGGAACCCGTCCTTCTCATCCTCGCTGAAAATTTGTTCATAGCGCTAAGAAAGTTAGTATCCCGTGGAAAGAATGACACCTGGGCAGGATTGCCGAGTACTATTACTTACCGGCTCAATAAAGCTAACGTATGAAAGAGTCGGATGAGTCTTCTTCAATTCCTCACAAAGATAAGTCCAAGTCTCGACCCTCTGCTCCGAACGAGCCTGATTAAACAATCCAAAAGGCGAAAGACGAATAGACAAATTCTGTTCCCCAATCGTCTCTGCAAGTTTCCCCATTAGTTCAAAAACAAACTGACAGCGCTTTTCCGGAGAGCCTCCGTAGGTATCCGTGCGCTTGTTGATGTTGGAACTAAGGAACTGCTCAGGAAGATATCCATTACCAGCGTGGATCTCCACGCCATCAAACCCTATTTCCATAGCTGTCTTGGCAGCCTTGCAATAGTCCTGGATGGTCCGTTGGATATGGTCAACAGTCATTTCAATAGGTGGGTGGTTGGCGTATGGAACGGAAAAGTACTCGGTGGAGCCAACAGGAGGATGCGAATAGCATTCAGTGGGTGAGTCCCACACGCTTGCCGAGGGACACACAGCCGCGGATCCAGTCATCTGGGGGATTGTGGCTCTTCCGGCGTGCCAGAGTTGACAGTAAATGAAGGCCCCTTTTGCGTGAACGGCATCGACGACCTTTTTCCAACCAATGGTTTGTTCGGGGGTAAATAGACCGGGAACACCGGGCATTCCATTGCTCTATACATTACCAAGTGTTAGTGATCAACAATATCAACAATTGTCCATATGTGTGTGTAATTTTTTAAGGTTGATTTTTTTTCTCTTTTGCCGAGGTCCTCATTATTAACTTTTAACAGTTTGATTATGATGAACCAGGCACTGACACCTGCCAGGCTGAGTGGGCAGTGTTTCATCTTACCTCAAGTGAAGGTGGAATACCCTCTGAAATGATCAGACCTCCTTCTGTGGCGCGCTGGGAATAATACTCAACCATCAAATCCCCAGGAATCCAAACTCGATTAGGAGCATCGGGAGTACTGATCTCCTTCTCCGGAACTCCACGATTACGGGTCAAAGGCGCATGGACGACACGGTGGCTGAGGGTAATTCCGCCATTTGCAATAGCCAAAGGCTGAAACAGAGCGGAGTGTTCGTCCTCGAGATAGTGGATAGTCATGATGGTATTTTTAGGGCAATTTCAAGTTTTTTTTTTTTCAAGTGCGAGATTAAATATCTGAGGAAAGAATTGAACCCTGAGGGGGGGGAGAATCAATTGATAAATCGGGAATAACTATGGAGTAACATAGTGTGTCCCTTAGAGGGGGACCAAATAGTGCCCAGTGACATCTGGAACAAATCACCCCCCCTTTTTTTCTGACAGATACCAAGATAAATAATTGAGAAAAAAAATTGTATTTGGTTAGAATAATCAAGGTATTCCACAATTGAACCGTGTTTCCAGGAAAGCGGCGTTTAACGTGGAACATTTAGTTTGTTGGTGCGTGGGATGGCTTGTAAGATCCACAGAAGTGGATAAAGAGAAGAAGGAGTTCATCGTATCAAATTGTGTTAATTTTAGTGGAGTTTGATATAGTGGAGTAAATCCATACTAACGGATTTCAACATGAACGATCCCCGACAGCCACCGGCCACGTAATAGATTCCGTGCGTCCGATTTCAATGTGACCAAAATGATCCCCCTGACACATTTAGTGCTGAAAATCCCTGGAAATCATTAAAAAAATATCATTAAAATTTGTGTGATCTAGATGGTCTAGTACTAGTAGTAGTAATAATTATACCAGGATCAATAGTGTTCAAATGTTTCTATTCTCCACTATGCAAGATCCTTATCCGCTAAAATCCTTTCGATATTTCGGAATACGCGCTGATCCATGGTTAATTACATTTTTTAGTTATGAATTGATGGGTCCGGGATTCTGTCATTTCTACTTATACTTAACTTATCCCCATTCAAATATTGAGGTGGATTTTTTGGTCTTTCTCATGGTTTATTCATCATGACAATTGAGAATCCTAAGGATGTCATTCATACCGTGAACATTGTCACTCAGACACTATGTATCCCCATAGTGAGTGCCTTTGTGGCATTACGGTTTTATACTCGAATTCGGTTTAAGCAGAGCTTGGGAGTTGAGGATTGTGAGTACCGAAACTACTACTAGTATATACTATTGATCTATACTAATTATCTCTAGATGCTACCACGGTCGCTTGGGTATGTCAATACAATCAACTAGTCACTACTAGTATTAAACCCTTGAATTCAAATCTAATCATAAATAGGCCTTGTTTATGGGTTACTGTGCAGTCAGTATCTTCGGTAAGTCACATTAATCATATTAACCATATTAACCGCATTGAACTCCAACTCATCTAACCACTTAATGTATAGTTGGCAAATATGGCGGTGGTTACAACATAGACGACGTCTCCGACGAACATAAAATCCTCTTCAGAAAGTTCTGCTACATCGCTACTATCCTTTACTGTCCGATGGCCCTATTCACCAAAGTCGCTCTCTTATCCATCCTTACCCGAATCTTCGCTCCTTACCGCGGGAAGGTCTGGTTCATCTACATTTTCCTTGGTTGTCTTTTTACATATTATACCGTCGCTTTGATCGTGAAGATCAGAATGTGTAACCCCATCCCCGAATACTGGCTCAACAATATCGAGGGCGCCACTTGTCTTGATCAGACTGCTGCCCTGATTGCCGATTCGGTGATCAGTCTCGTCAGTGATATTATTATCCTGGTCCTCCCATTGCCCTTGACTTGGTCATTGCAAATGTCGCGGAATCGCAAACTTCGTGTTATTGGTATCCTTAGCGCGGGTGGTTTGGCGACCGGATTTAGTTTGTATCGACTGGTTCTGGTGTTGAAGGATGGTAGTTCTGCCAACCAGACTATTGTCTTTATGGATGTCATTCTTTCTGGGTAAGTCATGGAACTCTGATTATGACGATTATGTGAACTAATCTAACACATCGTGCTATAGAAACGCTGAAGGTGGTATGGGTCTGATCTGTGCCTGTCTTCCCGTCCTTAACGTCCTCATCGCTTTCTATCGGAAGAACTACTCTTCCCAGAAATACTATAACCAGAGCTCCGAACTCCAGCTTGCAGATCGCAAGTCTGGAAATAACTCCAAGATCGCAAATGGATGGGATAAGTCCCCGGCTTTCGGTGATCAGAGTCATCTTATTTCCTACGCCGGTGCTCCCGAGGCAAACGAGTCGGGTGTGTTTGTTGGTGAATTCGGAATTAAGAAGACCGTTGCGGTGGAACAGACTGTTGAGACTCGGAGTGCGGATAGTGCCAGTCAATAACGTGTGATGAATGTACAAGTGTTATAGAATATAGACTTTGTTCAAGTTCGAATAATTCATAATCGGCCTACTGGTCATTTTTCTTTTTCAATTAACCTTCTACCTTAATGATGTGTTCGGGTCAAATAATCCTGAGTGATGCCACAGTCCATCAAGTCCGGCGTCGAACCCAGCAGACCAAGATGCATCGATGAACGGCCATTCGAACATATCTGTCTCTAAATCAGGATACCCTCCCTGTCCGGGGTTCTCTCTCTCGAGGAATGAAGTTTCGCTCTCTGGATGTGGAGAGGGCAATGGGTGATGCGACTGATGTGGATTCTCCGCGTGAGGCTCAGTCATGGATCGGGTAATCTGCATCTCGCGATTCGGCCGTGACCGAATATCGCCATATTCATCCAGACCACCAACTAGTGCAAAGCGTCGTGGACTATGGATACCAGACTCGGGTTGCACCTGGGTACTCTTAACCGTTTCGTAGAACCGATTGGCTTCTTGAACCGTTCGCCACTGTTAAAGTTAGTTGGAATCCTAACATCCATTGGCAAACTACTAACCCAGCTTCGACCAACAGGCCACAATCTACTCAATCGCTCCAGGTATATCAGATTCTTGCTCTTTTCCTCCTCTGCGCGCTCAAGTCCACCGGGGTATCGGAGTGGCGCGATCGTTCCGTACATGTTGATATGTGCGGCGACAAAGACACTGAATCCGGAATAAGGTGTCATCACAGGTGCTTCAGATGCTTCTAGAGCTGATAAGACCCCGCTGATGTTTTGAGCTGCTTCGAAGAGCTCCTTGATTGTGCCGGGTTCTTGTTGATCATCGTCGTTCATATCGTGGAAAACGTCGGAGTCAGGATTCAGATTAGACAGAAAGCGATCGCGATGAAGGAATAATATACTGGATTCTGTCAGTGGCGGTTCAGGCTCTTTATCATTTCGAAGGATCAAGACTGGGGAAAAGTAATATACCTCATGGAATGAATCAAGTTGATGTATGCGAATAGTTCACCATATCCAAGAGCCACATGTGCCTGTGCACTCGTCGCAGGATAGTGTACTGTCCGATCTTGTAGAGATCTCCACTCATCCAATTCTGCCTTGAGTCTCTGCCAAGTTTGATGAAGTGGCGATGTAGCAGAGTCATCCGAGCCAATAGATGCCAATGCACGGCGATGCTCATTTGCGAATCGTAAAATCCGCACGAAAATATCAAATCCACGTGTGACGATCGTTAGACCGTGTTCGATAGTCAAGTTCCTTGCTAGTGAGTTCTGTCTATTCATATCAACAGGCATTAATCTGGACTCGGGAACATGATTAAATGTAAAGTCCCTGTCACTGATGGGAAGTGGAACTGAGATCTGAGAAAAGGATAATGCGAAATGCTGCCGAGCGCCGGAGCTAAGCTCACAGTCTTGCGCAAAGCAGCACCAGTATGTACGAACAAGCTGTTCGTATTGAGTCTGGGAAGCGTGGAACTCGTGGGGACTGTGTTCCATGCTGTCGTCTGCCATTTTCAATAGGGATTGGATCATGTATGTTGCCATTCCTGGATAAGTTAGTTCAATTTTGTATTTCCGGTGCCATTCTCATACGCACCGCTGTACATCCATGCTTGATATGGTCGCCCAGTTCCCCACTCGTAGAATGATATCATAACGAGGGATTGTGCGAGGTATAACGAAGGTGCCTCCATGACTCGTTGTGCCAGATGCTTTCTCGCATAGCCGGCATATGTTTCCTCATCTTCGAGAGCATCCGCACTCATGAAACGCACACATAGTGAAAGCAGGGACGCAATGAAAACCGGATCAACTGATTGGAGATTGGAAGAGATGTCAGAAATTAAAGAAGGGTAATGAAGGAAATTCGTTATCGGGAATTTTTTCCGATATGTTTCAATCGCAGCGATCACGATGGATGTCGGTAAAGCTAATATGGGATTTTCATGACTTGTTGATCCAGTGTGAGAAATTTCTCGTGCAGAGTTCCGGTCATATTTGTCATCTGATGGTACTCTTGTGGCTCGTCTCTTATTAGATGGGCCACCGACGGCTCTGTGAGTGCCTCGTGTACTTGGCCTTGAAGCTCGAGGATCTGTGAGGACACATTCATCCTTTTTGCTTTTCTCACATCGTTGGCAAGGCGGAGTGCCAAAATGAATGCATTTCACCTTTGCTCGACTAGTTATAGTTAGTGATGGTCCCATTGAACGTTCCGATTTATTATGCCTTTCTCACCGACATGAATCGCAAGATATCGACAACCTCATTAGGATGGCTCAGGAGGCCCAGCCTGAATGGGCACCAAGTCTTGCTATTATAAATTATTGAGACGTGAAGACTCAGATAAATCGGATCAATTCAATTATTACGACTTGGAATCCTCTGATCTGAGTGCGCGAGGGAGAATGTGGTACACGACGGGCGGCCAGGAATCTAAGGTGTCAACTTGTGTAGCACATCATGTGACATCATTGTATAGATCAGGTCTATTTTATATATGAATTATTTGGAATAGGAATATGTATCAATTAGTAATTTATTCATTAGATCTATCACAATCACTTCGCTTAAACATAATGCAACGCTAATTAAAACTCCTTGGCCGCAGTCCAGTGCGCCACCCACGCATTAAACTTATCAACCTGCATTTCATCCGTAGCCCAGGACGTAACAATCCGAATAACCACCCTTCCATCATCCAATTGCTCCCAATTATAAAACCTGAATCTATCTTGCAACTTCCGAACCAGATTCTCAGGCAAAGTAACAAAGACTTGGTTGGTAGCCGTCTCAGCAGCAAGTTCATGACCGAGACACTCGAAGTTAGCCGAGATCTTCTCAGCCATTGCGTTCGCATGTTCAGCCAAGGTGAAAAACAGATCATCCCGGAACAATTCCATAAATTGCACACCCATGATTCGGCCCTTTGCCAGCAAAGCACCGTGTTGTTTAAGGTGGAAGACGAATCCCTCTGCGAGGTGCTTCTTCACAACGATTGCCTCGCCCATTAATGCACCAGCCTTCGTTCCTCCGATCCAGAAAATATCACTGAAATCGAAGATCTCTCTCAGAGTCATATCATTCTTCTTCGAACACAATGCGGTTCCAATTCGGGCACCATCAACCATAAGTAGTAGGTTGGACTGCTTGCAACAAGCAGACAAACTGCTCAATTCCCGTTTCGTGTACACAGTTCCAGTTTCCGAAGCATTAGAAATATAAAGAAGACGCGGCTTAGCCATATGAGGAAAGAACTGATTCTGTTGAATGGCCTTTTGCAAATTGATCACAGTCATCTTTCCATCAACCGGTGGAACAAGAATGAGTTTGTGACCAGTTGCTTCAATTGCACCAGCCTCTTTACAGGCGATATGGCCAGATTCAAGAGTGATAACAGCTTCATAAGGACGCAGGCAGCTAGCGATTGAGATCAAGTTTGCGGACGTTCCGCTAGGCACGAAAAATATTTCTGCTTCGGAAGCAGTGCAGTTTATTTTTGAACGGATTAATTCTCGTGCTGAATCGCTGTACTCATCACCGCCGTATGAGACTTGTTGTGTTGAGTTTGTGCGCAGAAGTGCTTCCAGGATTTGTGGGTGAGCTCCTTCGCTATAATCGTCCATTAGACTGTATGGAGGACATGATTCGTCCAGACAGAGATTGGTTGATGGCATTGTGTGGATTTGGTTCAATTGTCCCAATGTAGAATTTGAGTTGAAGGGAGAAATTGAGAATGTGGAATTCTGGTAACGCACAAAAGAAATAAGTGATTTAATCTGGATGGCGAATTTGAGTCACCCAGATAACTAATATAGAAACTTCGGGAAAGAGATATGGATATCATCGGGAATGGTAAGTCGGGAATAATTGTGTGTTTTTATTCCCGAATCGGAAATCCCTTTCGGTTTAAAGGTTCTTATCATGTAATTTGTGGGCCTCAACAATGAAGAATACATTCAAAAAGGTTAATTGGTAGCGAAATATGGGTCCCGAGGCTCTTGACATGATCTAGGCCATAATTTTTAAGTGGTATACTTGTTATGTGCGGTTAAACGAGGAGCTCATGAAACGGGCCATCCCCGGACTTCCGGTGAAATTGGTGTATCGTCAAGTTCAATGCTTTGACCCACCCGGATCTTGGGGAATTAAAGTGTGATGAAACTTGGAAGCTTCGGTAGACATGAGTATGGTATGTCGTATTTTGACGATCTCAATGTCAATCAATGTTCAGACTCTGAGTGGCGAGACAGTATTGCGGTGAGAGAGGTAGTGGGGAGAGAGAGAAAAATAAAAACCCCTGGGGAGGAGTTATAACTTAGGCAGTAGAATGGTGAAATGATGAAATGATGTCGAGAGAATATCCGACATAGACGACGTGTGGGTTAATGGAAGGTTACTACTATCTTGACTTTGACAAATCAGTGTATTTGACTGTGATGATATAGGAAAGAAAGGCTCAATGATTGGTGAAATAACGGCGGCTATTTACAGATAGAAACATGTCATCAGAATGAACCGAGATATACAGTAACTCCAAGAACAATGCAAGTAGAAGATAAAGGTCCAAGGAATCACTCCGCCATTTCAGGTTGGAGTCGATGTTCCTCATCGGGTAGACCTTCCTCCAAAGGAACAAGATGATAGAGACGGACCCGCCAGCCTCTAATCAACAAATAACTGGCCATGATGCCAGTCATCACCGCTAAAAGTAAAATGAGTGCGAAGAGACCTCCGATTTCACGGATGGTTTCATAGGAGTGGTTGAGCATATGAGTTGCCTTTATGACCTCAACTTCGGCTGCGTTGTTTCCTTGGTTTGTGGAATCGCTAGCTCCGATAGCTTCAAGTGTGGAGGGGTCCTGGGGCTTTGGAACTCCGGAGTAGCCTGACCACCCAACAGCTTTCCAATTGGGTGCTTTTGTGCGGTGGACCTTGGAGGTACCTAGGACCTGTCCATTTTGGTGAACAGCTTCCACGGATATCCAATCCATGTACCCACTGGCCATGAACATAGTCTCAAAGTCGTATTTAGAAACGTTTCCAATGAAAACAGGGCGATCGAATTCAGATGATTGAGCATAGAGGTTCCACCAGGCGACATCCGTTGCTCCGTTCCAACTGACATGTACAGTGGTGATGAGGTTCGTCACATCGCTGCCGTACACGGAAGCTACAAGATCTGGAGGGGTGTTCGGGCGACCGGTAAACTCAAACTTGTACGCACGGTAATTGGAATAGCGATCAGATGTGAAACTGGCGCTCATCAATACTCTTCCATCGGGAGAGAACTCAGAGATGTAACCGCCTTGACTCCAACAGACGAACATGTTCTTATTCGGGAGCTGTTGAGTGTTTCCACGAAGGCGAGTCAGGCTCTTATCCGGGCGATTGTAGCGGCGGAGAACACGGGCGGTCATCGGTGTTGTACCAGTCTCCAGTTCCACGATCAGGGCTGATGAGATCTCTTCTTCGGCGAATTCCTCGTCGGAGGCATTGTTCAAAAATGAAATGACGTGTCGTGTACCAGAAGATTCGATGAACTTGGCGTCGTGCTGCTTGGAGAAGACAAAGTCTTGGGAAAAGTCACTGTGACCCTGTCCACCCAGCCGCCACATGATAGTGCCAGTCTGACCAGAGATCATATAGACAGTATTTGTGAAACGCATGGAAATCAGATAATCACCGTTCTCGTTCTTGTCCACTGAGTTGATATGCACATAGTCCCAGCCAGGGGCGCCCTCAACGCGAGAGTCGGGATGATAGTGGACGGTTTCCGCGAGGGGAACCTCAACAAATGAGTTCCAGTGATAGAGCACATCTGCTGTGTTGATATCAATTTCAGCAAAGCCTCCATACTCCAACCATGTCTTCTCTGTAGGACGGCCGAATGCTTCCAGTGTGATCTCCTCCGAGAGGTAGTTGGTGACCAGCGCAGATTCTCCATTATCGAGGATATTGAATTCGTGGATGTCGAATACCCCCAGATCATTTCTCAATGAAAGCTTGCGAAAGACTTCATAGTTTTGATCCAGAATCATACCGAACCCCCGTTCCTTGCCGTCATGGGTATATTGTAGAATAAGAGAAATGAATGTTTCGTTAAAGAGCGACACGGCTTTGAAGTCGAAAACGTTGCGGTTGTCAAACATGGGTGATCCTGTCCATACAAGGCGCTATTAATACGTTAGTTATATGTGCCGGTGGGTGGTGGTAGATGACAGACTTACCCCATCCTGATCGTAGATGTGTGGACCGATTTGATATTGCTCGTATAGGCTGATGGGGCCATCAGGCTCGATGTGTAAATATGGCGAGACAAACCAGTATCCCGGGCTAACACTATCGCGATCCTCGTAATGAATGTCGAATTTGACGGCCCTGGCATCGGGAAGCTAAGAAGACGTGGATATTAACTTCACAGATACGTCAGAGTGGCATAATCAGGTTTAACATACTGTTTTGAAGGACATCAAATCATCATCTGAGTGCCAGGCAACCGCATTCTGCGCCAACAGCAGCAACACGCCAAACCAAAACATTGTATGGGAAAAGAGTGACACGGTCAAGGAAACAAAACAGAAGCCATGAAGGCAGAGTTGAATAGTCGAAGGGTTGAAGGGGACTGGGGGACTGGGGCAGTGCGCAGATCAGCAACGTCGATCCGCTCATTACACAGGGTGACAGGGGATTTGAACTGTTACGGCCCAGACAAAATTCATGGCGGCACTTCTGGGCCTTTGGTGGGGCCAATGAAGGGGTCGGTGACTATTTCCCAAACAATAATGACGCGGGAATGGAGCCTTAACCCCCCTTGTTCCATTGTTGGAAATAGGGGTGTACCAGTTGACTCTTTTTAATGGATGAGATCACTGAGATGTATATAAAGTCAAATCATTGTTGTCTTGAATTATGTACCTAGAATACGGGGTAGTAAGCATTTATACTATGAATCTAGTTGACTTGATTGGACCGTAGTTCTTTACTCCGCAATTTGCCAATGACACCATTTAAGGGTCTGCGGACACCATCATGCTGTCAGATTCACCCCCGGAGTCTAGTGTTTTGGTATAATGAGGCTCTATAAGAATCCCATAGAAGCCATTCTTATTATAGATTTCCACAAAAACCGGCTTTTTCAGATGGTGTTGTACAAATGTTTGCGCGCGGTTAGAATTGTGAGACAACCGGGGGCGAATGAGGCCGTAAAGTGCCAGGTGTATGCCCAGGTGGAGTAACAAGTACAAGTAAGGAGGTGGCAATTGGCCGATCTCATGTGGACTGGAAATACTCCGGTCAGGCATCAAGGCATGAAGGCATTAACGTGATTCCCAAGCGAGCGGTCCGCCCAAGCGAGCGGTCCGGCTACTGCCTACCCTACTATTTTAATTATAATTATTAGAACCATAACGCCAATATATTAAATATTTATCTAAATATCACAATGATCTGATCTATGTCCTTCTTCTCCACACTTTTTACATGTCGGTAGCTTTCTCCTAGCTCGCTGAGGTGGTAAAACAGGTGCCCTGGGCCGCGGTACGGGAGGGGCAACTGGTGTTTCAACCACCTGTATAGCACGCTGTATAGCTTCCTGGCCCTCTTGAACCGTCATCCCACCCTCATTAGGTATCTGCCTAGTAGACCGCTTGCGCTTCTGCTTCTGCTTCTCATGGGCGGCACGTAATTTGCGTGTTTCAACCTCCAATAAAGCTGTTGAATGCATCTGAATCTCACAGGCCTTAAGAACTTGATCAATTTGCTGTTTGAGTGGACTTGGAGGGCTTCTTGAGCGTTGTTGAAGAAGAGCTTTGATTGAACTAGCTTGCCGTTGAAGCTGGATAAGGTTTTGGGGTGTCTTAGGTGAAAATTGGCTTGATTGACTGGTAGGGCGGCTACCTGGGGGTGTAGGTGTTCGAAGAAGAATATTCAACTTAGAAAGTACTCGATCTGGGTTGAATGGTACTAAACCAGTTGCTGCAAAGCTGTTTTTAATGATTTCGGTTTGAAAAGCCTCTTTACGAGCGATTGGGTAGGCTTCAAGAAAATCAAATTTATCAACATGGTTAAAACCAAGCCGCATTTGATTCTCAACAAGCCGACCATATGCACGCTTAAGAGGTGAAAAACATCCAACATCAAGCGGTTGATGTAAATGTGAAGAATGAGCTGGCATACAAATTGGAATAATATTATTCTCTTTGCAAATCTGGTCAAATTGGGGAGTTAAATGACTCCCATGACCATCGAGAATTAATAGTCGATATTTTCCAAGTGTACGTTCAGTTGTTGCTGGAATAAAGTGTTTTTGAAGCCATCGAAGTCCAATTTCATCAGTTGTCCATCCATTTGGACTAGTTTCAAATCGCCAGTCAAGTGGAAGGTTCTTAAACCATCCTTCAATCAAAACTTTGCCTTTAAAAATAATCACTGGTGGAAGGGCCCATCCAGATACATTAATTGTTTCAATAGCTGTTACCCATTCACGATTTCCAGGCTGTAAAAGTGATCGTCGACCATAATATCGAGAACGAGTAACAACCTTAGCAGTTGCTGTAAGTCCCATTGCAAATCCAGTCTCATCAAAATTATAGATATCCTCTGATAGAATACCATTCTCTTGAATTGTCTGAAAAACAAGATTAAACCATTCTTGAACCACTTTTGGATCCTCCATTTTCGCACGCTCATAATTACATCGTCGAGAGAAATGAGTAGTAAGCTCTGAATGTCGTTTAACGAAGTTGGTAACCCAATTTTTACCAACAGTTTGAGGGGGGTCCTGGCCACGCGCTGCGAGTAGAATATTCGCCATTTCTTGGACAGTAGCTGGGCGGGGGGCAGCTCCCCGTATATCCATAGAGTCACCCACTGCAGAAGTGAATTCTCTTCGTTTTCATTCAATTTATGGCTATTTGCGCGAGTTTCGGATCGATTAGTATGGCCGGCAAGGCGGCGCCGTAACGTAGAGCGAGGTACATCGAATACACGTGCAACTTCGTGCTCGTTGGTGATATCTTTCTTCCGAATAGCTTCTATAGCAAGTAAGATCCTTCCCTCTTGTTCGAGAGAATTTCGAGAGGTTTTAGAACGTATTGGTGGCATGGTGGGTGGTTGAAGATGGTAGGACGCGGTCGCGACGCGATTTCTAGTCAGCCGGACCGCTCGCTTGGGCGGACCGCTCGCTTGGGAATCACGTTAGTTAAGGTGTCAACTTGCTGCCTCAATATTAAGGCATTAATCAGATGCCTTGGAGAGGACAACCAGTTGACTCCCAGCTTGCTGAAACCCATAGAGCCTTTATCTCATACTTGATTTTTAACTATACCCAACATCCATGTTCTGCAATTCAATATTAATGAAAGGTTAGCCCTTCGAAATTATGACAGTTCCATAGATTTGACCTGCTGAAATGTAGTATCGTAAAAAAATTCCATTGAGATTTAAGAAATGGCAAATATCGTAATCATAAAGAGGGCTCTAATAACAAATAACCCCAACGGTGAATAGAAATGAAAACGCCATATCATGCATGAATGATGAGTCCAGTCAATCAGGCGGCTCGGTAGCCATGCTCAACACCGTAGTATCTGCCATAACTACTATCATAGGCAGTATCCTGAGGATTGCCATAAGGAGCATGCATGACACCACTCGGGGCAAGAGGGTAATTCTCCGAATGCATATCATCACTCCAAATCTTATCTCCATCATGAACAGCAGCATACTTGCTACCCTTGAGACGAGCCTTGGTATCGGCAATGTACCAGAACAAGGTGAAACACATAAGAAGCGCCATAAGACCGACATCCAATCCATAAGTCGGCCACTCATGTTCCTGTAGGTATCCATGTGATCCAGTCTTGTACTCAACGACACGATACATATTTCGACCCGTAACAAGTAGGCTGGCGATATAGAGTGAGATAAGCATCATGTTAATTCGTAAGGACGGATCCACTGTTTCCGCAACACCGGACTTCGATACCCGGATATGGAAGATCATGGCGCACAAGGCGAAGATCACGAAGAAAATGACTTGGAGTGCGAGACCTCCGAGAATTACGTTGGATGCAATGTTCATTCTATGGGCAATTTCCGAGGCGCTATCGTTGGAATTGGTCAGATTGGCGATACTGACTCCACCAAATGCCTGGATCAAGAAACAAAGGATATCGCACACGACGAAAATCTTTGTTATCCAGTTGATACGGATCAACGAAAGCTCGGGATGTCCAGATACGCGGATTAAACGTCCCAGGAACATGTACACAGATGCGGTGTATAGAATCGGGGCGAGAAGGATCAGGACATATTGGATGATGTATGGAGCGGATTCATTGGGGTGCATGTTTGAGATGACGCGTGCGATGAGGGCAACGGTTTCGACTGTAGAGCGGTAATCGTTAGTATGGTATCTTGAATTATTGTGAGATGGGAGACATACAAAGACCTCCAACCACAATGGCCATACCGAACCATTGGCGGGTTGCGATAATTCTCCATAAGTGTGTGGCTGTAAGAATAGCGAAAATCGCAGCAAAAACAATGGCAGTGATTTTGCTAGGAAGGTAATAATCATAGAGATTGTCCGACGCCATGATATCTTTGTTGAGGCGGGTTCCTGTGAGAGTTGTTAGTGAGAGTGGGAAGTGCACTAAAGATCAGCCGGGATCTTATAATGTCAATGTTCACTGAGGATATGAGGCTGTGCATATTAGCCCCCATATGCCATGTGGTATTTAAAGTACCTGAGCCCTGGCGGTGTAAACCTTGGAAATCTACACAAGTTTATCGTTCGGAATTTCGGTACCCAGAATCCTGTAGGGCTGTTCAGGGGTCCTAGCTCCAAGGCTCCCGAGCCTGATCATTGGAGTTGTAACCGCCCAGGTGAGGATAGCCCAGAATTATTATCAAGCTGTTTTGTTAATTTACTAGTCCTTGAAGAGAGCGAATAATTTCTGCGATAATATCATCCATAAACAATAGGCAACACCATAGCCGAAATGAGGAAATCTTGAATTGATTATCACCCGTGTCGTAGTAACTTGTACACTCTTCAGTGGAGTCTGGACGAGACTGACACTCAACGCCGAACGGAGTCAACGCTAACAAGGACCCTCACCTTGGCATCTGTCTCAGCCAATAAAGAGACTTAAAACCATCGAAATTTAACTATTTTTAGAATGGCTTAGCGCTAAACTCAATATTTGTCGCTTTGACTGCTAACTATCAACTATCAACTCCGCAATTTGCGCTTTATTACGTCAAGTTGACCTTAATGCTGTTGTTTAGTCCAGAATTGTCTGATTTTTTGACATGATTATGATAATTGAGGATTATCTATATCAAGTAGGATTAAAAGACAGAGTTAGTAAGAACGTTTGAACTTGAACATAAGAACATCCAGATGTCCAAAGCCTGGAATCCATGTGGCTCTAGGTAGGGCTGTCATCTTTAAATATAGTAGATCTCTTTTATCTCCAGGGCTATTCCGTCTAAACATAAGTATACTCCTCTTAATTTAGCTATCTCTTACTTTACCTATCTCTCACTTTAGATATCTCTCACTTTAGATATCTGTAGGGTTGCTAGTAGTTGGCTATATCTAACTATAGATATCGGGAGTTGCGAAATAGTTCCGCAGACCTCGTCTGTGCAGGCTTCAGGGCAGTTCAAGTTGCTTTTCCCTATTTCGGGTTAGCTAGACCATGGTGTGAGACCCTCCAGTAAGTTTAGAGCTATGACTCGATACCACGATATTCAGTTTCTAAGATTATCGTGGACTGAGGTGTGTACAGAGGATATTGGATTTTATTGATCACCTACAGTGGTCCATCTTGATACAGCGGCAGTAGAAGGTACATGCTTTCTTTCTTTCTTTCTCTTCTTTTGGGTTGTTTGGGTAAAATACCCAGACATTTGTCAAGACGATCCTCATTTTGAGCTGTCAGGGAAGATAGGATCTACAGACTGTACTGACAGCCGCATCTGGTTTGGTTGGTCCGCCCGGAGCTTCCTCCCCGCTATGTGCTGTGGACCTGCAGATTGCGCCCCTCCGATTACGATTCGACATGCAGATGGTGGCAAAATCTGCAGAGCTTACGACACACAAGGCAGAAGAAGTTCCAGGTGTATAAACTGACTATATGACACGCAGGGGATGGGCGGAGATTGTCGATGCTGAAAAAGTGGAGCCTAAGGAGTAGATTTAGGCTGTAGATCAGTGGAGATGATTCATTAGCGGGGTTCCATTGGGGACGTATGGAGATTTACCTTTCCACTCAAGCCCAGAAGTAGGAGGTCCATCAGACCAAGACCAATTGAGTCAACAGTTGACATGAGGAGAGAACATTGAAGTCTTCAATGATAAGTTCTCCGAAAAGGAAGGGTTGCGTTTTTTGAGTGTGGTGACGCTCCTCTGAAAAGAGTCGCGTCGTTTTCTTTTTTTGGGGGGGGGAGGGGAATAAGAATGTTTGATAGTTCACGGATTGATACACACACAAGTCAACCCAGGCAGAGCGGTCAAGGGGAACTAGCTCCAGTGCTATTTGAGACGATACACTAGACTTGGAAGAGGACAATATCAGAGATGGTGAGGGGTTATGACTTTTTAGATCATGCTTGTCAGGATCATCTTGCTAGAGGATCCGTGGTCATCGTTGACAGAATGTTCGTTGACAGAATGTTGGGTCAATTTGATTGAAAGTCATGTCACATAGGAGGATTTTTTGAAGCCTCATGTTAGTAAGGAATCTTGGTCTTAATGGATGGTCTCGATGGTGGATGGAATTTTGATGGAAGAATGTTCAAATCAAGAGTAGGATAGGATCTGCGTGGTCCACGCGGTCTACGTCAGTCTGGGTATTTCATGACTGCACCTTAAGTACGTTCGCCAAAAGTGTGGAGTCGCGCAGGTACGCACGAGGAGATACGCACGAGGAGAGTGAATTACGAATTACTCACCTTGTCTGTTATAACCAAGTTGTGTTGAGGGTGGATAAGTAGATGATGATGATGGATGATGATAGATGTTCACGGATGTTGATGAAGGAGTATGATGTGGTCAAGGAGAAATATGGGGGGGAGATGGATGAAGAAGAAGGAAGTTGGAAGAAGGAAAAAGTGTGAGAGAGGAAGATCTTACGAATTTATGCCCTGGGGGAAGGCAACAAGATCACGCATTCCAAAACAGGAAACGTAGGCGAAGACAGGCAAATTGAGAGATTGATCTGACTCAGTGAATGACAACACAGCCAATCTCATACTTTAGATTGATCTGGGACTTCAATTCTCTCACCTGCCATCCCAACTAAGCGAGCCAATAGAATACCAGGATCACGAATGCAAACAAATCGATTAAGGAGAAATATGAGAATGGAAAACTGATTTAGGGCTATGATATGGAAGACTATAGCAGCCCTATAGCTATAACCTATTTTTCCTACAGTAAATATTGACCGTATATTTCACCACTGGCTGCTTGGCCATTTGGCTGTAAAAAAGCCTAATAATATATACCTGATTACCTCTGAAGCCCTAGTAACGGCCTGATACTATATGGTGTGGAGAAGTTGATTCTAGCTATAATAAAAATCAGGAACAAGATCCGTTGTGACAAAAGCCTCTTCTTAATAGTAAGGAATAGTAACTTGGTTACTAGTACTTTTTCAGAGAAGTGTGAATTATGGTAAAGGGAGACTGTGAGTTGTGAGAAATAGCTAAGTTGAGAGGGACTAAAATTAAAATTTTATAAGGGTGTTGAATTAGAAAATAAATGGCGTGGAGCATAGAGATTGAAGACATCTGGAAAGAAGGTTGGGAAGGGGATGGCGTAAGGCCATGAGGTCTGCCAGTGTTATGGTATTCCTTTTTTTCTGCCAGCGATATAGCGCCATTGTACTAGTCTCCCCGGCCGTATGCGTATCTGGTTTAATTATTTCGAGTATAAAATGCCTGCCAATTTCGCTACTACTAGTACAGTGCCGTATGCGTGTGGGCTTTGGAAGCGTAGTGTGAGGACTTCCAAGTTGTATTATGTTACCATATATGGAGAGGATTTTATAGATTCTTTCGAGTCGTGGTTTCATTATGCATTATGTATTAACAACTTGAAGGTCAGCATGGATCAGATATAGAAATTCAGCTTCTGGGAACTCTTTTGCTGCGTTTTCAACACAGTCTGGATCATCTGATATCCTAGCTTGGTTTTCTTGGACAGCGCCATCAAACTCGCGAGCTTGATGGTTTTCCTGATATCTCGCCCGTTCAACTCTATCAAGGACAAGTTGGCAAGCTGAGCACTTGTAAACTCATCGTTGTTTTGAATCCGCTTGAGCAATTGGGTCCAGATTTGACGTCTCGAGGCAATATCTTGATCTTCAAATGCAATTGCCAGATGGATCCGAGATTCAAAGGCTGGATCTACATGTATTGCTCGATTTGTTGTGAGGAAGAGAATTCCCTGAAGAATCTTGTTAGTTGGCGCTTACTAAAGGAGAGTTTTGTTGGGACCTACATCGTAGTTGTCCAGCATTCGCAAGAAAACCGATACCAACTCATTCCTCACATCACGAGTTTCCATAAACATATCCGCTTCGTTGAGAAGCAACACAGCACCCCATTTCACAATCATGCGGAATATGTCTTTCAGCTTTCTCTCCATTCGGTCTGTGCTGTATCCAAGCTCACTTGCACTTATCGTATACATTGGAGCTCGCATCTCTTCGGCAACACACTCCGCGGTTAAGGTTTTACCCACACCCGATGGACCACTGAGCTGCATGATGATTCCTTGGCCCTTGCCCGGGATAATGTCGTCAAATATGTCATTTTTCTGAGACTGCGCTATTGCAACACCAAGAAGCAAGTCCTTAAGATCTTCTTGGCCCCTGATTGGAACTAGGGACTCAAAAGCGTCGGTGCTCCACTCGATCTCCTTTGTGTATTCTACATAGAGTGGGAACCACTCCTTTTCTTTCAATGAGTAGCCGTGTACCATCGGGCTGGCAATGAGTCGGTCCTCATCACCCAACTCCTGGGGACACCTATTGGAATCATAGGTACGGATTGTCTTTGAAGGATGGAAGAGGTTGAAGGCCTCCGCGTCAATGATGACACGGCTCTTAACATGACGCTCTCCGACAAGATCATCATATAACATTCCCTCGTAGGCCTTGTAGTGGTATCCTTTATGCTCCTCCCAGCGTTTTCCACGCGCAATCAGCGATTCTCGAAGAGTGTCCTTTTCAGTATGATATCTCAGCGGATAGACAATTAGATCTGTGATAGGCATGGTACCGTCGAACGACCAGATCTTGAAATCCGTATCGATGTATCCAAACTTCTTACCGTTGAACTCAATAGCCTTGCCCGTGACGACTGTTGTTTTTGAGCTATCTGTATCTTCTTCCACGAAGGCATATGCACGACTCCGCCCTTCTTCTGAGATATGGACGAACACATCATCAGGTTCAAAGATCGTCCAGAGAAGCTCGTGAGTGATCACACCATTGCTGATGAGGTCTCTCTTCTCGGAAAGGATGTCACCCAGCTCCTGTACCAGAGTCTTGTGTAGGAGATCCGCGTGCTTTTTTGTGGTGAGGTCTTCCTCCTCTTCGCGAAATTTGAGAAGCTGTTCCCAGCGGTGAACAAAGGGTTTGAAAGGGCTGGTGAACTCCAGTCGTTGTAATGTTGTTGTGATCCTGGGGTAGTTCTCAAGGACTTTCCCTAGGAATTTTTTCAGTGGGTCGCTCTGGATAACGATGGAGTGGAGAGAGAGGTTTCTGCGCCCATTGTAGCACTTGGAGTGTCGTAATAACAGAGCGTATTGTGCTGATTCTTCGTTCTCAGCTGGTTCTACCAAGCTCTCGGGGAAATCATTAGTCCATGTGACTTTGTCATCAGACTTGATTTCGTAGAGCTTGTGGACATCGATGATAGAGCCTGGAGGCTCATATGTCTTCTCTTCTTCCTTTTCTTTCTCTTTCTTGTCGTCTTTCGTCTCAGCTTTGGTTTCATCTTTCACTTCCTCGCCATCTTTAGTCTCGGTCTTGTTTTCTTCTGTGGTCTCTATCTTCTTCTCAGCCTCGTCTTCGACCTTCACTTCGACCTTGGCTTCTGTAGCTTTGTCTTCTTCAGGTTTGTTTTCTAGTAAATGTTAGCCATGTTTGGTAATACCCGACCAGGTGTGACTTACCTGACTTGACATCCCCATTTGTCACAATCCCGTTCTTCAGAATTTCATGTGCTGAAACTTCTTTTGTCGCAACTCCATTTGTCAACTTCTTCGTCTCAGTCTCTCCATTGATCAGTTCTTTGATTTCGGATTCTACATTCGTCGGGGCCTTGATCTCGGCCTCTCCGTTTGCGATTTTCAAGGTTTCATGGTCTATATTGATAAGTCGAGATCCTTGCAAGATCGATAACATAAGCTTACTAGTCTCAACCCCGTGGGTAGTACCGTTAGTAGCAGGGCGACCCGTAGATCCCTGTACCACCGTTCCATTCGTTTCTGTAATTTCTGCGGCTGAATCTGAGGTGGCAGTGCGAGTGTCATCTGGAACTTGAATAATTAGTCATTACCCATACTATACTAACGAAGTTGAACATACCAGACACATGACCATTCCCATTAGTCTCAACATGACTCTCAGGTACAAGGGCAGTCTCCCGCACAACAGAACCGTCTTTAGATACGTCTCCAGATACACAAACATCACTAGATGTAAATTCAGAAACACATGTATCCTGCGCCATGATTAATAATGCACTTTGAGATTAGGTTTGGAAGAAAAGTAATATAGTGTAAAACTGCTGCACAGTAAATAGCAATAAGTAGTAAGAATGAAGAAAAAAGTGAAGAAAAGAAAGAATCCCCGCGGCGTAGCCCCAATCTAAATAGTACTCGGACTCGTAACTTCAAGGCAGCCACGTCTGCCATGCGTGTGTGATCCTACATTGTGCAGGGTCACCGATCCAGACTCTATAGGTTCAAGTTGTCTTAGCGGGTCTGCAGTTGAACGCCCCACGTCAGCGCAATTACCTTTTCAGCAATCAGATTTCAGAGCGCAATCAAAATCGAATTCAGCCTCGACTTCGCCCCTCACTAGTTTCATCTTAGCCGCCCGGGATACTGGAAGTGTCTGTGCTATTTCTTCCCCCGCTTTGACTTTATGATAACCGCTGGTCTCAGACTTGTTTGATCAGCCTGAGGTTGGGTTCTGGTGTTGATACCTAACCATTATGCGCGTAGTTCATTCCCTAGAATGGTAGGAATTTACAAGAACTTGAATTCAAGTTCAAATGTTCGTATTCAGGATTATCAGATCCTATTTCAAATGTTTAAATGTTTCTAGACCTTTATGAGGTGTGTAAACAGGTTATTGTATGGGCACTTCATGAGGAATCAGGATTCAGCCTCGTTATTCTCTAGATGCAGGACCAAGACAATAAATCGCCTCACTATTTTCACTTAATGCACATGTGTGCTGTCATTTTCGCAATGGCCGTATGCGGGGTTCCATGACAATTGGGCAAAAATGAGGCTTAGCGGAGGCTAGTGTAAATTGTAATCACTGATTGTACTGCCACACTTTCATTCTGAGTCAGAATGAGGCTCTGTAGACAGGGATTATATTCTTCAAGTTATACTAGTACAGTGTACCAGAATTTGTACAACTATACTTTTGGTTGACAATAGATGTATATATAGAAAGCACTTAAATCGTGCTGGTTGCTGTCGTTGAGTCGTCATTTTCCAGCTGTTATATGATTAAAATAAAAGAATGACCAAAGTAAACACCAAAAAATCAAATCGGTCTATGCTGTCCTCTCGCTACCACTGAATCCAATTCACATACGCCGTCAAAATCTCCAAAATCTCCAATTTCTCCATAAATCTCCTTATATTGTTGATAGATTCACTTATGCCTGGGTAGCAAAAGCAGTTAACCGGGACTTGATAACTTCCTCGGAGTCCTGGGTATCCAATTCACGAAGGACTCCGGAGGCAACATCGTAGATCAGACCGTGGACTTGAAGTCCACGCTCCTGGATAGCAGTCAGGACAGCACCCTTCTGCTTCACAACATCCAGACCCTCACGCACGTTCAGCTCAACGAGCTTCAGTGCCGCATCGTCAGGAGACAGGCTCTGCAGGAGAGTGAGGTTTCGCTCACGAACCAGACGCAGAGGCAGGAGCCAAGGGTCCAGAATGCCGAGCTGCTTGTTACCCATAGCAGCGGCAACACCACCACAAGCAGTGTGGCCACAGACCACAATGTGCTTCACGCGGAGGTGCTGCACAGCGTACTCGATGACTGCACCGGAGCTCAGATCACCAGGGTGCAGGATGTTGGCGATGTTGCGGTGGACGAAGACATCACCGGGCTTCAAACCCAGAAGGGTAGTCTCGGGACAACGGGAGTCCGAGCATCCCAGCCAAAGGATCTGGGGTTGTTGTCCAGTAGCGAGGGTAGGGAAGAGGTCAGGGTGTTCGCGAGCGGTTTGGGCAGCCCATTCCTTGTTCTGCCGCAGGGCACTAGAGAAGCGGTCTGGTCGGGCTTTGTCAGTTTGACCAGCGGAGGAAGTATTTGCGCTGGACGGTGTGGGGGAGGATTTATGGCTCGCGCAGTAGGCAGGGGTGGAGGTCGAGAACTTGAAATGAGAAGAACGAGGAAGAGAGGGAGCGTTCATGGACTGGCGACCAGCGAGGCTGTAGACCTCTGTGGTGCGCGCAACTGCGCTAGGTCGCACGGCCAATCGTGCGACGTTCATGACGAACGGGTGTGGGGGGAACAGGTGTTCGGGGTAAGGGCCAATGATAGATTAAAGGAGGGCCTCGGCCTTTGAGAGAACAAACAAATCCCGACTTTTTCCAAAGGAATATTGGTCTGGTGTGCAACGGGATGTGTATCCGGACCGGAGTGGGATGAAGAAAGAAGAGAAATCAAATGTTGGGAATTGGTGGAAAGGGAGAGAACCGTGCCAAGGTGAACTTGAAATAAAAATGATCAGCTTTTCGCCAATTTACATACCGTCAGACATGATGAGAAAGAGAGATGATATCGCAAAAATTATTTTGATCTGGGGAATTCAAGAAGGTGAAGTAGAGGTGCCTCGAGGGGTAAAAAAAGGGTTATCAAGGTGGGCGAACCTTCCCGAGGAGCGAGATCGGCAAAATCGGTGAAGCATCAAGACGGTTGGGGGAACTTACGATCTCAACCAGGTACGGAGTACAATATGTACTATATAACATGACCCATTTTATTGGAAACAATCTCTAATCAATGGAATTGCTTTTTTCTCATGATAATCATGATCAAATAAAACACGAAAAAAAAGGAAAAATCGCTAGTAATGACATATACATATCAACAGTTTTTTTTTATGACGATCCGCCGCGGCCGCCAACATTCAGGAGAGTCTGCTTCTGCTCCTCGGTTATACGGGCTACCGGAAGGGGACGGGCCCCAGCAACCGTAGGTGCGGGAAGGAACCCGGTTTGCACCAGATACGAGGCATAAAGACCAACTAACTCCTCGGTCACGCCAGCACCTGCCGATGCATCAACCCCTGTCCAAACAGCGTCCGCCTTCAAAGCAGCAGCTGCATTGGTGTCCGACAACTCCGGTGCCTTGGTGTTGGAGGGAAGGTCCGAAGTGACGAAGTGGTAGAGTGGCATGCTATTCAGGAGATTAGTATGGAACATGAGATGCTGCGATGTATAACTTACAGTGCGTGCTGGGAGTCCTTATCATCGTGTTGTCCGTCATTGACATATTGCTCCAGGAGTAGGGACCATGGAACATAATCAATTTGCGGCACATTGTATCCGTAGAGTTCCAAGGCGCCAAGGAACTGAATTAGAAGTTAGAGATTAGAATACGACTAGAATAGAAAGAAGATGGGTGGCCTTACCTCATTGAAACGAAGACGAGGGTGCCCGGTGACATGAGCAACTCCAATAGGGGCACGGGGAGGGTGGAAAGTTGTGCTGATCACGATACGTGACACATGGTCGACGGGGACCATGTTTACCGTGTTGTGAATGTTCGGGCGAGCATTGAGCTGAATGCAGCCCTTCATCATTCGGATTAAAAAATCATCAGTGTTGGTGGTTCCAGACTTCGAATCACCAAGCACGTATCCGGATCGGATGATAGTTCCCTTCAATCCACGACGACCAGCTTCGCGGACAAGGTATTCACCAGCCCACTTGCTTTGACCGTAACCAGTGCCGAGACCAACAGCGCTGCCCTCGAGGTCATCTTCCTCGCTGACACCGTTTCCGCCGGCAGCAAGACTGCGCTCGGATTCTTGCACGTAGTAGTCCTTATCCAAGGCAGAGGTGGAACTGACGAAACCAAACTGCTTGGCTTTGCCACTACCGCAGAGCTTCAGCGCATCAATAGTGCCCAGAACATTGGCGGGCTTCAGTGTAGCGTAGGGGTAAACCCAGTGAACAAGCGCACCGTTGTGGATCACAGCATCAACACGGTTGGTAAGGTCATCCCAGGTAGCCTGTGATAGGCCGAACTGCGGCTTTCCGAGGTCACCACAGAGGGCCTGAACGCGGCCGCTAGCCCAGGACTCTTCCCAGAAACCGTAAGCGCTGCAGGTGGAACGAACACGCTCAAGCGCCTGCTCCTCGCTCTTGGCGCGGACCAGAACAACCACCTTGGCCTCGGGATTCTTACGGGTAAGCAGATCACGAAGGATATGCGCACCCAAGAAACCAGTGGCACCAGTAAGGAAGACTGTAGGCTCGCTGGCAAGCATAGACTCGGTGCGCACAGGGAATGACGCTGGCAGCTCGCTGACCAGTCTGCGAGCATCCTTGGAGTATTCATCATCAGGCTCATTCGCAGCCTGTACAGCAGCACTATCAGGACCGTCGCTAGTGGCAAAGGCCTCTCGGTCAACGAGACGATCAATCTCGCCGGCAAAGCCCTTCAGGGTAGGGCTGCGGAAAATAGCATTCATGCTAATGTCAATACCACGCCACTTGCGGCGGAGATCGAAGAACATCTGCTGAGCGAGGATACTGTGACCACCAAGATCGAAGAAGGAGTCTTCAGATCCAATCATACGCGAGGTCACGTTGGGAATGAGCTTAGCCCAGATTTGAGCAAGAGCTTGCTCGGTCTCGGACAGTTTCTGCATGGCAGAGGAGCGACGGCGAGGCGCAGCAGCACTCAGCTCGGCAGTGTCAGGGAATGGCAATGCGGGCTTATCAATCTTACCGTTGGGGTTCAAAGGCATACGCTTAAGAGGAATGATGACTGTAGGCACAGCGTAGGTTGGGAGCTTGCTACGGAGGTGATCACGAGCATCATCACGCAGAGGACGGAACCGGCGGAGCAAACCAACCATACCCTCAGCACTCTGGTCATCCTGCAAGCCCTTGCTCTCCAGCCACTGAGTCCACTTGGTCATGTCAGGAACGAAGTAGCTAACCAGAGTTGGCTCCTCGAACTTGTCACGTCGGACCAGGGTGACATTCTCACGGACCAAGGGGTGACGAGAAAGGTGAGTGTCAATTTCACCGAGCTCAATACGGAAACCACGAATCTTCACCTGGTCATCGGCACGACCAGAGCATTCCACGTCGCCGGACGGGGTGTATCTGCCCAGATCACCGCTACGGTAGAGGCGGTCGCGGGGGCCGACATAAAACTCCCGCCACGGCTCGTTGGAGCCCTGAGCCTCGACCTTGTACTTCTCAGTCCAGACTTCGGGCTTGACAAACCAGTTGGTCAAGAACTTCTTAGCATTCAGGTCAGGAGAGCCCAGGTATCCCTCGGCAAGACCTGCAGCACGCACGTAGATCTCACCGACTTCACCAATGGCGCAAATACGTGTGGGATCGAAGCGGTTGACAACCAGCATTTGAACATCCACCATACCACGACCGGCCGGGATGACGTCCTTCATGGTATCGAGGAAACCTTCCTGGCTGGAGTAGCTGGGGATTTCGTAGTAACTGACAGCACGTTGGGCTAAAATATATATGTTAGCCTAAGACCGACTAGTACAGAGGGCAATTTTGGGTAGCTCACTTTCAGTAGTTCCGTACATGTTGACAATTGCAACGTTGGGGGCAAGACCCTGAAGCGAGCGACAGTCACGCTTGATAAGGATATCACCGACAAAGAAGGCGTGGTGAAGAGAAGGGAACTGCGCTGAAGCACCACCAACGAGAATTTGACCCATGGCTGGGGTAAGGTGAGTGACAGTGGCACCGTAGTTCTGCATCCACTCTGCAAGCTTCTCATTTTGAATATCCTCCTTAGCGGGGACCAAAAGCTGGGCACCCAGGAAAAGGGGTGTGAAAATATCACGCTGGATAGGGTCGTGGGCAATACCACTCAGCATAGTAAACTTGTCATCCGGTGTGAGCTTAAAAGTTTCAGACATCCAGGGGAAGTAGTATGCTAGAGAGAAGTGACGACCACGAACACCCTTAGGGCGACCTTCTGAACCAGATGTAAAGGACAGAGTGGGAGTAGAATCAGGACCGACAACAACGCCGACGGGCTTAGACTTCGACTCAACCTGGGGGGCAAGAACATCCTGGCCATTGATAGAGCCACCAACAAGAGTTCCATCATCCTGAAGGGCCAGAGCAGGGATTTCTGTGCGGAGCTCAAGGTTCTCGTTGATGAATGATCGGACGATATCTGACAGCTCACCGGCATCACGGGTAGCCTTAGCGATGTTGATCAAAGCACGAGGGCGAGCAACATCGAGATAGATGTTCTGGCGCTCTGGGGGGTAGGCAGGGTCAATAACTGAGAATGTGGCACCTGCCTTCAGGATACCCATCACAGCCACAACCAGGTCTACGCCACGGTAAGCATAGACCATGACAACATCGCCGCGCTGGATACCAGACTGAACGAGGTGGTGTCCAAGGATGTTGGAGGCCTCATTGATCTGCTTGTAGGTGAATTCTCGATGAGTAGAGTTGCCAGATTTGGTCTCCACCACGCAAAGCTTCTCGGGGTGCCTCTCGGCATTGGCAGAGAAGATATCGTGAATCGCACCACGGAACTTGGACCAGTTAAGATCGGAATCGGGCTGAGGGATCTTGGACCGCTGCTGCTCGGTCATCATGTCCACACGGCCAATAGCCTCCTCTGGGTTGGCGGCAGCATTGTTGGTAATCTGAGCCAATTGCTGCAGGATAATGGCAATTCTGGCACTTGAGAAGAGACGCTGGTTGTAGTAGGCTCCCAATTGCGCGTCCTCACCACCGGCGGCAATGTTGACGACCAAGTCGGTGCTGTCGAATGTGTTCGCAGGGTATTCCTTCGAAGCAGCAGGAGCATCGTAGGCGGCGAATCTAAACAGGATGGGAGTTCTTTCGGACTTGGACTTTTCCTGGATATGGGTTCGGAGACTACCGAGGGGCACAATATCGGCAGCACCTTCATTGAATGCCTTGGAATTATTAGCATTTTTTACCTAAAATAAAGGGAGTTGGTGAGGTCTCTTTACCTTGTCTACTTTAGCATACAGCTGGGAAAATGACTCCGATGCATCAATTGGCACCCGCAGAACGAATGGACGACCGTCATCAGCAACGCTAGTGCCCACAGCAATATCCTCGTCACCGGTCAAACGAGCAACCAAAACGATAAAGGAAGTCAAAAAGACGGTGAAATTTGAAGAAGAGCTCGAGAATTTCTTCAGGGCCAATTGAGTCTCCTTGGGAAGAGTGACTGACTCAAAGGCCTCAATGGTTCGGCTACCATCTTGCTTTTGTGTGTCGGGATAATCTCGAGTCAATGGTGAGACGGTAAGGTTATTTAAGCGTTCAGCCCACCGCTCCAGGCGATCTTGTAAAGAAGCCATTCCTGCAGTGATAATTGCAGGATTGCAGGATTGCAGGCACGCACGAATTAGTTGGGAAGCTTTATGAGTCAAGCATGGTCCCCTCGGAGGGGCATACTCATATTCCAGGGCTCCATAATGTCCGATTTCGCCGCCATTCTTGATGATGATTGGTTGGTTGTTTCACCCCACACTTATATGTTCACCGCCTTCTGTTTTGTGTGTCGAGGCTTTTTTGTTCAATATTGAAGATCCACTACAGTGTAGATCAGTGTAGGTTATATCTGGTGGATGAGTGAGGTTTACTGTAATTTAGAGTGTATTGACATCTAGATTTTATGTCGTTACAGCTTCATATATTATCATCTCATCTATATATTTATTCTTTTTCATCTTAATTCATGATTAGCTATAATCAGTGTAGAGTTCCATGGTGACCTCATGGTGATGACTAAGCGGGATATTACCCTGACAGAACACGGGTGCAGAACTAGCCCAATTCGGTTAGTTCAACCTACTATCGAATGGAGAGCTCTGATTAGTCGAACCAGAATGGATCACATGACAGATCAGGTGATCTCCAGGCAGAATTTATGTGCGTAATTATCAGAATAGAGAATCAGACCTGTTGAGACATCCCATTGGCGACCGCCTACTGCATTAGACATTGTAGTCTGTCATACCCATTTTAGCCTTAGGCACCAAGGATAACTGTGATCTCTCGAGTTCAGGGGATTCTTTGGTCTTCAACTGACACCTTTAGTTCAAGGGCGCATATTAAGGCGCTTTCACTATTTCAATCGATGGAATAATCTTTCACTCCATTGGTATCCCAATTCCGTTCACTCCCCGCCCTTTTTTGGAGCAAGTCGCCGCATCCGGTCCATTCGAGGCGGCCTATCCCAAACTGTATCACGGGCGCGGTATCACGACTTTTAGGCCGTGTTACTTTTCGACCCTTCTTTTCATTAAATTTTTTTGTTTGGTCGTATTATCCAGCAGGCCTGAATAAAGGTCTCTCCGTCGATCGGATGTACCCAAGATGATTCCGCATAGAAGCACCGGTCTTTTGGCCATTATTCTTTTTGTTGCTCTCCTTCTCTTTATCTTCTCCTCCTCACCCGTACCTGAACCCACCGAGGGCGAAGAACCCATTTCAGGACCCGCCAAATATTTCCCTCAACCAAAACTCCCTTCTTTAAGTGACCTCCATTTACCGACTTTCCGCGCCCCTTCGCACGAACCACCCCCAATAGAGACCAATAGCACTAGCGGCGAGTCTAAATGGTTTAGCAACTGGGAGTGGCTGAACCCATTCTCCTCCGCAATTACTTTGGACGAGGATCGCTCTGTGCTTCCTCCACTCCGCGACCGTCGTCCGATATACACCTACTACAATCCGAAATACAACCCTAAAAAGCATTCCAGCAAGGAACTTAAGGAGGACCAGAATGCTGATGCGGAGCTTCTTCTTACATGGCGAAGAGCTTGGTTCGCCCAGGGCTTTCGGCCGGTCGTTCTCACTCCGGGCGATGCAATGAAGAACCCGCATTATGAATTGGTCCAAAAATTAACCCTTTCGCCTGAACTTGAAAATGAGGTTTTCCGTTGGTTGGCTTGGGGACACATGGGGACAGGATTGCTGGCCGATTTCGAGTGTTTTCCCATGGGTCGATACGATGATGGTCTCTTCAAGGCTCTTCGACAGGGCACCGAGCCAGAATTTATCATTCGCTTCGAGAATTTCCACGATGGTCTATATTCAGCGGAGAAGCAGCGTCTGGATGAGGCAATTGATGGCGCCGTGAAGAAACTGGATGAGAGGTCCACATCTTTCACAGAGCTGATCAACTCCGAGCTCTTCAAGGTTATGCAACCAAGCAGCTTAGCTTACTATAAGCATGCCGTTATCGGTTCACACTATCCGACACTCCAAGAGAAAATGAGCCATGATCCGTCTGCTGGACGAATGCTTTTAGCTCAACTAGTCAACACTCACCTTCACACTACTTTCCAGAACGCCTTTCCTGCTGGGTTAGCCGTGCTGAAGCCTTTTCCTAAACATACCACTGCCCTGGTGGAACCTGCCCTCCGACTTGCGAAAGCACTCATTCAATGCCCCGACTCTCCCGTTCCCAACTCCTGCCCACCTAACCTTCCCGACTGCCGCCCCTGCGGCTCCTCAAAGCAGCCAATGCTTATCAGCCAACCCACCAGCTATAAGAATACTGAGTTCTTATTCACAATTGGCACCCTCCCACACCCATACACTCTTGTCAGTTTACAGAAGAGCTCTGAAGATGTCACCACTCGACAAATTCGTCGGGAGACTGAGCGGGATGTCTGGTTGACCGATGTCACCAGAGAACACCTCGGACCAGAGATAGGGAGCTCCTACAGAGGCATGGCGTTCAAGCAGGTTGTCGCTGGCGACCAAGCTGTCGCCACTTCCCTCTGGATGACCGTCGAGTCACTCCCTGCCGAGGCTGGCCAGACCCTTCCATCTGAACTCCTCGATGAATTTGAATGGCAGCTTGGGTTCAAAATCCCTCGTGGTGGTATTGACCCCAAGGCCGCCAGCGATAAAGAAAGCGTACAGAGCAAGACTCCGAGCCAGCAGGGCGTGGCCCGAGAGTACGAGCTCATCCAGAAGGCTCGGGCTGTTATCAACGGCAAAGAGCCTGAGAGTGTTAGCAAGCGAGACGTCTCTGAAGCCTGGAATCTGGCTGATACAGAGGTCTGGCGGTTTGTTAAAGCCTACCGGTAAGTTGCTATCAATCTCTAACCCCGATCGATGTCAATTGCTAATATTCCGTTCATAGTGCTCGCTCTGTTGTTGAACGGAAGCGATGGGAAGAGGAAGAACGAGGATTTGCAGGGTCTAAGCTGTAAATGCTCACTTCTTACCGTTCCCGCTCGCTTTTTACTATTCTGTTTACATTGATCGGATTTCCTAGCTATGTCTTTTGGGGAGTATGTATTTTTCTGTGGTTCATCTTCTACATTGTGTTATGTACTGCATTTCAGGCGCTGTCGATTCTTTTATTTTCTATAGAATGTTGAAGATTCAATACAAAAAAAGAACCAGATGGTTAGTAATGTTCCGGGTTCCGATAGGTCTCCGTTCTATATCCACCAACTTCGGACAGTGGCGATCCCCGCATAAGACCTATCCATGTTCCACGGTGGAGCTCGGGTGGGGTTATCAAGATGCGATAACTCATCCGCACTCTTTGCCCCTCTCACTGGTTACACCGTTACAACATCTTGAAATTTGACAGAGATTTAGGAAGGTCTTTGCGATTACCCAAATATATAGACTGATTATCATGGACCCTTGAGCACGACCGTGAAGCCGAAGCCTATTGTCATTTCTCTTTGCTCCACCCCTACATTCATCGCAATGGCGCCCGGTATCCTGCAGCCTGAGTCGGATCCTGAGGTGGCGGTTCAGAAGGTGGCCTCGCTAGCTGAGCTGACCGAGGAGTGGGATGATACGATCCGATTCTATCTCAACGGCACAAAGGTCGCCATCGACACAGTCAACCCGGAGGTGACTCTATTGGAGTACCTCCGTGGTGTTGGACTGACGGGAACAAAGCTTGGATGTGCCGAGGAGGATGTGGCGCTTGCACAGTTGTATGTATAAAATTCGAGCTGGAAGCAGAGAAGCTGCATGAGTAGCCGTATGAATAGCATGGCTGACCAAATCGAATATCTAGGTGGTCTCCCATATTAATCCAACAACAAAGAAAATCTACCACGCCTCTGTCAATGCTTGCATTGCTCCTTTGGTCAGCATTGATGGAAAGCATGTCATCACTATTGAAGGAATCGGAAGTGTGAACAATCCCCATGCAGTCCAGCAGCGAGTGGCTGTTGCCAACGGTAGTCAGTGTGGGTTCTGTACGCCTGGTATTATTATGGTATGTGGGGCTTTGGCGCTGGATATACCAGACCATCTCTTCGGATTACTGACTTTTCAAAGAGCTTATATGCCCTATTACGAAACGACCCCACGCCCGACGAACATGCGGTCGAAGAGGCCTTTGATGGAAATTTATGTCGCTGCACAGGTTACAGACCGATTCTCGATGCCGCCCAAAGTTTCAATTCGCGCAATAACTGCGGCCAAGCGAGTGCCAATGGAGGCTCCGGATGCTGCATGGAAAAGAATGGTGGCGGTGGCTGTTGTAAAGCATCGTCTGCGCCAAATGGAGACGACAAGCCTGATCCTCAGTTCCCCGCACCAGATTTCAAGGCTTATAATCCGGATACAGAATTGATCTTCCCATCGGCACTGAGGAAGCATGAGTTCCGACCTTTGGTTTTTGGCAATAAGAGGAAGAGATGGTATCGACCGGTAACAGTCGAGCAACTTCTACAAATCAAGAGCGTCCACCCTGAATCGAAATTGATTGGTGGAAGCACGGAGACCCAGATCGAGATTAAATTCAAGGCAATGCGTTACGCTGCATCGGTTTACGTGGGTGACATCCCCGAATTAAAGCAGTACGAGTTTCACGATGACTACCTTGAGATTGGTGCCAATATATCGTTGACCGATCTCGAGTTGGTCTGCGAAGAGGCTTTGAAGCGATATGGACCTGTTCGAGGTCAGCCTTTCAAGGCGATCAAAAAGCAACTGCACTATTTTGCCGGGCGACAAATTCGAAATGTTGCCTCTCCAGCTGGAAATTTGGCGACCGCGTCCCCTATCGCAGATTTGAACCCGTGTCTCGTTGCGACAAACACTACTCTTGTCGCCAAGTCTCTTTCGGGTGACAAGGAGATCCCCATGACGGAGTTCTTCCTGGGCTATCGTAAAACAGCTCTTCCTCAAGATTCTATCATCGCCAGTCTCCGGATCCCTGTGGCTGCTTCAAAGGGTGAATTCTTCCGTGCTTATAAGCAAGCAAAGCGCAAGGATGACGATATCGCCATCGTTACATCCGCGCAACGTGTCTCACTATCCGAGACCAATGAGGTAACCAGCTGCAATCTGATTTTCGGCGGCATGGCAGCTATGACTGTTTCTGCAAAGAACGCTGAAGCTGCCCTGATTGGTCAAAAGTTCACCAGCCCGGCAGCCCTAGAAGCCGTGATGAGTGCCTTGGAGACTGACTTCAATCTTCCATATGGAGTTCCTGGTGGCATGGCGACATACCGAAAATCTCTAGCGATGGGCTTCTTCTACCGTTTCTACCATGACGTCCTCTCGGGTCTTGAGGTCAAATCGGCAGATCTGGATCCCGACGTTATTGCTGAGATTGAACGAGCTATTTCCTCGGGAGAAAAGGATCATGAAGCCTCCGTTAAATATCAGCAAAATATTCTCGGCAAGGCCACTCCTCATGTGTCTGCGCTTAAGCAGGCTACTGGAGAGGCACAGTACACAGACGACATTCCAGTCCAGCAGAATGAGCTATTTGGCTGTATGGTTCTTTCTACCAAGGCTCATGCCAAGATTCTCAGCGTAGACCCTTCCGCTGCATTGGATATTCCCGGCGTTGTTGATTACGTTGACCACCGAGATTTGCCAAATCCAGAGGCGAACTGGTGGGGAGCACCGATATCTGATGAGCAGTTCTTTGCTGTTGACAAGGTCAATACGGCTGGACAGCCTATTGGTGTTATTCTGGCAAATACAGCCAAGATTGCCGAGGAAGGCATGCGAGCTGTCAAGGTGGAATACGAAGACTTGCCTGTTATCCTCAGCATTGAAGAGGCGATTGAAGCAGAGTCTTTCTTCGGGCATTATCGCTACATTAAGAGTGGTGATACGGAGGAAGCTTTCAAGCATGCAGATCATGTTTTTGAAGGTGTTTCGCGCATGGGCGGTCAAGAACATTTCTATCTCGAGACACAGGCTTGTCTCGCTATTTGGAAGCCAGAAGATGGTGAAATGGAGGTTTGGAGTGGTACTCAAAATCCGACTGAAACGTAAGTGATCCAGACAGAGATTCTATCACAGTCATGTGCTAACATGTTTATCAGGCAAACATACATCGCTCAAGTCACAGGCGTCGCAGCAAATAAGATTGTATCTCGCGTCAAGCGCCTTGGTGGAGGATTTGGAGGAAAGGAGACTCGCTCGATCCAGCTGGCTGGAATCTGTGCCACCGCGGCTGCAAAGCTTAAGCGACCGGTTCGTTGCATGCTCAACCGTGACGAGGACATCATAACCTCGGGTCAACGCCACCCATTTATGTGCAAGTGGAAGGTTGGTGTTAGCAAAGAGGGCAAACTGCTGGTGCTTGACGCCGATGTTTACGCGAACGGTGGACACACCCAAGATCTTTCTGGTGCTGTTGTCGAGCGAAGCTTGTCACACATCGATGGCGTGTATAGAATCCCGAATGTCTTCGTCCGTGGTCGAATCTGCAAGACAAATACTGTCTCGAATACTGCCTTCCGTGGCTTTGGTGGACCACAAGGGCTTTTCTTTGCAGAGTCCTACATTTCAGAGATAGCAGATCATCTTAATATCCCCGCAGAGGATCTTCGTGCTATGAACATGTACCAGCCTGGCGAAATGACTCACTTCAATCAGGATCTCAAGGACTGGCATGTGCCGCTGATGTACAACCAGGTTCTGGAGGAGAGTAACTACAACGAGCGACGAAAGGCAGTCGAGTTATACAACAAAGAACACAAATGGTCCAAACGTGGAATGGCAATTGTACCGACCAAATTTGGTATCTCCTTCACAGCGCTTTTCCTGAACCAGGCAGGTGCCTTGGTACACATTTACCACGATGGCAGTGTGCTTGTTGCTCATGGTGGTGTTGAAATGGGACAGGGTCTCCACACAAAGATGGTCATGATAGCAGCCGAGGCTCTAAAAGTACCCCAGGAGAATGTGTTCATCTCTGAGACTGCTACAAACACCGTCCCCAACACATCCTCAACGGCTGCCTCTGCCAGTTCTGACCTGAATGGATATGCTATTTTCAATGCTTGCGAGCAACTCAATGAACGTCTCAAGCCATACCGCGAGAAGATGCCCAACGCTACCATGAAAGAACTCGCACACACGGCTTACTTCGACCGAGTCAATCTTTCTGCACAAGGATACTACCGAACTCCAGATATTGGGTATGTCTGGGGCGAGAACTCTGGACAAATGTTTTTCTACTTTACACAGGGTGTGACAGCCGCAGAGGTCCAGATTGATACACTCACAGGTGATTGGACACCCCTCCGTACAGACATCAAGATGGATGTTGGTCGAACAATCAACCCATCCATCGATTACGGTCAAATCGAAGGTGCCTATGTCCAAGGTCAAGGACTTTTCACCACAGAAGAGAGTCTCTGGCACCGTGCATCAGGACAAATCTTCACACGCGGACCAGGTAACTACAAGATCCCCGGATTCCGCGATATTCCCCAGGTTTTCAACGTCAGCCTGCTTAAAGATGTTGAATGGGAGAACCTCCGTACTATTCAACGCTCACGTGGTATTGGTGAGCCACCTTTATTCATGGGTAGTGCCGCATTCTTTGCGATTCGTGATGCATTAAAGGCAGCACGGAAACAGTGGGGCGTTGAAGAAGTCTTGAGTTTGCGGAGCCCAGCCACTCCCGAGAGAATTCGAATCAGTTGTGCTGATCCCATTGTTGAGCGTGCACGAGTTCATCCTAAGGAAGGCGAGAAGTCTTTCTTTGTGGCTATTTAGTTATTATGGTTCATGGAATGTACGACAATACATAAATGCTAGCATTATTTGTTTATTTTGACATGAATTGGAATAAATTGTGATGATTGAAGTTTTTCTTCATCCCGTCCTACATCCCAAGGTTCCCCGGTTCTTCCATGTTTCCCGTCGGCATAGGAGAGAAAAACATAGACTGATACAGACTTATATAGCTATTTTACATACATCCAGGGTGAGTGAACCCATCATTGAAGTATATCAATCAATTTATGCGAGTTTCTAGAATATCATGAATCAGATTAATCTAATTCAGACTTAATATTAGCGTTGTCCGGCTTACTTTCCTTCCGATTCAACTTTCCCGATCAGCTCGGCAAACCCGCATAAGCCGCACCCGTCCATATACGGAGACTCATTTAGGCGAAAAAAAATGACCAAAAAATCAGTCTCCACATGATAAAAAAGTTCCCCGGCTAATTTAAAAAAAATTTGCTTGGCTTGGGGTAACATTGAAGTTTTACAATCTGTGATATTGTGAAATTGATCACTGCCTAATACTGGGGAGTTGACTTGATCTCTTCAAGTGGTCGCGCGACACTCTTCCATATCCGGCCAAGCTATTTTCTCGGAAAAACTCCGAACTTTTGATCTTCAAAAAAATTCCATCATGGATGAAGAGTCATATGCCGTTGAGGCGAAGGGAATGATGAATGAACCTATTCAGAATGATTCTGATAAGCCTTATGCCCCTGCGGATCTCGAGCCTTTTGGTAATGAGGAGACCGCAGAGGTGAAGTACCGCACTATGAAGTGGTGGCATTGCGGCATGCGTGAGTATTGCAGACTCCTAGGTTCAATTGTACACTTGGTATCTAACTAGATGTATAGTTATGATTGCGGAGAATGTGTCTGTGGGAATTCTGTCTTTGCCCTCTGCTGTTGCTACTCTGGGCATGGTACCGTATGTATCATCAATCTCTGTTTATAGAAGCCTGGTCTGATTTTCACAGTGCTGCTATCATGATTCTATTCATCTCTGCTCTGTCCTGGTACACGGGTTATGAGATTGGTCAATTCAAGCTTCGTCACCCTCACATTCACAGTATGGGTGATGCTGGTGAGATTCTGATGGGTCGCTTTGGTCGTGAATTGCTTGGAATTGGTCAGCTGTTGCTGCTGATCTTCCTTATGGCTAGTAACATTCTTATGTTTAATATCTTGATGAATGTTCTGACGAACCACGGTACTTGCACGCTGGTCTTTGGTGTGGTCGGTTTGGTCATCTGTTTCTTGGGTGCTCTGCCTCGTACTATGGACAAGGTGTATGTCATGTCTGTTGTCTGTGAGTATCCTCCTAAAATTCCTATATACATTACTTCATATAAAATTTCAGAGTTAGCTAACATGGATACAGCATTCTTGAGTGTCTTCATTGCTACCATTATCACCATGGTCTCTGCCGGTGTGGAAAGCAAGGGCTACATCCCCTATAAAGCTACCACAGAAGTTGGCTTCCGCGAGGCTTTCCTCTCCGTGACTAACATCATTTTTGCTTACCGTAAGTGGAAATTCACAGAGTGTACTAGAAATACTGAACTAACTCTGTCAGTTGCCCATGTTGCTTACTTCGGCTTCATGTCTGAGACCGAGGACCCCCGTACCTTCAACAAATCTCTCGCCATGCTTCAAATCGTCGACACTGTCCTTTACCTGATCAGTGCTCTGCTGATCTACCGCTGGGTTGGACCTGATGTTCAGTCCCCTGCTATCTTGTCTCTGAGCCCTCTGATGAGCAAGATCGCTTGGGGTCTTGCCATCCCAACTGTAAGTCACACACTATCAATTGATCAATCCTGTTTTCATATACTAATGGACGACTCAGACTATTCTCTCTGGTGTTGTACTCGGTCACGTTGCATGCAAGTACATCTACGTGCGTATTTTCCGTGGATCCGACGAGATGCACAGCCGCAGCTTCCTCTCCATCGGAACCTGGGTTGCTATCTGTCTCGGTGTTTGGGTTATCTCCTGGGTTGTCGCGGAGTCGATTCCCGTGTTCAATGACTTGTTGAGTCTTATCGTAAGTGAAGACAAGCTAAAAATCGCCAATCTATGCATTACTAACAATACTTGCTATCTTACAGAGTGCTCTGTTCGGAAGTTGGTTCAGTTGTAAGTCTAATTCTTCTCAATACCGAAAATATTCCATGGCTCATAGTTTTCTAGTCGGTCTTCCTGCTGTCTTCTGGTTCCACATGAACCGCGGTCAATACTTCAAGAACTGGAAGAAGACTTGTCTCACCATCATCAACGTTGGAGTCTTTGCTTGCGCTTGTGCTATTGTGAGTCTCCCTGATAATGACATTATTTTTTCCGATTGGTACTAATTGTTTAATCAGTGTGGATTGGGTCTCTGGGTCTCTGGCGTTGCCATCCACAACGATTCCAGCTCTTCGGCCTGGTCTTGCGCTAATGATGTTTAAACGGAATACGACCTGGCACTTGGAGTGCCCTCAAAATTTGAAGATGACGGAATGGATGAAAGAACTTTGCATATCGTGTGGATGTCAAGATTTATTAATAGATTTCAATAGCGATAGAGATGCATTATCCGAGTAATGGGCCCTAGGGCCATGTACGATTACAATCATTCAAGTTCTGAGCCGTCAAGTAACAGTGTTTTAGTATCATTGAAAGATATTCATTGATATCTGGAATTTATACAGGAACCAGTTGAATATTAAACGCCAAATATGCTCGGCTGCAACAAAGAAAATACCGTGACACCAGGCAATGCAAGTGGAAAAGCACAGCACCTCTATGACTTCGTATCATACTCCACATGTTTACTCATCCGCCAACTAGACTCAGAGTGAACCTGTTGCGCTGTTCTCTCCCCAGCAAATCCATGTTTCTCATCACCGATAGCATGAGCATCATGGAATGGATTAGCCCTCCCTCTTAATCCAGGCCTAGAAGCAGATCCCTGCTTCTCGTCGATGGCATTGGAGTCATTGAATGGATTATTCTGAACAACAGTCGAATGAGCCACAGCTGCCTCATAGGCCGGGGCAGCAGCCCCAGCACCAGACATCGCCTTCGGCATAGCGGTCAAGGGTACATCATCGAAGCCATGGGCATCAGTTCGGGGAGGAGGATGATTAGGCACAGGGTCTAAGGCATGACCACCTCCCTCGCCGCGGTTCTTGTCACGTTGCCACCATAAGAACAATGCACGAATAAATCCCATCAATAGAATGATCACCCACAGACCAAAAACGCAGGCTGCAATGATAGTCTCCTGTTTCAGAGCGGCTTTCAGGACGTCCAAGGCGTCTACGACGACCTGGCTGATTTCGTTGGAAGTCGTATCGCCGACTTCAGAGAGGAAACTATCTGAGCCTGTGCCGTTTGCTATACTCTCGTTTGCACCCTTGGAGAAGATGTCGTCTGGGAAAAAAGTGATGTTGACGTGCGCGTGATCATGAACCCAAGTTAGTCCCTCCTCGATACTCTTGACTTTGAGACCGATGAGACAGTTGAAGATTTCTTCGATTGGCTTTTCCAGGATAGTACCTCCGAATGTATCGTTGATAACACTATCCACCTCATTGACGAAGGAGTTTAGTGTGTCATTTATGGCAGTCGTGGTAGTATTCACCCATCCAAGCATGTTATCGTTAATATCGTTATCAACTTCCTTGATATACCCATTCGCCGTATCAGCCCACTCAATCGAGGCATTCTGCAATGCGCCAACGACCTTCTCGGCAAACTGGCCCACCTCAGCACTGAGAGCGGGTACCTCCTTGGAAATCTCATGAATTATAATCCACTGAAACAAGCAGGCGAGTAACGAGGCGACGGCAAGTGCAAGAACAAATAGTGCTGGAAGTGAAGTTGCATATGCAACTGCCCAACGAACCAGTGTCTGTCGACGACTATTGCTAAACCGGCTTGCAGCCCGAATCCCCATCGCAGATGTGTGTGGTCGGGAAACGATATAAACAACATCCATAGGATCGTGGGCTTCCCGTCGGACTAGCTGTGATCGCTCTTTCATATGCCTCCATCGTCGGATTTCCTGCCAGGCGCTCGGGATGCAGGCTAGCACGGCTGCGATCACGAGGACGATGATGAAGATTTTTCGAGCTAAGAGGACCACGTCGGTTACTCCGTTGAAGAAATTGTCAATTCCATCGTTGTCGTCGCAAAACGTCAGTTTTTTCTTTCCTGGGACATCGAGAAGAGAGCTGTCGAATTTGTAACTTCCGAAGGCATTGTCCAGGAGCTTTTTGACATCTTCAAATGGTGACTCGATGATGCTTTCGGTGACTTTCTCAACTGTGCTGAAACTTGGAATCGAGTTGTTGAGTGCATCCAGATCCTTTGTGACGCTTGAAGGAATGGACCAGTCGTCTAGGTCACTAAGCCAGCTGGTCAAGTTGAGCGTGGGAATATTGAAACCAAGGTCATTAACATCGTCAATGATGTCGTCAAGACCATTTTCAAATGTTGAAACAGCATCCTTGACACCCTTCTCAACATCTTGGATCGTCTCATTGACCGCACTGACGACATCCTCGATCAGATCCACGGCCACATCTACCACGACATGCACAGCCAGAGTAATGAGACAGAGATAAGTCTGGTACATCATCTTAACCACGAAAAGGATAAGTTCTTCGGTCGCTGTGATTGCCAGGTCCAGCATTTCGACAAGTGCAGCGACAGCATCAGTCACCGAGTCCGCAACGAGTTCGTTAACTCCTTGAGCGAGGTAATGCGGCATGGATGCCATCGCACTCCCAACAGACTCTACGCTGGTACATGCAGAGAGAGCCTCACGCTTTGCACTGGCCATGTCGGAGCGGATGGTACCCACGGCTAGTATAAGACGAACAAGAATGAGTAGGATCAGGATCGTCCAGCGATTGATCCATACTTGGGATAGTCGTGCTCGGAGCCCAAGATAGGGCGTAAGACCGTCAGGGTGTAAGGGAATGATTCGGCCATCTTGGGGATTGTGGGCGCCATATGGTGGTAGCAGAGGAAATATTGATCGCTTCGATCGCGAGAACCACATGGTTGTTTTGGTCGGACTGCCAGCAGTCTTTTTGCGAGGACAATTAATGCAGGATAGTGTAGTAAAAGATGAAGCAGGGGTAACAAGAAGAAAAGAAAGAAATATGAGAATCCGCGATCTTATAAATAAAGGATGGTATTGAATGAGATGCCAAAATTAGGTTGATTCAATAAGTGTGGTTGCATCGACCAGCGATATAGTAGTGAATGTGAGAATTCAAGGCAGAATGAGAACTTGGGACGACAAAGAGAAAATTCAAGTGAAACGAAAAACTTGAAGTAGCATATATTACTATAGATTATAAGCTCCTATTTTCAGATCCCTGACGAATTTCCTATTTTTGCATCCTTGTAGGCGCTAAAATGATTTACCTCAGGATTTATTCAGAGAGTCCACCAACCTGAAGCAACAAGTTGACCCCGGGGTAACTGAATCAACCATTAGGAAAATATCCCGAGACCAAACAACAAAGAAATACTAACAATAAATAAATGGATCCAAGCCAGCTGTTTCATCTTCCTCATCAAAGCGCTAAGCTCCCGGTTATTGTTAACCTGTCCAATCCCCCAAATTTAGACCCCATCCGTACTTCATCGCTACTCTATGGAGTCATGGGCGCTTAGCACCCGTCGCTGTGGACCAACCATTCACTCTTCAGAAATCGAATCTCGAACTGACGGATATTTTCGTATGTAGTATTTATTGTCGGTGGGGAGATCAGGTGAATAGGCAGCAATAGAGTGTTTGACATTTTTCCCTTGGGCGCTTTGTTTTGGGGTTGGTGAATGGTCATATTTGAGACTGCGCCACTTGTAAGACTTAACCATGGGACAAGTCCTCACGCCGCGCTCCGCGCAGCACTATAGCAGCGAAATTGAGAAAGGTATACCTCCAGCACCGTGACTTAAGCTATTGACCAGGTGTGTCCACATCTCCTCAGATAGGTTATCATAGGTATGTAACCGTATGTTCACATACTTGAGTACAGGGCTCAGTCTGAGTCACTGGCAGTAGCATCTACAGGCAACTGGTGACCAACCCCTCTTTGTATGTAGGTACCTACGGGGTTAGCTATAGGGTTACCTGAAACTTGAAGGGAAGGTTAAATGTTATATTGTTGGATCAATTGATGTATCATGATTCATGATTCATATGCGCAACTGGTATGTATAGGCTGATTCTGCCCGGGTATCATAACAGGCGGTGAGTGAAAGTGCTCTATTTGCCCAAGGGGGGGTCAACTTTCAAGCATTTGAAGAGCAATAAGTGAATTTGAAATATTCAATTTGTTAGATATTGGAAAATAGAGAATAACTCCGTAGATGTACGCAAATCTTGCTATTTGAAAGGAGCTAATAAATACTCCTATCAAAACTTCCATGTAGAAGTATCCCCCGACCAATCATGCCCCGTCCAACTATTGTCGCCCAGTGGAGGCTTTGCCAAGTCAAATATAGCACTGTTAGACCATCTCACAGTTTCCACAAACTCCGCATCGTAGAAATTAACCCAGTACCTATCAATCATTAGTGATGAGTTTTAAATCTTTAGGTGTTTTCTTACAGTCTCCCACTTTGTTTATTAAACAAAAAGGTTTGTTATATCTGTATCTTCTGGCCAAACACCTAGCCGAATCAAATGCCTGGTAATAAATACTATTAGTCTATATAGTATTAAATCTACTATATAATAAAAATTCACATAAAGTGATCTTTTAACTGATGGCAGATGTTGTCTCGCTGAGATCTCTTAAGTTTCCAGAACCGTCTCTCTAAGAGTCTGTCCTGTCCCCCCTAGGCGTACTCCAGGAAGGATCTCCCATACAATTGTGACATGGAAGCCTCCTGGTACTAGACCCCAATCCTCCTGTTCTCCTTCCTCATAGCCAAGTAACTTTCGTGTAAACTGAGAAACGGATTCATCAGCAGTTATCATTTTGTAGGCCTTAAACTCGTTAGGCTGGAAGTCCATAGCTTGCTCAGCACGTTTATCCGAAGCATCAAGCTCTGTATTGAAATATGGAACTTGTAAATACACACGAATCTCTGTATGAGGTGATTGAGGTGCACAAATATCCCCCTGGCGACATTCCAATCTAATTGTGGCGAAGGAAAGACGTCCTATCTTGCCCCGGTTATAATGCTCATTGATGACTCGAAGGATCTTCCATGGTCGGGGAGTGGGACTCTGGGTAGAGATAATCGCATCTTGGACGTACTTTCCCTCAAAGGGTCCTTGGGTGAACCAGGAACGTATGGATTCCATGGCTTCACACTCTGTGTAGCTGTAGGTAATGGGAGATCGAGTTTAAAGAGAGGTTGGGAGATTTTGATATAATGAAGATGTAGAGATAAGCAATAAGATATAAGTAAGGTATAAGTGAAATGTAAGTAAAATATAAGTGAGGACTTAGATTTTTAGTCTATTACATAGTGATTACAGTAGTAAAGATTTCTAAGGTTAGGACTATATACTACTTTAAGCCTAGAATTATTATACTTTTATTTAACCTTAGAATCAATATTTAAACTAACTTTTTTAACTTAACCTTGATAGCCCTATTTCCCTCTAGTTATCTTATAATTCTTACTATACTAGTAAATTTCTACTAAGTTAGGATAGTACTAAGTGAGAGAAGTTAACATTAGAAAGTCATAGATCAATCTCTTACTTCATTACTATCTATTTTTCCTAGTTTAGAAATATAGAATCTTAGTGCCTACCTATCCATATGGTATAAATTACCTTGAATAACTTCTTCCTTCCTTACTGGCAGTCCTCATTTCTCCATATACTTATAGTAGCCTAGAGATGTGAGTTAAACTTTGATCTTGTCTAATTTCATCCATCAGAATTTGACCCGACTTATAAAGGCAAAGGATCTAGTCGAGCAGAACCTGGCTCTCCGAGAGCCGCTTCGACAGGTTGCCTACAGCTTCGACCTGTCTAAGGTCTGAGGCCAAGAAAACTGAACCCGTGGACATCTCCTACCTCCTTCCTCATTCCTACACTCCCTTTTCCATTCCAAGGTTCCAAGGTTCCAAGGTTTCTTTCTCTAAGGTTCCTCAACTTCAACTTTATCCGCCTACTTTTCTACTCTTCCGCAACATTTGAACTTCTTCTCAACAACCACAGCACCTCTTCCGCCCTCTACGATATCCATTTTATTGGTCAGCTCGGCCGATGGAATGATTTTGACCGGGTGCCAGTCAAGTGAATAAGCGCGATAGCGTCAGAAGAGGGAATATGAATATCTTTTACAGATTCAAAAGCCGCATCTTTACAATTGGCAGGCATTCCCGATATGGTTCTCGTCAGCCAAAGACCTCAGGATCTTCGTTACTTCTTGCTGATGAGCTCAAGACCCCATAGATTTACGCCATTTCGTCATTGTCTAGGTATTTTTCCAACAACCTTGGGGGTTTAGTCCACAGACTGACTCATTTTGAATTAGGACAAATTGCACGATATATGCTCGACAACGAGCTCAAGTACGGTGTGTTTAGTACGTACGACGAGACAATTTTCTTAAGGCAGCGGATTGTGAACGGCAGATGGCAACTCGATTACTCTCCGGCCATAAGTCATGTAAATGCCTTTGATCTACGCTCTACTCAAGCCTCATAACTGGTTATATTGAGACTGGCATTTCGGCATGTTGCAAATTTAGCCGAGGAAAAGAAAAAGTTTGAAATGAGGCGAAACCTTCCTCAAGCAAACAAGGTGTGGACTACTTAGTCAATCAAGAAGAACCTAAGAGGTTCTCACTCCTATACACAGGTCTCCAAATTTTTCCTTTGTGTATGAATTCTCAACATTGAATCTTCAGTTTTGATTACCTATAAAGTAGGTAGTTGGTGAATCTTTGTCATAAAATACAGGGTGTCTAGCATGCTGTGGCCTAGGATAGCTTGAATGGTGATTTTGCTTCAGTATTCCAAGGTTGCCATCAAGTGATATTTGTAACTATACCAGTAAAGGTCTGAAGAGATCATCATGATACTGTTGCTAAAAAAGGGAGCTTTTCAAGCTTAGGCTGTGAACTATTGGCAGTTACTACTAGTACCTAGTAAAACTTTAAGTTCAAGTTACCTCCAGGGCTGTTACTAGTATTATTGAAAATAGTATAACTGGATATATAGAACTACCTAGTACTATATCACCTACCAGTATTGATACTACTCTTACACTGGCACAGCCTAAGGCCCTACTTCAAGTTGAAATCTTTTAGTAGGTTCCACATGTGCAACATTTTGAAGGTTTCTACCCAACTCTTAACTACTAGATATACCATGAATTGATCATGATGGATGGCAGGTGCCCATTGACCTCGCAAACTTCCATTGTTCTAAGGAAGGTTTCAGCATTTGAAGGTTGAACTTGAAGATATCGATTATTAAAGCAAGGGAAAATCAGCACCGAAGCAAACAAACTTGAATGTCTTCCAGTGGTTTATTTACTGAAAGTTTCCTCTTTATTATTCAATACTTCAAAACATTCAAGTTGGTATTCAACATCGGAAATTTTTATATAAATCTATCATAACCGATGAGGCTGTCACTTGCCCCGCTTATATGGATGTAAGCCCCGGAGTCATGTTATCGTTTTCTTTCTCTCCTCTTTCTCATACCATTTCAAATGTTCAAGCTCTTCTAACAACCTTGAAACATCTTCTATCAAGTGTCTATTCACTTGATCCAAAGAAGACCATATCATTTGCAGCCACCCATTGGATTCTGGGATAAGTTCTGTACTACTAGTAGTATCAACTTGGAAGCCTTTGATCAAAGCACTATATCTGCAGCTCTATTTTGTGTGCTTAATCTTATCAAAAAGTCTACAACATTTTAAGTGACATAGGTTGTCAGTTCGGGCTATTTGGAGTGCAAGATCACTCTTTAAAAGCACCGTGACTTCAGGTTGAGGTTACTGTGTGCTTTGGATGAGCCCACTCACACGAGGCGAACATATGAAAGATTTTATTTATATGTAACGCCATAAAGATCCTAGTACCTACCAGGTAAACTGATATTGGTCTGGCCCGGTGAAATTCACGATTGAGAAACTCAAGGTAAAGCCCGGCAATGCAGCCAGATGGGAATTTATTCTTTGGAGAATATCGACTGAATTCATCATACATTTTATGAGTTTTGGTACCCTAAAATTCGTCAAGAAAGCTCTGAATCAAGAAGCTCCACCCAAGATTGACGGTATCAAAGCCCTGAAATGGGTAGATACGATTTCTCCGGGGGCTTACTTGAAGCTCCTTAGTTTTGCCCCAGGTGTGACAGAAATCAGAAAAGGAGACTCAGAATATCTACATCGGCGCTGGCATTGGGATATATGGATTGAAAAGGCAGGTAAAAACAAAGAGACTAAATTAGCTTCTCGAGTGGCTTTAGCTCGTGGTTTTGAGAGCTCGGAGACTAACCAGGGTTCCCTCTACCTAGTATTCATTCTTGCGCTCAATCATTAACTCACAGATTCCGATGACCTTTGCCGCTGACGAATTCCCTTTTCTGAAGTTTCCTCTGGCAACTCTCTTTCCCGTCAACCTCATCGCAACCGAGAATCCCTTACTATTCGCACGAAATTATCGTTGATACCAGTGGCGATTCTGATGAAGAACTGAGGATATTGGGTCGTGATGCTCATTGTGAGAAGCCCGACTCCAGTGCACGCCCTGGCCACGCAGTGGTACCTGGCTCATACAGGACAACATGACGATGCAGTGGAACCACTTGATGTGATCGTGATGGAGGACGAGGAGATTTGAGCTGGTAATTGACCTGACTGAGAGCTAGATGATTCACATCGACTGAAATGGCAACCCCGATTCGATCTATGTCGGACAGCGGCAGCGGTCATCTGACACCGAATATCTTCTCAGTCAAAAACCAAGTGCTGAAAGAAGGGCTCACATTTGATAAATTCTCGATATACGGTATAGACTGTCCTATTAATGATTTCTTAATAATATTATACCTATTCAGGGACGATGGAATGCCCGATGAACGGAGTGCTGAGCCAGACACTGCAGTGAATATCAGTGGTGATCCTCATGAACGGCTAGAAGCCAACATCTCATTGAAGATGAATCTGGCTTCTGCCATGGTCCTATTATGGCTGTCAATTCAATTATGAAGCAGTTAGTGAAGCCTCGTGAATGGCAGGGTGTCTGGCATGCTGTCGCCTCAGTATTGCCGTATTTGCAACTATACCGTCAAAGGTATGAAGGGATTCCGACAATACTGTCGCCAGCAAATGCGGACTATTCACGAGCTGGCTTTGATGTTAGCTTTTGATAGCCCTGTAGTCCTTACGCACCGTCAATAAATCACACCTGAGACGCCCGACATCTGGAGGCTTTGACCCCTGCCTGGTCGTTGTAGAGCGATACCGCTTCCTCTTGGTTTCTCTCTAAGCAGTCTTTTATCTCTCTCGTCTATGGGAGTGTCCTATGCATTTGCCGTCAAGCTGCCATCTCTTGAGTCATTACCGAGATTTTGTTGCTCAATATCCTTTTATATCACGCCAATTTCACCACCTAAGTCAGGACTCACAAACGTTATAGGGTAAGCAAGTTTCTATCATCTTGCGCTGCATTTACTTTTGAGGTAAAAATACACTTCAAGTTGCTTTAGAAGACCAACAGGAACTTTAAGAAGAATATAAAGACCCCCAAAACATATGGCGGACTTTGTGGACAAAATCCATGAAGTCTGGGAAACCGACCCTGTCCCATTTTAGTGGAACGATTCCACACAGTTCATGCTCTTGACTATATATTACGATTTACACCTGCTTATTGTTGCCGAGTTTGTAGCATTTATTGCCTGGCAACAATGATGCGTATCGAAAGGATGCTTCCAAGGTGAAGCTAACATTGAATCACCACCCTGCAGGCTATGGACGGGCTCGGATTTACGGACCAGAGTGAGACTATAGTGGATTTGAATATAAATCCATTTCTTCCAAGAGTCTTAGGAGGAGCTGTCAAAGCGGGAACTTAAAGCTCTAGACATATCCATTTTGGTGGCTATGCACACTGGTCAACCGCGACGGCAAAACGCGCCCTTTCAGGGGGAATTCCGATGTCAATTTGTAATACTACTACCCACATGGACCACATGTACTACTAGTATGAAACAAATCATCCAAAATTCATATTCCGTACCTGTCAGTGTATCTGAGAAACCTGAGTCCAAAATTACTGTTTCTTACTCTCTTTCTTACTCGCAGGTATCTATTGAGCCCAGCCTCAACCCTTGAAGCCTTGCAAAATGTCTGTCAAAGCTGCAGAAGACAACCCGTTCCAGCTGTTGATTCAGGAAACAAATAATGACCCAGTAAGTCGAGAAGTCACCTCAGAAATCTCCTATTAGTGACGGCGAGTCACATACTGACAACACATTTTCCATCCGAGTAGGCTCAACTGCAAGCGCGTTATGAGAGCCACCGGGTAAACCGAAACAAGCAGCAAAGCACAACCATTCTCTCTGAGAACTTCCCAGGTTGGAGCCTGGATGAAATCCTCAAGCGTCTTGATGGTCCTGAGAAGGAAGATGGTTTTGTTGATCCTCGGAACTGTTTGGTAATTTGGGCTAAACCCCCTCCACATATCCGTGACATGGTCGCTTTTGTTCAGAATGAACTCAAGGATGTTGCTCCCTGTAAGTCGCGATTGAATCAAAGTTTTAGTCCTCAGCAGTGAAGACGATTGCTTATTTTGAACAGCCCTGTGGTTTATGCCCTCTGAAAATCTGCACACGACAGTGCTGGAAGTGGCTCACTCCTTGACTAAGGAACAGATCGGTAACCTAGTTCATATTCTCGAGTCTTCGGAGAAAATGAGCCCAGCACAGATTGTGGAATATCCACTCACTCATCAGGCACCTCTTCTCAAACCTATGATCAGTTTTGACTCTGCTGCCATGGCACTCAGCTTTGTTCCTGCTGCGGGTGAAGCCTCAAATGAACAAGGAAATGCTGGTAGCCATAGTGACCAGTATACATATCATCATCTCCGGGGAGATGTTTTTGATATGGTACGACAGGCTGGTATCCCGGTCGCCTCTAGGTATATCTACCCCTCTGCCCATCTCACTATTGCGCGATTTATCAATCATGATGGCTTCTCTGTGAAGGGAACAGAGGGGAATGAGGTTGATCGTTCGCGTGTCAAGTTGTTGATTGATAGAATCACTGAGATCAATCAGAAGCTGGAAAATGAGTTCTGGCCACGGGTTGATGGTTCTATTCCGGATGGTGGAGAGTGGATTGTTGGACGAGATAGAGGTTTTGTGATTCAAAGAGGTCGTCTCTGGTATGGAGGTGGAGACTCGGAGACTCTTGCATATGCTTAGAGCGCTCCTCTACATTGTAAATACTTGTCACTGGTACTACCCTCATTCTGTACTAAGAAGTCATTAAACTTGAACATTAACTTGAACTCAGGACTGGATCCTACTAGTATTAAATAAAAGACTTGGATACTATCTCAATGCTTCAAGTTGGTAGGCAGGTTTTCTTATATCAAAAATCTTGAATTCTATATGCAAGAACATTCTCAGTAAGACTCTCAGGATTTTCACTGAATATACTTCTTCAGACCACGAAGTCTCTCCTTGGCAGTCTCAAGAACATCATCGTTCTTGCAAACCGCAAAGCGGAGATAGTCCTCTGCAATACTAGCATTGGCATCGGTATAAAACTCGGTGGGCGGAATAGCAGCAACACCAACCTCGTGAATCAAGAACCAGCAAAGCTTGAAGTCACGAGGGCGGTTAGCCACATGAGGTGGGAATGGGTAGTCAGCAGGAAGCTTGACAGATGCCATATTAGCCAGAACAAAGTATCCGCCCTCCGGATCGGAGTATGGAATGCCAAGCTCATCGAAGACCTGACAGAATCGCTCGATCTTGCCCTTCATCTCATTTCGGCTCTCGTCCCAGAATCCGACCTTCTCAGCCTGCTCGAATCCAACGGCAGCGGCTTCTTGAAGAGGAGAGACACTGCTGTAGCAGATACGGGTGTGTGCGCCAGCCACGTACTTGATCAAGTGCTCGGGACCAATCAGATAACCAACACGCCATCCGGTGGCGTAGAAGGCCTTACCAGCGGAGCCTACTGTCAGGGTGCGCTCATAGAGCTCAGGTGACAAGGTGGCAATTCGGGTGAAGGGGACATAGAAGAGACGGTCGTAGACCTCATCGGACAAGATAATGAGGTTGTGCTTCACACAAAGCTCGCCAATGCGCACCAGTTCTTCGTGCGAAAACACCTTACCCACGGGGTTGTGACTGTTAAATGTTAGCTTGAGATAGGAATTGAGAGTTGTCAGTCTTACGGAGAGTTGAGAACCTGGTACGAGTCAGTATGCTTAGTTCAATTCTCATGAATCAGAGATACTTACAATCATCTTAGTCTTGGAGTTGATATTATTTTCCAACTCATTAAAATCGATAGTCCACTCCGATGCTGGAGAGGTTCTAGTAGCACCATCCTTGGGAGGGTGCAGAGGCACATAACGAATAGTACCACCGGGCATCTCGATGTTGCTAATATACCTGCATAGGGCATGAGTATAGCACATAGATGTAGAAGACACCCACTTACTGGTCGAAGAATGGCTCAAAAATGATGACCTCGTCACCAGGCTCGATAAAGGCCATGAAAGCACTCAGCATTCCTGGTTAGAAACAATGGTCAGGCACGGTATCTATGTGTATGCCGCACTGCAATGGCTCACCCTCGTTCGCTCCGGTTGTGATCGAGACTTCGGTCTCTGGGTTCAATGTTCGACCAAAGAAAGGCGAGTATGCATCTGCGATGGCCTGCTTAAGACGAGGACGACCCTAGATTGGGTGAGCTTGGATCAACTTCCCATCCTCGGCTGTGTTTAAGTACCTTAGTCGGCGAGTACTGATTGCATTCCACCCGGTCGAGTGCGTCCTTCGCGGCGTCAATGGCAAACTTAGGAGGATTATAACCACTATACAGAGTAGGTACATTAGTCTCAACGTTTTATCCATTGGAATGTCTTTCTGCGGTGTCCACTCACAAGAAACCTTGACCCATGTTCACGATTGGCTGGACCGGTGACGCAGCCGCCGCTTCATTGACAATAGACCTGGTTATATCTTCAGCCAACTTGGCCAATTCCATTTGTATCGCGCAATTCATACCAGACATCCTGTCGTTGCCCCGCTACTCGCTTTGCGGGGCGAAAGGGATCGGGCCGCGGAGCTGTTGCCGACATTGCTCTTACGCCGAGGGTAGGAAGGGGTATGGAGCGGATGGAAGGGCGAAGGAGTCGCGGGGTAGTTGAGAGAGAGAAAAAGACGCGATCCACAATCATGGGGTGCTGTATAGGAAGTGTGGTACTGGAGTGGGAGTCGTATCGTTGAAGCGGCCAATGGCGTGCTTGGGGTTCCGGCTTCGGTGCTCCCGCCTTATCAGTTCTACATGGAATACTCCGTATGAGTAGCAACTGTAGTATGCAGTATAGAAATTGTACAACCACGGCAGTTTTAGGACCTAATAGAGCCTGAGATATAAAACTCACAATCATATAATATCTATTGATTTTGCCCACTCTTGAATTGCAATGCTGTCATCTCTGTTTGATCTATGAGAGTAAAAGGCACTATCATGATGTCCACTATGCTTTATATATGAATATTGAGATCTATAAATGGTACTAACTCTAAAACCGGAGTCTTACTACTCCAATATTTCAAAATTCAAACAAATTAAAGCATAACGTCAATTGCTCATGCATGTACGGAGTACTCTTGTAAAAAGTGGCTCTTGTACTTCCTACACCTGGGCAGCACTGATAAGACTTACTAAGCGGCTTATCGTTCGCGTCGGACGCGTCTCCGCATTTAATCCGCAAAGCAACGAGCTACGCATGGTAGAGACAACTCAAGCCATGGTGTCCTGTCCCATTTGTGGGAACTCGGTTCCTCAATTAAAGATAAATGATCATATTGACTCTGATTGTCAGAACTTTATTGACGCCCCATCGTCCCCCGGCGAACCTTCATCTCAGAAAGCCGTTCCGAGCATATTCCAGACGCCCTCCGCACGCAAAGCCTCCTCTCAAGCCAATATCTCAAAAGACTCACCCTCGCGGTCTAATCCCCCCTGTATCAAAGTCGCTCAATGGAAAACGATCATTCACCCAAGACACACTACCCCGAGAAAACAAATACAATGGAGACTCCGCAGAGCCGCAACCAAAGCGCCCAAAAGTCAATGCATTCCATAAAGCAGCTCCACTTGCAGAGCGTATGAGACCGAAGACCCTGGAGGACGTTTGTGGCCAAGAGCTGGTCGGTCCTTCGGGGGTACTACGCGGGCTGATCGAGCAAGACCGGGTTCCGAGCATGATTCTTTGGGGAAGTGCGGGGACAGGCAAGACAACGATTGCTCGTGTGATAGCATCCATGGTGGGCAGTCGGTTCGTGGAAATCAATAGCACCAGTAGCGGAGTGGCCGAATGCAAGAAAATCTTCGCTGAAGCCCGCAGCGAACTTGGCTTGACTGGCAGGAAGACCATCATCTTCTGCGATGAGATTCACCGATTTTCCAAGTCACAACAAGACGTATTCCTTGGGCCCGTGGAGAGTGGTCAAGTGACGTTGATCGGAGCCACCACGGAGAATCCGTCCTTCAAAGTCCAAAACGCCTTGCTTTCACGATGTAGAACATTCACCCTGGCGAAACTCACCGATGCAGACATTGCGTCAATCCTCCAACGTGCTTTGAAGATCGAAGGACCGAACTACAACCCCTCGGAGCTGGTTGATGACGAGTTGATTCAGTACTTGGCTCGTTTTGCTGATGGAGATGCTCGCACCTCTCTCAATCTCCTAGAACTTGCCATGGATCTCTCCAAGCGAGCGGGAATTACCAAAGAAGATCTGAAGCGATCTTTGACCAAAACTCTGGTTTATGATCGCGCGGGAGATCAACACTATGACACAATATCTGCTTTCCATAAGTCCCTTCGAGGGAGCGATCCAGATGCTGCGCTGTACTATCTGGCCCGCATGATCCAGTCCGGTGAAGACCCTTTGTATATTGCCCGGCGGCTGATTGTCGTCGCTTCTGAAGATATCGGGTTAGCTGACAACAGCATGCTAACCCTGGCAATATCAACTCACGCTGCTGTGGAAAAGGTAGGGCTTCCTGAAGCTAGAATAAACCTGGCTCATGCCACCGTTGCCATGGCATTGTCGAAAAAGAGCACACGAGCATATCGAGGGCTTAATAACGCGTTTGCCGCACTGAATGAGCCCGGTGTTGCTGGTCTGCCCATTCCTATTCACCTCAGAAACGCCCCGACCAAGTTGATGAAAGAGTTGGGATATGGCAAGGAATACAAATACAACCCGAACTATGTCGACGGGGAGGTTGAGCAGGAGTACCTTCCCGATGAGCTCCATGGCCGTACATTCCTGGAGGATCTGGATTTAGGTACACAACGAGATCCTGCTCTACCTCGTCTTGCGCGCTGAGATTACCCTTCTTATGACTACACTTTTATGACCACTTCGGAAACTTTCTTCTACATAATAGCCAATCTACATGATCCATTCCCGTTATTTTCTGACATGTAGACCGGCAGGATTCCGCCATAAGAGTATTAGAATCGTTTTCTCCAAACCTTGGAATATGGGAAAAAAAAAAAGAAAAAAGAAAGAAAGAAATTGATCTGTGTCTACGCTAGCTATGATACTAGACGGTCGTGGTGGTAAAAGAGGGATACACTTATCCTGCACTTGAGGTGCTAGTCGACGTACGACGTGTCTAGGTGAGGACGTGTACAGCTACTACTAAGCTGCTTATTTAGGGATGCACCATTCGCGCGATTAGGGAGCGGCCCTGGATTGTATAGCATCTGGTGGGAAATACTAGTAATAGTATGAGGGCCGGGCGTTGCTCCAGCACCTGCTCTTGGTGATAGAGTAGTATATCATAAATAATGCCAAATGGCAAGTAATCATAGGTGACACCAGGCGGCAAGGCATAGGCTGCAGGATTGACTAAGTTTATGCACTTCAACTACTCTAAGTCTATGTCCATTCTCTTAGTTCAGATTTTTAAGTGTCTATCAGGCAAGGCCTTATAGCTAATACTACGTTCAAATGTTACTTAGCTTTACCCAACCACTCACTTTTTTATCTTATTTTTAGGTATACCAGGCTAGAAAGCCTAAGGTTAAACTTTAAGCCATAGAATCAAGAGTCTATCAAACTTTACTATATAAGCTATATTAATACATAATTTACCTTGACTCCTACTTGACTCTTAGATTTATTAGGCTACTACACCTAAAAGGATAAGTAGAGTAATAGGTACTTAGGTACCTCTAAGGCTATATCAGCACTTATAAGTTAAAGCTGTTTAGCACACATGTGCCTTCTCTAACATAGACACCATATTCTACCTAACTACTATCAATATCATTTCAAGCCCCAGCAGGTACCAGTATGAATTTCTTACTCTTCCAACTCCTACACCCACATAATCATCTTCATAGTTCAACTTGACCAGTCAGACTTTGCGCTGGCCATACCACCGCCATCTTCTACATCTTTCGAACGCCAAGGAGATCTAGCCATAAATCGTTGCTCTGTCACTGAACTTCAGGCCGCTGTAAGGAGGTTTGCCTCCTCCTTGGAAATGGTCATCTTCCTGGAACCCTAAGGGTTTTGATTTCCGTGCGCTTCAAATGTTCCTCCTTACGGTCTACCTTTTTTAGCTTGGGTTTTAGTACTAGTATTATTATCAAGGAATCAACCTTGGAAGATTTGCTATCAATACCAGATTGCTATTAGTGTTATTACCAAGTGTTCAATGTCACCTGGGCATGATTTATTGCACATGAACTCGTGTCATGGAACTGAATCTGTCGATTGACAAGAGGCCAGAGCTTAGATACAGATTGTTTGGGAACAATATACAAACCGCCACAGTGGTCCTGACCGTATATATTGGAACCAAACTGCAAGTGATCTAGAAATTTCGAGAACACAAGATAGAAATTCCCGAGACCAAGTAGAATGGAAATGAGATTGAGAGTGGGGGTTATAAAAATCGCTGTGTACCAGCCAGCTGGATTGCGAAATGAAGAGAAGAGAAAAAGAAAAAGAAAAGTAAACGCCGAAACCTCATGCAATCGGATCCAAACAAATGCTGATGGGAGATATGGACAGGTCGCTGGAAACATGCTAGGGTATACATAAGCCGAAAGGAGGCTAGTGAGCCGGAGTCTTTCGATGGAAGATCGTGAAAAGAGAACTGAATCGATGCCGACGCTTGCTTTTTCCTGGGTTGGAACTGAGGAGTTCGGGTTCTTTGAGATCTTCTGTGTCCCAAATCTGTCGATGGTCTGAGTATAAAGGAAGGGTCTGATGAGATTTGGCGTTTTCGGAAGTTGGTTTGGCTTTGGATCTGTTCTTGGGCTGTACAGGAGCATCTTGGGGCTCTACTGAATTTTGTCGCAAAGAAGCAGGTCGAGATACCACAATGTCGCGACCATTCTCCCCGGTGCCAGTGAACATACTGTGACGGTTGGGACGATTACTAGACGCTGAGGCATTTCGTTGCTTTGCACGCTCCATGAAAGTGGCACCTGTGGAGTTGGACCGTCTCGATAGACTTCCGAATGATTTAAGTCCATCAATAGGTGACATGGTGTTCGCGCGGCGCATACTAGACATTGACACAACACGTTTCCCATTACTGACAACATCTTTCAGTTCGTTCAACTCGTCGCGCTCAGGGCTATTGTTTTCACTCTTTGCGCCGATCGGAGTTCCGCATTTGGAGGAAGTAGGCGAGGCGACACTCTTGGTGGGAGATGCAATAGGGTCGCCATAGCTGAAGTTATCGGACCATCCCTCACGGAACGCAACCCAAATACCAGTCACAATAATCATCGTTCGGAGTTCATCGTCAAGAGTGTACACTTTTGCGTTTGCATTCGTATTCGTATATAGCTCCTCAGGGCCCTCGTTATCCGATAAATCACTGATCACAGACATCCCCGAGCTCGGGGTAGTGGGGCCGGTGTTGGATCTAGTGACAGCAGAGTATTCATCATACACCTCCAGCTGGTTACGCGTCAAGGATGCAATCACCGGATGTCGACGGGTATTGGGATCAATAACACTAAACGTGAATCGCTTGGTATCTTCGCGAGGTTCAGAGCTAGGTTGTGCTGAGTATCTGCGATTTCGGCCAGCGCGCAAAGCCCATCGCATGACCTTTATGCCATTGTCCGTGCGAGTCACAAATTCGTAAGAGCCGCTCGGAAGAGGTGTAGCTTCCCATACTGGTCCAAAATTCAAACAGATCTCCGCCTTTCCCTTCTGAAGCGCATCGCCCTGAAGTATTTGGCAAATGGTGGCCACTACTTCTCGTTGATCTTCATCATCATCATCTGCGTTTGTCGAGGTTTCCGGAATCTTCCCAACACGACGCTCGTATAGTTCACTCGTGACAATTATTAAATCGTTCGGGCCCAACCCATTCCTCCCTCGGAACACAGTCGGGAACTTGCGGGCCAATCGGGGCACGAATAGTGTCGACGGTAAGATATCCAGGATCGGTAGGGGACGGGGAGTGTGCGTCACTTGCTGGAGCTGAAGAAGTAGTTTCGGACGTAGTTTGAGTCGTTTATGACGAGCGTGTGCGGCTGGATGGGCAAGCTGATAGGAGGTTTTGGATCTGGAAGCTTTGCGGGTGGTGGCTGTGTTGGACCGGCCAACACGCGGTCTAGGGAGAGCAGACTCAGCCTCCTTTGATTTGAGAGTAGGGTTCATAGCCACACCCAGGATTGAGTCCGGAGAAGCAGTAAGAGCATCGAGCTGTTTAGATCTGTTATATAGAGAGCCCAAGAGTGGCAGAGTAGCTATGGAGAGAGCTGAACAATAAGATGGTGAAGATTGCGCGGGTGGCGTTTCTGGGTGGACGCTAGGATCGGTAGTATGAGCAGCTGCGGCATCCGCTGTAAGACCAAGATTCAGTAACATTCTTGGACTCTCAGCGGGTGCCCTGGAGAAAACCCGCGTTTATGATATATGACGCTTTGATATCCACCGAGGCATTCAATGGGGGCGTCCACGCGTTCAGTGCGGGGGAAAATAAGATGAGCAGGCTAGTTTGAGGCCAGGAAGTGGGGATGATGCCAGATTGGTATAAGTGGCACGTATGAAAGAAAAATGTGATATAGAAAAAGGATGACAAGGTTAAGAATAATCAGATATAGAAAAAAGAGAGGAAGAGGAGAAATAGAAAGGATAAAGGAAAATACTGCAAGGGGACGCAGGGGAAAAAAGGAAGCAATGTATAATGGAAGGAACCTGTAGGAACGATTTAATATTAATATTACTTTTCAAGTCTAGTGCTTCCAAGGTTAAAAACCATTGAAAACTAAGAAAAAATAAAATCACAAAATGATAATATTAAGCGGTCAGCCTTATACTGATCACAATGTGGATCAAATCTCTATTACGGCATCGGTCATTACGGTCTCCGACCACATCCGGTATCCGGTTCCATCAGGCAGGATTTCACTTCATTGATCTTGAGAGAGTGTGAGAGAGCTCTTCAAAAACAAGTTAACATGCTAGTTCATTACTACTCAGATGTTAATAGCTATTACTAATTTACATAATTCTGACTAAGCTATTTTATGGTATAATCCTGTCCTACATAGCCACAGTATGATCTCATTAGAAAGAAACCTAGAGGATACATACCCGTGGACATGAACTCTAGACCTCGGAGTATTCAACCAAGTGGGACTCATTTGTGCGGGACATGAGCACTGGAGTTATGGTGCGGACCGCCGAATTTTTCATACTTTGGATCCAGCTGTTTACTTGTCGCGGTATATACTCCATCAGGAGCCCCCGGGGCCGGAATACTTGAATCCCTCGGGAACACATGGAAGTATGGGGAGAATTCATCCTCCGTTTCGGAGGGTCGGAAAGATCTCCCATGAGTATATTTGCTTGTTTCATCCCGCTGAGCTAATGCTTTGAATCGGCGCCGACCAAAACAAAGGACTTCGGAGGCGGCACAAAATTTGGACTCCGGTGGGAATCGGACAGTTTTATGCGCCGCCCCACCATTCTAGTCCTTACTCATCGGAGAAGTTTAAATGCTCGGCTTTTGCAACTTGAAGTGTCCATGGAGTGCGGGATACTCCATAGATGAAAGCTCCGAGCAAAGAAAGTGCGAGTGCTCAAAGAAATCGTAAATCCCCGTAGATCGGCTTGTGGCTTCAATTTTGGGGGCCAACTAGAATTGCGTACGTAAATAGAGCACTTGAGAGCCGTCAACTTTTGGGGGCCATGACGATCATGATCAAGATCACACCGACCGCTCGCACAAAGACCTCGATTCAATTCAGCAGGGCTGAGAGGGAATTATCGCCATTGTCCGGTGGATATTAGCCAAATTCTGCTTGGCGGGTGACCAGATTGCCAAGAAGAGGGTCAGTTCCAATAATTTGCAAGTGGTTCCAGCTGCTCCCTGCCACCTTATGCATAGGATTCAAATGTTTGCCACCTTGAGCTGCAGGAAAAGTACTTACCTGTACAGAGTACATCAGGTAGAGGAGAGCATGTATATATGCAAAAAGCCGTCGATCATGAATCGCAGCTGATATGTAGTTAATTTGTGGCAAGATCGTGCTAGTGAAGCGAGGTAGATCTTGTAGCTCTACCTAGGTACTCTTATGCACAGGTGGAAGTCAAGCTTAGGTGAGAATTATGCATTTATGCTGACTCATTTTATGCACGGGACCTCGGGACCCGCCCGAAGTGTTTTGTCAACTTCGCCATGCCTCGGGTTCATTTGATCAATACCAACTTTGGTTTTGTTTTTTTGCGGTTTTTTTTTCCTTGGGGGGCTTTTTTGGCATAGTGGGTTTGCTAGTGGATCCGCTGAAGACTAGAACCTTTAAGATCGGTGCAGATTACTGATCGAATTCTATACTGAATCTTGAATTCGTGATGTCAACGGGAACCCCTGCCTTACTCCGGCTGGAAACTCCTATCCAGAGTTTGACAACTGCCTTCTGGTTATGGAAAACTCTCTTGTTTATAATTGTTGTTGCCTGTCCAGGACCAGGCTATGATACTTCCACTACTTTGATCCCATTTGACGGTGATGATGTCACCGCATTGCCATGGCCATTGAAACTGGCTCGATGGGATGCCATCTATTTCGTGCATACCGCGGAAAAGGGATACATCTACGAACAGGAATGGGCTTTTGGGTACCCTAGAGTACTTGGTTGGTTTGTTGCAGGTACATCTATCCTACACACACTGCAGAATGATACATTGCTGAACATCAATAGGACTAATCAAATCTTGCGGCCTAGGGGGGCCCTGTATCAACAGCCTTAATTGGGGTTGTATTGTCCCACGTCGCCCATTATCTGTCTGTTTTAGCACTCTTTGGACTTTCAGCCAATATCTTTGGTCACGCGACAGTCACGCAGCAATTGATTTGTTTTCTGTCAGCTGCTCTTCATATTATTTGTCCAGCAGGTGCTTTTCTCTCAGCGCCTTATGGCGAGTCGCTCTTCTCTTTCCTCAACATCCTGGGCTTCTACCTGTATTCGTCCTCATTGATCTCTGAATCTAAAGGTGCCTCGACTTTGCGAGACTTGCAAGTTCTGACTGCGGGAGGTCTGTTCGCTGTTGCAACAATCGTTCGCAGCAATGGACTCCTGAGTGGATTCCTATTTGCATATGATGCTATCTTTCTCGCGTGGATAACCTTAACACAAGGCCCGTCCCGTCACAGGAGCCGGCGACTAGCCGTTATCATAGCGGGTGGGAGCATTGTGGCACTTGGGGTTCTCGTGCCTCAAGTGATCGCTTACAAAACCTACTGCCTGACTGAGCTGGATCGGGAATGGTGTGGTTGGACACTACCAAATATCTATACTTGGGTTCAGAGTCACTATTGGTAAGCTAATTCCTTCTCCCCTCGCCTGATACTTGAAAAAAAAATTGGCCCCAAAACTGACGTGCTGCAGGAATGTGGGGTTTCTTCGCTATTGGACCATCTCCAATCTGCCTCTTTTTGTGCTCGCTACACCGATCCTCATAATCATGTGCAAATCATCGCTTTGGGCTCTTCGGGCGCCGTCTACCTTGCGTTCCGATGCGGGCAATCAGGCGCCGTCAATGCTTAGCCCGGGCTCCATGCTTCTCCGCCTTGCAGTGCCCCAGGGTCTATTAGCCGTTCTAGCCCTGACGAGTTATCATGTCCAAATTGTCAACCGAATCTCATCAGGATACCCCGTATGGTATTGGTATTTAGTCTCTGTTGGCATGGAATGTTTCCAAGATTCCCGCAAGAACTCCCGCAGCTTAGCGCTTGCCGCGCACCTGATGGTGGCCTATGCTTTGATCCAAGGAGTTCTATATGGTTCTTTCTTACCTCCGGCATAAAGTTTAATAATTATTATTCGAACCTCAAATGGACTCAAGATGTAGTTTCTCCGCTTTTAGATTGCGTACATTGTACCCCGGGCTACTACGGGCTACTAAGGGCTACTACGGGCTAGGTACTAAGCGCCGGTTGCGTAAGGGAGTGTCTGCCTAAGAACGTGTTGGGCTATTTAGCGACACAACACCCAGAAGTTTCTTGATAAATAGTACTCTATAATAATAATAAAAAAAAAGGAAAACTATTATAAGAGAATATTTTGAATCATATTTTATATAATAAGTCCAAATATCTCGAGTACTTTGAGGTTATCTTGTTTGGCCCCCAAATCTTCCATCTCTACCCAAAAAAAGAGCTACTGGGCCAAAGCTCGACTTTACGGTGGAATTATGTCATCAGCCTGAGAGGGCAACTCTCCTTTGAATTCATCTGCACTTCCATATCTCTACGTGAAGAGAAACTCCCATCCATCTGTTACTTTCTTTTTGGATTTCTCCTTGAAGCTTTTCACTCGAGTTAAGCTTAGGTTGCTGATTTCCACGCCACCTCATGAGAACCCGTGTGCGACGGACATCCACCGGCTTCAAACTCCTACGTCTTTAGGAAACTATCAGTTCCATGGTAAATGTATAGAAATTCCTCTCCAGTTTGATTGTCAAGAAAAATGAAAATTTCAATACCTCTAAATCGAAGCTATTTGGTATCTTGAGAATGTTCCTAAGTCGCTAATGTATCGAACTTTAGTTGGATTAGAGTCCTGTCTGACGTCTTCGCCAACTCCTCCATCCGGCCCCATCTCCACCTTGGTGCTGCTCCTCATCCCACCTTCCACCTCCTCCCTCATAGGCGATTATGGACGCCCCAACCCCCAAGGCGATTCTCACATCCGACAATTTCGCCCATGCACAAGAGATCTCACGGGCCACCTCTCCAGGTGGTGAGCCCGCCGCGTTAAACGGCGACGGTGAACCGAAAGCCCGCGTCCGACCGCGCACCTATCCATACTTCTCATACCTCCCATACCAATTAGAAGATGAAACAGAGCGGGATCGGACTCTCCGAGAGATCCTGAAACACCTGTATGTCTCAGTAGAAGCGGGGGATTTCAGCCCCGGAGCTGTGCACTGGACACGCGAGCTCAGAGGATGGCTCTCGTTGAAATTTGATCCGACCCGAACGGAACGGATCAGTCTTGTGAAGCTGTATTATGAACTCGCGTTGGCGCCAGGCATCGATCCAAATGTCGCGGAGCGATTTGCAAGCATGTTTATGCTTCTTACCAAGTGAGCTAGACCTTAAGCCAAGAAATGTCTACGTGACAATAAACCCATGAAAACTAACTACAATACACAGGCGTAAGCACTATTTGAGACCTGTAAAAGATCTTACCTTGGATTGGAAGCCTCTGTACAAGGAAGTTAAGGCATTCGTTCTACCGACTGAGTCCGGTCTGGTCCACTCCACCAACCTCAAGCGCAATGTGAAGACACTGACCAAGCTTTGCGCTTTTGCTCAACTTTTCATCGACCCTTGCGAGCTGCCTGCAATGTTGGAAGAGTTCCTCCCACACTACACCACTTCTTTTTCCGAAGGTGCCTTTGTGGTTGCTGGTTTAATCAATTTGATGCTGCCAACATCGCCTCCTCCTGCTAACCGCGGTGATCTACTGCCCCAGAACTATCTACCAACACACTTTCATCTGTGGTCTTTGGTCGGTCGTTCAAAAACCTTCGACGCAACATACCTGGACTATCTCTCGCGATTGGCTCGGGATTCACTGCCAGCTGGTCACATCCCATTCTCGGAGCATGGTATCTTCACAAATGAACAGTCCGGCCTTATCTTTACCGGCGTTCTCAGACTGCTAGAGATTCCTGTAGGACAATCGACTTCACCATACAGTGCACTAGTCGATATCTCTTCTGGTCTAGGAATCATGCTTGATCGCGATACGCGCAAGCACCCTGTGGCGCATCACATTGCTCGTTGGATCGTGATGTCTCTCTCACCCGCATGTCTCGAGTCGGAGGACTCGATTCTGAGCCAGCTGGAAGGTCTTATCCAAGCTGTCGAGACATTCTTCCATCCTTCAAACTCTGGAAGCTGGACAAAGACCCTCTCGCAGCTCGTGTACTACCTAACAGATTTCTTCGTGATGCGTTGGAACCGAGAGCAGAGTGGAGAGATGGAGGTTCCAGTTGAGCGTCGACTGACCGAGCCACTGAAACGTCGCTTCGTTCTGTGCCTCCGGGACGTAATCTTCATGGGTATCTACGCCAAAAGCAGCACTGCCATGACCTTCTCCTTATCTACCCTTCAAGGACTTGCATACCTTGAGCCACACCTCATTCTTCCTGGCGCTTTACAGAGAATCTATCCCTCTTTGCAAGGCCTTGTGGAAGTTCACCGAACCACTTCCTCTCTACGCGCCATGCAAGTATTGTCTCGGATTATTACTCGAACAAGAGGATACCGTTGCCACATGACCACTCTCCTCGGCCTGGCTCTGCCCGGTATCGATGCTAATGATCTCGAGAAATCCCTTCATGCTCTTTCATTCATTCAATCCGCGTGCTACAATATCCCTATGGTCGATATGACCAAGGGCAGAGAAGACGTTAATTGTAATATGTTGGCCATGCAATGGATTAGTGGTGAGATGGAGCGAATGGAGGAACAGGGATCTGATGTCCAATTGAATTATGACACAGAATTGGACGATGAGACGGAGGAGATGATTCTCCGCTCCTCGACCTGTGGTTTTGGTGACTTCACTATCTCCTTCCTCGGTCGTGTTTTCACCTTGTTGGAAAATCTGCCTGATGTGACCAGAGTGCGTAATGGTTCACCGGAGGAGAATATCGTCAACACTCTCCCTGCTACTTTTATGCCTCTCCTAGCATCTTTGTCCCCGGAGTATTACGATATTGCACTGGGAAAGATTGTTGATTTTGTGTCGAATCATGTCATTCACCAAGCACGAGATGCCATGGCATTCATTTGCAATGCTCTCTGCAAGGTGAACCCTGAAAAGGCACTCAAGCGCTTCATTCCTGTTCTGACTCAAGCCATTCGCACCGAAATCGAAGAAAATGGTGCTGGTTCAACTCGAACTACCGGTACTGACGTTCTCCCTCGTGACCGGGGATTGGTTTGGAACGTCAGCATGTTGAGCATGTGCGTGGTCCATGTCGGCGATTCTGTTCTTGCTCATCGACAAGAACTGTTCGACATTGCAGTTTACATGCAAAAGATGTGCCGAGGAATCCCGACCGTGCACATCTCAAATTACATTCACCACCTCTTGCTCAATCTTACTGGCACATACACTAGGGACTATTCCATGTACGAGCCAACCGATGTCGAGGGAGCCCCCGGTCCCAATCACTGGAGCTACAAAGCCGATGTAAATCAGCTGAACATTCATTGGCATGTGCCAAAGAGAGAGGAGCTAGAATTTGCGGTCGAGGTTTTCAAAGACCAGGCTGGAAGCGCTCTGAAACATTTGTCTGGCTTAACGAATGAGACATCCAGTATCAAGCGTGACGGCAGTGGCAAGGAGTGGTCAGATGAAGTCACTCGTAACCTTGTGCTTTTGCGACTTCTCCTGTCCGGCATATCGGTACTCTTCGATCCAAAGGCAGCGTCGAAGTCCTCGCCAGAGTACTCGAATGGTGACTCTGCTGGCTCCAAAGAGTTTGAGATGGCCGATGATTCGGCCATGAATGGTGAAGGCGACGATGAGTCTGAATCTTTCCTTGATAGTTCAGACGATGCAGCTGTTAAGGAAAGCTTCTCATATCCCACCGGATATCCTCTTGAGGAAGGGGACGTCCTTTTCAACACTATTCATGAAATTCGTGAGCAAGCTGGTTGGGTCTTGCATCTGGTGCACCGGTTCCTGTCTGATAAGCAAGAGGATGATGTGCCATGCTTTGGAGCCCTATACTCTGCATTCCGCTCTTGGTTTGTGGATGTCGGTATTGAAAGATCCGCTCACGTCCTTGATCGCGTGACACGACTCCTAGCTGCGGATATTCACCCATACAAGATGAGTGGTATCAGGAAGGACTACCCAAGAGCACTGCTAGTACGTAGAGCCAACGTCTACCACCTGCAACGTCTCCGGCACAATGCCGCTCCCCGGTCACGATCCAAGCTCGATGAACTTCTTCTCTTTGATCTTGCTGAGTCATGTGTGTCCCTTTACACCGAGACACGCCGCAATGCGCAAAATGCTAGCGAGTCAGCCCTCAAGTGCGTATGGGGCGGACGCACTCTCATAATTCCCCCTCTTCTCAAGGCGCTGCAGACTGGTGTCAGAGAGAACGATTATGCACGTATCAAGGGAGCCTTGTTCTCACTGCTGTTGAGCAGCGTTGCAAAGACAGCTGGTCGGAACTGGAAATACACACCCGCTTTGATCAGAACTTTCCTTGACGCCAGCGCAGTCGATAAGCCATCTGTGCAAAAGATCTGTTCCAGTGCCATTTTCCAAATCATGGACTATGGCCGATCCATGGAGCGGATGGCTATCTTAGATCAGAGCATTGTGGAGGCGATTGCGCCAAGCAGCGATGTCACTGAAGATATTGAGCAAAAGCGTGTAGCCATCAACAATAGACGTGCCAAGATCGAGAAGAAGAAGTCTGAGTTGGCCGAAGAGCTGGTCGACTTGGCTCGAATCTCTCATTGGAAGATTGCGAGCCGTGCCGCGACTATTGTTGTCACCATGGGTCTGCGGTTCGATTATGTCGCCAGCGAAAACTTGATCAACTTGGTGACTCAGGGTGCCATTGATGATCATCCTGGTCTCCGTGGAATGTATTCGCAGGCACTCATTGCGCTTTTCACTATGATCGACGTTCGTGCTATTTGCAGCCATGAGTACAGGAATTACATCCTTGGGCACCAGCGCTTCCCTGCAAAGATCAAGGTAGCAACTAACCCATATGAGAAGGATTGGACCCAGGAGTACTTGTCCAGCTTTGCTAAGCCTGAAGCCGAATACTACATTGATCATGATTTCCCCGGTTGGTTAGTATGGGGCAAGACAATGCCTGCATACAAGTCGAATGTGCAACGAGACATTGAGTATGATGACGTGGAGTGGAAAGTACGAACTCATATTGGTAAATTGTTCACTCGTGAGTGGTTCGCCAAGTTCTTCATCTACTTGAAGCAGGAGCCCAGAGATCCCTCTGCGGATAAATTCCGCATGTCTTCCGCTATGATGCTTCTCTACGCCTTTGAACTCATGCTTCGAGACGGTCTTACCACTGCTACCTTCAAGGACATTCAAGAAGAGATTCAAAATGTTTTCGAGGATGGTAGCGATAAGCACCAGCACCGTGCCACTGCAGAGATTCTTGGAGGTTTGATCAGTTCTGTGACAGACGGCAGTGTGGAGAAGCGCACCCAGGTCTGGGAATACGCTTTCCCCATTGTGCGAAAGATCTTCACAGATGGTCTTACTCCTGAAAATTCAGGATACTGGACTACCTTCCTTCACATGATCCTCCAATGCCGCGATCCTCGACGTGCCTGGCCTCTAGTAGATTGGCTGGCCAGCTTCCGCTTAGATATGACGACAAACGCCGCTTTCAAGGAGAGCTCCAAGATCAACCTCTTGCACCAGTGCATCATTGACGCCGGCTGGCACTTCCAGCTTGATAAGCCAATTGTCGAGGACTTCTTAGGACATCTGGATCACCCGTACAAGGGTGTGCGAGAAGCTATGGGACAAACCTTAGCTACTATCCACCGTACAAGATACCACGAGTCATACCCAGATCTCCAACATCTGCTTGACGCTCAGAAGGCAGCATCGTCTGTCGGTACCTACCCGTACCGTCCCACTGAAGAGTTCTCCAAGATGGTCCGTAGCGTCTTTGCTCGCATTGAAGCGTGGCGGCATGAGCGAACTCCTGGTCAACAGACACCATCTTCCTACACATCTGGTAGTAAGACCGTGCTGCTCTGGTTGGACTCCACATTGTCTTCTCACGAGTGCACCCAGCTAGTTCCATTCTTCCCTGATGTGTTTACCGCGCAGCTTCTGCATATGATGGATGTCAAGGAAGATCCTGAACTGCAGTCTCTCGCATACCACGTTTTCCGCCATCTCCCTAACATCCCCTACCCTGCCGAGAAGAGTTCTGAATTCATCCAGTCTCTCATCCGCATCGGTCAAACCTCCCCCTCGTGGCATCAGCGTCTACGTGTCATGATCAACATTCAGATCATCTACTTCCGCCGACTTTTCCTCCTCGTCTCTGCCGATCGCGATAAGCTCTTCGAGTGTATCGCATCTATGCTGGAGGACTCCCAGCACGAAGTGCGCGCTGGTGCATCAGCAACTTTATCCGGTATGATCCGATGCTCTCCCGTGTATCTTCGGGACAAGATGGTGCACCGCTTCCAGGAGCGATTCACCAAGCTTCTCGCAGACAACCCTCTGCCTAAGAAACCTAAGAACTTCCGCTCCGGACTCTCCTCTGCTGTTTCTTCAGGCGCAGGTACTCCTACACCCGAACACAACCGTCTCGTCATTGTTCGACACGGTGCTGTTCTAGGTCTCGGGGCTCTTATCCAGGCCTTCCCTTACAACAGTCCTCCACCACACTGGATGCCCGAGGCATTGACTACACTCAGTATTCGCGCTGCTCATGATCCCGGCGTTGTTGGCTCTAGCGTGAAGTCGATTATAAGTGAATTCAAAAAGACCCGACAGGATACCTGGCACATTGATGCAAAGGTGAGTGCTTACATAAGTTTCCATATATTTGACAGCTACTAATATTTTTTGTTTCTATAGGCTTTTACTGCAGACCAATTGGAAGATCTATCTGGTGTTTTGTGGAAGAGTTACTTCGCGTAAAACATGTGTCCGAATGTGCTGGCCAGAGCTGAATGATGTTGTATTGGGATATGTCTTTCTTCTGTATCTTGTACCTTGGTGTGTGTGACTCCATTTCTATCTGGTCGAATCTACCCGAGTCGGTGTTTTGATTCCGAGCGTCTTTTCCGTCTTCGTGTCCATGTTTGTGTTGTACATACCTGGATCGAGTCTCTTAAAATAAATTAATTTTCATTCGATTCAATTTTGTGCATCCTAGATTGATTAGATCAGAAAACCTCGACTCGGCGTAGCTTTATAAATACTAAGATTTGACAACTTGAACGCTCGAGTCCAATCTGAAGCTATCCATCTTATAGACCTCTTTTTATACTTGGGGCAACTGGGTGCAGTGGTTTTTTGAGTCTCCTCACTGTCTGGCAGAGTACACAAGAAGGCAGAACCAGCCTATATATAGCTTAGACATAGATTTATGAATAGACTAGATTTTTCTTTTGTTTATTACATCCAAACATTAATACATCCCTCGTCATTTAGGATATCTCTCCCTTTAGATATATGTAGGGTTACCAGTTGCCTATATCCAACTATATAGCAGCTACCTAGCCTTTCTCCTCTAGGTAATTATATAGGTAACCCAGTAGGTAACCCCGTAGGTACTTACATACAAAGATGTATAGGTCATCACTCACCTGGATGTGCTACTAACTCGGACTGAGCCCTGTACTTAAGTATGCCAATGTAAACATCCCTGTCTGAGAGGATGTAGACACATCTAGTCAAACACTTGGGTGCTAAGGACATACCTTGCCCAATTTCAAATGTTCGCTGCTTCACTAGCAGTGCAGCAGGTAGTGCCAGTGACTCGGACACAGATAGTATTAACTTGTAATTAATAGCTACTAGGCACACAATTAGTAATAAGAAGAGTGCATATAATGAACCGGATCATATAACATTTGAATGTCAGAAATTTGCCAGTGCCAGTGTATACTAGTCGTATGATCCACGATATTAGTCTGAAACTCAGCTCTGATATTCACCATACTACCATGCTACACATTCCAGGTGCCTCCACCTTGACTTCAATTTACTTTTTGAATTCCATTTCCATTTCTATAGCCATTGATGCCTATTTATGTTCTCGATTCTCATTATTATCTACACTATCTGGCTGCATACCCAAAATACCTCACGTTTCACCACACCATGGGGGCCTGTCACACACCAGGTAACCTCTGAACCTTCTAAGATTCAACTCATACAGTAAGCAGAGACATTGACTAGTTCAGTGTATCCAATTTAGAAGATTAGACAGACTCAACTCCAAAATAGACAAGAGTTGAATGAATCCGTCCCACATGAACTGAGACTTATAGTAGCCTGGAGAGTAGTACCTCCCGAATTTGGGTTCGGCAGTCAACTCAGCGTAGTGATGACATCTTAACCACAAGACTCGGATTGTGTCCCTACCTGTCACTTCAACAGGGTTCCTGGTACCTAGATCTTGTTGACATTACACTCATTCAAATCCGCAATTCAGCTTCAGCTTGTTTGGGGATCACTCACTTTCCTTTTTTGCTTTGACACTCCTCGGCGTCACTGTCAACAATATCAACATCCTGACCATGATCTAGGAAGCCATTCATTCATTCCTTTCTTTCTTTCATCATGGCCAAGATCTTGACAATGCCCAGAAAGGGTCCAGTCGTGTTTAAGACCCGGTACCCGCTTACGACACGCAGATCAATGTGGCTACAATGGGTTGGCTGGCTGGTCTTCTTGATTACGGTTATTGAGACATACGCTTCGCTCGCTGCTCATCCTGAGATATCTCTATTCCGATGGATGCGTCAATCAAATCAACCCGCCGTCCTTCGTCCTGGCCAGTATCGCGAATCGTCATCTTACCAATTCGTTCTTGACAGTCTTGATGGCGAGAGTGAAGGAGATGAGATGGGCCATGTTCACGATCTGAGGTTTGTTAATTCCAGATAACCTCATTCCTCATCATATTCTGAGCCATTGTTACTAATCATTTATTGTGCTGTATAGAAACGATCGGTTCTATCGAGGTGGAACCATGACCCTAACTAGTGATCGCTCCACTGACCCTAACCCGCCCCACCCGATCCCCTCGATCTACGATCCCTACCCATCATACAACAGCAGAAGCTGGCGCCGGAAATACCATGGTCACTTCGAGCCCTGTCTCGGCCCTCGCGGTCGTGATCTCGATCGAACCCGGCCAGAAGATATGGTCATGGTATACAAGGGCAAGCAAGTCGGATTTCCAGCAAACAGTTTTGGCTCATACGAAGCAATGGGACTGGATGGAGACGTATGTACGGATCGATACTCTCGTTTCGGAGCATATGGCTATGACCAAGAACATTTCTACGATGTTCCAGGATTCACACGACCAGAGCCCGTGGATTGGTCTGCAGTTGACTGGTATGACTTACAAAAGATCTGCTATGAAAGGAATGCAGATCGATATCAAGTTCTTCCAGTGATGAATGATTCATATCATCGACCCTTGTCATTTGATTTGAGGGAGCCACCGAGGAAAATTTCCAGCCCGGATATCCCGCTCAGTCATTCGAAGCAGAAACAGTATCATCCACGATCTGCTGTTCTTATTCGGGCGTGGAATTCGATGACTTGGACGACCAACCACTGCGAATACCTCCGAGCATTAATCATGGAGTTGTCACTGCACTCTGGGGCTGAGTATGAAGTGTTTATCTTGGTTCATGTCAAGGATGACGATCTTCCAATCTTCTCGGATCGGAAAACAATGGAAGAGCTACGAAGGACGATTCCAGAGGAGTTTCGAAATATGGCACTATTCTTCAACAATAAGTTGCTCGAGGCATGGTATCCCAAGATTGAGGAGCATACGTAGGGGCCACTAAATTATCTCTAGACTTCAACTTGAACCCCAGCTAACATATATTTCTCCAGTCCCGTCCTACAACACCTCCAGCCTGTCCAGATCTTCGCTCAGATGTACCCTAATTTTGAGTACTATTGGCAACTCGAAATGGATGGTCGACACACCGGAAACGTGTACCATTTCCTCGATAGGTCCATCAACTTCGCCAGGGAACAACCACGGAAATACCTCTGGGAACGAAACTCTTTCTTCTACACCCCCGGTGCCCACGGTCCGTGGGAAAACTTCACAGCTTTGATTGACGAGCGTCTCGCCGATAAGCCCGGCTCCACAATCTGGGGCCCCGTCTTCGGTACTGGAATCCGAGCTCTAGGTCCAGAACCACCAGTCGATCGACCAGAGATGGATAACTACACCTGGGGCGTTGGTGAAGAAGCCGATTTCATCAGCTTCCTCCCAATTTTCAGTACCAAAGACACGACCTGGACATTCCCCGACAAAGTATGGAACTTCAGATACGGACTCGAGACTCCACGACGGGCAGCTGTTATCACAATGGGCCGATACTCGCGCCGTCTCCTTGAATTAATTCATCACGCACAGGCCTCTCGCGGTTTAGGACTTGCGTCGGAGATGACAGGTGCATCGTGGTCTATGTATCACGGTCTCAAAGCTGTTCATATCCCGCATCCCATTTACGCGGATGGACTCTGGACGCCTCGGGAGTTAGCTCGAATTTACAATCGTGGCTCAACAGAGAATAATAATGGGGGTCCGGATAGTATCTGGAACTGGGATCATTTGCACGATCATATCATGTATCGACTTTCGTACATGTTTACCACTCACACTGCAGAGGATTTGTATCGGCGTTGGTTAGGTTATCGGACTGCGGAGAAAGAAGGGGGCAAGGCGGTATGTGAGAATTTAAATCTGTTGAAGTTTGCTTTGCAACTGGGCAGATTATACTGACTGTTCTATCTTCTAGACAACTGAGACTCTCTATGGTCGACACTGCTACCCATCAATGTTTCTGCATACAATTAAGAATACGGAACTAGCGTTTGGTCCAGATCGGGCTGTGCCCTAGATATCCAGTATTGGGTGGATGGAGTTGGGATTTCAAGTTCTCATTAATAATTCTTTTTTCTGATCCTCATTTCTTAATCTGATCATTATGATCTGTATCAATTGTATCTATACCCAGCGTCTGGTTCAAGTTTAATCAACTAATACTTCCAAGGTTTGAGTCTTAAAGCTACACAGAATATTGGTTATATCAGCACCCTGTTCATCGGGAGAATTATGCTTATAAGCTGGAAGAAAGAAGTTTGCTTTCAAGAGACCATATATTTGATCTAGATTCTACGCCATATTGACGTGGAATGGCATAAAAATAGTAGGTAACCGCAAATTCGCCACGGACGATCATCGCTGAAACAAGGGGAATTGGAGAAAGCTAAGGATATTCAAGACGGTGTTTCATGTGAGAGCCGTAGTCACGGATGACGAAATGAAGCGGAGACGCAGGAAAGACTTGGGGATTAGGTAAAAGGATATCATCAGGGACGATCAAAGGAGGGGAAATTAGGTTGGTTGTGGATGTATGCAAGATCCCCAAAAGGCTTCTTCGAAGGCTCAAATGCAGTTGTTTGCAAGAATTGTTGAGGACGCTCAGCGCAAGTGAATCAAAGATGTCAAGCGTAATTTGTGTGAGGTTTTGTGAAGACGAGAAATATAATGTTAAGGGAGAAGAGAACTTCACAAGCTTTCGAAGAATGGGCATGCTTCGATGATATCTTCATCATCATTGGCAAAGTCCCAACCCACTATACGTGGGTCTACACTCGCGCAGACAATCTTACGGGAGTCAAATTGAACTTTGAATACCCTTGAAGTTGGCACAGCGGGTTGAGCAACGCGGGGACGTTGGTGGTGGTGGTGATGATGATGGGGAACCAACTGCTGGGCAGCTTGCATTTGCGCATCGGCTAGCTGCTGTTGCTGCTGTTGCTGATGCTGAATCGTATTTCTATCGGCTTGGGGAGTTGCTTGACCATTTGTTTGATGCGGCTGACCTACGTCACCGGCCTGAGCAGGTCCAGGAACTTGGTTATTGTGGAAATGATTTGCCAGCACGTCGTTCATACCCTCAGTTTCGGATTCTCTCTCGCTTCTTGTCGAAGAGGAAGCTGGAACTGGAGTCAAAGATGGTCCGGCTGCTGGACCTGGGCCTGGACCCAGGTTGCCTGAAGCTTGGGCGTGTAGCTGACGTGCTTGTGCAGATACAGCAGCTCTTGCCATCGGTGTGAGAGTGTCAGCAGATGCATTAGCTATGGCGTCGGCTTGGCGCAATCGATGGTTTATAGACCAAACTCCATCATGATCCTTGTGCCAAATCAAGATAGATTCATCGTATGAGCCGGAGACAATACGGCCCCAAACACTGCCTCCACCCCCTGGTGGAATCTTTGCCCCCAGAGCTGAAATATCTCGAGGGTCCCGCGATCCGGCGGTGTTCGACGTATACCCGGCACGTCGGAGGGCTCGTCGACCCAGATCAACAGGAGCTCCTTCTTGCTGTGCCTTCCAAAAAGCATTCTCCACCTCTAAGGCTTCCCGGCGCAAGTCCTCATCAGCACCTGGAGGGTCGCCAAATCCAGCCTGGACTGTCCGGACAAGGTTCTGGTGTCCCCGAAGCACTGCGACTTCGGCGCCGGAAATGTGGTCGTAGATTCGTACGGTGTTGTCATTGCTTCCGCTGATGATTCGCCGACTGTCAAATTGCACACAAGCGATGCCCTTTTCATGGCCCATCAAAGTCTTCAAGCAAGAACCGGTGCGCACATTCCATACCTTGATCATACGATCCCCCGAAGCTGTGACAATCTCGTTGCCATGGAGCTGCATGGCATTCACTGCTGCGCCGTGTCCTTCGATTCCCATAAGAAGAGAGTATGGCGCGAGAGAATTGAACTTGCTGTTAGCCAGCCCGGCTTCCAGCATACTCGGTGCTACCTCGTTGAGATCAATAATGTGTGAAGGGAAATTAGCACTGCCGCCTTTGCAAATACGGGGATAGTCATCATCGGTCACCGATAGCTCCTTGCGATTCCAGACCTTAACCGTTCGGTCCTTTGAACAGGTCACGAGATACCGATGGTCAAATTTGAGGTTTAGAACGGAATCAGTGTGCGCTTCGGAGATGCGATGGATCTTTTGACCAGTAGAGAATTTCCAGACAATCACGGAGCGATCACTACTGCCCGAGATGATGACGTCCTGCTCAGGGCTCGGGTCAAACTGGAGGCATAAAACTGACTTTTCATGACCAACCAATGGCCTATGCCACAATCGCTTGGTTTTCAGATCCCAGACTCGTAGTGTCCTGTCTCTGCTGCCACTGACTAGCCATTTGCCTTGGAATTGGATAGCGTACACACATTCTCGATGGGCCTCTTCCGGGTGCATTGGGTGGGGCAACTGGAAGTTCTTGAAGCGGCCTTGGTGCCAATTTGCTTCAAGGCGGCGACGCTGCTTATACAAGTACGCCCAGTTGATCTTGGATGTTCCGTTAGGGCGGCGAACAAGAAGTGATGGTTGGAGTGGTGGCTGGAGCAATGAGGGAGGCTGAGGGATTGAGGCGGGTTGTAGGATGTTCAAGTCGGCTGGTGGTGACATATGAGTGCCGTTCACATCGGCCATGTGGTGGTCACCCTCGTTGTCTGGTTCAGGATGCGCTTGACCATTGGGTCTGATCACACTCTGCCCCTCAGTACTTCGCGAAGTCAGCCATGTTGGTGGAACACGCTTCTTGTGTTTTGGTTCTCCGATGTCTGATTCTGAATGAAGTGGGCGTGATCTGCGTGTTTGAGGAGATAATGGCTCTGGATGTTCCTGTTCGAAATTCCGGATCGCGCCCAAGTCCGCACGCCAACCTTCGTTGATATATAGTACCTTCCACAAACCAGAATCGAGGATTCGAGTGCGCCAGGAACGGGAAGCAAGAGTGGCATTAAGGAGGGTGGCGGCATCGAGATAGGAAAAGATCTCGAACGTTAACTCCGGAGGTAGCTTGAAGACCGGATCCATATGGAGCAGTGGGTTTATGCGCTCCACCACTCCGGCGAGAGTTGATGTTGAAAGCGATCGTAGTAGACTGAATGCAAGTTCTGTATTCAAGAAGAATATATAAGCGAATGAATGGGGCCAAGGAGTCTGGGGAGGTTGAATGTGAACCCAGCCTCAACATTTAACGGCAGGGGAATTACTTACCTGCTCTGTCAGATTCACTCTGGGCCAGAACCCAATCTGGAAGCATCATGACATTTTCCGTCGCCACCAGCTCTTTGTCTGATTGGCTTCGGGTTTCGTCTGAGTAGCCTTCATCTACCTTGAATGATGGGGAAAGGGTAGAAGAAGTACTGAAAGTCGAGAAAGAGGTTTCTTGGAGGCGAATGGTTGAATGGGTAAGGGGATGCGTAAGGGAATCGGACACCTGCTCTGCCTCCATGAGTGCTATAGAGAGGACTTCAAGAGCAACGTGCTTGAGCTAGTGTGATGACCGATAGTGGTTTGAGGCTCTCGGGGGAGGGTTCAGGATCTCCGAGGTCCCAGAATGTGGGAGTTTTCGTGCAGCCCTAATAGGGGGGAACTTGTCACAGCCACTGAGAAATGATAAATGGAACCTTTATTGAAGTATAGGCGTTTATGCTTTCGCTGAGGGATGATCCCTCCTGCAGTGAGCAAAAAGCTGAGTGATTGAAGGCAACTTGAGCACCGTGCTGCATGTCACGTCACGGAGGTGCGGGATCCACTTCGAAAAGAAAGTGATAGATCGGGTGGGGAGAGAATGAACAGATCAGAAAGTGCGAACTAGGGAGTACTAATGTGAAGTCCACAACCTTGGAACAGAGTAGACCAGCAAAATTAAATAAAAAAAAAATTCCCAAGAATGGAATCTCAGGCAGTTATTGTCTTGGAAGAGAATGGAGAATGAAGATGCCATCAACAAACAGCCATGGAATGGTGGATTCACTGGTGATCACGTGATGGGCTGAAGTATGGGCATACCTAAAGACGGCAACTCAAGTGCTTTGATCCATAATGAGCTGAAGAGGTGATCTAAAGACTACAGAGAGTATGTAAAAAAGTGATTCTACGCTCTATACAAGGTGGAAAAGTTACTGTGAGTCCTTATGGATACTTACTAGGTACTTAGTATACACGCCATAAACTCACTACTGCAAGGTGATAGTTCCAGCAGATATTATGTATGAGATATATAGGGGGGTCACATTTTGGCGCTGTGCAGATAAAAGTACATTATAGCGCTCTGATCTTTCCCATGAAAATCTAAATATTAGATTGATAGATAGTATTAGAAGAATCCCATCATTTTTGATCCAAATAAATCTATTATTTTCATCTGATTCTCCTCTTTCTATTAACACCAAGTATATAAAAACCTCGTCTCAAGTTAAATAAGGACTCGTGCCCCTCTCCACATCCCACCGCCCGATGGAACACACGCTAAACCCTATTAGGTAACTGAACAGCCCTCTCCTTCCGCTCCCTCTTCTCCTTTCCTTCTTTTCAATCATCGCTGCCCCTCTATTTTGAGTCTTTTGGCCTTGATCTAAGTACCTAGTGTACTTATGCACTTTGTTGGAAGTTGAAACTTCCTATTCCCTTCCCTGCTCTTCCCACCTCAAAGTCCTAGTGACCAGAAACCTTATCGACAAGGGGGGTTTCGAAAACCCGCTCTTTATTCCGTCGCTGTCTGCCCGGTCGCAGCATTTATTTCAGACTCGGAGAAGAAAAACAAGAGGAGGGAAAATAAATCGATTCTGTGCACCGATAGATTCGTTTTGCGCAGACTGTGATCAAATTATCTCTTGTCCTCTCAGAATCCTTGGTCACCGCCCCTCGGACGAAACCTGGGAAGTGGCGGCGCGTCCCCGTAATATTCGGAGTTCGGTTGATATACATCCTTGTCACCGGGATTTCTTAGCGGGCTTGCTTCCTCAGCTCATACACTCTTAGCGACTCCGCCCACTCGTGGTGACACATAGGTGACACCTTACCCATTTATCGGAATTTCATCGAACGTTCTTCCCCATCTTCTTTACGCGCCGTGATTCCGCATCTTCAGACCCAACCTTATCGCGGGAATTATCCCATGATCGGCATCCCGTCGGCTCGACGCTCGTCGCTCTCTTCGATCATATCCTTATTATCCCCTGTCTGCTGTGCGGATTTCAACTGAGCCTGGCTGGCCTGACTCATATAAGTTGGTCGAGGTAACCAAACATGATTGACACCGCCATGATGAGCGGCATCCCGGTTGCCGAGGATAACATCATCAACCGGCGTGGTGGTGAATCGATCTATCAAAGTTGCGTCAACTTGAAAAGGCGACTCTCTGAAGTACCGACCTTTGAACCGTACCTAGAAAAGATGGACGAAGAAGATCGCGAACGTGGAAATACCGACCCGGTGGCGGCACTATGGGGATGTCTTCGTGATGGCTATCCTTTACTCAGCATCTACAATGCGTCTGGTCCAGATGAGCCATTACTTGTTGACCCGGCCAAAGTGCCAGAGGCTAAGCGACCCAAAGCCGCTACATTCAAATTTCTGCAGGCATGCTTACAGGACCTGGCATTTCCCCAGCAGGATTGCTTCTTGATCACCGATCTGTATGGCGAGAGCACAACCGGTTTCATCAAAGTGATCAAGATGGTAAATCGTGTTGTTGATATTCTCGAAATGCAAGGACAACTCAAGCGACCATCCGTGGCTGATGTGCCAGCACATGTGCAGGGCGCTGTAAAGCTTACCAAGCGCGAGCACATTTTGAAGGAGCTCTTGGAAACAGAGCGCGATTATGTTCACCATTTGCAAAACCTTCAAGCACTTAAGAAGGAATTGGAGGAGACGGGCGCCCTGACGGGTGACGCAAGCCACCAGATCTTCTTGAACCTCAACAACCTCTTGGATTTCGCTCAACGATTCTTAATCCGAATGGAACAGCATTATGCTCTCCCTGAGGAAATGCAAAACTGGGGTGTTCTTTTCTCATCTCATCAAGAAGCCTTTCGACAGTATGAACCTTTCATCGCCAATCAAATGCGTTGCGACGAGGTTTGCATGAAGGAGTGGGATAAGATCAAGGATGCGCCTCGTCAATCTGATCTCCAACAGATGGTTGCTCAGGCCAAAACGCTGAATGGATTCTTTGTCAAGCCTTTCCAACGGTTGACCAGATACCCGCTCATGTTATCGGTAAATCGAACACCGCTTTCCCAGCTTGGGAGTGTTTCATATTCAGCTAACATCTCATGATATTTTACAGGAACTGCGCAAACAATTAGAAGACGAGCAACTCCAGGCTGATATCACAGCTGCAATTGATTCCATCCAAAACACTCTTGACGCTGCAAATGAAGCCATTAACAAGGAGCACCTGGCTGCGGCAGTAGTCGACCTAGCCGAACGAGTCGATGATTGGAAAACCTTGAAAATGGAGTCCTTTGGCGAACTGCTTCGCTTCGGTACATTTTCGGTCGTCAAGGGAGATAGTGGCAAGGACGCCGAGAGAGATGTGCGACCTCACCAATCAATGCGTTCTATTTTGCATTCCATCTTCAAGAAAATATTTGCTGACTCGAAGTTCTTTAGTATCACATTTTCCTCTTCGAGCGCATTCTTCTCTGCTGCAAAGATATCAACCCGAATAAACAGAAAACCAAGCTTATGATGAACAAAGACAAGCCAGCCCTTACAGCAAAAGGAAAAGCCCGTCTCCAGTTGAAGGGTCGAATTTACATGGCAAACGTCACCGATATTGTGTGGCTTCAGAAGCCTGGTGAGTGGCTATTCAGCAGCCAAAAAGGAAAAACAATCTAATGCCGGTTTTCTTTTTTTTTTTAGGTCTTTATCGTATCCAGATCTTCTGGAAGGGTGATCCAGGCGTTGTGGACAACTTCATTATTCGTTATCAAAATGAAGATACCATGCGCACTTGGTACAAGGACATCGATACTCAACGAACAGTGCAATCGGAGCGACGTAATATGCGAAACACTGGAACTTCTGACAGCGAGTTCACTTACCTGGAGGGAATGACAAACATTCCTAATCCATACCAGCAAGAGTATGAAGTTGATGATGTGAACAAGGATGGGGCATACTATTCAGAATTCCCCATGAGTCGAAATGCATCCAGCACCAGTCTACGAACTCGATCTGCAACTGGTGGTAGCACTGGTTCTGTACCCCATGCAAATGGCCGGCCCCGATACACGGGCTCGGGCACTGATCCAACCCTCTCTGTTCATACACAGTTCTCAGGTGCTGGCAACATGTCACCCAGCGACCGCAACATGAGCTCATATTTTTCACCTACAGAGACCCCGTCCACGCGTTCTAGTTCCCAATCGACCGGGTTCTCGTTTGGCCGCCAAAATACCAACTCGACGACTGCATCTTCTGTCTGGAACGAAGAAAATAATCGTTACACCGCGCCAGCGTTATCCCGAGCGACCTCCAGAGATGGGTCCACTCCAACCGCCTACTTCCCCCCTCCGCAGCCCAACGGCCGTGGTAACCAGCGTCCCTCCCTGCCGCCGCTCTCCGGACCGCAATCGAATGGAACCGCCCAGCGTATGCGTTCTGCCAGTAGTCCTGACATTCATCACCACAACAATTTACCGCCCGAGTCACGTCGATACATGGGTGCGCATACAATGCAAACGGTTGATAACGTCCCAGTCCCACCAATCCCGGCTCATATGGCCAATATGAAGGCTCCTGTCAACCGAAGCCAGAACAATTCCCCTACAAACGGGCAGCTTCCCATTCGTACAAACCCGCACCCTGGCCATCCTACGCATTTCACCGAGCCGGAATATAATGATGCTGGAATGGTGGGTCAGTTCTCAGAACAGGCTACATCTCCATTAAGTCAAGAGCCCGATGGCGATCCGTTTATGCCGACTCAGCTGAAGGCGAAGGTCAATTTTGATGACAACTATGTTACGCTGGTTATTGCGACCAACATCTTGTTCCGCTCGCTGATTGATCGGGTGGATGCTAAGTTGGCCCGGTTTACGAGTCGATCCATTGGCAGCAAGACCGTCCGTCTTCGTTACCGAGATGAGGATGGTGACTTCGTCACTATCGATAGTGATGAAGCTGTTCAGCTTGCTTTTATGGAATGGCGTGAGCAGAACCGTGAGATGCTGGCCAAAGGCATGGTTGGTGAAATTGAGCTCTATTGCCAAGTGGTTGAATAAATCGAGAGGGCATTCTCCAATATACCCAATCTCCCTGCGAGATGCCCTCTTTGAACCTCTCTTATTTTATCATATTTTCCCCTGGGGAACGTCCATATCTAATTGATCTTCGTCATTGAAATCATTGCATGGCCGTTGCGCTTGTTCTCTCCCACTTTCTCTCTCCTCCGTTTTTGTTTTTCTCTTTTTCCCTGCATCAGAGACTATCTACTCTAGGAGAGTTGATGACCTGTCTTTTCCGTTCCTCTCCTCATTTTTTCTTCATTTTCTTCCTTCAGCGAGCCATTTCTCTTCCACTTAGTGGCACTTTCAAGGGAGGTACTTGCATAATGAGTTTGAACGTGGCATGATCGGTGTTGGAGGCATGGAGTGACCGGCTGGGCACTTTTTTCTCCCTCTCCCCAATTACTTCCTATTTTCATCCTTTTCATGACCCGTTCACCGGATCATGTGTGGCGGGAGCGCACGAATATTTTGTTTGATCTCAATTTTCCCCGATGTCCATGAATGTATGAAGCACTTCTTGTTCTTCTTCTTCTATGATGTATGCATACTTTTGATAAGTCTAGTTTTTGTACTTTGTGGGGAGTGTCTGCATGCGGACAAGAATCCGATGATTTAAAATCTATATCTGACACCTGAGACATTTTACAAAGTAGATTAGCTTAAGTTCCAAGGTTGTACCTTAATATCTAGTTTCAATGTGGCGCAGATGTCGGATCGGGATGCCGTTTAAAGCTCGGCATTCATTCTTGGCAGGGCTAGTATGTATAACATCTACTAAGCATCTATGCATGTACATAAATCGTACGATATACACACAGTGTGCATCTTCAAATTCTTCAAATTCTTCAAATCTTCATCTGATCCTCAGACTTGAAATCACCAGTCCAGACCTACGGGTATTACCTCCACACGATGATGTGGGGTTTCAGATAGGTTCATGAAGGAACGCGCAGGGAATCCTTAGCGGTTAAGCAATGGATCAGATGGATTCTAATCGGCATTTAGAGTCCAATAGTTCGCAACGTGGGCCTACTTTCAGCCCATTCAGCTCGGGTGATCATTTGCGGAGGTTGCGGTGTTTTCGTCGAATCGTGGCTCAGGATTCGCAACAACAGGAGCCCTGGAGCCACCTCATCGGTGTGAGATAGTGGGAACCCAATCCAGTTTCTCCCCTCCTTTTGTTTCACCGTCTATTCCTCTTTTCTTCCAACCTCCTTACTCAAGTTTCCTTACATCAATCCATATTATCACAAAGCCAAGCATGTCGTTCTCCGGTCGTAGACTGAGCATCCTGCGCCCCTCTGGCGATCGCCGTGCTTCGGTCAGCAGAGGGCTGTCTGAAAATGGTACGTCATAACAAAGAACAAGCTCCACAGAAGTAGAAGAAACTGCAAAAAAAAGAAGCTGGAAAGAAGACAGATGAAAGAAAATACAAATTGATAAAAGGAACAAAATGATGAAAAGCAGGCAAAACTAATCAATTGTTTATTTTCTAGAACAACGCTCCGAAACTCACCGTCAGTTCCGATCCGCCCACGAAGGTCACCGTCCCCACGCTGGTCTGGATGCTTCCCGTGCTTCCACTGGTGTTGTCTGGTGTACAGAGCGTGCCAGTGAGCATGGATACGCAGAGGATCCCTCTGGCTGGGCCAACTTAGGTCAGGGTGCTCCTGAGGCCGATGACGAGATCGAGGGTAGCTTCCCCCGCCCGACGTCGATCCCCATTACCTCCGCTGCACGGGAGTACGGTCCGACCGCCGGTATCAAGCCTCTGCGTGCAGCGGTGGCTCGTCTGTACAATGAGCACTACCGTCAAGGAAAGCAGAGTCAATATACCTGGGAGAATGTCTGTATCGTACCTGGAGGCCGTGCGGGATTGATCCGTATCGCTGCCATTCTGGGTAACTCGTACCTGTCGTTCCCCATTCCCGACTACTCTGCTTATTCAGAGATGTTGAGTCTGTTCAAGAATGTGAGTACTATGATACTAGGGGGAAAAAAGGGAAATTTCGGTTAGGCGACTGCATATACTAACTATGACGGTCATAGATTGCCCCCATTCCTATCCCGCTGGCTCAAGAAGACCACTACCACATCCACCCCAACAAGATCGCCGAGGAAATTGCTCGTGGTACTCAAGTGCTGCTCACCTCCAACCCTCGTAACCCCACTGGTCACTTCGTCGGGCATGAGGAGCTGGCCGAAATCCAGGATATCTGCCGTGACCGTGCCACTCTCATTCTGGACGAGTTCTACGGCGGATACAACTACACCACCGACTGTGATGGTTCCACTATCAGTGGTGCTGAGAACGTCGTTGATGTCAACAAGGATGGTTCGTGTCTCCAATACTCTCCACCTAAAAGCCAGTCCATCCCACTAACTTTTAATCCAGATGTCCTGTTGATTGATGGTTTGACCAAGCGCTTCCGTCTTCCAGGATGGCGAATTGCTTGGATCGTCGGACCTAAGGAGTTCGTCGATGCGCTCGGCTCCGCCGGTTCCTACCTGGACGGTGGTGCGAACGTTCCCTTCCAAGAAGCCGCCATTCCCATGCTGGAGCCATCCCTCGTGCGCACTGAGATGAAGGCTCTGCAATCTCACTTCCGTGAGAAGCGAGACTACGTTATGAACCGTCTGTACGAGATTGGTTTCCGAGTCCAGGATGTGCCCCAGGCCACCTTCTACATCTGGTTGGACCTGACATCTATTGACCCACCCCTCCCTGAGGAGGCTAACATCTCCGATGGATTGAACTTCTTCAATGCCCTTCTGAGTGAGAAGGTCATTGTTGTTCCTGGTATCTTCTTCGATCTGAACCCGGCTAAGCGTCGTGATCTGTTCGATTCCCCTTGCCACCACTTTGTGCGTCTGAGCTACGGCCCCAAGATGGATGTTCTGAAGATGGGTCTTGATGGTATTGAGCGTGTGATTAAGCGTGCTCGTGAGATGGGACAGAAGAAGCAGTGGGAGGATGAGGTTGCTGTCTCTGATGATTAGATTAGTTTCTAATCATGGAGAAATGCGTTCATGGCCGTTATAGTGTTTCACTATCCGGATTTATGATTATGTATTTCCTTTGTCTGTTTCCTTCTAGCGAAGAATTGCACATTGACGTATTTGAGATTCTGATTTCTTAGACTTACTGATCGGTGACCATCTAGTCCGTTGTGACATGAATCAGAATTTACAGTTGTTGGATTCTTCCAATCTTCCAATGTTCCCATCTTCCATTCAAGTTCTCGTCTCATTTTGTTGGCTTGATCAGTCGTATATATCTCACGATATTTGAATCTCAAAGCTGCCTCCAGGGCTGGGAACTATCATGACGTAGAGAATGAAACAATTCAAGCCTTCGATTTCCATAATCAAGTCTTGGAACAGCCAGTGTAATATCCGCAACTCACATCGAACAATTTCAGCTTCAATAACTTGAAATTCTGCAACACACCTCGTTTCCCAGGGAGAGAGTACCTCAGATGAAGAATTGCAGCTTATGTTATATGCATGAAAACCCTGCAACAATCTGCTCGAATCAAAGATAAATGGGACGAACCAAAGTTAAAACTCCAGAGCAACCCAGACTATGAGACGAATACACTTCACGTGGATATTTACAGAACTATCAACCTTGGAACGAACATTTGAACTCCAGTGGAGCTCTACAAACCATTCCCATGTGTCTGCAATGCTTATATTTAACATGTACCCGATATTGAAGAGATCTATGCGTCCGAAGTCCACTTATGCAAACCTTGGAAGGTTCCCCAGACTTTGCCATGTGGTTGAATCTTACAATTTCAATATAATATGGATCTAGAAGAACTTGAACGCGGCCATATAGCTAAGTTTTATAGGCACTTGGGAGGATATATGAGGCGAGCTTGGTCTCCAAAAGGTTCAAATGTTGTTATTGGTATTACATATGAAATCAGAAGGCTCTGGTGAAGATTCCGATAGTCGAGTCGAGTAGTTACTGGCGAATGATTATTCTAATTTTCAATACCTTGTCCAGGTTAGGTAGGTGGATCATGAAGCTTTCCAAGTTCACTCCAGAAAGAGTATGGTCACTTACAATTCCTCAACAACCTCGCACTCATTTCCTTGACTGTTAGTTCTCCATATTTAAGCCGGTCTATCCGGTCTATCTACAAAGTGTACATATTCAAATGTTACCCCTTTCTCCACAAGCATAGAACTTGTGGACATCTGGACTGTTCAAATTGCCCAGGTGCACCTATTCAGAGTCAGTAATACCAATACAATACGAAACCCCAAAATGGACAAAGGTGATCACCCAAATAGAGACTAGATCATAAACACAGACCAGTGAGAATCAACGGATGATTTGCAACCAGTACTGAACAAGTTAATTAATAATACCAGGGATCCAATCACAGAACTAAAGGGGTTACAAGTCGTCTAGATTTACCAAAAGTAGTTTAGTTTATTCTGGGGGGGGGGGAGTTTTACGAAGTGGAGTATCTCAACATTTGAACCATAGTTACGGTATAGATATGGAGTACTTGGATAAAAACCGTGGAATGAAGCCATATTGGGACATGGACCATAACTCTCTCTGATTAAATTAAGAACTTAACATTTTGAAGAACCTTGGAAAAACTTGAGTTTCTGTTGACAGCTTCAATTATTAACTTTTTCTCACCGGCTATCCTAATCTTCAGTCGTCAAGTGCCCACTTCTTTTTGCCGAGCGACATGGTACTGTCTGTTCTACTGTATGTCGGTGATATAGAAGACCCACAACTAAGAAGGAAGAATCCAAGATTGTGGAATATGCATGATACATGGCTGTGTTTAGTAGACCCGAAAAATGCGTAGTCTACATTAGTCTACAGTAGTAAACTTGGTGGACATTAACACCCAACACAGATACGGCAAGGGATGACGATGCACACGACCAATCAAGTTTATAAACCAATCAGAGTATTAAAGTACTTCAAATTTGTAGTAACTCGTACAGCATGACTCGCATCTCTGTCTCAAGATCTGGGGGCGAAAGTTGAAAAACCATGTGGGATGTGGAATATGTGGGAATGTGGGATGTGGATGAGATCGGAGCCGCAAGTCATCTGATCCCACGTTATTCATCCTTCCTCAACTTCAGGTGGACATACTACCATCCATACAATGCAATTACTACAATAACTTGAACTACACACTCAATCTCTTTCTCGCTCAAATTCACCAAGTCTAATAGAGTTGACTGGTTTGGGTTCGGCCTGAGCCGCGCTCAGATTACTACTGGACGTCGGCTCGGGTCCAATCGGTGTCGATCGCTCGTATCCCATAGCCCGAGAAGCGACCCAGTTCTGGCCTGATGGGGCAACGATGTGACCTCAATTGGTCAAAGTGGAGAGGTGTCTCTTGGAGAAAGAGAGAGAGAATATTGGTTTTAATCGCAATCACTGAGACACTGCCTCAATCGACCCACTGTCTGAATTCAATGCTGCAAAAGCTTGTTTCTGCTTCTCCTGGTTTTTACACGGTGGGGAGGAGTATGTACTCGACAAAGGATAAGTGGACATTTCCATAGGTGTCTTCCCCCTCTTTCGATTTTCCCCTTTACTGACCGAGTCGCATAGTCGGGATGGACATGTCGTACTCACTGCAAGATTTTATCATCTTCCGATGATTTTCTTGCGGTTACACAGTTCTACTTGTACTCCACTTTGGTGATTTGTTTCTGTTCTGTCTGAATCCTATTCGGATCTCCTGGGCAAGATATGCCTGTCTTAGTGGAGTATTCTGTGTGGAGATCTGTTCAATTCAGGAGACACATCTCGAAGCGATTCACCCAATCTACTGGAAACTGGAGTCATTACACACAGATTAATAATCGTGTCAACCCGGCTCCTGGGTTTCTATCTCGCAAAAAGTATGGGTCAGGGACAATGACATTCACTTGAATGACCAATACAAGTCCCATACTGACTTCTCCATCGTTCCAGGTACCGGGAACCCAGTTGGTCCCGTCGAACTAGCGGACCCGCCCCGGGAACGGTCGAGTAGCGTACTCCGCAATGTATTACACATTACAGTACGGAGTACGCACCCACCACTTTCCAAGTTGAGGCCCACGTATGGCTTGCGTATGGCGTGCGTGCGGCGTGTCCCCAGAGAGAGAGCTCTTTCTCATATTGAAAGAGGCCCAAGCTCCTAGAAATCTGGAGCTTTGAGATGGAGCTCAAATGCTCAATACTTTTTTATTTTCCCATCAACTCCAAGTTAGTCGATCATTTGATAGATCGGCTCGTTTGGCCCCCTATAACCCCCCGATTCTTTCCCTTCTAGCCCCTTGCGTATTGCATCTCCCTCTGAGTCTTAGTCGAAACCTGGAGCTTTCACGGGTTAGCGCTATGCGTGCTGCATATCGGTACCAATCATATCAACGACACTCCTGTCGTGTGACGTTATTTCCTTGGATCCTAGGATAATAAACTCAATCACTCTTTAATCTGCACCTGCACACTTACACTTATTTTCTTTTTCTCTTCGATTCAACATCTCATCGGACTCAATAACCAAAACAACAGTCCCCACTGCCCCGCAGCGCGTTAACACAAGCGACCAAGAGCTCTCGGCGCCTAGACTCTAAAGTCCGGACTGTCGTCATTGTCTTCTCGGGTTTCATAGACACGGGCCAATGAACAGGGGTTACCCCTGCTCCAGACATAATATCCTCTAATCCCTTTCTGGGCAACTGTCCGTCTAATCAACCCGACAGGGGAAAATTACTGCGAGCCCAATTAAACTGCACTCAGAAGGGGTTCGCTTGGGGCCAAGAAAAAAAAACATTTTGAAAAAAAAAAAATTAAAATAAATAAAAAAAGAATAGAACCCCATTTTCCGCAGATCAGAGCAGGGACCTGACTGGAACTGAGTTTGAATTTTCCGAGATAGAAGATGTGGCTGAATGTGTCATGTTGAATCCAGAATCCACCATATCTAACCGACTAGAATTCCCGTACGGAGAAGACTCCGTTTCGGTTATCACGGCGATGTTAAGTGATTTCTTTAGGAAATCTCGGGATGATCTTCTCCGTAGCTTAGAGAAGTAGAAAATGTGAGCTACGATGCTGAGTGGCTATATGCACCTGGGCACCTTCAGGGCTAGAGAATGGGTGAATGAAGAGTTGCTTAATCATTTCGGGGATCCACTTTGAGACTTTCAACCTTGGAACTTTCATGTCATTGGAAATAGAGAGCGAGGGAGACAGAGTGTGTGTACTCCGTGAGAGACATTGAGCTAGTACACACACACGTTTTCACTTACACTAGTCTCAACAAGGTATTCGTCTCGCCAGTGGAAACAGTATTTTGGGGGCGATAAATGGAACCTCGGCCACCCACGATCGTCCGAGATCGTAAGCAAGTTCTGAATTTCTGAATTTCCGAATTTAGTCTGAATTTAGTATGTCGTGAGGCACTGGGAAGTGGAGAGAAAAGTTTCACATTTTGACCCCACACCCGGTGTACGGAGTACCCGAGGATCGCTAGTGCAGAAACGGTGATCCTGTGGCGTGGGGAGTCGTATTCAGTATTTTATTAATTTGAATCAGACAGAAAGACATATGGTGTGTTCAATCATGTTCAGATGTCTAACATTGAACACTCGATCCATGGTATTTCAACTTGAAAGTGTGGAGAGTGACATCTCAACTGCGAATGCACAAGTCAAGATTGAATGCGACATTACGTGTCAACATTGGAATATTTGAATCCGCTGCAACTTTCCAGGGGCAAGATGACATGACATCTCACTGGCAAGTGCTGGAGTCGTCACCAGTATGACGAACATTAACTATGCACTGTTGAAACCACGGTCTCTCTAGCTTCATGCTAGATGTACTCCATACTCCATACCCCGTACTCCTCCACATGTCCACATCATACATGTGTGCAGGTGTCCAAATTAATGTGAACGTGAAGTCAGGGGTTACAACCTCGCTTATTGCATTCTATGCAAGGATCTTGTTTCTTTGGAATATTGAAGCTGCATGAGTTTAATATGATTAATATGATCTACACATCGAGACTGCAATTCAGCATGAGCTTCACTGGGTTTATCCTATGTGGATTGATGCCCAAGGCAACTCAGTTGCCCAGGTCGAAGGAATTGAGATGCATACTAGTATTCCCCATAAACCTGAGTTACAAACCTTGGAGTCTTGACTACTCGCAACAGATACCCAGTTAACGGAGTTTCAATGACAAATTCCACTTTAATCCTGACTCTACCCCTCAACTTGAACTTACCGCAAGTTAACACAAAGTTGAAGAAAGGAAATAACCCACCGACGGAGCGTAGCTCAGGCCTCTTCCGTAGACGCCAATGTGGGGAAAGCACATCAATTACAACCTTCCATCACTCATTCCCCTACCATTGAGCCTCAACGGGAACCGTGTGTCAATAGAATACGAGGTACGTGAAAGACAAAGAATTGACATCCCGATGTCTTGAACTGTAAGTACAAGATTGTACTAACAGGAACAGGAATAGGAGATTCCAGAGATTCCACAAGGTTAGGAACATGAATCCTTCCTTTCAAGTTGTCATATGGAAGCGAATATAAGCCAAGACTAAGACAATAAGACTAAGTATTCAATCTTTTCATTTTCCATCGGGATTCTCGGGTCTTCCCACCATTTACGCCCCTTCTTTGCTCATCAGCCCCTCTCCAAATCAAATTGAAAGTCTCCGCTTAAGGCGTGCGCCGTACATGTGCACTTACGTAGTTGTCAGGGGGCGATTTAGAGCCGTGTCATCCGACGAGGCTTTTGTATATTGTACTGAGTAGTTTTGTTTTGGTTTGTCTGATTTTATTACTAGTAGTATTCACGCATTCAAGTTTAAGTTCAGATCATGTTTCTGTAGTGATAGTTCGCTTATCCTTTACTCTTTTCTCTGTACGAGTATCATGATTTGACATCCCATCTATTCGATTTTACTGGACTAGGATCAGCCCATTCCCTTAACTCCTGCCTGTTGCGGCAAAAGCTAACTGATAGAATAGAATAAACTACAAGGATGTGATCGTGATTGTGGTGATTGCCAGGATTTTCTTTTTTTTCCATGTACTCGGTACTCGGTATTGATATTTCAAATATCCATGTCCCCAAGTGCGATAGTATGTCCAGGTGGTGTAGGTACCCGACATCAGTGTTCAATAGTTCAATGATATTCGATCGGGTCTTGTGAGATGAACCTAGTCAACTGGTAATTTACATCCTGGTTCACATCCAAGGTTCAAATGTTGGATCCCAAATACATGACATAGTTCCTAGATCAAGTCCTAAAATTCGGAATCTCACTCGGAGTTTCCATGTTCAAGTGTTATATGTACCCTGCTTCAAGACCAGTTAGCGCTAGGAATGAGCGTGTGATCCATCGCTTTGAATTTTGATTTGATTGTATTCGGGGCGGAAAATAAACCTAAATTCGCGCCAATCGTCCCCTAACTTGAAGAGAAACTGGGTAAGATTGTGATTCTAAACTATGATAGTCATACTGAAAGATAAGTGGATGAGAGTCGGAAGAACCGTAAGCCCAGACAGAATCAAGGAACATGTAGTAAACGAAGTAAGACAGAGGAACTTTGGAAAATACTACCTAGATACCAATAGAATCCCCACCCCCATCTCAATGGTAAATGTTTAGTTCTTTTCTTACACCCCGGATATAATCTTCCTCGGACTTAACGCCTGAACTAGGATATGATTATAGAGAATTAAAAGTGTTGGCCTGAAATCCCCAAAACCGGATTCTGACCCGCATAACGCGCCGAAAGTCACTTGAGAGTGACATTTGAACCAGGTTCTTGCGGCGCATCCAATCGTACTTGGGCCATATCCTGGTCCTTGCGCCGCGGCTTTATTATTCTCTAATCATTATTTTTACAATGTACAGGGTGATCAAAATTATCATGGTTTTTGGTATTTCCCACGAGTCTTTCTGTATATTCGAATACGGGTTTTACTAAACTTGAAACCTACACCTTTCTCCTTGCTGGATTGTGTATTGCGGCTGGCTGGTCTCCATATGTCGCAAGGTTGATGGTGGCTTGATTGGCGCCTAAGTACGAGCTGATCATCGGACAAGTACAATGACATGGGAGTGGTATTGCTTTTGTTAAGATTCTTTACATATACGTACGCAGGTACCTACATCCTTGTTCATATAGCCTGTGGCTTAATGTAAGAAATGTCAATAGTATGAGTAACGGATTTGTCAGTGGTAAGATAGGATGAATGAGGCGCATAGAACATATGATCGTCGGATGTTGAAGTTGGACTTGGGACCATAATAAATCTGGTATTATCCATGGATGGATGTACTGTCGATCTGTTCATTCGTCTATACTACATTCATGGCGATCCATCAAGAGGACGTGTTTGTGCCTATTCCAGATGCCTAGTCAACGGAAGAAATCATTTCCCTTGAATCTAAGCTATACGGAGTACCCGTAGTGCTATCTAAGAGCGAGCAGGAGTACATTATCCCGTATAAGCGAATCCCGGAACTTCTAGATGACATTGAATCCTCTGGCATGTGGACATCCGTTGCACCGAGACATCAGAATAGCCGCAGACAACCCCAAACCAAGTCTAGTAGTCCGAATACTAGTAGTATACTACCGTCGGAAAGCCGGCACAACTCATGTCCAGATTGCACAATACGAATATAATACTAGTATTAACACATTCAATTACCGCGCTACTCAATGAAAGTACCAATCATGATTAATCGTCCCAAATGCCCGAAAACGCCGTCTAGGAATCCAATCCTCGCTTGGCGCTCTTGGCTGAATAGGACTTTTCCGGACTTGCAATGTTGTATCTTTTTTGACCCTGGGGCCAGAACAATTTTACTGAATCCTGAGACTAACTTGAAATTGGATTGATATCTGCGTGAGGCATGAGTCATGCATGTCGTGCATTAGGAGGGGTATCTAATGTGGATTTTGTACAATTTTGTACGGAATACAGTGGACTAGTACTCCGTACTCTAGGACTAATATTTGAACTAGCATGTAAATATGAAAAATTACACTATTTGATACTAGTATGGACGGGATACTCCGGTCTTGAACACATGTGTATTCGATTCGGGTTTCTTTTTTACTTATCCTTGTCAACGGGATTCATTTAGCAAATGGTGGACCCTATTGGAGTTGGCCCGGGGTTGTAAGACCCACATACGTAGCCAACAGAATGGACACTGGGACTAAATTGACAGATGATATGGTAGTAGCGCCAATAATCCAGTTAAACCAATCATGATAATGTGTGATTCAAGTTGAGACATTAATTTTGGGACTTGGTCTAGAATCAGTAGGAGTATTAAGTGGCTTGTTATCTGGGGGGGGCCTTATTTAATGCATGGATGTGGGATTTGGAAATATCAAATATCATACGGAGTAACTGATTAATTTACATAGAACATTCAAATATTATCAGTTCAATAATTCATCTCATTGAGTAATAGTTCGTCTCATAGACATAAGGAAAGTAATGAAAGTCCCATTCAACCAGTATCATGCCAGGTATCAAGTAAAAATAAATCAGATCAGATCCCAAAGAAGAGGAACAATGAATGGACATGATAATCAATATAACGCCATTCCTCTTCTTTTTTAAAAAACAAAATTGGCCAAGTGCCCACGGAAAATTATAGAAGATACCAATGAAAACAGGGGAATCCAGAAGAAAAAAGCGCCCAGAATATGGCCCTAGATAGCCGGGTAAATCAAGATCAAGATCAAATATCAAAATTAAACAGGGAATACAAAATGCGAAGTCACCGGGTTCTCAAGGTGAGGGGAATCGGGGATAAGAAAAATCGTCACGGGCATCAATTCGCACATGGTCTTCCTCTTTCTCGAAAGAAAAGAGAAGAAAAAGAAACAAAAATCCAAAAACCAATTCTCTATGCACGGTCTTCTCTTAGCCTACTCCCAGAAAAGCCCAGTCAGTCCCCTCCGGTTGATTCAAGATCCGGGCAGGGGGTTTGTACTGGAAATTAGGATGGTATCCCACCATCATCGGTTGTCCCTCTGGCAATTGATGGCCCTGGTACGGCGGTTGATGATATTCCGGCGGCAAGTAATTCGTACGTGGCGTCGGATCGTAGCGCTGCTGCATCATTTGAATATATTGCTGCTGTTGAGGGTGACCCTGTGGATGGGATGGATGTCCTTGCGGATGAGCCTGTGAATGTCCTTGTGGATGTCCCTGCGGGTGTGCTTGTGGATGCGATGGGTGTTGTGGAGGCGCTTGCGGAGGAGGAGCATGTGGCATACTCATAGGTTGTGTGACGGGGACATTCTGCGAGACAATCGGATGTGCGCCCTCGTGGACTGGTACTGAGCCCATTTGGACATTCTGAGGCGAGTAGAACTCGTGGTTGGGAGTTGCGGAATTTCGGGTAGTAGGGCTGCTGGGCAAGCAAGTACTGGTCATTTGGATTTGGGATGGAGACTGTCACAGGAGGTTGATGGTGTTGATATGAATGCTCCGAGGTTGCATCTTCTGAAGATGGGCGAGTCATGGACCCTGGAGGGTGCGAGCGGTGTTGATGTTTAGTGAGGGTAGTTTTGCGACAGAAGCTATAATGAGGACCAGGTAAGTTTACTTGACCAGCAGTTAAGTAGATTTAGAAATTTAATTTAAGTGACCTACCTTCGTTCACAGGTTGGCTCTTGGCAAATATATGGTCGTTTGCCTGTATGTATTCTGCGATGACGAGCCAGACTCGAGGACTGTTATGGGGTGGTTAGTTGTGGAACCGCCATACATTCAAGAGCGGGGGTTCTTACATCTGAGAATGCTTTCTGGCAACCTTCATGATCACACACATGTGGCTTTTCACCTGTGTGAGTCCGCGAGTGTACTGTCAAGGCACTGCGCTGGATGAAACTTTTATTGCAATCCTTTACAGTGCAATGATAGGGGCGTTCATTGGTATGGATGCGATAATGGCGACAGAGATCGGACTTGCGATTAAATGACTGCGCGATTTAATTAGATCTCAAATAAAAGTTGAATCTTTTTTTTTGCGATCTCATACCTTGCCACAATGCTCCCAAGTGCAGTTAAAGTCGCGCCCGTTACCTGGAGCCATGATCGACTTCTGTGGGGATGCGGGTCGCGGAGAGCGTGGAGTTTAAAATGGGAAAAAGAGGGCGAGATTGAGGGGGTCAGCGCATACGCGCAAAAAGGAATAGTGGTCAGGCCGGGTGAATAGTAGCCGGGATGCTAGGGCGAGCCCGGGGCATAATAGAGCTTTAATATAAAAGCAGGAAAGAGGGGTGGGGCGGGGCAAAGAAAGGGAAAAAAAGAGGGGAGTTTAATAAGAAAGAGAAGAAAGAGAGAGGGAAAGGAAAGATGGAGAGAGAAGAGACAAGTAGAAGTAGAACTTGTGAAGGAGAGAGAGAGAGAGAGAGAGAGAGAGTTTCTAGTTCTTGGTTTATTTTATTTATTTTATTTTTTATTAAAATAATAAAAATAAAAATAAATAAAAAAAATAAAGAGCTATGAAACCTTAGGTAGAAAAGAGGAATAAGGGAGTAGAAGAAGTAGAAGAGAAGAAGTAGAGCTGGGAAGGGAAATAACGGCGCGCGGATGAGACCGTACAAGGCGATTTTATGATTTTATGAATTTTACGATTTTATGGGAAATATTCTGGATTTTAATAGGTATTTTTTTATTATGGATGAAAATGATTTTTATGATTTTTCAATCATTTATTTTTCATTTTATTATTATTATTTTTTAAAATATGAGTATCAGTATTGGTTCCTACGGGTACCTTAGGTACCGGGGTACTTGTTATTATAACATACTGTAATACATTTCTGTTTCTTATGTAAATAATCTAATTAGTATAGATGAATTAGATGAATATCCTACCATACTCCATACCTAGTAACTGATCATCAATATCTTAGAACCTTGGAACATGAGATAAATCTCATTACAGTAAAGGGGTATCGGAACTGTGTAATATACTAACAGGGGAAAGAAAGAGGGGGCCGGGTATTTTTAGCTGTCTACCTAGACACCCTGATAGGTTCCCCTTTGGTGGGCAAAGGTTAGGTTGGCAACCGAACCTAAGTGCTTTGAAATTGCGATTGCCTTTGAAAGGGAAATTAAATTAAACCCAAAATATCAAAAAAATATTTATTATAATTCATGATTATTCCCAAAAGAAAAAATAAAAAGCCAACCCCACTGTCCCCCCCCCCCCCCTAAGGCATCTCAACAAACCCGCTTCCTAAGACCCACTTGGGAAACCCGGATGACAAGGTGCGTGGGGATACGAGGTGGACACCCGTATGGTATTTACGAAATATAGATTTCGTGAAATAGGAATCAATTGAGGAGTGGGATATCCTAGAATAAATAATTACCTAAAGGTAGTTGTTATTAGACAATCCAAATGTTCAAGGCTACAATAAATAGTCAGATACACCCTAGAATAATAAGACTTGAGATACTAATGTACATCACACAAAATGCCAATGCGTTTGATCGAAATCAACAACTAAAACCCGGGGGGCCAAGCTCCACGCGGCTGGAAAGATCCAAGATATCATCGGTGAGCCGGATCAGGGTCTGGATTGGGCTTTGAGTGCGGAGAGATCATCCAACTGTCCTACTTCATTCTACTTTACTATACTACCACTACTACTAGTAGTCTGGTACACTATTCTCAACAGCCCTGAGACCTCCGCATCTGCACTAGTGACAAGCATACATCCAGTAGGATGTCAAGTTTACCCGTTTCTCGTACGGAATATACCTAGCAGGATAGAAAAAGGTCCGAGAAGCTCGGCTATGGATTAGATTGATTTGTTGCGTTTACACCTATACTCCTACTTTGAGAGGACGCCGAGGTTAAGGGCTAACCTTCCGAAACGAGAGATTTTAATGCTAAGAGCGATGATATCATAATTTCTAGGCGCGATCCCGAGCTTATGGATGATAGAGTGTTCTCGCATGTGTCTTTGGTCATTTGGTCTTTGCCAATGCATTCGATGTTTCATTGTACAAAGGATCCCTTTCCAAGGTTCCAGATCCAGGGGCGCCTAGCACGGAGTACATTTGAGGGGGTCTACAACAGTTTCAAGTCCACCCCAGTTCCCAAATTTCCCGTTAATACTCCGCGGACTCCACTAGGAAAGAAAGTATAGAAAGTTGAACGCGCTGGATCATTACGAGCGTATATCAGTGGGGTGATCATCTCCAGCAAGGGATGATGGGATATGACGTGGCATCTATCTGCACCTCAACACGGGAAACCTGGTTCGGGATCCGTAGGGAGAGAGAAGAGCAGAGCTATTGGAGTCATCCCGAGGATCCAGTAGACGTGGCTGTAAAGACGAATTCATTTATTTAAAGTGGGCATTAATGGATAGTGTTCGTGTTCATAGATTATGGACTACTAGTTCAGAGTATGTACTATGGAGTGCATGAAAAGAAAAGAAAAAATCAATTTACCCCGTACTACGGAGTATACTAGTATACTAGTTTATACTAGAAAAAGAAAAGAAAAGTAACAGATCGCACCCGTTATTACTAGTAATATAGGCCCCGCTAGGAAGGGGAATCCGGGGCAAGTGATAAGTCCACTGGTTCAACTTCCAACTCGAGGTCGGTACCAGACATCTGGAAGTGAAGAATTGAAAGATCAACTTGAATCGACACTACTATATTACTACAGTACGAGTGATTTAGTGTCTGATAGACTTTTTCAAGTCAATGTCACTGTTGAACCCTGATTCGTGATTGGAGAATACCATCCCCCTGGGTCAAGAAAGGGGTTCTCACCGTCTCTCTAGTATATCCATACCAGACTAGTTGGATGCCTTTTTTTCTTCTTTTTACTAGAATAGTACTGGTATATTCCTTTCAATTCTGATTGCCCGAGTGGATCCAGTGGACCTGGTGAGATTTCTTTTCTAGAGCCTGGTGAGATTTCTCTTTGATCTTCCATGCGCAAAGTTTATCGGCAAGTCAGGCAGAAAGATTCCGATTTGTGTTAGAATTATACTATGCTGCATACTTCAAATGTTTGATTCATCATCGAAATAGAATTATCAGTGGCAAATATGATGGATGTGGAAGACGAAGACAAATGAGAACTTGAACCCTGGAAGCGTTCGAATAGCGGTTGGCCTCGGCCGAACACCTCATCTCTTTGTTTTCTATTTGACAGTAAAGAAGTTTAAATAGTAAATTTAAATGGGAATTCGTGTAAGCACCGTCATATCTCTGGGCAGTATCCAACTACCAAGACACGATAAACTAAGTGTGTAGACGCCTAGCATCTAAACATAGGACTCATGTAATTTTGGACGAGGATTCCCTTCGGCTTGTAAGCGACTCGCTTCCAGATATCTGGATATCAGGCTACCAGGGATACTATAGAAAAAAGCCACCGAGCAACATGAAGCTACCGTAACAATGATAACCTCCTCAGCCCTGAAGGTGGCTGGCATGACTGAAGATCGGCAAGCCTCCTAGAGTATAATTTCTTTTCTTATCATGCACATGTTGAATTCATTTCGCCTCCCCCAAGCCACCAAGAGCCATCTGGACACGGAAAAGGGTGTGATAACCGTGACAGTCATAAGTGGACTGGGATATAGAGGTTTCATATGGAGTTCAAGGTTAAATACCACCAATGATGGGTCGTTTGAACGGCAAGATGCACGTTTACTGGCTGTCTGCATCTGCGACAAGCATCTTGTCTCGCCATCTGGCGTCCTGCAGATGACCCTCCTAAATCGGCAAGAATCATCCGTCATTGGTGTACGGAATACAGAGTACCTAGGCACTTAACCAGTGTACATTTACCATAAGATTAATCAACTTGAAAAGAAATGATCGCTCAGCATCCATAAAACACGCGACAAGTGGGTCGTTATTTCTCGACGCACCCCTTTACTCCATTATCTTGTTTTTTATTCGCACACCTTTCGCTCTTATTCCTTCGTCTCTAGTCTGATGAAGTTCGCCTATTCCTTTCCCGGCCAAAAAATCCACCAATAAAATAATCGAAATGACGCCGCTGACCTGATGGGATCGATCTATACGAGGTGTTTCTCCACGCGATAGAAACAAGTTGATCCTCGCAAATAATGACCCTTGTCTTCAAACAAATCGCAATTCTTTCAACCCAGTAACCCGGTCATCGGATTATTCAATATTCAGAACTTGAATCTCATTGATGTGGAAAAAGTATGCGGAACCGATGATAAGGATCATTGTACTCAAATCAAAGAAGATGGTTCATAATCACTGAGTTTTCAATATCTCTATCACAATGTAAAATACAAGAATATTGTGATGAGAGGTGCATAATGGTTCTTCTTTGGTCATCCACGGTTCTCCTACCTCTCTCTCTCCCTCCCATCCCATTATCGCCACCGTTTCATAGGGCAAAGCTACCCCGCATTTTTCTTTTTCTTAAGCGACTGAACCTTGGAATGATGTAAATGCAACTTGGCGTCCACTGGGTGGCTGAGTGCTGGATAAATTACGCACCGGTTGCTCGGCAGGTAGTAAAAGGGGTGGAGCCAGGGATAGTTACTGTCTTCTTATGGCCGTGCACCGGTATACCCGCAATGCTTAACTTCACAGCCACGTGAAATATACAGAATCAGCAAGAATTACTAAAAATCTACGGAGATTTCTAATAGATGTCAGCTTCGGACCCGGGATAGAAATGAGAAATAACTCATACGAAGTGTCGATATTAACCCGTGATGGAACGCCTCATCCTTTGAGTGGATTCGCACGAACAAAGAGGGGACTCGTCATCTTAGTACGGAGTACTCCTGGCTCCATACATAAAAAAGAGAACTTGCAGTAATCTCCGAGGGTCAGATTGTAAACGAGGCCATACTTATTCATCCCATATCCAACCATATTCAATATGATTCCGATTCATCTTATATCTAACTGGTCGATCACATTTTCTGCACTAATCGAGCAGGAACACTTCATCCAACAGGGATGATTCCCCCAGGATCCTTCATGTTAGAGGCTCTAGAGAAGAGTCGGTCAAGACTCAAGGGAAGAATAACAGGGAAAATTGAGCATTTGAGTACGGAAAGTCTCCGGGCAAATCTGGGGCTGAAAGGGCATAATAAAGCCACCTGAACAAGAACTAAAGTCAAAATCAAAAATAATAACGAATCAAAAGAATCAAAAGAAATAAAAGAGAATGAAGAGTTGAACAGAATTACTCCGCTTAAGCCATAATTCCTATCAGCAACGCCACTGGCGACCCTGACACTTTTCTTCCCCTTTATACCCCTTACAGACGTCTTCGGAGACAATACCATAATAGTTAACATCTCCGTTAACATCTCCGATAATGAATATTATTCAACTATTCAAAGTGCGAGAAAAAAGAAAACATTGGAACATTTGATAATAATATGCAATAAGACATCATGAAAAAATAAAATCAAGGAACAAAAAGTAAGTGAATCAAAACCCCCCTATTCCCGTCCATTGATATAAACAAGGAAATATCATCCTGTGCAACCAAAACGTCTATTAGTCGCCAAGCAGAGCCAAGAGAATCTCGCATAAGTTATGTCCAAATTCGACATTTATATTTATTTATAATAAAGACGGGATATGAAGTTGTATACTTTCAACTCGCTTGGCCTCGGCATTCAGCGGCTCCCTTGCGTCTCATGTCAGTCATCTGATTTTGATCCTATTGAGTCTCCAACTTGATGTACTTGAACCTAGTACTGCCAAGCGGAACTCAACTGCTCATATCCCGCTTTTAAGTATGAAATACTTATAGATTTGTAAGGTACTCTGTAGTGTACCTGGGATTTGCACATGCAGACTCGTGTAAAGGGTTAATCTTCCAGAAATTCATGATTCGTTCGATGCTCGTATCACTTCTGTACATTCATAATGCATTGCCGGGTCGGCAGTCGGGTAAGCAAAGTTGAAGTAAAGCAGAAGCATGCAGCCGTGGTTTCATCTTTGTGGTGGCGTTAGAATCTACGGAGTAGAAGACGAGTTAGATTCATGATTCCGGGATATTAGTATTAGGTATACGGCAAAGTAGTTGATAATTTGTGGATGTCTTGTCCCGGTGATAGGGTCGCTATGTATGATTAATGCCGCTCTTCATGTGTGGCGTTGACGGGGATATCCTTTCTGGTGATGGGCGTATGCGAGATGTCGTCGGTGCCGTAATTCATGTGGAGCTGCATATGTGTGTTGAGGTTTTTTGCCTTCGTTCATCCATTCAAAATATTGGATTCATTGGATGGTTGAAATGATTCTGAATGTGTGGTAAGTAGTAGTACCTTTGAGATGTTTTCTTTTCTCGTTTTTGCGTTTCAATGACCTGTCTGTGACATCCTTGACATGATAGTTGATATGACTTTCAATTATTACAGGTATTCAGGCATGTCAGACCAATCGAGAGCATGGCGTCCCTATCGTGACGTGGTCCCTGAATTAGTGGGATTCTTTATACATTAGAACGGGAACTATACTTCTTATGACAAGGACATGCACCTGGGGTTATGAAGATGGTGACACTAGCCTGGATGGACTGGACCTATGGGAGTATACCAGGGATTAAACTTGGTCTCAATCATATAGTCAGTTGTGCTGATTAAATACAACTATCTGATGAAACATGAACTAAAAGGAGAATACTACTCAAGGCTCTATGCAATTCAAATCTATATCCAATTTCGACCTTACCAGCTTGTCAAGCCTCGTTCCCGATCAAATCCACCTCTCAACTGTTGCTCAGGCTTCAAGACCTGACCCTGCAGAACAGTATACCGAATAATGTTTTCACACTCCTCCGGACGTACACGCGCCAACCAAATACCCTGCGCCGCACCCTCTTGCGCACTATTCTCAACTTCCGCATTCTCCTTCTTATACCACTCAAAGTCTCGGCGGCGATACACAATCACATTGGCAGAGTACTTGTGTCCACCGACGTGACTGATAAAATAGATTCCTACACCTCCGGGTCGTGTATCGTCCATATCACGGTATAGACCCAGTGGGCGTAGGTGACGCTCGAACTCTTTACGCAGCAAGGGTGCGGATTGGCCGCAGCGGGCATCGCGAGTACGTTGCGAGCAGAGAAGAATTACGGCCGCGTGTGGGCATGGGTGAGAGCGGAGAGAGGTGATGGATGTGTTTGATGGGCGAGGTACGGAGTCAGAAAGTTGTTCCTCTTCTGTCTCTGCTGGAACCGGTACACCATTCAAAGGTGTGGTAGTGGTGTGTCCCTTGTTCACGAAGTTCTCGATCAGCTCTGGAGCTAGCTGCGGTGTGACATTCTCGACGACAGTGAAGCTGGGGAGGATGAGGACGTTCGTGGGTTGGCTTCCTGCTTCGTGCATGTGATATTCGTCTGGGACGGGCATGTTCGATGCCGAGAGCTTGAGGCGCTATTAAAGTTGACATTAATTTTGACTGTCCCGTCTCTTGCTAATGTTTGTTTGGTCAACTCACCCCATTGCTAGGCTCTACTCCTCCCTTCTCAATTGCCTCCATGATACTCCCAGCTTCGTCGGCAACATCACGAACCCAATCGGACTTGCCTGTCGCAACAAGCATGTGTGTGGCCCACCCTTTCACTTGTCCATATAGCTCGTCTATCGTATCAACGTCAAACTTGGCGGGGTACTTCACAGTGCACGTGGCGCAATCGTGCAAGCATTCCTCGCCGTCGACTGCCGGGTCCGGTTTGGGGAACAGCTGAGCTGATTCCGAGATAGAACGGAATCCCTCAACCGCCTTATCATTGTCGCCAACAGCGTCAGTCGTCGCATCGGTCTTGGAGGAGGCGAGAGAGACGTTCGAGGAGCTAAAGAGCGAGGATGTGCCTCGGCGGAAGAGATGCATATTGGCGGATATGGGATGGGTATCTTTCCTCCGTTAATTTTGATCGCAAAGTAAACCAAAAGAGATAAATTTACAGCAATCCTACAACAATTCTTCTCAATAACTTCAATGACGTGTCAAACCCGAAAATTGAGGTGATCTTATCAATCATTTTGCATTTCTGCCAAGAAACTCGGGAATATTTCCTCATGACTAAGCCCCCACTGCTGTCCGATGGGGTATTTTAATCCGATCTATAACTAATGTACATATTGTGAGTGGAAGTGAAATGTCCAGGTGGAGGTGGAGGTGGGCCCGTTTAACCATTCCTACCACCGGCGTAGGTGATAGTATACGGTAAATTACCCCGATCATGGGGTTGTGAGAGTCGGATCACACTGCCTCCAGAACTGCCGGATTGCCCAGAAGGTACTCGGCGCAGTGATCGAGTCGACGGTGTGCGGAGTCCCCGCCCAAAATAAGACCCGCTTTCTTGTGATATTCCGGAATATGGGCTTTGTACTCCGGGCGCAGTGTCATACCCCGATTGGCCCGATTGCGTCTCCCAAGTTGACGCGTTAGATGGCAGGGGACTGTTACTCCGCATCGGAGTGAAGGTTCCATCGTACCCGAAGTGGTCCACTGTATCCGTCTCTCCTTCTTCGTCTGAGGGGCCGATGACAGATTCTGTGTCTGTGAAACGATCACTCATGTTGCCACGGATATCGTCTATGATAGGCGGCGCAATGCATGTCATTCCTCTGAGAAGCTCCGCAAAGAGATGCATTAGATCGCGAAATTCAGTCTCGTGAAGCTGGTGAGAGGAAAACCGGGCCCGCTCGTACACGGCAAGGAAATCCGCGGCGAGTTCCGGAGATTCGATAGCCTCCAGTGATGTTAGACGTCTAATGTATTGGCGGAGTCCCATTGAGGCCGGGCGCCGCAATGCCTCCACCACACGCATATCGGGTAAAGACTGGATTCCCGGAGGGTCGGCATGATGGAAATGGTCCGTAACCGTAGATGACAAAAGACCTGCTGGTGCTAAAGAGACCGCTTTCGCTTCAATCAAATTCGGTAGTTCCTGAATGACGGTGCGATAGGGGAGATCCGGCAGGTCGGGCGAAGCAGGTGATGACCAGCCAGGATGCTCCACGAGACCCCATGGCGGCCGTTTGGGGTCGATCAGAAGAGGCTCGTAATTCTGAAAGCTATCTTCTTCGCCAGATGTGTCACGAGGTCGGGCCTGGTAGGAGATGACTGCGCTGCGAGCGAGTCCTTCTTTTACCATGCGCCGTACGCTCTTACCCACGTCTTCCTTCTCCACAGGAATCCATGCCTTTGGTATCCCAGCCAAGGTACTTGTGTTTGTATATAGTCGAGTTGCGTAGATGAGGACCGCAATAACGAAGGTAATGACATAGGCGCCGGTTATGAAAAAGATGTTTGTGAGTCGTTGGGTCTCCCAGCATTGGTAGATCGCGTCGGCCGGTGTAAGTAGGATTAGACAAAAGAGGATGAGGGCGAGGAGGGCGAAGACACTTGTATTAAGAAAGCGCTCGAGTTTTGGGGTCATGACTGCCCGCGCATGCCATGAGAGCACGGCATTTGGTGGCAAGGTAACCTGGATACAGTAGTAGAGAGGAAGCAGCTTAAGGTTGACGTCTTCAGGAACGCCGATCAATGCAAATCACGTGTGGTGATATCACAACACTCAATCAACTATGCACGGAGTACGGAGTACATCTGAAGTGGTCTTTGATTTACTATTTGACGGACAGATTTCTCATTGCATATTTCCCTGGAATTGCTCCTCATTACATAAACAAGCAACTGAGCGAGTCGACGCGATCAACGCCGCGGAGTTACTCCTATCACATGATACTCTCTCCCGCTAAATCAACACTTAACACATTTCAATATCTCCTATTCGAAGACAATCAATTGATACAATGGCATCTCCTTATGACCAACAAGACACTTATGTCTTGGTAACAGGTGCAAACAGGTACGGATCCCCTCCAATCGCATACACCCTCCCCGCTCCTGGATCCTTCAAGAAAAAAAAAGTGACAACACTAACAAACTTCTTCAGTGGTCTCGGATTCTCAATATGCTGCCGTCTAGCCGATGAATTCCTCCAAACCCGGTCCGCCCCCACGAACCTAAATATAATCTTCACAACTCGGAGTACGCGCAAAGCGCAAGACACAATCCGCCGTCTAGAAGCACACCTCCGCACTACCACCACCTCACCCACAGATTTCGCCCGCGTACGCTTCATCCCCGAGAGCGTCGACCTCGGAAACCTCCTCTCCATACGCGCCTGTTCTCGTCGTCTAAACAGCACATTCCCAAAACTCGATGCCATAATCCTAAATGCCGGCTTAGGCGGCTGGTCCGGTATTGACTGGCTACCCGCAGTCTGGGGCATGGTGACCGACCTCGTACACAGCTGCACATGGCCAGGATTCAAGATCTCACCCATTGGCGTTCTAGCGGATAAGCAAGTTCCGAAGGGAATCGCGAACGTGGAAGAACCGATCCTTGGATCGGTTTTCTGCGCTAACGTGTTTGGTCATTATATGCTTGCGCATAATGTTGCTCCCTCTCTGAAACGCGCGCATGGACCTGACGGTCCTGGTCGAATTATCTGGATCTCTAGTATTGAGGCGACGGTTAAGTTCTTTGATGTGAATGATATCCAGGGTTTACGCTCTGCGGAACCTTATGAGTCTACAAAGACGCTTACGGATTTATTGGCCATCACCGCTGATTTACCGAGCACCGCGCCTTGGGTGGATAGTTTCCTTGGATTGGATGGTGAGAAGGATTCCGTGAAGCCTTCTTCCCATCTTGCTCACCCAGGTATCTGTCTGACGTCTATCGTGCCACTCCCTCAACCTCTTATCTGGGCTCAGGGTCTGGCATTCTATGGTGCACGTTTCCTGGGATCACCGTGGCATAGCATGAGTACATACTCCGGTGCTAATGCGCCTGTTTTTGCGGCACTATCGTCGAATGCTGAGCTTGATGATGCGGAGAAACCATATCGACAGGCTGGTGGTGGCAGACCTAAATGGGGCTCTGGTGCTTCGATGTTTGGAACGGCGCATGTCTATTGCACGGAGACGGATGGATGGGGCTATGGTGGTGTGGTTGGCACTCCTATTGTTGAAGCTGACCGACAACGACGTCGAAAACGAGGTGCCGCTGAGCTTACGGTGGAGCAGAAGGAAAGCTTTGAGGAGCTTGGACGTCAGTGCTGGAAGCAGATGGAGGAGCTGCGCATCATCTGGGATGGGATTCTGGATGAGATTGAGAAGGTGCAGAACTGAACCAAGGTGAAGGAATCTGAATGAAGGCTGACTTGAAACCTTGGCCTTGACTATTCTTCTGTGTAGATATCTCATACTTGAGCAGTGTCTTGTATAACTTGTAACATTACCCTTTAATCACATACCTAATTATACCCATACACCGACAAGTGTCACATGGTTCAGGTTTAGTTAGTTTGCAAACTTCATAGTAACAGATACCTTCTAACTTGAACACCACTTCAAGTTTTTATACTGGCTGGCAGCTTTCTCTGTTATGATTACCTTCCGTCCAGGTGGTGTCTCCTACCTGTCTGGTTCAACTTGCATCTCTTGAACATTTTACTTTCCACCCAAGAGATATCATATACTCTGAGGAGTGTTCTCTTTTTTATGCATCGATTAATAAGCTCCTATCGAAGTTGAGAGATCAAGTGCTCTATCACCTGATCCTCGCTATATCACTTCACCATGCCTTTCTTCCACTCTTCAACCTTCGCACAGCAACCTTGGAAACTTCCGTCTTCCCATCTCCAAGGCTTTAGCAGCTCGCACCCGGAAAGTCCAGAGCTCAGGTGTGAGGCTTTGAGCCTGTGACTATGTCTTTTCCTACGAGGCACACTCCGAGATCAGGCCGATTCAGGATACGCGAAAGAAGTCAGTCGATGAATTCCGTTCAGAGCTCAGGCGCTCTTTACGCGCTGAGCTAGAGACCATGTGACGGATGGGCCCCTATGATAACTACAGGCGCTGCAAGCTGTTTTCGCTTCCAAGTTCCACCAGCCTGATATAGCATGTGTGTTAGCATAATGAGCTCATCTAGAGGCTTTTTGAAAAGAAAAAGTTTCCAAATTAGGCACCAACTTGAAACTAGGCGAGGAAGCCGCCCGGTATGTTATGTGACATGGAAGACGCTGATCAAGGCCTTAATGACATTCACATTCATTCACCGACTCAACGGCCTTGCTGAATTTGAGACGGTATGAATCCCTGGCTAGATGCGAACAGATCGAGACTCAGCTATCCTGCTGGCACATACCTAGTATCTCTCACCTCGTCGTCTATGGATATCCTCATACTCAAAATGCCCAAATCTTTGCACATAGACCTGGTTCATTCGATGACTGAACTGATCATGAAGCCCTGTGGAACAATGAGATTTGAAGCAAAACACTTATTGATTATTCCGCTCATAAATGGATGTCCAAGTGGATAAAAGAGCAATATGGAAATCTTGAAAAGCATTCAGTTTTCTGTTCCCTGACGACCTAGAAGCGCACACTGTTGGGTTTCAAACGATAGACCCTCGGTAATCCTGGAGATCGGAGAGAACCGAATTGGGAGCATCAAAATAATGCAAAGGTGCCTGGCACTACCCAAGGAGGTACTAGTGGCGACCAAGGAGTTGCTATTGGTACTGAGAGATATTCGAAGTACTCTCTGGCAAATTCCCCAAATATGGTCTATGGATAAATCCGAGAGAAAAGTCTGCCAACCCTATCGATCTGACAGAGTCCGAAGTGGAAACAAAGATCAGGACGGCTCATGCACTGGTTTTCTTTGACCTGGAGTTTACCAACCCACGGCTTAGCATGAGCCTTATTGCATGGGTTGAATGAAAATTGGAAATATCCTTCGAATTCTTATCCCCATAACTATTACCCCAATAGTATGCATCATGCCTACTGCCCAGGTGGGTCGCAGATACATTTCATACTGGCAATGATGACTGCAAATGAATCACCCCCTGGGTTGGTCACCTATTATGTCGAACGGGACCCCTTTCTGATGCTGTACGACACCGGCTGTGGAATGACCCTCGTTGACTGGGAAATACTCTCAACAAAAGTTGAAAGCAAGTTCGACTCGATGTCTGCCTCCCAGATAATGGGATCTTCCATGCTGCTATTGATGACTACCACAAGTTATACGCCTCTTGGCCGAAGGACTTCAACAGCGCTGGTGTCGTTAAGTACACAAGACCACCCCGAGGGCCACCTGTTGTTGTCCTTGACAATGTTCTCTGAATCCAGATTTATGGGCGGTTATGACGCTCTCGCTGACTACCACTTCGCCTTGGACGCCCGCATTATCAGTTCGTGGCTTTTGAACAGAAAGGCATGGCCATGGTCTAACAAAGGCAACAAAGACTACTCTTTATGGCTTTGCCAAATGATGCCATCATGCCTTCTCGGGCGATTATGGATACTGCCGTTGTCTAAGGCTAGAAAGGTTGTCTACGAAGCGGCAGCAACGGTTTAAATGGCCGGAGACCGACGGTGACCATTTATTCTACTCGGTGATGTCCAAGAGACTGGTCCCTCTACAAAAAGCTTCATAACACCACGAACCTACCTTACCTACTACATGCCTGTTCAAAAGTCTGGGTACACTTTTTCTGTAGAACTTTAATTTTTCAACCCACCAACTTCCAATTCATAACACCACCAAGATGAGAGCTTTCGGCACAGTGATTCGTGGAAATCGACCACAAAATACAGAGCTATCAGCTGAACTACGTTCTAATATCGTCACAGCAGTTAAACTGGGTAATAAACCAGCTCAAATTGCGCGTGATTTTCAAATCAGCCGCACGACAGTATATCGTATGATGGAACGCTTTCAGGAACATAACAATATGAAGTCACGTCCTCGCTCAGGTCGCCCTACCTTGGTTAATAATCGAACTTCGTGTTATATTTATCAGATGTGTCGTAGGTCCCCCCAGAATGAGCTGGGCAGCCCTGATTGCTGAGACAGGCCTAGGCATATCAAGATCAACTGCCTACCCATGCTTACGCCGCTACAAGATTTATAAATGGAAATCCCGTCTCCGAATCCCATTAAAGAAAGACGATGTCCGTCAGAGGCTGAATTTTATATGTCAATGGCAGCATTTCAACGAATTAGAATACTTAATATTCAGCGATGAATGCTCAGTTCAAAGGCGATCAAATTTAACAACTCAATGGGTATTCGACTAGCTTCAGAGGCCTATCGACATACCTTAGTTAATCTAACCAACAACGGCCATGATATTACCTAAATCGTCTAGGGTGGTATTTGGATTGGTGGCCATACGGATCTAGTTATTATACAACATGATTCTGAAGCCCCTTGTGGTGGATACTCAGCTAGATCTTACCAGTGGGCTCTTGAAGAAGCTTTTTTACACCGTTACACACCAGATGTGATCTTTCAGCAAGATAATACTCGGTCTCATACCGCAGAGACTACACAAGAATTTTTTATGGCTCATAGAATACACGTCATGGATTGGCCTGCCCATTCACCAGATTTAAACCCAATTAAGGCCTGCTGGTTCCTGCTAAAACGCGAGGTTTTCAAATTACGCCCTGACCTACGACACACCGGACGTTTCTTAGTGGCCTGGACTGGATTTCATGATTCATTGAAGCGTGCTTGGTGGAATATTCCACAAGAAACCATCGATAGCTTAATCCGGTCATTTACTAAGCGTTGTAAGGCGGTTTACAACGTTCGGGGGTATTACACTAAATACTAGTGTATGAATGGAAAGTCTGTTCATTTACCTGTATTATCAGTCAATTTTAAGCCGAAATATTGAAAATTGGATTTTTAAGAATTTTTTTAACGTAGTGGTTATCTTTTTCGGCCGAAATCTTATATATGGAGTGTACCCAGACTTTTGACCTATTATGTAGCGTTTAGCCTAATACACTGTCTATTTATACCACAGTAGACATCTACTTTCTCATGAGGTCGCGTCAACATTTGAAATTCAATATCATAACTTGAAGCTCAATATCAAGCCTGCTCATGTGCTACTATGCATTGTTCAAGTTTCCAGCGTTCCATTCAAGTTTATTGTATCTCATGTAGATGTTTAGTTGTGTGATAACTTCGAAGCTCTGTTCATATTATAGTAAGATTAATCCTTATTTCCAAGTTCCGCTATTCATGTTTCAATTAAGGCATAGAAGGTAGATATCAGACATAATGCTATCAACCCTTGATCACTACGCGCGTACACTACGAAAAAGAATCCATGACTGGTAAAGTAGCGTTGAATATTTTTTGTAATTCCGCCTCCCAGGTATTTACATCAACAGCACCCGCCCCGCGCCCATGATATCATTAAAAACAAGATATTGCATGATTGTTTTACCGCAAGATCTAGGCAGAAGCGTAAAAAATGCGGGGTTTGAGTTGCAAGCTCTTGGATATTTGAAGCCTGCACAATAAGACAAAACAGGAAAGGCACTAAAAGGTGATAAGGTTTGCAAAAGGCGGTAATTGACCAGTTTCCCAACCATCTAGGTGTGGAAATGCATCGACTATCCGGGTATGAAGGGTAAATTAAAAAGGACAGTGCGAGCACATAGCGGGGGCGACGGCACCAATCGCGGATGAACAGGCAAGAAAACAGGGACCGAAGAAGATCGAGGTAAGAGAAGAGAAGATCAGGTAGACAACGACTCCGGTTCAATGCATCAAGACGGGGAGGTAGAGTAGAGGGAGGTATCGGCAAAGATGAGAGAGATAGGGTGTAAAAGGACGTAGCGACGTGAGGGAAAGGGATTACATGATAATGGCAGGAACTAAACCAGAGTGTTAGCTTATTGATACAATTCTGATTCACATCTGGCAAAACTTACCATCAATGTTCTGCTTGATGCTCTTGTGAGGCAGGATGGAACCACCGTTAACGTAAACCTCATCGGCAATGCTAACGTCGTCACCGAGAACTGTAACGTTCTCGAGACGAGCCCAGCGACCAACGGAGCTGTTCCAGCCAACGATGGTGGACTTGATCCAAGCGTGGTCCTTGACCTTGCAGTTCTCCATCACCACGCAGCGCTGGAGACGAACACCGTCACCGATGACCACATTAGGTCCAATGACCACGTTGGGTCCAATGCGGCAGTTATTTCCAATCTTAGCTGAGGGGTCAACCATGACGTTACCGCCATAGACGTAAGGCTCAGAGTTGGAGACCAGCTTCTTGGGGTCGCGCTTGGCCAGCGAGCTGAGGTACAGGCAGGTACCAGTGAGGAAATCCTTGGGTTGACCGACATCCATCCAGAAGCTCTCAAGATCAAATGAGTGCAGCTTGCCATCCTTCACAATAGCGGGGAAGGTCTCCTGCTCGATGGAGGTCGGGCGAAGCTCAATACGCTTGAGAACACTGGGGTTCAGGATGTAGATACCGGCATTGATACGGTTGCCGACGAACTCGACGGGCTTCTCAACGAAGCGATCGATACGAGAGGGGTGGTTGGGCTTGTGAACCACGACACCGTACTTGGAGGGCTCGTCAACCTTGGTGACGACAATGGTACCCTCATCACCGTGGCTCTTGTGGAACTGTGCGAGTTGCTCGAAGGGGTAATCACAGATAACATCTGAGTTAAGGACGAAGAAGGGAGTGTCATCCTTGCCCAGAATCTTCTCCGCCAGCTTCAAGGGACCAGCGGTGCCGAGGGGTTCAGTTTCCACTGAAAACTCGATGTTGACGCCATACTGTTCCTCGTACTTCTTGAGCGCCGCGACCATCACATCGGGACGGTAGTTGACAGCCAAGACGATATCAGTGACACCTGCTGCAGCCAAGCTCTCAACTTGGTGCAGGATCATAGGCCGGTTGCCGAACTCGACGAGGGGCTTAGGGAGGGTGAGAGTCTAGACCAAATTAGAAGATTCCATGTTAGTCGATGCGAGGGAATTTTGAATAGTGCTATCAATTGGGGCCGTCCAACATTGAACCGAGTCAATTGGAGGGGACAAAAGCACAAGATCGACCATAACTTACCAAAGGACGCAGTCGGGTCCCGAACCCTCCGACAAGAATGAGTGCTGCGGGTTGGTTAGTTGGGGGGTAGATGAGGGGTGGAATGGAGGGGGGAACCACATACCCTTCATATTGTGGGGATTATTAGATCAAGTAAAGGTTAAAAACAGAAGAAAAAAAAGAGAATCTCAATCTCAGGAAAAATAGAGAAAGAGCAATGTATTTAGAGATTCAAGAGAGAGAGATTGAGAGGGAACACCTGGCCGTTGATGGATTTATTTCGATTGGGAAGGTGGGGCACGTGAGTCTTAATGATTGGACGTTTTCAGTAGGGAAAAGGGGGTGGACCCCTTATGGTACATTCAGGTACTTCTTCTCTTGTACACACATCTATACTCTATACTCTTTATGTACTCTATGAATTTGCAATTTCCGGATTCCCATGAGTACCGTTATTCCACTCGAAACCTGATACTAATATGTTTTTTTCTCATCCTAGGTTTCGATGTGGTGGGGTATATTCTCAAAGTTGAAGCTGTTCGGAGTACAAAGTCCCTACGCTAATGCCGGGTCGTACTAACGTGCCCTGGCTGAATCCAGCCTACCATCGATGTTTAGCGGCGTACCAGAGCCGCCATTTCACTGGATCGGGGCCTATGAATTGGCTTCCCCGCCAACTTTGACGGTCAGGCGATGTTGCCCCCTGGATGCAAAGAGGCGATAATCACTGATGTTCGAAATTCTTGATGTTTGCGGTCATGGGCCGCGTGGAGAGCTTCATCTCCCCATTCGTCGCACCACAACCCTCCTTCATCTTGCTACATGTTTGGCCCCCCCCTTTTTTTTCCCATGCATGACCCACCGACTACGGAGACGTACAGTACTGGAATTATTTAACTTCATCGCCTGAGACATCAAATGGCTATCTGTACGAAGAGAAAAAAGAGTACAGAGGACAGACAGGATGGCAATTATAGTTCAAATTCTGGGGTTGATGATTCAGTGGCTTGTGCGTTTATAAATAGTGAGCTCCAAAAATCTGTACGTTCAGACACACATGTGCATATGCGGATAACTCAATCAGCTTGAAAGTATGGAGAGCACTTGAGAGTACTTAGGAATACAAGGTGGAGACTGAAATTTTGTACTCCGTATGATCACCCTCGTAGTCATTTCATTTAAAGGACTTATTGTTATTGCGTATCCGGAGGCAGTTGACGATGGCCACGTTGTGTCTCTAACATTCCTCGAGGGCTACCGCCTACTTCATCCGTCCCCACAAATCGAAGTATCCATTCCCGTACTTTGCGAACCTTCTGCGGCAGATCGTCGTCAATACCGTGACTCGGTGGTATGACTTTCGAGGATCTTCCCGCATCCGTTGGTCGGTACAGAAGGTCGACTTGGGTCATTCCGCCGCGTAGGCTCTGGCCGTACACTTGATCCCGAAATGAGCCAAGTCCAACCGTCCGCAAAAGAACAATGTCTTGAGGACGAAGACTGGCCAGAGAGCTAGCAAGCCAATCGATCTCCCGAGCCTTGGCACCTGGTCGATCTGTTGGAGCGGGCAGCCAAAAGTTGACTCCGAATCCGGCCCGTGTCTCATCACCAACCACCAATTCAATAATGTCAAGTTCTTTCTTCCATTGCCGTGTCACCACGCGTCGGGGTGGGTGAATTGCAATGATCCCGACCACTAGGTTAACCGTCATGGTCTGTGGTACAATCGACTGCAAGTATTTGGCCGTGGGAATATCACCTAGATCTTTCAAAGGACCACGGATCTGGATAGGTGGTGATTCAGACACGTCTTTGTCTGATGTATCAGTGATCATGAGGTCGTCCAACCCTGAGCTACTTTGTGTCGGGTTCTCTTCTCGTAGCCCAGAGGCGTTAATCTGGGATGTTTCATGAACAGCAAACGAATGGTCGTAGAATTGAGACAAGGCTGAATCATCCTCGTCGCTTGATGCACTATCAGCGTTAATGAGCTGCTGTGCTGTCAGAAAACTTCGGGTCATTGGGCCCCCAGTAAAAGGCAAGGTGATCCTCCACGGTATCGGATGATAGAGGTTGAAGAGCTCTCCATTTAATGACTTTCTGATCCAAACATGGTTCATATGCTGGATCGTATGCTGTGCTATTGTTTGCGTCACAGAATGGGGGTATAGGTGTGTTGAGAAGCTCATCATGGTCCCAGTCCAGACTGCTGGGAAGAGGAGCCCCCACAAGAAAAATTGTCCTCTGAGACATTTCAATATAAGCGAAAGCTTCTATCTCGGTCAAAGCTCAGCTCGGAGGAAGTATTCAAGTATGATATGCATGCTTCCCGTCCACTATTTGGGAGGCTACTGATAGCTCTGAGCCTCGAGGATCAATCTGTGGATTGCTGGGGATGGGTCAAAGTGGGTTGATTGTGGAGTTTTCTTGATAACAGGCTGCGAGGTGTCCTGTCATAGTTTAAAGATGAGGTGAAGTCCAAAATACAAAATTGGTCCAGTCCGAACCATGGGAGGCCAAGTCGAGGCCTTTGGATTATCTCATCATTTGAGGCGCCCGTGGACCCGCGCCCGGGTCCCCAGGTGCTGGGCGTGGATGGCAGCCTGACAGTCCCCACTTAGTTAGTTCGAACAGAAATACGCATCTGGGCACATATCCAATCTGTGGAACGATTCTTTGTATTTACTTCTACTTTACTAGAATTTGATATGATTCAGAATGATTTCCCTCTGTTTGAATTCCTAAGAGCCAAGAAACGGTTGTGCTAAAGTACAAACTAAGCCTATCTCCAGGGCTACATGTTATTATTCCAAGCCTGCAGATGGAATGGCTACTACTCCGTAGTAAAATATTCCAATATTATCATCGGGTCTATGAGTGATTCCTATTCTTCAATTTCACATTCTTTCTCCGACTCAATTAACAACAGGATGCTTTTCAAGGAAAGAATCGATTTCACTTTACCTCTGGTCGTTTTTCTGGGCTATCCCGTCAGGTTAAGGCCTGGCTCTGAATCAAGAAATGAACTATGTGACGAGTTGAGCTAGCTAAAACACCAGTGTAGCGGCTACAAGGGACCCTTGTAAAAAGGCGATCAGTGCAAGCTGCGGGGCGTAGCAACGCCGACCTTCTCATCCAACCCCTTAGTGATAGCTTCAGGTTTTGTTTCCATGCCACGTCATTCCGCATTTGAGGGCTGATCTATTCTGTTTGCCTTGCATCCTCACTATTACTAATACTAGACTCGGTGCTTTTGTTGCTGATGAGTATAAGATTGACCTCCAGCTATACATTGTTCTGATCCTTGTACTTGTTTCTTTGATCAAAAATGTCGACCCCAAACGGCGAAATCACACGCAGATTGGAAATTGGGAAGGTCTTTGATAGAATTGTTGAAGATCAGAATAGAGATGGCAAGATTTATCGCGTCTATGCCCACCATCTTGCGAGAGCTTGTTGGCATGGAAGTCGGATCACACTTCGGCAAAGCTCGTCTGAGGCAGAAGGAATATTCGACTTCATCCTACTGACTCACCAGGCGTGTACTGGTGAGTGGGGAAACCACATTGACCATGGCCTTACAAAAGAGGAGGTAGACTAGTGGCTAGAATTTGCGGGCATGTTTATGTCTAATCTCGGAAACTATTTTGTGAGTCTCTTCATAATTAAATTTCACCCTGCTATGATACATTTTCTAAACTCACCTGAATAGGGAGATCCCAATCACAAAGTGATCCCTGACATCTCTAGATATGCCCTCCGAAAAATGGCTAGCGTCTCAACTGAAGCTAGTGTCAAACCTGATGAGATTATCGAGCCAATGATGTCTGCCCAGCCAGTGAAATTAGGACATCCAGATGAAACAAGCCAATCTGGTTACTATCCCGGAGTCGAGAAAAATTACTAAAGAAGAAATTGAAGCACTCAGTGGTGTCATTACAGCCAACGGAATCGAACCTGATCACACGCGTCTCCTGAAGCACATCGGTAACACAGGGCAGACCTGATTTGAGGTTCTGCAAGCTTCCTTGGGAATGAACTCGGAGCTACAGCCTTACGGGGAGGTTCAAATTCGGGATCAACCTTTGGCCAAAGTATTCTTTCGGTGTGGAGACCATTCTAACGAGATGGAAAAAATTTGTTTGAAACTCGCAGAAGCCCAGAAGCATGCTACTACATCCAACCAAGAAGCTGAGATGTCTCATCTCATCAATAACTTCCGAGCTGGTGACTATAAAGAGGCATTTTGGGAAGCCCTTAAAGTATGGGCCCAGGACAAAGCGCCGCGAATTGAACACGCTATAGGCTTCTTCTTTCCCTATCGAGACCCAAGCAGAATCAGACCGGATTGATTAGCTACTGTTGGTATCACGGATGCTGAGGAGACTGAGAAGCTCAGCCAACTTGTCGCTCGATCAACCAAGTTTCTTCGCTCGCTTCCATGGGCTATACCAGATGAAAATGATGGAAAGGGGCCTTTTGAGTATGCAAAGCTTGAAGCACCAGACTTTTCAATAACTCACTGTAAGTCTCCCAGGTTCTTTCTTCGTAGAGCCTACAAATTAATACTATTTAGCTCTTGCTTCTGTTTCATTCACGGTCTGGGAAGCCTTCAACATCAACCTTGTAAGCGCTGACGAAAAAACCCCTTTAAGATAAATTAGGCTGACAGAATATTAGAATTTAGGCGATGGAATGAACTATGGAGTGAATACCATTCTGTATAGCAACCGAATGGCCCTGAATAGTAGTCCAGGCCGTCCATGCTACTATGTTCACCCCTCCGAGGCTGACTCGTACATGGAATATTCTCATATAGTTCATTTCATTACAACATCCATACATGAGCTTCTCGGACATGAAACAGGCAAGTTGTTGAGAGAAACAGCACCTGGTGAATTCAACTTTGATCGCCAAACCCCCCCCCCCTCCGATGAGCCCTGTGACAGGGCAGCCAATCCAGAATTGGTACAAACTGAATGATGAGACTCGGGGAACTGTCTTTAGAAAAATGGCTTCCACTATGGAGGAATGCAGAGCCTTCTTGTTTGCGGATTATTTCATCGATAACGAAGACATTCTTGCTCTGTTTGGGTATGATGATTATAGTTTGCCGACAGCCGATGACTGTGAGTATTCCAAATCTGAATCGAGTAGTGTTTTATGATTAACGAATAAAGTGATATACTACGCATATTTACATATTGGTGTTGAAGGACTCCGAGCACTTTGCAGCTACAAAGCTGAGGATCAAGCCTGGGGTGGTGACCATGACCAGGTAAGGGACAATCTTCAACTTGATAGTACCAACAGCCAGATTAAATCATCATGTTCTTTCTAGGCTCTTTTTGCGATCTTGAATCACATGTTGAATCACGGCAATGGCGTTATAACGGTAGAGCATGATGGTGTTGATAAGAAGCTTTACGTCCATGTCGATCGCACGAAGATCAGATTTCATGGGAAGCCGGCAATAGGCCAAATGTTATGCAAGCTCCACATATGGCACTTGACAGCAGGCATTGAGGCTTGCAAGTCATATTACGAATCTCTGAGCACTATTGATGATGTTTACGAATCGTGGAGGCAAATTGTTGTCTCTAACCCTGAGCCAAAGTGGAAGTTCGTACAGCCGAACACATTTCTGAAAGAGGATGGTACGGTCGAGCTCAGGGAGTATGAGGCTAGCAATGCTGGAATCGTCAAGTCTTTTTACGCAAGAAATGTCTGAAGAATATGGTTCAATTCCGCCTGGGCATATGCTGCTGGTGACTACCATAGTAATTCCAAGCATGTCTATCCTATTATGGGCGCAAATATTAGTACTAGTTCAAATGTTTAAGGCAGCTTTTGATGCCTTGAAAATGCAAAAAATTACATAGTACCTACTCGCTAGTACAAACAACTTGAACTGAAGCTTGAAATATCTACCGTAACCCTGCACAAGGCTTCAAGTTCCCATATTCTGGGTCTTGAAATCAAAATTGAATGAAACAACAAATTCACCAGCACTTGAGATGAACAAACCTATCGACAGATAACACAGATATCAGATCATCAAACATCCAGGTTGAGATATCAAAGATAACATTTGAAGACGAACTCTACCTGACTCGACACTCGATAGGGTTCTCAGGTTAAAGAGCAGACAGCTGGATATGCCATGCCCTTACCGCCTTCCCAACACCGAGGTATTACCCACCAGTTGCCTATATTCCACGTGACTATACGGGAAACCGACCCAACCTAAGTGGCAACCGACATTCGCCGCAGCGGAGTCGAAGACCACCGTCATCATTCTCCATTCTCAGCACTGTCAGCGATGGCAGTTTCTGTAGGTTATCATTAACTATCATCATACGGTCGCATTTTCTAGTTTCCTAGGAGGCACCCTTTGGCTCCCACGCGGCCGAGCGCCGCTTTCAATCGGACAATTATGGCCTTCCAAGCAACTATCCCGCGGCCGGTGAGTACCAGATGTTTCCTGTTGAAGAGTGATACCGGAAGTCTTACTAAACATTGGTATTTTCATCAGAACGTTGCCGCTGTGACTACCGATATCTGGCCATCGATGTCTACCTTATTAGCTACTCCCTGGAAGCAGGTCGTACGAACCCCAGCTATCGGAGCCCACGAGACCACCCAAAAGACTCATCGGGAACAAGTTGCGACGGTAGGAGCTTGTCACTCAGTCAGCTTCACTGAATTTACTGACCCGAGCAATCAGACCCCTGAGTGTGTCTCGCTGCCGGAGTTCTTGAACTCTGTACCTATGCACGGACTCAAGACCAGCATGATCAACCAGCGCGCTCCCCGTGGACTGTCGTCCTTCTTGACCGGTGGTATGCAATCTATGCCAGCCTCTATTCCTATGTTTAACCCGATGGCTAATTGGCAATAGGCAACCCACTGTGGAATTCGAACGCCTCCGCTCATGTTCTTGCCTCGTCGACAGCTCGATCCTTTTCGACGCTGACACCTTTCCGCCTCAACGATACCCGTGCACCGATCAAGGTCAATGGCCTTTCCAAGGTTCAACAGCAGCGATTCCTCTTTGGCAGCTCCCGTTCCTCCCAGAACATGCTGGCCCAGAAGGAGAAGACTGCGAACAACAACCCGAACAGCGCAAACGCCCAAAATGCATTTTACCAGGCCCTTTTACGTGCGGATATGCCTCGGATTATCGTCGAACGCCACCAGTCCGCTCACTTTGCCAGCAACGACCTGACTGAGAACATATACAACAAGGCGCTGGGCCAAGTCGCCCGCAACTCTGCCTTCGGCGGAGCTGCTCCGCGGGGAAATATGGATTCTCTGAGTCAGGATCAACTGCAGGCTGTTGGTCAAGCGCTTGCTGCGCGTAGCAGCGGTGGTCAAATCGGTACAGCTAGCAGACAGGTCGGCACTGGTGCCAAGGATGCTCCCCTCTACGTGGTAGTGGATGAATCCATGGGCAGTGCTGTCTTCCGCTGGGTCAAATTCTTCTTCTTCTTTGGATTCTTCGCCTACGTTTCTCTGATCCTGATTACTGTTCTGGTTGAAACTACTGGTATCCTGAAAAACGTCCGCGGCACGCAGAACAACGAAGCGCAGCCTCAGCAACAGACAGTTCGTTTCAGCGATGTCCACGGCTGTGACGAGGCCAAGGACGAGCTGCAGGAGCTTGTCGAATTCCTTCTGAACCCTGACCGTTTCTCCTCTCTCGGTGGTAAGCTCCCCAAGGGTGTTCTCTTGGTTGGCCCTCCCGGTACTGGTAAAACTCTGCTTGCCCGTGCCGTGGCTGGAGAGGCTGGTGTACCCTTCTTCTACATGTCCGGATCTGAATTCGATGAGGTATATGTCGGTGTTGGTGCCAAGCGTGTTCGTGATCTCTTTACTCAGGCCCGTAGCAAGTCTCCTGCGATTATCTTCATTGACGAGCTTGATGCCATTGGTGCCAAGAGAAATGAACGCGATGCCGCCTATGTCAAGCAGACCCTGAATCAGCTTCTGACAGAGCTGGATGGTTTCTCCCAGACTAGCGGTGTGATCATTATCGGTGCTACTAACTACCCTCAACTCCTGGATAAGGCTTTGACCCGCCCTGGTCGTTTCGACCGCAAGGTGGTGGTCGGTCTTCCCGATGTTCGTGGACGTATGGATATTCTCCGTCACCACACGAAGGAAGTCCAGATCAGTACTGATGTTGATGTTGCTGTGATTGCTCGTGGTACTCCTGGCTTTTCTGGTGCTGACCTCGAGAACCTGGTTAATCAGGCTGCTATTCATGCTAGCCGTGACCGCAAGACCAAGGTCGGACCCTTGGACTTCGATTGGGCTAAGGATAAGATCATGATGGGTGCTGAGGCTAGGAGCCGAATCATCCAGGATAAGGATAAGCTCCTGACAGCCTATCACGAAGCCGGTCACGCCCTTGTTGCCTACTTCTCGTCGTCTGCTACTCCGCTTTACAAGATCACCATTGTTCCCCGTGGAATGGCTCTTGGTATCACTCATTTCCTGCCCGAGATGGACACCGTGTCGCGAAACTACACCGAGTATCTCTCGGACATTGCCGTTGCCATGGGAGGCAAGGCTGCCGAGGAACTGATTTTTGGTGAAGACAATGTCACTAGCGGTATCTCAGCTGTAAGTTCTTTCCACTCCCCGAATTACTCAACTCATACTCACATCTGTGCCCAGGATATCCAACAAGCAACCGAAACCGCTTTCACATTGATCACCCGATTCGGCTATTCCAAGAAGCTCGGTAACGTCGATCTCTCAACTAACTACGACAGTCTCTCCTCAGAGACCAAGCAAGAGATTGAAGCGGAAGTCCGTCGCCTTGTCGAGGAAGCTCGCGGTCGCGCAAACAAGATCCTTACTGAAAAGCGCCACGAACTCGAACTTCTATCAAAGGCTCTGATCGAGTACGAGACGCTTACAAAGGAGGAGATGGAACAGGTTCTCCGAGGAGAAAAGCTTGACAAGCTCAGCTCATCACCCAGTGCCCCTCTTAAGCTCCCTGATGCTCTTCAGGCTACTACTCTGAAGCCGTCAACCGCGGCAGAGGAACCTCGCACTGCAACTGAGTAAGATTTGCTTGTTCCCTTCATGTATTCTTTTATTTTCTCTCCTATCCTTTTCTTATCTTGTCTCATTCATTGTTACTCCGTCTCTGTCTCTGTCTTGCATTCCCGGTTCGTTCGGGCGTCTTTATTGAAAATACCATTTTCCTTATCTTTTCAAAATCCTTAACTGGACTCCCCTCTTCTGATCCTTTCTGTCTCTATTGGGACTTCTGTATGTATATACAATCTGTATGTCTACGCTGTACTGTCTAGCCTTGTCTAGCACTGTCTGGAGTGATGCGAATAGCATAATATTTCTACTAGTTGTATCCATCCAATCGGAATCTTATCCAGGTCTCGGTAGTGATTCAGTAATTCAAGTTTGATCATTCCAAGGTTATATTTCAATATCCCGAGGTCAATGCTCTCTCTCCCACTCACTCCACATATTCTACCTAGGTAGTGGATACCTGGCAGTTCAATGTTGATACAATGTATTCGGAGTCCGAAACTCAAGGACCCACATCTACCATGATGTCATACCTTGAATCAGGAACATCCCGCTGTTGTGCCTGGTTCACATACCTACTGACGTGGTTATCCGGGAAGTAATGAATGATCTACATGAGTATGGGGGTTCTGAAGTGGCGAGTCTTCAGCTCACAGAGTATGGATAGAATCATTGTGATGTACGCCATGCACTTCTGCCAGATGGGAGACTTGCATCAACTGCCAAGGTTTAATTCCACCATAAGTGATGACTCGAATGAATCGTATCCATCAAGTTGAGAATTCAGACAGAAGAACGGATTGAATGATAGCAATGTTTTGAATTTTTTTCGATTATTTGGGAGAATTGTTATATACACCAAAATGCAAGTCACTCGACGCTCAACCGCCAAAGAACCAAAAGTAGACCAAGGAACCAGTCCTTCCCTTCAAGTTAAAGGCATGGACATGTTGAAAACAATCAAATGAATCAATGAAAAAAAATGAGAATGAAACAAAAACACAACCATCGTCACGGTCATGAAGGCGGTATGGCTCGCTGGCACACCTATTAGGGCAGGATTATCTAAAACGGAATCTCTAAATATGTATAGTGGAATGTGAGTGTATCCCGATGTGCCCTGGATAGGAGAGCAAGCCCGAGATTTGGAGAGAGAGGATAGAAAAAGGGGGTAATAGTCGTAATAGTTGGGGAGTGGGTATGTGTTTTATGCGGATTCTCCCTCCTGATCTCGATGGGCATGCAAATCTAGGTATGGAGGTATGGTGGTGTAGATGCGACACGGCCTCCAAGTTGAAAGTTGAAAAAAAGAATCCCGATGAATATAGACCAATTCGTGGTCCAGCCTTGAAGAGAAATGAATAGAGACATCGGGGAACGTATGAGGATAGACGCGAATTTATGCAATTTACTCTTCGTCGTCCGATTCCTCTTTCGTTTCCATCCAGCCTCGAGACATCTCCACGGCCTTAGACCACTGTTTGTACATCCGTGCGCTGGCTTTCTTGGAGATAGTGGGTTCGAAGGTCGTGCGGTTGGCACGGTTCATATATTTAAGGTCAGAGAAGTCTTTCCAGACGTCAATGGCAAAGGCGGCAGCGATTGCGGCACCCAGGGCAGTGGTTTCGTGCATTGCGGGGCGTTCGACGGGAATTTGGATGATATCGGCTTGGGTCTGAAAAAGAGGGGTCATGTTAGACAAAGAACCAAAGAACCCTGTAGACTGGGTAAATCGGACAGAAGAGAACAACCTACCTGCATGCAAATATCCGAATTACTCATACCACCGTCGACAGCCAATTCGGTCAACTTCTTGCCACTGTCCATTTCCATGGCATCGAGAATAGCCTTGGTTTGGAAACACGCTGCTTCCATGGTCGCACGGGCAATGTGTCCTCGTTGTGTGTGGTGGGTGATACCCCCTGCAAATTTAGTCAGTGTGAATTCTTCCGAGTTAGAACAGAAAAAGGATGAGAACTTGAACGTACAGATGGTTCCCTTGGCGTCATCAATCCAGTATGGTGCGAAAAGACCACTGAACGCAGTGACGAATACACAGCCTCCGCTGTCAGGAACGGTCGCAGCCAGATCACTGACCTTACGCGAGTCACGGAAGAAGCCCATGTTGTTCATGAGGAATGACACACCACTTCCTGCCACGGCCACACTTCCTTCCAAAGCATAGACTGGTTTGCGGTCTCGACCCAATTGGAAACCAACGGTACCGAGCAAACCATGCTTGGAGATAACAGGTTTCTCACCCACGTTATACAGAAGGAAGCAGCCAGTACCGTATGTGTTCTTAGCAGATCCTGGGGTAAAGGCACAGTGACCGACTAACGCAGCCGCCTGGTCACCCAGACAGCTAGTAATCCGCACACCCTCCAACGGACCCTCACAAATCTCACCGAAACCCTCGCGATCGGCTGAAGGGAAAATCTCCGGGAGACGAATCTTCGTCTTATCGATATCGAAGAAATTGAGCAATCGGTCGTCGTATTGGAGGGTCTCGAGGTTCATGAACATAGTACGGGAAGCATTGGTCACATCGGTAACCAAACGCTTGTTCTGGGGACCTCCGTTGAGGTTATAGATAAGCCAGGTGTCGACCGTGCCGAACGCAGCACGGCCCTCGTCGTAGGCGGAGCGGACATCGGGTAGGTTATCCAGCATCCACCTAAGGGTCACGGATGAGGGGTATGTGGAGAGGGGTAAACCGCAAATATTCACCAAATCATCAGCACCGGGCTTGGCCTTCAACTCACGTACCAAATTCATGGTTCGAGTATCAGTCCAGGTAATTGCATTGTGAAGAGGCTCTCCAGTCTCCCAGTCCCAAACTAGAGCGGTTTCTCGTTGACTAGTAATTCCCACTGCTTCAATATCGGATCGAGAGTGACCTAGAGCAAGGAATGATTTCATTGCTTCCTCGATGCAAATATAGACCGACTCCACCAATTCATAAGGGTCTTGCTCGTGCCAACTAAATAAGGACCAAAGGTCAATTGATGTTTGTTGCCGAGAATGGGCGAATTTTCATTCTCTTCCCATTTTCCCCATACTCTTCCCCATATTCAATCAGACTTACCCTGGATGTTCATGAATCTGACGGAACTCTGTCTGATATTTGGCAATGGGGTTGCCTGTGCAGTCGAAAATAATAAAGCGAGTACTCGTTGTACCTTGGTCAATGGTACCAATAAATCGCTCCTTCAGGTCATCGCCACGACGGTCTTCATCTTGCAAGATTGCCCGCTCCCCATCGTCGGTTTCACGAGGGTGGGGGTGCAAGGGGATCTCGTACTCATCCTGAGCAGCTTCCGAGTCCCCATCGATACTGTCGTTGTCCAAATCGAAAGGGTTCCGCATGTTTGGAGGGAATGTGATGAAGGCGTAAAAAAACAAAAAAGGGGAGAAGTTAAGTGAATTACAGCTAAGAAAAACTACGTGGCGGAGGAAACGCGCCCAAAAGGTGGAGAGTGACGTACGGGGGCAAGAACAAGAGGGAAAGTGTTCTTTTTTATCCAGGCAAGTGGACCAAGGGCCAAGGGAGGATAAAGTGGGGATATGAGGGGAGGGGGAAGAGGTTCGACTTTCACCAAATCCGGTTCCTCTATATTTTTTTTATATATTATATATTATAATTTATAATTTATAATATTATTTTTTTTTCTCTTTTTTTTTTTCTGATCAGAAGACCTCGTCACCTCCCCCACTCTGGGGCTATACAAAATTGTGGGAATTTCAACATCAACCTATATAAAGAATAGAGAAAGGGGAAAAATGCTTGGACCCCTGGATAATTGAATACTGCAAAGGATTCATCAAATTTGACTATTCTATATAATTTATATAATATATGTTCCTATTTATTTTCTATGTATGATACTTAGATACCTGAAGATATGGTAGATAATATTAGATAGAGCCCCGTCGATCGGCCACATGACCCCTCGATATTTTCTGCGGGTTCTAGACCCCCCCTTTTTTCCTCTCTTATTACATGTAATATTCTTTTTGCTCTCTATACCTTCCTCCTATTCATGGATTAATGCCGGGAAAATTAATGGAAAATAGAAATAGCCACAAGAGCCACAAAATACATGTACATTCCTAGGATAATCCACTAGTCGCAGCCAAGAACAATCAACGAAGCTCATTTCTCCCCCTGTACCCCTGGTCCACTCTCTAATCCAATCATTCTAGATCACTTGATATCTTTGAATATTTTAGAATTATTTAACTATGAGATTCAGCTGCATTTCAAAAGTACATTATCGTTTAGTACTTGTTGTTCTTATCCCTGCAAAACTCCAAGAACATACAATCACTAGGACTCTAATAATCCAATCACCTTGTTTCCTGCTACGGGTGATGACGTCTTGGATCCATGGGGGAAACGAGTTTGGATGTAGTAGAAGCCTGGAGAAATGAAGTCACATCCAGAAATCCCAGTAATCCTAGAGGGAAAAAAAGGAAACAGCAAAAAAACAGGCTGATCCAGGGCTAGGAAGCCAGCCTATAAGAACCCTAGCGTGGGTTAAACAAGCTAGCATATGGAGTATACTCCATTCAGACCCCAGTGCTTCTCTACCAGGTTCGAGACAAATTCGACCCCCCGTGGGTGCTGAAAACTTCCAGGGACGGGGACGTGCGCCCCAGTTTTAAGATCACGCGAGGAGCTAGAAAAGAAACTAATTCGAGATGGCGTTTTATTCTGGGTCCGAAGAGACCGACGATCCTACGGGAATCTGGCGCTCCCGCATCTTCTCTATCGCAACCGGGGTTATGTCCCATTCACAGGTGCAGTTCGGTTCGCTTTACCTTCCCCTTTAGCTGCTTATCCGCTTTTTTTTGCTATTGAATTGTTTTTTTTTTCTCCAGCCGTGGGAGCTCTACATCCAGATAACACTACATGTCCATGCTCATGCTCGTATTAATCTTTATTGAAATGTTTATTATTTGTGCTACCGAGTCATGTACAACTCTTCATCTATTCAAAGTTAAGCTCAACTTGAATATATGAATTGAGAGTCTAGACTGGCTCAATTGATTTAACTGTCTTTCGAGTTGTTAACTTAAGTCCGTTTTTCCAGGGCTAAATTCAACTTAATAGGACCATAAAATATTAATGTAAATCATAATGTACATAATATGATCTTCAAATATCCGAATTAAATGATCCGAATGATCAACATCTGAATATAGATCGTCTCGTCACGTGTGTCAATATATATCCATGCAAGGCTGCCCAGTGCACATGATGTGCAGGTGATCTTTAATCTCAATTTTAGAAATCTACTAGTACTACCAGTATGTAGTATACTCCGAATCCCGAACTTGAACAACTTGAACCTTGGAAGTTGAACCCACCACTGCCGTCACAGTTGATTGATCCCGAGGTCAACCTTCATCATGACTCGGATTTTACCGGGCTCTCCTATATAGTATTACTAGTACCTACTAGTAGAACACATATAGTACCCTCCGAGTCAACAACCTTCCAACTTGAAGGTTGGAAACTGCTCACTTGGCACATCACTGGCACCACTTCAAGTTCACTCCTTCAAGTTGGATACCACTGGCAGCCTGAGTCTTGATTGGAGCAACTTTCAATGACATCTGGATGCTCTCACCCTCGGGCTCAAACTCGCGTCAGGAACTGAAACAGTACCCGAATGAAAGCGAAGAGGGCAAAATGAGTGATTACCAAGATACCCTGGGGTCAAATGCATCGTGGATTCCTGGAGTAAATGGAGTCATTGGCAGTGACGCAGACATACTATGTAAGTTTTAGATACATCCACATAAAGTCAAGTTCTTCCAAACATTTGAAGTGATTGACTTAATACTGATCTTCCTCTACCGCACGCAGAAAGTTGAAGCTGCATGTGACAATCATGCCCACTCCAACTTGAATGCACAGTTGTCCTCAGATGAACTGGACAAAGTCACAGGGATTTGTATGTAAGGACGACAATATACACAGCAGGAATAACCCATTAGGGCTACCAGCATTGGCCTGATCGGAACCCCCTTTTCGTCCAAAGACTCCTTGAAGACTCTGTCTGAAGCCTCGGAGCTGACGGATCTGGCATGAACTGTTGTGATGTATATTGAACTAACATCTGATTTTATAGTGATCAACACATATGAACCGACCAAACCAGCGGTGAAGCAGTGGAATTCGTAGACTATCATCGATTCAATCGAGAGCGGCTGAGAGGGATTGTTAAATTCGAAGGACCAGTTTCTTTAGAGCTTGGCTCATGGTTCACCGCAATCTGGTTTTCCCTCAAGCTTTGCGAGTTTTTGTACCAGGCCCGAGCTATTTTTAAAAGGTACATGGTATCAATGATATGATTTCACGTAACCAGATGCCAAGGACAACCTCGAAGAATCCATCGCAGAGGAAGGGATTCGTTTACTGATGGAGAATCTTCAAGTGCCCGAAACAGTCACGCTGCATATTGGCCACTTATGTCGTCTGGACTTTTTGCGATCTGTTTTTCTTTATCCTCCGAATCTTGCTCAGGAAGTAAGTTTATCGTTACCTGGTTTATAATAAGAATACTACATAATAAGTTATCTAGGTTGCTTAAGGACGGCACTCCAGCTACTGTCCCCGATGTTCATTGCCTATTTCACCACGAAGAACGAAATCATCATGAGGTGCCTTTACCGGGGCTTTCTGTTGATATCGGAGTTGATGGAATGCAGGAATGGTTCCTCGTCTCAAATGATGATGGTACTTATCCTTATTACTCTGAGATTTTGCACCAATTCGTAACTTACCAGTCTCTCTAACTATTCCTTACATGAATCTCAAGAGAGAGAATGCCATAGAGAGAGAGAGAGAGAGAGAGAGAGACTTCACCTACTAATTTCAATTCAAGTTTATTGTCCTACTTCAAGATCCTGAGTCGTAGCAGAAATTTCTATTCGCGGGCATAGCCAAGAGCTTGATGGATCCTTTTGATGTGGAAGGTGAGAGTCAGTTGCTTCAAAAAATGGTTGAATCAAGTGTCACCATCCTTTCAATTACATGTGACATGATATTACTGCCGGTGTCAGCTCAGTTGCTACTATAACTCGGGACTGTGGCTATTACTACTAAATAGAGAAGAGACTGTCTGTACCTATCAAGTAGTGACTACTAGGTACGATCATAATCACTGGCAGGACTTCAAGTTGACAATAGTACATATGAAACATTTCAACCTTGGAATGATTGAATATGCCCCATGTTTGATGAATCATTCTGCTAACGTGTCAGTGTCTGAAGGTCTACATCGAGACTCGAGGAATACATATTATACTTCAAGTTCAAGTTCTCATCCCATCAGTCTAGAGTAAGAACATCGAGCTGCCTCAGCTTTGTCTTGTCCTGCAGAGTAAGAAATCCCAAGATATTCTTACATCTATATTTTCTCTATCCCGGTAATCCGAACTTGAAACAAAAGAAATCAATAGCTTTCGGCCCTAGTGCGTTCTGCGTATATTCTACAGGAAATCACGGGGAATGCAAACATCAAGAGTGACAACGCGGGGAGAGGGAAGGATGAGCCAATTCGTCCCCCTTTTAGGTTCCTCCGCTCAAACAATAAACAAAAAGAGTTACAAGGGTGGTGTTGATCGCATCTCAATCAACATTTACTCCTCCTCCTCGACCTCACCCTTGCGGCGGGCCTCAGCCTCCTCCTTCTCCTTCTTCTGCAGGAAGATCAGAGCGTTGATCTTGTCCTTGATGGTGTGCTCGGAGGTGAGAGTCTGGGCGATCTGCTCACGACCAATCAGGGTAGCGACAATGGAGGCACCGACGACGAAGGTCAGAACGAAGCGGTACATGCCGTACCAGTGAGGAGCACGGCCGGCAGCGGCAGCGCGGGCATCGTTGTAGTACAGGAAGGTGAAGGCAAGGAACTGGGTGATCAGAGCGTACTCAACGGGGAGCAGCAGAGTAGGCCAGGCAACGGCGGGGGCGATGACACCGGCAGCGTAACGCTTGTAGCCGTACTTGCCACCGTAACCAGCCCACTCAAGACCCCAGTGGACAGCACCGAGGAAGGAAAGGATCTAGATGGGGATAGTTTGTTAGCGGAGGGAACCTTTGGAGTACGGAGTACTGATTTTGCAATTGCTACTTACAACGGCACCGTATCCAACCTGGATAGGCTCGAGCATGTGCAGCATGAGCTCAGCGCTCTGACCGGAGAAGATCAGACCGTCACCGGCAACAGCAGCGCGGTTGATCTCGTAGGAGAGAGCAACGGTCTGCAGAGAGGTGGCGAGGTAGGGGATAACACCAGCCATACCCAGGTAGAGGGCCTCCTTGGGGACCGCGCTCAAGCTGAAGGTGTCCTTGATGACTTTCTGTAGGGTAGATTGCCATGGTTAGTCTCAACTCAAGAAAGTATATACAAAGTTCAATTGATGTGGGGAATGGAAACATACAGCCTCAGCCTTCATACCGGCCATCATGTCGATATCGTCACCATCCTATTCGCAAATTCTCAATTAGCGATTGTGCCCCTCCATATTGAATTCTCCAGCCCAATTGGCTTCATACCTTGCTGGAGCTAGAGGAGTGACGGATCAGAGCAGTGGTGACGGGCTTGTGGGCGGCCAGAGCAAAGCTGGGCTTGATGGTCGGGCGGATGGCGCGGGCGGACGAAGTCAGCTGGGCCTTGAAGACAGGGTTGGCCAGAGCCGAGCGAGCGACAGAGGCATTGGTGTTGGAAAGAGCCCGGAGCGCGGAGCGGGCAGCGAAGTTGCGGTACATCATGGCGGGGGTAGATATAGCTTTTCGTGTGCAGTCGGGTTAGCAAGTTTGCGCGTGAAATGAAAAGCCTCGGGTATGACGATAGTGCTGGGACAACACACCCAATTGGCGTTTACAAGAGCTGGAGAAGGGGATGAAGAGTGGAGATGAGGGTATTCACCCGGTGAGGGACTCGATTGCGAAGTCGGGGAGGCCGTGGATTTCCGAGAAAGAGCAAATAAGAATATCCAGAAATGAAGTGACCGAGTGGTGAGGTGTGTTCGTCGGGTGAACCATAGGGACCTAAACCGCACGAGCTTTCTCGTCCAATGACGGCCTAAGGCAATAAGGCTAGGAAGAACCCGGGGATGTCATATATATCACGTGATTTTGAGATAAGAAAGATATTGATGCCTTAAATAGAGGGCATGCAACATTCAAACCTGACAAACCTGACAACCTGACAAACCTGACAAACTAGGCAAACTAGGCAAACTTCACAAACTTGGAAAAGCCAGGAAAAGCCAACAGTGGCTGAGCAGCACGGGACTGATGTCACTGTGCGTGAGAGCCTGGAAGTAAACATGCGTACACTCCAGTACAGTAATTATACGAGAGGTATTATAGGATATTCATAGTTTATTGAATTCAATTCATATATATCGATGTAGATAGAGTAGAATTATTTATGACATAGTTGAATTTTTCGTGTAATGATTATTTATCGCAATCTTTAGGGCTCTCAATGACCTATGTATGATGGCCCAAGTATGGGGAACTTCGGGAATGGTTAAATTCCCGGGCGGAGAAGCTGCGATTGTACCGCGTTCTTGGCTCCTTTTGTACGGTCGCCAGCTTGCAGTGGAAAGAAAAAGGTAACCCTTTGGAACCACGCAATTAAGGCCATCTGGCTTTGGATACCCAACTCTGATCATTTGCGATCCTATTGGTATTTTCTACCCTATGTCTAGCTTCATCCCTATCTACTTTCTAACTCTTGTCTCCCCCGCCTCTACCAGAAGACCCTGTCTATCACTACTGCCCGAAGCTACTTATTTCACTTCGGTATCGCGTGATCCCGATTTACCCTACTGGGATGGCCCAGAGCCTCCATTTGAATGGTTTATGAACGAGCTTTTGTCTTACAAAGGGTAAGTCGAATAGATCATACATGGCTCAGAAGCTCCGCAATCACCACTTACACTTCTCTCAGACTTAGAGCGAAGAACTATTAAACCCACGATCCACCTTTTCTGAGCGACGGCGATATACGAATCGGACATAGAGCGCAACCTCCCTGGGCCCGGGTAACGGCCAGAACTCGCAATTATGTTGGAGGGTTTAGTTGCTAATCTGCTCAACCGATTCTTGGGCATGTACGTCAAGAACTTCGATGCCAAACAGCTCAACATCGGCATCTGGTCCGGCGATGTCAAACTACGAAATCTCGAATTGCGCCGAGAAGCTCTCGATCAGCTTCACCTCCCCTTGAATGTGGTCGAAGGTCATCTGGGCGAACTCACATTGGCCATTCCATGGTCCAATCTCAGAGGCAAGCCGGTTAAGGTTGACATTGAAGATGTCTTTCTATTAGCGGCACCTAAGGAGGATGCGGACTACGATGCTGAGGAGGAAGACAAACGGGCACATACACTCAAGATGGAAAGAATCGAAGGTGCTGAAATTCTCCGAGAGCGCAATGCCGAGGGCATGAGTCAGGAAGAGCAGCGTCGAAACCAGAGTTTCACCCAGAGCATGGTCACAGCTGTGGTGGACAATTTACAAATATCGATCAAAAATGTACACATCCGTTATGAGGATTCTATCTCCTCACCGGGCCATCCATTCGCTGTCGGATTGACGCTGAAGGAGCTGAGTGCTGTCAGCACTGATGCCGACTGGAACCCAACCTTCATTCAATCTACCTCCGATACTACACACAAGCTTGCAGTTCTTGGCGCCTTGTCGGTATACTGGAACACAGATGCAACTCTCCTGGGAACAGGACGAGGTTGTGATATCGGCGCAGAAGCCCAGGGAATCGAGCACGATGACCTCATGGCTAAGTTGCGTGATGGAATCGACAATGGTGAAGGTAACCAGTTCATGCTTCGTCCCGTCAGTGGTCGCGCAGGCCTTGAAATGGACAAATCAGGCAAGTATGATCGCCCAGCCATGAAAGCTCGACTGCTCTTTGATGAGCTCGGATTTGTGTTGGATGATAACCAGTACCGCGATGCTCTGATGCTGGTGGATCTCTTCCATTACTTCATTCGCCATCAAGAATACAAGAGATTTCAGCCCAAGATCTCAGTGAAGGAGGATCCAAAGGCGTGGATGAAATTCGCTGGTGAAGCAGTGCTCAGCAAGATTCATGAACGCAATCGACGATGGACATGGGGCTTCATCAAGGAACGCAGAGATGACCGCATCGCATACATTAGGTTGTTCAAGAAGCGAACTCGAGAAGAGGCCTTTTCACCTGAAGAGACCGAAGAGCTGGACAAATTGGAAAGAAAGCTCAGCTACGAAGATATTCGATTCTGGCGGTCATTGGCCCGGAACCAACTGCGCAAAGAAAATGTTGGCGTTAAAAAACCTGCTCAGCAACAATCATGGGGTGAATGGTTCTGGGGCGCCAAGAAAGAGGAATCAGAGGAACCCACCATGACTGAAGAGCAAAGACAAGAATTGTATAATGCCATTGATTGGGACGAAAAGAAGGCCCTATCAGAGAGTGTCGATGAGCCTCGTGAATGGGTTAAGCTTCAAGTAAACTGGAGCCTGCGCGCTGGTAGTTTCACCCTTAAAAAAGATCCTCATGGTGCTGGAAATGAGGTCATGAAGCTTGTGTTCGACAACTTTCGCGCCAAAGCTCTTCAACGACCAGATTCCTATCTTTTAGATCTTGACCTCGGTGGGTTGAAGATGTATGATGGTACAACTCCCGGTACTCTATATCCCCAAATCGTCAAGGTCAAAGACTCCCTGCCAGAGCCTACAAAGGAGAAGAGCAGCACAAATGATGATGAGCTCGCCTCGATAGCCAGCGCGGACGACATGGTGGATGAAGACAGCTTATTCCACTTGCAGCTGGAGAAGAATCCACTTGAAAGTGATGCCGACTCAGCCGTCAAGGTCAAGTTGAAGAGTATCGAAGTCATCTACAATCCCAGATTCTTGGTCGGCATTGTTCAATTCTTCGAGCCCCCCTGAGCGACACATGGAGTCGATCGGTGCCCTTCTGGACACGGCAGGTGCCACTGTTGAAGGATTGCGACAGCAGACTCGAGCCGGACTGGAGTTCGCCCTGCAAGAACATAAAAAGGTTGACGCGCAGTTTGATGTCCATGCGCCTCTGATTATTGTGCCAGAGAGTATCACCCAAGAGAGCTCGCTTTGTCTGATTCTTGATGCCGGTCATGCCAGCGTGAACAGTGAGCTGGTGGATCGGAAGGCTATGCGAGAGCTTCAATCTAAACAAAAACGACAATACGAAGAGGAAGACTATAAGCAGCTAGAACATCTGCTCTACGATCGCTTCCTGATCAAGTTGGATTCTACCCAGCTTTTGATCGGTCCCGGAGTGGATGCGACGAAAGCTCAGCTTAACTCTGATGTCGAGTCTAAAAATTTCCACATTGTTGATCGTATCAACGTCGATTTCGTTCTTGAGATGTGCATCGTGCCCAAGGTGACACAGCTCACTCGGACGCGTATATCTGGAAACCTGCCAGAGTTGCATGCATCTATGTCAGACACCAAGTACAAGGGTCTGATGAAACTGATTGATATTGCAATCCCGCAATTCGACACCGGCAAGACCTCTGACCCGGCAGTGGCCAAGGCCATTGAAGAAAAGGCCAATGCTACTCGAGCCAGATCTGCATCCTTCCAGCCTCCAGCTTTGAGAGATCTTCCTGTTGTTGATGAAGAATTCGAAGCCGACTCGGAGAGTGAAAACTCTAGAAAGAGTCTGGAATCCAATAATAATATCCACCGCCGAGACTTTGAGTTCAAATTCAACGTTGGCCGGCTTCGAGGTTCACTTTTCCGTTCCGATTCACAAGATCCTCTCAATGATAAATTGCTTGTGGAGTTGATCGCGGAGGGCTTCGAGCTTGACTTCTACATGCGTCCGTATGACATGGTCGCCGAGGTTGTACTCAAGTCTTTGAGTGTGGACGATTACATCGAGGAGAACCCCGTTCCCGAATTCAAGAGAATCATCTCATCTAAGGGATTCAATGCAGATGAAGATAAGGATCTCTTTCATTTGAAGATGGTCAGAGTAAAGCCAGAGTCGCCAGAGTTCGAGTCCACTTATGAGGGTGTGGCCATGAATCTCGATATATCGGTATCGACCATTAATCTCGTAGTGACCAGGAAGACTCTATTGACTCTTTTGGATTTCATACTTCTTACCTTTACAAGCCCACAGCAGCCAGCTGAACACGATGCTCAAGCCCAAAGAGCAATACAAGAGACAGTTGGTGAACTCCCAAAGCCGCCTCAAGTTGGTAAACTGCGTATAAAGTCTAACCTCAAGAGTATCGCTCTTATTCTCAATAATGACGGTGTTCGACTAGCAACTCTGAGTCTTAACACTGCCGATGTTGGAATTTTCCTTGTTGGCCAAGCTATGACAATCCAGTCTCGCATTGGCAGCTTGACTTTGATCGATGATGTCAACTTGGGTGCACCAGAGGACTCGGATGTACGCCGTCTCCTGGCTATTGAAGGGGAGAACTTCGCGGATTTCAAATACCAGACTTTCGATCCCGCAAGCGAGACCTATCCTGGATACGATTCAGAAGTCTATTTGCGGTCTGGTTCGATCAAGATCAATTTTCTGGAAGAGCCTTACCGAAAGATCATTAACTTCCTGGTCAAATTTGGTAAAATGCAGGCGATCTTCAATGCGGCTCGCCAAGCTGCGGCGAATCAAGCCAACCAGTTGCAGGAGAACGCATCGCGAATGCGGCTTGACATCGTGGTCAAAACTCCCATCTTGGTGTTCCCTCGAGTGATGGCAGATGACCGTCCTAGAGATACGATTACGGCACATCTTGGTGAGATCTATGCCAAGAATGAGTTCGTCCCTATGGATGAGGGCAAGGATAGCCCGGCTGTCAACGTGATATCTACCGGTGTTCGCAACATTCGTTTGACATCCAAGTTCCATTTCGCGGATGACACAGAAGAAGAGCTTGAGATGATCCAGAAAGTCAACCTTGATTTCAGTATCTGCTACTTGGAGCATCAGGCCAACAATGCGCGTCCTGATATGGAGATCGAAGGATCATTGTCTCCTATCAACCTTCGTATTTCCCAGAATCAACTTAAATTCCTTCTGTTGTTGTCAAAATCAATTCCTGGGGCTTTCGCCACAGATGCTGAGCAGCAGGAGCTAGAGGCCCTGGAATCTCTACCATCTTCGGTGACTGAGCCTACGACTAATTCCAAGGATGCGCAAGCACAAGACCAGCAAGGAGTGACAGTGGGCAACACCACAGGCAAAGAAACCTGGGTGCGACTCGATATGATCTTCAAGGTCGATAGTGTTGGCTTGGAACTTATTCTAGCAAATGACAACCAACCGGTTGGGAATTTGGAGGATTCCAGCTTGTCAAAATTCTCTCTCAATGACACCAGGGTCAAACTTCGAATGTTGACAGATGGTTCGTTGGAGTCTGAGCTTCTCATCCACTCCTTCTCAATTCGTGACAGTCGTCGCCAGGATTCTAACAAATTCCGAAACATTATGTCTTTGATCAATAACGACGTGCAACAGCAATTCATGGCTAGCGTGACCATGTCCCCTGGACCAGACAAGCACCTCATAGCCATGTTAACGATAGACAGCCCTCGCATCATGTTTGCTTTGGATTATCTATCTGCCTTGCAGGCTTTCAGCAACTCGGCTTTTGCTTCTGACAGTCCTGCGGAAGTAGTGGAGGAGGACCCAGATTCTCCGGAGGAATCGGAATTGAGTTCTGACTCCGCAGCTTCAGATAAGGGCGCAACTGAGGTCTCGGCTGGCGAGCCTGTGGCTGGATCGACAACTGTTTCATTCCGTGTCAATCTGGTCGATGCTCAGGTCATCATGGTTGCAAACCCTGCTATTCCCCACTCCGAAGCGATTGTGTTGGGAACCAAGGAGATCCTTATATCTCGTCAAAATGTCTCGACTTTGCAAGTTCAAAAGCTGGGAATGTTCCTTTGCCGCATGGACAAGTTTGAAACTAGCCGTCTGCGCATTCTTGACGATTTTACAGTTGAGACATCGGTTGATAGCCGCGCTCAAGAAAAGGGATCTGCCCTAACTTCAATTGAGGTTCATTGCGAGCCTCTAGTATTGAGATTGTCTCTACGAGATATCCTGATGGCAATTCAAATCGTCAACAAGGCCTCTGAATTGCGAGCGCAGAATGCTCAACGGCTCGAGGGCGGCGAGGCAAAGAAAATTACCGATGGCAAAAGCGCAAGAGCTCGTTCGAGCAGCAAAGCATCGTCGACGTTGGCCCACAGGACCCGTCGTCGTATCAGCCAGACCATCGAACCACCAGTTGATAGTGCAGCTCCTCAAAGTTCTGCTGTTCTCAACCGCGAAGAGCTTTCGGCTAAGATCGATGGCCTTCGTGTCATCCTCATTGGTGACCTACATGATCTGCCATTACTTGATTGGAGCGTCAAGAAGTTCAATGTCGATATACGTGACTGGTCATCGACCTTGAGTCTTGACGCGAATTTCGATACCTTTGTCAATGTCTTTAATTTCTCCAAGTCGGCCTGGGAGCCTCTGATTGAGCCCTGGCAATTTGGTTTCCACATGGCGAAGGAGACTAACCCGGACATCTTTTCAATTGATGCTTACTCTCATAAAAACATGGAGCTCACATTGACTTCGGCAACTATTGCACTTGCCTCTAAATCCTTCCAATTCCTGAATACCGATGAGGATGTCCTTTCCAAGCCTCGAGGCGCAGATGCCCCCTACAGGATTCGCAACTACACCGGCTTTGACCTTCGTGTGTGGGCGGAGGCAACAGCGGGTGGAGATGGCCCAGCTGCTAAATTGGTCGATGGAGAAGAATATCCCTGGCGATTTGAAGATTCGACAGCCATTCGTGAGACTCTTTCCCCTGAGGGCCAGGGTGGAATTGTGGGTATCAAGCTGGAAGGAAGTGGGTTCGACAGCATTGACCGTATTCCTGTTGTCCGCGAAGGTGAAGTTCTGTACAGCCTGAAACCAAAGCGAGATGATGTTCTTCACAGGTTGCTTGTGGAGGTCAAGCTTGGACCTGATAATGTCAAATACATCACCTTCCGCTCACCCCTTCTTGTGGAAAACAACACCCAAATTCCCGTGGAGCTGGGTGTGTTCAGCCCTGACGATGGCCATCTTCTCAAGATCGAAAAGATTCTGCCTGGTGACGCTCGTCCAGCACCAGTTGGGTCAGCATATCTTCATTCAGTTGTCATCCGTCCCGACCAAGGATTTGGATACGATTGGTCGAACGAGCGTCTCTTCTGGAAGGAACTTATTCGTCGCCCAACACGAACTATCAAATGTGTCAGTGACAGCGGTCAGCAGTCGCCTCCTTTCTATTTCCAGGTGAATGCAACCATCGATGGCAAGGGTTCGCTCACGACCTCTTACCCTTACATGAGGATCCGGATTTTCGCTCCAGTGGAGATTCAGAACCTGCTGCCATATGACTTCAAGTACCGCATCTATGACAAGAACACCAAAAAAGACTGGACGAACTTCTTGAGGAAGGGAGGTGTAAGCCCGGTTCACGTCGTTGAGCTATCCCATCTTCTTCTCCTGAGCATTGATCTTGAGGATACTATCTTCCGACAAAGCGAATTTGCGATTGTCAACGGAAACTCGCAAGACTACCGCAGGGAGCATACGCTATCTTTGAAGGATGAGCGAGGTCTTCAGTTGAAACTGAAGCTTCACTATTTCAACATCCCCAACAGTGGTGGTGCCTTCAAGGTCTCAATCTATAGTCCCTACCTCTTGTTGAACCAGACTGGTCTCCCTATGGACATTCAAAGCAAGGCATTCCTCCAAGCTGCCCGCAATGCTGCTGGCCAAGGCCTTAGAGTCGACCCAAGAGATGGTGGTCGCGCTCTGCCATACATGTACTCGTACAACAGCGGGGACCAGAAGAACCGGTCTATCTTGAAGGTCGGTGACTCCGCATGGAGCAAACCCCAGACCTTTGAGGCCGTTGGAAGTACATTCGAGGTCGTTTTCCCTGATCAACAGGATAGATCTGAGTTCCACGCCGGAGTATCTGTGGCTGAAGGCGAAGGCAAATACAAGATGACGAAGGTGGTGACGATTACGCCGAGGTTCATTCTGAAGAGCAAGCTTACCGAAGATATTTTGGTTCGTGAGCCCGGGTCATCAAACGTGCTTGAGATCAAGAACGGAGAATTGGTTCCGCTTCACTTCCTTCGACAAGTTCAGGAAAAGCAGCTCTGTTTATGCTTCCCTGGCGTGAACAATCAATGGTCTTCTCCATTCAACATTGCCGATGTTGGCACTGTCCACATCAAACTGTCTAAGGCTGCGAACCAGCGTCAAAAGTTGATCAAGGTTGATGTCATATTAGAGGGTGCTACCATATTCCTGCATCTCAACTTTGAGTCTCGCAACTGGCCGTTCTCGATGCGAAATGAAAGTGATGTGGAGTTCATCTTCCACCAAGCCGTGAGTTTATTATACATTTTCCATCTTCCTTCCTTGATACTAACTCCTTCTTTAGAACCCCAACCTAGATGACGACGAAGAAGACCACTCAAGTGGCTGGCGTCCAATCCGCTATCGCCTACCACCTCGAAGTATCATGCCTTACGCGTGGGACTACCCAGCCACAAAGAACAAATCTCTTGTTCTGACAAGTCAAGGCAAGGAGCGGCACATTAAGCTTGCTGAAATTGGTAACCTGATCCCAATGCGTATCCCACCGTCGAGAGCGGGTGAATACCAGAGAATTGTTGACATTAACATTATTGCTGACGGACCTACGCAAACACTGGTTCTCTCCAACTTCAAGGCTTCCAAGAGTATCTACAAGCAACAGAAGAACCAGTCCTCGCAAACAAGCATGAGTACAGGGTTCGAGGTCAAGGAGCTGGATTCGGATGTCAACTTCAAGGCTCAGCTTCGACTTGGTGGAGTTGGTATCTCTCTCATCAATCAGAACTTGAAGGAGCTTCTTTACCTCACTTTCCGCGAGATCGAGATCAAATATCGGGAATCTCGAATCTACCAGACCCTTAACACCACCATCAAGTGGATTCAAATCGACAACCAGCTTTACGGAGGCATTTTCCCGATTCTCTTGTACCCCAGTGTGGTTCCTAAGACCGGCAAGGAGATGGAGGCCCATCCTATTTTCCATGCCATGGTTACAAGAGTGAAGGATGATTCATATGGTGTGCTTTACATCAAGTATGCGACCTTGCTTCTGCAGCAGATGACCCTGGAGTTGGACGAGGACTTTGTCTTTGCTATGCTCGACTTTGCCAAGATCCCCGGGGCTTCCTGGACTGAGGAACAAGAGGGTAAGCTGTGTGATGAGAATCTGAACATCCCAGAGCCTCAACAGAGTGAAGCCGGTCAGGATGTATACTTTGAGCTTCTTCACTTGCAGCCTATGCAACTGGACATTTCCTTCATGCGGACGGAACGAGTCAACGCTGAAGATGGTGCCATGCAGCCTTCAAACCCCCTCATGTTCATTGTCAATGTCATGACCATGTCGATGGGCAATGTCAATGATGCTCCCATTCGTCTTAATGCCCTTATGCTGGAAAATGCTCGTGTCTCCTTTGGAAGACTTGTTAACAATGTTCGTGCCCACTATACACAAGAGTTCGTCCGCCAAGTGCACATTATTCTGGGATCTGCCGATTTCCTGGGTAACCCGGTCGGTCTGTTCAATACCGTCAGCTCTGGTGTCGCAGATATCTTCTACGAGCCATATCAGGGTTTGGTCATGACTGATCGACCTCAAGAGCTGGGTGTTGGTATTGCGAAGGGTGCCACCAGCTTCGTCAAGAAATCCGTTTTTGGTTTCTCGGACAGTATGGCCAAGCTTACCGGAAGTATGTCCAAGGGTCTTGCTGCTGCGACTCTCGACAAGGAATTCCAAGACCAACGCCGCATGTCCAAGTCTCGGAACCGTCCGAAGCACGCACTCTACGGAATCACAGCTGGTGGGAATGCTTTCGCGAACAGTTTGGCCAGTGGTATCGGCGGTCTTGCACGTCATCCACTCCAAGGTGCGGAGAAGGAAGGAGTGGCAGGATTCTTCAAGGGCGTTGGAAAGGGTGTCTTGGGTCTAGCCACCAAACCCGCCATTGGAGCCTTCGATCTCGCCTCCAACCTTGCAGAGGGAGTCCGAAACACCACTACAGTCTTCGACGCAGAAGGTCTTGATCGTGTTCGACTGACTCGCTTCATTGGCACAGACGGCATCGTTCGACCATACTCTCAACGTGAAGCTCTCGGTCAGTTCTGGCTAAAGACCGCTGATGATGGGAAGTTCTTCACTGAGGACTATATTGCGCACCTGGAGCTTCCTGGTCGCGATATGCTGGTCATGTTGACTTACGCACGGATCATGCTCGTGCGCACGAAGAAACTGTACACTGAATGGGATATCCGTCTCACAGATATTCAAACCATTTCCAAGGAGCGAACTGGTATGAGTATCACACTCAAGGGTGGCGCCAACGGTCCTTTCATACCCGTCCAGGATGAGAGTTCTCGAAATTGGCTGTACAGACAGATTGCTGTTGGTGAGTTTTCAGTTAACACCTCATCATTCCATTGAGCATGCTAACTAATTTACTTTATAGCGGTCAATGCCTTCAACGAGAAGTATAATGTTCGTGGATAGACGGGCCTCGTGCCTTTTGTAATGATGTCATGAAAATGGACTGCATTCATGGAATGGAAGAACAAAAACAATAGCGAATGTTTCAAATTTTCATTTTTTCGTTGATGAGATTCTGGTTCATGGTTTTGGTGATTTTTCTTTTCTTCTCAGGTGGATATGATTAAGTGGTTATTCTTTGGGTTTGGTACATATTCGACACTGATGAACAGTGTTGCTTCTTTCGTTTACTACTAGTAATAAACAGACCTCAGTCATTTAATTCAACACGAGGTCCTATTTATGTAGTAGTGTTATTAGTAGTACCTGGGCAAGGCTTTGCCTTTAACCTGTGGCATTTTGGTCTGTACCAGGTGGGATGATTAATAGGTAAAGCACTGATCTCGCTGTCAGTGGTGGATAGACATCTGGAGTATCAAAGAGGGAACTTATTGTTGTTAAATAGAGACCCGGATTCGAGTCCAATTTAAACTGTTCAATCACATATCATAAGAATAGCTGCCCTAGAGTACAAACTTAAAGAAGGGTATCACAATAATCACAAGAAACCCATATCCCGAATTCATGAATTCAAACAACTTGAAGGACGAGCACCATTATTTCCATCTCTATCATCTGGACCAGAATTCCGGCTCCGAGCTGTGGCATACGTCTCCCGAGAATCAACAGTTTCAAGAGCATCTGCGCTTTCAGGACTGACGCTTTCACCAACTTCACCGAGTTGAGATCCACAAAAACAACAACAAAGATAACATTGCAAGGGGAGCCAGGAAAGAATATCAGAGAGTGCATATGATCCAGCTTTCAGGACCTCGTCACCTGGAGGGTTCCCGTTCTGAGTAAAATTGTATACCGGTTGTGGTAGTTGAAGCGGGGAGATCTGGTCTGGAATCGGGCTGGTGTTTGCTCTTGGACCTGGTGTAATGGCTCTATTCCGTAGCTCTTCGATTCGAGATGAGAGTGGCCGTCCCAGTAATGAGAGGCCCAGATGACGGGACTTTCTTTTTGGTTGATCCTGTTGCTCACTATTTTTGTTCGTGTCGTCGCCTTCTGTTACCCTCTCATTTGTAACTCCAGCTCCAGCTCTGACTCCCGTGCTGTGACTACCTTCTGGGTCAGTAGTTTGATCTGCAAGCGTGGCTATGGGACGACAATTCTGATGAAACGGATGATCCTGTAGACGTCGTACTTGATTCGTCCCATGTCCACTTTGGCGATAGGGAAATCTACCCTGAACGATCGTTCCATCCGGCGCTCGGCCAATTCCAACAATACCGTTATTGATGGCCTCAGTATGGCTTGCGGGCTGTAGGCCTAGGAATCTTCGGACGGCATCACCATACGAAGATGGGCGATTTGCGGTATTGGAAGGAGGTGTTCCGCGCGTACGACTCGATGCTGTATGTCCAATCATAAACTGCGCTGAGCAATATACTGCTTCTGGGGTGTTAAAGGAGGGAAGACCCGGTGGTGTTGGTGTACGTTCAGGCGGAGGATACTGTGGCTGGGCGGGTGTGACGGCAGCTGGGATATTTGAGGCTGGCCAAGAAGGACGAGGGTGAGGGCTTACGGGCCCATGGGCATCGGCGTCAAGTGAGATCGCTTTGCGGCGCTGATATTCTAGGAAAGGGCTGGATGTGTGATTTGTATCGTTCGGATGGGCTGAGCCCAACTGTGATGTGCGCTGTGAGTTCTGTTCGGAGAGCATCTGGTTTTGCCTGCCGACTCCATCAACTCGTAGTAGTTTTCTTCCAGATCGACGATGCTGAGTAGATGATTCGCCATCATTGGAGGAGCCAGTTGGAATAAACATTGCCATGTTAGTTGCTAGACCTGTCTCCATGACAGGGCCCATGACATAAGGATAGTCCAGGTTTCGAGAACCTTCGTTTGGTGTTGTGACTCGAATGGCATTGAAAATAGATTTTTCATCACTGTAAACAGACTCGGAGGAGTTGGGGTTCTCGTGTGAGCGTGGTGGAACGGTCGAATTCCGAAGGGAGTCGTTGCGTTGCAAGGTTTTTTGTACGGCATAGTATCTGGGTGGAGCGCGAGCAGAAGGATTCATCCCTGCTCTCGTCTGATGAGATTGGGCCGACATAATGAAAGTAAAATCGCCCCGGCAAGGCCGGGGATCAGATTGTATGTTAGATACAATCAATGGTGATGCTTGAGGACAAAGCAAATTGATAAGGATGGGCAGTAGCATCATCGCGCTTGCCGCAACATGTTCATGTAGTATTATGATACAACGAAAAGAAAAGAGAATCTATATGTACAGTCTTTATGCAAATCAAATCCGAGAGCGTTGAACAGAGTCATAATCATAATGGGGTTCCAACAGGACTGGGCAATGGTTTGCCCGTAACCTGTGCATGTTCCTTTCTTAGGGCTCGCAACAGCCCTTCAATCCTGCGACGTTCTTCTTGCTCCGCCTATTCATGGTGTTAGTATTGATGTCAAAAGCAGGTAGAATAAATGAGAAAACCCACCTTAAGAATCTTAATATTTTCAGCTCGAGTATCACGCATCATCTTCTTAAATTCGTTCTTCAGCACCATAGTCGAGGTTGTCTCCAAAGTAGGATCACGACCCATCGATGTCGGGCTGCTGAGATTCATCCAGTTGATACGTTCTTCACTGAGCTGGGTCTCCAGCTGCTCACAGCGGTCACGAAGACTGTCGATGACACCTTCGAAGCGCTCCCGCTCCTTCTCAAACTCGATGCTGGCCTTCGTCATAACTTCATAGTCATCCAGAGTCTCCCGCAGTTCCCGTTCGAGTGTATCAGCGCGTTTCTGAACGTCACCGCTACCTTGCTTGCCACGAAGCTCAGCGAGTTCTTGTGCCATCTCGATGTTCCGGGTGTTGAGAGCATCGATCTCCGCCTGGATTTCGGGATTGAGGGCGACCTCTGCGGCTCGCTGAGCTCGGGTACCGTAAGCACCGTCCAGCTCTGCCTTGACCATCGTCAGCTCAGTCGTAATGCGTACGACCTCGCCTTCGAGATTAGTCATTTCATTCTGCAGGCGCTCGGAATTTTGCTCTGCCTGTGCACGTTGCTCTTCAGCCTGTGCAAGCTGGTTCTCAAACTCGGCATATTTCTGCTCGGTTTCAGCAAGCTGCTCCGCAACCAAGGCTCGCTGCTCATCAGCTTGAGCGATTTGATTCTCAGTCTCAGTACGGTACTCTTCGACATGAGCCAGCTGGCTCTCAGCCTCATCTCGACGCTCCTTAGCCTCGGCAAGCAGTTTCTCGGCCTCAGCAAGTTGATCTTCAATCTCGGCTCGACGCTCTTCGGCGTGCTCAAGTTCGTGCTCAGTCTCAGCCTGGCGCTGCTCGACGCGAGCAAGTTGTTCTTCAGCCTCAATCCGACTCTCTTGAGCTTCAGCAAGTTGCTCTTCGGCCTCAGCCTGACGCTCCTTAGCCTCTGCGAGTTGCTCCTCGAAATCCGCCCTGCTCTCCCTGGCCTCTGTGAATTGCTGATCAAACTCAGCGTGATGCTTCTCAATGTCAGCAAGTTGACTTTCGGCCTCGGCAAGTTGACGCGCGACCTCAGCACGTTGATGCTCAACCTCAGCATGTCGAGTTTCGGCCTCGGAAAGTTGACGCGCGACCTCAGCACGTTGATGCTCAACCTCAGCATGTCGAGTTTCGGCCTCGGAAAGTTGACGCTCGATCTCAGCACGTTGATGCTCAACCTCAGCATGTCGAGTTTCGGCCTCGGAAAGTTGACGCGCGACCTCAGCACGTTGATGCTCAACCTCAGCATGTCGAGTTTCGGCCTCGGAAAGTTGACGCTCGATCTCAGCACGTTGATGCTCAACCTCAGCATGTCGAGTTTCGGCCTCGGAAAGTTGACGCTCGATCTCAGCACGTTGGACCTCAGATTCAGCCAGCTGATTCTCAACCTGCACACGATGATCAATCGCCTCCTGCACGGCCTCTGCAACGGCTTCCTGCACACGAACATCGGACTCTTCACGAGCCTCCCTGATAGTGGATTCCATGTGTGCCGACTGCTGCTCCGCGTATTGACTAGCCTCCAGTGCCTCCTGTGCACGGACATCAACTTCGTTTTGCAGAGAGTCCACCACACTCTGGAGACGGGCAACCTCGCCCTCAGCCTGCACCAAAGCGGCCTTGGCCTCTTCCGGAGAAGAGCCATTGTCGCGCATGCTTTCGAGCTGCTGCTGCATCACGGTTAATTCATCGTGCGAAGCCTTGCCGTCACGCTGAGAAATCTCAAGGTCCTTGCGCATGTGAGCGAGCTGCTCAGTCAGATCACCGATGTGAGCATCTCGCTCCGCATCGGACTTAGAGTTGAGTTCACGCTGCTGCTGGATCTGTGTGGTCAAGATGCTCTTCTGCTCCAGCAGTGCATCCACGCGACTTTCCAAGCCATCCACACCAGTTTGGAGGTATCCGAGCTGCGCCTCCAAACCCTCACCATCGGTTGCGCTAGGAGGTGGAGGCAAAGTTGGTGATCGAGTCAGACCAAAGCGATCAACAATGCTCTGAACCCGATTGTTGATCACGGTCAAGTGTTGCCGCCAGGCACCCTCAGCTTCAGGTGCAGTTCCAGGGCCCATGATAGGAGGCTGGGGCGGACGAGCTGCAAGAGCATTCATGCCGTTTTCGATATAGGCTAAATGAGCCTCGACAGTAGCTGTGGGATCAGCCGAGTCCTCCGATTGCGGCGGAGGGTCGATAAATTCATCTGGGGAGGATTGAATCATCATGTTACAGATGCGTTGGCTCAGCTCCTCCAGTCGTGTTTCCGTCGCCTGCATAGCCTCGTGATCTGCTGCTGCAACAGCAGGATTGATATCAATTCTTCCATTCAAGCCATAATTATCCATATGCTCTGCAGTTCGGTAAAGATGGCGATCATCAAATTCATGGCCGTCGTAAAGATCATCTGATTCCTGAGCATCTTGAGTTTTTGGGGTCTTCCTGAGACCTTTATGGGTCATCTGCAGGACACCCGCTGTGTGTTCCAACAAACGCTGGCTAATCTGTTGAGACCGACGCTCGAGTTTCCAGAGCTCTTGCGCCAACTCCTCACACTTTCGCTGACTCGTTGCTAGCTCGGAGTCGCTTTTATCGAGGACTTGAGCTGTTCCATTTCGGCTAAAGATACTCCGACTTCTCCCATGTGATTTTGCATTTGCGTACTCTCCGCTGCTTCGTGGACTAGGCGGGCTGTATAGACGTCCGATCGACTGTGCTGCGTCGCGGAGTTTGGTCTCCAATGCGAGTTTTCGTTTCGTTCCTTCGATCCGGGTACCCAAAAGTGCACGCTCCTTTTTTAGAGCTTCGACTTCCTCGAATGAAAGGACCTCATAGTTGGCGCTGTCTCCGATAGCAGTCTCCGCTAATAGGTACATTGTGAAGGGATCATTGGTATTTACAAGGACTGAGCTCTGGGGGCGACCGGGGTTAAGCTATACAAAAAGACAATGAGTGAGCCATGGAATTTAGCGGTTGGAATCCATGAATTTGCACTTACCGGATTGTACCGCGCCCGGTCTTCGGTCTGAGGATTGGCCGCATCACGGTAGCCATCAACGAGGGTCTTTCCCAGCGGAGAAGGCACATGAACATCGGAGACGGTAGCGGTAGATAGATAACGTGGGTCTCCATAGGAAGATTGACTGGATCTTAGACTGATATTCATGTTGGTCGCTTATGGCGCCTTGCGCACCGTTAAGTTTGTTGCTTTGTTTCGGGATAATTATTTCAGGGGCGGCAGATACACATGGTGAGTATCCACAAAAGATAGGGCCGTACGTCAACGTTGAATCTGGGGAAAATGAGATACCCAAGTGGACACTTGACAGGGTCTTAACTTGTGGAGAGTAAAAGGAATACTCTGAACAGAAGAAGCTGAAGACTAAAAAAGAAAAAAAGAGGGAGGCTGAAATGAGAATATTAAAGATGGCGGGAGAAGAGAAGTTGATCTACAGACGCCCTATAATTCAGGCCAACTTAGAATATCAGATACGATATGAATCATATGATAGATCAATAAGATGAAGATGAAGATGAAAATGTATTAGAAGTTAAAAGTTGAAATATTATAGATCAAATAGACTATTTTTAGTTCTTTCATAGAAACCTTGAGAATACATGTAACAACTAAATATTATCTTTGTCTTTAATATTCAAAATGTTCTCCATCAGTTTCTCAGTGTACGTACTCCAGATCCACTTAGCCTAATGATGTGATATGATTGATGAGCGAGCCTTGAAGGATTGTGATCTGGTTCTAATTTGTCAGATTAAATTAATCAAAATAAATCAGAAATCAGAAATCAGAAATAGACGAGCTGCAATGATTTTGTCTCTACTTTATCACATTTCGGAGACCGCTCCCACTCCGACTATTCCCCCACATTCAATACTAGTATAACAGCTAAGCAAGCTAACGGGAAATTTGAAAAAGCCCAAAAAGCCACGGAGTCTGAGAGTCTCCTATTGAGGTGCTCAAGCGATCCAATTCGGGGGTTCAACCTCGGATGAACTGGTTCCACGGGATAAACTCGTGAAATACTACCTTATCTTTTATAACGGTCTTTCCCATCATGCAGCCTTCATATACCTTACTAGCCTCCAAACCCACCATGGACTCGGGAATGGAAATGGAGTCAACTGTCACGCGACCATACAAAGTCTATAAGCGACGATTTTGGGGTCTAGCACAATTGGTGCTACTCAACATTGTCGTCAGTTGGGATGTATATGCTACTTTCCCCGCATTCGGATCACAAAGAACCCCGAGTCGCTAATCTAAGTCATAGTGGCTCACTTTCTCATCTATCTCAAGTACTGCAGCGGAGTATTTTCAAGTTTCAGAAAGTGCTATCAACTGGATGAGCACAGGATACCTATTTGCTTTTTGTATTGCCAGTCCGTAAGTTGAGACCTAGTACTGACTTGAATTTCTATATTATGAAGATACAGATACAGATATCAGAACAAAGCTAACCAATCACCTAGATTCGTCATTTGGGTATTAAACAAAGGTGGACCAAAACCAGCCATTGTCACCACTGCAGCACTCTTGTTTGTCGGTAACTGGCTGCGTTATGCAGGTACAAGAGCCAATGGCGGTATCTTTGGACTCGCCATGTTTGGCCAGATCCTGATCGGGCTTGCGCAACCTTTCTGCTTATGCGCCCCAACTCGATACAGCGACCTTTGGTTTTCAGACAAAGGACGTACCAGCGCCACAGCAGTAGCTAGTTTGGCGAATCCACTGGGTGCGGCACTAGGCCAGTTGATTGATTCAGAATGGACAACCAAGCCATCGGATATCCCGAATATGGTTCTATACATTGCGGTTATCGTGAGTTACTATTCTCAAAGCAAGGCCATAACTGGGGAATAACAAAAAATGAATATGTCCGTACTGACTATTTCATCTCATAGGCAACCGTCGCATCTATCCCATCTTTCTTCCTCCCCGCTAAACCCCCAACACCCCCAAGCGCCTCCTCCGCCATCCCCCGCACCCCACTCCTCGAAGCCACGCGCGAGCTCCTCACAACACTCGAATTCTGGCTGATCTTCATTCCTTTCTCCATCTACGTTGGGTTCTTCAACAGCGTTTCCTCTCTGTTAAACCAAATCCTCGAACCACAAGGTTACAGCGAAACTGAAGCCGGAATCGCAGGCGCAATACTTATAGTAGTCGGCTTGGTCGCCGCAGCTATAATATCCCCAATAACGGATCGCTATAAGCATTATCTCGGATCGATCCGTGTTCTCGTTCCTATTGTTGTTGTTTCATACATAGCTTTGATTTTTGCGCCCACCAGCTCTGCAGGAATCGTACCTTCTTATATCGTCATGGCACTTATCGGTGCTTCTTCGTTTGCGTTACTTCCCGTTGTACTGGAGTATCTTGTGGAGATTACGTATCCGTTTTCACCGGAGATTGGGAGCACAATGTGTTGGACAGGAGGTCAATTATTCGGGGCTTGTTTTATTCTTATTCAGGATGCGTTGAAGGATGGGAAGGATGCGAGTCCTCCGCTTAATATGCATCGAGCCTTGATCTTCTCGTGTGTGCTTTGTGCGGTTGCGGCGCCGTTTCCATTAGCTCTTGGTATGTTTGGAAGGGTTGTGAAGAGAAGGAGATTGGAGATCGATCAAGGAGTTGAGTTGCGAGAAGGGGAGTCTCCGCGTCCTGGTGGGAGTGCGGAGGATAGTCCCTCGAAACTCAAGTATGATGAGGCTCATAAGGATCAGGTGGTTGAGCAAGTTGTTTAAGTGACTCATTTGATTTTGTCTTTCAGCGATCTCTCGTTCCTACTCTTTTGATCACGTAGTTGATCTGTTACGGCTATTCAGCGTTTCTTTCGGTCTGTTTTTCTTTTTTGGTTGTTTACTATATCCATGCTGGTGAGATGATGACCTGATGTTATCAGGTATCATCCCCTGACCAGACCACTTTATACCCTCTCCGTATGGCTGGAACCTAATGAACTTTCCCTTGATATTTTCGTCTTTGTCAGTTCTGCCAGTAGATTTTAGGCTTCTGCGACCACTGAGCATTGAGATATTCTTGCTGATTTAGCCGAGCATGTAGGACGAAATGGACATGTTGAACCTGGTATTACCTAGCTTGCATCTGATATAGACACTCAGGTTTTTATGCAGATAGACCAGTCACATCCAATTCTACCCATTTACATTGTAGACTACATTTCATGATAGATAAAAAGGAACAAACATTCAAACCTTCCGTCTGAACAGATGAGATTCGTCTTATAAAAAACCAGTAAATAAAAACACAAGCACAGTTCGAATAGGCGGAAGACCAGCTATCTGTACATGCAAGGCAGAGAGAAAGGAAGGGTAATCTATTACTCTTTTTCTCTTTTCCATTGGTTTCCTTCCTACTCCCTGCCTCGAAACACCATATGCGTACAGGGGTAACCCAGAAAGAAAGCCCTCCAGACTTTTAACACTCTCTGAAAACCCCGTGCTCAAACCAAGGATTATGAACGGCAGACTGTCAGAGAATGGATGTGACAGCCATCAGGAAACAGAAACAGGCATTTGTTTTTGACGTGCTGCGAGTCATGCAGCAGATATGAGAAACAGGGCAGCGCGCCAAAAGGTGAGTCCTGCGATCTGTTTACTTAAGCTCGCGCCAGAGCTTGGGGGCGGCACAGGCGGTGGCACAGTGGGTGAGGTGGAAGACTGGAGTTGGTCAGCGGTGGTCTTTTGTTATCCAAGTTGATATCCATAGCAGGTAGGCACGGATGGGTAAATTGATCAATTGGATCAATTGGGCGTGCAATTGGTGTAACTTACACTCCTCAACACAGTCCTCCTTGGGACCCTTGAAGTCCTCATCCTCCTCCTGGCGGGTGACGCGCTCGATGCACTCGTCAAAGTGGTGCTTGTAGGGGGCGCACTGAGCGGAGTGGGCGCACTCTGTATAAGCATGAATTAGTGGTGACTCTCAAATTGAGTATGAAGATAAGACAAGAACAATTGCGATGCCATTGAGACCGTCCGAATTGGTGATTCTGACACGAATCCCGGATGCGAAGCACCCATTGACAACATGCGATTCAGAAAACACTAATGTCACTTCGAAACACAGATTGTAGATCGGATTGCTAGCAGGAAGTAAAGCAGCTTTTACTCACCCTCCTCAAGCTTAGGCTTGATGTCCTCAGGCTCCTCCTCCTCCTCCTCCTCCTCTTCTTCCTCCTCCTCTTCCTCCTCAGCCTCGGCCTCGGCCTCCTCCTCCTCGGCAGGCTCTTCAGCGGACTCCTCAGAGGACTCCTCAGCGGGGGTCTCCTCAGCGGGCTCGGACTCCTCGGTCTTCTCGGCGGGCTCGTCCTGGGGGGTGGAGGACTCAACGTCGGCGGCGGGAGCCTCAGCCTCGACCTCGGTGAAACCGAAGGAGGAGTAAACGTCGGAGAAAAAGTCGGCGAGACCCATTGTGACTGTCAATTGGGGGACAGGAACCGGTTAGAGATGGTAGGTATTGGAAGGTAGGGGTTTTGATGGATTGAGGTTGGTTTTCCAAGCTCGGACTGGAAAATCGGGACGCCCCGGCGAACATAATTGTGCTACACGTGATTGGTCAGTGGTTCTCGCTGACTATGACAACTTTGCCGGACTCAATTTACCTGTATAATTGACTTGTATTCCGTATTGATTCATGATTCTCTTGATTTTCTTAATTGAACGATAATGCAGGTTTGTTTCGTCATGATAATCTCTATTTTATGTTGTGTTGGAGCTTTTCTCCCTTGAACATTGATGAAAATCGCTATCAGGGCGCGCCAGCGCACTTCTAATTACGACTCTCTCTCTCTCTTAGTATGGGGGTGTTAAAACCATGCTCAGATCTTGAAGCAAGTCATTTATTATACATGCAAATTATTCCACTGCATCAGCCAGTATGGCATTCAAGGAAGAATAACCTCTCCATATTTCCCTATCCCATGTTTCACCACGCATCAATCAAATCAACTGGCCCGTCGCAATCGCTCCTCCAATTCATTAGCCACACTCTGTTGCTGAACTTCCTCATATCCCGGTGGAGGTTCCATAGGCTCCGGGCCTAGAACTGATGCTCGTTGATTACTTGGAGGCGCATTCAAAGCATCGTTGGTACTAGCAGGCTCGCTCGGCTTGGGATTACTTGGACCCTCGTAGGCTGGGAGTTCTTCCAGATGCACTGCAGCAAGATCCACCCCTCGGAGTCCCCGGACACCCTCTCCTGTGTTTTCCACCGCCTGTTCCAATCGTTCCTTAATCCGCTCAAAATTCGTGTGAAAGTCGAAAGCGCCGCCCTCTTTGAAGGTTACCTTTATCTGTATGGCTGGAAGGGATGGGGAGATGCCTCCTCCTGAAACCGGTTGGATGAGGGCAGTCCAAACATTGGGACCAAAAAAGGGCGCTGATACATGAGAATCGCGGATATTGAGTAATGGGCTTGAGAATGATTGGAAGGCCGGGGATTTCTGGGAAGGGAGATAGACAACCTATTTTGGAGGTGACCGCGGTCAGTTACTGACAAAAGACAACACCAGGATTTTTACAGGGACGGACTCACACGTTGGTTGGTTAGATAGATATGACCAGCGCTGCTTGGAACCGATAGAGATTCGGGTCCCTTGTATCCAGATGGTGGTGTCAACGAGAAGCTGGTTCTCGGGGGAGAGGTGTAGATTAGGCGTTCGTTAGGAAGGCGGACAAAGTCCTCCTGATCATGGAGCATCACCCAGCTGCAGTTCTGTTAGTGATTTTGACTCGCATAAGATACCAGATATCTAGTATCAAAGAGGACTTTGTTTCACTGCGATCGCTATAGTCACTAAGACCTTGGGGATCTCAGCGATGTCAGCAGTGCCAAGCTTAATATGCACGTACTTGATAGACATTCTGGCTTTTGGCAATCATGCCACTTCTTGATCGAGAAGATATCAGAAAGGTTGACGGTCCAACAGTAAGCTCTTGGGGACTTCTTGATTTACCGTGTCGCGGTGTTAGTGTCGGTGTCGCGGAAGGGAAAATCGATAGTTGCGGGGCAAGCGGGGAACATTGGACTTTACATTCCATATTTCCATATTAACTTGGGAATCGGGATACATAATATGAACCATTATGGGATCGGAGATCATGGTGAGCACTTAGTGTAGAATCAAAGCTCTCGTATTTTTGAGGACTATGTACTACTATCCAGAGTATCTCATAGTCATATCTCATATCTCATATCTCATTTATCTGTACTGTGACTCCAACCACATATCCCTTATCCCCGTAGATCCCCCAACTTATACTAGTTCAAGCCCTGGAGTTAATCTCCCAACAATTATATACGTGCAGATAGAAACCGTTGAGCCGAGAGCCCCAGAATCTCCCCAGAATTCTGGGGTATGAGGAAATTATAATCATTATAGTGAGTTATAGTCACTATCTATTCATTTGATCTGATCTCCACAGATATCGTCATGATCCAATCACTTATGCGGGGGACTTCACCTCAAGTGCCATAAAAGATAGACATATTCTATCATGCCCGAAGCCCCGAAGAAATCTGGAATGTTGGGCTGTAGCGCACGGATGATCATCTTTGCATCACGAATGTGGATTTAAGATCAAGTTCTAGAAAGGTCCGGATGAACAGGGTAAAAAAAAGGGAAAAAAGGCGCTAAAGCCGGATCCCCAAACTTTCCGGATTTGATCAAGTTTTATTTTTCTCATTCTTCTTCCCCCTTGATATACCTTAATCTCTTTAGGTATTCTCATTATTGAAGTAAATACTATCATCCAAATACCTATATCTCCACTTATTACTTGGTTTATTACTTGGTGGGGCTAAAGTGAAAAAAAAGAGCAAGCTTGACCGACGTCAGGTCTCGGCGGGTCAAAGCTTCGTGCAGCTCACCTGCAACCGTTCATGTCAACACGGTTGGGGATCTTCTGTCACTAAATTCGCTCACTGAGCCTTTGAGGGCACACAAGAACGAGATAGCTTTGGCATCATGGCCAAAAAACAACAGTACATTCCCCCGCTGATCGGGTGGCTGTATGATCTCGTGCTATGGTCTTTCTCCGTGCTCATCGATCTCTTCTTTCGAGAGGTGCACCCGCGAGGATCATGGAAAATTCCCCGTCGCGGTCCTATTATCATCGTCGCCGCCCCTCATGCGAACCAGGTGAGTTTAAAGGATCCCCTAATGGCGAATCCCAGAGCAGCATTGAGCTAACGGTCCCTCTAACTAGTTCGTTGACTCCCTCGTCCTGATGCGCGTCATTCGCAGCGAAGCCCACCGACGGATCTCATGGCTCATCGCAGAGAAATCCTTCCGCCGCAAGTTTATCGGACTGCTCGCTCGTGGTATTGGAACGCTCCCGGTAGCCCGGGCTATGGATAACCTGAGGCCTGGAACTGGAACTATTTATCTCCCGGATCCCGTCAACGAGCCGACCCTGTTGCGAGGTGTGGGAACCAATTTTGAAGCGCCAGGCTTTGAGGTAGAGGGAACAATTGCACTGCCAACCATCAATGGGACATCGCACAGTACAGCTATTGCGGAAATCCGCGGACCGGAGGAACTCGTCCTGAAAAAGGCATTCAAGCACAGAGATGCCCTTGGTCAGCTCACTGGAAGACAGGATATTGATTCGGATGGAAAGTTCACTGGAGATGCGGTCGATCAGAGCTCGGATTTCAAGGGCTCTAAATTCAAGGTTGCGCCGCATGTGGACCAGACCGCTGTGTACAAGGCTGTCTTTGGCAGACTGAATGCTGGTGGCTGTGTTGGTATCTTCCCAGAGGGTGGTAGCCATGATCGTACAACTCTACTTCCCCTTAAAGGTGAGTTTTATATTGAGATTGAATTACTGAAAATATCGGACTTTTCACTAACATCTTCTAGCTGGTGTGGCTCTCATGGCCCTCGGTACTCTAGCGGACAACCCCGACTGTGGCTTGAAAATTGTGCCCACGGGCATGAACTATTTCCATGCCCACAAGTTCCGCTCTCGTGCGGTTATTGAGTTTGGTAATCCGATTGAAGTCCCCAAGGAACTAGTAGAACAATTCAAGAGAGGTGAACGCCGGGAATCTGTCGGTGCCCTCTTGGACATCATCTATCAAAGTCTTGTCGCTGTCACTGTCACCAGCCCAGATTATGATACACTTATGGTAAGTGGGCTCGTTTCCATGATCGCGAAATAATTTCTAACAAATCACAGGTCATCCAAGCAGCCCGTCGCTTGTACAACACCAAGGGTAAAAAGCTTCCTCTTCCGATGGTGGTTGAGCTGAACCGTCGTCTGGTAAAGGGATACGCGCATTTTAAAGATGATCCGCGAATTGTAAACCTTCGGAACTCAATTGTGAACTACAACAAGCAGCTTCGCATCCTTGGAATCCGAGATCACCAGGTAGCCTACGCCAAGTTCTCTATCATACAGGTGGTCGCTACCTTGATCTACCGCTTGGGTAAACTGGCTCTACTTGCAATTGGAACCCTGCCTGGACTGATCCTATTCGCTCCTGTTTTCGTTGCAACAAAGTACCTTTCCATCAAGAAGTCCAAGGAAGCTTTGGCCGCTTCCAGTGTTAAGCTCCAAGGTCGGGATGTGATGGCTACCTGGAAACTTCTAATCGCGCTTGCATTTACCCCAGCCGTGTACGCATTTTACACCACTGCGTTCACCTATTGGACCTACCGGAATCGGGTTCAAGGCTTTATCCCTGACTGGGTTCCGCTGTGGTCGGTGGTTATGATTAGCATGGTCCTCTTCCCCACCATTACTTTCGCTGCCCTCCGTATTGGTGAGGTGGGCATGGATATTCTCAAATCCCTGCGACCACTCGTCCTTTCCCTGAATCCTTCATCAGCCAATACACTGGTGAAACTCCGAGCTAAACGCGCCTCTCTTGCTCAGCAAGTAACGGACGCCATCAACACAATGGGCCCCGAGCTTTTCCCTGACTTTGACGCCGCTCGGATCGTCACCGATCCATTCCGCGAAGTTAGCCATGAACTGAGCACAGCCGAATTGACTCCAGAGATTTCTCGAGCTCATCACGCCGATTTGGCCGATGACTCACCTAGCGCAGAGCCGCTACCCCGTAATGAATCGTTCCACAATCTAGCCAACATTGGCTTCTTCTCCACAAGACCACCCAGTCGGAACCGCAGCCGTAGCAGCTCAGCAGCGCGCCGGCCTGGTTCTGGACACGGTCTAAAACCACTCAGCCCCATGACCGCCAAAGATCCCCTCGAAGATGTGAGCTCGCGGATCCGAGACGCCATGAGGGAGCGTGGTGAACGACGTCGCCGGCGAAGTGAGGATGGAAGCTGGGATATGGCTAGCTCGGGGACTCGAACCCCATCTAGCGGAGATGAAGGGCGAAAAGATCTATGACCTGCTATGATAGTACCTGTTGAACATGATTTTTGATACGTACTAGTCCCATTATGGGATATTGGGCGTCGGATACTTGTTACTTTTCTTTGCTACGAATATACCACAATGCGAGATATCCCAGATGTATTCAGTTGTTTCTGAAATTCCCGGCTCTTATCGGGGATCTACCTTGAAGTAAGAATCACTCTAGCTGTTTATGAATAACTCGTAGTAGTACAAATAGCCTTGTTTACAGGGACTTGGCTTGACCCGAAGATACAGTTACTGGAACCTTGGAACTCAACTTGAGACATTCTTTCGTCTCAGGTTCCAAGGTTCAATTTACTACCAATTTCAATCCGCATTACTCATAGAAGCTCTGCCAGTGCTCAGGTGGAGTTGAATTGGAGAGTTTCTGTGACAACGTATCTCCAGTCCGCATATGAAGTTCTCACGCAGCTATTCCTATGCAGATCGCTTATATTTCGACTCTCACTATTGGTTTATGCGTCAACTTTGAACCTTCACATATCTAACACTCAATTTTGATTGGTTATTTCATTGATAATATGATATATTGATTCCTGCCGCTTACCACTTACAGCTAGACATGCAATAGCGCGAATCAAATGTGACGGAACCGGCAAGGATCAAGATACGACTCGATTTCAGGATTTTCCTCCCATGACACTGGCAGTTTTACTCGGCTGAATAGGTAGCCTGAGGTTGACCTGACCAGAAAGGGACACTGCTTCCTTTTCTTCTAAATTGCTAGGTGCGTGATACAAAATTCTAATCAAGTCCCAGGTACATGACAAATTGTTGGAGAGATTTCAACACTTTAGAATCATTGATCATGGACTATGATAACAAAGTCCAGTTATCAGGATGGAACGTTGCGTCGACCGATCACTAGTGGCGGGGTAACTGACACTTGGATCTAGATGCATTCGTCTTATCAGATCAATTCAAAATAACAACCCTTACATGAATCTTCAGGGATTTTCTTCATCTGAACTCTCTTCCTTGTCAAGTCGATCACCATGGAGAGATTCATTACTGCCGTGAAGAGGCAGTTTCGGCCAACGCCTATGCAGCCTAGTGAGCCACAGTCAGCCACAAGGCCAGATGTCGAGTCAGCGGGTCTTGAAACGAAATCACAAGATGTCTCGTTGGAAAAGGGCGCTGTGGATACAGCGGTACAAGCAGAGGCTGGTGCATCTGCTATCGAGGCAACCACCGCAGTCTGGGGTAAGAAAGGTAGATGGCTTGTCATCGCAGGGTAAGTTCATAATAGCCAACATGCAAGTGAAGCATTACTGACAAATCTTCAGGATAGCCATGATTATGGTGACTTAGTAAGTGAGCGAGAGAATGTCTTTTCAAGAGCAGGCTTTTATTAACCCCCAATCCCCCCAGTGAGCTTGATAATTCAACCGTCTACATCTACAACAACTATTCCACATCATCTTTCAATGCCCTTTCAAAACTAGCAGCCTTAAGCACAGCTGGCTCTGTGTTATTCGCGGTCATTAAACCGCCAATCGCAAAGCTTTCCAATGTCATGGGCCGTGGTCAGACGTACATGATGACTATCTGCTTGTACATACTATCTTACATCCTCATGGCATCAGCAAAAACCATCAACACATATGCTGCAGGCTACATCTTTTACGTCATGGGCCAGTCTGGAACAAACATCATGAACGACATTGTCATCTCAGACTTGAGTAACGCCCGGTGGCGTGGCTTTGCTATTGGTGTCTCATTCACGCCATACCTAGTGACACCCTGGGTCTCTGGCTTCATAGTTGATAGCGTCGTGGACGGCATCGGCTGGCGCTGGGGCATCGGCATGTTCGCGATCCTCATGCCAGTCGGTGCAAGTTTCATCATCACCACGCTTCTCTACTATCAAACTCGAGCTAAGAAAATGGGCCTTGTAATACGCCAACACATGACCATCCATGACTTCTGCTCTCAGATTGATTTAGGCGGCGTGGTACTCTTCAGCGGCGGGTTCGCACTAATCTTAGTGCCTTTAACACTGGCAGCAACCACTACCAGCAAATGGAAGACACCATATGTCGACGCACTCATTGCCATCGGAGCCGTGATGTTGATAGTTTTCCCTTTCTACGAGCGATTGTTATCCCGGTACCCGTTCATGCCACCTTCATATTTTAAAAATTCTACCATTGCGCTTTGTCTGTTTCTTATTGCAACAGATTCGCTCGGGTTCGAATGCACACATACATACCTCTACACCTGGGCTATAGTAGCGCGAGACTTCTCAGCCCGCAACGCAACATTCTACAATTCGACCAACGGCGTCATGCAGTGTCTTATGGGGATCATAGCCGGTGTATGTATGATGTGGACACGACGTTATAAGTGGTTAGTGATTATCGGAGCTGTGATTCGTCTGATCGGGTACGGTATCATGATTCGACTTCGAGGAGCATCGAATTCCTTATTCGAACTATTCTTTGTTCAGATTCTTCAAGGTATCGGATCGGGCATTATGCAGACGAACTTGCTAGTACCCGCGCAGATATCCGTTCCTCATAAGCAGATGCCGCAGATAACAGCCTTGGTCATATGCTTCTCATTCTTGGGTTCAAGTGTAGGAGCCTGCATTGCTGGTGGCATTTACACCAATACGATTAAAGAGGCCTTGAGGAATCATCTTGGTGACCAAGCATCGTCGGCGTTGATAAATGAGTTGGCTAACTCGATTCTTGACTATGCACCAGCTTGGGGTTCTTCGGAGCGTATTGCGGTGAATCTAGCAGTAAGTTTGATCTGAAATATGATTGTCAATATTGGATTATACTAATCAAGTCTATAGTTTTCAGATGTCTTGCGATACATGACATACACAGCCCTGGCGTCTTCTGTGCCAGCTGTAATTCTAGTCTGGTTTATGCCAAATCATCAACTACCGTGAGTGACTTGATTTTCTTTTAGCTTAACATTACTAACTAGTAACAGTGACCGTAGCAACTTGGTGGAGGAGGATGTGGACAGGTGAAATGAGAAGGGTTGTATAGAGGGTTGTGTAGAGGGTTGTGTAGAGGGTTGTTGTTCGAAGATCTGCCTGATGATATGAGATGTTGCAAAGTGTCCAAGGTTAAAGATAAAAATTCAGATTTCAAGTTTCAGTTTTCGTCTTATTTTCAAATAATGCTAGGTACCTACTGTTAGGACTAGTATCATGGCGCTCAAGGACATCTGGACTCATATTCAAGTTCAAACTGTGCTATAGTTGCGCCAAGTGTCCTACATTCACATGTGCAAGGACCCTTTTACTATAGTATGTCTATCTGGTACTACTATTATTTCTAATTATTTTAATGTAGTGAAAATCCTGGAAACAAGTTGAATAGACCTACTCCAAAACAAGTTCAAATAAGACCAATAGATGTTTATTTTATGATAGTGGAATCGCCTCCCACGGACCTCGCCACATGCATCAATGCATTAATGCCGTTGGGAAATGTAAAATGTCACGCTAATTCAACCGGTTAAAAATAGTGCAGCCTGTAATTCTTTTTTTACAGAAAAAGTGGAAATAGAAAAAAAAATCTCCTTTTTACAATACACACAACTCTTTTAGCCCCTTGGGAGCCTGAATCAGGAAGTTGTATAACTGACCACGTCGCCCGTTACAATTGCGTCCACTTCCGCTTTCCTTTCCTTTCCGCCTAAAATTCCCAGATCTCCCCGAGGAATTTAATACGCCACGATCTACATCTCCACGGTGTGAGCTTCGTCTGATATACCTTCACCATGGCGGGCTCAATGCACTTGTCACGACTTCGGAACTGGTTCCTTGCCTCTCCGCCTATCGAGTTCGCCATCTCCAACCTGAAGGAGCTCCTGGTGGGTGCTCTACGCCAGGGGCCCATCCCTCAACATGTGGCCTTTGTGATGGATGGAAATCGTCGATTCGCCCGATCGCACGGAATTGAAACGGTGGAAGGACATAATCTAGGATTCGAGGCATTAGCAAGGGTATGTCTCCCAATGAGCGCAGACACGGTAGCTCTGTACAACGCAATCCTCTGCGATTACAGGTTCACTCTTCAAATACTAACCTAGTTTGCTTTCGATCATAGATTCTAGAAGTCTGCTACAAAAGCGGTGTTAAAGTCGTCACGATCTACGCCTTCAGTATCGAGAATTTCAAGCGCTCAAAATTCGAGGTCGACGCCCTGATGGATATGGCGAAGGTGAAGCTGTCGCAGATGGCACAGCATGGAGATTTGCTGGACCGTTACGGTGCTAAAGTCCGCGTTCTTGGACGACTCGATCTACTCAAGCCCGATGTCCTGGCCGCGGTCAACAAGGCCGTCGATCTGACTAGTCGCAACGGCGATCGCGTGTTGAATATCTGCTTTCCCTACACCTCCCGCGACGAGATTACTGGCGCGATCCGTGACACTGTCGACGACTACAGCACGCCACTCCAATCAAATGGTTCTGGCCGAACTCCTTTCTCCGAATCCCATATCGCGCATAATATACGGGCCCAGACTTTGGGGACGCGGCCACAGGATTCAAACAGTGACTCAGGGTCCTCTGCAGAGTCCTCAAGCCATGAGGATGATTCACTCTCGCAGAACGAACATCGCCACCGTGTATACGAATCCGGGTCTTCGTTCTCATCTTCTACGACTTTACATCTTGGACAACAGGATAGCCAACATCAGAAGAATGGCGCTCACGAAAGCCTGAACGGAGACAAACCAACCTTCATGTCCCCCGAAACTATTTCCCGTCAAACGTTGAATGATCACATGTTGACTAAAGGCACCCCACCCTTAGATATGCTGGTGCGGACCTCGGGTGTTGAGCGGCTGAGCGATTTTATGCTCTGGCAATGTCATGAGAACACCGAAGTCGTGTTCCTCGATGTCCTATGGCCGGAGTTTGACCTGTGGCATTTCCTTCCAGTCCTTCTTGGATGGCAACGACGCATCTCCAAGTCGAGACAGAATCCAGATGCCGAGGGCAACTTTGCCGGTGACAGCCCAGAATCCAGTGAAGAGGATATAGATTTCCTGGTTCGACAGGGTAAGGTCAAGGCCATATAGACCCGTTTATTCTTTTTATTCCTTCTTTCCCGTCCTTTTTTATGTCCTTTTTTTCAGCATTCAGCGGAGTTCGGAGTTTGACTTTGTCAACACCGTGTTCATATATCCCAGCAGCATTAGCAGCATTCCTCCGATACACAGATACATCTTATATGACTATTTATACATCCAGTGCTACTCTTATCTACTTTCATCGTAGCATCAATACATCACAGTGGAGCTCCTTTCCTAATCCAGACCCCGATGCCGCATTACTAACCCCCCCGCGCCGATACCGGCCACGTGACACTGACTCAATCACCACTTGGGGCTCAACGTTCTCTCTCCAACTTTAATTCTTCATCTATATCTCAATTACAGACAAGATGGTTGCTCAAATTGCTGGTTCAAAGGTCCTCCTTCTGGGATCAGGTTTCGGTATGTGTGCCTCCACCTCTCTAAGTCTGATTGATGAATGCCCCACATTGTCGAGCTTCACGATTCCACAATGTATAACAGAGAATATGCTAACATTTCGTCTCAATTCTAGTTACCAAGCCCACTGTTGATATTCTCGACAAGGCTGGTGTCGAGGTCATCGTCGGTACGTGCACTTGACCCTATATTGCGTTTCTAGTTGCAATATTGGAATCCTGGAATCCTTTGATTACCCCGCCATAATTTATCAAGGGTCCATGGGAGCCAGCATTATACACCGCTTAACCTGGATTTGGAGGAAACAATATAATCATGCGCATGCAATTGAACGTTGACCGCTAATCGAGACATGTTGAACAGCCTGCCGTACCCTCGACAGCGCCCAGAAGCTCGCCGCCGGCTTCAAGCACACCAAGGCCATCTCCCTCGATGTGAGCGACGATACCGCCCTTGACAAGGCCATGGAGCCTGTTGACGTCGTTGTCTCCTTGATTCCCTACACCTTCCACGCCACTGTCATCAAGGCCGCTATCCGTACTAAGACCAACGTTGTCGTAAGTACCGGTCGATTTATCCTCGTTTCATAAGCCCCTCCATTAACGGAAGGAATATAGACCACTAGTTACGTCTCCCCTGCTATGATGGAGCTTGATGCCGATGCCAAGAATGCTGGTATCACCGTTATGAACGAGATTGGTCTGGACCCTGGTATCGACCACCTGTACGCTGTTAAGGCTATCTCTGAGGCCCATGCTGCTGGTGAGAAGGTCACTGGCTTTGTTTCATTCTGCGGTAAGTCGTTATCATCTCTGTGAGATAAGACCATTAGCTAACTTTACTAGGTGGTCTTGTGAGTTTGGTAACTTAGGGTTTATGTCGTTACGCTTTACTAACGTTTTATACTAGCCTGCCCCCGAGGCCAGTGGAAACCCCCTGGGTTACAAGTTCTCCTGGAGCAGCCGGTAATTCAAGCAACGCTGTCTATCCATACAGATCACCATAACTAACCAATATCGATATCTAGTGGTGTCCTCCTGGCTCTGCGCAACGCTGCCCGCATCTACCAAGTACGATCTCTCCAATGAGCCCTATCTAAAGCCAACTCGCTAACCCAGAACTCTTTTAATAGGACGGCAAGCTCGTCGATATCGCCGGTCCTGATCTCATGGCCACCGCCAAGCCCTACTTCATTCTCCCCGGTTTCGCTTTCGTCGGGTACCCCAACCGCGACTCCACCTCATTCCGTGAGAGCTACGGCATTCCCGAGGCTCAGACCGTTATCCGCGGTACCCTCCGTTTCCAAGGTTTCCCCGAGTTCATCAAGGTTCTCGTCGACACCGGTTTCCTGAAGGACGAGGCCAACCCCATCTTCGAGGGAGCTTCTTCCTGGAAGGAGGCTACCCGTCAATTCCTGGGTGCTGCCTCCTCCTCCGAGAAAGATCTCGCTGCTGCCGTTGAGGCCAAGACCGCTTTCCCTAGCACCGAGGAGCGTGATCGTATTATCAACGGTTTCCGCTGGATCGGTCTCTTCTCTGAGGAGCCTATCATTGCTCGTGGTAACGCTCTTGATACCCTCTGCGCTACCCTCGAGAAGAAGATGCAGTACGAGGAGGGCGAGCGTGATATGGTCATGCTGCAGCACAAGTTCGAGATCGAGCTTAAGGATGGCTCCAAGGAGACTCGTACCTCGACTCTCTGCGAGTACGGTAACCCTGCTGGTTACTCTGCTATGGCTAAGCTTGGTAAGTACTGTCATCTCTATAAATTGATGAAACTTGAAGCTAATATATGATTAGTCGGTGTTCCCTGTGGTGTTGCCGTTAACCAGGTCCTGAACGGCACTCTCGCCACTAAGGTATGTAATCTACGTTGAATGCGTTAGGGAACTTCATATACTAATATTTCGTTAGGGTGTTATTGCTCCTATGACCATGGACATCTGTGGTCCTCTCATCAAGGAGCTGAAGGAGGAATACGGCATCGAGCTGATCGAGCGTACTTTGTAAATGCTTTTGATATGACGCAACTTAAAAAAAGCTTTCTTATGTAGCTGAAAGGTACAAAGAATGAATAGATCATGACTGGATGTTTCTAATTTTGATACTCGTAAATTCTTTCATTAGATCATCAGGTACAGTTCCAGTAATCCTACCTCAAGTTACACCTGGGCAGGTGATGGTAGGTTTATGCTTAGACTCATACCAAATACGATGAATATATCGATATCTTAACTTCATTATCATGGGCATATCACTTTCCTCTATCGTATCATCATCGCAATACCCAGTACGGCAAGACCGAACCAAGTTAAACAGAACTTGAACCAGACGAGCACATAAAATCCAAGACAGAGACAGCCCTGAAAGAGCTAAACAGGGATTAGATCAGACTTCAACTCCAAAGCTGGTGCCAAATCCAACTCCATTCCCACATCCATCACTTCTAGCTGAACACAACCCGAAAAAATTATTGGCATGCATCAAGTAGATAGATAGTCTCGTCGATAGAAACACCTTCAGCTCTTAATTTATTCTCTTTTTTGAAGGATTTGTATGTTGCTGGTATGAAAACAGTAAAGGCAAATTCTCTCTATGAATTCCAAACGGCCGTTAAATTCTCACGAAGTCGATCAGAGAATAGTGCCAAACCTAAACCAAACAGAAGAACCAAGAGCATTAGTAACTGGTTTCGAAAGAAACGAGAAGTAGGTTGTAAAGAGGAGGATCTGGAAAGAAAGGACCCGACATGGTCAAAGGGAAGAACAACAAAAAACAAGAACAGAAAAAACCTACCCGAAAGTCTGCTTGATGCTGCGAACATAGTACATGTCCCAATTTTGCTTGGTGACATCTTCCTGACCAACAGGAACACCAGACCACTCAACACGCATCTGAGTCACACCGTCGACATCATTCTGATCGAAGTTGATAGCCAGGGTACTGAAGTGCTCAGCAGGCCACTGAGCCAGACGCCATTTCTGGACAATCTGCTTAGGTCCATCGAGCTTAACGTATTCACCAGTGACGTTTCCGTCGAAGATGGCGAACTTGCCGCCAACCTTAGCACCCTCGAACAGACGGGGAGGACCACGAGTGAATGCGGTCAGACGCTTGGGGTCAGTGAAGGTGGTGTAGAGCTCCTCGGCGGTGGTGCGGAACTCATCCGAGGCTGTCACGGTGGTGGTGTTAACGGCGACCTTGCCGGTGGATGTGGTGGTAGTGGCAGTAGCAGTAGGAGCCGAGGACTTGTTGGTCTGGGGGTGGATAGTGGCAGGAGTGAAGCCACTGGAAGGGTTAACGCCAGGGGCGTGCTGGAGGTCCTTAGCGTGCTCGGCGACCAGGGCATTGGTGAGCTTTGCGAGAGCGACGCGCAGCTGAGGGAGGATCTTGGAGCGGACGAGGTCCTTTACAGGCTGCTTGGAGGAAGCATCGGCGTAGTTCTCAAGCTCAAACTGGTAAATAACGAGAAAAAGGCCGTGTTAGTCTGGAAGGGACTTTTGGTCTTTTTTTCTCTAAAATTTTGACGCCTCTTTCTTATACGGAAGAGGGCCAGATTGGGTGGTACAAGGGAACATACGACGTACTCATCTTCCTCGGTGTCGTGGGCTACCTCGGGGATGGTGATGGAACCGCTAACCTCCTCGGCGTCCTTGGTCTTACCTATGGAGAAACAGTCTCAGCTGCCAGGATCACTCAGAGGAGTTCAAGTGGATTTCTACAAACCTGAGTACTCTAGCGACAGCTTGACATCGTACAGGGTAATGACCTTGCCCTTGCGCTGGCTGACGTCTACGTCGCCATCCATCGACAACACCTTGTCTACTTTGACCGACACGCCCCCTTCCTCGGCACTGATGACAGTGAGGTTCTGCTGCAGGTACTCCTTGGCCCAGCCAGAGGCGTCCTTGTTCACCCAGTGCCAGTTGTTGGGGTTGTGAAGAACCATGATGAATGTGGTTGACTATTGCAAAAAATAGGGAGAAAATGAAAATTCTGATTCTTCAGCACGATGTGATTGATTTTTGAGAGCCGAATTGTGAGTCCGAGATTTCTCTTCCTTCAATTGTCTCTTCGTCTCAGGAAAATATCCAGTCGAATCTAAATTGGTAGGGTTCTGATAGAGGGTTGTAGGTTAGCGAAAAGATTCGCGAAATTTTTTTCGTGGTGGGGATCAAGTGAAAGAAAAAGAATAATTGCAAGAAGCAATTAAGCCACAAAATATCAGGTCACAGATGCGTATATCCGGACGTAAACTGATCAGCATAGACGATGGGAGAAAACCATCGTCATCTGACTGGTGCCAGCTGGTATCTCATCATTTGAGGGCGATGTTGGAAGACCTCACGAGGAGGGGGTAGAGTGCAGGAAGATAATACCCATCTCCCATTGGGAGAGGACGGTGTAATAGACATAGGCAAGGGTACTCACAATTTCAGGGATAGTCCAGATAAACTTCTGGACAGAGTTGTTGAGAGGTGATATGGAGAAGAAAGGAAAGAAAGAAGAGAAGCGGATATTTGAGCGATTTGGGACGGAACACTCTAGAAAGAGAAGTCACGTGGTGAAGTGGACCCTGTATAGTCAATAATCAACTAGTTTATATTACTATATAAGAATGTCTAATGCTCCTTGACCGAGAAATAATATTATTCTTAAACATGAAGAAAATCACAACCTTCACACTTGGAGATAGTCAAGATAAATTGAGCGTATATACTTCAAAATGTTCCGTAAACCCGGTGCAACAGCGAACGAATGGGGATATCACAAATCTGAGCGAAAGCAGCAGAAGAAAAGAAGAAGAAAATAATAAATAAAAAAGAAAAAGAAGACATTCTCCAAGTATTCCTATTCCTGCTCCAGTTGCTCCAAATCATCCCATGCATCTTCGTTGACAAGTTGTTCTTTGACTCGTCCTCGTAATTCTTCAATCTGGCTTCCAAGCGCTTCCGTCCACTGACTTTCAACAGTAGCAACTTTATCCTTCAAGTCCAAAGTAAGAGAGGCCTCTTCATCGGCTCGCGTCATATCCATAATCTGCCGCACAATTTCCTCCGGTTCTCCCTGTTGAATCCTTTCCGCTTCTGTAAGGTTACTATTGGCTCTCATCAAAGCCGATCGGACCTCATGCAGCAAGCAGAGGAGATTTGTCTGGGACTCAATATACTGATATGAGGATTTTTCAGCATGAGATAGTAGAGAGTGGAGATATTGCAGTGGGTGTGCATGGTAGCTCGGGTTCTCCTCGTATTCTTTGGCAGGAATCTGAACCTTGAAGCCGCGCAGACGATCAGGAACCTGTTGCACCAATGCAAGGAGCGAAGGTGCAATGTCCCAGAAAGCGGAGAGTTGCTTTTCAACACCCCGGACGACGTTCTGTTCGATGATATCTAGGAATGATTCCAGACGGGAAAGAGCCTCCATCTCATACTGCACACGTCGGTCCAGGGAATCCTTGGTGAAAAATGCTTGAGTTTCCCGGAGCTTGTCCTCGTTCTTGCTTTGCTGATATGGCAATAGAGCGACTGATTTGTATTTCTCATCTCGCCCACTAATCAAGTCAAAGGCTTCTCGATGAAGTTGCTCTCGAGCTTCGAATAACCATTTCAACTGTGTTAGTTTCTCCAGGAGCTCGGGCTGCTCGTCGCCTTCTTCTTGCGTCTGATCGGGCGTCTCGTGTTGTGCATCATCAAACAGTTTACTACTCAGCTCATCAATGCAAGAAGTAGCTCTTTCGAGTCGATCCTTAACGATGTTATGCATTGGTTTCAGCACCATTTCCTGGTACAAGTCAAGTTGGCGTTTTGCGAGATCTCGTTCGCCTCTGTTCTCTTCAACGATCATTGCAGTCTCGGCCTCAGCAGCCTCGCCAAATGTCAGACTACCTTCTTGAATCTGGCTCTGGATATTGGCTCTGAAATGAAGGCGGCTCTCTTTGAGTAGGGTCTGGTGCTCTTGAATCAGACTATCAACGTCATTCGCATACCGCTGTCTAGTAGACTTAATCTCAGAGAGGTCTGTAATCGAGCGAACCGTAGTCCTATACGATACTAGTTCTGGATGACTGTTGTTGACAGCAGGGTGATGACGTGGATACGGTGGGGGAAGGGTGATCAATCGCGATATATCCATCTGCGGGATTGCAACAGGTCGCTCGTAACGGGGCTTACTTGCTGAACTGGGATACTCATTCTCTTCCTCATGCCATCCGACCTTCTCAGGTGGATACTCATCCGGACCGTAAGCCGCATTCTCGTCCGTATAATTTGCAGCATCGTCATCAAGTTTCATTGGGGTTCGTTGTTGTTGGTCCCACTGGACGGCATCTGGCACTAATCCCATATATTTGGATTCACGCTTGGAACGCTGAACTCGTCTTCCATTGCCATCGCTACTGGATTGTGATTCCCACCAACGACTGGGTGCACGACCTCTTGAGCTCATTTCATCATTACTCATGTTAATGCTTGCAATGGGGGATAGGCAAGGCTGGTAGTTATTCCACCAAGCGGACTCTGGTCTGTTAAGTCGGTTCTGAGGAATGTCCAATTTGGGGGCCGGTCTAGGCGGCTTATTTGCAGGTTCAATTTCTGTCTGAGCCGGGCGTACTTTAAACAGTTTTTTATGTAACTCCGCGGAGTCAAAGGAGCCGGAGTCCCAGACGGTAGCATACCGGTCGCGACGAATTGCGGATTCAGCAATGATAAACTGAGTGAAGGCTTTTAGCGCTTCAGTCTCATTAGGGGCAGCAGCTTCAGCCTCGATGAACTTTTGGTGTCTCAGTATGGCATCTTGCATAAATTCTGTGTCCTGCTTCATGACTGCTTCCAACGAGTTCTGTTTCATCGCCTCTCGAGAGGGGATTCGACGGGGTGACAGTGGTTTCATGGATGCAATGGCATCATTCGGCATATGCAAGATATGTGAAATAGGCCGACTATCTGCACCTCTAGACAAAGCACGAGGCCTTGGCTGTGCTTGGAACTCCTTACCCGATCCTAGAGGCGGCGTAGGCAATGCTTTTGGTGGTGTGGGCTGAATTATCTCCCTTGCATACGATGAAGCGGATTCTCCTTTCGGAGAAAACGGCGGAGTGTGTGCCAGGGTCGCAGGTGCAGGCGGATTACTGGGTCCAACGCCCGGACTTGGCTCGGCTTTCGGTGTTGGGTACGGCGACGAGTCATCAGAGAACAGTCCCCCGGAACTTGCTCGAGACCGCGATGGTGGGTACTTCCCACTCGAGGGTAAGCTTCGAGCGCTTTTGGGAGTGAATCTCGAAGACGAGGGAGGCCGTGTTGGGTCAGGACTATTTCTCGCTTCCGGAAGAATCAGATTTGTTGGTTTTATCTGGTCCAAGGCTTCTGCCCATGGGTTGCCACTGGATGAAATTGCACTAAGATCGTCGAACGTCTGGCTTTGACGGTTACGACGTTCGATTCGCCTTTCACGTATGCCCTTGGCACTTGGATCTCGAACAGCCGGGCTACGGAAGAGACCACCACTTCCTGGGGTTCTTTGAGACTCTCGTACATTTCCTCTTGAATCAAGATGCTCAGTTATATCCGCTCCAGGCATCGCTATACTGGTGTCGATTTGTAATGGCTGATTTTGTTCGGCAGGCCGGCTATTTAAGTACTCCTCATCCACCCAATTGGCCGGGGTGGGTGGAATACTCCCCAGACTTGTTCCCATTACCGGTGGTGGTCGAGCTCTAGCTCTGGGTGGACCAAGACTTGTCCTTGCAGAGGATGACTCTGATGAATCACTTAGACTAACTGACCGTGCAGCCGGCGGCGGACCTGGTGGTGGGCCTGGTGGTGGAGGTGGAAGGGGCATTCCTGGCGCCCAGCCACTATTTGGGGGAGATTGATTTCTTGTTTGACTCTGGGCTCTTGACGAGCCAGCACTGTGAACAATTGCCCCAGCAGATGCAGCTCGTCGTGATGCCGGTGGCCTTGAAGATATTTGTAATTCAGGTGAATGGCCTGGTGGTGGGCCTCTGATATTTTGCTGTGGTTGATTTTGCTCATAAGATGATGAAATCGAAGCTCTAGTCCTTGAATGAGAGGCAGTTGAATGATATGGTGTGTTCTGATTTCCATCCAGTCGACTATGTGAAATAGATCTAGATCCCGGGTAACCTTGCGGTGGTGGCGGTGGTGGTAGCGATTGTTGTGGTTGATTCTCGCTGGTATAGGCCACTGACAAAGGGCGAGGACGAAGGCCTGATCGTCGAGGGTATTCAGGAGAAATATTGAAATTGCCATCTCTAGATGGATTTTGAGGGGGTATATTAGGTGTTACTGAAACATTGGGATTTGGGGAACCAAATGTTCCCTGTGATACTTGATTCGGGTTACTTGGGGGTGAGTATGGTGGAGGTGGTGGTGATAAAGGTTCATCTACATATTTTCAATAAGCACGAATCCCTTTTGAGGTCCTCTTGGGTAGACTCACCTGATTGACCTCTGTTCTGAGATACAACACGCTGCTGGTTCCCCGCATGGGCATATTGAGCTTGTGCAGGAGCACCGCCCAAGGGGCCCCAGTCCTGTGGATTGTATGGCACATTGTAGTTTGATGGTTGTCTCGAGGAAGGTGGCGATCTGCCAATCGCCGGAGAAGCAACAGCCGGGGATTGTCCATGTATAAACGGGCTCGAAAGCGAGGTTGATGATAACGGAGTCGTACCACTTTGGAAATGGATGCCACTCAGGGCTGTCGTCAACAACGGTGGCTGTAAAGCATGTTCACGGAAATTCGGCGATGGCTGATTACTAGTGCTGGTATTGGACGACCAGCCGGTGTAATGCTGCTCATCGCCTGTATGACTTGAGCTTCTCCAACTATTGATTTCAAACAGTCAATATCGTGATCACCTCGATGCACTTTAAAACGGAGACTCAAGCGGCTGAACTGTGTTGACATACCTGTTCATCCTGGACTATGTACCCGTCAATATCCAACCCGACTTGATGCCATAGTTTTCACTAGCAATAAGGGGGGATCGTGAAATTTGAACTGAAACGAACAAAAAGAGAAGAAAAAAACAGACCGATTCTGAGGGGCCAAATTCTATGATTGTCTAGCACGACGAATCCTAGTCCATAGGGCCACTTAGTGCAAACCCAGACGAATGGCACAGAGCCAGGGACATGAGGGGGGGCAAAGCCTGAGCTATATTTGGAACATCAAAGACCATTTTGCAGAGCCAATACCAAGATGGAAAGTAGTGGTCGAAGCGGGGAATCACATATGCAACTTGAAGATTCTCATCACACACGGCCCAGGTTCGGCGCTTATCCTCGATGTTGAGAGGCCCAAACCCCGTTGTCCCCGCACCCACTGACCAGGTTCATAGCGAATAGGGGTGCGCATCACAACAAGCTTAGGGATTTGGCTTTTGGGGGTGCTTCCTTCAGTGGAAGATAGCCTGTAGGAGTATCCATTGTTTCTAAAAGTAAACCACATGCACATGTGTGCAAGTGAAGAAGCGGTATGACCATGATGTTGAATGGTAGGACCTTGGGGGTGGGGTTCCATAATGTGATGAGCAGAAGATAAGCGCACTTTAAGGTATAGTTCCAAGATAATAAGCTTCATTGTCTAACTATTGCTAAGGTCTAAACGTCTCGTGGCCTTCTATAACACTCGGTGAGAAGCCGAGGTCAGAGCACATATGGTGCGGCTAAAAAATATCCCTGTTCACTGGTCTTGACGTTAGTAAAGGTTACCAAAAACGCGACCGAGCAATCAAATGTATAAAACAAAATGTCAGATAATATGCCCTGTCACAGGCGGTGGTCATCAATTAAAATCCTTATGTTGACCGTCGTGATAAATTATAGTAAATCATCATATAAAAAAAAGCAAATCGCCGAAAGAAACCAAGAAAAAAAAACAAGTTTTCAACTTACATTGAAATGAAGTCAGTCGTGGATGATGGGTGTGTTAGTTTTTCAAGTCGCATCTGTTGAATACCCATCAGCATAAAGCACTGGATGGACATGGACAACCAGTATGCGATTGGCGATTGATCAGACATGACAGTCTCGTCTCGGTCAACCGAAGCTGACTTGGACATATGCTTGTCTTTGTGTTTGCGTCGATTCATCATGAAAGGGAAGTTGAAGTTGAATGAGAAGGAGATAATCCAACGTACATCTACGATCCAAAATAAATGAATCATGACAAGTCACGGAGATGGAAGAATGATCACTATTTGGCAGGACGAATTAGTCACTGACATTATTTAAATTTTCATAATGCAGAGTTTGCATGAAAACAGCATTTTCAGTAGGCATGAATGGTATTAAAAAAGATGTTGTCTGCATGGATAACTCCGATAAGACTCGTCATCTAAAGGGTATCATCATATGAGATGGGGGCAGTGTGAAGAAGCAAAAAAGATAATGCCTACCTGTTGCAAATATCTACGAGAGCGAAGGTCAAGTCATCAAGTCATAACACTGATCAGGATGATTAGCAACTCGTCACAAATAGATGTGTGAGCCGATGAAGATCATCAAATATGTCTCAGTGGGCGAGGTTTTCTAGGCCTGCCGCAAAATGGGCGTATCCGTCATGACCGAACACTTTTGTGCCGTCGGAGCCCAGTGCCGTTTCATCTTCGAGTGGGAAGGATCTTTGGGAAGGTTCTCGGGTCGAAGCTTACCATCTATCTTTATTCCAGTTAGCAAAAGATCCAGAAAGAAAGTCTGAGATAGGTATGCGATTGTGTGGAAGGGATCAGTAATAGCCATTAGCTGTCGTCATAGATCCGAAGACCTTGGACGGTAATTTCCAGCGTATATAAAAGTTTGCGTTCATCATGAAAAGTGTGGTTTGGTTGAGGGTGGTGCAAGATATGATAATCAAAATAAGTGAGACTCACGGTTAAAAAAGATTTGAGATCGTTGTTTTTGCCGATAGGCAATGTTCAAACTAGGTTAGTCCTAAGAGGGCAAGTTAGCTCTCTGTCAAATTCAACGAACGGCAGTGATGACAATCAATGACACAAGCGTGAATAGCTCAGACTGACGTGCAATAACAGAGTTTTCATTCCCCGTAGGGTCAAAGACTCTAGTTTGAATTTGGTTATGGTTTTCATCATATAGATGGTGCTCGTGCTGGGGGAGAAAAAATTCAACCGTGGGGATTCGCTTACCATAAGTGAAAATCTTGCGGGTGATCAAGAGATCATTGTGTGTTCAATGTGACATTCAGATTCCTCTGATATGACAATCCCAGTTATATTCAAGACCAAAACATTTATGGCCAGTGAAAAACTGATGTACACTGATGGAAGAAAGAGAAAGATTGGAAACAAAAATCGGCTTTTTCAAGCTGCGGCCGCTCCGGAATAACCTCTCTCCGTTAACGCCATACCGCATTTGGCTCTAGCCCTAGTGCCTCAGGCATTAATATACAGTTGCACGTGACATATCCTTCCATGTTGTTCCACCTGGAGTCTTGACTCGTCTCTCAATTCAATTGAACTTCCAAAAGAGCCCAAAATTAAAATCTACAGTGATTCCCTTCCAACGAGGATCTCACTGAAAACGACCGCCTTCATTTCTTCGAGTCGTGAATGTCTCCTCAAGGTCCAAGATTTCAAGTATCTTCAAGTTTCAAGTATCTTCAAGTTTCAAGTTGTGCATTATATATTTTTCATGGATGAATGGATGTAACTCATCCACATGCGTAGTATTATGACTCCGACTCGGACTTCAAGTTGGATTTGGGAATGTCTAGTAAGTTGATCCTGAGGTATTATTACAACCTCAAGCACTTCCAAGGTTGTGTGCTTGGAATCCAACTCGGAGCCTGAGTGGCCCGAGGCTACTACTACCTATACTAATACAGGTATACTACTAGTAATGCGCGACCGAACCCCCTCCCGAGGTCTGGAAGTCAACTCAATATTTGATATTGCTTCATCCCTCAGATATCCAGCTAGGTATCATAGCAAACATTCGAATATCGGAACAACTTGAAGCATCCTCCCTGGCAAATACTACTTCATAGTCCGAACCCATTTAGTATTTTGTGCAGGTGGAGCCAATTTCAATGCGATATTGAAGCTGCTGATCGTTTATCCGAGTCTCAACCGTGACCGAAGCTGTTTGAGAAGTTCCCTTTGGTTCTTCGCGTTTCGATTGTCTCGAAGTACCAGCAGCCCGTTTTCGACCTCCTTGTGCCTTTGACTCGGCGTTTTTTTCTGACGGTTGTGCTTTCTTGGCTGTTTGATTCTTCACAGGCGGCTTCCTAGCAACCGGTTTCCGACTGGTCTGCGCTGTAGTGATTGACCCTCTACCCGATGATTTTTTGGCTGTCTGTTTAACTCTGGGTCTGCCAGTGGCATCATTTTGGGGGGCATTGTGCGTCGAATCATCTACATATGCAACGTAACCGCTTTGCAGAGGACGATCAAGGCCAACAGGTTCATACGGCGGAGGTGCAGGGCTGTCTCCTCTCAACGATTCCATATCATCTTGCGAGTCGTAGTCGGTGTAGGCATCGCCCTCAGAATAATCGTAAGAAGCCTCAAAGGGATGGGCTTCAAAAGACACTCGCTCTGACCTGTATTCCTCGTACAATATTTCCACGTTCTCGGAATGGTCATATGATCCTGATGCAAGGTTAACCAAATTTGTTTAATTCCAGAGATCAATGATATTGGTAGCTCTCACCTGAAACACCGGAGAGTCGGCCATCTTTCAAGTTTTTCCTAAATCAACCAGGAAGGAGGTGGGTTAAAGCCAAACACGCAAGGCGAGTCTGGATATCTCCAAGATCTCTTTGGTCCTGATTTGAAATCTCTCAACCACCCTGAACCCGGCCGATCTGGATGATAATATCCTTGAGTTCCATCGGGGTATTGGAAGTAATGAGCTCCATCTCTAATAAAGACAACAATCAATAATTTCCCTTTGGTAAAAAGACTACTAGTGGCAGCTTTCTAGGGGAAGGAAGACAATCCCTGGAAGAGAGTATGCCATGACCTAGGCTGAGAGCCGTGAGAATAGAAGTGTTTGCATTTCCAATTTCCCTGAGATCCGAGTCAGCACTAGTAGCTGCACTACATGTGCAAAAATTTGAAGATATCTTTGACTTCTTACCTGGTCATCAACATAGGAATCGTCGACCTCATATGATCCAAACTCATCATCACCAAAGATCCCATGATTAGACATGGCTCGGATGAATATGTAGAATTAAGATGATATGATTTCTGATGGAGCATTCGCGATCCTAATGAGTTTCCAAGTGCCAGTGGGGAACTATTGTAAAGTAACTAATATCTCTTTGGAACTTCGTAACTTGAAATTTTATGGGCATCACCCTGACGTTAAAACCCATGTGCCGTATAGAATTATATCATGATGATGATATCGGCATCGTCGTTCGTGATTGACCCAAAAAGGGCCCAGAGATAGTAGACCTTAGATAGATAGGTAGATATAGACCTATTTTTCTACTTGGGTTACGGTGGTTTTTCGAGTTTCCTCACCGTCTGGCAGAATACTCAGAGACCATAGATTTACTAATAGACTATATTTTTGTTTTTATTAAAAATATCTAAACATGCTTATGAATATATCCGGCTTTATTTAGCTATCTCTTACTTCTACTTTAGACATCTCTCGGTTTAGATATCTGTAGGGTTGCCAGTTGCCTATATCTAACTATATGACAGGTAGCCATCCCCTCTAGGTAACCCAGTAGGTAACCCAGTAGATAGCCCAGTAGATAGCCCAGTAGGTACTTACATACAAAGAGGTGTGGGTCATTAGTCACCTGTAGATGTACTACCTCGGACTGAGTCCTGTACTTAAGTATGTGAACATACCTATCTGAGAGGATGTGGACACATCTAACCAACTTGAAGCACTCGCGTGCTGAGGACATACCTCTCCCAATTTCAAATCAAATAGACACACAGTTTCTGATATCATGAGTTGTAATAGAACTGGAAATAAAAACTGGTAAACTTCAAGTTCGTTTACTTTATAATTGTAGTGTACATAGCGTGTATAATGTACATGTGCGAGCTACTTATATTGAAACTCACCAGCTTGAAATTGCGGATAATCAAGGAACCGAATCGACCATTCCATAGCACTTGAGATTTCACTGGGCCAATCACTCAGATTTTGCTGATCAGCAGCGAGTTGTTGTGAGGGGAAAATAGCAGTAGGCATATACTCAGTTACCGGCTGCTCAGTATACGCAGTGTTGTTTCTTTTGGGCAAGGGGACCACCTGGGATTGCGACGTAGTGACAAGACTAGTCGAGCCAGTTGGTACTACTAGAATAAGTTAGTGAGTTTATCTGAAGCCAATTGAATTCATTGACGTACCTTCTTCTGTAGATCGACGCATCTGAGAAAGACCCTCGAGGATATCGGCAGCCTTTTTAGCCGCAGCGGAGTTCGCGCTGAGAGCCTCAAACACCTTTAAACAAGTTCCAGCATCCTCTAGCAGACTCTGAGAAGATTCCTTGCTATATGCAGGATTATTGTTGTTATTATTGTAAAAGCTTTCTGCCACGAATAATATAGAGCTTGCGCAGATCAGACATGATATCATCTGCCACCATGGGAAGTCGTGAACTAAGCTGCGCTCGTCCACGACGTTGTGTAGGAGATGGGCTGTTTGTTGCGCTTCATGCACACATATTGACTCGGCCTCAGATATGCGCTCTTTATCCCTGAGGAGTAAATTCATGAAAGACTGGTTGTTCATCTGGAGGAGCGGTAGGCAAAGGAATGGTCGGTGGACCAGGGCTCGAAGATGGTGGAACTTTACTGCAAGCATATTTCGCTATATTGGGTCAGTTCCTGTAGCTCTTGATGTGTACCCTCAAACTTCCAAGAATAAGCCACTTACTTGTCGCTTAAATGACATCGATTTTTCGAAAGTATGCCCTAAATCAAAGCGTAAATGCCGAGGTAGCTTCGCTTTCCAATCAACTAAGCGCTTATCCAGATCGGACGCACTTTGCAGTATTTGATCAGGAGAAAGGTCAATCTGAGATGGACGGTAGAGAACCCGGATAACTTGTCCCACAATATGAGAAAACCCGATGACTTCCAAAAAGTAATCCATCATGTGGTCCTGAGCTACAGGGCCAGGACAATCAGACTCGCCTGAAGGGAGGAATGGAGTCTGATCATCTACAACGGGTAGTTCGACCTGAAAGTCGAACTCATGGATAGCCATTGGTCGTCCAAGCTGAAGAGCAAGCAGTCGATCTAAAACGTACATAGCATACCAAGTACGCCGCCAGTGTGCACGATCTGCTGCAATAGAGGCTGACTCCACATGAAGACCAATACTCTGACCCATTCGGATTGCGAATCCTAGAATATTCCAGCAGCTTTAATTATTACCATTAGCAAGGGTAAGGGTAAGAATTCAGATATATGGACACACCGATCAGTATGGCAGACTGCAAGTAAGAAGAAGCATTGCACGAGTGAGACCCAAACACTCATAAGAGAGCAATCTGCACTGAGCTCTCGAGAAAAGTAGACACCCTGGTCATGGTAGCGGAAGTGATAGTGGCTGCCAGAGTCCTTTCCATGAGGAAATGATGTATAATAGGACCCAATAGCGAAAATAAAATCTACATAAGAACCGTCAGAAAATACCTATAACTTTGGTTATTGATGGGCCTCACTAAAAAGGGCAAGCCATGGCCGAAATTCCAAGGTATTGATGTCCCCTTTCTGAAAACGTTGAAAAGCGTCTAACAAAGCCGACTTGCATATAAAGGGGTACGCAATATGGATAGTAGACAAGTAAACATCCAAAAACTGTTCCGCCTCAGCCGGAGATGGGAACAATAGCGGATACTTGAAAAGAGTCAAGCTCTCCTGTGTATGTGTTTGACTATAATTCTGTGCCGTCTCGTCGCTTGGACCCACTGGTCCTTGTACACACTGGCGAATACTATGTATGAAATGAAGATCACTTGCCTTGCCAAGATATGTTGGCGGCGAGGGTACGGCTGCTGTATCATTATCCGGTGTACTCTCAGTCGATTGGCTGAGAGGTTGCTGCTCTCTGTGCGGGATATGGCGCCTGATCTCACCCAGACTCGCGTCCAATGCAGCTTGGTGTGCACCATCCAGATTGGAGCGGAGTTCTTGGATTAACGACTCATATGAATGAACCGCTCTCGAAAAGCCGGGTAGCCCGCCCCTGGTAGGTGCGTTTGACACGAGGGCGGCTGGCTGATGGGGCCGTGTCCCGGTTGTACCGGCTGAGTTGGTCTGCGACCCTCGTCGTCTCCTCTTACTCCAGGTACAAGTGAAGCCATACCCTTCACACCTAGAACATATTGGTTGCCTCCCATCACACTACACCAAGTCGGAAGTTGATTAGCGTGGTACAACCAAAGGGTGAATACGCAGTCCACGAACCTTGGCCTTAAGTTCGCGACATTTATCGCAGGCAATTCCCACGCGTTGACGCCTCATTGTGGATACAACGGATGAACTCGCCAAGATGAAGACTCCGCTGTATGTTATGAAGCTGAACTGGATCAAGATTCAAGGGAAACCCGGTTGAGACGGATCGGACGGCTAGGATAAGGTGATATCAGCGATCCACTCAAGAGACTAAGCAGTTTCGCCGGGCCGCCCGATTCGGGATCAAGGATTAAGCAAAGCAATACGAAGAATGTCAGAATGAGGAGAAATTTTCATTATCGCAATTTTGAAACTCTTTTCCTGCGTCATATTGAGTGAGCATCAATGGTATTAATACAGCCGACGCGTCGAGATGAGCCGCGACACACGAACAATGATTCGAGCTCTACATTGCAATCTACACCACAGATTTCATTACGATCACAACCTATGGATCTCCAGACCAATTTGAACGAAATTGCTGCGCCGCCTCCCGTCTACGACTCGTCTGAGAAGCCAGTGCGCGGGCATGACTACCTTGAGGACCGACGAACGAGAAGTGATCAAGAATCTCTTCAACAGACTGGAGAAGCAACACAAAATGCGGGTGTGTCCAGTGCGCCAGAGTCAGCAAGCTCTGTCTGGAGGCTCTCACCAATGGTTTATACTATTGGATACCTCATCTTCTTCTCATTTGCCGGTACCGTTCTACGACTAGCAATAGAATGCTTAACATTTTATCCTGGTTCCCCAGTGAATACCAGTGTGCTGTGGGCCAATGTAGGAGGAAGTTTCTTGATGGGATTCCTTAGCGAAGACCAAGAACTATTTCGCATCGAAGATCCCCATGACCGCCAATCTGCGACGAAGCACAAGAAAACCATTCCCCTGTTCATCGGGCTGACGACCGGATTCTGCGGTAGTCTCACATCATTTTCTACATTCATCCGGGACGTATTCCTGGCTCTTTCAAACGATATCGCTGTTCCCCTCGGCTCCTACTCCAATCTCTCACTATTTGGTTCTGTTCCAGAAGTAGCCAGTGCTCCCAATGGTGGCTTCAGCTTCATGGCCATCCTCGCCGTCTTATTCACGGAAATCGGCCTATCGCTTTTCGGCCTGACACTAGGAGCGCATCTTGCTATTGGAACATCTACTTGGATGCCCACACTTTCTCAGGGATGGTTAAGAAAAGCTCTCGATCCTATCATACTCATACTGGCGATATTATCCTGGATCGCCGTGATTTGCCTCGCCGCATTATTGCCGAAGGATTCGCCGAAAGTTACGCTCTGGAGTACGGAAATGTGGCGAGGACCAGTTGTGTTTGCACTTATTTTTGCGCCGCTTGGAACTTTAGCACGCTTTTTCGCGTCACTGAAACTAAATGGTCGTGATGTCTCATTTCCCTTAGGTACATTTGTTGTTAATTTAGGTGGCACTATGGTATTGGGGATGGCATACTCGCTGCAGCATGCTTCGGTCAGTGGAGCTAGCGCTGTCGGATGTCAGGTCCTACAGGGGATTATGGATGGATTTTGTGGATGTGTGACAACGGTCAGCACATGGGTCTTGGAGCTATCATCACTTCGCAAAAAGCATGCATATTTTTACGCTTCTTTGAGCGTCGTGGTTGCTCTCTGTACCTTGGTATTGGAAATTGGAAGCTTGAAGTGGACAAGAGGCCTTGTCACGCCCTCATGTTTCAGAAATAGTTGAAGAGATTTCTCAGGTTGCAAGAACTGTTAGTCCAGATTAGGCCTTCATCGCCTCGACCACATTTTGGGCTTTGCTCTCCTTCCTATGGCTATGGTATTGCACTTCCCAACGCACTAGTGAAAATCCCCCTTTATCGCTTCCGTTCACAAGTGCCCCACTCATCATTAGGCGATTGTGGATATTTCCATAGTATGTACCTGAATCCTGCGGGATTTAGCATGGCAGGTTAAGATATTTTTTAATGAATCATAAGTGGATGCATCGCAAGGCTGCAGATTGCTAAAGCGGCCCGAGGATTTGGTAGAGCGTCAATCCCGAGTCATAAAGTACTCCCAAATTTGCCAAAATTGGTTTCAATTTTGAGATCTCCACATATGATCCAGGTAAGGAGTATGCTTTTGATCTAATGCAGGAGCAAGATGTCAGAATCCTTCGGCACCGTTTGAAGATCTCCGTTGACAAACTGAGTCGCAAACACAAGCGCCCTCTTCAGGAGACGATTGCTCTCATGCAGTTCGCTCAAGATTTTCGTGGGACATTTTTAGCAGAATTCATAACAGAAATATGGCTATCCCTAGCGTTATTCCTGTGGGTTTGCACATTTACTACGGGAAACTAGCGTGATAACCAGAAAGGATTTATGAGTTTTGCGCGCTCTGGCCCGTATGCTTTGAGGTCCTATACTAGGTAGGTACCTAGGTACCTATGTGAATTACTCAGAACACCGCATATCTCAAAGTGTAATGGTGCTGATATCGGCAAATGCATTGTACTAACTACTAAGCTGGGCTATGCCGACGCCTATTTCTCTACCTGTTCCAATCTTGGAAGGTTGGGGACTTAGAAATTAGTTAGTCTCAGACTAAAACGACCCGGAGACCTTTGGCTCAAAGAGACACTTCAATAGTTAAAACTAAATACTGAGGTTTTTAGTCTCTCCAACTGACCCCTCCAACTATCTCACCAAAATCAAGAACCCGAGTTGTCCGCAATAATACTCTCTTACAATCTTCATCTATCAAATTCCACAATGAATCCCAACGAACCCGCTGGTCCCCCGGTTCTAGCTGTTCTGATCCCGCTAAATACTACCTGCGGAGCGGAGCTTACCACCAGCATGTCCTTCGAAAACTCAGACAAAATTCACATGCCTCTTTCCCCGGAGAAGATACAGGAGTTTGCAGAATGTGTGCCAGCTAATGAAATTGCTTCCAATGTTATTTTTTGAAGTTCCTATTGCGAGTTGCAGCTTACAAGCTTAGAAGCCTAGCATTCATCCGAGGTGATGAGACATAGTATGTAGGCATGTGATAACTTCAACTTGAACTTGAAGTAATGCTAGCTAGTGTGGGGTAACGCAGAAATTTTCAGTTGATCCTCCCTATTCTCTAGTAGTTTATTGCGTACTCCGTACTGTGTACAAGTCTCCACTGCCCAGGTGGCACTGGCACTAGTGAAATAATGACTCAAATTTGAGGGAAAATATCAAATGAAAAGAAAAAATTAGTTTGTCCGTCCATTCTGACAGAGAAAGTAAAGTATTATCACAGGTGAAAAAGAGAGTCACAAAAAGATAGGCTGTAGGGGAATCGAAGTAATTATCAAAAATAAATATCAAAACACTGGCAAAGTAGTAAATTCATATCCTGGAAACGCGTATCCTCCGTTATGATTTATTTATTAGATCGGTCCACAATCAAGTGAACATTCACACCTGCCTCCAAAGAAGAAACAGAGCTGAGCGATGATCGGTGGCTCTTAATGAACTTAGGCCATGTATTGGTGAGAACGAGGTACTTGATATCTCCCTCAGACTCATCGAAGATGGACGTGTCGAAATCTTCTGGAATCTCGCCCCAGTATAGGACCATGTCCCGGATCTCTGTCATGGAGGACTTCAGAGCCTTCTGGGAGTCACCTGTGTCAGGAGTAACAGGTATGTCCAGGTCGAATGTTTCTTTGAAAGGAACGGCAGGCTCAGGCTCACGTTCACCGTAGAGAAGCGCAGTAGGCTTTTCGAAGACTTGTTCCAGTTTGCGGAGAACTTGGTGGCCAATGTTGACAGGGAATGAGGCGTGGCTCGGACTGACATACTCAGCGTAGATGTGAAGGGCGCGGTTGTAAGCATCACGTCTCATCTCCTTGATCTTCTCATCGCTAGAGGCAGTGGCATTTTTGCGGAGGGTAGCAGGCATCGAGCTCTTCCATTCAGCAACGGCAGTAAGGAAGGCAATGTTCTCGCCGGAGAATTCACGGAGGGCGGAGAACTCCTGGAGAGGGGCGGGATTGCGTTCGAGGACGTACTCAAGAGCACCCATTGTGAGAATACTTTCACCAGATATGTCGGACCTAACAGATCCCTTGGTGGACTTCCAGGCGGACAGGATGGACTCTACCGCAGTAGACCCGGAAGCAAGAGACTTTCCTTCGCCGCCAGAGCTCTTGTTGCGGGCCTCCCATTGGGAAATAGCGTCGAGGGTCTCTTGTCGGAGGGTCTGACGGTGCCAGACTTCGTAGCAGGGAAGGAAAACGGTGAATATCTCGATAACCATAATCGAAAGGCAAATCCACTGCGGGGGGGAGCCAGACGGTTTCGAGCTTGGTCATGGCGGGGATATAGGTACTGCAAAGCCATAATGGAGTTGCGGGGAGACTGCAGGAGAAAATAAAAGTTAATACAGGAAGTGCTTGTTTCAAAGAGTCTTAAAACTTACCCAGCGATAGCACATGCGATGGTTTGAGTACGCCATCCTTGAGTATCATGGATGTCGCGGGCCTTCCAGAGGGTATAGGGAGCCACAATCCAGCACCAGAAGACTTGCGACAGAACACCAGGCCACCTAGGATCCTTGTCAGCTATGAAGTCTGACAATGAAATTTAAATTCATGCGGCTCTTACCATTCCCAGCCTTTGCCTTGTGCAGTCTTGATTTCCATGGCAGTACCAGTAACGCCGGTGCCTGGAATGCCGTATGAGGGATGGTACTTGCGCGAGAGGAGGAACATAATGACTGTGAGGGAAATCTAGATATTGCATTAGAAGGAAGCACTTAATTGTCTATCTCACTCGATTCAACAAACCTGAATAAACATAGCAACGCCAACGGTAATAAAACTCTTCTTGGAATAGTCCAGACGTAGGAAGCGACCGATCAAGCCACCCCGACGCTTCAGTTTAGCTGACGGCATTGAGATGCGACTGCAGGGGTAGGCATATTTCTTCTGAAGCCTTGCGATATAGAGGAAGCGACCGTTGGAGGCGAAGAATAGAGAAAGACCAACGGGTAACCAAGTACCCATGAACCAGTACTCGGCATCTCCGGGGATAACGCTGCCCATCAACAAACCGAACTGGACAGACCAGAAGTATAAGTGTAAGAAGAATAATGCCGATAACATCAACCCCAGTCCTCGAATTCGAATGGTTGGCGAGTCTCGTCGGATCACAATGTAAATAACTCCGATACTGACAAGCACCGTCCAGGCACAACCGAAGCAAGCCCACCAGATGCTTACGGCAGATAAATTAGCACTAGCTTTCGAGGTGCTAGTCACACCCAACTCAGAACCCATGATGAAAAGATTGACTGCTCTGCTTTGCAGGGGAGGAAGGCTGGGTTGAGTGCTCTAAAGAGAATGAAAAGGTTGGAGAGAGAGCTCTGCTGCAACTAGAATTAAGGCTGCAGCCGACGGAGATTTTGTATCGTGGACCATCTTCACGTGTGTAGTCCAGGCTGCGAGCTTCTAACTCCCCTGCAGATCGAAGTAGACACTAAAAGGTATCAATTCGTGGAGGAGAGTTGCCGGATTTAGGGTTTGGAGGATCAAAATCGAGAAATCGATGGTGTTGATAGGCTGAGAAAGGGGTTCCGCTATCTTTTAGCGTGCATCGATCTACAGTCACTATTGATTTACTAGAATTACTATTGGGAAAAAATGAGATTACTTTGCTCAAACGACTCCACTTTCCTAGCCTTCGCCCTGATCTATTCGTGATCAAGTCGTGGGCAGTTTTGCCCCATTCGCGGGCCGATCGATGGATCGGGTCCATACCTTGATTGTGATGATGTGATGAAAATTTTAACTTTCTTGTACTTCAAGAATTTGAATATTAATGCAAGAATTATATAAAGTGATAAGAATTAGAATAGGTAGGGAGAACTACTCCGTAGTAGTAACTACTAGTTTCTTGAAGGGAGTTGAGTACCTCCCGGAATAGTACCCCCGGCTTTACCCCGGTCTGGACTACCCGAAGACGACAGGGATGTATTAGAAATACTTTTAGATGAAAGACTCCACACGAGTCGGACTCGTTTACCTTGCCCAGGTGCCCAGGTACCCAGAAGTGGGCCAGCACGGGCTCTACCCACACTAAATGGAGGAAGACCCGAAACAAAATTGGTGTCCATAATGGATCCTGTACTTGCAAGTCTTGAATACTCAAGCAAATTCTACGATGGCGGGTCTTCCCCAAATTTAGTGGATAGAAATCCTGAAAATAATTCAATAGTCTCACTTTCCTAAATTTACCTCATTTATAGGGAGTAATGATCGCTTCAGATTCTTTGTGTATAGTAGAGTAGCTTGAAAACATGATATCATTAGTCGATTATAGTAGGTTTTTTCTAAGAGTGAACACGCTTGCGCGTTCAATGTCAGGCCTCCACGGGAAGAACCAGGATCAGGATCAGGGATTCAGGGGTAACGAGATCCAATGTCTCCGAGGAATCTCTGATTCGATCTTAGTTCCAAGGTTACGGAATATCTCGGCCGTGCACGAGAAAAGAATCCCGATACTCTGGCTGAGTATTCCCGATAACCTGGCTTGAAATCGATCGACATGGAGTACGGATTACAGTCTAGACACCCTCGTGGCAAGATCGTAAAAAGTGCCATCTGCAATCTTTCTCAATTATCTATGCTGGAGCCAATTTCTGCGCCCGCATCCAGAAATGATGTAGCACAAATACCATGATCAACATGCATACGTCAAGTGCAATATTCCAATTATACCCGATCAAGTAACGAGGCGCATCTTCCGTCTTCCACACACTGAATCATGAAGAAAAGTGGGTTAGCAAGGGGGTATGTACACAGGGAACAATAATCGTTCCCTGTTTCAATAACAGTGAGATCTCTTACAGAATAGGCACCCAGGTCGCGAACGTATTCCCGATCGTATTCATCGCACTGATCACCAGGGCACGCTCTTCAGCGCTATGCGCGCAAATTTCGTTGGCCCATGCATAAACAACGGCCGCAATCCCATCGGCCGTGCCTGACAAGAAAAAAGCAAAGAATTTCAAGCCGTCGGGCACATTCCAAATGGCTAGGATGATACACGCGAAAATATTCAGCACCGCGGTAATCGCGATCAGGCTGGCTTTCGCATCATAAATATCCGAAATGACGGCACAGACCACCGATGCAATTATTGTGACAGCCGGTGAGACTGTTGTGATCGTGTCAATATTCCCCACAGAATAACCTTCTGCCTTAAGCCACAAGGAGAGACCGCTATTCGAGGAAACTCCGTCCGCCTGACTGAAGAAAAAGGCAAATCCGACTAGCACCCATAGTCTCCAGCCCTTGAGGATTTCGATGATTTTCGCCTTGGTGAAAGGTTGTCTAGCTTCTCGGTTCTCAGATGCCATTCGCTCCTGAGCGAGTTGGATTTCATCTGCGGTCAAAAATCGAGAATTGCACTTGTCAGGGGTGCTTGGCAGGACGCAAAGGCCCAAGAAGGCAATTGGAACCGTGCAAGCAAAACCTAGCAGATGATCAGCAAGGGTTGTCTCTCTTTTCTTCTCCACAGAGCACGTTGGGTGTTATCTCTGTGAAACAAAGTTTAACTCACAGATAATGTACAGCCACCTCCATCCCTCTAATCCAAAACGACCATTCAGAGAATCATAAGCTCCTGCTTGGATGTATCCAGAACTCATGCTGCCAACTTGACTTGCGATGAAGAAAATGGCACCTCTACGAGATAGCTCCGATCGCTTATACCAACATCCGAGATACCATTGAACTGCTGGGAAGAAGAAGCCTCCAAGCGCGCCCACGAAGAATCGCAGAGCATAGAGTTGAGTCACATTGGTAACTTTGTACTGTGCAAGAGTGAAGACGCCCCAAATGAGGTCCGCTGCTGGTAAGAAGTAATTCACAGGGCAACGAGTCATCTACGCCAGGTTAGTTTCTGATCTTGGAGCAATCTGAGACAAACATACCAAAAGTGTCAGTGGGATCTGCATCACGATGAATCCAACACTACAGCAACATGGTTAGTGGAAGACAGCGCGATCGGAAGAAGAAGCTCATACTAATACACTGCATTCAAATAGTTCAATTGATTTCCATATAACTTCAGATCCTCCTTCATGCCACTCACATAAGCGGTACTTGTCGCTGACGAATCCAAGACCTTCGCCCAATACGCCAGGAATACAAAGACAATGATCAAGCCATCAAGCTTGAGGATCAATCGTCGCTCCGCTGGAGTATCTGTGGGTGCGAACCACTCATACCATTTCTGGCGAGCTGGCTCTGGGCCTGGGATCTGTGCAGGTGCTCCCTTTAGCGACTCAGAAGCATTTGGGCTCTCTGCTGCTTCCAAGATCTGCGGGGACTTTTCCGTTAGCGACGACATGGCGACTTCGCTGTGTTATCTGTGCCAAGGACTCAAGGACCAGACTGGGGGAGATTGTGGGGAAGTGAAAGACACTGGGAATGTCTCCTCACTGAACACCAGAATGCGACGAAATCACATTTTCAAAATCTCTTCGGCATGACTCTTTTCAACTTCTCGAGTTCTTGAGCACGCCATCATTTCAAAAGATAGCGCATCGGCCAAATCAACGTGGCGTCGACGCTATCCCAATGCCGAACCGCGTAGCGGTGCCAAGAAACCCGCTCATTCGTCAAGGGTCCATTTACCTTGCGCCATAATACGCTATAACACGGCGATTTGCCGATGTCGCCTATGCAAAGAAGAGGGGTCAACTTGGGAATCGGATTCATTCCGGAGGAATCATAAGTTGCTAAATTCATTCTCAATTTCGGGGAATGCCGATGACAGTTCATTGATGCTCGGCACTTAAGATTTGAACCGTTCAAGTTCCAAGACCGCATCTATGGATATTAACCATAAATGAACTACAAATGAATAGAAAAAATATACTCAAACTATGGATGTACATGAGGCTTTTAGTGTAGTGCAGTTTACTTTGTCGGAATTCAAGAGTTGACTATGACTTAATTCCCAGGTTCAGATGGATGTTCCACAGCTTGAACATTGGTGCCTCGTTCACCCACCCCAGGGCTTCTCCCCTAGCAAGCTCCTATGTATTTGCAGCCTGAGCCCTGGCTTCAATTCTCTTCCTCCTCTCTGCATACTTTTGGTCTTTCTTCTCTGCTTTGATATTCTCTTTATCTTCAGCTTCCTGTTGCTTTTTCTTCTCCGCTTCCTCTTTCTTTCTTCTCTCTGCTTCCTTTTGCTCTTTCTGCTCTGTCAATAGCCTGGCGCTGGTTATCATTACTTCAAGTTAGTAATGATTCATGTGAGGAAAATATAGGATTCATACTGTAGGCATGTCCCACATTCCTCTGATAGGAGGTGCACCTTGTTATGATTTTTCTTGTTGCATTTTGTCTGATGTCTAGTACAGTACCCAGGAGGATTCTGATAACGACAGTTACCAAGTCCCCCCCTTTTGTCCTGGGCAATGATGTGTTGACTGATCCCCCTGCACTACCATGGCTTCGATATTAATAGTGCCTTTATGTATGATCAAATGTGGGTTGCTTTGCGATTGGCTTTTATCGAGACCGTGTACGTCAGAGAGATCAAGGGTTCAAGTTCTTGATACAGTTGTGCCTCAGGCAAAGGACTCGGAGGTAGTATCAAGACGATAATCTGGAAAATAATGCTACTAGTATGAGTTGTTTCGATTTGGGACTTAGATAGCACTTGAAGGTAAGCATCCATCTGCTTGGGATGAGAACTCATCATTTATAGTTTCCTACTACATACTGATATGTCACCACCACACCTCCGCTCGAATGATGAGGCTCAAAATCTGTTAAAACTTTTGGCTGGGTAGGCTTCAAATTCGAATCAATTATGTATAACGATCACCTGGGCACCTGGGCAACTGATCGGTACACCCCCAATTAATCCCTTGGCCAAAAAGCATATAACACGTTGATCAAATCCCTGTCAAATTCGAAGAGATCAAAATCTTACTGCCTTTCAATTTCTGCTTCTGCAATCCTCCCGCTTTGACTCCATGCAGCATCCTCTTTCGGGGAATATGATTCCGAGTCGTCCTCAGCTATCTCATTGGTCGAAGCAGGTTCAGATTGATCTTCTAGATCCAATTTGGGCAAGTCCAGTGATTCTTTCAGTTCATCCCATTCGCTCTGTAATAAAAAAAAGGCTCTGTACGCCTCATTCGTGTTTATGCCTTCAATAATGAACCTGATAAGCTGCCTGGCAAGTCGATACCGGTCATCGTATGAAAAGCGAGAATAAATCGGACCAGCTGCCTGTTCAAAGAGTTGTTTTAATTCGCGCAGCTCTGCCGTTGATGGCTCGTCGCCTGCAACCCGCTTATCTTCAATGCTGTCATTAACCCACAGCCACATTGGAGGGTCACAAGACATGATCAGCGGTGCAAAAACTGCACTGTCCCAGTCTAGAACGCCGGTCAAAGCTAGAGATTCCGTTGGTTTTGAAGACCCAGCCAAAATATTACGGGGTTGAAGATCAAGGTGACATAGACAGTAGGAGCTTTCATCCAGTACTCCAAGATCATTCATCTCTGAGGCCATAGTAAGCAAGTGGGGCTCCTCAAGTAACTCTACCTCATCGGGATTTGAGGCTGCCACTTTCTCAATTTTGGGCTCAAGGATCGCGCGAAGCATATCGAAGCATGATTGTGTCGCAGGTCCTTTCTCATATGGCAGGAGTGTGACCACTTCTTGATCACCGAACGGTTGTATCATCAATTGCTCTTCAGGTGACTTCCAGCAGAGTCTACCAGTAATAGTACTTCTGATAGAGTGTAACTCAGAGACGACTCTACCCAGACCCGTTGCGATAGCGCATTTCTCATCATGGGTTAAATCTGCATTTATTTTATAAAGAGACTCGCCAGGTATACGCTTTTGGAGCATAAAAGGGCGACCGAGAGCATTGGAACTCGTCAAGTCAAATTTGACGGTCTCGGGGACTGGGATGCTTGATTCCTGACGGAGTAACTTGAGGGGCGCAATATCATAATCCAATTCAACAATCTCGAATCGTGGGACGCGGAGGATGTACTGGATTGAAACAGGTGGTTCTTCATTGCTTTTCACCACAGATACGCCAGTAATCCTATTGAAGCCGCCTCCTTGTAATCGCTCGATCGAAATTTCACCAGAAGAAGTGTCGAACAAATGTTGGCATAGCTCTATCACCCGTTTCTGGAAGGTCTCGAAGGGCTCCTGGCTATATATGAGGGTCGATGACTCCGACTGGGAGTCAGATTGGTATTCACAGTTCGATCCAGGTGTTTCATCCTCAGAAGCCATAATGTTGCGGTTGTTGCAGCTTAAGAGCTGGGGTGTCAAAATAGAAGAACAGGGGTTGAAGGATACTTTTAATTCATCTTTGATGCTAACCTGTTGGAATGTCTCTAGGGCAGCCAAGTACCTAGGTACGCATGGATGTAGCTGACCAAAACAACCTTGGAAAAAGGCACTACTGCCCAGGTGGGTACCCAGCACTATACTTCTTTTGGACAATTACCCCACATATATAATATCACGTGCACGGTAAATACAGTTTCAAGCATACCAGCCCTGGAGTCCTGGAGTGCCCCCGCCCGAGCTGGAAGCCTAATTTATTGCAAGCTGCCCACCTGGACAAGTGAAGTTTTGAATTTTATGGTGGAAATCTCAAAAATTCCATACAGGAACCTTGGAATCGTATTTGAGAAAGAAATGGGGGATATCAGATACATCCATGGATCCCGAGGTCCTGTGCAGTGTTTTGGAATGGTTAAATTACCTGTATTTATCCAAAATACGAAACGGGTGACCTAACACGATTTTGGTGCCCATGTCCACCGCCAGCTCTCTACGACAGCATACCACAGCCAAAAAAAAATCCACCTTGGGGAAAACCTCTCAATTAATTTGATCGTAAAATCAAAACCTCACCTTGGAAGCTATAAACGATGACAACAGTGGTTCTTATTCGACAAATCGATTATACAAAAGAAATCAAATCGATTATACAAAAGAAATCAAGTCCAAGCATGTCTCCAGAGCTGTACCAAACTTTTACGATCTCATAGACCGAAGTCTAGACCTTCCTGCCAAAGGTCTCATAACTCACAGAAATCTCATCTGTCCGCTCAATCCCAGCAGCGCCCCGAAGAATAGTCTCATCGCTCGTATTGCTGGTAGTATGCTGAATAGCATTCGTCTGATCGGTGAATCCTTTGGGCTCAATGACAGAGGAGTCACCAGCAGACTTCGAAACCTGGCCGTAGTGTCTGCTGCTGCTGTACTTTCGACCACTTCCGTACATGGGAAAATTGTATGAATTGTCGCCAGACGATCCGTCTTTGCCGTCTTTGCCGTATCGCACGCGGATATAGAGAGGTCTGAGGACGGGGATGGTGGAGCACATTATCGTGACACAACTTTCGGTCGCGGACCAGATGAGCATTGGAACTGTGTCGTCTATGCGATCCATTAGTTCATATTCGTGTTAGTTGAGTGTGATAGATAGGAACTTCACAGATGTATTCGGAGGCATCGAGACCTGACAGGGCAACGGTGCGGACGATCCCACATACTCCAGCGCTAAAAAAGGTATCAATGTGAGATTGAGGACCACAAGTTTAGAGCGCATTTGTTGCATGGGATCCAACTTACAATACTCCAAGACTGAGACCACAAGCGACAGTGATCTTCTCCTTTTGCTTCATGTTCAAATCCCAGACCACGAACCATGGAAGAATGGCGAAGGAGAGATCTGCAGCTACAAACCACGCTGAAGACCACGATTCAGATTAGTACAGTGTACATTGTTTCAGACAAAAGCAACTTACATCCGACGGTATACCCGACATTAGAGAAATTGAGCCAGCAATTTCCAGGGGTAGATGGATTCCAGCTTTTCTGAACCGGCACACACTGAACAATGACCGTGATACTCGCGAATAGCGTCAGAACAGCTGTGATAAACAAACAAACCCAAATCACCCAAATGTGTATCTTATTTCGCACAATCCGAAGCAAAAACATTCCAACAGCTGCTTTGCCGACGCCAATGACCATGAGACCAGCTACCTGGCTGAAGAGCTCATATTTCACGGCGGTAAAGTACGTTTCTGCATCTCCAACGGTCGCATACAATTGTCCGAGGCCATAACGCGTGGCTATGGTGACGAAGACTGTATAGAGTATGTGGAGCACCTGCAAGATGTCAGTATCCCATGGGATTGAGATGCTATCTCGTTAACTGACCAGTGCAAAACAGACCAAATAGTCATCGATTCCCACGGAATTCAAAAGCTTCTTTCGTGTGTACAGTCTTAGTACCACGAAGAGGGTAAATATCACCACTTCAACCCAAAGAACTGCATTGGTCATTGGTCCTAAGCCTCCGTATACACCCATGTTGAATTGTCACAGGGAGTACTTGAGTATCTTAGGAAGAAAGAATGATCATCAATTGATATAAGACAAAACTAAAATCTCTCTCGATTTATCCAGAATTAGTAGGCGATATAGGATTGATTCAATTCTAATATAACCTTGGAATGTCTCAACCATTCTATGGTTTCTGATCTATACACTGAGCGACATGAATCAATTCCTGCACCCCTATCACCATCCCCGAGAAACAAAAGTACTCCAAGAAACGAGTTTTATATTTTAAACGAAGACACGTGGACGTCTTCCGTCCACATAGATACAGCGGAAAGGAATAATGTAAATGACAGGTACGCTAATCGCACGAGCTCCGCACTAAGCGTCAGTCGCAACCTTGCACGAGTCAACTGCGGCCCATGCTCACGCCACAGCCCCACATAAAACGTAGTGAAGGACATGACAGGTAATTTAACTTCCTACAGGTCATATTCGAACGACGATCAGCGCAATTGAGGACTCTTGACAGAAAACGTCGTATGTTATTCTTCCCCGACAAAGCAGCCCCCTGAATGACTACCCGTGTCGATCAACCCCTCTCTGGTTTTCTAAGAGTGTCTAGACCAGGATTTGCAGTTGTGAGATGTCAATTCTACCTTAAAAAGGCTAGATGACTCCACTTCTTCTTCAAAGTTCCGCTGCTTCATTGCTTGGATCAATGGCTTTTTCTCCCCGAAATTAGCTAGCTGTTCAGGAGGCTTGCGTGTAATACCACTACTTAGAGCAGATAAATCATGAAACAACGGTCAGAAGTTTCTTCGCCTTCTAGGTTTTATCACTATGCCAATGGCGTATGCCCCGGAATAATACTCCAAGGCCGTGCTCAGGACGTTGTGGCGAGCGGACGGGCCGTTAGAGCCATTCCAAAACCAATTGGCATCGACACAAGCTCTTATCAAGTATTGACTAACTTACTAGTGCTTATGAATTAACAAAAAAAATTGAAGTCAAGGGCCTTGAGAATCCCTAGGTGGCTTGAGCTTCTCGGTTCTTGGTTCAAAGGTGAATGCCAGTGCGTTCTCTCCAGACTTATATACCATTTCCCCACCTGCTTGTCCGACTCGAAGCATTTCCAGATTGTTCAAGATATTTTAATTAATATTTTTATCCTATTCACATCATGGTCTCGTTGAATGAAGTAATAGTTGCTGTTCTCGATGGCATCCAATTCGACGCATTTGGCGGCGATGAAGTAGAGCGTCTGAAGGTCCGCTCTGCGGCGCGTCGGCTGCTCGCCAGAGTTGAAACACCATATGAGCGGGCATGGGGCTTCTGCTTTGAGCATCCCATAGTTTTTGCTGCTTTGCAAACATGTATCAATCTGGGACTGTGGAAGAAGTGGACTGGTATTGGAGGTGGTGAGAAATCTATTGATGAGTTAGTGGCAATGACCACGCCGACTGTTGAGACTAATCTGCTACGTAATTTCACTTCCGATTTCATTCTTTTAATTGAACACCAAGCTAATCAGAGACATTCAGGTCGACTCTTTCGCTTAATGGCGGCTTTCAATATTGTTGAAGAGGCAGGCGAAGACAGATTCAAGCCTACTCCCTTCTCATTTGCTATTGGTGATGAAAATACCAAGGTCCGAGCCTCACTTGAAGCAGCGTATGTATAGTCAACACTTCTTTAGAGACCTTTTATTTCGGAAATCACTTGAATAACAACTAATCTTCTTTGTTTCTATCTAGTACAAACCAATATTTCGCCGCGAACCAGAACCTACCGAGCTACCTCGCCAAGACCTCGTACAAGGAGCCAACAGACATTAACGTGAACAACTACTCGGACTCCGATCCAGAAGGTCTCAATTTCTTTGGTCGTCTAGGAGCCAGTCCTAATTGCTTGGAAGCCTTCACTGGTCATATGGAAGCATGGACAGCGTGGAAAACTCCCTGGACAAATGTCTACGATACAAAGGATCTGTTGGAAGGTTCAAAGCTTGACGACGGCTCTGCATTTGTAGTTGATATCGGTGGGAACACAGGCATTGATGTTTCCCGTGTGTTGAACAAGCATCCAGAGCTTCCTGCGGGTGCCCTGATTCTGCAAGATCTGCCGGAGGTTATTGCCAATGCCAAAGTTGATGAGAAAATTACAACAATGGTGCATGATTTCTTCTTGCCGCAGCCAATCAAAGGTGAGTACATAATAGTATACTGGCAACCTCATCTGAACCTTGGAAGTTATCTGTTGTCTAATCAATATCCACATCCATACAGGAAGTCGGGCCTACTTCATGCACGCCGTTCTCCACGATTGGCCAGATCATAAAGCCAAACAATTGCTGGAAAATACAAGGGACTCCATGGTGAAGGGGTACTCGAAACTTTTTATATATGATATTGTTCTTCCGTCCACCGGGGCAAGTATCAGTCAAACGACCATGGATGTACAGATGCTAGCACTGCTGTCTGCTTCTGAGCGGACTGAAGGTGCATGGAAGAAACTTTTGGCTGATGCTGGGCTTCGAGTTTGCAAATTTTGGCCTGATCCTCAGCAGTATGAGATGGTGATTGAGGCTGAAATTGCGTAGTGGGTTGTGACTGTCAGTAGGCTGTTGTTAAGATATTCAGATATGGATATGATACTATCCCGGCCATGTCTTCAAATGTTCTTAAATTTTCGCAAATTATCATTTCTGAAATTGTGGAGAACAACATATATTACTACCTAGTACCCATACCTAGTAATCTTTGGAACCTTTATCCATTTGAATGGAGAAAAACCATTGCCACCGTGACTGGCATACCTATCATTGTTTGATATAGTAGTTGAATTAATCCAATTGTATGACTAATATCAGAGGAGTTGTCCTCCAGCACTGAGTGCTGCTACCACTGCACATATGTGCATTATAAGCCTATGCCATTCATGCAAAAAAAAATGATTGACCACTGTCAAATACCAAAAAAGGAAATGATAAGAGGGAGATTCGAACTCCCGCCCCGAAATCGAGACACGGATAATTGGATCAGGTATACCTGAACCGTGCGCCTTGGACCGCTCGGCCATCTTACCAGTATGAATATTATCTAAAGATAAGTATTATCACAATCGTGAATTCTAGATGCAAATGTTACTATTAATATTATCGCAGAATAGATCCTCCGAGGCATCAAATTTTCGTGTTCAGCTGATTCCTTAGGGATTATATTCTTCCGAGAGATCGGCAATAGATCGGGTCCTCGGGATCTAAGTACGGAGCAGTAATACTGTATATAGTAATGTAGTGGACCATTAAGATCCAATTTTTTATAACTCTTCATGTCACTTGACTGATATTTCTATAGATCATCACAATCTTTCTAATTAAAGATCAAATTTTTCTTATATAATTTTTATCTCTTTTTTTTCTCTACTTCGTACAACATAACCCCTATTATGGGGCGGGCATTCTCGGTCAAAAAAGTGAAGGGGAAAACCGGAGCTCTCGGTCACGCGGGGAAGAATGACGAAAACGCCGCAATTCGGGATGTGAAGTCACTCCCCCGCGGCAACTTGCTTCTGACTACTTAGACCGGTTTACACCCTGACGTTCTCGCTCCACTTACTTTTCCTTGAAATATTTTAATTCAAAGAGCCTCTTAAATTTGGAGCTTCTTTGACCCCAATTACACATTCAATTGCTTGTGATACTCTCTCCCCCACTCTATTCTCGCAACATTATCAACTTATATACTATACCACCACAACACCAACTTCCTATCTCCAAAAAATCCAATCACAATGGCCAGCAACGGAGCTCCTCCTCCTGTCGGACAGGAAAACATTAACACCGATATTGTCACCCTCTCCCGGTTCCTGACCGAGGAACAGACAAAACACCCCGAAGCCTCGGGAGACTTCACCCTGCTTTGCCACGCCCTTCAATTCTCCTTCAAGTCCATTGCCTACTACATTCGTCGCGCCTCTTTGATCAACCTGACCGGTCTTGCCGGTTCCTCCAACACAACCGGAGACGACCAGAAGAAGCTGGACGTTATCGGCAATGATATCTTTATCTCCGCCATGCGGGGTTCAGGCAAGTGCCGTATCCTCGTGTCCGAGGAAGAGGAGGAGGTGATTAAGTTCGACGAGTACCCCGATGCTCGTTACGCCGTTGTGTGCGACCCAATCGACGGTTCGTCCAACCTGGACGCCGGTGTCTCGGTCGGTACTATCTTCGGTATCTTCCAGTTGCCCGAGGAGATCGTCGGCGCCAACAAGGCCGTCGGTCCTGAGGCTCTCCTCCACCCCGGAACTAGCCTCGTTGCTTCCGGTTTCACCATGTACGGTGCCTCCGCTCAGCTGGTCATCACCATGCGTGGTGGTGGTGTCAACGGTTTCACTCTGGAGAACTCGCTGGGCGAGTTCATCCTTACCCACCCTAACATGAGACTCCCTACTAAGCGCGCGATCTACTCCGTCAACGAGGGTAACTCCATGTACTGGGATGAGTGGTGCACTCAGTACTTCCACTCTCTTAAGTACCCCGCTGAGGGAGGCAAGCCTTACAGCGCCCGTTACATTGGTTCCATGGTTGCGGATGCTTACCGTACTCTGTTGTACGGAGGTATCTTCGCCTACCCCGCCGACTCCAAGAGCCCCAAGGGTAAGCTCCGTATTCTGTACGAGTGTGCGCCCATGGCTATGGTTTTCGAGAATGCTGGTGGTCTGGCTGTCAACTCGCGTATGGAGCGATTGATGGATGTTGTTCCCGAGCATATCCACGATAAGAGTGGTGTCTTCCTTGGATCTAAGGATGAGGTCCAGAAGGTCATTGATATGTACAACAAGTACAAGAAATAAGTGATTTGATGCTTATTATCAATTTTCCTGCCTTTCCTTCCTACATATTGACTGATTTATTTCATGAGTCCACGCAATTCTTATGACCAGGATTAGTATTCTTGTTGTCCTTGGTCCTTTTATAAGTGATGACATTTCTGGATTCGCCGGTTCATTCAGCGTTTTGATGTTTTGCAATTGGATACTACGCCATTTAAAATCAGATTAAAAGAATAATACAAAATATTATCAAATAGAGTTCACTTGTCTCCATATTTTCAAATTCTTCTAATACTTTGGATTTTACTGTATACCATGCTACGTGAAAGGAATGCATCTCCTTGCCGTCGATCAAAGCAGGCCCTTCTCATTCCTCTCAAGTACGCATATCCCAGTCTAATTATTGAAGGCGATGAGAGGATGGGATGAAGTCTCAATGCACCTGACTGAAGCATCATTGAGTTCTTATCACATGGTAATAAGCCTAATTATGGCTCGATATTGATCTATGAGAGAGCTCCGAGTCGTAGCCAAATGAACAATGAGATAATCAAAACCAAAACATTGAATTTCAAATAATTTGTATAGTTATTGCACTAATCTCGACAGTCCATTATACTTCCACCATAAATCCATCATCAAAAACCTGTAAATCACAGCAAAGCAGCCACCGCGGCCATAACAACCGGAGCCGCAGTAACGATAGCTCCAGCAGGACCAGCAACCGCCGCACCGGTAGCTGTAGCCGCAGGCTCAGTCAACGACTTCAGACCCGCAGTCACAGTCAATGCGTAGTAATAATCCTCAGTAGGGGCAGTTGAATAAGAGACCTTGGTAGAGGTAGAGTAGTCGACATCAGCACCAGCCCCCGAGTCCGTATAGCCCGCACTCATAGTACAGCTAGCAGAGCCAGTGAAAGAGTGCAGGGAGCGTTCATAGGATTCCGTAACAGTGTAATCGTAGCTTGTGGAGTCGCCAGAAGTCGAAGCAACGTACTTCGCCGAGAAGCTAACAGTGTCGTGACCCTAAATAGCGGTCCACGAGTTGGGGATATTACAGTCTGTTTTCGCGGCACCCTTGGCACAGCCGACATGGTAGGTTGTTGTGCTGGATTTCAGCCTGCTATACTGGCCACAAGGCCTGATCCACCATCACCTAGGTTGGGGATCGCGACGTCTGTCCATTGAGGGGAGAAGAGGCCGAGGGTGGTACTGCTGGAGTCGGCGCTGGCGCCGAGGGTAGCGAGAGCTACGGCGAGGGAGGTTGAAGTACGCATTTTGAATGAGATGTAGTCAATTTAAGACGTCAAAGTGTGGTTTGGAGAGGCTTTCTTCTGGGTTATTGGTATAGGGTGAGATTTGTCTGGAGAAACTTGGAAAGGCGCCTAAGGGTCAGATTTGGGGCGAAATGGGTCATTTTTACTAGAATTTGGGGCTGAATCCTTAGACCCTCTAACCTGGAAGCATCGGACTTCGCTTAGCCCCATACTGGATAATGGAGCTACTGCTAGACCCTTAAGCAGTTGAGTTCGGCAGTATCGTCCGAAGGCCCCATTTTTCCAAGGGTCTTACCGGGCTTGACTCATTTTTGTCCGGTCAATCATTGGATCATAGGGCGCTGTGGCTTGATCAAGATGGATATTGTTCGGCTAGATGACTAGCGTGGGATCAGGGGAAAGGTCCAGGCAGAAATCACATTTGGGTGTCCAGTGTTTTTGCTTCTTCCAAGACATTGGACCCTTTGAAGGATGGCGTTGACTCCACCCCGCTAGCCCTGTTTAGTATGGACCCCGTCCACCGGTTGACAACACATATCTAAGTCACAGATTCAGCGATGATCATGACTCGCAATCAAGGCATCACTATTCACTAGCATCGGGAACTGTCCGATTGGACCATGAAAAGCGCTTTCTAGTGATGGTCAATTATGTTCCCTGTCCATTCCAGCCTACATCCTTGACACTTCATAATATTATGACTCTCTTTTATCCCTCATCGGTCTATTTTCGAACCGGAATACGAAAGCAAATATCAAACACACAAAAGAGAGACAGACAACCTTGCTGAGAATTGGGCATCAACCTTCATGAGAATCCAATAGAAAGAGCTCAAAAGTGTACGCAGTTGGGATTTCAGGGAGAGCCGATTGCAAACTTGATCACTGGGCGATCATGACTACCGATATAACCCCTAGTCTCACCTCCCTCGCTGATTTCCATCTGTCCTTGAGTACAGAAATGGTAAGATCGTTTGACTTCTATTCTCACAATGTCAGAAAAACGTGAAGATGTCAACAACTGTCCCTCCGACTCTGAAAAGAGGTTAATATCATCGACTGCACTATTGTCGATGTCGAGCTTCCTCCCTTCGATGCCAAAGAACATCTTCGGACCCTTGAAGGGTACTTAATGACTCCCTGGGGTTCTCCGCAGAGGATTCCAGAGCATAAAGCGAGTCTCGAGCTTTTGATTGAGCTATACTGGGCCTTTGATGATCAGTGCGAGGAGTTCAAACACGCAAAGATTCTCTTTGTCTACGATGGAAAAGTTCATTATCGTAGGCCATCCGACGATGTGTTCGCCTCAAGTCGTGTCTGGACGGATGTATGTATTATCATCATCTTTAGGTCTATGTGTCTCCCAGCTGATAATTTTGCAGAGAAGGGTTAGTCGGATAACACTGAAGGAATATTTGTTCCATTATTAATAGAAAGATTGTTAGTTCCCTATATACCAGCTGGCTAAGACCACAGAAACGTCCTGTACACCAACAGCCCCCATATGCTGACCCGAATGTCGAGTTTCAAGGTAAATATTTGGAACCATCTACTTTCAGGTGCGGAGACATATGATTGCTACACTAGTTTTATGCCAATAGTCGGGTGCCAAAGGACGATCTACCACCCGGTACAGAAGGGAAATTTGTCAGAATGCAAGCAGTCTTTGACACGGGAAGCTTGTTACAGACCATCTTGCAATCTGACCTCGATGCCCTCGGGTTCGATATGTCGAACTACCCGAGCCCTGGTGAGTTGGTGAATATTACCACTGCCAACGGAGTGGGACAGGCGCAATCCATCCGCATCGAGATGCAATTTCTAGATCACCAGAATCTCAAGCTACATGAGGGTTGATATCCTGAGTTTGCCACAGTGCGCCCTAATGGGCAAAGCATTCCTCGGCTCTCTGGAGCATGTGTGACCCAACACTTTTATTGTGCAATTCCTGTTGGAAATACCCAATTATTCATGGCACAGAAGAAGAATGGAATTTGCGCAATCATGAAGTAACGAAGTCATAGAGTGAGGAGAACAACACCCAAACGAAGAATTGAGATCGATGGGTCCAAGATAGTAGATGGTTGAGCCAAATGATACAGCCCTGGGCACAGGGATATCCATGAAGAGATTCAAGTTCTAAGATTTTTACAATATAAATGACTAAAAAGGCACCGGGAAATGAATGACAGGATCCCACAGGGATACTAGATCACGGTTTGGCTAGAAATGAAAACGAACCACAACTCCCAGATCAATCCACAGGGTCCTCCTCTAGGATGGTCTTGAAGGAGAAAGGCACCAGAGGAATACCCTCGCCGATCAAATGCTTGGAGAAACTTTCGACCCCTGTTAAAGAAAAAGTTAGACAAGAGAGCAAAAATGACAGAGGGTGGGGTTCGAAAGTAAATATTGATCCGAAAATAGGGCAAAAGGCACTTACAGTGAAGACGCAGGGCGTGTAACACTGTTAAAAGGTTCGTTAGCATTCTGATACCAAGCTCGAGCTTTGACCCAGGAAGGTCCTGGTTGGTTAGACTTACTTGCTGAAACGCCCTCCATACCCACAAGTACGGCACACGACAAAACGAACCACATGAAGAAGCAAACGACAATCATGATGACCTGAACGACGCCTTCTTGCTCGAAAGCGGAGCCGAGAGTCATATCCCAAAGAACGATCGAAAGCTGCTGGTGAGCCAGGGACAGAGCCCAAAGACGCAAGTAAGAGGCTGTGTGAGAGATACAGTTGAGACAGAACTCGATGGTGTGGATGACCTGGTGGATCATTTCATCGCCAAATTCAAACTCGCCATGTTCATCATCGTGAATGTTCTCAGAAAGCATGGCAACACCTTCGCCCTCGCTAGCCATGCTGTCACGGCCGGCACCAAAGCCTCCATCCATATCACCGTCATCCTCAAGGGCACTGATACGAGAGTGTTCGCCAAGACCCCGGTATCCCAAGGCACGAGCACGGTTATGCTCACGACGGAGCCAGAGGGGCTTGAGGAAAAGCATGATAGGCACTTGGACAACGGCAATAAGAAGCAGTAGCACCTGAACAGTGCTCTGGCCGCGGTACAGCGGATTCTCAACATATCCTGGTCGAAGGAACATGAAGATCAGAAGGTTCAGCAAACTTGGAGGAGCTTCACCAATCGCCTGCCAATCCACAGACCACTTGTAGACGATAGTAACAGCGAGGTAACCGAAAATGGACTGGAAGAAGAGGAATCCTAGAAACACAATGATTAGTTGATGAGAACCTAGCCATATGGGTTTAAAATTTGGATGATACCAGGAACGAAGTTGCCCCATAGATCAGGCTTAGACTTGAAGTGGCGAGCGTTGACATATTGCAGGCAGAGGGCAAATGTCATGTGAGCCCAACCCAGTAAAATGGCCATTTTCACTGTAAGACACAGGGTTAGTAGTGATTTCAGGATATTGGGGCTGATCACTTACTCTTCATACTGTTCGAAAATAACAAAGCATTTTCTGTACCGTGCCAGGCCCAGTCCAAACCGATTGGGAAGCGGTAATCGCCATTAAGGGTAGCTTCGACAGACTGCCCAGCTTCAAAGTCCTCGGGCCACTTCCACGCGCTAGGCAGGAAGGTCATTGATCGCGAGAAGATATCGTTGTAACTAAGACGGTTAGTATAGTGGACAAGCTCTACTGATGTATAAACAATGGTGTAAAACATACAGAATACCGGTGTAGATGGCGAAAATACCCATCATCAACATAATATATCGTCCGTAGAATGCCATGTACGAAATCTCATCAAGCTTGGTGCGTGACAGCTTCTTCTCGAAGAAAATCATAGCAAGAGCGAGAGAAAGCATAATGATACCGTGACCGGTGTCGCCTGTGGATGGTTAATGCAAAGATAAGAATAAAAGCTAACAACTCGCGGAGCACACTAACCAAACATAACGGCGAAGAGGAAGGGGAACTTGAATTTTGTTAGTTAAACCTTTCCTGGCGTGGCTCGAAGATTACTCACAGTAACGACGGTGTAGATACCGGGATTGACCTCCTGGTACTTCGGCACACCGTAACTGTTCACGATTGTCTGGAAACCCTCGGTGAATCGGTTTAGTCTAAAGTGAGTTGGTGGAGTCTTGTTGGTTTGGATTCTGTTGATGATGATGGGAACCGAGAGACCAGCGGCAGTCGTCAAATCTTGGAGAGTCGCCTTGATCCGAGGAAGAGAGTTCGTTGGGCACCACGCTTCAGCAATTAAGGTCTTCCGTGCTTGATCGTATGAGAACTTGTTCAGCGTGTCATACACGGCTTTTTCCTTCTTTATAATGATCATCCAAGCACAAAGACCTTTTCCAATCTGGGAAAGCTCAGCGTCCAAAGTGTTCTTGGTGTTTCGCAGGACATTGCCAATGTCGCCCAAGCGAGTGTTCACCTCATGGATCTGATCTCTCCGCAGCTCACTGTTCTCATCGACTCCATACAACGAAGCACCCAAACTCTCGCTAATCTTCCGGATCTTGGCGAGAATGTTCTTTCCGTGAGCAAAGATCACAAAGACATTCTTGTGGATCTCCTCGTTGGTGGAAGGATCAATGATGGGCTCAGAAATCTCCGACTGGTTCATGTAAAGGTTACCACGGAGAGTTCGCCAGAGAATACGCTCGAAGGCACCGATCCGATCGCGGGGGATGACACCAGCAACAAAGCCAATGTTCATATCAGAAAAGCTCTGCTGGCCCTGGGAATCGCCGTTGGCACCGTTGGGAACATGCTGCTCAACGTCGCGGAGCAGAGGCGCTTCATCATTGTCGAAGGATTGGCGGATATCTTCAGTCTGAGTATGAGCCTGAATTTTAGAAATTAGTATTGGTTCATCTTGCAAAACTCCTCTCTTGGAACTGACCCGATCAAAGAATCCACCAGCTTCTCTTAACACCCAGCGCCACTCGGAAAGCTCGACTTCACGCTTCTTCAGGGTCTCGTAGCTATCATTCAAGGAAGCAATGCGCTGCTCGAGGGTTTCACTGCGCTCGGCCAACTCATCAATCTCAGAGGCCATGGGGGCAGCCAGGGTGTCCGAGAAGTCGGTGGATGGACGCATGGGAATCGACGCCTTCTCGATCTGAGAACGGAAGTAGCCTATTGAAAAGGATGAGCAATCGGATCATCGTCTATGGGAAGTTCGGTGAATATCATACGGAGCTGTCTCTCGACATTGTCAAGGCGGCGGATCTCTTTGGTGAAGGTGCGTTGGAAAGCATTGGTATCAGGGTTCAACTAGACGCGTAATTCAAGGTCAGTGGGCTTTTCAACGGCTTTCCCGAGACCTCGACAGCAGTGGAACTTACGTCTCTGAATTCAACCTCTCCAAGCTCACCCAAAGTGCTAACGACCTCTCGTCCAATCTCATTAGCAATATAGAGTTGGGTCAGACTCATGTCCGAGGAGCGGAAGAAGGTGTCTTGCGCAGCCATGATGGATATCGGGCCTTTACAGCCAGACTGTTCACCGAAGTATCTGCGGCCACAAGAAAATGGCAAAGAATAAATCTCCCCTCTCCAGCAGGTCTGTGGAAAGAAAGAGGGACACAGATAAGACAATTGTACCTCCGGCGGGAGTTGGCAGCTCCTGGGTTAGTCTGAGCTGGCCGGAACGCACGTGATGTCACGTGTGGGCTCCACATTGACGGCATGTCGATGTTGGTTTCCCCTGATTTTATGTACGGAGTAGGTCATGATGCAATCTCAAATTTTCTATGGAGTGAATTTTGTATCAGCCTTGGAATTCAGCTGTCTGCTGACCTCGTAAGCTTTCGAATCCTGCATAAACCCCGACTAAAGGTGAAACGACTTAGGTATATCCGTTGTTAAAAAAAAAGTTTGGTTTTGGTTTATCCAAATTTTTGGTTTCTTAGTAAAATCGAAGACAACATATGTTTGCACTGCAGATTTTGCAAATCGGGTCAATATAGGTATTGGAGGAGGAAGAAGTAGCGAAGAGGCTCGCTCGTATACTCTTTTACCCTTTAGCTCCATCTTTCTTTTTCCTCTCATATAATACAAAAATGATCAGATTCAATAGTGGATTTCAAGACAGGTTCAATTTTGCGTCGCTCGCGCATTTCTTTTTCTTTTCCTTATGCATGTTTTTCTCTTTACTTTTCTTTATTGGATACTTAATAAGAGCTTCTATATCTGTTCAAGGTATAAGGAACTACTAGTAGGTCAAAAATTGAAATAAACTGTGCATTCGGACTAGGCTTCCTAGGTGTAGACCCGATACTTGAATCTTTCCAACCCAGGACTTGGAGGAACAGATATGCTATCATTATAATCGAGTAGCGTCTTAGTTTTTGAGCTACTTCCACCAAGGACTTCCCGTGGATCAAAATATCAAAAAGCACTTGAGGGTATTCGTTTTTGGAAAGGGCATTCGAGCCTTGTTGGCGGCAATACCTTCGAACCTCTGTCCCACTGCCACATGTGCAGATAACGCGGTCTACCTAAGCTTCAAAGCCAGTCGCCTTGCTAGTCCCAATCCATCCAACCTTGGAAGTATTGGAAGCTTCATGGACCTCAAAACTGCTTACCGATTGCATTCAATGGTTGGCTGACTTGGGGAAGTATAGAGAGGAACGCAGCTAGGGCAAGGAGATCAAAACCCTCGGGCAGCCCCTCATGCCCCGCACTTTTCCCTCTCTCCTCCGTAAATCACCCCGGCTTGCTTCTTGTTCTATTCTGTCTTCCTCAAAATCATGCATTATTTCTACCCGAAATCATGGTTTTTGTTTCTGCCCTGACTTCATAAAGATCAATGCTTATCTAGCAACCTGATCTGACTACAAACCAAACATGAATGCTATGCACATATCGGGCCACTAAGCAGCAGCTTTGCCCCATGACGTCTGATTGACTGAGGCAGATCATTTCACTGATACATTTCAGATATCCTATGTCGTAATTCATCGCAATGGAACACACGGATTGCCCTTCACGATAAAGAGTACTCCGTACTCGCTGAGCAATTAACACAGACAGCAGCGCCAGATTATAAGGCGGTGGGATTCTGCCGTGTTACTGGGTTGTGACCCACTTTCGAGAACGAATCATCGTCCCTCGAGGACTATGTCAAAGCTTCAAAAATACAGAGAAGATTAACATGGTCCCTGCAAAAGGATGACCCGCACAATCAAAGAGATGCTACAGGTTTTTTTTCTTTACCAAAGCTTGGTTGAGGTGTGAAATTGGGACAGAAATCAATTTCTTCGTTCGAGACCAGAGTCAATCAGATTTGACTTTTTTTTTGCTTTGCTTGCTGGTACCAAACCACTCAACTTTGGCGGTGAAATACTGCCACTTGCGTGGGATATGATTCACTTCTCACGAGTAACAATGTCCTTCGGGACATTTGGTCAAATGAAAATATACAGAGAAGATTAGCATGGCCCCTGCACTAAGGATGACACGCTCAATCAAAGAGAAGCTACCAGTTTTTTTTTTCCTTTACCGAAGCTTCGTTGAGGTGCGAGGCTATTCAGAAGCTCGGGCTCTCTGTTCGAATCCCCAGGCGAGCAGCTTTTCTTTTTGACGCTCCCAAAGGTTAAAATCTCCAGCACAGCAGCACATAGTGCACATTGTCCGTGTGCATACGGAGTACTCCGTACTACTCCTCCAAAAGTTGTCTCACCTTGTCAGCTATATTTATATCTACCTAATATTCATTCTCTTTACCAACTTGAAATCTTTCGAAATCATTCACATGTGAATATCTATAAAGTGTCTTGAATATCACCAGTTTATCGGACAGTTCTAGTGAAAGTGTTGGAATGAGATCCCTCATGAGAAAGAACCAGTACATGAGTTCAGTATATCCAAATGGACCAAGTTCATGACCTCTCCAGCGAAAACAACGCAACAGTATCACCCTCCAATGGAATCTCCTCATAAATCGTAAATCCATTCTTCAAAAGCACCTTCACACTCCCCACATTCGCCTTATTACATGCAGCATACAACTTCTCCACAGACTGATCCACCTCCTCTCCACACTCCCTTTCAAGTTTCCACCAGGCATCAATAACACCTGCCACTGCCTCACTCATGTATCCCTTTCCCCAGAAATCAGGATGAATCCCATATCCCACCGAGGGCGCTGGAACAAGAGCGTTGATACCCACTGCACCGATGACTTTCTGCGCAGGATCATCGCGTTGGATAATAGCGAATGTGAAACATCGTCCCAGTGCTCCTGATGCATCTACTGTTTGGAATGTTTTTCTTTGGATCATGGCTTCTGTCTCTTGTATATCCATGTGTGGGATTTTAGGCCACCTGCAGCACGTGTCTGGTTTTAGTCTGGATGATCCGGGAATATATGAGCCAAGATATACTTACAGGAAGTCAGCTACATCTTGACGACTGGTATAGTCGAAGATATCAGTAGCATCAGAGAGTTGAATAAATCGGAGGTAAAGGCGCTCAGTTTGTATTGTTCCGATACTGGCTGGCACGATGACTCGGACATCCTGATCGGGATACAGACTACTTCGATTCGTGGATGGTGGTGGTGGGGATTTCATGCTTGGAGATGACACCTATCAAGGAATGGAAGTGAGATTCTCGAAAAGATTTAATGACTCCACATGTGCAGACATATGCAGGATAGAGAACCGAGTAGATGAGAAAGGCAACAAGGCCCGTTGACTCATTCCGATGCTCCAAATCCTGCGATTAGATACAGCCACCACGGATGACATGATTAGTATTCTCGACTAGCTACAATAGGGATAACCTTGGAAATCCTACGGATGAAAATTGAAAGGAGATTATCATGTATATCATTAACACCATACTTAAAGCAGAGCAGTTTCAGAATAATATACAATCGTCATACACGTGCGTAGCTTGGTACACATGATTCCTGGGCATCGATCTTGGAACCAATCCATAAAAACATTTTCGCAGAATCCCATATTGGTGCAGCGCTCAGACCTCATCGATAAAATCGTAATCAAGCGCCTCCTCTCTCCGTGCGTATTCCTCTTCCATTCGCTCTTCATATAATCGGTCGGCCTCTTCCCTGCTCAGAGTGCGCTCACCCTCATTGTTTGACGAGGCAGAGTTGGTGTTTGAGGGGATTCCACTGTCGCTGGGATTGGATTCGGAGGTAGAGATACCGTTGGAGGTGTGGTTGGAGGTTGATGTGGAAGATGACTGTGCGTTTTGTTGTTGTTCGCGATCGTAGATATCTGCGGTCGGGATCGGCATTTTCTCAGGTGGGGTGTGAACACCAGGTGGAAGATGTGAGTATTTGGATATTGGAGATAGAGATAGATGCGGTGTCCAAGAGAAATTGGAGTAGAAGCTTGAGAGTTGGGAAGCTGGAGTCGGGTGAGATTCTGGTGTGGTGAGTTGGTTTTGGATGTGGAGTGGCAAGGTTGGATGCGACGTCATCACTGGCCAGTTGGCCATGGGCTTTATTAAAGTAGATTCAAATGTTCAGCCATGGTTATTACACATGTGTATGTACCTTCAAATTGATGTCTATGAATTTCATGAATGAGTATAGTGGCACGGTGACAGTATCTCTTCTGCTGCTCATTCCAAGATATTCTCAAGTGCTAAGTTCTTCTGGGCATTTTTGACATGGTTTACTTCTGGGCTTAACAGCGCTTACTAGTCTAACCTTGGAATTACTTGCCTCTTTAAAGTTAAGATTGCGGACCTCGGGACCTATTTTGGATATGGCTTGGCGGTTCATGTGTCACAATTATCGGTACAGAGAAGAGCGCCTCTTGAATGGGTGGAAAAATGGTGTCGGGGTCGAGATATAAACTTCGGAGTCTCCCGAAGCTATACGGCGCACAACTTGAAGAACAATAGCCTTCAATGTCAAATGGAGACCTTCAAATGCACCTGGGTATAGTACCTGGTACTACATAGTATCCAACAAGTTCAATTTCCACACAGTATCAATCAGAACTTGAATACAGTTAAAATGACAAAGCGACCATTGGATCAATCCACCTGCTATAAGCTCCTATATCCACCCGAGCTACAAGAGCAATCGAACATAAACTGGGATCACATATTCTACCCAGAGAAGCCACTTCTCCGAACCTGGGATGAGCATTCCAAATGCCGGGTCGACAGATCAGGACGCATCCTAGCAAGCGCCCCACGCCAACACTTGCGCACGAAACGGAGCTGAAAACTCGCATTAGCCATACACGCAAGTCGTAACAAGTCCAAACCAACTCCATTTATATCGTGCACGATGGACGAATATAGAGTGGAACATTATGCGAGGATGAGATCTAGGAGAGGCACGCAAATGTTGACTGTGATTGATCTGAGGGTTCATGGACAAAAACACCTGCCTGTCATTGATATGTGCCGGGAGTCTTATAATTACGATGTTACCAATAAGTGCCAATGTGGCAGGAAAGGAGATTGGTATTCATATTATCTGAACCACTTTCTTTGTCTTTGGGAGGTGACGAAGGAAGAAATGGTGGGAACTTGGGCATGGGAGGATCTTTGGAAACATGATAATTGGCATGACGAGGTTATACTTCCTGCGTACAAGGCGCATGATGAGAGAGCTCGCATGCGTCAGGAGAGCGGCAGAAGGGTTAATGTGTTGGAGTTTGGTGAAATGTGGTCAACTAAGTTTATTACGAATAGTGGAAGCATGTGGCTAATTTTTGCAGTGCTTGATGAGTCTTCTCCACCTGAAGAATTAGAAAATGTTGATCGGAGCGTGTCCAGACGTCTTGATGAGTCTTCCTCGCCTGGAGAATTAGGCGATACAGATGAGAGTGGATCCAGCGAGGAGGAACCCTGGTATGAATCTGATTGGGATTCGGATGATGATTATGAAGAAGTCGAACAGGACAGATCACCTGCTACAAGTGAGGTCGAGGGGGATAGGTAGAGGCTATGGAGATGAACCATCGGCACGGACAGGTAGAATGAATTCAAGTTGCTATTTGAATATTGATGAAGACGTATGGTAATAGATATTTGGTGAAGTGAGGGACCGTAGCCGCCTGAAATAATGGCAAGTACTTGAGTCGAGAGTAGAAAACGTGTGGGTGAAGTGAGAGTAGGACGGGGGACCAGTGCTGGTTTGTTTACATTAGTTAAGCTGCTTAGCATGATCGGTATGCCTTAGTGCGATGGGCTCAACAGACGCGTCGGCCTTGATAATATAACAGAGAAGAGACAGCCTACTGCGACTACAGGAAACTGAAATACTGTTTACACGAAAATCCTCTTCTCCAAGCTCGAGTCACTGACCCAAAGTTGATGAAAAGAAAAGTTCCAATAATGGAGAGTGCCAAAGAATACGCCTGTCAATGACCCGGAGGCCGTTGAACAAACTGTTCCGCCGCGCTGTGCAATGCAGGGACCAATCTGTGGTGAGCCGCCTTCATGATCGCAGCTACCCAAACAAGGTAAGTATGAAGAAGAAAAAGAAGAAGAGGAAGGAAGAGGGAGGAAGAAGTTATTTATACCTGGGAAGTCAAGGCGGTCAGGTAATCAAGGGCGGTAAGCAAGGGAGTTGCCTAACCAATCAGAGTCATGTCATGTGGCCCACCCCCTTTTCTACATTCTTGTTTCCTCAGGCTTCAAGGCTGCCACACAATAAGCTGCAGAGATGAGCTGTCACAATCCAATAGTGGTGCAGGTACCTTGCATGGTGGAATCTATACTGCTCCCCTCGGGTCGATCAACTCCATCAATGAGTGGTCCTTCTAACTCAAGATTAGCCCCGGAGGAGTCACATTGGCTCCCATGATTCAATTATTGGTCCTCCTTGACCAAGATCGGCCAAAAACTCAAATAAAAAAGCGATTAGGAGTCAATGAGTCAACTTGGAACAGCAAGAAAAGAAAAGTGGAGGCAAGCGCAAAGCTCTTGTGGAACCCTCCCTTATTTCCATGGATTCACCCCAACTCTGTACGGTGGTCCCTGCCCGTAATGGGTCCATGAGCTACCCGTCCCATTTTTTAATTTTGGTTTTTTTTTCGCCTTGCTATGGAGTAGATATCTCGTATGAACAACAATTCCAACTCAACTCGGCGGGTTTCCGTCTACAAAGTGCACTAATCTAGACCAGTTAGCCGAGAATGTAAGAAAAAAAAAGGTGAAACCGCTAAAGTATGTAACTAGAGAGCGCGCATCCTCATAAAAGGGTGCCATGGTTAGGGTCGCGTATAGGCCAGTCTAGTAGACACTAGAATCGACGGCTCGCATCGGTGTAGAGCTTAGATGAACGGAACGAGTTTTCAACCAACAGCGTCGCTCGAAGGATGTACACCGCATCAACGAGAGTCAGCAGTCTATGCTTGGCACGGCTCCGGTCCTTGCGATCTTCAAGAATTGCATGATTATCCCCGACACTAAGGAGTACGGACGACAATACTACTGTATCCCGGGTCACTGTTGTGGGCATGTCCATCCCGATGTTGCAAACTATCACTCTGCACGCACGCAGCGGAGAAGCTGCGTCCTTGGCACCCGCATGGCACTTGCGCATGCCAAAAGCTCTGACAGGGCGCATAGGAAGTAGATCAATATAGGATTGACCAGTTATTTCGCACTTCATACCGCGTATGTAGTCCTGGGGGGTAGACCTGCGTAATGAGTAAACAAGGTCTGGAACCCGTTTCAAGGTGGGATAGGGGTACTCCATAACAAAGAGGAAAAAACCTGCCCAAAAAAGAGCATAGCGGCAAAAGTCATGGCAGGATTAGCGATAATGGTGGTTTTCTTGGCCCCAACGGGTGGAAAAAGGGGGTGCAATTGGCTGTCGGGCTGGAGTGGATCACCCGTGTGGGCTATCATTACAGGAAATGCTCCGATGGTCACATCTACCTCGAGGCACATTAGCAGGGATTTGTTGCGTTGCGAGTCGCTGGGAGTGAACCGGTTTTTGGGGATTGCAGAAATCATGCATACTCTGACGATCCGTAGCAAACATCCATGTGAAACAAAAGTTTGGTATAGGAGCAGTAGGGCTGGTCAAGCCACTGCGGTGAATGGCTTAAGACACGGAACTAACTAGGCTTACTAGGTGGGCCCCAACCGTACTTTGAAAGCGTTAGTCCATCATCGGAACGTCTAAACAGTATAGTAGCCGCGCTAGTGATAAATGAAAATTGAAAAAAATCAAATTGAAAAAAACTCTGTACGAGGTACGAAGTGTTGTTGTCCTCCGTGGGAAAAAAAAAGGGAGCGAGTCTAAATCTAAAGGAAAAGGGGCTTAATTAGTGGGCATTTGAAGATGTCTCGCTGGATGGAAGTAGTGGATCGCCAATGAAAGAAGCGAAAGAAAAATATTAAATAAAACAAAATAAAATAATAATGACGATTCAGACTTGCTCTTATGATCTTATGAGGTCAAGCACTTGAGATGTCTTCCTCCGATACATGTTATCACGTAACAGCAATATACTCCGTAGGCGTACCAGAATGTGGCGATGGCGCTTTGAAGTTTGAGGATTGGTTTCCGATCATGGGATCCTTGTTCTATCAAAGTTACAACGGCCAGTCTGAACGATGATACGCCAGTGATAGGACACTGCAGATGAGATATGACGATGAGGAGACAGAACGGCGGGTAGTAAAACACCGCTGGTTGGCCACGAGGGTTCGCACGCCACTCGATGATAAAGTTGATATTCCGGTCATTTGACATGGAAAGCGGCAATCATCTCCCGTTGGATCAGCGCTCCCTGCACGCGAATCCGGGCCTTGTCCAACCCTAGCTGATTATCATGCTGGTCCATGCAGAAGGCAAGATGGGCGCTTTTCATCCCTTCCGAAAGGGATCAAAGGATTATTTCTGACCATACAAGGAGGGAGGTTTGAACCGCAAAGATCCTTTCTTGATTCTTGGATCTTGGATCTTACGCGATTACAGGCCCTATTAGTTAACCTGGCTTTTACTCGAGTTTTTATTGATGGATCACATTCTTTTAGATCAAAGTTGAGAACCTTGGAAAAGTCTACTGTATGGAGTACCCCTCCCGATACCTAAACCGTCTTCCGACAGAGGATTATCACCCCTTTAACGGTGTAACTACCTGATAAAACAGAACAACGATGGTCCACAATACAATCAAAGTCACCCGGGAGACCGTTAGTTAGGTTAATTATGATAATTGTTATGATTCTTATGGAACAAAAAAGAATAGTTTAGAGCAAAATGACCCAATCCAATGTACAAACTTCCACAATCGCCAAAACTAAAAAAATGCAAAATTAGGTCGCGTGCAAGTCGAACCAAAGTCAAATAATTTGATAAATCCGGGACCGGAGCCGAGCTGCACGGGTAAATTAGGGGGGCCGTTGGCTGAAGCTGCATTGACGATCATAAGTGTGATAGTTTTCCTCCAACAAATTAGTAGAAGGTATAGTAGATGATGAGAGGGACTCGAGAGAAGATTGGAAACATTGGAGGGGAAGGTAAAATATGGACCAGGAAATGATTTGATCCTTGTAACCAAATTAGTTTTATATACAATACGAGGTTGAACCAAGGTCTACTAAATAGAATGAAATACAAAGCGCTAGAGAACATCATAAACTCCCTAATTAAGGTCAATAGACGGTTTTCTTTCCCCCCCTGAAGCCTTTGTTACTTAAGCTGGACCCACACTGTCCAGACTCCCTGCAGCTCCTTTCCATTTTGGGACGGCGCCATCAACAACTGGGTCCTCCTCTGTTTCCCCCCCCATTCTCTTTTTTTTTCTCGCCCTTCCCTCCCTTTTTCTTCCCTTTCTTTCTCCCACCTGCAAAGCAAAAATACCCCCCCCCCTTTTCCTATCGTCGTTGTGATACCCGAGCTTTGGCAGCTCTTATTTCTTTTGCTTTTGAGATACCCCCGATACCCAGCTCTTTCCTTTTAATCGATACCCACCAAAACTTTCAGCTTCGGCACTAATAACTTTTTAATCATGTCTGACGTTCAGAAGCCTGTTGAGGAGACCCCCGCGGCCGTTCCCGCTGTTGAGACTGCTGTTGAGGCTCCCGCTGCCACCGAGACTACTGAGGCTCCCCAGGAGACCACCGAGGCTGCTCCCGTCGTTGAGGAGGCTGCCACCGAGACTGCTGAGGCTCCCAAGGAGGATGTGAAGGAGGAGGTCAAGCCCGCTAGCGAGGGCATTCTCGGCCACAAGGGCCCTGGTCTGGTCAAGTAAGTGACGCTTGTGCGACAGCAAATAGAGAATGCGGCGAGCTTTGCGACTAACAACATTTCTTTGCGCAAACAGGGGTCTGCGTTTCGCCAAGCGTTTCTTCTACTTCAACGAGGAGCCTGTTGAGGCTAAGCAGCTCTCTGTCTTCCACCAGAACGAGAAGCCCGCCGTCGCCAACCCCATTGCCGCCTGGGCCAGCCAGACCAGCACTGGTCTGCTGTTCCTGACCAAGCGCGCCGAGGACAAGGCCACCCCCGCTGGCATCTTCAACTTGGTACGATTCGACAAAAAACATTGACAGGAGATAATGCGACTAACATGATTACTAGGCCGATATCACTGATGTCACCAAGGAGGGCTCCAACGAGTTCATCTTCAAGGTCGGTAGCCAGAAGCACACTTTCCAGGCCTCCAACTCCACCGAGCGTGACAGCTGGTTCGTCGCCATTGAGGCTAAGTCCGCCGAGGCCAAGGCCCAGAAGGAGACCATCACCTCCAGCGAGGGTTACAAGGCCGAGCTTGAGAAGCTGACCAAGCCCGCTGTTGTCGTCGCCCCTGTCGCCAAGAAGACCGAGGAGACTCCCGCCAAGGAGGACAAGCCTGAGGAGGCCGAGGCCAAGACTGAGGCTAAGGAGGAGAAGCCCAAGGAGGCTGCCAAGAGCCGCTCCCAGTCCCGCAAGCGCGCCAGCATTTTCGGTGCCATTCTCGGCAAGAAGGAGGCTGAGGAGAAGAAGCCCGAGCAGGCCAAGGAGGAGGCTACTGAGGAGACCAAGGCCGCTGAGCCCGCTGCTGAGACTGCTACTGAGACCGCTGCCGAGCCTGCTGCTGAGGTCGCCGCCGCCGAGACCACCGAGGCCCCTGCTGCTGAGACCGCTGCCGTTGCTGCTCCCGCTGAGACCGCCGAGGAGAAGCCCGAGGAGAAGAAGGAGGAGAAGAAGGCCAAGCGTGCCTCTATCTTCGGTAACTTCTTCCAGAAGGTTACCAGCCCTGCTCACGAGAAGTCTGAGAAGGAGGCCACCGCTCCCGCCCCCGTCGAGGAGACCGCTGTTGCCAGCGCTGCTCCCCAGCTTGACAACCCCGTTGAGGAGGCTGCTGTCGAGCCCATTGAGGCCGAGACTGTGACTGCCGCCGCCGATGGTGAGGCCGTCAAGGAGACCGCTGAGACTCCTGCTGAGGCCGCTACCCCCAAGGATAAGCGCCGCACTTCTTTCTTCGGTGCCTTCGGCAAGAAGGAGAAGAAGGACGCCTCCGACAACGAGGCCACCACTGATGGCGAGAAGGAGACCAAGAAGGCCAACAAGCTTGGTGGTCTTTTCCGCAAGCCCTCCAAGGCTGTGAAGCTCGACAAGGAGGAGGTTGCCGCCGAGACCGACGCTAAGGCTGAGGAGGCTGTTGCCACTGAGGCCCCTGTCGTTGAGGAGGCCGCTGCCCCCGTCGAGGAGGTCGTCAAGGCCCCCGAGACTGCCGCCACTGAGGAGCCCAAGAACGTTGAGGTTCCTGCCTCCACTCCTGTCCAGGCTGCTGCTTGAATTGCCTCACCTGGTCGTGTGGAATTCGAGAGGTGGTGGGACTTGACTAATCCATCACTGTCCACCCGCGATAATTCAACATCTTCCGCTATGAATGCGGTAGTCTGAATCAATGCAAATACGGATTTATACCAATTTCGCTTCAGTTGCTTTGTTTTTTTGTTTTGTTTTGCCTCGACACTGTCACTCTTCCGAATGTCTGTCTATTTGATAGTTAATTCTGGGAGAGTGTCAATGAGATACCCGCTGTCGCTGCTTTAATTTCATTTTTGTCTTCCCAAAAACCTCTCCTAATTTATCTTGCCAGCGATCCATCCAGATCGCGCTTCATTCCTTTTATGACCTGCGTCCCGCAACCGAGCTTCGATTCGCGACGTGCTTATGCGTTACGTGGTTGTGTCGCCCTACTAGATTGATACCACTTTGCCGTTCCTAGTTCTGTGCGCTTTGATTTCCTCGTGTTCGGTCACTCTGTGGGGAGGAAGGGTATCTGATTTGTTACAGGCTGTTCGTTTTCATCAATTTTTGGCCTGTGTTACTTCTCAAATTGCCTGTTTACCGTTGTTTCTTGTTACGCGGTTTCCTGCTCTGCGTCATGGATATGGCACATCCTGCGATAGGTAATACTTAATAGAATCTTTCTTGCTTTTACTTGATCCATGTAGATGCTCTGCGGATGAATATTCCTTATACAACTTCGTACTCCACGCATGTAGTATGATCCATCTCGAACCTTGGAAGTCCCTGCATAGTGATGTGGTGATTGGCAAAAATTACCTAGCAGCTCTTATCAAGTTCCAAGGTTGAATGTTTGCTTTCATCATACTATATAGGTGACATTCTGCCGGACTTGAAGCTTGCAAGTAATCCAATCGCAATCTCAACATTTGATTTGAGAAGTGGAAGGAGATTGTAAAAATTGTTCATCAAGAAATATTGATTGATGTATTCTGATAGCGACGATCGTGGGTCTCATAAGTGGGCCAAGGATTTTCGCGCTGTTAGCTGCATCAATGGAGTAGATATCCGTATGCACGCAATATTCGGGCCCATCATGATGCGTGGTCTGGGGTGCGTTGGCTTGAGGGTCTTGCGGGTCCGCGAAATTCTCGTCCTCGGGATTACCCGTTCAGAGATTTTCATACATCATAAGCCCTATTCGACCCGACTTCGCACTAAAAATCCATGCAGGACAAAGCTCGTGCTCGGACTCAATTGTTAGTTTCACTATTCATATCGCTTAGAATGAACATAAAACGGTCGGGTTTCATCTTTGTATGGCGTCACTGGATTATTCCTCTGAACACCGGTAGTCTCGTACGTAGTTCAGTTGACCACAACATCGAGAATTTCTACCTACTTCAGCTCACTGGGCTACCCACTGGCAGTACACTGTGTGATCGGAGTACAGTGACTACTCCGACAGGACTACATGTACCCAGTACACTATGTCATCTTAAGAAGGTCCTCCCAGTATGGGTCTCGGGATGACCCCACCATGGGAGTCCAAAGGAGTTATGGAACCGCTTGATAGAGATTTATTGTATGTATGAAATGAGTATTGGGGTGCAAAAGGTAATATCAATCTGTGACAGATCGAGGCAGAAAATGGTCCCAGAGGGATCCCTCGACTTTGGCGTTATTGGCTGAGTTATGGACCTGCCACCTGGGCAGTGCTATTGCTCGAGTTCGTGGCTGGATAACGTTAGGACTAATGGGGTAGATAAGTTGCAAAGGGATTCTGAAACGTTTCCAGGTTTGTGTCAGAGTAACCGAAGAAACATACAGAGTACGCATGTAAGTGATTTCTAATGCCCCTCCTTTCCTTTACTAGATCAACTTTGGCAGCCCGAGCCCGTTAAGCCTTACACTGCAAGCCCAAGGCACGGTTCAATACCATATTCATGCTACGCAAATCCCATTTCCACTGAAAATTGCAGAAGCTAATAACCTGATTTCTTGGAATACCAATGAAGATAGCGTAGCCATTGGATCCTGCCAAGGCTCTTATATTATTCGAGTCGCAATACCGCTTCGGGGATTGGTCTGTAACCCGATAACCCGCTATGTTGACTCCGCCCTAACTCCGCGAAGAGACTGGTTCCATATGTCTGGGATTATTAGCCCAGGCACGGTATCTGCATGATGGAGACAGCAGGATTTCAAGTTGCCTAGAATGCCGGTCTGTCTCTGTCTGATTGCATAGTCATCTGCAGGGTAGAGGGGGAAGTGCAGATGAATTGCGATTTGGACCAGCTTTTTTTTGTCTTTCGAGAGACTTTGCAGATGATTGATCTATTCCCAGTTTTTGTATTCTAGATAGTGGATGTAGAAAATTTTTCTCTTAGCGTGAATTGGAATGCGATGATAAAAAAGTGGATGTTGTAAAGTCAATTTCCACGCCCTTCGGTACGACTAAGATCAAAGGAGATATTGCAAGGCACACGGGCCATGGACACAGCCCACCGCGGGGACATAATTAGGAAAAGATCGGTGGGTCCGGGAGGCTGTCGGAGACCAGAACAGTGTCTCCGACTGTTAATTCCGTTATCCCAAAACTGTGTGTACTCCGTACACTTCTGAGAACTCACCCGGGTGTCACCAATAATGATCTGGATGTTATTATGTTTCTTGTCAGCCTAGCATACCTGGATATTTGCCTAGGAATAACCGCGTACTCGGGTTAGGCAACCTAGGAATGAAACGTTCTTTGATTTGAAATGCTATTTTATTGTTTTCCCAAAGTAGCGAATGTGCGGATGCCTGGAATTATCAGCATACCGTTAAGACAACTTTTGCCGATTTAATTGGCCAATGCCTGCAGTAGTGAGACGGGGGCTAAATACATCATCGGTACTTGATTTTATATGGTATGATCCATACATAAAACAAGTACTAAGTGGGTAACAGAGGCTCCAAAGAGGGAAAGTCCACCAATGATCACCATGGAATCCTTTGTGACTCACACCCCGTGACTATCTAGCCCCGTGCGGCTCTCTATTTTAATTGGCTATCATCCGAATCACAGGGATCCATAAGACCCACCGCCTCCCACACAGCCTTTTTGCCCGGTCATAAGTAGTGCCTGAGTCCCCCCTAACCTCTTTTTCCCTTTCCTCACCTTCAGTGTTCCTCTTTACATATACACAGTGTTATCACACCACTTTTTTTTATACATAAATTCTTCACCATTCAGCATTTACCCGAAGTACATTTTGAATCTCCACAGATCCAAGATGAACTCCGTCTAAGCTCCCCCCCGGAAGCCCTCTTCTTTCTCAACAGAGAACAACATAAACGGAATTAATCCCCCCCATTTCTCCACTCTATTCAGAAGTCTTTGGACCTCTGAACTTCAGCATCGCATCGCGTAGCTCAAGTTCTCCCCACACTACCATTACCCCGTTCGACGTCAAGTCGTTCACCACGGATCACTTCCAGCAATCATGGCCTCCCACGCCCCTGCCCACACAGCCTTCGGCTCCCAGTTTGAACAACAACAACAGCAACAACAGTGTATTGGAGGACTTTGTACTCTATCCTCAACCAAGTTCGCAGCCTCGTCGCAGAGTCTCGCGTCCGCTCGCACATCCGAGTATTGCCCTTAAGCCGTCTGCTTTGCAGCCCTTTTTGGCCCAAAACAACCCTCGTCGGCACTCTTTCAGCCTGCAGTTGCACCGCCATCTTCAGCAGCAGTTCTCTGGTTCTCCTGTTCAAGACCCCAGAGTAACCCAGCTTGCCCGGTCTCCTTCTTACTGGTCTCAACCTGTGAAGCACTCTCGGTCCCAATCGACCGCCGTGCCTACCAACTCACCTCATCGTCCCTCCAACCGATCGTTTCACGTCGGTAATCAAAACGAAAAAAGAAAACAGTACATGCATCAATATCGCAGCAACATGTCATCTCCCAACTACCAAGGTAAACATTTACTCCACGTTCCCCACCGTTACCCCTCGATTTCCTATTCATCCTCCCACCTTTCTCATGCCCACATCGCTCACGCACAACCTTCAGAACAAGATCTTCTCCTGTTCGATCTCCCATCAACCGGCATCATGGATGCCAACTCCTGGGATGCTGTTCTCGGCAGCGACGCCTCACCTGAGGCTCCTGCCGGGACCATCTCTCCCAAGGATCTCATGATGGCGAACTCGATGCCTCCATCCGCCACCTTCACTGATATGAGCACCCCCGCTTTGGACTCTCCTGGTGACTTCAGTGACCACCCCTCTCCTCTCTTCGATGACTTTTCTGGTCCTCCTGAGAGCTGGGGTTCCCTTTTCGGTGGTCACGCCAACGATCCATCTGATTTCACTAACTATGGTGGTCCGGAATCCTACATGGCTGCTTCCTCTCTTCCCATGTTCAGCCCTGTCGAGACCAAGAAGGAGATTCAGTCTTTCGATCTGTCGCGTGCTGGAGTTGCCCTTTCCATGGCACCTCCTGCCCTGCCTGATGTGACTTGTCTCAAGGCGCACCCGTCCATTGAGATGTCCCCTCCTCCTAAGCCTGCACCCAAGGCATCGCCTATCTCTGCCACTGGCAGCAGCAAGCCGTCCGCTGTGGCTGGCATTTCTCGCCAGCGGAAGGAGCTATCACCTCTCGATTTCGACCCGAGTGATCCTGCTGCTGCCAAGCGCGCTCGCAACACTGAGGCTGCTCGTAAGTCTCGTGCCAAGAAGCAGCAGCGCCAGGCGGATGCTGAGTCTCGCATCGCCGATCTCGAGGATGCGTTAAGGCAGCGTGATGAGGAGGTTGCTCGCCTTCAAGCCAAGGTCCAGGCTCTTGAGGACGCCATGTCTCAGTGATGATCTTGTCTCCTTGTTTTCTTTTATTTAGTTTCTTTGTTTTGTTTTTACCCAGTGTTTCCCTTATGGTGGGCCGGGGTATGGGTCAAGCCTCCCCGCGAGATGCCAGGGCTTCGCTTCCCTTGGTCTCAAAAGTTATGATGGCAGTCAAGTCATCTTGGATTTCCTTTTTGTCGTGTTTCGTGTCTTTCCGTCGAATGTCGACTTCGCTCTTCTGATTTTTTTTTTTCCCGTTTTATTTTTTTACTAGTAATGTCGTAGCCGGTTCTGATTGTCTCCCTTTAGGGATTGACTCGTGGCTCTTACTCTAATATGAAATTATCTTCACTCGCGACTTATATTGCAAACATTGTAGCCTGAACATCACATGAAATAAGCTTCCTTTCATCTTAGAAGAGTATACGCCTGTAAAGTGAGAGCAACTCAGTTTCCGCTGAGACTTCTTTCACTTTTAAACCTCACATCTTCACAAGCATCCTGATATATAAGGTCTAATATTGTTCCCCTAGTTGCGACCTGAAGCCTTGATAAGCTTATTTTGTAATGACCTCTATACGACGCCTATATCGCAGCGCCAGTCCTATCTAGGACTAGGTTACCAATATACTTACCACCCACCCATCTTTTACTTCTAATATCTTCCTTCAGAACCACCAACATGAACGTCTATCAAAAACTCTTTGAACCCTGTAGAGCTATTAATGGTGATTTCACAGTACTTCTTGAAGCATTCCGAAATCAAATAACCATGCAGTCCACCCGTTCTTGGGTTATCCAAGGACCAATGGAAGAGAAGTACGCGCGAGATGCGATCGTTACTACCAAGGACCCAGTTCCCCGCCAGTGGAAGATCCTTCGAGTGGTCAGCGAATATGATTATCAGCGATCTTCGGAGGTAGTCCAGCAGGGGCAGTCGCTCGTTTACCACCATCAGATAGGAGTGTCATTGTCCAGATATTCCCAAAACCCCCCCTTGCAGAGATGCGTGTTCACCTACAAGTCCCACATACTAACACCGAGCTCCAAGCTTCTCAGATCCGTGCTCGTCAAGCGGTGAAATTCCGGCCGGATGAGCTCAAGTTTCTCAAAATCCTAACTGCAGACCCGTCTACATCCGCATTCACACCAAAGCTACTTGGATACCAAGAAAAAAGACAGGGAGCCGAAGATTTAGTTCTGGGTGGCTTTCATACTATCGTTGTCTGGGAGCATCTTCCAGGGCTTCCTCTCGGGGGCCCTACCACAGATCCGGGTTCTTTTGGCAGTTAAGCAGAAATGAGCGAGATCATATCCGAGAGTTGTTCAAAGAACAGTTCCTGTGAGTATCTATTATATGGAATCGAAGAATACTTAGTACTTGAACTAATTACACTAGGATACTGCGCGGACTTGGTTTCTTTTCCGGTTTGATGGACTTACAGAATCTACTATATGATCAAGATACGACCAGCCTGTAAGAAGTTTCATCTAACATGATTCCCTTCATCAAAATTATCACTAATGGCTAATTAGGTATTGGGTTGGGCTCCAGGGCGCGAGTTATATTCCATCGAACAAGCGGGTGACTTAGTCTGATGCATACCTCGCTCGATTCGACCTTGCAATGCCACCAGAGAATGACGGGACCTGGGCAACGAAAGAGTGGTCTGGGGATACTTCCGAATGGGAGTTTTGATTTAATTAGGTGTTATGTATGGCAAGAGGTTGAGGTTATTGCATTAGTTATTACGTTCTTTGGCAAGAGTGGTGTACGTCCAGGGATCATAAGAAACCAAATTATCGCTGAATGATCCTTTTTCCCTCTGAGTAATGACAAATGCGGTGATTTGAAGACCGAGAATAGTATCTCATGAATCTCTCTTGATTGTATAAGCGAAACGAGACGTTTTTCTAACTACGTGAAGTGGGGTATTAAAAATTATAAATATTGAAAAAAAAAGATGCAAAAAGAAATGCCCTCATCCAGACTCGAACTGGAGGCCTGCGGATATCGATCCTGTTACCAGGAACTTCATATGTAAGATATGAGACCGCCGTCATAACCACCTAGACCATAAGGGCTTGTTATATTGTAATACTCGAAATTTGACATTATGATGAGGTAGCCTTAATCATAATCTTAAATGCCGTTACTCGTTCGTCAACCAGATGGTTACAGCCGAGAATGGTCCAACCCGATCTCGAACAACATCAATACACATTTTCTCGTCAACAAAAATTAGAAAGTTCCTTTTAACTGTATTATTTTTTACCGTGGCTGACACTTGTTCACTTCACTCATTCACTCATTCACCCATTCCAACTTGAGACTCGGATGACTGAATATCTGAACAGCCCATGTACAGGCAAAGTTCTACTCGATACAATTTAACCACATTTAAACCTTGGATCTCAGGGAAATGCTTGTCGTCCGAGATGTCATATGAGACCCTTGACTATCAACGCAAGTGGATCGCTTTCTTTTCATGCCCGTGCCCACTTCCACACCCGGCTCGTCTTTAATTCGAACTGAAGACACTGTTGGAACTGTTGTGGTTTTCGTCACCAAACTAGGCTCTTCCTTGATTGAAACAACCCTCGCGTTTGGCGTAACTCCTGAGACCAGGTTGCTAATCTCAGGTGGAGGGCAGATATCGATTCCTTTCCAGTAATACCTCAACACATCCGCGACTCGCTGCTGAGGAAACAGGTATCCTCGTTGTCGAAGGTATTCATGAACAGGAGAGACATCATCTTTCCTGAGATCTAGATTTCCAGCTCTTATCTCCTTGCTGATGAGAGCTTCAACCTCCTGTCTCTGTTGTTCCCGCTGCCATGGATCATTGATTCGTTGACGGATACCAAGGTGGGCACGGACTCTTTGGAGTGTATGCTCTGAGATGGTGAAGCCATCTTCCCAGAGAACCTCAATGACCTCCCAATCTTTGAGACCGTAGTCAAAAATGAGCTCCTGGATATGGAGATCTTCGTTCTGTAATGCCGGTGGTTGAGTCTGCAGTCCCCAGTCTTCAAGGCGAGCTCCTAGAACTCGTGCGGAGACGCTGATTCCGTACTCGAATTTCATAAATCGGGAGATAAACGCGACGCTACTGCCAAGGAGTAGAAGAGAGGCTATTCGATCTTTGTATGGATACAGATCAAATGTTGATGGGGGCATCTTGATGACGCGCTTGAGGTAGCTTGATTCGTGATTGATAGCAAGACTTAGGGACTATTTAAGTGCTGAAACAGTTTAATCCGGATATCAAATTGACCAGACAGGATTCACATATCATTCCATTTATTTGTTTGGTACTCCATCCATTCTTATCTAGTGAGATCGAAGATCGCGAGCTACTAGTCAACTGGTACTTCGCAAACGAAATGTTCGCTTGCGTGTAACAGGATATCCATAGGGAACCTACATTACTGCGGACTCAGAATTTGAATCTGAACCAGTGCAAACATCGAGGCTGTAAAAGAGTACGAAGTACGGAGGTCGGTCCGGAAAGTTCTCGCCAGAAATTATAATTTCTTTTTCTCACACTAGGCTATATACAGTAAATATTGAAATATATCGCGTAATCAAGATGTATATAAAACGGAAATATATAGTACTGAAATATAATAACAGCTTGAAACAGTAAATATTCACATATCTTCCCATATATCGCTGTCGCTGTCGCTGTCGCTGTCGCTGTCGCTGTCGCTGTCGCTGTCGCTGTCGCTGTCGTTGCCGCTGCCGCTGTTATAGGCGTTATCACCTAACCCGCTAGGGGCTACTTCACCTAATTTATCACGCCCCTCACCGTATTCGTTGCCCCCTTCTAGTCTAATGACTTGCTGTATATGCCATGGTATACGTTCAATCCAAGCTTGAATTTGCGCCTGTGGTAGATCACGCCACGCAGCCTCCCATACTTTAATCCCTTCTTTACGCGATTTAGGTGCTCCTTTTCGCGTAGTGTATCTCTTCATCCAAGGCCATGCAGGTTCAATCATATTTAGATCAGGCGAATTTCCAGGCCAGATCATTCGTTGGACCCCCATTATATCAAATATTCGCTGTTGGTAGTGATGTGAATGGGCTGGTGCTTTATCCTCTTGAACTATTGTTTTCGTTCGAATTCGAGCACATTCTTGGGCGAATGGAAGTAGTTTTGGGGCTAAAATCACGGTGTTGTATCGGTACCAATCGATTCCACCTTTCGAATTGCGTGCAAGCTTTCCATTCTTCTGAGTCCATCTCCACTGAGGTTGTCTTCCAGGCTTATTGCGTAGCCCTAATCGCTGTATACCTGAATTAAGCTCCCATTCTGCACGCATAATAGGCTCTAATTCAGTATTCCATTCGGCGATTTGGTGTTCTGCTTCACGCTTTTGGGCTGTAGTTTCAGGTACCCAACAATGACAGGGGCCCTTCTGATCATAAGAAAAAGCACCCCAAAACATGAACTCAGAGGCCCCCTTCCAACGTTCTCGAATACAGCTTCGGACGAACCGCTCACTAGAAGTACGCCATACACGATATCCACCCCGACGGTGTAATAAAACAACCGCAGTTTCATCAGTCCAAATCACATTCTTCCAGTCTTCTATAGTCCAATGGGCGTGTTTTAAACACCATTCAAGACGTTGTTTTTTCTGCTCAGCGGCAAGCCCAGGCTTACGTGTAGGCTTTGTTTTTCGTAGGCCAATTTTTCGTAGTACATGCCAAACTGTTGTTTTTGATATATTAATCCCTAATTATAGAAGAAATATTAGAGGAAATAACATATCAAGTAACATATGAGATAACATATCAAATAACACACCAAGTAACACATCAAATATTATACTAAATAACATATTAAATAACACACTAAATAAAATATCAAATCTTAGAATAACTAACCTGATTCACTGCGTAGCTCTGCAGCTAGCTGTTCACATGTTTTCTCACGCCCATAGCGGTCTACACGGATTTTCGCCCCAAGTGTGGTTTTAAGCTCATCTGTTTGCTTAGATGGACGCCCAGAACGTGCTTTATCAGCTAACATTTCATCTGATATATTGAATGGTCGCTGATTCGGCTGAAAACCTCGTTCGAGTGCACGGTTCCATATGTCTCCTATAGTACGCCGTGGAATATTCATAAATTCACTGATCTCCTTAGGGGCATGTCCTTGGGCCCTTAGGTATACAATGACAGCACGTTGCGCAATATTGGTCTTCATTGTAGCTGTATAGGTGGGACAAAAGTGTAGCTGTGTAGGTGGGATAAAAGTGTGAAGGGGTGTACGGACTGTAGGCGGGGTAAAAGATAAAGATCTACGTGTCCACGGGTGTTATAAGCAATATTTAGCCTAGTACGTAACACGGCAATACATCCAATATACAGCAGGCTATACACCTGACATACAGGGCCGGTAATATATCAAGAAAAAGAAATTATAATTTCTGGCGAGAACTTTCCGGACCGACCTCCGTACGAAGTCTAGGAATGGCACCTACGTTGGCAACTGTCGATCATTTAAGTCTAGAGCAGCCCTGGAGCAGAAAAAAATACCTCTAGATTGATGCCCAGGTGGAAATTTAGGACCACTCAAGGAGAGACGTCTCATATGGCGTCCCGCTAGAAAAAAAGGCTGTTCTTAATTGCTCGTAACTTGAAGTCATAAGGTTTGAAGAAAAGGCAACATGATTTGAACAACCCCGGTGATCGTATCGTCTCAGGATCTTGGAGCTTAATATTGGAGGGATTTAATCGGCAGGCAACTTTTTGCGAAATACGTGTACATTTAGATGCCTGGCTTTGGGGGTAGAGTGGGGCATTCCAAGTTCTATTCAGCTTGAGCTTACGAAGCGATTGACAGCTCAGAACCTTGTCAGAATTCAAGGCTGCGTTTAACTGTCTTCCTGCATGAGCGCCTAATGGCAGGGTGCAGATTCACCCTCAAGAAGGTTCGCGTTGCGCCACGAATAAGGCTGCCTACTATGTCGCTAAGTCCGTGTGTTCGGGTTTTTTTATCGGACATACATTGGTTCCCCTTAGGGTAATTCGGGCGTGGATCCGAGCATCGGGCCCGGGGACTTCCTCGTTAAGGCTTGACCATTTCCCCCCGAAGTATAGAGACCATGTTAAATGAAAAGCTATAAGAAGGTTTGTGTATCTCAAGTTTACTTCTGGAATTATCAGAAAAAAACAAAGAAATTATCTAGATCAGATCCTATTGAAGCCTCTAATTTTTGAAACACTCCAATTCGTTTCCACTCATTTTCACTATGTCGACAAAGCCTAATTCTCCTCCTGCTGAAAGTTGGGCGTTGGTAAGCATATGCTATGTCAGATAGATTTGGAATCCAGCTGTTCTAATAGCATACTGAGCAATAGGACGGTCGTGAGGTCGATCTCCTCCACTACATCTATAATCGACCCGACATCAAGGAAATCCGAGGAAACCCCAAAAAAGTCCTCAGCGCCATCGACACATACAATATCGAGTTCAGTTTCCTCATGAACATCGGCGCGACCAAAGGCGAGTTCATCACCAATATAATTGCCGAACGAAAGCCATCAGTGATGATCGAGCTTGGTGGCTACATTGGTTACTCTGCCATTCTCTTCGGCGACGCCATTCGGAAGAATGGAGGGAAGCAATATCTGAGCATAGAAAAGAATCCCGAGATGGCAGCCATCGCTGATAGGCTTGTGGAGCTTGCTGGATTGCGGGACTATGTGCGCATCATTGTTGGTTCCAGTAGCGAGGTACTGCGCGAGCTCATCACCGAGACGAAGGAGATCGAGGCCGTGGAGTTGATTTTCATTGATCATTGGCAAGAACTGTACCGACCTGATCTGTGGCTTCTTGAAGAGTTGGATGGCTTGAAGCCCGACAAGAGTGTTCTGCTAGCGGATAATGTTATCGTGCCTGGTACCCCGGACTACCTTGAATGGATTCAAGCGACGACCCCTGAAGCGAAGAGAGAGATTCTCAGCAGGTCGAATTTTGGTTCATTGAAGCCGAATCCTGATCTGGTATATGACTCGCATGTACAGGAGTTTGATACCCATATTGGACATGTAGGTCTTCCTTGATTCAAGGTCCCTGATATTCGCGAATGAATTTGGAAACTAACATTAGTCAATCTAGGATGGAGTTGCAGTCACCCATGTCAAGGCACTGGCATAAATGGTGTCTAGAGCCGGATTTGTGTTGCAAATTTGGGCAGATCATAAAGCTACATGATTTAGAATTGGACTTTCTTATGGGCATCCGGTTTCAAGGTTTACTCAAAGAAATCCCCGATAAAGACCACAATTTACCTTCAAAAAATATTCGATGTCTGGTAGTCAAGAAACTTTCCTCTAATATTGAATATTGAACATAAATTTCTCTCGAAAGGTCAATAGTTCTTTCATCCTAATTGAAAGCTCAGTAGCCCAGCTCAGACTTGCCTTTTGAACCTTCATAAGCCACCCCCTGTCTTCAAATTCTCTGTACGGGAACCTTGATACCCATATTCATCCAGATCTACTCAAGCCCCACGCCGTCTGAGACTGCTGTTGCTCTGAGTGATAAAGAACAAAGATATATAGACATCAAAGAAACTGCAAGAAGAAACGAAGCGGAGTGGTTTCAGAAGTATCTGATTCCATGTTTTGTCATCATTGCTGGGACTGACTCGAGACAACTCGAAGAGTGAGTGGGAGTATTGAGCAGTAGAGAAAAGGAAAGAAACTCAAACCAGATATTTTCCAGATTTATAGTGTGAATATTCAACTGAGAGTATCAGTGCCTTTCGTTCGTCCCTTCTCCATTTTTGCCGTGCGAGCGCCAAATTGAATGGCGCGCTTTTTCTCACGTGCAACACTGGAAAGTCCGAGTCGAAGTGCAACAAGTCGAAGCGCCATTTTTTCAGCGTCAATGCCTGTTGTTATCTCATCTGACACTTGGACAGCCGCAACTCCAAACCCGCATTTCTCCCATACTGGAGATTGAAGAACCCATGCGACGAATTCTTCATCCAGGAAAGGAAATCGAGTCTCTCGACCCCAGTGGGAAAGGACGCGGTCATCACGACCCAGATTTCTTTGTCCGAGACGACTAACGTCCAAATTTATTTCTGACACAAGACCTTCGAATCCATTACGATTGAAGGCCACGCCGTGCCGACCGTATCCGGCAAAGAGCTCATCGGCACCTAAGCCAGAGAGCAGTACACGTGCAGATGTAGTGAAAGGCTGATCTGTACTGGAAGTAGTACTATCGTTAATAGAGATTGTGCCTTGGCCTCTTGAGGCAAAGTATAGAGCGCACGCAATGGAGAGATCCATCTCTGTGTTATGTGGTCTTATGAGACGCTTCACAATATCTCGATGTGCTAGTGTTTCTTGATAAGGTATGTCGATGGCTACGAAGCGCCAATTCCGACCCGGGCATATTTTCTGAAGCTCATTGTAGGCTGAACGACCGGTCATCCGATCAGGACAAGCCTCATATATTGAGAGAGGCTGAGGTGAGCTTGACTTGTTTGCACTAGCGGCAGCTGCCACACGGGGATTCTCGAAGGCGACATTGAGCAAATCGATTGGTTCGTCGATAGGCAAGATGTCATGAGATAACCGAGCGAGGAGTGTGCAGTCAAGGCCACCAGAAAAGAGGACAGCAACCTTTGCGCTTTTTCCTTGGATAAAACCAGGCGGCTCAGGAACATCGTCAATTCTTAATGCTAAAGACTCGCGAAGTTTGGATTCTAGGTCCAGAACAAACGGAGTCTCCCATGTTAATGCTGGTGGCTGTTCTGATGGAACTGACATGTTCATTGGTGGAATTGGGTTTTTCTGGGGGTTGTCAGCGGTAAATATCTACTGTCGAGTTCAAATGCAGACTTACAATATGACCCTCAGTTGAGGGATCAGTGCTCCACGGCAATGTCTCGATCTTATATTGTTCTTTAATGGATGGAGACAGGCCATGAGGCGCCAAAAGGTCAATCATATAAACCCCACTGAAGCCTATCTCCTGAAAGCAGGTCGATGAAGATCCGTCGCAGATACTGCAAATCTTCAACGTCCCATCGTCATCATACCCCTGCAGGAGAGATCTTCGACCAAGACAGTCTCTGCTGAAGAAAATTCGCGAGTTTGTTGCATCATAAAACACGAATGAGAATGGCCCAGAGATACTTGCAACTGCCTCGCCAAGTTTGTGAGCGGGGCTTCTACTGTCATCATTATCGACAGAAACGGCCCGCAAAAACAAGCTCAAGATATGCTCAGTATCATTGCCTGAGACACGCTTGCCTGAAATTTTCCAAGCCTCTCCATTCCAGCACAGTACAGACTGGCTAGTTGGATCTATCAGTGGTTGGGTGTAGACATGATCACCCCTTAGTGATAGCACCGTCGAAATGAAGGTGAGGTGGTAAGTCAGGAGCTGGCCATCAGGCGTTGAGATCTCCTTGTGGACAGTGTGCGTCTTGCAGCTGTCAGGTCCACGTTTCTCCAGTAAAGACTGTGTTTCTGAAGAAGGTGAGTTTGTTCCAGATGACAAGGAAAAGAAAATCCCACACATAGTGAGATACAGATGTGTTTAGGCCTCGGCCTCTTTTTGCTATTTGGGTTGCTGCACTTTTTCCAGTTTCCTCACTGGCAGAATAGCCGGCGGAGGTGAGTGGCAGAATCGTACTACAGTTCAAGTATCTCAAGTCTCTCTAGGGTTAGCAGTTGTCTCCAGGGCTATCTAGTTTGTACTGATATGTAGATTTAGAAAAGATTTGACTAAAAATGTGATATAAATTTATGATCTCTGTTTTTCGTCGTTAATTAATACAAACCCCTCTGAATACAAGTCAAGTGGAATATCTACATCTAAAGTGTCAGAGCTTCAAGCTCATGATGATGTCCGGGCCCTCGGTTCAACAATTGATCCGCACAGCGAGCCTCAAGACCATCCTTAAGTTACGAATCTCCCAGGCCAGATATTGCGTGGCCTGCATGGAGATAGCTCATGTCGGCCACCGAATCCCCACCTTCAGCCCCTGGGCAAAGCAGTGAGCCCTTCGCCCAGGAGACCACTGAGTGCCCCACCTCGACTACCGCCGCCGCCGACCTGCCTCAGCCGCAGAATGATGATACATTAGAGGACATACCCCAGAACACAATGAGCACAGCAGCGGACATACCGCCGGCTTCAAACGAGGAAGCCTGCGGTTCGAGGGTTTCTGACTCGGCTACCCCGTCTTGCCAACCGTCGCAACCGGACCCGCTCGAGGGGCAGATAGATGGACTATCAATATCAGAACCCAACGCACCCGTACCTCAGCAGCCGACCGAGGTGCCTACTACCCCCGCGCCTACACCCCCCGAGAAAGATGAAGCATACCTCAACCAATCAGCAACTTCTGCACCCGTGCAAACCAGCGAGCCGATCTCCATTCCAAACTCCGAAAAGGAGCTGCCCGAAGTACCGACAGACAGCGATCAGGATACCAAACCGACCAAGAAAGCGACAGGGGTGCGCGATGAATCGGAGTCACAGCTCGAGATCCAGAGCATTATGGGTCAGTTTCAGGATCCCGCGCGGACTACTGATCAAGACCAAATAATGTCTCCTCGGTTGGAGCTGGCTACTTCGAACTACTTCTCAGCTCGAAGAGGAAGTTTGGATCATATTCAGTCACCTATCTCTGGGGCTCCTCCCGTTCTGCCTCAGGGAGGTCATGCATCCTCTCCCACGACTACACACTCTCGTAAATCTATCGGTCCCGACGAACCTATGCTGACCCGACGATCATCGACCTCGACAATTCCACCTCTACCCGAGCCCGAGCCAGACCAGCCGTTCGATTTTCACCGATTTCTAGAACAGTTACGCCACCGAACTGCTGATCCTGTTGCCAAGTTCCTACGATCATTTCTTATGGAGTTTGGAAAGAAACAATGGATGGTTCACGAGCAGGTCAAGATCATCAGTGATTTCTTGGTCTTTATTACGAATAAAATGGCAATCTGTGAAGTCTGGCGAGATGTGTCAGACTCCGAGTTTGATAATGCAAAGGAAGGAATGGAGAAGCTGGTCATGAACCGCCTGTACTCGCAGACATTCGCGCCAGCTATCCCGGCTCCTCCAACGATCCCCAGGAGCGCAAGTCGCAGCCGGCGGAGAGAGATCGAGAGGCTCCATGGGCCATGGAGACGGGGTCAACACCAAGAAGATATTGAGCGAGATGAGATTCTGGCACAGAAGATTCGCATTTATAGTTGGGTTAGCGAGGAACACTTAGATATCCCTCCTGTTAGTGGTGGCGGGCGCCGATTCCTGAATCTGGCACAACAAGGTATGCTATCATATAAAAGATGGTTTTTATGGCAACATACTGACTTGAGGGACTAGAAATATTGAAGATTAATGGTTATCGCGCCCCTCGCGATAAGGTCATCTGCATATTGAATTGCTGCAAGGTCATTTTTGGTCTATTAAAGAATTCCAAAAAAGCCGATACCTCTGCGGACTCTTTTGTCCCGCTTCTGATCTACGTGGTGTTACATGCGAACCCAGACCACCTGGTCTCCAACATCCAATACATCCTGCGGTTCCGCAGTCAAGAGAAGCTAGGTGGTGAGGCAGGCTATTATCTATCTTCGCTGGTGAGTTTTCTGATCCAAAAACTCAATCACTTCCTGCTTACATATCCGCCTTTAGTCTGGAGCTATCCAATTCATCGAAACTTTAGACCGTACCAGCCTTACCGTTAGCGACGAAGAGTTCGAGAAAAACGTCGAGGCCGCGGTATCTGCAATTGCAGAGCAGAACCGAGAGGCCGAGCCCCTGGATGAGAAACCTACCAACCGACCCGTTACCCCCGGCGGTCCCTCGCAGCCGCAAGCAGGATCCAGCCGTAAAGAAGCCTCTCAATCAAGCGACGATGATACCTCCGCGCCTGTAGCAGGACTTCTCCGCACAATCCAAAAACCTCTCTCCACAATAGGTCGCATTTTTTCCGATGAACCCGACAGTGGATCTTCGCAAGATCGACCCCTTCAACCTGCTGCAACTCCTCAGCCAGCACCTCCTCGTCTCAACCCAAATGTGTATCAACCTCCACGCTCCAGCAGCGAGGGCAGACGATCCGGTGAAGAACGTCTACCCTCTCGTGAAGGTAGTGCGAAGAAGAATCTGAGCCGTGTTCTGGATGCCCAAGATGCAGCTGCTCGGCAGGCTAGTGCGGAGGATGCCGAGGCACGACGCATTCAACGTACTGAGCATAACAATGTTGTGGAGACATTATCGAATATGTTCCCTAATCTAGACCGCGATGTCATTGATGATGTGGTTAAGATGAAAGAAGGGCGGTAAGTTATGATCATTCCGTGTGCCCTTGTATTTTTTACTAACATCTTGCCAGGGTTGGCCTTGCTGTTGACGCATGTCTCGCTTTAAGCGCAGAGTAGTATATAGAATTTTTTGCGATACCAGTGCCTAATGGCGTGATGATTCATTCCTTTATTGTATGACGTGTTGCTTTAGCGTTGTTTAGTGGTGGCCCGGAAGAAGTGATGAATCTTCTCCATTCATGTTCCTTATATCTGCACATTGCATAAGTAGGCACATGGAGAATATCAGATGCTCTCAGATATCATTTCGGCTTCAAACATCCATAATATTCAAGCTGTATACCCCAATTCTAGTAGCATATAACAAGTTCTCACGCCACCGTTCGCACTGTAATAGCGAAATTGGGAAAGGTATGTCTCTAGTACTTCAAGTACTTCGCTAGGTCCACGGGTTTGTTCACATCCTTTCAGACAGGCCATATTTACATACTTAAGTACAGGGCAGTCAGTAGCATTTATAGGTGACTGATGACCTACACCTCTTTCTATATAAGTACCTACGGGGTTATCTACTGGGTTACCTATAACTAGGTATGGTTGCCTAGAAGGACGCAGAAAGGCTAACTGCTAGTATATAGTTAGATATAGGCAACTGTCAGCTCTACAGATATCTAAAGTGAGAGATATACCGAAGTAAGAGATAGGTAAAGTGAGAGATATTTAAAGAAGAAGTAAGAGATAGCTGAATTAAGAGGTCTACTTCGAGTTCACCTGGGGAGCCTTTTTCATTCTATTCTATACTCTATTTCTATTTCGCAAAAACACCATCAATAAAGACCATCGCCTCCGTATAAGCCTCCATAGTATCCTGAATAACCTTCTCACCACCCTCAGTTCCAGGTACACCCATCATCATCATCCTCTTCATAGCCCCCTCCAAACCATGAGGTCCACCTTGAATAAGGTACAACTTCGAATCAACCCCAAGTTTCTGCAACTGCTCATGCTGGAAAACACTTTCATCCGGAGAGACAACCTCATCCGCCAAACCATGCACAAAAATCGAAGGTGGATAATCTCCCTTCACGAATTCCTGCAACATACCCTCCTTCAAATCCTGGGGCACAATCCCAAAACGCTGCTCATAGGGAACAGCATCAAGCAATTTACCCAAACCAGGACTCTGAAAGACTCCATCAAGGAATAATCCCTCGATTTCCCAGTAAACCGTTAAAGCAAAGCGACGCGATATACCGTCACCAAAATCATCACTTATAACCGTGCGATCAGCTAGTAACTCGGGGATACTTGAGAGATCGACGAATTTAGCAAGAGAGGTAGGCGGGCGCGCACGGGTCCAGTGATCCAGTAACATGTTTCCGCCAAGTCCGTAGACAGAAAGGAGGGCGGCTGGTTTGGGGTTTGCGTAGAGACATGCTGCACGAGCGGAGTATGCACCTGCTGAGAACCCGGTCACGGCGATACGAGCTGTGTCCAGGGTTGTTGATTCAGGGAGATTCTGGTGGAATTTGGTGGATAGGTAGGTGAATAAGTTCTTTGCGTCGCTTATTTGGTCAATTGCGTTACTTGGGTGGCAGAGGCGGTAGTCTGCTGAGATGAAGATGTAGCCTTTCTCTTGGCAGTGATCTATATAGAGGATTAATTCTATACTGTAGTTGGGTACTGGCTATGGTGGAATGTGGGGTAGTTTCTGGGTGTGGAATGCGGAGTGTTCGGTGTACACTGTCCCAGATCATTGCGGAGTGGATATTTTTCACGTACTGTACATCCATTGCGGGAATGCTCGGCCTCGTCGTGAACCCGCGGACATACCGCCACCGTGATAGTAGATCATTGCGGGCAGGTGGCCTGTAGTGCGGGGGAGCCAAAAGTCGAACTTGATCTCATGGTCGTTAACTGTGGAATAAACCACTGTCTGGCCTCCTTCTGGGAGTGTGAATGGAGGTGGCGGCATATTGAGTGAATTGTATTCCAAGGTAGGGGATGAGTTCAAGTTGATAGCTGTCTGTCGTGCGTAATGTATGGAGGAGATGAACCAGTTTATATTCCATACTGGGATAAAACTATTGCCGATCAAGTGGATCATAAAGCTCGGCAAGTCGGCTTAATTCATCCTAGTAAACTAGGTATCAAGATCTAATGTCCGAGATCGTCGCCTTTCTCTACTTACTAGTAAGGTAGGTAAATCCGAGGAGTATCCACGAAAGTACTGTATGTGCCAGTGAGATCTCTAGGAATAATGTTCAAGTTTCAAGTTCCAAGTTCCAAGGTTGTGGATCGCTCATTCTACTTAGGAGCAGAATGCTCGAATGCCCGTACAGGGGCTGTGCCTACACGTGGTTGGAAATGATGACCAAATGGTCACTCTAAAGACGTTTATACATGAAACCAATAACCAAGTTCGCTAATTGACCGCCAGTGCAAATGCAAAGATCCAAAAGAAATATATGTCCAAAACTCAAGCTGCCATCGTCAAAACGTATCTAAAAATCAAAAAATTAGCATCAAATCTTCTCAAAATTGCGGGGGAGATAAGGTCACTTACGAAGTGATACTGTCCATTCGCTCGGTCGTTAATTTCAAACTGACAGTCAACAACTCACGAGCAACCCGTGGTTCTGCCTCTTGAAGTGCTTTCCATTTCTGATCACTCAAACACCACGCAGCACATTCATGTTCGGCTTTCACAGTGGCTGTACGGCGGGTCTCACTGAAGAAAGGAAGCTCACCACATGGTCGACCTGCTACAACTAGCTCGAAGTATCGACCTTGCGGGAGATCATATTCACAGCGCAGCATGCCAGACTCGAGCAGATAAAAGGCCCGTGGAACATCGCCTTCGTGGTATAGGATTGTGCCCGCTGGGTAGACCTCACGGGAAAAATAGGCGCAGGCGGGGAACCAAAAGTCTTCGTTTTGATTAGAGAGACCTTGGAAGGTTTGGAGAAGAAGAGGAAGAGGTTGGCGCATGGCGGACCATGCAGGAGCAGCCATCTTGGTCATTGAGGTTTCGTGTTCGCGGATGGTGGTGGTTGCAACTCGCTGGAGGTACTGGCCTCGTGGAGAGCTGACGACGTTGTCGTATAGGCTGGGATGAGGATGAGATGGGACGGGGACAGGAACTTGGAGATTATTCGATGGTGTAGTGTCGCCTGTCTTGCAGAGAAGTGCTTTTTGGCGATTGTAGAAGACCTTAAGGTAGTCATTCTCGCAAAACTCGAGAGCAGAGTTGAGATCTTCGAATATGGAAACCCCCGATTCCGGCTCGAAGAGACCCACGTTCTGAAGACTTTTACCGACATCGCCTTCTATATTGAGACCCGAGATTGTCGTTTGAACGTTGCGCTTGCGAAGGATACGGTTGATACGCGTAAAGGCTTCGGCTGCAGAAAAGTCCAACCCGTAGACTCGAGAAAAGTCCAGAATCAAGAATCGGATGGGCTGTCGGCTGAATGCATCGTCCTGGATCAAGGCACGCATGGTATTTTCCACATTGACAATTGTCCCGAAGAAAAGATAACCGCCAAGCTTCATGATAAGAGTTTGCTGTCCAGCTTCGTGCAGAAATTGCTGCTGAATCGGTGGACGACGGACAGTTGATCCAGCGATCTCTCCAGAGAAGGTTGCTCGGATGGCAGATTTGCGGGAAGTCTGAACCACAAAGTTGACACAGGCCAGAATGATACCAACCAATATTCCCATAACAAAGTCCCAGGCGCCCATGGTCACGACAATAATAACAACAGTGAGGTATTCAAGCCTGGTGAGTTTGCCCCATGTATCCACCAATGCTTCCTCCAGTAATTCGATACCCAGTAAGAAGATCAAAGCGCCCACAACCATCACAGGGATATATCCAATGATAACAGGACCCACGACTAAGATACCCGCTGTGGCTGCTGCTAGCATCAAACCCGCGAGACGAGATGTACCACCGCTGGCGATGAACAGGAGACTGTTGGTATAGACAAGGTAATTCTGGATGCTACCTGCAAATCCTGAAAGGGCATTCGTTACGCCATGAGCCATTAGCTCTCGATCAACATTGAGATTATCTTCTCCAGTCGAGATTCCCAGCGCAGGAACATTGATAGGTACGTGAAGAACACCAAAGAAGGTTAATGCGAACATGGCAGGGAGGGTATCAGCGAAGGCGGTCCAATTCACTGCCGAAAAGTCGTAGAGGCTGTAAAAATGATACCAAGGATAATTGGATGAAGGGGCATTAAAAGCCCACCCCTTCTGATGCAGAGTATCCATGGACACGCCAGCACAGAGAACAACGATATAGAACACGGCTGCCACAGCGATAAAATAAACGCCGACTAGAAAGTTCGATCGAATGAAGCGCTTCAAAACAAGCAGACCAATTGCGAGAGACAGAGGTATTACCCACAGAGCAACTGTATCAGCGCGAAATAGTTTCTCCAAAGTTTGCAGTTTATATTCGAGAGATCCGGGGAGGCGTGCAGATACCTCCACGGCAGTCTGAAGGAGGAAGTAGCCAACACCACCAATGCAGCCGATGAGGATATGACGTGGGAAGAACCCAATTAATGAGCCCAATCCACACACTCCCATCAAAAAGAATACCAGACCAGTCAGGACCGAGCTGACTGAAAAGGCAAGGATTGTCGTGGCCACAACAGACTGGGGTTTATCTTGACCGACCCGGTTCATGATGGCGAACGCCATTTGATGAAAAAATGGCACCACTTCGATCATTTCACTGCCAATTCCCCCTTTGAAAATAGATCCCCCGCTGGAAAATACCACCTGCGAGATAATAGTACTGACATAAAACATTGATATACCATCACAGCCAAGATCGGCAAAGAGTGGTTCCCCCAGTGGGAACAAAATCATTCCATAGGATAATGCATCCAAAATATTAAGCAAGAGTCCAAGTAAAACCGCAGGAAGCAAGCTGATCGGCTGTACTACACCCTCTCGCCATATTACTCCACGATCCCAAGACTTGGGGTTGGCTATCGTCCGAGAGTAAGTAGCCAGAGTAGCGAGTCCCTTGGCCAGGGGATTAGAGGTCCGAGATGCAACGCCTCCTTGATTCTCAATATCATCCAATGACCCATAATGATGAGGCGACTTAGATCGAGTCTTCGACAGCAACGAGGTTCGTTCTGTGTCGCGGGGTTCAGGCTCATCGTGGATGGTGGGTAGTGGTGGAAATGGTTCAATCTCGGTGATCGACTTGGTATGATCGTCCTCGAAACGCGGATCCGGTTGACGGATCATATCTGTCAAGGCGGACGAGACCACAGGTGATTGCTCTGGGGCGATTTCTGATTCTTCTATCGCCTCCTCGGCCACCGGGTCAGACGAGCTTGCAATTTCATTCTGAGAGACGTTGGGAAAGCGGCGTTCTTGGAAAAGATCCAAGCTAAGTGGTAGACTGGTTCGGCCCCGCGAGGGCTTCTTATTCAATGAGAGGCCATATGTCGCAAGCTCGGCAGTTTGTTCGCGGACGCCATCTGATGCATAATGGGCTGGGTCTAAAGGATTGTGAGTGGTCAGTAAATGACTCTTTTACCATCTGACGTGCTAGGCATGCGTAAAGTTTGTTTTGGGGATCTTTTTTTTCTCTTTTTTTTTGGCCAAGCCCTGTATGATGTACCCACCTGTTGTATTAATTGAACGATGATAAAATGAGCGACTGGGGGCTCGTAAGCTTGAGCCATTATAGCTGGACGCTTCCATGCCGCCGGGCGAGCTACCCATATTAGCGTGTTCCACCAACGATTGTGACGGGATGGAACGGTCCAGGTCTCGGTCAAAGCCCCAATTTCGATGGGATATGACCGATGCACGCGAATCGCGCCGACCAGGTTGTAGCACACCCATGACTGGATGATCCCCCAAGTCGTGGGTGGTGTAATTGCAAACCTGCAAATCTTTTTGTGAAATGCGGAAGATTACCGGGGGGAGGAAGAAGACTTGGGGGTGTACTAGCGTATGCAACGCCGTTGAACGGGAAAAACGGGCGAATGACGCAATAGATGGGCACACATTTAGGACATGGAATAAGTCACTCCTATATACCTGATGAATAGGAAATAGTAGGAGTAATAAGAAGTAATTGGAATTGAAGGGATTGAGATGTTTCAGGACCATGAATCTCTTTTATTAGGACTTGACTAATAACCTTGGTTACCTTGTTAGCACTAAGTTCTTATCTATTTGACTAACCAATTGCGGATAGATACCTAGATAATCTTGACTGGGAATGAATTCATCAGAGAAGAAGTTCATTGCAATAACTAATACTCATTACATATCATCAATCATTTGTATTAAAACCTCCCGCATATTAATGATGATGATGAAACCACATGTGTCACTTCTTCCATGTCTATGGACCACCTGGTCAAGTAATAGGGTGAGGCTTGCATAATCTGTTTGCCTCCATTCCCGATCGGCATCTTGCATGGTCTAGCCTATGCCTTTTCTTGCTTGTATCCCCGTTGACCTGCAGCTTACCCTGGTCTGTGCAGCCATCGGGCTGTTTAGTTACTTTTTTTTGGTCTTTAGTCCCCATGTCGTGCTTGTTTCTTGGTCAAATTACGTGAATCCTCATGTCGAGTTTTGGTCCTTCCAAAATATGGTTGGGTATCTTTATCAATTGGGTACGAAGAATTTTATGCCAACGGAGATAATAATAGGAAAATTAATCGGGGGTTTAAAGTGTTTTCATTTATCAGTCAACTGCCCATATGTGCAGGTGCCCAGGTGGTAAATTTCCAAGGTTGATTGCATTGAACTGATTAGTCATAGTCTCAAGGTCCGCCCCCGGGCCGGGCTCCAACTTGAAGGTTGCCGGTGGTGCAGGTTGGACCTTGGGAACTATACATGTAACACAGGAGGCAGGACATTTAGTATTCCATTCAAGTTGCTCACTCCAAGTCCTCCGCACCCTTCGAGTTTGAACTATCGGAACATTTACTAGATTTCAAATCATATTTTCTTAACTTACCAAAGACTTCAAGTATCCTTGGTGTTATCGTTGGAGCCGTATTTGCAAACTCAGCATCCACCCAGGGTTCCCAATCCCAATCTACCCACTCATGCATTACAAATTCATACGCCCGATTTCTATCCCACCGAAGCAGGGGCGAGATATATTGTCCTGGCAGGAAATCCATTTTTGCGCAAATTGGGTCGTCAGGTAAGCGTTTTAGGAGCGCATCACCGAAATCAATGAATATGGGGCTTGCTGGGTCGTCATCTGGTAGTATAACATTTCGAGGACTGAGATCTTTGAGCAGGATGTTCCTAGTAAATGCAACACTCTCAAATTCAACAACTTTCTTCATAATCTGCTGACGAGTCTCCAGGACGTATTTTGGGGAACTGGCTTTGACGAAATATGGACTGGCCTCAGCCATATCTGTCCCACGGATATATTCCGTCAAGATCAGTCGTACAGATCTCACATTGAGGGTGCCGGAAGTATCAACAGGGATATCAAAGGTGTATGAGCCATAATAACGAGGGATTTCTCGACCTTGGAACTCAGAGAGAACGGAGTATGCAGCAGTCTCGTGAGTATAGGAGCGATCCATCACTCGACATGGACATAAATACTCCGAGGCATCGTTGAAATAGAGGGGCTCATAAAGCTTTGCCAGAAGTATCCTGGATTGTAGAGGCGAGTTTGGTGAGCTAGGTGATTCATGTATCACTTTGACGGTGAATATTTGCAAATTTTTAGGATCTTCAGCAGAGATCAGATCGGTGATTTCAAGGTCAAGCATTTTCGTGCCCATCTCGCCGGGCAAGGGAGGATGCTCCACGCAATATTCCGCAGGGTTCAATCGAACCAAGTCCCTTAGCTCATCCTGTGTATACTTGAGGTGGCCAGGTATCACTGGAGTAGGAGGGGAAGATACATGAGATTGCACGGTGAATCTCCATCCGGGAATATAAGGAAATGGAGATTTGGAAGGCGATTTCGCTATTTAATTTTCTCCCATATCCCAACGGCGGTACTCTTCCTTCTTGCTCTTTCCCTCCATCTTGATCATTTGATAAGAGGAATCAAAAAGCTGAAAATCTGAGGTGTGGAATTGGCCAGTGGATGATAGTGGAAAAGGGTGATTCGTGAGTTGTGACCGATCTCCAGTGGCTGCTTTGACAGTTCAGTTGAAAGGTTGAAAGGGATTAAGGACGGGACTATCATATTCCGGGCTTTGTATCATTCTGCCCCGGACGGGCTATCACATCCCGGGCGCTTCCCTTCAGCCTCTCCAACTTATAATTTAATACGCCCTTACAGAGTACTCTGTCCAGACAATATTATTTCCCGGAGCCAACATCCTGAATCCAAATATGGTCGACATGAAATAATTAAAACTTGATAGTTTCATACTCACTGAGGGAACTTGCAACTTTGGAATCTGATTTGTTTATGCTTTACCTCCTAAGCGCCCACCTGGGCATGAACAAGCATGGCATGTTCCCCTCCCCTACTAGCACCAACCTCATGATATGACTCATCTATGCTTCCAGGGTTCTTTGTGATCCCTTGCAGGAGAGTCCCTCCAGATGTTGGTTGCCTCCACCTAAGCGCTTGGAAAGTCCTCGTTACCTAAAGGCCAAGTATTTCCCGGTACATGTATCTCCTATAATGAAAAAGGCACCTACTAGTAGAATGACAAGAAACCCAAAGTAGCTTAACAGAGATAGAAAACAGTACTTAGCCCGAGAGTCCATAGAAATTTCCCTACATCCATTATTACTACCACAAGACCCTATGTGCGGGACCGAAGGGCCTAGGCCGCCTAGCCGCCTAGGCACCTTAACTTAGCGCTCCAGGGCTTCAAATGTTGTGTTTGACCCATCTATGAAACGGCAAGAAAACCAATAAGTCACATCTTTGAAACAGATATGACTCGAGTGCTTCCAAAGTCACAGGTAAGCCTCTATGAATACTCTTTGGAACGGCATCAGTGATGCTTAACCCTGCTAAATGGTCAACGTATCCTTACTTCCGAGTCGGGATTCGCGCTTCCCACTCGTTCTTTTCAAATGATAGTCACTTGAGTCTCTGTACAGTTATGCGCTGTGCCACATTAACCTATAATGAATTTGGAGGGTTGGAAAATATTTGAGGTTTTTATCTGATTCTTTGTTTGTTTACTCCTAAGCTGCCAGTGTTCCATCCTTGTGGATCAATACGCCTCCTCTACGCTCAGATGCTCTAGCATCAATAATTTGGCGCTGATATTCGTACTAATTCTATCATTTTTATTAAACAATTCACGTTTAATTTCTATTGGGAGACAACATCAAGAGAAGGCGCGTATGAGAGTCAGATTCCTAGGTTACTTCCAAGGTTATGTCTTCAGGGAATGTCCTGGGCACGGGCTCCGTAGACTACTATAAAGCTCGTGTACTTTGCCCTTCAAGTTCTCAGTCTCATACTCGGTACCAGTGCTATCTATTCCATTCTGATTTCCTGTCTACATCCAAATTTCTCTGTTTGAACATCAACTTGAGCCCTTCAACATGCCCAGACCTCAAACCGTCACAATTGCGGAATCTTTCGATGCCAAATTGCCTGGCGAACCGGATATTGAAATCACCTTCAAAAAGGAGTATCGCGAGATGCCTCCAAGTAGTGCCAAGTCAACAGTAGACACAGATGCTCCTCCAGCGTACACGAAGCTCCAAAGCGAAGAATATTGGCAAATCGCTACCGATGCCCTTCATCGTTCTGGGGCTCGTCAGAGATCTACACTAGGCGCCGCTATGCCAGCTTTGGAGAATGGCCATTCCCTGACAGGAGAAGCAGATGTCCTGCGACTCTCTATCTTGCAACATTTCACCTGGTCAATATTGCCCTGCAACCACTGGTTCCACCGGGCTACAAAATCTTGTGCGCATCAGAGAAAATCGAAGGCATCAGCAGTCGATACGACATTGTATGGAGCATATACAAAACATCGACAGGTAATAGAGGGCCAGAGAAACTTGAACATCTTGCTGTCCTTGAAATGCAAGCAACCCATGTGATTCATGAAAAGGATTTCATGCAGGCCGCCGCAGATACACCTGCGGAGTATAAGAAAAAGGTTGACAATGGTGCGAGATTCGAAAAAACAGGCGCTACATGGTTGTCGAACAATGCTCTATGGCTTTCTAAACAAGCCGCAAAGTATGGCGAGGGGTGCCGACATGTGGCAATATTTGATTGGATGGCCATGTTCATTTTCGACTTCACCAGGAAAATTCATAATGCCTATGGGTTATTCTTCAGAAAGTCCAAATCTGTTGCCCCAGACCGCATGAACTATTGTCGTCTTCTCTTGGCGTTTGTGGTTCGGGCTCTGAATGAGTGGTGTGAGGAGAACGGAGTGCAACCAGTATATTTTGGACATCTGGAATCGCAAGCTCTGCTTCGTGGGCCTTATTAAGGTCTCAAATTCAGAACACGCGATGATAGTTGAGAAGAGAGATGGCCTTGGGAATCGAAGATGATGGGGTCATTTTGAGGAAGAGACGAACTTGAACCCTGGAAGCGCTGTCAGGAGACTAGGCAGCATGGACAGGGCAATAAAGACTTGGAAAGATTGTGTGGTGGCGAAGAAGATAGGATGTACTCGTTGTGGTTATGAAATTGGGGAGGGAGACTCGGAGTTTCCTTGACACTGGCATGGATCAACTGATTGATTTTTTTGTGTTAAATTGAGTTTTTTTTGGAATTTTGTACTGAATTAGCTGCGAATGGAGATATACACCATCATGATCGAAATCATGCTCTCAATGAGAATCTGCAAGCCACTCCAGATGTCTATACTACCAGTTGTAATAGTAGTAGTAGTAGTAGTAGTAGTAGTAGTAGTAGTAGTAGTAGTAGTAGTAGTAGTAGTAGTAGTAGTAGTAGTAGTGGTGCTGAAATAGTTGCCAACGCTTGGTTTCCCTGATAGTTCCACATACTAGTCTCAAGGTCTTCAATGTTATCGTGCTTCACCTTCACCCCGGGCCACCTGCCAGTGGACAGGAGACTCCGGCTGGTGTGAATAAGTGTCTCTCTCACCCAGATGTGGTGGTAGATTTGATTTAATTCAGCTGCCAGTGATTATATTGTATAATCTCTATATCAATTCACCTGGGCATCGATCCTGTGCATATTTGAGGGAACCAGCATTCGATTGATCACTATAGTGCTAGTGAGAGGTGTGAATCTCCACCAGGGTCCACAATAAGAGAATGAAGATTTGAAAGGCGATTTTACCATATAGCGATCTTCCATATCCGAAGACGGTACTCGAGCACCTTGTGCTCTTCCTCCATTATGAATCTTTGGGTGGGTATGGGGAAGGAGACTGCAATGTTGAGCTGGTAATGAAAGGAGGATATGATCTTGCGGTGTACATATGGACCTGAGCCCGGGACCATCATGATCTGGGCACCTCCTCTATCACCTATTATTAGTTTAGATCCAAAGCAGAAAGTCAAAAGAACCAAGAATCTAAAAAAGGAGAGGGTTCTAAAAAGAGAAAATGTTCACCGTATGACCACTACGGCGAAATGCTTAGATATCCGAACAAATTCGTTATAGGCCCATCCAATGGACAAGCTGGGGTATCTCAAAAGTACACAAAACTCCAGATCGCCCATCCAAAATACAGCTATCTCTCCAGTAATCAATTCAGCCGTTCCAGGAAGCCCTGCGCAATCAACCGTTCAACATCTCCCTGTCGAACATAGAGCTGGCTGTTTTTGGTCAAATTGATCACGCTATGCCAGGAATCAGCAAACCCACCCTCTTCAATAAAAGAAATCCATATAGACACAACGATACAAACGATCACAAGGAAGAGGGAGATATAATCCACTTACCCATACTCCGTCTGAATCTCCCCCGCATCCTTCAGCACCCGCACATCAATAAACAAATCCTTAGGAGGCTCTAACGTCCCCGTGAGATCAATATCTGTCCACTGCCCCTTATAAGCCGCAAGCATATCTCCATATAATCGGAAGTACTCTTCCTCCTCCGGGCTGAGCGAACTGTGACCCCCAACCGCCTGCGGGAGTCCTCGCTCTTCGGACCCCTCGCTCGGCTGCTGCTGCTCTAGCACATCCACACCCATCCAACATAAATCCTCGAGTTTCTCAGTACGCACGCGGTGGTATGCGAGGAGGCAGCGCTTATTCCGACGCATGCAGAGATGATCCACCAGGAGGGTACATGCTGTCGCTGGATCCGCGGAAGGGTTGAAGGAGCCTTCAAAGGGGTTTAAGAGGCGGGTTGTGTCGCGCTCCAGATCACGAACTTCACGGGTTACAGCACGGACAATCTCTGTCTGGTATGGGGGTAGGTGGGTGAGTGCTTGAGTGCGTTTGGCATGTTGGACCTGGTGGAAATTGAGTTAGATTGAGATGGTAGGGTTTAGTTTGAGAGTAGGAGAGTGATTGTGGAGAGGAGAGATGTGGTGGTAGAATGACTGGTAGAGGTTTATCTCATTGTCATTATTCTGTGCCATACGTACCAGTTTATTCCCTAGTTCGCCGTACATTTTCGCGACACGTTCTGGGTCATGGTGGGAAGACCCGACGCGCTCTTGAGGATCCATTACGCGCCAAGAGCCTTAGTCAGAGTGGGGGGGATCGGCGGTAGCTTGAAGTATGAGGAATCCTGAACAGAAAGATACAGAACTGGGTAAGGGTATATGAGACTTTTTTTTTTTTGAAAAGAAGACGATCTGAATGAGATGGATCCAAGTTGTGAGGGCTGGAAGTTTGGTGAGAGGTTGATGGTAGAGTGTGTGGTCTAAGAGCAAGAGCATCTGGATGTTGTACCAACGCATCTAGACTTCAAGTTCTCAACACCACCTGGAAATCACTCTTAGAGTCCTCTTCGACAAATTTGGTGGCTCTATTGTTTCTAATTTTAATACCCCACTGGTAAGTAGTATATTGTCAACTGGTATAATACGGATCCTTGGATTTCATCACTGTACTACTAGTATGTACTTCAAGTTCAAATGTTCTGCATGTGCCAGTGCGGTCTATGTAGTAGAGAGCTACTAAAATATATCAATTGATCGTCCAGGCTACTCTCAAGTGCTAATAACTTGAATGATTCCGAGTCCTTTAGTTCACATAGACCACAAAATTGAATTCCTCAACTTGAAGGTTCCAAGTCCATGCACATGTGGAGCGATGTTCACTTGAATTTACTGTACTATGGATGTACTCATAGACACTCGAGAACCATATCTAGAACCTTGAAGTTGGAAGATTGCATGTGCGCATCAAGTTTCAGCTTAAAGTTGAACATCATTGAACTAAATAAAGGCTCAAGTTTTAGTTCAAGTTTTCAATCTGAATTGAAGTTCTCATATTTGTAAATAATATTCATGCCCATACCAGGTGACATCATGGAAGCACTCAGCTTTGACCCTTGTACTCGAGTGCTAGTAGAAACACTGAGACTTCAGAATATTCCGTTAAGAGCCTCGTATACCTAGGAAACAGCTATTTCCTGCTAGGAACTGCATTGCTGTCCTTCCCCCGTGCATATCTCAGGAATTATCAATCATAAATTGATCACTGCATGTGGGATGCACAAATTAGAAATACAGCCACTGGAATTCTGGGTCTTGGAAGCGATTGGGCATCATAGTGCATGTACACCGTAATTTTGCATGGATCCAAATATGACAACCTGGGATCTGACTTCGAGCATTCAATAGTATTCTAATTCCAAATTAAGATATAATAGGGATTTATATAAGATTAAAAATATTATCCTAAAAGATAATCATTATAAGATTCGTGGTGTACCTGCGGCGGATCAACATGACAGCGGGATCTGATCACTGCCACGCGGGGTTGGGAATTTAAATTGGCCTGCACAATTCCAAGACAAAGGGAACAATGAATTAAATAAATATATAAAATAAAAGAAAGAAAAGACAAAGTACGACTAAAAAATAATTCAATCTGAAACCCAGCCTCCCATAAAATAATCAATATTCCAAGGTTGGGTTCGGTGAAAATAGGGAGGTTGGGTATATGACTCGGAGGCTGGGAATAGTACAACAGCACTCGTCTTTTCCTTTCTTTCTTAGACATCCCCCCCTCTTCCCCTCATTCTTCCTCTCTCTTTCTCTGTCTCCAAAAACACTAAAATCCACATTCCATTCTGTTTCGTCTGAAGACTCAGCGGTGGTCTAGGATCCATGATCCTCGAGAGTGTACAACCCCCCCACACTCTGACCAATTCCGATAAACACAAGCAGATCCAACAACAAAAAGAACATTCCTCGAATTTCTCCTGGTTGGGACAGCATTCCCAAACACTTCAGACTGACAAGGTTCTGTTGAATTCATAATGCGATCGTCAATCATTCCAGCGTTCGCCGCGCTCTTCCTGTTGCTACCCTCCGCCAAAGCCGCGGTCGCATGGCCACTATCACTGTTACAGGAGCTGGAGGGAAGGGCACTCGAAAAACGATGCGATAATCCTTGTGGTGTGGAGAGCCAGTATTGCTGTGCCGCAAGTGAAGTCTGCTACACAAACAGTGCGGACATAGCAGAATGTACCGATTCCAGTGGATGGGAGTACTACACATCGACCTACACCCTAACAGAAACCGATACATCCACCATCACTACAGTCTGGAGCTCCCATATTACTGCTACTGCCACTGCTGCTATGACCACAGCATTCTGCAGCTCTGAGCTAGGCGAATCCACGTGTGGAACCAAATGTTGTGGCGCCGCAGAGGAGTGTGTGGATGGTCAATGTGTTGCTGAGAGTTCTTCTGCTGCAGTTACAGGCACACCCGCTGCACGAGGCACAAGCAGTGGCTGGACAACTGCGACAGCATCAGTCACTACAACGGAAGGATACATTGCGCCAGTAAGCACCGATGGATCACAGCTGATCGGAGCCAAATCAAGCAATGGAGGCGGGCTTAGTGGTGGTGCAATTGCAGGAATTGTGATCGGAACAATTGCAGGAGTTGCTCTGCTGTTACTTCTGTGTGCCTGCATCTGCTTCAAAGAAGCTCTGGATGGTCTGCTTGCCGCACTGGGTATGGGCCGACGCAAGAAGAAGCAGGAAACGATTATCGAGGAACGCTACTCACACCATTCGCATGGAAGTCGACCTCGTCCTCAAGGTGGTCGCACTTGGTTCGGCACTCGACCAGCAGCGAGCGAAGTCAGTGAGAAGAATTCGAAGTGGAGTGGCTGGGGTACTCTTGCCATTATTCTGGGGGCTTTGGCGCTGTGCCTGGGCCTGAGACGACACAAAGACCGGGACCATAGCGATGACAGAACCGACAACACTTACCCAAGCTCATACTATTACTACTCAGACTACACCCGAAGTAAGTTTTACCCTGACATTTCAATGTTTCTAAAGGATTATATACTAACAGTCTCATAGGCAGTGATAGCTCTGGAAGACGAACCCGAGATACACGGCGGTCACGACGATCTCGCACACGTTCACGACGTTAATGATTGACTGAGCCTAGGACAAAAGCTCAGTCTTACCTTGAGCTGCCTAGTATTTTGCTCTATTTCTCGCTCTTCCTTGACTCCAAATCATTCGATTGACTGATTATTATGCATTCACGGCGCCGGTTTTGCCTATGATTTATGTACCATTACGACTTACCCAATGTTTTTATGACGCCTCAATGTTGATATGTTGATATGAGCTTTTTCCTCTTTTGGAGGATTGATTTTGAATTTGATTCTGATTTTGATTTGGACCATATTGAATGTACATACGAGATATGCGAACAGATGCATGGGAAAATAATGAATGAAGCCCGTTTCTGAACCAAATTGTGCATAGAATACTCATGAGAATCTCCATACTGTTAACTAGGCAGCTCTAGAACACTCAAATGCTTTCATATGGTTGAACATAAGGTAGATTACATCTGGGGTAGAAGGGTTTCAGAATGGGGCCAGTCTTGCAGGGACAATATGCTCTGTTCGCCAGGATAACCCAGGATATCTGCGGCACAATGCAAAAGTTCTGCAGTTGACACTCAAGAATTCAAATCAAACACTACAATTATTTGCTCATTTGCATCTAACACAAATATTATTCTCTAATATTATCTGGAAGTTTCCGTTAGTGTGTAGGTGTGACAAGGGCACACACAAAACCCAAGTTCCTAAGTGGAACTCATTCTGCTCCCCGCCTTCCCGACCCGAACTTCTCTTTCTCCCTCTCTTCTCAGGCAGTCCCTTTGGCCCCGGTTTCTTCCTTCATCAATGACTCTCACCTTGAGTGTCTTTTGCTGACATTTACTATTTATTGATTCTATACCCCTTTCCAGACTTTCCCTAGTCTTTTATCACGTTCCTGAGCAAGGATCCTTCGGAGCATTACGAAATCCCCGATAGAGGACGAGTCATCACCCGCCATGCTACAAGCGCAGAGCCAACACGTCTTTTCCCATCAGCATCAGTACCCACAAGCTGATCCTGCCTGGTTGCAGCATCAGCAACAGCAGCAACAGCACCATCAGGCTCAGCCGCACCAGCAACACCAGCAGCAGCATGCCTCCTTGGTCGCCCAACAGCACGCTCAGGTTCAAGCCGCTGCAGCCGCTGCGCAGCAGCAGCACTATGGTCGCTTGGCTATGAACGGCAATGGTGCAGCAAATCCTGGTCAGGGTGCTGGAGCTGTCAGCGGTATGGGTGGAGAGGGTCTGGCTAATGCAGTCTCCGTCATGGACGGCGGCATCAGTGAGGAGAATCGCAAGGTCTTCATTTGGGTGGCAGAGCTCTTGGACCCTGCCCGCAGGGAAACAGCGCTTATGGAACTGAGCAAGAAGAGAGAGCAGGTTCCTGAGTTGGCGCTTGTGATCTGGCACTCATTCGGTATGACCCCATCGCAGCAATCGTGGGGCTTTTACCCGACCGGGAACTAACTGTCGGCAACGTGCAGGTGTGATGACAGCCTTGCTTCAGGAAATCATCTCGGTTTATCCTCTTCTGAACCCTTCGCAGTTGACTGCCGCGGCTTCAAATCGAGTCTGCAATGCGCTGGCGCTCTTGCAGTGTGTCGCATCCCACAATGAAACGCGCACTCTGTTCTTGAATGGTAAGCAGTGACAATGTGACTTTTCCTGCAGATTACCATGCTGACCGATGAATCTCTGTCACATAGCCCACATCCCCCTGTTCCTTTACCCATTCCTCAACACTACCTCGAAGTCCCGCCCGTTCGAGTACCTTCGTCTCACATCTCTCGGAGTTATCGGAGCCCTGGTGAAGAATGACTCCTCAGACGTTATCAACTTCTTATTAACTACCGAGATCATCCCTCTGTGCCTCCGTATCATGGAGACTGGATCCGAACTGAGCAAGACCGTTGCCATCTTCATTGTCCAGAAGATCTTGTTGGATGACATTGGCTTGGCATATATCTGTGCGACCTATGAGCGTTTCTATGCTGTTGGTACCGTGCTCAGTAATATGGTCGGCCAGCTGGTGGATCAGCAAACAGTGCGACTACTGAAGCATGTTGTCCGCTGCTTCCTTCGGTAAGTACCAACCTCTTATGCTCTTCAAAGAAAATCCTTGCAGGCCCTAACATTTTAATTACAGCCTGAGTGATAACAGTCGGGCTCGCGAGGCTTTGCGACAATGTCTGCCAGAGCCTCTGCGAGATGCCACCTTTTCCTCAGTTCTGCGCGACGACGCAGCCACCAAGCGCTGTCTGGCTCAGCTTCTGATCAACCTCTCAGACAACGTCTCTGAAGGAGCCCCGGCGGCCATGTAATAACATACGAAAACGCATTTGTTTCATCGCGGGATGTTTTTTATTTATTGTCTTACACCACCTTATGATATGCATGGGACAGGTTTCTGGCGAGTATCGGTCACAAGGCGCAAAAGTTCTGGGTCAAGTACGAGAGAGGTGTCAACGATCACCATAATGACCATGGTGATTATGGACACTTTATCAATCTGCTTTCCCCTTCAGTCAGGTTTACTCTTTTTATTACAACATTCATGGGACAGTTTCCGGGCTTCGGTGATTTTCTTGTCGATGGGAGGGGACTAATGTATTCATATGTCCTTTTTTTGTTTATTTCATTTTTTCCTCTTTTCTGTTCTTCCCTGCCATTTCTATTGCATCTTCGTTTCTCCCCCATCTCTGCCCTTCCGCTTCTTCTTAATTTGTGGCGCTCACAGTCGGGTGGTGTGTGTTTCTGGTTGGCGCTGTCAATTTTGTGTGCATTTATTACTGATCCGCTTCCCCTATTGCTCTATGAGATAGACCTTCTTCGAGCCAGAGATACCATGATCCAGTCGTTGATTTATATTCGTCCTGTTTTCCATTCACTTTGTTTTATTTGCCTCTTATATCTCTTCTATGCTTGCTCTTTCGATTATTCCTGTGTACATGTGCTGAAAAGAATGTACTTTTTGATCTAATTGACTCGTGCTAGATTCTTCAAACCGGCGAATATATGCAGACTGTAACCAGGATGATGCCTTAATACATGGTGTCAGTAGTGAAAATTAAGATCTTATACATGAATATCCAAGGTTGCTTGGAATATGGCTATTAGCAGTGAATGACCAGTTGACAGTATTGGGATGTGACAGCCCACTTGATCTTCCTCTAACTTTCTCCCTTTCACCAACCTCGTAATATCAACCAAAAAAACCCTCACATCTTTTCTCAAATATCAATTTTATCCACTTTTTGACCAATTCTTTCGAGTGTCCCTTACACTTTTCTGTTAAGAGTCTTCAAACGACGACCCGCACGTGATCTACCCGTCCCGACGCGCCCTTTACTGAGATCATCTCGTCGCCTCTTGAACACGAAAGGTAAAAAAAAGGGAAGACCTCATTTCCTCCAACAACTCCAGCGCAGCCGCGCTGATTTCAATCATCGTTTCAAATAAAAAAAACGAGTTATCTGTGATCATCTACTCGAGCCCCGCCGCAATACCTTGACTCCCCCCCCTCTCGACGTAACCTCCCTACCACCATATCCCGGCCTTCACGGGCCTCCGTCCCGCCGCAATGGGATCGCGAAAACGTAGCCGCTCTGAAGCTGTCGCTGTCGCCAAACATGAAACCCCCGAAGCACCTGGTTTACTGCAGCAAATTCGTAACAGCTGGGAATTTGCCTCACTTATGCAATACATTGCCATGTTCGGAAAAGTGATGAAGATTGACGAGGAGTTTGAGATCGAGGTTAGTGAGTCTGTGAAGCGTGTTCTGGTTGCGACGAGCGCGTTTTTCCACGTTTGTCGCGTACAGCCGGTTTCTCCGGCGCGCTTTGCTGTGTCATTTATCGTCCTATACGCCACCGGACCATGTCACTGACTAAACTTCTTCTTTGCTGTCTAGGATCTCGAAGATGAATGTCTTAAGCCTGAGCCTTCGCATAAGTTGTTGGAGATTGGATTGTGTATGCTGAAATGGATTTCATCGCATCGAGGTCTCACGTATGTTATGCTCGATTTCTCCTTTCTTTATCATCATTGGACTGGCGCTAACTGGGTCGTGGGTTATAGATTCGAGAATTTCGATGAGTACACTCGTCGACAGTACAATGCTAAGGCGCCGCATCTTACCAACCCATTTGGATATGACGAGGAACCTCTAAAGTTCCTTCATTTCGATGTCTTTACAAAGCTTCGTGTTCTTCACCAGCTGTCCGTATGGACTTTCTGGAACGTCGATCGCATTCGCGATAAAATGCCCGAGAAGAAAGAAACGGAGCAGCTTCAATGGGTTAGTTATGCGCTTTGTTCGTACCAATGAGACAAACTGGTTCTATTTGCTAACTCTATACCAGCGCATTGAAGAGTTTGGATATGACCGAGAAGGTCGATCGTACTACGTCCTGGATGATAATCGTCTCTACCGCCGTACCGAGCCTGCTATTCCCCCACCTCCACGCCCGAAGAAGAAGCCGAAGAGCCGTTCGTCGCGTGCATCCCGAGCCTCGAGGCGCGTGTCAGGCCTCGCTGCTGAGGAACACGACGATGATGAGAACAAGACTGATGCGGCCAACGGTGACTCCGGTGAGGACCAGTACAAGTGGGAATGCATCGCTGTTACTCTTCCAGAATACCAAGCCTTTTTGGAAACTATTCATAAGAGCAAGGATGCGGACGAGCAATACTTACGCGATCGGATTGAAGAGCATGTCATTCCACTACTGGAGAAGGTCGAAGAAGCGCAACAGCGCAAGCGCATTAAGCGTGAGAAAGAACTACAGAACATGCAACTACTCGCTGGCGCTAAGCGATCCAGCCGACTTGCTCAAAAGGAGGAGCGTGAGCGTGTTGAGAAGGAAGCTGTTGAAGCTGCCCGCAAGCGTGAAGCCGACCTCGTAGAGGCTCGACGAGAACAGGCCCGACAGAAGCAGCTCGATCAAGAGCGCCAGTCACGTATGATGACCCGTGAACAGCGTACTCGGGATCGCGAGCAAAAGCGTCTCCTGCACGAAGCAGAACTTGAACGAATTGCCGAAGAGCAAGCGAAGCTGGAACGCGGCGAAGGCCGGGTCTCCGCACGACACCTTAAGGCCGAGCTGGAAAAGTCTCAAAAGACCCTGGCGGATTTGACCCAAGAGGATCAATGGGTCTTCGACTGCTCTGGCTGTGGCACTTACGGTGAAAATATCGATGATGGTAGCCACAGTGTTGCATGTGAGAAGTGCAATGTCTGGCAACATAGTAGTTGTCTTGGAATCGCCAAGGAGGATGCTGAGAAGGACGATTTCCACTTTATCTGCCGCGACTGCAAGCGCAAGCAGGAGGAAGCCAATCGGCCAAAGATCCCACCTCTCAAGTTCCGCGTCAGCTCTTCTGCTTCTCCCCAATCCACACCCCCCACGGCCAAGAAGCGCAAGGTGGAAGATGATGAGACAGGACCATCATCCCCCGTGAAGAAGACCCACGTTGCTCTGTCCAACGTGCAAAATGCTTCCCCTCGTCAACCTACGCAAAACCCCGCGCCTGCTCCTCAACCTCATCTCCCATCGCTTACCTCCCAAGGCCAATTCTACGTCCCTTCATCTCCTGAACGTCGTCCTCACCCGACAAATCACACGCCTCTTCCATCCTCCAGCCCTCCTCGACCTCCTTTCTCACCTCCAAAGAATGGCGCTATCTATCCCTCCCTCGGCCACCACGCACAACTTGGGTCTGCGCACATCTTGCAGCCCATGCAACATCCCATGCAGCCGGGACCACAGCTACCTCCCATCGGGGCTTTGAATGCCGTGCGACCTCCTTCATCCCACTCCGGGCGTTCTCCTACTCAAAACCAACCATCCATGTCACCTACACAGGGCAACCGCGACGTTGGCCCTCTGGCAGGATTCCCGCACGCAGCCCACGCGGCAAATGGATCAGGACATTGGTCATCATATGAAAGCTACACTACTCCTCGCCCTCAGTCTGGCCATGGCGCTCCGCCCGCTATGTCTAGCAACTACCCATCCTTCTCCGCCGCCGCAACCCCTAACGGCAACCACTCCTCTCCTCCGCACAGTTCGCACGGCATGAGCATGTCGGGAATCAGCCCTACAAAACAATCTCCTCGCCCGATGACCTCTGGAAATGGCATGGCCGGTGCACCAGTCCTGCCCCCGATTCGCAGACTAGAACCAAGCCCAAAACTCATGGGCCGTAGTTCACCAGACGCGCCAATTCCTCCTCCCGTCAAATGCATGACCCCTGAGCAAGAAGAGCGCCGTGCTCGTGAGAATGCTTCCATACTTCAAAATCACGGGTACTCAGCCCACGGCCAGGGTCATTTAATGTCCTCTCCATCCCTGAATCGCATTCCTCCTCTAGGTCCTGCAGCCACACAGCAGTACCCTGAGCCCGTCCCATCACCTCAACGAGGCGTTGATGTTTCACGACAGTGAGGTCGTGAGTACTCTGTACTAAAAAGCATTTACATGCTTTTTGAGTGGCCCATCACATTTTTATTCTCTTAAGGGTCTAGCTCATATCAAATACGTCGCACTGGCCATACGAGGTTAATTTAAGCATTGGAGATTTTGGCAATTCCCCTTTTCGTGGTTCTGCTTCGATCTTTCCTGTCCGGACGTTCAAATTGGCTCTTCGATCGATCCCATCCCGATCCGACAAGAGCGGTTGCGAGACGGAGTCTTTATCCATTGCCGGACTTGAACATTTAGGGTGGATCTGATAGACCCTGTCCGGATTTATTTTCCAACCTCACCTCTTGAAAATGTGAATCTCATTTTCAGTCAGTGATTGTAGCTGGTGGTTGTTGGATAGGACAGCCTCGCCAAGACAATTGGCTTCAAGTTCTTTGTTATTCAGGGAGCATACCGAGTTTTGATATCATGTTGACGTTGGCGTCAGTGCCTTATTTGTCTTTTCTGATTTTTTATCTTTGTCTCTACGTGCATTAAGATGGTTGGGATCTGGGAGTTTAAGAGGGCCATGAGATGGCGTTTGATTTATGTTCCTGGTTGGAGACTGCCCAGGTGGGATGTATTGATTGTAATGGATAGAAAACTTCAAGATTATTTGATACAATTCAATTTCATGTTCAATTTCAAATCATTCAATGTTATCAGAGTAATATACTAACCTTGGAAGTAGTAGTATCGATCAATCCCAACTTCCAGTTTGACCGTGACCTTGACTCAGGCGTATACTACTTCAAATGTTGTAGTATATTTCAAGTTCTAAGTTGTATACTCCCTACTATGTACTTCAGGGCTAGTAGCAAAAACGCATCCTACATCAATACTAGTACAGTAACAAACACATGTGCAGTCTTTCATTCTATTTGAATATACCTACATATCAACATGAATATTACTTTAATATTTTCAACTACTTCAATACTAGGGAGAGTCATTTACAAGCAGATTGATTTGCCGCTCTGCCCGCCGCTTCGTTACATCACCACTAGCACACACGCATCACCGCTAGTTGCATCATGCAACCAACCCTGAAACCAATTTGACCCATTCCGGCTTTTTGCATGGGCGCAGTGACTGTGCAACTCAAGCATTCGTCATAGCTAGCTGTCTTTCCTTTAATTTTTTTTTCCGCCCCCGAATAATTTACTCCAGTGTTCAGGCGGAATCTACTTACGCATCGCATCGGCAGTCTCGGAGCACTGAAATAAATCCTAGACTGATTCAAATTTTATACTAAGAATTATCCTTGGATCAGATAGATCTCCACGACCAGTGGATTTATCTAACTGTACTAAGCAGGTCAACTGTAACTCAGTGCTTGAAGAGGGGCTCTTCGGAGTACGGCTGGGCAGCATTGATGTTTAGCGGGAGAGCCTAACGGCCTAACGGTGATGATGGGACTTGAAATCCACTAGTTTAGTAGGTACATACTCCGTAGTAGTACTAAGTGTGATGAGGTGGAGTATCTAACTTGAGCTAGGAATATTAATCCCCTGGAGGGGACAACGGCAAGCTGTACTAAGTATGGGGGCGAAATACTACATATGCATGTAGGTTAAACCCCACCTAAGTGGATATAGAGAGATTGTCTTATCAACTTGAAGTGGCTACCTGATACTTAGTAAAAGATACATCAAAAATGTTAAGAATATGAGGGTGCATAAAGTGAATATGTCATCCTGTACAAGCAAGAGTAGAGTACACACATGTGCAACCCAAGATTAGGGGGGTTAAAAAGTACTAAGATCGATGGCACACGCTAAAATTTAACTCCAGTCTCCTTTACCCACATATTCCCACATATCATCTCGTAAGCGATGGCACTAGCTAGACGCGCGCGATCTGCAGTTGGTCCAAGCTGTTCTCGCCCCCTTAATTCCAAGGTTCCCTGTTGATACATCAGTTCTACAGGGGGTGAATCGTTCCTCGGAATTCCATATTCCTTGCCTAATTTCTAGATGGTGATTTTTGTATCCCTGAATATTTTTCTCATTTTGGGGAACAAGACTAAGGAGATGGGGAGATGGGATACTCCATACAGTGACGCGGAGAATGCAGATCTGTTCCGGATCATCACTGGAGTCTGGATCCTGTCTATGGGTTAGATCCGTGGACTAGTTTTATTGTTTCGCAAATCCTGATCGCAACATACCCCCTTAAAACGGCAGTAGAAACCTTGGAAGAGTACTCGTACTGTGAGTATGGAGTACTGAGGAGCACGGGCACGAAATATTAGCCGGCTTCACGGACCAAGTAGTAGATCATTCCCACTTCTCTAGATTACTAGTATACTAGCCGGAAACTAGGGATGCACATGGACATGTCAAAGATTCCCCACTGTCGGAATACCTGCGTCGGTTCCCCGTCGACCATACCAAAAGTGGCACGCTAAGTTTGAATTCATCTCAGCTTAGAGGAAGATGGATAATCTCGCATTCGGGACGTCGTGATCGGGAACGTGGATCCTCTCTTGCTGGTTCTATGATTGGACACAGATGAGATGGGCGGCTGCTATCACATTCCTGAAAATGAGAGAAACGATCATCAAGTCCAATGGATTTGGACTACCAACCCCTGTGGATATCTTATGCGAGAGGGTATTCCGTGTCTTCATGCTCCGTTACCCGACTTTACTCCACCGAGGGTCGGATAGTGAGAGCGCGGTTAACTATTTGCCGTTGATTATACCAATCAAAAACGTGTTAGGATTGACTTTTGGATCACTCAGCCGTCATTTGAGCTTGTTGACATGGGTAGTGGCTCGGGGTCGGTACCTCGGTCTCCGCGATGGGGAACTGTCTAGAATGAGTAGTTACTGAAAGGAGAGATCGGAAAATGCCGCGTGAATTGAGGCTTGAAGTTAACCTAATTCTATATGTCTAGAGCCTGAGGATTATACTGTTTACTACTCTTCTGTCAGTGTATATGGAAGGAGCCTAGAAGGAGCGAGAGCGAGATTTGACGGGAACTCCGTGCTGGTACTGGGATGTCTATCCCCACGAGTCATTTAACACGTTGTCACCATACCATGCTAGGGTCTAAATGAGTCGCAAAGATGAACAAGGTCCATTAATCCCATTCAAGTTCAGACAAAAGTTCTCTCAGTACAAAGTAATGATCATTCTATTCCCAATATTTCCAAACACAAATCCAATCCTTACTCCAGTACTCTTCAATCTTGTAAAGTTCAACTTCATGGCGATCTCCTATGATAGAAATACCCCCCTCACTCCACTCTACTCTCATGAAGTGGAGTTTCCGTGATCTGGACCGTCCGCTCGTGTCAAGCCGAACCAGAAAATCATCGACGGATTTGTCAGGAGTGAAGTATTGGCACGATCTGCTAAACTCCCGCGGAACCAGATTTCAACGCGTCTCTTAACTCTGATATGAAGATTTTAGCTTTAGCTTGGTACTTGCGGACTCTGGTGAATCTGATGATCTGATTATTCTGATAAATTCTGGAACTGATCAACATTCCAAGGTTGATATTGAATCCTTGGAAGGGTACCTATGTATTCCATGTGTTTAGTGGCTGAATTTTTGTGCCTGAGTTCAATTTCTTCTAATGTACGAAGCACTTGACTCAAGTTAAATTCCAGGTCCATGGGGGAATGGATAAGTCTAGTGGGGAAAATCGGGAGAGAGAGATATGGTACTAGGTAGAAGTGGTAGAAGTATTTGTCATTTGAAGCGAGACACTAAATCAGACACTAATTGGCACGGACAATTGGATTGACGCTCTTTTTCCCCATTCATTTAATTTAAAGAATTTAGGATTTTATGAATTAATGAAATTTATGGATTTTGGACATTGTAGTCTTGCATTTGCATTTGCATTTGCATGTGCATTTGCATTTGCATTTGACGCACGCCACATGGAGTACTCGTATCTGCAAATCTTGTCTTGTCTCTTACTTAATTAAGAATCCAGAATGATCTTCCAAGGTTGATTCAAATGGTCAGTATTGTAGTGTTGTATTCAGTATTGTAGTAGATAAGTCTATTGTTTCATCCTGGATCAGTTCCACTTAGCACATGTGCAGCGTTTATACAAACACAAAAGGATCAACACGCCTAACCGAGCACACTAAACATTTGAACCGGCGCGAAATTAATGGTAAATGGTAAATACTTCGTAGAGATGCACTAAGATCGTAGTGGATCAACCACAATCTGTTGTACCGCTCGGATAAGTTCGGCCGACAGGGCCAGGGACGGCATAGCTGAACTATACTGAAGTTGGAATCGAACTAGGTGAAATAGAGTATAGTAACACAGGTAGAAGTGCCACAGCATAATCGCAGGATTTCCATCACATTAGGAATCTCTAGATCCACGGGATCATGTACAAATCTAGATCCCCAACTTCCCATGAAACGTGAATGTCCCCTTTTGAGAAATCCAGTTCCCTCTTTTGGGTTAAATTCCAGATTCAGACATGATTCAATGTTCACGACGATCCGTATAGTGGAACTCAAATCTTGATCTACTCAAAATCTCGCTTTTAGGAGATTGGGAAATCGGCGAGTCCGATACTAGTAAAGCACATGACTGAAATGGTATGCGCCTTCAGCCCCTCCCCTTAATATGAAATGATGGAGTCTACTGGGGACGCTATGACGAACACGCATTTTCCCCGATATATTTTATTATTTTCGGACGAAATAGAGATCCCCCGCCCCATTCCCTGTCTAGATTTAGCATGCTTTGCTGGTAATAATCCGGGGAAGTATTGGTTTCTGGTCCCCGTCTTTGCCTTACTGGTTCTTGCTTCCCACATGTGGATCATTGTTAAACATTTTGAATGTGATATTTCGGATTTATCATCAAGATAGTGATATATAATCTGATATATCAGCGGGTTTTGGTATCTAGACCTGGAGTGCTTCGTATAAACCGTGATAAACGAGAAGGTGATAAACGACAAGGGGTTGATTCAGAGTCCTTTCCTGTTTTCTAGA